CACTCGGCTCTGTGATGCCCAGGGAGAAACTCGTCTCCCAGTTGAACAGACCAGGTAGCCACTTCTTCTTCTGCTCCTCGGTGCCGTGGTGCACGATAGGCGGCGCGCCGATGACGCTGCCGCCTGACAGCGTGTTGCCAACACCGCCCTCGATCCGACTACTCTCATCCACAGACACCAACAGATGGAACACATCCAGCTCTGCGACGGGGATGCCTGCAGGCCCAGGGACATCCTTGGGTCTGTACGGCTCTGGCACTTCGCCAAAGGAGAAGCCAGAACGCACCCACTCCATCTGCGCCTCGCGCGGAGCATCGCCCTTCTCTTCCCACTCCAGCATGTGTGGAATGATTTTCTCGTCAATGTATGTGCGCATGGCATTGCGCAGTTTCTTGTGCGATTCGTTGTAGTATGGCGACGCGAGGGAGCTGTACCAGGCGGGTTCGGCCCATGGACCTAGGTTGCCGAACGTCTCCCTCTTCTGGGGCTCCATCACGGAGGGAAGTGGAGCTTTTGCATCGGGTTTAGGTGTCGCCATTGTGTTGTGTTGATTATATTCGAGGCCATGGCTGCAGCGGGAATTGTGGTGGTAAATACATGGTGAGAGTCGACGTTCCTCGGTTCGAAAGTCGCGACTCGACTCGCATTGCGGGGTCGATCGAGCATCAGAAGACCTTCGGTCAACACGACATTGTCAAAGCACAGTCATAAAAAGTAGCAGAATTGACTCAAGGCCTTGGGCATTCATTCATGATAACGTTACAAGATGTAGAGATGGTGACTCTACATTATATACATGCCCTATCACTCGACCGCTATGGTGGGCGACACGTTTACCTCGCGCAGTAGCCTCCGTCAATGAGGAGATCGGAGCCCTAATGTTGTTAGTCGACGAAAAGGATAATGGCAATTGAGATGACTTACAGTGCAGTAGGAGGAGGCATCCGAGGCGAAGTAGAGGAAGGCACCCTTGAGCTCGGTGGCCTTTGCGTCACGGCCCATGGGGATCATGGAGTGCCACAACTTCTGGATGTCCTGGGGAACAAAGTCGGAGAGACCAGTGTCAATGTATCCGGGAGAGATGGAGTTGACACGGGCAAAGTCCCTCCACTCGTTGGCCAGAGACCTGGCCAAGTGGATGCAGCCAGCCTTAGCGACGTTGTATGAGGTCTGCTCCTGGGGGAAGTTGGCAATGTGGCCGGACATGGATGCGGTGATGACGAGGGATCCAGTCTTGCGCTCACGGAAGTGGAAGCCGACGGCACGGGCACAGTTGAAGGTTCCAGTCAAGTCGGTCTCGATGACCTCGTTCCACTGCTCAACGGAGGCATCGAGGATACCGTTGTCGGCAGTCTTGCCGGCGTTGGCGATGAAGACATCGACCTTGCCGAAGTCCTTGACGACGTTCTGGACAAGCTCCTCGCACTGCGAGTAGACGCCGACCTGGCACTTGTAGGCCTTGACCTTGACGCCGTACTTCTCGGTCAGCTCCTTTGCGTTCTTCTCAGCACCCTCTGCGCGAGAGTTGTATGTGATGGCGAGATCAGCGCCGTATTCAGCGCAGCCACGGGCGGCCTCAATTCCAATGCCGGTAGGGCCGGAGGCACCGGTGACAATGACGACCTTGCCCTTGAGGCTGAAGAGGTCCTTGAGCTCGGTTGCTTGGGGAACGGGAACCATTGTGAAGGATATGTGTTGGTATGAAGAAAGGTTTGATGGAGGATGGGATGGATCAAAAAGAAGCTGGGATAGAGGGGCAGAGAGGGGTTCAAGTAGTCTCTCACAGAAAAATGTCGTCTTTGTCAAACAGCTGATGGGCGCGGTCCAGAGTGACGTGTGGCCGCTTGTCACCGCGACTCCACGTCATGAAGCAAAACATGATTCGTCAATGGCACTGAGATGCGGGCTTCTTACCATGATAGTAGGGAGCTACGCCGGAGACCCAGCCGATAAACGGGGGTTGAGTGGGTTGGTGTGGGCGTTGGTTCGTCGGTGACGTTTGTTCGTTGTTATTTTGTGCCCCACCATCTTTCGATATGGAGCTTGGACGCTGAAAAGATAGCGTCTTCTCGCTTGGGACATGTACCTTCTCTTGCACCTCCACACCGTCTTCGTATCCGGAGATGTCGGGACCTCTTCTTCAATCAGGTACTTGTCGCCAAAGCCTGTGGATCGATGGTATCTCCCCGCTCAAGCGCCCTCACCAGGTGCAATTCTTTTGACAACGCGTTTCACCCCTGGATCAGATCATCTTTTATTATGCATTGTCATCAGCGATACCGTTGACTAACACGTCAATGCGGCTGACCCGCATGCAGTCTTCATGCGGGCCTGTGGGAGCTCAACCTCCGCCCCAGTCTCAAAGATCATTCATCGCCAATCGATCAGAATCATCTTCCAGTTTGGGACGTCGGTTAGGTAACCGCAGATATGCGAAGTATTCCTCCGTTCGAGTTGTCTGCCAGCTGTCGACGCGATAGAGCGAGCAACAGCTCTACATCACGTTCTGTCTGGCTTGGTGATGCAAGTATTTCACTGCGAGTTGATGGACCCCGCACTTCTTTCAAACCCCGCACCTTGATGGTGAGCACTTTGGCAAGAATGCCCCGAGAATCTCAGCGCAAAGACGAGTTGGTTAGGTTATGTGCAATTGTTGTTCTCAATCGATGCCACATTTATGAAGCTCTGTACCCCACCTCACATCACGATCCTTGGAAACTTCCCCTAGCACAGGTCCGCGGAGACATGAGATGTGTCCGCACGTGGGATGAAGAGCCCTTGAGTTGTCCCGTTATCCTCACGTGAACCTTTGTCTGCGACACCCTGATGTCCTCGGAAAAGCGCAGTGGGTTTTTGGTCCTCCGTTTCGCGTGAGCACGTGATATTCTCCGGCCAACGCCATATCCTTGTATCGACTCGCCGCTTTGTTCTTCATCATTTCCCTCAGCAGTAGATGCGTCGTCCAATGTCAACATGGCAGCTGCCAACGTGAAGCGTAACATTGGCCTTTGCTCGATCAAGCCAAGCACGCCGCGATGCGGGACACCTCAGCATGGAGTCTTTGCTTTTCCACGCCCCTCGCATTTCACCTGAAGCTTGCCATCAAGCTTCGCAATTGATCACTTTCCAACAGATACACTCCTAGACACGAAAAGCCCGAATCGCAGACATGGTGCTCCACGGTTTGCTCCCGAAACCCATCCCCGCGGACCTGATCACCGTCGGTCAGCTCCTCACGCACCCTCTGCACCCCGAGAGAGACTGCTTCCTCTCTGACATAGCGCAAGAGGAAGTCGAAGACCTCAATGACTACCACATCCAACTCCGCTACCGCGACATCTTCTCCATCGACACCGAGGGCCGCTTCATGACAAACTACGGCCATAAGTTCGACCTGGGGAGGATATACAGGCAGCCGAATCTGCTCACCGTCAAGGCAGAGCAGATGATCCAGCGCACCAGCCAGAGCCCATCGCAGGCCTTCCAGGCAGTATGCAACGACCCCGAGGCCAGACAGTGGATATACGACACGGCAAAGGAGGGCAAGGAGCTGTACATTGTGCTCGGCGTCACAGAGCTCAAGGACGCCGTCTTCAAGCGCGCCAAACTCCACGACGCCGGCGCCTCGAAGCGTCTCAACGAATCGCCCATTGAGCAAGGCGCCAACATCCCCACGCCGCTACGCTCCACCCTCGGAGGCCTGGGCAGCGAGCCAAACATCTCCGGCATCTTCGGCATGGACGTGCGCCGCGTCATGGCGCGAGTCACCACTCCCGCAGAGCCCCACAGTCTAACCGACATAGACTATCGATGGGTCTACTACGATGTCCCCGACAGCGCCCACAAGGAGCAGCTGATGGTCGGTCTGGGCAAGCAGTTGAAGGCGGACGAGCTGCGTCTGATGCTCGACTTGAGTGAGGAGGTGGTCCAGGGCAATCTCAACGTTATCAGCCAGCTTAGTCTCGATGCGTTGAGTGCTGCTGCTAGCCCCATGCTGCGTCCTAGCTCCCCGGCTTTGCGCGGACGCTCGCCTTCGCCGCACCCTGCTATGCTGCGATCGTAGGGCCGTTGTGGTGATAGGGTGTCGTTTTGACGATTGTGTATAACGAGAAAACTTGACGAAAAAGCACGAATGGAATGAGGTTCAGCTGGGAGTACAAACTTTTATCTTCTACACAGCATGATGAATCTGATAGCGTATGTACGACAACATACCATTTTGATGACCACTTTCTACATCGCAATCTACAGTGCTGGCCCATCATGAGAACCGCGACCCTATTGAAGAATTCTGTCTTTCCCCTTGATTTCCTAGTGAGTTCCTTGAACACGTTTCAAACCAATACTCCAAAGCATGATATTAATATACTAAACAACAAACCACGATCAAGACATCAACACCATCTCAGTCAGAAACCAACCCCCAAACACCCAAACACAGCAACCCATCGAAATAGCATCAAACACCCAAACAGCTAGTAGTGGAATACCTCCTAGCCAAACCAACACTCAAATTACCCCGATACAGAAATCAAGCATAATAAACACATCATGGCACATCCGCATTATCATTATTGCCGTCCAGATACATCTGAAAGCACATAACCCTTCCGCATCCACAAGACCCTGCTGTGTTTAGCTGTTCACACCCTCATTGTTGAGTGGCTTGAAATTGCTGCCAATATCGATTGTTGATCCTGTATCTGCATATCTACTTGTACTTGCAGCCACTTTATACTAATTAGACTTAGCTATCATCTTGAGCCGATTACCTAGTGAGGGCTTCAAGAGGAGGATCGTTGGATAATCATCACGCCGTCTTGCGCTTCAACCTTCACTGAGAGGTCTAGTGTTGTTTCTCAAAAACTTGCCGAGTTCGTATAAGCAATACGATGACGATACCGAGCACCAAACTCGCAGAAATGACACGTCTTATACACCGTGCCAATAAACGACTTCAGTTCTCTGGCGTAATTCATTGCGACCAAGGGTGACCCGCCTATGCAACTACCCCTTAGATGTGGTGCTCTCCTCGATCGAGCAGTCTCAACCCAGGAGTAGTATCCCAGCGCTATATCTCCCCCATCTCCCTGCCGACGCGAAGAACCAGCAGTCAGACGATCGCCATGCATTCTTCCTCGGAGTGTCGAAGAAGGTGCGCGACATTCTCGCGTCCCGGTTCTCCATGGATTACATCCATCCCGCAGCGGAAGACGCCGAAAAGTATGGACGACATTCAGAACATGTTTGCGTACCTTGGCATTGAGGAATAAGTTGACACTTCTCCAGAGTTAGACGATACTCCTGCTCTCCCCCTCTCGGCCTGGCTAGGTGGACGTGCAGTACAGGGCTGAACGACCAGAGGGGTTGAAGGAGGACTTTTTGGCATTTGTTCCATCTTCCTTCTTTCTGACCTGAAGTCGATAGGACCTGGGAAGGTTACAGGCAAGGCATGCTGGATCTGGTCACTGCTTCTCTCACGACGAACACGGCCGTGGATTTCGCCCGCTCACTGGAAAGAAGAGTGCAAGGAGATCTTTGCCCGGCGTGGAGGCGTAGACTAGATGCTGGCCATGTTCTTCCATGCACAATGCGCCGCGGCGAAGATAACCGCGGCGTTTAGGAAGCGGCATGGGGATGAAGTCATTTTCAAAACGTACGACGTCGCTGATGCCATCTTCTGGATTCCATTCGTTCTGCTCTCTTCGTTCCTGGATGTTGTAGAGCCCGGTTACTTGCCCGAGATGAAACGAGGGCACTTTGGCGTCTACAATCCATCCATCCAGCGATCGGTTGAGAAAGTCACCGCGTGACAAATATGGAGAAGACGAGATCCTCATCTTGGAGATGCTCCCAGAGTTTTTGGTCTTGACACTAGGCACCGAGCGGTCCCCTGCCGAGGACGAATTAACCCGCAGTCTTCGAATAACATTCAAGACGCACAAGTCCGTCAGTTTGGACTGTATTCGCGCTAGAACTCTACGTAGACATGCACAACCGACTACGAGACCAGTCCTTACACAGCTCTCAGACACCGTATCCTTCGCGAGGATAAACATCAAGAAACACGCTAGCCTTCCACAAAGACCTACGCATCGAGAACTGGCCGCAAGAGAACGACCACCACATGGCCACCTTCTCCGAAGACATCACGGCCTGGATACTAGGCGACCCCCACCGCGTCGCAGCATGCAAACTAAAGCGCACCGATATATCAAAGCTGTACGACTGCCTCCGCCAGCACCCGTGGCAATGCCGCCTGTGGAAGTACTACGTGCAAATCCACCTGCAGACGCTCAGTCTCGCATTCGTCAACGCATGGGTCAGTACGAAATGGACGCGGACAGCCAGTCAGCTATACTAGTCAAACACAGCGAGCCCATTCCAGGCTTCGGCAAAGCCGCGCCCGCAAAAGCTAAAAGTCGCCGTCGTGCAGCTGCAGTCCATTCTGCGCGCCGGCCTGCAGGCGGAGATCCTCGAGCTCGGCTTCGACTACCTCACACTGCACCGTTTCTGCTGGCGCCTACTGCGCGCGGTCAAGGATAAGTGCCGCGACGCGCTTGTCGGAGTCTACGGGCCTGACTATATCGAGAGGCAGAATCAGCTCCCGTTTGTTGTTGGCTATGTCTTCGCGACGGCGACTGGGTCGATGCAGTTGGCTGATTCTATGAAGATGAAGCGCTCGGATGAGGTTACTAGTGCTGTGCTGCGCGATGCTGCGGGGGTTGTAGAGCAGATGCTGGATGCTGGCGCGGGGGACGTGGTGGGGATGGTGATGAGGGAGAAACTTGGTGTGCCGTTTGAGATCCAGGATAGCGATGATGAGGAGGATGGACTGGAACGGATGAGGAATGATAAATAGCTCGTTTGAATACTGTTTTACTGCTTGGTGAACGGTGGTGATTTTGATACCGGGGTGATAGAATGAGAAGGTGGGATAACTGGAGAATAGCGGTCTGGATTCAGTGATACTGTGCTGATGCACGCTGTTGGTTGGAAGATGGAGGCAAGTGTCTCACAGACCGGGAGGCTTGAACAGTTTTCAACATGTGGAGTGACTGCTCGCCGGCAATTGCAAAGCCGTCTGGACATTGGACCTGATGCGTACAAGCACATGTAGCCATTGAAGCAGGATATATGAGGTAGTTTTATCCCACTCAGGGCCATATGAATCCAAAAAGTTATGCAAAATCGTTACAGTCTCACTACGATCCCCTCAAGCTTGTGGTCTGTCATGCGCAGTATTAGGTTGACTCATCGGCATACCAGTACCTCGACCACGGGCTGAATACGATTGATGCGTGCCTCGAGATGTGTTGCTTGCGCCACGAGGAGCATTGTGAGCGCCACGAGGAACATTGTGAGCGCCACGCGGATTGCCATAGCCACCACGAGGCGCGTTCTGAGCACCCCGAGGCGCGTTGAACATGCCCCGACCACCTCTTTGCTGGCCATGACCACGCGGCCCACCGAACTGCGGAGCATACGGCTGCGGCTCGCGTCTCCAGTGTTTCTGGAAGAACTCTCTGTCGACGGCATGTTTCTTCATGTCCATCGAACGCAGCACGACTGGGCCGCCCTTGTCCTCGCGTACCAGCACTGCGGATCGAAGCGGGCCTTGCTGTTGCTTCAACAAGCCGCGAAGTCGCGAAAGTAGGCCGGCGAGTTTACGCAGACCTTCCTGCTGATTGTCTTCCCATTTTTTAATCCGTTCTTGCGCGTCTTCGCGTATGATGCGCAGGACTTTGCCCGTGCCTGCTTCGTACCGGCCGGTGAAGAGGATGGATGTCCGGCCGAACCAAAGCTGATCCATGCATGCAACATGTGGTTGGCCCTCGGGTTTGCGCACTTGCGTCTTGAGTTCGGCCATTTGGGCTGTTGGGACGATGTGGCCTTTCTGCAACACGCGGATCGGAGCTCGGTACATTAGATGTGGTTTCTCTGCCGGACCGCCGCTGACTGCAACTGCTTCAGAGGGTGTGAGTTCATCAGATGCGCCGTCGTCGTAGGCGTCTGCTTCGAATCGTACGACGACGTTGAGCGGTCCCATCTTATAGCGGATGGCGCGGTAGTGGCTTGTTGCATCCTCCATACCCTCTGCAGGTCGAGTGAAGAATCTCTCAAAGTTGCTTCCGTAGCTTTTCCCATCTGAGAGCTTCCAGTATCCTCCTGCTTCTTTGCGGACGATGATCAGTGTGTTGTAGACTAGGAACAGATCCAAGCGGAAAGGCCCGTTGACTTTGCCTTGCACGAATTCAAGAAGAACGCGGAGATTGTTGCGGTCGGCCAGGACATCGACGTCCATGAACTGACAATCTGGATTCATGGCACCAAGTGCATGAAACATTGGCGAGTACGGGTTGTTGGGTTGCCGCACATAGTTGTAATCCGCGTACTGAAGGCCACTATCTCCATCTAGTTTGTGTGGTAGCGTAGGAGCCTGCCACTTTGCTGGCTCACCTGGTACTGCATAGCGTCAGGACATTAGGGGTCTCCAGCTTCACAACCAAGTGGTTCAGTGAAAAGAAACCAGCACTTACCAAAGATCGTGTTTGTACCGTCTGTGGAAGCTTGCCAATTGTAGCAACACAATAACTCTGGATCCTCGTTCCAAGTGATGGGCCAGGGAACGGGAACGACGGTGTCTGCTTCGATAGTGTAGAGTACAGCGCCTGCGTCCCTGGCAATAGCACGATCAAAGCGCAATCTTTTCTTCTTCTGTTTTACTGACAACCCTTTCGGTTTCTCAGCGTCGCCTTCAGCGCCCAAATCCACGTCATCTTCATCCTCTATGGCAGCAACCTCCATATCGTCAACTCCATCTTCTTCTAGGGCAAGGTCCTCGAGATTGAGCTTGTCTTCAGGATCCGGCGCCACAACTTCTGATCTTGATGCGACGGGCAGAACAACGGTGTTGAGTTGAGTCTGCACGCTGGCATGTGGTCGTGCATTCTGTTGTGTCTGCTCTCTCGGGCCCTGCTCCAATCTTTCCTGTTTGCTACGCCTCGGCCCACGCCCACGCCCTCGGCCAGGGGGTCTTTCATTGACAGCTTCATCTTGGATGTAAGCGTGTGACAACCCATTTTGATTGGAGTCACGCAAAAAACCTACCAGACATGATCTTTGGGGGCTTTCTGAAAGATGCAATCCCTGTCAGCGCGCCTCTCAGGGCACGTAATAGGAAAATGGTTTGGAAACCTTATGCAGTTTCACGTGCGAGATGATGAGATCGTCACGTTTGTGAGCTTGCACAATACAATGGGGCGATATCTCCTCGGCGGGTAAGATTGAGTTCAACAACTTTTGTGCTTTTTGACAAGTTGTCTTGCCTCCTGTGGATTGTGTAGAAGCGCGTCGTCGTGAAAGAGATGAGCGTGTGCGCACAGACCATGGCAAGACTGACTCAGTCAGCAAAACAATTTTGAGACTCGCGACCAACAGTTCTGCAGCATTGGTCTGGCAATCCATAATTGCCGTGATGCGCCGCATGAACCGTTCGTGCTGCCGCTGGCAAGGCTGACAGTGCCCATCCTTCGGTCTGCGACGCAAATACATGCCGCCCCCGGGGCCAACCGCGCCGCTCCCCCACATACAACGCCGGCGAACCACAAAGCCATCCCAAGCGCCACTAACGGAATAGGAAAGAATATGGGCTGTCAACGCCCCAAAAATACAACAATGAGCGCGAACTTTAAGCATGCTTGCAATCCATCAGGCAATGCGGCGCAGCAGTGTGGGTGGGAAATGTAGATAAAAGCAATAGTACAAAGGGGCACCCTTCATGATCTAAACCACAACACTCACTCTTCTTTTTCATACCATCTTAATTCCAGAAATCTCTGTACCCAAACAATGGCGACGATACTCAACTTCCTCCTCTTCAGCCTGACGCCATTCAGCGTCAAGGCATTCTACCCCCACAACGAACAATCACCACTGATCCCCACCCTCACACCCCCAACATTCATCGTCCCCCTCATAGTACGCAAACATCCACACCACCCATCCATACAATCCCCAACTAACAACCCCCAAGCTAGACAACCACCTAACCTACCACTTCCCCTCAACAACCTCCAGCACAACAACGCCCCTAGACCTACAAGCCCTACACACAATCATCAGCGCAAGCGCACCAGCCTCCCAACCAAATCTAATCTCCATCGACATCCCCCTGGACACAACAGCCCCCGCATCCTTGAGCATCTCCGCCGCATCCACCAGAGTCTTTCCAGCCCCCGACGACCATGAGATGACATGGCTCGACACCACGCGCCCCGGCTCGAACCTCGCCCTCTCCCAATTCGGCATTCGTAAGGGCGGTATGGTAAGCATCGAAGCGCGCAGCGCGCGCCTCGCCCTCGAAACACCCTTCCTATCCGTGCCGGTGGAGATATACAATATCCTGCTCATGGCCACACATCCCGTGTTCGATCACGAAAACACGGGGTTGGGTGAAGGGGTGGTGGACTGCGCCGCGCTGTCCAGGTTTCCGGATCTGGTTCTCGGGCTGGGGATGCAACGTGGGAATGATGAGGGGGAGGAAAGCGGCGGCGATGGGGAGGAGGGCGAGATTGTCATCACGCCTGAGCAGTATGTTATGCGGGTTGGGGAGGGGAGGTGTGTGCTTCTTGTGCGTAGTTTGGGGAGGGTTGAGGGGGAGGAGGTGGTGTTGGGGTGGGCGGCGGTCAGGGGGAGGAAGGTTGTGTTGGATTGGGGGAATGGAAGGACGGGGTTTGGGTGGTAGGTGGTGTGTTGTGTTGTGGGGTGTGCTTTTTCGCAATGTATATTTGTATATCTATCTGTATATATCACGACTGGAGTCCTATTTCTTTCCATTGGCGTTTCGTTATCAGAACCTATTTTTTTCTTAGTATACACATCATTCAGATGATGATTTGATTCGATATATCCGTATAAACGTGTCGTCTAGATTAGAACAACCCGATACAAATATAAACACCTCATGCTCACCCACCCTGCGAAATGGAACAACGCATCTCCATTCCTCCGAGACAGTTCTTCTACACGAAAACGTCCACAGTGACGCAGTAAGAAAGCAACAGGCATGCGTGAAGAAGACGGAGATGGCATATATCGGTAGACTGTAGACTAATACTACTTTATATCGATAGCAGAAGCAGACATCCTTCCCACCCCGAAGAACAGCAGCGATATACACATGCGCCTCACTACATAGAAGTCACCCCCCACTCCATACATGTACCATGCCCGATCGGCAAAAACCGAACCCAAGTAGAAAATTCTCTTCAAATTCCATTCATAATCACAGTCCGGATACGTCAACACGCAATTACTAGACATAGCAAAAACATCACCCCCATCATTTGTGCAGAAAAAACACTTGATATCTTGTGATCCGGCCCGGCCATCTACACCTCCAGTCCTGTCTACAAACACAAACACAAGCACACGCAAAATCACGAACATAAAGCACAAAAAGCAAGTAAAAACAACGCGTTAAACAAGGTACATCTACAAACCAATCCCATCCCATCAAAATCTAGGGTCCAATGTACAAGCTAACCCATCTCCATCTACCCCCATCCTACGGCAAGAAAGACAATGCAAATGACAAAGAAGAAGACGCACTAGACGCAAGAAAAAGGCTCAAAAATATACTATTCAATCCAAGTCCCAACGCCCACACGCGACCTCATCCCATGCAATGCCCCCCCTTCACCGACACAATCTAGTGCTGGCCAACATTGCTACGACGACGATGCGCGTTAGCATGGCGACGAGCCTTGTAGCCTGCCTCCTGGGTGACGGTAACGGTCACCTCCTCGATAGCGATCTCGTACAGGATGCCGTCCTTGGTGTACGTAGTGGTGGAGCAGTCCGAGGTCTGGGCGGCGTCGGCGCCAGACGAGGGGGAAGGCGTGATGAGGGGTGCAGCGGCGGACTCTGCGGCGGCGGCGACAGAAGTCACAGCCGCGGCGTACGCGGCGCTTTCCTCAGTGGAGTAGGCGGCTTCGCTGGAGTAAGCGGCGTCGCTGGAGTAGGCGGCCTCGGAGGAGGCGGAGCTGTAGACGGAGACGCCGCCGCCCCACTTGTCGGTGGCCTCAGACGAGGCAGAGGCGTAGGACAGGGTGGGGACGGAGACGGAGACCGAGGGCTTGACGGTAGCGGTTTGGGCCTCGGTGTTGCCGTTCTCGAGGGCTGTGGCGTACTTGGGACCGAACTGGATGGGGACGTTGCCGCAGAGACCGTCGGATGGGCCGTCGCAGTCGTCGTTCTTCAGGTTGCTGGGCATGTCCTCGATGTAGCACATGCCCTGCTCGGCCTCGGTCTGCAGGCTGGGGGTGAAGTGCGAGCAGTCCTCAACTCGTCCCGAGGCGTTGGTGCAGTCGTCCACGGCAGACTGGAGCGTGTTGATGTTCCAGCCGTTCATGAAATCGGCGTGGTATCCGTAGCCTGGTTGCAAGTTAGACGTGTTAGGTGTGAAGTTGGGCATACAACATACCAGTGGGGTCACCGTTAGACCAGGTGAACTGTCCGTCAATACCCTTGAAGGCGTATGTGTTCCAGATGGTCTCATAGAAGAGCGATGGGAGACGGGTCTCGTAGCCCTTGGGGCAGTTACCGCCGTCGATCAGGTCAGGGTAGGCCATGTGGCTCTTGTGATCGGCGCTCTTGACGTCCTTGCCGTTCCAGCAAGACGGGAAGAAGATCTCGGCACGGATACCATCGGCGCAGTTCTCGTCCATGAACGACTTATCGGGCAGGAAGTGGCGGTAACGCGAACCCTCGGGGTTCTTGGCGTAGTTCAGGCAGTTGAAGCCCAAAGACTTCTGTCCAAGAGAAACCTGGGTCTTGTCGTCGGATGTCCACGATGAGGTTGGCAGGTCAGGCACGGGACCGGTGAAGTTGCGCAGTTGGCCGTCTCCAGCAAGCATCTGGAAGCCCTCGGGGAAGGCCTTGAGGTCCTCTCCGAGAAGCAGGTAGTAGGCGAGCATGCCACCGACCTGGGGAACCACCTCGGTCTTGCCACTGGTGTGGATGAAGTGGAGGGAAGGCGTCCTGGGACTGTTAGTACGATTGTGGTGGTCAAATCGTAGCAGAATGCGCGTACCAGTATGCCGACTTGTCGTCGCTGAACTGGCAGGACGTGCAGTTCGAGTCTCGGAGCATGTCGTAGGTGGTCGTCTCGGCGAAGTCTGGTGCAAGTGTTAGCCAATTGTCGCAACTACGAGAATTGCAACGCGCAGTGCAATCGCGACACCGGGAGCAATCCTGGATCTGGTCACTTACTGCTTCCACCGTGGATGGCGTGGACGTGGCTCGAGGCGACACCGGGGTCAACAATGGGATCGAGACGGGCAAAGGCCGTTCGGGAGTGGCATGGCATGCGCCAGAAAGCCTCGGTGGTTCCGGAGAGGAGGGCCACAGTGGCCGAAATGGTCGTGTAGGACTTCATAGTTGCGTGGTTGAAGATGGTAGTCCGGTGTGTACTAAAGGGGTTGACAGGCTACTCGACGCGTTGTGGTTGTTGAGTGGATCGAGCGTTGGGAGTTCGTAGACGGGATCGTTTGCTTTTTCCGCAATCTCGGACAGTCACTTGAAAAGTGAAAGTGTTTGTTGGCAGGGAGCGGCGCGGTGGGTAATTGAGCCGGAGTCGGTGAAGGTTGACGGTGGATGACTAGTATCTGCCACAGCCGCCAGGACTTTCAAATGAATTGAATGCCGCGCGCGAGAATATCAGGATACACAGGTAAGGAGTGTGAGGGCTGCGAGGTTGACGCAACAACAGCAGTCGGTAGCGAATGTATAGTTGCAAAAGGAGCGACTGGGAAAGAGAGACAAAAAGCCGCACACGCAGGATGATGTGGTGAGAGAAAGGGGAAAGGCAGGATTCCCACCAGGATGCGGGCGCTGGGGTTGTTTTCTAGGAGATGAAGGCGTGCCCCACTCGTGGCCGTGAAACCCTGGTCGTGGGCGGCTGGCGACGCTCCTGTTGGCCGACTCCTGGCAGAGACCCCTTGCCACTAGCACGCAGTCGGTAAGCTGAAACAGGGCAGCGCAGCAGGGGACAGCGCTGCCATGGGCGAGCCATACTGTCTTGAGCGTGGGCCTGCCGGGGCGCTGACACTCAGGCACCCGTTTGCGGTTCTACTATGTGCACCCATACTTTCTCCTACGTGCGCCCATACCCACATCGCGCCGCGCTAACTCAATAGCGCTCACTAGTAGTCTTCCCTGTAATAAACGTTACATATCTAAAGCTAACATAATAGCATCACAACAACAAAGAGATTTTAGGATTTTTAAACTGTATTCTGTCTTAGCACCTCTATTTTAGCTAGGTAGAAACTTCAAAAAAAATCTTTAACGTTGTTGCTAAGGTGTAGAGTAAAGATGTTGTATATGTAAGAAAAAAAGCCCCTGTAGGTGTGTAATTACTAACGCGGGAGCTAAGATTTTAGCGCTTTCGTAGCTCGACGCCAAAGTGGGTATGGGTGCACCTAGTAGCAAGTATGGGTGCACATAGTAGAACCGCCCGTTTGCCCTCCTCGTCGTCACCGCTGCCCTCTCGCGCAACCTTATTCGCACCACGACTGCGGCTTCATCAGGGCGCACGCAGCCCATGGCCGCACAGGGACGGGACATCATGTCAGGGCACAGCCCGCCGAGCTAACGTCCAGCGCAAGAGGTCAGCTTCCGTGCGCGCACCATCGCAATCTCCAGCACCACCTCACCAATCCCACTCGCCTCCAGCATGCCCTGCCCCGGTTTTCCCGCGCGTCGCAATCGCACGGTTGCATCGTGAAGCTAAACCTACCAGCCGGGGGAGACATGTCGAGGGGGAAATGCCGCCGAGCATGCTACCGTAGGTAATCCCACGACACGACTCTGCACGTAGGTAGGTAACTTTGGTGCTGCAAGCAACCACTCGTGAGCTAGACGTTTGGCCGGGTGCACGAAGATGCCAACTCCCGCGCTGCTCATCTTATCGCGCGTCAATAAGATTGCCCCAAGAGGCGATCAACGTCGCGGCAGCGCGGCCAAGTTGTGTGCGTGGCCGCGTGATGACGGCACGGCGTGCTGCGAATGGGCGAAAGCGATATTTGTGCATCGCGCACAGCGTGGCGAGGCGAGGCCGAGTGAGTGAATGGTTAAGCGCTTGGGAAGGATATTTTAGGGGCCGACCATCACAAACCTATCGATAACATCGTCTTTTCCCGTGCAGGTGGCTGAAAAGCAGATGGCGACTTCCGACTGGCAGGCCGCCGTCACCCTTCAATAATCGCAGCCTTCGCCTGATGTGCAAATCTTTTCGCAAACCATAATCGTAAAACTGTAATCGTCGTCTACCTGGTAGCTCGTCGTCTCAGGGCTGACGAGGCTGCAAGGCTATCGTGGCGAAAAGCTGGATGCCGTGAAACATTATAGGTACCGGGGAAGGTATGCAGCTTCTTTTCCAAGCAGGTACGCCGCACCCTACATCCCGGGTGTTGCTCAGGAACACGGTGAGTCTGATTGGTCGAGCGGCGTAATGCATAAACCGCCATAACCATCCCTGCCTTACCAGCATGGTCGTCTGCAACGATGTCTTGTCCCCCTAACCATGGTGAGTCCACCTTTACGAATGCCAGAAACATGGGATCTGCTATGATGACGCAGGCTAGACTCACATCAATGCTTGTTTTGTCGATATATTGCATTGCACAGGCGGCACTTTCATCTCCTCGATCCGCAATCCCCAGCTCCCCCGCCTCCAATCCCCAGCCGTCTTATCGTTCCATTCACATCCTTACATAGCCAATATTCCCTGCTCACGTGCTTGTCCGATTGGGATAGACTTGCCTGTTACACGGCAGCGACAGGCGAGTTAACGTCAATCAACCTATACCTGTTATAGCCTTCAAAATGAGCGTGACACAAGGCTGACGGTAATATTTGCTTTTCTCGAAGAATTCTACCCCAGTACCACCACAAAAGCTTGATGTAAAACACGTTGATTGCTACACTCAATCCCCACAAACGCCTCGCTCTGAATCGCAAACAAAAAAGAAACAAAGGTGCCAGCCGACATTCCAGCTATGATGATGGGTTCCACCACATCCTCCTGCATTTTGCGTAACTCCTACCCTTTTTCTTTCTATGCGGAAACGGCACATTCATACGTGATGATCGTTTGAGTACGGACAACTCATGCGATCAGCTGCTACGGCACTTACTGCAGTCAACCCCATTTGGCTGGAGACAAAAGTGTGGGACAATCGCGAGACCATGGATGACATGTTTAATGCGTGAGGGCTCATCGCTAGCCACCACATGCTCGTCCAAGGTCAGGTATGATGCGTTGGAAAAGGTACGTTGATGGTGGACAGACATGAAAGGACTGCAGTCAACCTCGAATTCCGTCTGAGAGCCCACAGCAGTTGCGTATGAGGATGGGGGCCGGCTAGAATTATCGTGTGATGATGACGATGATGGGGAACTAAACTCTTCTGGTAAACGCGGTGAGCAAACTTCACCCCCCATTTCCGAAGAACCATCCTAGTACTTCTTCGCCTCCATACCCTCTGGAGGCTCGGGAACCACAGTCCTGCTGCCAACGTTGCCCCAATCTGTACTCAGCACTGTACCGCCACTCTCTTGGTAGCTCTTGAGCATCGCGCGCTGCTGCTCAGCACCTGCACCCGCATATAGTTTCTTGAAGAACGCAGAGGTCTCGTCGCCTTCCATGTCGTCCTTGTCACCGAGATCGTCCATTACCACCTTGTCCCAGTTCTTGACGCCTGACTTGGACGACGTTGGGTATACGGGAGGTGACTCCTGGTTGGACTTGCCCGAGAGGACGTGGGAGGGGATGGCGCTCTTCTTGTCGTCTTCCACCTCGACCTCACGATCGCCCTCGATATCGTGCCACTTAAGCCCTGGTTTGGCTTTCCGTAGCGTCACCTCCACCTTATTGGGTGTCACCCGGTACATGGATTGTGCGGGGTCGATGGACGCGAAAAGGGGATCAGCGGAGAAGCTCCATTCTGACTTCGTATCGCCGATGGGGAATGTCACGGAGAGCGAATCCTTCAATATCTCCACAGTCGCCTCGTCCTTAGGAACACCTTTTGCGAGGATACTGAACACGATGTTATCGTTGTTCTGGTACCAGTCATGCTTGATCTTGTCTGCAGGCGTGGGCACCACTGCTTTTGGTGCTACGGGCGTGTCTGCTGTCTTTGACTCGCTGTCCTGGCTCTTAGCTGGCGCAGACTTAGCGGTCGATGAGGCAGTCGGAACATTAACATCAGGAATGTCTTTAATCGTAACCTGCCTCCTCTCGTCACCTTCAGGAATGTCCTTCAGCTTGGCCGCAACCTTCATAGTCCAGATGGGCAACATCTTCTCCTTGTCATCCAGCTTCTTAACCGTGTTCAGGAGGTGTTCTGCATCTGCATAATTCCCGAGGAAGTACAGAGCGATAGCTCGTCGAAACTGGGCATCCTTGATAAGCTCACGGACGGCGCGTTTGTGTGCGAGAACGACAGCAACTTCGGCATCCGCGAGGGCTTCGGCGTACTTTGAAGAGCGCTGATAAGCTGTAGAGCGACTGATATAGTACTTGACTGCAGTCGGGTTCGAGGAAAGAGCGTTGGTGAGGTGCTGGATAGCTTCTTCATAATTGCTTGCGCTGAGTGCAGCGTCACCCTTGCGAGCCTCGTCCATAGCGGGGTACAAGAGGACTCGAGTTATGTAAGGATGTGGTAGGGTATGCTGGAGTACAGTGAGAGTGTAGATATGGCAGACGAAGTTTTGTGAGAGTTGAGAGAGTGTGAGTAAGTGTTGAGTGGGTGTGCGTGTGGAAAATCTTAGAAAGGAATCACAACCATGGAAAGCTACTGCTGCCTCACCTAAATCCAGGGTCTAGAAGTACGCTAGCCACAACCGGCATAGATGCCTTCACACGAGTTTTGGAGCTCGAGTAACAACAGCGTGAATGTTACGCATGATTCAACGATTGAGCAGATGTGCAACGTGACGACTTGGATATATATTTTTCTTTCAAATACCCATTCACCCTCTTCCTGCCACTCCAATGAGCGTGGAAACGCGCGTGAACGTCACTTCGCGCTTTGTGTGCTGCAATATATACATACAAAGTCGACGCTGTGTATGATTTAAAGAACTCTATTATGCAACGTGTAAGAGTCAAGAAAGATGCACGCATTGGTGTGACAACATACATGGTATGACAAGTGAGAATGGGCAAATTACACAAGATTCAAGAGGATTACCGGTGAATGAAACTTTTCAAATTGCAAATGATGGACCTTGTGACAAAAGAAACCCTTTATGACTGAATACAGTGCCGTAACAGGCTACCGAATCTCCGCCGTGAAAAAAGTAAATGTGCACCTCTATGATCCTTGCAGATGATCCATAATTTGCCAACTAGAAACAATACCGCTCCCTCATCATCAATCTATCTAAAGAAGTAGTGCGGCGCCGAAGAGAACACCAGCCGCGACCATGCCCATGAAGCGCAGGGGGATGTCGACGCTGGGGGCTGCACCGGTACTGCCGCTGCTGCTGCTGCTTCCACTGCTGGCAGCTCCGCTAGGTGTGCGAGTGGCCGCACCAGAACCAGCAGTTGCCGTCGACTCGCTGGTCTCACCAGCGAAATGAGAGCCCGTACCGTCGAGACCAGGGCCTGTACCAGCGCCATCCTTCATGTACTGCGATGCAGCTGTGGGAATTGCAGGAAGACTAGTACCCTCGACCTCCCACTCATCAGACTCAGCCGGGCACTCGGAAGCCGAGCCGCTGGACCTGTAGCCACCGTCACCACTGGGGTTGGCGGTCGCTTCGTAGGCAGCCTTCAGACGGTCGTAGTCGGCGTTGGTCTCGATCTGGCCGTTGTTAAGCTCAACGATTCCATAGCCGTTGGGCTCGACGGTGTACTCATAGGCGAGGCCACCAGAGTACACGCCGGTCATGTTGGTGTGGTAGAGGGAGGCAATCTCGCCCCATTGGCGTGTGTTGGTGATGCAGCCAAACTCGGACAGGAAGATGGGCTTGCTGTAGTTAGAGTATGTCTCGACCTTCTGATCCCATCCGGATTCTTGGAAAGACGAGGGGTCACACCAGGAGTAGTCGTTGAAAGCGAAGAAGTCAGAGCGCTCATCGTCGGAACCACAGTTGAAGTACAGAGCCTGGTGTTCGATGTTCTCGGAGACGTCGGCAGCGGAGTAACCAACAGGAATAATGCGGTCAGCACGGTTGGAGATATATTGCTTCATGTCACGGGTGACAGCCTTGATGTAGGGAGCGGCGTTAGTGTTAGACCTGTCGTTGATAACCTCGTTACCCGAGAACAGGACTAGCAGATTGTTGTAATCCTTGAAAGCGTCGATGGTAGCGAAGACGGACTGCAGGTAGACATCGTTGTACGAGCGGTGGAGGGTCTCAGCGTTCTCACGGTTAAGCGAGTACTCGGGTGTGTTGGCATCAAGAGCCAGGTAGATACCAGCATCGTCGAGCATCTTCATACCCTCGTCGTGGTTCTTCGAGTTGTCGATTGTGTAAATACGGATGGTATTGATACCAAGCTCCTTGAAGTTGGCGACATCGCGCTCCAAGCTCTCCAAGTCAAGCAGAGGGTCTTTTGCGTCGGCCGCACCACCTGCATTTGGATCAGTGTTATGCTGACATTCCAGGAATATGTAATAACGTACCTGGCTGGTAGGCGACACCACGAATGTAGAATCGCTCGTTACCCGCGAAAAAGGCATTGCCTCGGACAGTGATGGGTGTAAGGTTGCCCTGAGACGCACGAGGAGCCATGCTCCCCATTGCCGAGCCCAGAATTGAGAAAACGACGAGAGACTTCATGATGGGTAGTATAAAGAAGGAGTGAATTAAAATAAAGTAGAGAGGCGCAAACGGATGTCTAACGAGTGACTGGTGAAAAGCGAGAAAAGTTTGGGTTGAATACGGTCAATAAGAAGGCTCTGAGAGAAAGACAGGGGAAGTTGGGGGTGAAGTATTTGAGGTAGGCGCACCAACATCTTGGTACGCCATTCTATGTGGAACTGCCAATTCCTATCCAAGTTGGTGAGCGTTGGCACATTTGGAGCCAAGGGCGGATTATGCGCGCTTTGGTGGAGCGGAATGTTCTCCCAAGCAGCCCCAAGCGCCGCCGAGCCTTGGTTAGGGCCGATTCCCGATTATACCAGCGGCGCCCTCTTGTGTAGAGTCTTGAGGTCAACAGTATTACGCGTTCGTCTCGCTGTTAAAGGTAATAGCGACTGCGCGCTACGAGCACAACCTCGCTGAATGAGTTGCTGTGGTCGTCCCAAGATTCGTGCGAAGGCAGTCGACTGGCTGACAGCGGAAAAAACAAGATAACGCGTGAAACAATGACAAGAAATGAAGAGACCAAGAGAAACCCATAATCTACCGAGAGACTAGATCATGGTAGATCAGGACCGGCAGCGATGACGACACTGACTATAGGTATCCAGCGCGGCATTGGAAACAGCAAACCGATTTGGACGAGGAGGACCGCATGTCTGTGCAAGCTGGCGAGAAGTATACAACATTGGTGCCGTGAGAGTTAGATGTGGGGGTTATTGAAAGGCGCATCTGAGTGAATAGTTGACGTCGCAGATCGCTGCGGCTCAGCTGAAACCGGCAGCAGCTCCCCAGTGACCGAAGTAGCGCCGGATCGCAGAATACACAGTGGCGTCCACATCCTCCTGTCAAACATCCCCGTATCCCAAAGCGACATCAGCCTATGTTTTGGACACCAACCCGTGACTGACCGGTAGCTTGTTCCTTGTAGTACAGAATGTGGACTTCAAACTGTTGGGTTACGCAGAAACTTATCGTGTCAAGGTTACCTATCGAGTTAATGTTTCGGCCCTAGATGATCAAATGTCAATATTGAGAGCGAGAGCTAGAAATCGTAAAAGTCCAGAGCAGGTGGGAGGGCCCGCTGATCGTGTGGATTTATCGTCGCTATTTTCAGGCTGGCTGACGACGAGGCCTTGATATCAGTAGAGAGACGACATAACTTCTCACGCTTGGAAGGATACGACTTGTTTTGGAAGACATGGATATGTCGTTCGAAGGCCGTCTCTCTCTTACACCAAGCCAGAACTCTCATTGCATTCCCCCCTGCGATATGTCTCTGCGTTGGCTTAGACATATCTGTTTGACACCTCCAAACGTCATCCCCCGATTTCGATCATACCGGTTCTCACGGAACAGACGCACTGTGTTTTACGCACCTACACTCGTTTGTCTTGCTAGCTGGATTGTGTGTTGAATGGATGGGCGGAGGGCGCCTGTCTCGGTCAGCTTTGTTTGTTGGCGTCTGACGCTTGAGCTGAACCAGCTGTCTGAGACGGGATAGTCTAGGCGACACTGACCATGGGGGTGGTGAGTGTATAAGTAGGGAGGTGGTGTGCGCGTGGATTATGATGGATTATCTATTGGTTTGCGATCGTCCCGGTACCACACTACGAATTCCAGGCTTCAACGACTTCGGGATTGTTGAATTGAGGTTCGTCGACGCTGTTTGCTAGAGTCTGGACGGAAAGGTAAAGAGAGGTTCTAACACACGAGATTGTAGTGCCCCCACTTATCTTAGAAACAGCCGAACGTCTCCACCATCTCCCCACCCCGAAGATGACGACGCCTCTTCAATCCTCCAACATGTGCGGATTTGGCGCGCTGCGAAACTGTCTCAGCATCATACCAGGATCCTTGCACTGGCTCTCCGATTCCCACATCGCGCAGATCAAGGATGGTATCTACATCGCCCCATTTGTGGCCATGGTACAGAGCACGTGGGGAAGTGCGTCCGGCCACTTGATGTCGTATCTTACCTCAGCCGTGTGTATCGACGGCCATGACGAGTTGTATCGGCAAGTCCTGAACTGGATCGCCAGACAGCACATGACGAAGACTAGCAGGGACCTTAGGGCGTCGACGCAAAAACGTGTGTATGCGTGTGACGACTCGGGACTGGAGGACGAGGGTGAAGACGCGAATGATGATGTGTTGGGTGAAAACGAGATGTTCAACTTCGATAAGTGGGCGAGCGGAATACCACCTTACTACGAGCCGAACTATGGGTGGAACTGGTTCTGGCATGGAGGACGATTCTTTGTCATTTTCCATGAGAAGAAAGAACTCATGTCCGAAGGTTGGAGTCGGGAAGAGAGGAACCTGATCATCCGACGCATCGGCCGCAACACGCAGCCTATCAAGGACTTACTAGACTATGTGAAGAAGTGGACACTCCAGAAGGAAAAGAAGTTGACGAGGGTTCATCGCCCAGGCTCGGAAGGACGTGGTGACGAGGATTGGATACTCCAGGCGCAACGTCCACTGCGGCCGATGAGTACTGTGGCACTGGACAATTCGCAAAAGGCCACGATTGTAAGGGATATTAACGACTACTTGCAGCCTGCAACTGCGCGCTTTTACAGTGCGAAAGGTATACCATATCGACGCGGTTATCTGTTCTATGGTCCGCCGGGAACAGGTAAGACATCCTTGTCATTAGCGCTAGCTGGCTTGTTTGGACTCCCACTGTATTGCATTGCCTTGAAGGAGGGGGATCTCACCGAGTCTGCTTTGGCTAGACTCTTCAACGCGCTTCCGAGACGTTGCATCGTTTTGTTGGAAGATATCGACGCTGCTGGTCTGCGTCGCGATATTGGGTCAGATACCGCTGATTTGCCCGCAGAGACTGAGACAACTGACCCGTCGCCGCAGACAGAATATGCATATAGAGACAAGAAAAGCAACATCAGTATGGGCGGATTACTGAACATCATCGACGGCGCAACGTCTCAAGAAGGCCGTATTCTGATCATGACTACAAACTACAAGGATAAACTCGACAAGGCATTGACCAGGCCAGGACGTGTGGATCTGGAGATCGAGTTCTCACTCGCCAATCATAAACAAATCTGCAACATGTTCAACCGCATGTACAGCGACAAGTATGGCGACGATGAAGAGTTTCTTCAACTTTTGTCAAAGAAGACTGTCCTGGAGCACGTTGACGCGGAAAAAGTGCCAGACATGGCAGAGCGATTCGCAAATGCGCTGTCTGTTGGTGGACTCTCGCCCGCGCAGATCCAAGGCTATTTACTGATATTCAAGAACCAACCGAGTAAGGCACTGGAAGAGGTCGAAGCAAGGGGCGTGGATGCTATCCGGTGTAGTAAAGAAAGTGAACGGAAGGAGGCTGAAGAAAACCTCGTCAACGAGCACAACGTCGAGAAAAGTTGAGTTCATTGTGGTTATTGGCGTTCTTGACTTCACAATCATCGCCACTTTTCTAGCTCTTCTTCCCATGTTTTTCCTACGACGATACGTCACGATCAGGCCGACACCCGCTAAACTGACCGGAGAAATCAGCCCCCAATCTCACACTTATTGGTGGCCTTACCGCGAGGCTGTGTAACTCTGAAACTTCCCACTAGACTGGACCTTGTATTACTGGCGTTGATGGTGTGAGGTTGAAAACCTTGGTTGCTCAAACAAAAGGTAAGGTAAGAGTGCGGCGCGGTGTGGTTCAAATTGACTGTTGAGTATTTTTAGGTACGCTTGACACAGCGCGTGCCCTCACCATCCTTCTCCAGCGCCTCGCTCTTCAACTACCACGAAACCGCAACATCAAAGAGGAATACAGAAGGATACATGATTCCAGCCTCCAATATGTACAAAGTCAGCCGCACCGCCCGCCTAAGCGCGCCTTCTCCGCAGCCCTTGCGCTGATGCCTGGGCGCAGCCCCACAAACCACACGAGTGGCTCTCGCCGAGGCAATCCTATTCGTTCGTAGGCCGTATTAAACTATAGTGCAAGGGCAAGATGTGCAGGCCAAGCTTCCAAGGTTGACCTATGTAGCATGGCAGACGTACTCGATATAGCACTCTTAGGCGAATGACCGGCTGCGCATTGAATAAGATGGAACGACGTACCTGCATAAGTAGTCAGGCCGAACTTGATGTTTTGCAGATGTGTTTTGGCTTTGACTTGAGGGGATTTGGACTATAGAAAGAGAAAGTATCGAATCAGCTGATTGCGAGGGCATATCTTAGAAGCCATAACGACGCGTTAAACTTGTGTCGAGGTTGTCATCTCAAAGTTTATGAGTACCGAGGATTTTCGACGACACTGTCTATCGAACGACGCGAGATATTTACAACGATATACCCAGCAGCAGTGGGTGGCCCTACGTTGTGATTCCGAGACAGACTGCGCCGCTGGACGTTAAAATCAACGTCATTCCCCCCACATCTTCCAGTCAATTTGCCCAACATGAGATCTTCAGCGGTATTGTCGGTATTCGTAGCTTTTGCTACAGCGCAGATAGGATCCTCCAGCACAAGAGTAGTACCGACATCCATCGGGAATGTCGTGCCTTCAGCTACGCAAACAGTGTCTGGACCAATATCAACAGGAAGCGCATGTGCGCAAATAGCAGATGCTGTTGCAAATGCGAGATCGCGGTATCCAAGTGTACAGGCTTCGGTATGTTTACGTTTTTACCATCAGATGAAAACTATCAGGCCAACGAACATGAACATTTGACTAATACTGATCCAGCTCGCATACGCGTGTCTAAAGTCTGTACCAATCAGTACAGATGAGGCGGCGCTCACAATTACTTCCATCAAGCAAATGGCTGAGTTCCAATCTACCATATCGTACCTCAAAGATCCACCAGAAGGATGGGCAAATGAGGCGGTAGACATAATGGCCGGGCTAGACGATATCGGTTCCAAAGTGCAGAACGGAGACTACACGAACGAGTTCGATTTCGAAACCGACATCGCAACGCTGTTCATCAAAGCGCACGACGGCCATTTTGGGTTTGACGGCATGGTCTTCGGCGGCACACTTGTATGGCGAAGAAGCAGCAACATCGCCCTGATATCAGCGTCAAGAGATGGGAGTGAGTTGCCTGAGATATGGGCGCTGCGTGACTTCAACAGGACAATTACCGAATTCGAGCCTTCGCCCGTCACGCAAATCGACGGACAAGACGTTGTGCATTTCCTCCAAGAAGAATCAAACATGAACTCATATCACGATCCGGACACACGCTACAACGCCATGTTCTTCATGCAGTCCGCCGAGAACTTCGGATACTTCACTTCCCCGCGCTTCTACCCCGGCGACACAACAAACATCACGTACGAAAACGGGACGACGGATACTTATCGTAATGCGGCGATGGTCGTGCAGCCTGATGCTTGGTCGTACGTTTCGGACCCGGAATCTTTCTACGAAACTTTCGTCTCGCCCCAGACCAGCGCGGAGAGAGTGAGGAAAAGGGACCCCAATCTGCTGCCGCGCCATCTGGAGAACCCCCGCGACCACGAGTTCCATGGCTCTTCGGTCGTTCCGCACGGCTCTGTCCCGGCGCTGTACCCAGAGCCAGCCGTGGCTCATTCCGCGCCCGACACACCGCTGGCAGGCTACTTCATCAACACAGACGCAGGCGAGATTGGCGTCCTGATGGTGCAAACCTTCAACACGCCCGACGTCCAGACAACCATCGAGTTCCAATCCGTGGTGCAAGAATACATCGCCCAAGCCAAATCACGCGGCGTGGAGAAACACATCATCGACGTGCGCACAAACGGCGGCGGCAAGGTAATGCTCGGCTACGACATGTACATGCAATTCTTCCCCTCGCAAGAACCACAGACACAATCGCGATACCGGGGCCACGCAGCCAGCGCGCTCTTCGGAGAGAAGATATCCTCCATCACGCGCCCGACCCTATACAACGTCGACGTCTTCGCCAGCCCCTTCAGCAACGACGCCTACCTCTCCACCAACCTCACCGACATCCCAACCTGGTCCGCCATGTACCCACCCACAACCTTCCACAACGACACCTTCACCACACTCCTAAAATACAACCTCTCCGACCCCCTCACAACCTCGAACACCCGCGTAGCAACAGGCATAACAATCACCGGCTACGCCGCCCGCGCAAACTTCACCACAGACCCCTTCCGCGCCCAGGACATCGTCATCCTCTCAGACGGCATCTGCGCCTCAACATGCACCATCTTCACCGAGCTGATGGCCCAGCAGTCGCACGTACGCACCCTCACCATCGGCGGCCGCCCCAACACAGGCCCCATGCAGCACGCAGGCGGCACAAAAGGCACCCTCGTGCTACCCGCAGACTACCTACATTCCATCGCCGACTACGTAACTAGCGCATACGCTTCGGACCGCGAAGAAGCAGCGTCCTGGGCGGAATTCCTCCCTGCCCCCTTCGCGATAGCGAGTACATATGCGTCGGTCAATTTTCAGGATAATATCCGTGTTGGGCTCGAGAGTGGGGGGGTTCCGTCACAGTTCCTCAATGATTCGAGCAGTTGTCGCGTTTGGTATGAGCCGGGTATGTTTCATGATGTGGGACGTGTGTGGGATAAGGTTGCGCGGGTGGCGTTTGGGAATCAGGGGGCGTTGGATGAGGGGGCGTGTGTGGCGGGGAGTGTGGCGTCCGAGGAGCAGCAGAGTGGGCAGGGGGCGGGGAATTCGGGGACGGGGGCAGGGTCTGGTCGTGAGAAGAAGGGGGCGGCCAGTGGGGTGAGGCCTGCGGGGTGGATGGGGGTGCTTGTTGTTGTTGCTGTGGGGGTGATGGGTGTGTTGGGGTGAGTGGAGTGAAGGTGTTTTTAACGATGTTATGTCTTATGTCAATCCAATGCATGTACGGACTCTTTCTACGAAAACGTATACTCTACTTCTTCTTCAGTTCCACCGAAGCAGTGTAGTTATCCACCGGTGCATCCTTCTTAACACTCTCCCAGATCCCCTCAATCGCGCGCACCGCCTCTTCACTCAACGGCCCCTTCTTCAGCCCCTGCAGCGTCTGCTCGATCTGGCGCACTGAGCTAGCCCCGAAAATCACCGCATCGCCCTGGTCCTCCTTGAGCGCAGAATGGTACGCAACCCACCTATACGCCAGCTCCGCCTTGGCCACGCCCTCCTTCTGCGCAGCCTCATTCCACTGGGCGAGCGCCTGGCGCAGACTGGGCTTGTCGTACAGCGCTTTGTACAAGCCGCCGAGCGCTTCAGCCCCGAAGCGGCCCACGCCCGCGTCGATGTCGGCGGTTGTTTTGGTCAGGAAGCCACCGGCGAGAGGCGAATAGGCGTAGAAGGCTATGCCGAGGCGGCGCAGGGTGGGGAAGAGCTGGGTGTCGTAGTGGCGAGCGACGGGGTTGTAGTTTCCCTGGTAGACTGTGGGCAGGACGAAGCTGTTTTCCTTGCAGTGGTCGTATACTTTCTGAACGTCGTCGACAGAGTAGTTTGACAGGCCGAAACGGCGGAAGATGCCAGCTTTGTGGACTGCGTTGATGTTTGAGAGCGTCTGCTCAAGGGGGACGCTGGCGTCAGGCGCGTGGATGTAGAGGATGTCGAATTGGGGGATTTTGACGGTTTCTAGCGAGGCCTTTGCGTCTGCAACTGCGTCGGGGAGGGTGCCGGGCATGAAGCCGCCGGCTAGCTTCGTGTCAATTACGAATTCGGTACGTTTGGATAGTTTGCCGATGGCTTCCTCGGAGCCTTGGTAGATACGCGCGGTGTCGATGTTTGTGACGCCGTTGGCAAGGAGGATGGACAGAACTTCAGCCTGTCCTTCCGAGTCCTGGAAGGCTCCCATGGAGGAAAAGGACGCGCCGCCGTAGACTACCTTCATCGTGGATGTATTTGTAAGGAGATGTGATTGTGGGAGTGGTAGATTGGTAACTGGGTGTTGATTGTGGAAGAGAGTTTGAGGACGCGAGGAAGGTGCGGTGTTTGGATGGTGGGGTTAATCGGTAGCATGGAAACTGAATACTTATAACCTGTGCCACCACCATAACCACATCACATATACCTCCACACGTGTGACGCCGCACTGTTGCATGATGCTAGTCGTTGCAGCTCTCCGGAGGAATTTGTCCGCTCGGCAGCCTACTGCTATCATTAACTCTGATATAGATGGCTCACACGCTTTCGCGGGGTTGGACACCAATATTGACGAGGCATATTCGATGAGGTGAATTGATCATTGGATGGACGTGCTGATCCTTCCACATACGCCATGCTTCGTCATTGCGGGGATAGCAACAAGGATTACCAATCATCGGGATTATGTTAGCCCGGCGGTATTTCTCGACTGTTGGTGAACGTTGAAGATAGTAACGTGGGACTACAGCTTTATAGAGGCAGCGTAGGGTGGTCCAATCCGGGATAGCTATGGCGTGTTATGCGCATACTGCCAAATGACGTTGTTTCCATCAGAAATATGTAGGTGCGTTGTGAGCTGCTAGGATAGCAAGGCATCATGTGAAGCCTCGGTAGTGAGAGTAGAGTTCTGTGACAATGTGCTCAAAGTATGAGGAGCAGGACGAGGAGGACGATGAGGACGAAGATGAGGACTGCAATGCAGCAGCTGGACCACCGATCTGTCAAGTACCAGTCAGCCACATACCTCGAATCCGGCCTAGGCGTTTGTTACCTTCATTCTTCTTGATGACCCAGCCCACCTTCTGGATGCCCGTCTGCAGCTTCCCGCCCACTCTGTCCGCCACGTTGTCGACGTCGTTGAGCAGCTCGCCTTGCTCCTCCAGCTCCCTCCCCATGTCGTCGGCCTGCTGTCGTAGATTGCCCACAGTGCGGAATACACCATCAAGGGCCTCGTCCTGGTCATGCATCATCTCCAGCTGTCTCTCCTGCTCAAAGGCGGCATAGTGGTCCTCATCCTCCTCGAAGGATTCGGGATCCGGCAGGCCCGTGTTCTGTGCGTGTTGGACCGTCTGTCGCAGTGTGTCGTGCATGTTCTCAATCTCATCGCCAACATCCTTTACTAGGCGTCGTCGGCGCTCTACTTCATCGATCTCCAGGCCGAAGCGGTAAGGGTCGACTTCGACAGCCTTGACGCTCTCGACGAGGTCGGCGAGGTCTTGGCTTAGGTCTTGCAGCGTCTGCTCGAGCTCGTGGCGCGCTTCGAGGAGCTCGGGGCTATTCGCTGATGAAGCTGAGGAGCGGATGCGTAGGTATGACTTGAAGAGTGGGCGGGACGTGTTGAGGGCGGATAATACATCGCTGTAGACGTGTTAGGCATTTGCGTGATGATCACTAGGGGAGTTTTACGCTTGGACTTGGAGGAAAGGATCCTCGTCATTTGACGAGGACATCATTTTGGCTATGCGACGCGGATGGGACCTTTAATGTGCGAATATAGTGTTTCGATGTCAGTCGCGAAGCTTGATCGCGTTCGACCATAAGCCGGCGATACCCCAGGAACGCTCGGACCACCACACTTTCTCAAAAAGACCATCAACTCGAAAGAGTGGGCACAGTCACCATGCAGCATCGCCCGTCCAACCACCAAATACCAAACGATTCACCCCCTCGAGTAAGAGGTCTTGGCTGAAAACATGGGGCCAGATACTGCACTCCCTCTCCCAGCCGAATTCAGCAATGTCAACGACTATATCGAGTCACTGCTGAAATTCACCACTTCCTCATGGCTGCTCCAGACATTATGCGGGGGCGTCCATATCTTAGACTTTTACACGAGGACACCTGATCTCTACTCAGCTATCCTCCCCCAGTCATGGAGAGATTGGTTTGAAATACGAGACATTATGGATATCTTGGATCTCCTGATGCGAGAGGACCTCCAACAGTTCGATACAAGAGAAGGGGAAAATGAACATGTCTGGCGCGACGGGCCACCTCCACCAGAGGATCTCCTGCAGTACATAAAAGACGTTCGAAAGCACCTGCTAGCCCGTGAATTTCCTCCACGCAACTCGGATCTCAAGCCCGAACCACCTGCCATAGCACGCAACATTGCTCTAGGAATGAAGATCAAAAAAGTGCACGAAGTCGATCACTTTGCGCGGTACATCGATAGGTTGTCTGCCGAGATAGCAGCGTCCGGTAAGGAGCCCATCACGCATCTTGTAGATTTTGGCTCAGGGCAGAACTACCTGGGACGTGCGCTTGCTGCTCCACCCTACTCGAAGCATATTGTGGCCGTGGAGAGCAAGCAGCACAATATTGAAGGCGCGAAAAATATGGACATCCTCGCCAAACTGGTGCCGAAACCGCTCGTTATGAGGAACAAGAAAGAGTATCGTGCTAAAACAGGAAAGGGGAAGCAGGGCAAGAAAAAAGATAGGAGTGGTATGAGTACGCCGTCAGCAGTGGAGAATCCTGGGATCAGTGAAGAGGCGCACGATCATACAGAGTGCAATGAAGATGGATGTCCTGCAGTGCCAGTCACCAACCCTCCGACATCCACACAATCTGGTCATGACTCCTCACTCCCAGACCCATCGCCAGTGGCCGCCGATATCCTACAAGACAAGCCCACTACAACAGACACTCCACCAATCGAGCAAAGTAAACCCTCCACCACAAACCTGCAAATCTACACAAAAGGCCACGGCAGCGTACAATACGTCGAGCACATCATAAAAGACGGCGACCTAACCCCCGTAATCGACCAAGTCCTCGACGTGACCCGCATCCCCGCCGACACAATCCCCCCGACCTCATCTCTCACAACCACCCCCTCAAACCTAACCGCCATCCCCAAGCCCCCCAACGTAAACGCAATGGTAATCTCCCTCCACTCATGCGGCAACCTCGTCCACCACGGCCTGCGCTCTCTAATCCTAAACCCGCACATCGCCGCCGTCGCAATGGTAGGCTGCTGCTACAACCTCGTCACAGAGCGTCTAGGGCCGCCGACCCTCAAGCTCCCCACGCTCCGCCCAAACCACCCCCGCCTACACTCAACCTCCACCGCGCACGACCCGCACGGCTTCCCCATGTCGGAGCACCTAGCAACCTACCCGCTCCCCACATCACCACAAGAAACCGGCCTCCGCCTCAACATAACAGCCCGCATGATGGCCGTCCAGGCCCCCTACAACTGGTCCCACACCGACTCCTCCCTCTTCTTCACCCGCCACTTCTACCGCGCCCTCCTACAGCGCATATTCCTCGACCGCGGCCTCATCTCGCCCCCGCACGACGCCGGCGTGTCAGCAAACGGACATACGTCAAACCTCACCTGGACGCCGCCCGACGGCCTCGGCCCCGGTCTCGCTCCCGACGGCACACCCACACCGCTCACAATCGGCTCCTTGCGCAAATTCGCATACTCTGATTTCCCATCCTACGTCCGTGCTGCGACGGCGAAGATCGCAGCGCCCAACTCGTTTTGCGCGGTTGATCCGGTGTTTGTGCAGGAGAAGATGGGCGGGCTGGGAGACGAGGAGGTCAGGGGGTATGAGCGGCGGTTTGCACACAGGAAGAAGGAGTTGAGTGTGATGTGGAGTTTGATGGCGTTTAGCGCGGGGGTGGTGGAGGCGGTTGTTGTTGTGGATCGGTGGTTGTGGTTGAAGGAGCAAGGGGAGGTGGAGAGGGCGTGGGTAGAGGCTGTGTTTGAGTATGGGTATAGTCCGAGGAATTTGGTGGTTGTTGGGATCAAGAAGTGAGGTGGGGGATGGGCGGGAGATGTATGGATGGATTTGGTTCAATTCTGATTCATCGTGTACCTGTGTACAACAATGCTAATTAGCATACACATATGATCAACGTACACCCCTACACTTCTGCTCTTTTGCTCTTCACTCAAGTTCCTTCTTACCTTTGTTAGTAGAGGCGACTCCCTAGGGTACCTGCCTGCATGGTTACGGGCCTACCCCCGCCTGCACCTTCCCCAGCTCCCAAAACAAACACCGCGACAGGCCCACTCACCAACCTTTGTTCCCACCACCGCAGCGCCGTCCACTTCTCATGTTAGTGCTTCAAGGCCCTCCCACTCCCACCCTCACTCTCATCTTTATCACGCCCACGGCAACAGTCCACGGACGGAAATCATACCCTCCACCGTCGGCTCCTTTACTCGTTTAAGACTAGCGCGTAAGCTATCGAGCTCTTACCTCCCAGTTCTGCAACTCTTACACTACATACTACGTTCAACAATATTCCTTCTTAGGGGTTTCAAACACCTGCGTCTCTAGCATGCCTCGGACTATGCTTGGCGCTGTTCGTAACCACCCTTGGAAGAAGCCGCTGGACTGGAGCTTGAACACTACTAATCGCGGCGAGCCTTCGGTCCTCTTCTCACGCTCTGTACAGGCAGAGTCAACGTCAACGTCAGTGTCCTGCAACCCAATCCCGTTCTTTATTAGCTTGCCTGTCGAGCTTCAGCTGCGTATTATTCACTTTTGTGACCGCGCTACTCTCTTCCAGCTAATGCACGTGTCATCCGGCATACGAGCTGAGGCTGCCAAACTCTTCTGGTCCCAGCCAGATGCGTGGTACCGCTTTGAGGCTTCTTGGTTACTTCTTGGTGGATTCCCTGGCACAAATCACTATAATTTTAACTTCCTGCCTTACGTACAGCGGGTTGAGGTTGTATTCGAAGACGTGGCTAATCTTTCCTGTTCCTGGATTCCTAGGCTTTTCGGGGAACCAGCAGTGCCACCTTTGAGCACAGAGGAGAGCATCCTTGACTTTTGGCAAACCTTACAGTACCGCCTTCCTGCCGCCACCCACGTTGTCGTGAACGACGTAGCAGTCTACAGGGAGCAACAACCACTGTCCCGTGAACTGGAGCTAATGCTCCAGATGTGTCCTGCTACCCTTGATGTTTCTGCGTCTATACTTCGCTGGCTTGAAGCACATGATATGGTTGAAAGACATATGCATCGACTGCAAGGCGAAGTCACTAGTGTGACATGGTGGGAGGAAGTCTGTTTAGCTCAGACACATCAGAGCATCCTCATTCCTCCAAAGGAGTTTCGGGGTCCTGTCGGTGCCTATCAACGCGCCCTCTACACAACCTGCCTCCACGACTACCGGTTTTATGCAACTCGGTTCCTGCTTATTGAAGCGCACGAGAGACACCATTTCCATCAGCGATGCGAGCCATTTAACTGCGACGCTTTAGACTGCAATGCTCAGTTTAGGCAACCAGGCGAATACACCCTGCATGCCATCCAGACTGGACACGATGAGAAGGGGCAGGGGGCTGTACCCCCAGAAGAGTTCAAAGCTCAGTTCAAACAGCACCAGGAGAGCTTAGCACGTGCACAGGAGCAGGGCGGCCGTATAGCTCTAAACCAGATATACACAGACCGTGCTAACAAGACACTTGAGCAGCAGCAATGTGCTGACCAGACTTTTCTCTATCAGCTACAACACGACCCTCTGTACGCACACGGACAGCCAGTTGCATTCTGTTCAACCTGGGCTCTGTACTATGTATACATGATGGAAGATTAGGGTAGATGTAGCGAGTGCTGGGAATACACTACCTACTCTCGCATTATACATCCCTTACCCTACTATACTTGTCACACTACTGCAGGTATATCATCCTCAGCCGCCGCTTCGTAATAGCCATATGCACAGCTCCCACCACAACGACGAAAAGACTTAGCAGAAGGAGGGCGTTTAGGAAGACAATGGGCAGGATGAGGAGCGGGGAATCTGCGGGGGCGCACATATTTGGGACGGGAGATGAGGAGGAACGAAGGAAACGAAGGAAAGGAGGAAGGGATGTAAGGGGGAGGGAAGGGAAGGACAGGGAAGGAATTGTGAAAGCACAACGCACATGTACTCAGTGCCATGCGTGCTAGCTGTTGTGAGGATGCGGTGTGAACGAACAGAAGAGAACAGAACAGGATAGGTAGTGCGTGTCCGCAGATGTAGACTGGAAATGCAATGCAATCGCAGATATGTCGTGGTAGTATTACCGCGACGTCCGTTTGGATCTATGAGGCGCATGCATAGTCTGTCTAGCACATCACCACTCTTCACTGTTCACTCACGCCCGTATTAGCGCCTTCTCCGAGGACCTCCGTAACAGTGAGAAGATATGGAGTGAGCAACCAACTCATTTTGTAGGGGTATGATCTCCATTCTCTAAACCAGTTTTTTCCAGAAGTGCCGCAACAAAACAAGCCATGGTATTGGTACAACGCTCAAAAACCGACAAGCGCCCGGCAAAACACTGAACGCAGCCATATCTCCCACTCCCCCCAATCCTCCGTCCTCCTCGCGATCGTCCATGGTTCATACATATCCTGCCCAAAGATCAGCAAACACCCCTCTAAAACATGTCCCTCCCCCCTAACCAAACTCACCAACGCACCCACACCACACCACACCAACAAAAGGGATCATAATATACCTTTCCTCGCGCCCTGGAAGAAGAAGCGCACAATAAAGACCTGCAATCCAGCCATAGTAATCATCAGCCCGCTCTCCATGAGCGAGAAGTTGAAGATGCGCTTCTCTGTGCTCTTAACGGTGCTGAAATTGCGGTTCTCGCGCGTGCGGAAGTACTTCTGGTTGCGGGAGATGGTGGACAGCTGGGCGGAGAGCTTGAGGATGGATTCTTCGAGGACGGTGGTTTGTTCGGGGGAGGAGCCTTGTTTCGAGGGGATGGCGGCGCGGGGGGCTTCGTTCTCGACCTGGGACGTCGTTGGTTAGGATGGGATGGGATGTACGTGCGATTAATTGTTGTGGAGCATGGGACGAGGTGAGAAGCGGCAATACGTACAGCGATCTCGAAATCCACCATCTTCTCTGCAAATGTGCTCATCTCGTTGTTGAAGCAGAAGCGATACTCGCCCACCTCGTTCGCTGTGAAGACGAAATCGCCCTGCCTCTCCTTCGTCCCATCTAGAATGACTCTCTCTGAGGGCATCGAGTCCGACGACCCTGCCCTGTGCGCAGACGGCCCGACAACGCTGTAATCGACATCGAAACTGCCACCACTCTGCACGGCAAAGTAGAAAGCCACCTTGGTCCCCTTGTGGTCGACTTGCGCGAAGAAGCACGCTTTCTCGTGGGCTTCGAGCCTGTACGTGAGCGCCGTGGCGCAGACGGCGGTGCTGTACGCGAGCAGCGTGGTGGCGAGTGTGAGGAGGAACCGCATCGTGGTTGGCGGTGGGAAGTTTGCTGGGCGAGGGGAGTTGGGATATGTTTGGTAACAGCTGTCGACAACGCGATGTCGGCGATTGGTTTCGCCGATGCAGGGATGAACATCTGGTGGGAAGCGCGGGGAAACATTGGCCAATGGGAGGGAAGGGGTGATGCGGTGTTCATTCATTCATTCATTCATGTAAAGGCAAAAAGGCCGTGGCATGCCATGCAAGCTCATTTTTTGTGCTTTTCCCAAACAATACACAAACCTAGCCTGTATACAGTCGCCATCGAATACTCAAAACCAGACTCCCTCGTGTCTACCCGACTCCCGCGCTATGCATACGAGAGCATACAACTCATATTCCACCCGTGCCTCTTTAGTACCTGCTCCGTTGCGCCTTGTGTATGCGAGAGAGCAAGTACAAAACTTACTCTCCTACCAACATAGCGAAGCACCAACTGCTTGACGCATAATATGTAGCATGACACATCAAATCAACAATGAATCACCTTCCTAGTCCATATCCTACAATGCGGCACTCGTTCCTCAGCGGATGAAGATGGAATCAGTCTTGCCCCAGAAATTTCGGCTCTTGTTCGGATGATCGAGACCGAGGGCGATGTCGTCGCGTGAGCCTATTATGTCCCACAGGATATCTTCTGTTGAGGAGTCAGAAATGAGACGTAGCAAACACATGGATTGTCCACTTACCATCGTCGATGGTTTCCGGTCTTGAGTACTGGGGTTTGCTGAGGAGAACAAACTTGACCTTGTCAAGCTGCTTGCCCTTGATCTTCGTGAATTCCGATATGCGTTTCTTGGTTTCAGAAAACGGCTCGTTCTGGACGATGTTAGTGTAGGGTCCATTATGAAGTACAACTCACGACCATCTTACCTCTTTCAAAGAGAACATGAACGGAATGCCGTGAGCTTTTGCAGGATCCTTGTCAAAGTGGAACACCGTCATGTTTCTCGGCGAATCATCTTCCGGAAGAGGCGCAGCGTAGATCTGTGCGTAGTCGTAGAGGTTGAGTATCGCCTGGTCTAGAGGTAACACTTTGTGGAACTTGTGGGAATGCGCCTCATACGCATGAACCTTGGCCATTGCCTCGTCGCTGATGTTGGCCTTCTTCTGTAGAGCGGCAAGAAGATCTGACACCTGTGCGTTCTTCGGTACCATCAGTGTGTGTTCCTCCTCTTTACTGAGACCGTCCGGCAGCCAGGTGATCTTGACTGGCTTCCTCTGCTCTAGCTCCTTCAGACTCATTTCCAACACTTCGTAGAATAGAGCATCTGGCCGCTGTGCCGCGCTGTTCGAGTAGTTGTACGGACCGGGGATCAAAATGTTGTTGAGTGTCGAGTTAGCGTTGTACTTGATGGCTTGTTTCGGCTTCCCAGCGGAGTTGACCGTGCTGAATCGAATATGTGTGGGATCGACCTTGAGGTACTCGGCCACCTTCGTAGCGAACTGGTCGTAAGCCATCTTCTTACTCAGCGTCAAAGCGAACGTGGGCAATTCTGTCGCATCAGCTAGTTTTGGCACGAATTCGACGTTAATCCTGTTCAGCAGGTAGTCGTAGAACTCCTTGGCTTCAACGTAACCTCCAGTCGCCTTCAGTGATTCCACTTCCTTGTCAGTCGGTACCCGTTGAACTGTGATGATATCGCCATCCTGTAGTTCTGATGCAGCCAAGGTGGATTTGGGTTTCATAGCTTCGATCATGCTTTGCTTGATTTCCTCCGAGAGTTTAACTTGCGTTCCAGCAGGCCAACCCATGATCTTCGTGATGATAGGGCCCAGATCAGAGACCTTGTCTTGGATCGCAGCATAGAAGGTACTGATACCAAATAGGCTTTGTTCCTTTGCGTCGAAATGCTTCAAGAAGATCATTATTGGTCGATTGCCTTGCACGTTTTTCAAGTCGACAAGCCTGTCCCCGAAGATTGGTGCCCCGTTCTCATCGCGTTTCTCGGCCTTCTCTATCCATAGTCTGAACTGTGCTTGCTTCGTACTATGTTTGCTAGCAGCCTCTTCCATGGACATGTCGGGGAAATCTAGTACAGTATCGGGACGAACGGTGCCATTTTGACGATTGACCATGGACCATGGTCGCAGCATATCCGCATCGACCCCAATGTCCTCGCCAATGGTTTTGGCAAACTCGGCCATAGTCACTGCGCGTAGCACCTTGTACACCTTGGGATTGCCCTCGCCTTCTGAGTCGCCTTTCCAGGGAACAATGTCGAATCCTTGATAGAGCCTGAAGTTGTTTTCCGACGCAACCGCAACGTCCATATACAAGTGTGCTTCTTCGCGTTCTTTCTTACGGCGTTCGAAGGCAGCCCGTTCCTCGGCGACGCGCTCAGCCAGATGTTTGGGTGGATCCACAGTCTTATCGGTCATGAGAACTTGATCAAGTCGGCTTTCTCTAATGTACACCAGCATGTAAGCACTCATCGAGCGCTTCGAAGACCAGGTTCGCGTGTATGGATTTCGCTGAGCGTTATTTCCGTTAGCTTGGGTGTAGTCACCGCCAAAGTTCTCCTCCAGAGCTTCGCGCAACGTTGCGCGTGTCACTCGATCGTCGTCAAACTTGTAGTAGTGCCCGTCCCTGGTAGGCTTAAGAAAAGCATAGTAATGACCTGCGTTCAAGTCACCACTGTGCACTAATACGCCGTGCAGGTGGTACGTCCAAGGCTCAGAGCGATCGGCCGCATCAGATAGGTATGGCGAAGCGTCGAACACCTCAGGAAACTCGTATCGATCGTTGACCTTCATCATGGCATCGCGTTGGAAGTCGTATTCGAAACGTTTGAGCTGCAGGTGAAGGACCGGGGGAAAGCTCTCAAAGATGACACCCTTCTTAGCATCCTGGAGACCAAAACCTTCCGCAAAATATTTGTTCTCGCCGTCCATCGTTTCAACTTGTACGTAGTCCTTGAAACTCTCGTCGAGGTTCTCGTTCCCGCGGACGTTGAGCTGGATATCCCAGAAATCCTCTACCCTGGAGGACTCGTAATCGACGTTCATGCAAGAAATGTATGTTTTCATCTTTCCAACAAACATGTTTGTTAGCGCACCCTCAGCCTCGGTACCCTTCATCTTTTCGTCCAGCTTGTCCATGAGCACACGCGACAGCTCTTGCACATCCTGCTGCTCGAAAATCTCCTTGGACGACCATCCGAAAGAATGCGTCAGATCTGTCGTGGAAACGGGGTTCGGGACGGTCTGGAGCATGTAGAATAGTCGTTGTAATGAGAACGCGCTGTTCAGTTGGTCTGGGTCCTCGGTGGTAGGAATCTGGTATACGGCCTGGACTAGTTAGCTGTTGGGTCACAACGTCGCGAATCCCAACGGAGACATACCTGGCGGAAAGCGTTGGTAAAGTACAAAGACTGTAGCAGCGAGTTTAGGTAACATGTTGCGCCTTGGTTCTTCAGGCCGACCATACCCGTCTCCTTCTTCGAGTCATAACTGCGATTCACGTAAGAGATTGGTCGCCAAGATGGGATACCCGAGACAGCTTACTTTACAAAGTTGTGCCATAAGACGCCTGTTGGGTCTTTCAGAACTCGGATATAGGCTGTGACGTTGGCGGAATCTTCCTCTACCATGGGTCGCCCACGGCCTTCCCAGGAATTTGCAAAAAGCTTTCGGAGCTCTGCGAACCTGGTGAAGCCCCAGTCGCCTTCCTCGGCTGTGAAACGGTGGTTGGCGGTATGCGTTATGTACATGCTGGGGTCCTTTGGATTCCAGAGCACCAGCATGAACTGCACGCAGGCATACCAGTCGTCGGGGATTTGGTCGCCATAGGCTTGCTCTAGGTAGAAGGAGGCAAAGTCGACGTTGTTACCATACGGAAAGAACAGTACCCTCCACGGATGCCCGCCACATTCGAAGACTGGGCCCTGCTCTCGCTTTGTCATGGTCCGCCATGTTCGGATGTCCCATGTGTGGTGTGCCTCTGCCTCAGTCTCCTGGTCGACCAGCTCGGGCAGGTGCTTCTTCATAAAAGGCTCATATTCGTCGGCGCGGGGCTCCGGCTCGCCGTCGACTTCGTCCATCTGCTCGTCGGGCTCGGGGGTGATTATGGCCACATCATGCTTCTCGTCGAACTCCTGGTCGATGACCATGTCGCTGCCAAGCTGGGCGCCAGTCATGTCAGCGCTGTTGTGTGGCCGGGGGAGGGAGAGTGCAAGGAACATGTGCTCTAGCATGAGCTTACCTGGTCCATGATGGGTGCTTGCTCTATTTCGTCTCGGCAGCACCGGGACGGTCAGAAGGAAAGAGCGGAGAGAGAAGGCGCAGGAGGAATGCGCTCGACGCTAGAAATTGTGAAGAAAGATGCGCGCTGGTCCCTGTGCGGGGGGGTGTTGCTGAACGGTTCTAGTCGCAACTGTAGTCTGGAACCCAGTTGCGGGCGAGCGAGGAAGCGTTCCTCGCTAAAAGGTGGCGGTGGTGGAACAAATGGTGGGCGGCGAGTGTCGTCGCAGTCTGCACAGTCCGGCGACGCAGGATAGGAATTCTGCAGCAGACAAAGACTCGAGGCGTGGAATGCCTTTTTCGAGAGCCCGGCAGTAGATATGCAGCCTCCCTGTGAACGGCTGCGCGCTTGGCACGCAGAACAGCGGAGAATCCAGACGTCATATTCAAACCCTCGAACCTCAAACAAAGGCCCGACGCATCACTCGTGGGAATAAAAATTGCTGCAAACGCATACAAGTGAAGAAAAGGCAATTGGCCGTCACTGTAGTGGTAGGGCCCCGACTTTCACATGTCACACCCACGAGTAATTCTGTTGTCGCAAACGTGCTCTCGATTTGGTGGGTTTTGTGAGTTTTGTGAATTTTGAGTAGCTCTGCGTCATGTGTCTGCCGTCTGCTCCACCTCGAACATGTAACATCTCCGCACTCCCACGCCTGTCAAGCTTTCCACGCGATGAATCGATGCAGGAGCAGTCTCCTGATAGGCGCTCGGGGCTATCCAAGCTTCCCTACAGCTTCCCATCGAGTTTTGTCACCTGTAGTCCAAAGACGATGTATACGCGCTGCAGCTGTGGCTCCTGCGTGGAGGCCTTCTTCAGCCCTCGACGAGTAAGTCTGGCTGTACACATGGAATCTGCACTCCGCTAACTGCATGCCAGATGGGTGCAGCGTGAAGCCAAACCTATCAGCCTGCGCCAATTGACTTTTTTTGGGAGAACCCTAACCGAACGACGCCTGATCGATTCGGCAAACTACTGTCGACTGGAGCTTCCGACGAGGTAGTAGATACAATTACCACAGTAATTATGTGACTTTACTAAGCATGTCAGGCTTGCACATCGTTTGCGCGACATCCAGACGCTGCCATATGTCGTCGTCGCCAATCCTCATCTTGCTCACGTGTATGAGTCGTATCTGCGAGCCTTCGAACGCTTCCGCAAAGTACCTATGATTCGGTCGTTGGAAGACAACGACAAATACTGTAAAGTACTGGAGGAAACACTGACAGAGCATGCGACTGTGATTCCGCGTTTGGCTATCGGTGTACTTGAAGTACGCAGCCTCATGAAACCAGAGGAGACGGACAAGTTCATGAGGACCATGTTGAGATCGGTAAGAGTCTTTGCGCCTCAACTAGCACACGCCTCTAAACTAACACACGCAGCGTATCTCGCGACGAGTAATTGCCGAACAGCATCTGGCACTCACCGAGACATTCAGTTCGCCCTGGCACTTCCCCAATTCTCCACCACCGCCTGACCAGGAAGCTGTGGGCGAGATCTTCTTGCGATGCAACGCGAAAGAAATCGTTGAAGCTTGTGGGAAAACCACTCAGGAGCTGGTCAAGCGCGCATACGGATCGCACGTCAATATGCCTGAAATTAAGATATATGGTCACCTCGACGCCACGTTTCCGTATATCTTGACTCATCTCGAATACATCATCGGCGAGCTGCTGCGTAATTCCATTCAGGCCGTCGTTGAGCAGCGCAGGGCGAAGAACGCGAAGCCGCCGCCGATTGAGGTGTTGATCTGTGAGAGCGCTCAGCATGTCATCATCAGGATATCTGACCAGGGTGGTGGCATCCCAACTGAGGTTTTGCCGTACTTGTGGAGCTTCAGCAAAGGACCACGGCTTGAGAGGAGACTGGAAAATCTATCGAGGGTGCCGAAATTACTAGCAACATTGCAAGAGCTGCAGGTGCCTGGAGGGGATTCAGCGTCCGAGATGCAGAAGAAACACATCAAAAAGTTAAAAGCTGGTGAATCGCCCACGCACACTGGCTCTCTATCGTCGCTGACGGGCAGAGCGCCAGACTCGCGTCTGGGTATCGGACTTCCGATGTCTAGGCTATATTCAGGTACTTTCAAGAGAGCAAATCCCCTAGAGACAAAGACTAACTCATTTTCCAGAATACTGGGCTGGGAGTCTGGAAATCCACAGTCTCGAGGGTTACGGAGTCGATGCTTTCCTGCAAATTTCGAAACTTGGAAACAAGAATGAGCGACTGACCACGCGAGCTTCGATGGACGCGATATAGCAAGAGCACTTCACGCCACGTGCCAACAGTCTAGGAAACCTGGAAGGATTACACCTGCACCTTACGATCAACACTGAATAACATGATTGCCTCGTCTATTGCAGATTTTTCCACATATTTTACAGCCAGACAGCTTCACCTCAGCTCACTATTGCTCACAAACATCGACTAGCACTCAATATTCGATATGGTGCTCAAATTACGGGTGAGATATCACGAATTTGGGCCTGATGATATTTTGCTGACCTGGTCTGCAGCGGCTGTTCCACGTCGACGCAGGCATCACCGGCCATGCCCATCCTTTGCACCAGGCAATTCATCCGGATGCACAATGTCTGCACGATGTCGTCGCCAACATTCCGTTCGATATCCAGTTGTACGGGCTCTCCGACGAGGGAGATTCACAAGTGACGGACATTTATTGCCCAAGGGTGCGACGCTCGGCGCTTACCAATAGCGGTACGTCCATTGATTCAGTGCGATTAATTTCGTTTCTTGCTCCCTTGGCAGAGTTGCATTAGGAGTACTTCTGAGTCCAAAACTACGCGGCTAACATCAAGTAGTCACCAGTCATCTCGACGTTGTCTCATGTTGGAAAGGACTTTCGCGATCCCAAGCTGTCGAGCTGGTAACGTGGGAACACCTATTCAAGACTTGTTTGGAAGACGCAATACAATTGGCTTTACGTGACATCTTTGTCCAGTACTTGGGACGACAGAGATGTGAGTCGCTTCTTGCATTGAAGATTCGGTCGCGATGAGGCTCTGCTAGCCCTCTGTCGTCTCATTTACCCATAACTGACGTATAGCTACAGACACTACCGATGAGACGTTGTTGCTTCCTCGCTTTCTCCAGTTCTTGTCGCACCGGAATGTGCACTTGATCGATATCAATATTACAAACCTTATCCACGCTATGATCCGGATGTCATGTGAAGATTACCTCAATCCTGTCGAGACCATGACACATCTGTTTCCATGGTCACTCTCCCAAGGAGATCTTCCGAAGTTCTTGTATAACCTTTTACAAACGCGAGATTGCTTCTTCAATTCGGCGTCCGGATCCTGCGTTTTCGTCGAACTCTCATACACTTACATCGATGATACCTTGACAATACTTGCCAACGTTGACTGGCGCTCGACTAACATCGACTTTCCAAATCTGCCTGTGCGGCTCTCTAGTGGAGCACTTTATTGCATCGCTCCTCGTTCTTTGGAATCCCGACTCGGTTCGAGTGTGTCGTCCACATTTGCCCTATACGACTCGTCTTCACATTTCGCACTCTCGCAACCACAACTACCCTTCTACTGGGACGAAGAGAAGGAGTGCTTCAAAACAAAACTTCCACTTGATACAAAGAAGGTTAGTTTGTAGCACAAGTTTTGCAGCGAAGGTTCCTGTCACTTACTGACTCGTTTCGTCGAAGAACATCAATTTCCCCATGGAGACAATAGTTATCGCCGAATACTCAACGCTTTTCCCAGATAATGTACGGTTCGAACGAACATCGCGTTACAGTGTAAAACTCGAAATCTGCGATGACAGCGACTCGAAGGCTTCTGCTGGCGGGCACCGTCGCGACTCGGTGGTCGACATTCGTGTTGACAACATCAATTCTGATGTACAAGATGCAATATGCTGCAAATCGGATTTGACCAGGAATCATCCGACCGTGTTCTCTGGTACTAGGGAACCATGGATTCCTTCTTATACCAGCACGCCGTTGTCTAAACTCCGATCTCCACTTGAGTCCTCTGATTGTGGAGATGATTTCAGTATCGATGTCCCAAGAGGCCTTGGCCGACACGATTCGTTCTTTTCGGGGGATGATGAGATCGAGTGCGATAGTATGATCAAGCGTGATCCACGAAGGAGGTTCTCGGCCTTTATGGACACCCGACCTGTCTTGAAGTCCACTACCGAGACAGAAGAACAAGCCGCGACGAATTGCGTAATTGCATTCAGTCCAGACAAAATCGACCAGCTCTATATGGATGTTTCTGATCACGAGAAATCTCATAACATGAAGCATCCGCTCGAACATCGATCATCACAAAAACGAAAAGTCTCCAAGTACGTGGACAGATCGCTTGATACAGTCAGACAAGCTGCTATAAATCAGTCCGAGCAGCAGTACAATGAGTCAGAGAACAAGCGCCAGAGGCTGCTTCATGGAGATTCAGTTGCATACATGGACACACGACTCGTACGTGCCATCAGCACGGGCACACTATGGAACGACTGGAGAGCGCCCATGAACGATCTTCTGCCTCCAGCTATCAGCTCGACCACCCAGTCCTACGAACCTAGGCAGGGCCAGGTCGAAGCCGGAATGCATCCGCTCCTACATTGGCACGAGCCGAACACAGCCTACGGTCTTCCGTCGCCCTGTGATAGCGATTCTAGTTATGGATACGGCTCGCCGCCACCTCTTACTGCAGCTAGCGGTAGTGGTCACTCAAGGGTTGATACTGAGCTCTCTCAGGAGCAAATTCAGCACAACTACCACGAGTTCGAGCGAATGGCAACTGAGAAGAGATGCCATGCGCCGGATGAAGAGTGCAAGGCTTTTGAAGATATCTTCCTTGACGACAGTGGGGTTGAGGATTGGTCCTATGACCTATCTGGGCTGAGCGATGTGTTTGAGGACGTAAACATGGAGGAATGAGAAAGGCACGTGCTTGAGAGGATTCAATGGAATGTTGAGGTGGGTTTATGGTTGGACGTCTCACGAACGCTCTAAGTGTTGTACTGCAACATCGGTTACTGGTCATTGGTTATCAAGGCTTTGATAAAGGCTTTCGTTTGCATCTTTCAAACTCAAAATGGCACTATTGTTTGTGACACCACGTTGTACATGTCGTGGCAAGTGAAGAAACATTACACCGTTGTTCGTTCGCATGAATACTTGTGACGCTTGCTGTCCGGCTCGTTGTCAACTTTCAAGCGATATCTGCAAACACGATGTGCAACCATATTATAGCTTCCACAGCTAAACCCGCTGTCCACCAGCAAACTGCAAACGTTTCCCCGCAAGCACAAGTACATATTAACTTCCATTCCACCTTACCTACTCTTCTCTCTTCGCTACATCGCCTACCAAAACGACATAATTACAGCATTCAATGTTCCATCATACGCCCCCAGACCCAACAAAAATGCCCACCACCATCTTCACCCTCTCACTCCCAACCCTCCTCCTCCTCACACTAACCTACATCCTCATCCTATCCATCCTAACCTTCACATACACCACACTCCGCACACGCACCCTCCTCGAAACCACCTCCGACCTCAACGACCGCCTCCGCCGCCAAGAGCGCCTATCCGTACTCCTAAACCGGCACCTCCAGCGCCTCACATGGTGGACATGGATGTGCGACGAAGACATGAAGCACCGGCGAATACCGCATTTGAACTACGCATCAGGGGTGTTTGACGGCGAGAAAGAGTACAACTTTCCCACGAGCACATTTGCGAACTCGTCGTCTTCTTCTTCTTCGAGCGAGCCTTTTGAGCCGCCGTTTGAACCGCCGTTTGAGGGGTTCCCGGAGCCCGGGGCGGCGCAGAGGGAGTATGCGCAGGTGCTGAGTAGACTGGAGCAGGAGCGTAGGGAGGGGGGGGCGGAGGAGATGTGGCGGCCGAGATGGTGGCGGTGTGGGGTGCATGGGGAGTGTGCGTGTGAGGGGTTGAGAGGTGGTGGGTTGGCGGAGAGGGAGTCGAGGAGGTTTCGGGCGCCGGAGTATGTGGGGTTGAGTAGTAGTGATGAGGATGAAGATGAGGATGATGACTGGAGGGGGAGGAGGAGGGTGGAGAAGAGTGCTGTGGAGGGGCAGGATGGGGAAGTGAGGTCAGATACCGGCGCGGTGATCCTAGATGCGGAAGAAGGGGAGAAGAAAGATGGAGACCTCACTGATCAATTACGAAACCTGGACGTCACAAACACTCCCCCCTCGGACGCTCACTCATCGTCGTCTACCATCACTCCACTGTCCCAATCCGAGCAGTCCACCGGCCACCACCCCGTCTTCGGCCCTGCGGACGAGTTCGCTGACGAACTCGAACCAGAACCCACATGCGGCAACATCCCCTTCTCAGAATGGGACGAAATCCGCTTCGTACCCTGCTACAAATCGCCACCAAGCAGCGCATGGCGCGAGACCCTCGAGCGCGAAGCCCGCCTGAAGTACGGCAAGCCACGTATCCACTCCACTCCCAGTTCAACCGGAAACTGTACCTTCATTCCCAACCTTCCAAAGATCTTGTGGGATCAACCCCGCCAGCCGCCGGTGACGCTGAGGCAGGTTATGGGTAACGGTGTGGAGTTGGGCAGGTATGGAGACAGGCTGGTTTATCTGCCGAATGGGTGGGCGCATGTGGTGGATGTTAGGCTGTGGATTGAGACGACTGCGCAGGCGAGGGCGGAGCGGCGGAAGAGTCAGGGTGGGAAGGGGAAGAGTCAGGGTGGGAAGGGGAAGGTTTTGGATACGGATTGGGAGGTTGCGAGGAGGTCGGTTAATGCTTGGTGGGGGGATGTTATGAATGAGGATGGGACGAAGAGGGATATGGGGCGGCCACCTGGACTGGGAAAAGGGGTTGAAGCAGAGTGAAAATCATGGAAGTGATACTGAAGATGAGAAAGGATGGGATTGTGTTTTGTGTTTTGTCTTGGTAAAGGTGTGTGATTGCTCAGTTATTTAGATCTGGCAACTTGAAAGACAGCGAACTCAGACAAGTTGAAAATTGCAAAACGCCCACAACAAAGGCCGTGACTTTGGGAAGCACACTGTGCAGGTCTAGTCGCTGGTTGTCACTTTTGCCCGCTGAAACTCAACTTGTGGTCATATAATTAGTGGTTAGACCTCGTATCCTACATACAAATGAGTTGACCCTACAAGCAGTGATTAGGTAAATCTAGAGGGATATGATGTCTGGGACGGAGAGATTGTCGTGGACGCCAAACAACATTTGACCGGTTTCCCGGCGGGGATAAGGCGTCCCGTTATGCACAAACTCGCATATATCCGCGATGTAGTCTTTCAAGTGGAGATAATACTAATTCCGATAGAAGCGGTCTTTCTGTCGGAGAAGATACACGTAAGCTGATGTATATCACGGGAACCGGAACGTTTCTTCTCAAGATACCGATCGCGACAAAATATATGAGACACCGTTATTCCATTTGAGAGACGGTATCCTCATCGTTCAAAATGACTTCAACTCAACAGTCTGTTGGTCACAACAACCACATCAAGAATATAGCTATCGTTGGAGCGAGCGGTAGAATCGGGAAACAAATCGCCAAAGCTCTCCTCGCCAAAAGTAGCTTTGAAATCACCGCCATCACACAACAAGGATCAAACAGTGTCTTCTTTCCAGGCATTCGCGCCGTTCCTATCGACTACGATGATCCTTCCACGATCGTTGAAGCCCTGAAAGGTCAAGATGCACTCATCATCACCCTCAGTATCTTCGCCTCCAAGGACACACAAGCCAAGCTGATACGCGCCGCTGCTGATGCTGGCGTGCCTTACATCATGCCGAACGAGTTCGGGATGGGCAACACAACTGAGGCACAGCTTGAGACGGTCGGGCCCGGAAAAGAAAAAGACAGAGAACTCATCGAATCCTTGGGCGTCTCATCGTGGATCGGATTGACCTGCGGTTTCTGGTACGAACACTCTCTCTCCGGCCCCGGACTATACGGTATTGATATTGCAAAACGCGAGGTCGTGTTCTTCGACGATGGTTTGCAGCGTCTGAATACATCGACATGGGCGCAGGTGGGTCGTGGGGTCGCGGAGTTGCTGTCGCTGCCTGTATTGCCTCAGGACGAACAAGACAAGAGCTTGACATTGAGCGCATATCGCAATCACATGGTCTATATATCGTCTTTCGCGATCAGCCAGCGCGATATGTTCGCGTCGCTCAAGAGGGTAACTGGTACCGACGATGTGGACTGGACTATCTCTTCCGTCCCCGCGAAGCAACGATTTCTTGAAGCGAGGGAGAAGTTAAAGGAAGGGGATCGCAGCGCATTCGGGATCTTTTTGTACACTAGGTATTTCTTTCCTGGAGAGGACGCGGGTTTTTTCGAAGTCTCGCGTGGGTTGGATAACGAGAAGTTGGGGCTCCCGAAAGAAGATCTCGATGAGGCGACAAGAGAGGCAATCAGACTAAATCAGACTGATTACTGGAACGGTTACGGTAAGCCTTAGACATAGGTGGTTAATAGTCGGTCAAGTGATACTCGATACTGAGGTTTGCTAAATCTGAGTCTTGCATTGAAACGCTTCGAATGTGTACCTCAATCAACAGTAAGGTACCAATATATAACTTGGAAATTTCTGCATAATAGTCGCCCTCCGTAAATGACTTCACCCCACCAAGCAAAAGATCGACTTTACTGGACAATGCTTGACTATGTCATTACTCGAACACAATTGCTGCTTTCACAACCTCCTGTTTTCTTACTGCCTCCAAGCACTCTTCCCACTGATCAATCCTGTATGTCTTGTTTGCGATCCCGCCCAACTTCAACTTGCCGGCATTCACATACTCTAGCACAGCCGGCATATGCTGCATACTGCAGAAACTTGCTAAGACTGTGATTTCGTACTCCCAAATCCGGAACGGTGACCAAGCGATCTTGACATGCTTGTCGTATACACCGTAGACAACTAACTTACCGCCTTTGCGAACATACTGGATTGCTTGCTCCAGAACAGTCGGAGCACCCGTGGCTTCAACAACAATGTCGAAGCCGTATGGGTTGGAGGCTTCGAGAGCCTCCATCTCACTGTGTGCTTGGTCATGCTTGTTCGAAATGGTCACAAAGGAATCTGCAACATTTAACTGTTTGGCCAGATCGAGCTTAGGTCCGTCTTGAGACGCGATAGTCAACTGTTTAGGTGTCAATATCCAACTGAGATGGGGGTCCAGCCAAACCACTTACATGAGCAGCGCCGTTCATACGAATCAATTGAGCCAGCAAGATACCGGTTGGCCCACAGCCAAACAGAAGGACTCTGCTGCCGACGTCAATCTGCATCCTTTCTATACCATGAGCGGCGCAAGCAGCAGGCTCAACAAGAACTGCCTCAAGATCTGGCAAGTCACCAATCGGATGTACTTGTCTGGCAGGGTATCTGCAGTACTCTGCAAAGCCGCCTGGAACTAGACCAAACGTTAGGATTTAGATGTTTTGGTTCGATTGGAGCACCAAGCATACCATTGCCTCCAAATGCAGTCATGCTTTCGCAGAGTAGTGGTTTTCGCTTGTTGCAGTGAAAACAATTCAGACACGGCTGCATGGGGTCTGCTGCAACCCGTTCACCAATCGTCAGGTTCATGACGTTCTTCCCTACGGCGGCGATGGTGCCGGCTGCTTCATGACCTGGATATACTTAGAAGACGTTCTAAGTGCATGCATCCTGAGTTTTACCAGGAATCAGCGGCCACTGCGTTGTCGATCAGTTCTGTAACGACAAGCTCATCACCAGGTCGATATACCTTTGCCAGAAATTCCCCCTTGTGATAATGGAGGTCCTGAAATTTAGTTCAGTAAAGTCAGGTTTTAGACATGCATTTTTGGCTGAACATACCGTTCCACAAACTCCACAAGCGGATATCTTGACCTGATCGAGGTCAGTCTCGTGCATTTGATTTCGAAATAATCATTTCGACGTACAAGCACATCATCGTCGCCAATTTCCGGAACGCTGATAGTTACAACAGCGAACTTTTCGGGGCCTGAGTATCTGAGTTATTTCAGCTACCACTTCAAGATAAATGCTCGACACGCGCGGCTGTACTGTAGTGCTTTCATCTCTTTGGGCACGCCCATATTTTGGGAACCGTTTTCAGTAGTGATCTTGGTCATTTTGCGAACAGGGTCTTGGTAAGTGGATGAACTGCATTCTTACTGAGGATCCGAAGCTGACATTCATGTGCATATGAATATGACAGAGGTGGCATATTGCGGGGTTCGGCTAAGTGTTTTTCAGGACTCCTTTCCCCTTTCCAGTCTTCACCTCAACGCTCACTCGCCAGCATAGACATGCAACTATCGCTTTACCGCAGATGCAGAGTCGTTCACAGCGCTTCAGACGGGATCGGCGATCTGGAAAATAAGTGGAGAAAGGCGTGCTGACGTCATTACTAGCGTGACACGCACGACGCGTTCCTCTGGGCGACGCGTCGAAGGATCAGAAGTTCTATCAAAGTATCAAGTCTACATCAATTCTCTACGTGGAAGCAGCGCCCCGTGATCTAAAGCATTCCTTCTTCAACTTATCCATCACCCACCAGCTCAATCAGACCAAAGCAGTGGGCTTCTCTGTGTGGTGAGCTTCATCACCCCTCAGGACTTTCACATCGACATTTGAACCCTCCAAAGGATCAGTATTTGCGTCTTTCTTGTGGTATAACTGCCTGGATACATGTCCCGTGAGGTACTTGTCGAAGTCCCTCATGCAGGCTGACGCGATGATTGATACCACGCCGATGGCCACGGCGAAGTAGTACACATATGCGTAAGACATTGAATACGCATCAGATACCGCAATGTTGGTTGTGTGTAGAAGAGCTGGTGTCATGCCTTCGATTTCAAGCAATGCGGTTTGATTTGCAGCAGCGGCGGCAGTCATGAGAGTCTCGAGTTGAGAAGCAGGAAGGCCAGCACCAAGTACACGAGGCGGGACGATGGAAGCAAGATATCCGGGAACCTTGTTCGTGTAGACAGCGATGAACGCGGCGGTGAAAATCGAACCAAAGATTGTGCGGGCAGCGGAGATGACGGCTATTCCATGTTAGCTGAAGTATCACGAAGAGGGGGAAGTCAAACAACTTACAGAAGGCAACACCTAGATCCTGGTCAGACACGACGTACTGCACGATGATTGCAGCTATGACTTCGCCCCATCCCTACGGTCCATTAGCATCTTAATGAGAAGGCTCCGGTAATCAATACTTACGATGGTAAAGCCTGCTAAGAAACTGAACGCGATAGCCTGTGCTTTGCGCTCGACAGTAATGCTGGCCATAGCACCCAGAAACGAGGTCATCCAGATCGAGCTTACCAGGATTTGGTAGCGAATGTGCCCGATAAAGTGCATCAAGGGCCCTAAAATAACAATACCACCCCAAAGGCCGAACGCCGCAGTTGTTGAGAGCCACGCAGATTCCTGCCATGTACTCACGGTAGAACCGAAGATGTATGTGACTTGCTGCGGCCAGATAATGAAGAGAGCAATGTTCATAACGCCGTACGTTGCGGAGATGATTGCCAGGCAAGTGAAGCCACGCAAGTCACGGAAGTAGCGCATCGGAACGATAGGCTGTTGAGGGGTGAGGAAGACTTCGTAGAGGACGAAGGCAATCGTCGCGATGGCACCGGAGATCAAGAGACCCAGAATCTTAGGAGACGACCATGGCTGAGCTGGTCCGCCCCAGGAGATACCGAGCAAGAAGAGAGCAAGACCGGCAATCAGCAGAAGAACACCAATGTAATCGATTTTCTTGAGTTCATCGCGCTTGCTGGACTTCTTGCCATGAAGCTGAGTGTACGAAGGTGGGTTGTAGAAAAAGAACCACAACAGTGTTCCAGGCACTGCGATACAAGGTCAGCGAGCAGACTCACAATCATGAAAGAGGACGTAGGAGCTTACCCATCATTAGGATGAAAATGTAGAAAATCCATCTCCAGTTCGCTGCCTGAACCAGCGCCAGCCCGATGTATGGTCCAAAACCTGTGGCAATGACGTTGGGTACAACCACAATGGCGGTACCGACGTATTTTTGCTTATTGCTAACCAACTCGCCTGCAAGCAGTGGATAAGCGGCAGGAACTCCAGATGCGATACCCATGATGACTTCCGCACCGATCAGCATCTCGATAGATTGAGCCGTTGCTGCGATGATGCCACCGATTATGGCAAGCACACATGATGCCAGAGCAAAGTTCCTACGTCCGAAGCGATCAGACAGTCGTCCAAAAAGCAAAAGAGAGATAGGCTGCGAGACCGTCCATACGGTACTGACGAGTGCAACATTCGCGCTTGGGCCGATGTCGGGGTAAATGGCAGACATGAGGACGGCAGCGGCGGCTTGGAATTGAAAGTACGTCGCAGCAACAACGATGCCTGTACCAGCATAGGAACCAATTACGCGTGCACTCATGAAATAACCAGGAGGAAGCTTAGAGGTGTCCGTCGCGAGAGCTTCAGAACGTATCTTGTCGGCTTCATCAGAGTTGAGGGAGGCCAGTGAAACAGTTGTGACATCTTCACCAGGCTTCCCTGTACCTTGATGTAATTGTGGCATAGCGACAACATGGTCTTCCATAGTGACTATTCGTCGACAGAGGCCGAACGGGAAAAGAGACAAAGATAACCAGCGTTGAGAAGAGCGATGAAATTGCTATAACACGTATGAGTGGATATTGAAGGTACCGGCTGGTCTACACTTCTTCGTGGATGGTAATATAGGACCCCGGACTACTTCACCGCCAGATATCCCGCATTAAATGTTAAGCCTTGCTACAATGCCTTGATGTGGTATGGTGTTTGTGACTCCGAATCTGCACACTTGATTGCCAAGAGGCTTATTCCTTACAATGGTTCTGGACCCGATCCTTCTCTCCCTTGCGAGTAGCCGCGCGTAACAAGTCTTATCGGAAGTTCATGTAAGGATGCAGGCGTACTCAATGCAACAATGTTCACCTACTAGGATTAACCGCAGCGCCGATCAGTTCTGTTCAGAAGGAAACGCCGGAGAACGCCGCCCAACATATGCAGGATGCGGGTGCAGGGTACGCGGTTGGGCGGAAAGCAGGGATCACGCATCATCTCAGGGCATGGGTCAGTCAATAAATTATGGCCCGGGAGTGAGGGTCATGCTGCTGCAGAACGCCAATCAATGTCCCTTTGGCATATGTCGGTAAATACAGAGTCGCACAACTTGACCTGATACGATATCCACCCATGTGAGTTCAATTTGAAACCCTCCAATGTTGATGCCACTGTTCGCTGAAGCCGACAGACCACTGTATCTGCAGAGCCCAACCCTCGCTTCCTTCTAGATTTGACACTAAACTAAATACCATACTTTTAGTGAGTTATGCCATTGTGATAGCCCTGGTGACCTTGGTGATGAAAAGCTTTGTTACAACTGCACTCTGAGCCTCTAAAGAAAACACTCGTTTGGTTGTAAACATGGAAAAATTGTCATTAGTCATCAAAGCAGGCTTGGTCACTACGAAGTCGTTTACATTGGATGAATGTATTGGTGATTATCAGTTTTAGGTGAGCAAAAAGTCCCTGGTCGATATTCATCTCTTCCAAGCTTCTTCGTGTGTGACGTGAATGTCGTGGTCCACCAAAATCTCAAGATCGTTCGGAGCTTGACTGGTTTTGACAATATTTCTCGTAGATGATCCGTCTATGTCTCCCAAGTCCGAGCTACTATCCACCAGATCTCCCCCGTATATATTTGTTTTGGGACCCTGTTTAGAAGCCACTGTGCCGTTTTTTGAACTGGTTCTTCGAGACAGGCCTTCACCAAGCTCGAGGTAACGATCACTGGTCTTCTTATCAGACCGTTTGTTGCTGTTCAATGTGGATCGAATTTGCAAAAGCTTCTCGAGGAGTGGACGAAGCGCTGGAAGATTGCCAACGATGACACCGAGGCCCAGTTCGACCTGCGCCCAAGCGGCTACAGGCATTGCGTGGTAGAGGAAGTCCGAGGTGGATGACAGGTTCACTGTTATCGTGAGACGGATAAGGGCGGCGGAGGATGCAAAAACTCCTAGACCTAAGAGCGCAAGGACAGAAAGTTTGACACGGAAATCTAGCTGTACATTCCACAATAGAGGAATTGGTCTACATGGAACGATTAGTCTACCTCTATTACCATCTTACAAAGTTCACTTACATCAACGCACAAAACCAATCCGAAGCGATCGAGACAACTGAAAGTGCGAAACTGAAGCCAGTGATGTTACTTTGAGGCAAGCATGACCCGCCTTCAACGGTTCTCCAGTTCATTGGAATAGGTTTGCTTTTCCAGATCGTTAACTCAAACTCGGTTATGCATGGTTGGAGTTTCACTTACCAATGAAAGAATTCATACATTGTGGTAGAAGCCATGACAATGGCTACCGCAGCCATCATCACATAGATGGACCATTGGTACGCTTTTCTTTTGTTTGCAATGCGAAGCAGTGTGAAAGCAATAGCCCACTTGATTGGGATTGCGGCTAAGCACCACATAGTTTGCATGATGAACCAGTACTGAGATTGATTAAACCCATTTCAACATAACTTCGAAACAGCAGGCCAGAACTTACAAACATAGCTTGCTCCTGTTCTTTTTGATTGAGCTGTACATCGCGCTTGCCTCCACCAGTAAAAGCAATACCAGTCATTCCAACGGTAGATAAAGTGAAGAGTGGCTGTGCTAGATGGTCAGCAAACAATTTCGCAGTGTCTGTACGTGGTGTGAACTTACTATGGCTACGACCATGCTCCAATCGTCAGGGCCCCATGATTTCCTCGATATACGCACATAAAATCGCAATGCCCACGTAATGATGTCGAAAGGCAGTAGAATGAGAATGGCGAACGCCAGTGAAGGTGAGGTAGCTCTTGCCATAGATTCCAACCACTGAGTCTCTTCGTGGTAAATAGATCGTACTTGCAGACTGCTAAAGCTGTTGTGTGATTAATAAGAAGCAGCCTCGGGAAGACCAGCAATATATTGAGCTCAAAAAACCCCCGAGAAAGCGATCGGGCTTCTCCACATCTACGATAACCACGCCATTACTTCGAGATTGCTATAGTCTTTTGGATGACACAACTCCCAATCATATATCTTACAGGGGCTTTCCAGACATCTCCAATCAGGCACAGTTTCCGAATATGGTAGCCAAGATCGCTGAGATGTTCGTGTGGTCAGTCGATCGCTATCTGTTGTCGGCTCAGATGCATACATCATTCACATCGCCAGGAACAAGATCAACTACGCCGTGCAGCAAAGTGCTTTCTACTCCTTCGAGCCCTTATCTTGGGGTCGAGTGATTGCAAGCCAGAGCTTGATAGACGGATGATGTGATAAGAACGTCCCTGAAATTATGACTTGCGGTCTTTCGGTATGGGGGTCCATTCTAGAGACACATGATCTCCATGGATGTGTCTCCACAAATTGCCATTGGCTTCTGTTGTGACCGCGGATGAAACAGCAATGATCATTTTGGGCTTCAGCTCCTGAAGGCTTGCATGCAAAGCAAAGCGATCCTTTGTCTCCTTGTCTTGGACTGCGAGCCTCGGTGCCTTGCGTTCATCCCGTGATTATGCATGTACTGTCAAGCCATCGCGCTTGTCGTTTACCGCGCTTGTATCGTTTATGCCGCTTACTGAATTATGAAGGCGTACGAAGGATGCGAGAGTTCTTATCACAAGAATCCTAACGGTGCCGACCAAGCGAAACTACTTTTGAGCTGCGCCGTAGTGACGAGAACAATGGCAGCAAACCAGGTCTCGCATGATCGAGTCATGTCATTGAGAAACGTCCCATGCCGGTCCCCCGATGCTATGAAACTTTTGCCTAATTGAACAATCCGTACCTTAGCGTGATGTAAACCGGTTATTATTACAGCGGGCCGCACTAACCGCTGGTCGTGCCGCGCGTCAGATCCTTGCAATGCGTAGGGTGGGTTCAAGTTCGCCAGCATGCCTACCTAGCTCAAGCTCAGTCGAAGGGGGATGTTATAAGTGGTCAACTCGTTATGTGCAGACAAGGGTATACATTAGGACAAATTAATCGATCGTCTCGTACCAGCTGATGAAGAAGCCACCACGCACTAGACAAACAAGACTTTTTATGCACGGGAAAATCCTTTCGATACAGTAATGTCCGAAGCAGCGGCTAGATATGCATGAAAATTATCTGGAAGTCGACGTAACGGGAGTATGCAAATTTCCATGCCGTAACGACATGTTATTGGTAGGATCCGCCATCTTCCTATCACCTATTGGGCCGATATTCCGCCATCAACATTCAAGGAGATACCGGTCACCCATTTCGCGTCATCGCTAGCCAGATAGACAGCGGCACGACCATGGTCGATGGTCTCACCAAACAATCCTCGTGGTATAGAGGACTTGACGGCCTCTGCTGCAACACTGAGTGCCCCTACACTTCCAAGAGCGTTTTCTAGCATGGCAGTTTGTGAAACTTCGTACTGATGTCAGTTGGAATTCGTGACAAGAGTAAAGTACGAAAACTTACAGCCAGGGCAGATACAATTGGCAACAATTCCTTGCTTGGCTACGTCTAAAGCAATAGTTTTGGTCATGGCGGCTACTGCGCCCTTGGAGGCGGTATAACCAGCTGCGTAGGACGAAGTCAGTCTTTTCTAGTATGAGCAAATATCTTGAGGACTTACTTAGACCTTGCATTCCCATGTGTGAAACCATAGATGCAAAATTAACGATCCAACCTCGAACTCCGCAAGGCTGAGGCTCCTGCGTCTTGAACTGCTTTACGGCATACTTTGAGCCCAGAAAGACGCCTCGTGCATTGACACGCATATGAGCGTCGAATGCATCTTCGTCAACCTCATCAATAGGCTGAGGATTACTGGCTTCTAAGCAGATAGCGGCATTGTTGACTATACTAACGCGCATTCTCGTCAGTGACCACTTATGTATCTGGAGGTATTTCAAAACTCACATGTCAAGTCTGCCATACTCCTCCACCGTCTTTGCTATCAATGCCTTCCAATCATCTGCACTGCCAACGTCCATTCTGAAGAAGATGGCTTTCCCACCTTTCTGCGCCATCCATTCGTGGGTTGATAAAGTTTCACCTTGACCAAGGGGCCGTATATCAGCGCAGACGAGCAGTGCGCCTTCCTCAAAGAACTGGTTGCAAACTTCACGGCCAATACCCTGGGACGCGCCCGTGACGATAGCGATTCTGTTAAGGAGACGTTGACCTGGCATTTTGGATTTGTGACGGCAAGCTTTCAGTATTGTCAGATAAGAGGATGAGGTTATAAATTTTCCGTGGACATGCATTAATCTTTATCCGTTGAAGCTGTCGAACGCCGCATGGCTACATGTACGCCATCGGTGTTAGTCCGAAAAGTGGACCAGTAAAGGCAGAGCCGAAATCTGATCACATTCGAATGTGGGGCTAGCTTTCTCCGATTGGATATACTAAAAAGTCCGGAAGGGATTGGCCCGGACGTGCTCGAGATAGATACGGATAATGAGCCGCGAGCAGTCTGCATAGCAGTGGCGAGGCGACAAACCTAGCAACGTAGTTGATGAGTAAAGGAAACTGTACCATCTTTAGCTATTTAATCACAGGACTAGGACAAAGCCCCTTACCGTACACACTAGAGCTACATGCGGAGAGCCCTGAGACTTTTGCCTTATAACTATGCCCGGTTCAACTATCAGATACATTAGTCTTTCAACATATCCTAACTCTTTTTGATACACAGTTGTTCCAGAGACGGCCTAGAAAACGCCATGTCCAGACCACTTGAAGGAAAGCTAGCCATCGTCACTGGGGCCTCGCGGGGTGAGTGTTCCAAGGCAAGCTAGTGTGAGGACTTCATGTTAATACTTCTCCATCTCGCAAAGGCCTTGGAGCTTGCTTAGCCCGCCACCTGGCCACCAAAGGAGCGAATGTGGTCATCAACTATACTTCAGAATCGTCGACAGCTGCCGCGAAACATCTTGCACAAGAGATAGAAACTAGCCATTATGTGAAAAGCGTCGTTGTCCAGGTCGACATAACCACAGTTGAAGGCCCCGGAAAGCTCATCGAAGCTGCAAAATCGACATTTACCAAGGACGGCAAATTTCAGATCGACATCCTCGTCAACAACGCAGGCGTGGTAAATCCAGCACCGATGGGCTCAGTCACGCTAGCGGACTTCAACGTAACCTTCGATCTTAATGCTCGCGCTCCGCTTTTCGTCGTCCAGGCCGCGTTGCCGTACCTTCCCAACGATCGTTCAGGACGTATCAGTAAGCAAGACTCCGGCACATATACTATCTGAGACACCTATTAACTGTACCCACGTTTCTAGTCAACGTTTCTAGTATCACAACTAGCATGGGGTAATTTTCCGGAATCAATTTGCGTCCTGACATCTAACACTTGTCAGGTTCTGGTGGCAATCGAGCTATGCTGGCGCCAAAGGCGCTCTCGAAGCCATGACGCGAGTTTGGGCGCGTGAACTCGGCGAACGTTGTACAGTCAACTCAATCAATCCTGGTGCCATGGCCACAGGCATGTACACTAGTCTGCCACAAGAGATGCTAGAAAAGGTATGGTCGCTCAACTACATGGCGCCATTGGCGGCACCTAGAGAAAGCGTCGATTCGCCTGAGACTGTGGAGGCTGCAAAAGCCCTTGGTGGACGACCCGCGTATCTGGAGGAGGTTGCAGGGATTATTGGTTTGCTGTGTATGCCTGAGGCTGGATGGATCACCGGTCAGGTGATTGGAAGCAACGGTGGCGGCGTGATGACAAAGGGGTAGATCCAGATGTGTATATCTAACAACGGGATTGGTATTGTATTTATCCTGAGTGCTTGTTGGTGTGTGAGAGATGGAACCTGGCAAGGATTGACGCGTTGCGAGGCGCTGACTCATCATGTCATACGTCATCTCAGACGCTTGACCTAGTCCTACTTAACTTAATGACCACAACTCCATTCAGCTGCAAGATACGAATGAGACTACACGGCCCACCAGCACCTCTTACAAGAGACTGAAGATCTTATTCGATTAACAAATTCTGTATCATTATCTCTATCGGAAAACCCAACACGTACAGGATCAGAAGCTCCTTATCCATGTTAGATGGCATCTATCAGCTCAGGCTACCTGACCATAGATACTAATGATATCTTCCCTTGTTTTATGCTAATGCGACATGATCTGGCCCCTGGCATCAGGATGAATTCTCTCGAGACGCAAACCAAACATTTTTATCAAGAGAACCAGGAAAACTGCATCTTTCATGCCAGGTCACACACCCAACTCCACCGTCGTATAGGGGGAAAATTCCCCAGTCAGCATTTCCATCGATCATCATCTCCAACCCCTCCAAGGATCATCCAGTCTTCTTTTACAAGATGTGTTCTCTCAGGATATGCTTTCCATCCTCGCTCCTCTTCAAGGCCCTCAAATTCGTCACATTACCCAGATCCTGCAGATCCACATAGTCTACCTTCAAACCTCCTTGTTTGCGATCACCCGTGCCCTTATCATCCTCCCGGAGAGGCGGCTCCCCATGATCAACATAGAAGATAAAATTCGGATTCGCATCCTCGTCTTCGCCACGGAATATGGTGACCTTGTAGACGAAATTGGCACCTCCAAGTTGGAGTTTATGTTGGATGAGGAAGTAAGCTACCGCGAGGCCGTTGGGTGAACCTGAAGTCCAGGATTAGCTGCGTCCAGGATTTGCTTGCTTCTATTGGTACTTTCGCATCCAAAGTCTCAAGTAACAACATACCCAGTAGTGCATAAAACGCATCATCAGCCTCATCGTCACCCTCGCCAAACACAAAGTCTGTTCCAGGCCACGGCTTGACCTCATCCGCCTTTTCCTTCGCGTGCTCCAGGGCGCGTGGGATGATAGCATCCACAGTATCTTCATTGACAATCGACAGCACCATGAACATCTCTATGTGCTGGAGATTCTTCGATGCCACGCGATTCCACAGTCCCCACGTGAGATCGGAGCTGGCTCTCAAAGCAGGCAGATCCGCGATGTCAGAATGTTCCACACCCCACAGGATCTTGGCGCCTTCCTCAGGAGACCGACGGTGCAGAAAGTACACTATGCCGTCGTCGGGGTTGATGCCCGCACGGTGGTACGCGCCAGTCACCTATTACCAATTAGCGGACTCAAAACCACAAAGCACATGGCAAAGAAATCAACACACCCTATACTCTTTCCCCTCAACCTCATACCTCTGCTCCTCCGGATCCGGCAATTTCCCACCCTCCCCCCTCTTAATCGCCTTCCCCCCCTGATGATGGAAAAAGAAACACTGGTTCGGCCCGCCCATCTCCTTACTCCTAGTATCAATCCCAAGCGCATCAAACACATTGCCCAGTTCGTGCCAGTCCTTGAAATCACAGTGCGCGTCGGACTGCTTATGTTTCGCCTCGTCGTCGTCCCAGCCCCACTTTTCCAGGTCACGCTTCAGGTCGCCGTCGAACTTGGACTGCACGTAGGGCCAGGCGAGGAGCGTGCGGGATTCTTCTTCGTCGAGCGCCATCGCTTTGAGGAGTCTCTCGCCTCGGCATCTGGCGTTGTTCCATGTCGCGTTCGCGGGGTCTTCCCAGGGTTCGGGCGAGGGTGAGGGAGTATCGGAGCGTTTGGCCTGGGGGAGGGCGAGAGTTGTTGCCTTGGAACTCGGGAACTGAGATGTTTGAGTGGTGATTTGTTGCGGGTTGGAGACGGGCTCGAGTCTTGCTGTGACGAGGCCTGCTAGGGTGAGAAGCTTGGTGGCTAAGGTCGGCTTCATCGTGGCTTGCGATGGTTAACGCAAGTCCGCTAATGTGTGAAAAGACCGAGGTTGAATCAACGAGTGGATTAGTGGCGGCTGTGATGTGCAGGGTAAAGGTAAATGGAGTGTAACTTTCTTTGAAAGTCATGTAAAGCAGGTGATTGGACGCATATATACAGGTGAAGGTCAGGATAAGACGGTGCAAAACAAAATATAGTATCTCATCCTGCCCCGGTTCGTGATTTGGAAGAGGGAAACACATTTGCCAAGAAATACGTCGGCGTGGAACAGTGAGAGAGTGAAAGTCGATTACAGGCTGCCACTACTGCGCCTATACAATGCTCTGATCCATGATCCGCTGAGTCGATCGAGATAGATATACATCTGACCCCGCCACATTATCATGAAAATACACCATACACAAAGAAACCCACAGCTCAAAGCCCTGCACGCAAAACATGTTCTCTGACAACGTTCTTGCCATTTTCACTCCGCTTCAACGCGGGCAATCCTCCTCCAGATTCTGGCCCATATCCAACCTCGAGAAGCATAGTCGGATCTTCCTTCCCTTCGCCATGGAACACGGTGATGCTAGTGATGATTTTATTCCCACCCAACTGGCGCTTGTGCTGGATGAGAAACCAGGCAGCACCCAGTGAGTTGGGGGAACCTACAACTTACAATCAGCTCTCTCGACTTCTACCATAGAGGTTATCTCTGGAAACAAATCACACACCTAAGAGCGCGTAAAACCGCTCATCATCTGCACGGAATGTTTTGCCCGGCCACGGCAATTCGTCCATCGTCCCAACGGCTCTCTCGATGAGGAGTTGCGTGGTTGGGTTCTCTATGTTCATCGAGAAGAACTTATTGATATTCTGCAGGTTTCCCGCCATGGCGCGGTTCCAGAATGCCCATGCAATGTCGGAACTGGCACCTAGAAGCGGCAGCTGAATCCGAGGAATCTGCTCGACGCCCCACAATTCTTTGGCGGCTTCCAAGGGGCTTTTGCGGTTCATGAAGTGAATTGCCCCAGCGACATTGTTCACGCCGATAAGTGCAACGGCGCCAGTCGCCTATTGTGTCTCGCAGCTTAGCTTCTAACCATACAATGGAGAACGATGTGTGCAGACTTACCCTGTGTCTCAGACCATGGACCTTATAGTACTGCTGGCCAGGATAGGGGAGTTGTCCATTGGGCTTTCTCTCTATCGCAGGCCCATCGTAGTGTGTAATGCTAAAGCACCGGTTGTCACCTCCTGTTTTGTCCGACGCCCAGTTCATACCCAGCGCACTGAAAGCCCGTTCGAACTTGTCAAAGGTACACGTTTTCCAGGTAAGTGTAGGGGTCTCGTCGTTCCAACCCCACGTTGTGAAGTCTGACTCCATGGTGCCATCGAAGTAGCTTCGTAGAGGGGTGACGAATTCATATGCCTTATACTCATTCACACGCATTGCGTTCATATATTTATGGCCTTTGCAGACTGCGTTTGTCCACCATTCTGGAGCGGTATCAGAATCGGGATCGGGGTCGTTGTCTGCTGCGATTTGGACGCGGTCCGCAGCAATCTCACGCAACTGGTATTTGGGCGTGGGGAGAGAGACACTGGAGATGACTTCTGCATTTGGATCTACCAGTGTAATGAGCTCGTCTGCCGGTGCATGGCTTGGTTGAGTATATTCCACAGGAAACTCACATGTTCCGGTTTCGGAGGCCAAATGAGAAACGTTGAGCAATGCATACTCGGATGGAACAACTCTACTCTCCGTAAGAGTGAACAGAAGCGCGAGCACGAGCGCGAGTAGGAAATTCATTCCGAAGCGAACGGGTCCACAAGTGTGACTGGTTTCAGGTGAATATAGTTGAAGAATAATCAAGTAGTGGAAAAGACATGCGGGGCGCAATGATAAGAGTAGACATAAATACAACTACAGCGTGACCTAAGCGAAGAGTAGTGGGTCATAGTGAGTCGGTCTCTCGGAATGCTTTGATCGGTTTGTACTAACGGGCAAACAAACGAACTTGTCGTGTAAGTCATAAGTGGGAAAGGCGGTGAGTTGCACGTTGAAGGCCCACGGGAAATAAAAAGGAGACAGAAGGCACACTGATCCTCTGTAGTGATCAAGACAACACAATTTGCCTTTGCTTTCATTGTAACAAGACGTACCGCTAAGCAGAACAATGTATCAGCATAAGTCAATGGATACAACAAGAATGAAATCTCGATCATAACAACTAAAGCACAGAAAACAAAATAGTCCCGTCAAATCCCAACGTATGCTTGCAAGCAAGTAACACGCTCCAACCCCCTCAATTCTAGTTTCTGACCTGCACGACCCTTGCAAGACCCGGCGTAGCAGCCATGTTCATAGCGAAAGGATGATAGACGCCAAGTAGCAAGACAACCGAATCCGCAGGCAGCAAAACGGATGAGATATCTACTCAGACCAGGAACGTGGCTTGACCGCCCCTGACGATGACTTGACCGTTGAGCCGGACAACAGCGTTCGCGTACCCGCGCGGTTAAGTCATCGAAGATACTTCCTCGACCGCGGCTGGCTTGCGTGCAGTCGGTGTTGGATTTAACGACGTTTAGGATCTGCACACCTGGTCAATGGGAGTCGCCATGAGGGCAAGTAGCCCAAACACTCGCATCAGGTGCGGTATAGCTGACTTCCTTTCCCGGGCATGCTTGAGTGTTATGAGCAAGAGAGGTCTGTGAAAAGGTGGATAGAATAAAGCGCGCCTGTAGAAAAGGCATAGAAAACACAATGAATACAGAGAAATGAACGATGAGAAAAACGAATGTGATATAATGCTGATACTTGACACTGTCCAACGAAGCAATATATTCGTACTCTGCACATCGTTGCACACACATGCCGTGAATTGAGCTACCTACGATCAACCTCCACTCGTATACGCACAACGACCTTCTCGCGCACTATTCAGACGAGGAACTGGCTTCTTGTGTTACTTACGTTCCGTCCCGTCACTATCAGCCTCAACCCCACGGTTACAAGAATAGCTGACAACTCCATGATAGGGACGAGTAGCGACGCTTACGAACTAGCACCAGGCCAAGAAATCAAGTCGCAAAACAATTTAGGCGAAAATATCAGTCGGCGAAATGGCGCGGAAGTGTCTACACAATCCACCTGGGGTTTGTCAAGCCAGCAAATGTCCCGACCCCGTAAATGAAGTTGGGGGCGAGTGCTGGATTTGCAAGCTACTAACTTGGCTACCACTATCCTAACGTTAACGTGCAACTCAAACTATTCCAACCATTAATTTTGTTGTCACTATTTGAGAACACGTTTCACATCAGCCAAGGAACGCGCCACAATACCACTACGTAAACCTCAGCTCTAGTCTTCTCGACGGCATCAGTAAAGATCGTTCAGAAAAGGACTGATGGATAGATTGTGAGCAACCAAAATCGATGTGGTTGTGGTAGAGGAGGGGCTGGAGGTCAAGTACTGTCAGGGGTTTGGCACTGGGGTGACTAAGCATGATCGTTATGCATAGGAGGGACGCAGGGAAATATATATCATAGAAAAGTCTAGGACGGGGGTTTTGAAGCTCAAGCTCAAGCCGATGCAACGTGATTTATGTTCTTAGCAGGAGAGGTCGACACATGGATATTTCTAGAGCCTCTGAACATAGAAGCGCGCTACCCAGCAGGCAAGAGGTATGATATAGCATAGTCTAGTTCTGTATGATGTGATGTGATGTAAAGCCCGCCTGAGCGTAGTTATACACATATACACATGTATGAATGGATACGCAGACGGAAGAATGGCCAGAAGCAATCAAGGACGCAGCACCCCAGACGCCACGCTATGCAATCACACCCAAGAATGCCTTATGCAAAAAAACAGAAAGAGAAAGAAAAGAAAGACGCCTACACGCACCCACACCACATTTTCCCACCTTGCGGCTCCCAACTCCACACCGTAATCCCATGCATGCAATCAAGCATAAGCGTCAAAAGCAGGATACTACGCCCTTTCATCAAGCATCATGCTATCGCCTTCGCCGAGCATACCCGAATCATCGGGCCTGCCATCACCAATTCTGCGCCTTCTCGCACCCCTCCTACCCGCAACGCGATTCTGTTCAATCTCGCGCAGACGGCCGTTCATCTTGCGGTCGAGGTCGTCGAACTCATCGTCCTCGTTACCAGCATGCAAAAGCGCATGGCCATGCTCATCCGCGTCGCCGATAATACGCCCCGCAGTCCACGACTGACCGCCCATATCGACGCCACTATCCGTCTCGTTTGCTTCAAGAGCCTTATTGAGCAGATCAGTGGCGAGGGGGTCCTGGGGCGCGACAGCGAGGGCTTCGTGCAGGACGGTGACGGCGTCCCAGCTGCGGCCTAGCTCGAGGAGGACGAGGCCCTTTGCGGAGAAGACGCCTGGGTCCTTGACGCCGTGGCGCAGGACTTCTTCGAATGTGGCGAGCGCTTCGTCGAGTTGGCCGGCGCGTCGTAGGGAGTGGGCGAGGTTGAGGCGCATGGGCAGGAGGGTTTCGGGCTCGGCTTTGTTGCTCTCCGAGAAGGTGAGGGCGCGGCGGAACATGGATATGGCTTCTAGCAGCTGGGCTTCGTGGAAGAAGACGACGCCCATTTCGTTGAGGAGGAGCGGGTCCGACTGGCAGAGGGCGTAGGCGGTTTTGAGGTATTCCCGTGCGAGAGATAGGTTGTTGAGTTGGAGGTTTTGCATGCCGAGGAAGAGCTGTGGGAGGTGGGTGCCCTGGAATAATCTCGCCGCGGTTGAGTAGGCCGAGATGGCTTGATCGTGCTCCCCCTCTGCGGCGAACGTGTGCGCGAAGCCTATCCACGCAGGTCCGAAGTGCGGGTCCATCATTGAGGCTTTGGAGAAGTAGCGACGTGCTTCTGCAATGCGGTTGGTGGCAAGGTAGTAAACGCCGACTGCAAGCCAAGAGCAGGGCTCTGTGGGGTTGGTATCTGCCAGGTCATGGGCGAGCAGGTACAAGGTGCTGGTCTCACGGAGTTCATGTAGCGAGGCGAGGTGGACGGGCAGGATGTTGAAGTTGTATTTGTCGGTATCGAGGACGGAAGAGGTCAGTGCCAGGGCTTCGCGGAATCGGCAGTGGGTGTACATGAGGTCTGCCTTTGCGAGGAGGATGTCCGCATTGTTGCCGAGGTTATAGTGGGTGCTGAGTGTCTCTGTTGCATTTGCGAACTCTTCCGGCTTTGAGTACTTGGAGAGGCGGGTGATGTAGAGGATTTTGGTGAAGTGGGCGGCTTCTTGCGAGAGGGAGGGGTTGTTGGAGACGTTGATGGTGTCGAAGTCGAGCGACTCGAGGAACTTCCACTCTTCATCAGGTGACATGAGCGAGTTGGTCATGAGAGCCTGGAAGGCCTCGTAGCACTGCACATCGATCTGGACGGCCGTCTTGTAGCATTCCTTGGCGCGGTCGAAGGAGTTCTGGCGTGCATAGCAGACACCCCGCAAGTAGCACATGCCCGCCTCCGACTTGATGTTGTTGACGTCCTCGCGGTCACGCTCTTCGCTGGTGGGGTGTCGCTCTGTGCGCCCGCCCGCCTTGTTGTGCCGTGCGCCCACGCGTGAGTTGACGTCGACATGGCGCAGCTTCTGCCGTGCACTGCCCGGCGCAGAGATCAGGTGGGTGGGGTTCTTGTCGCCTAAGATCTGAAGCGCCTCTTCTATCCTGCCCAGCTTGATGGAGCAGTGGGCCGAGAGGTATCGACATTGCGGATTGCGCTCAGCGAGGTTCCCGCGGGCGAGCAGTGCTTGCGTGCGGCTGTAGTTGCCCGTGCTGAAGTGAGCCTGTGCGAGCCAGAAGGCGTCCTGGTCGTCCTCTATGCAGTAGTAAGCACATATTCCCAAAACAGCGACAGCGACAATGCGACGCACTGGTGAAGTGAAGCAGCTTGTCGGCGACGAAGATGGCCGTGTCGTACTGGTGCTTGTTGATGGCGTCTTGCCGCCACTCGCGAAGATACTTTTCCATGGCGCTGTTGATCACATGCAGTATGAAGTATGGTGTGCTATCATGGGTATCTGCCGCGTCTAGAGCTGTTTGGTGTTGAGAGCTGCAGTCGCGGGCAGGCGCGCCTTCCGTCGCGCGTACGCACGTGGAGTTTTGCGGGGTGCCGCCTTAGTCAGTCGAAACTTGACTTAGTCAGCCAGAATCCGCCTTCACCTGCCCTTCTGCCCTTCTCCTCCACTATCCCTCACTCACCACAACTCACATATCCATTTTCATACTCTGCGCTGCACCGCCAATATCTTAATCATACAGACTGCACTCTAGTCATCCGAAGTAATCGCGAACCGAATATTCTCCCAGATAAACCGTCGCCATGTCTGAACGAAAGGTGCTCTCCAAATACTACCCACCCGACTTCGACCCGTCCAAGATCACGCGCCAGCGCGGTCCTAAGAATGCTGGTCCCAAGCTGTCGACCGTCCGTCTCATGGCGCCCTTCTCCATGAAGTGCACCCACTGCGGCGAGTTCATCTACAAAGGTCGCAAGTTCAACGCTCGCAAGGAGACGACAGAAGACAAGTACTACAACATCGCAATCTTCCGCTTCTACATTCGCTGCACGCGATGCTCGGGCGAGATCACCTTCAAGACGGACCCAAAGAACATGGACTATGAGTGCGAGCGCGGCGCAAAGCGTAACTTCGAGCCCTGGCGAGAGGCAAAGCTCAATGAGGAGACAGAGGAGGAGAGGCTCGACAGGCTGGAGAAAGAGGAGGCCGAGCGCGATGCCATGAAGGAGTTGGAGACAAAAGTACTCGACGCGAAGACGGAGATGGCCATTGCAGACGCCCTGGATGAGATTCGCTCGAGAAACGCCAGGAACGAAAAGGCTGAGAGAGACGGCACAAGGACAGATGTCCAACCCGATCCCGCCGACGACCGGCGAAGGAGGCAGGAAGAGGAGGATGCCGAGGCTGCGCGTAGGGCCTTTGCAGACAGGGCCATGCCAGATATTGGGGAGGTCGAGATTGACGAAGAGCTGGTCGACATGCCCATTGAGACAGCGCCAGTTGCCGTCTTCAGCAAGAAGCCCAAGGAGAAAAAGGACTTTGGCGCTGCGCTCGGCATCAAGAAGAAGGCGCCCGCTCCGAAACCCGTCGCGCGCAAGACAATACCAGCACCTCCTTCTAAGCTATCAGCGATGTTAGTAGCGGGCTATGACAGCGATGATGATTGATTTAGGATTTTAGACTGCATCCATGGCGTTTGGGGTTCCAGGCATTTAAGGCGCACTACGATACCAATTCAACAATTTTTTCAACCTTCAACTATGTTCTCATCAACTTTCCTGCTGCTACAGCTGCACTCAGGACAAACCCCATTTTCGTGCTGATCGTCTCCCAGGTACATTTCTTTTACGCGTCGTCATCGCGCGCTCAGTCTTCAAACACGTCCTTCCGAGTACGAGGTGGCCTTGTCGATCCTCGTGTCTTCCGGAGTAATTAATTCCGACATCAATACCAAATACGCGACGACTTACACCGCGACAGCATGATACCAAGGCGTACTTCTCCGCATTTACGTTGCCCAGCCGCACAGCCCGCTATATTTACCCCGCGGTTTTAGGGTCGAAGGTAGATGAATGTCATACGGCTCTATATTCGGCGTCTTGGAACAATTTATAAAAGAAGATGTTCCCTTGTGATCCATTTCCACTCTCCGTTACCCTCGCAGCATCTCTTCCACCATCACCATGCATCTCCTCCCCCTCCTCGCCCTTGCTCCCACCATCCTCGCCGCGCCATCCCAATCCCTCGACTTCAGCAAACACGGCATCACCCCCCGCGCCGCCAATACCTCCCTCACAGGCTACCTAGGCGCCTTCTTCCTCGGCGACGCCCCATCCGTCTACCTCTACCTCTCCACCGGCAACAACCCCCTATCCCTAACCCCCCTCAACAACGCCGCCGCAATCCTAAACGCCACGCTCGGCACAAAAGGCGTCCGCGACCCCTCCCTAATCTCCAACGGCACCCAAACCAACTACATAATCGGCACCGACCTCGATATCTCAAAAACCACCTGGGACGCCTCCCAGCGCACCGGCTCGCGCTCCATCTTCATCTGGCAAAGCGCCGACCTCGCCACCTGGACAAACGAGCGCCTCATCGAGGTCGAAGACCCATCAGCAGGCATGGTCTGGGCTCCCAGCGCGATCTGGGACCCCGCACAATCCGCCTACCTCGTCCACTGGGCTAGCAAGTTCTATAACACCAACGATCCGCAACACACGGGTACTCCGTCGGCGATCCGCATCCGCTACGCGTATACAACGGACTTTATAGCTTTCACCGCGCCGCAGGATTATATCGATTACTCGCCTACTAATATCATCGATCTGGAGTTCTTGTCCCTGGGTAACGGATCGTATGCGCGCTTCATGAAGGATGAATCGGCGAAGACGGTCTTCATGGAGATCTCTACGACGGGCTTGTTCGGCACGTGGACGCGCCCTGGTGGCCCGAATGCGACGATACATGCTGGTGTTGAGGGGCCCGCGCCGTACTGGGATAATGAGGTGGAGGGGAAGGCGCATTTGCTGCTGGATTTCTACGGGGGGGATGGGTATGCGCCGTTTGAGAGTGTGGATGTGAGTGTCTCCCTTTCTTTGCGAGATTGTGTATCGAGAGGTGGGGGATGGGAGTGCGAGTGCTGACCTTTTTTAGGTGGAGAGTGGTGTTTGGACGGCGAGTGATACGGCGGCGTGGCCGAAGCTGTTGAGACATGGGAGTGTACTGCCGGTTACTGATGCGCAGGTTGAGGCTGTGAGGGCGCGGTGGGGGTGAGTGGGTGTTGGACTTGTGATTTGTACATGAAAAGGTGCTGCGGGGCTATCGAGGGTGGCATAAGTGCTGAAAAAGGCGAAGGGGCGGCGATGCAGGAAGGGGAAGGTAAAAAAAAGCAAAGCGTAGCAGGGCACGCTGGAGAAAATGCGAAAGGAAAGAGTTTCGATTGAGTGGAATATCACGCTATACATATCAACCAGAGCAACCAAGTATATAACCCCCTCCTCCAACCCCGTCTACCCATCACATTCCTAATTCTCAAGCCCACTCCCACTCACCCTGACCAGAACCAGCCCGTCTTCCCCTTCCCCTCCCGCACCGCATCCCGCCCACTCCCCCCCAGATCCCTACCCCCATCAACACCAACATCCTGCCCGCGCTGCGTATGCACCGTCTCAGAGCTCTCCTCCCGCCCATCCGCAAACCGCTTCTTGAGCACCATCTTCGTCGTGACCGTGCCATCAGGCGCAACGCTACGTTCTGTCGTCGTCATGGTGGAGAGGATAGAAGGGGAGGGATGTGTGGCTGCTGATACTGGCATATTTGTAGGTGGTGATGACGCAGGGGAGAGGAAGCGCTCATATACATCCATTTCTGTGGATTCCTGCTCCTTGCGCTGCGGTGAGGGCGGCTCGTCGTGCTGGTCTTCGTGGTTATGCGCATAGTCGCGGACTGGGTCTGGGTTTGTTTGATCGCCTTCCCAGGGGACGCGTTTGGGGTACTTTGGCTGTGTTTGTTCCGCGTCGTGCGAGGTGCGTAGGAGGTCTTCGTATGCGGCTCGCCAGTTTATGTTGGCGTGCTTCATTGCGGCGTTTTGCTCGAGGGATTGGGGCGAGTAGGACTCGTCGGATGGGGTGGGTCGACGGTCTTCGCCTCGCATTACTTGGCCGAGTTCGTCGAAGACGTCTTGGAGGCGCGAGGGGTTGGATGTGTCTTTGTTTAGAGTATCGCCTGGGGGCGGCCACTGCCATGTCCACGAGGAGACGTGTGGTTGGGAACGACATTGTTCGTCCTCACGTCGGCGTCCGTCCTCGCCTGACCAGCGCTCCAGCCCTCGCTCGCCAAACAGGAATTTCTTCATCTGTGCCTCCATCTGAACCATTTTCGCGAAGAGATCAGACTCGTCGCTATCCTCATCTCGTCTTGGGATATCCCAATCCCACGAGTCTCCCCATTGCTGACCCTTTTCGTTGGCTACCCTGTCTATCAGTTTCCTCTCGCCCTTCCCATCGTCTTCTCGCTCCGTCGTAGTCCCTACGATGCTCCGCCTCAAATCATCTGCCCTCCGAGTGAGCATCAGGAGGTCCTCGCTCTTCCTTAGCACACCGTGCAGATCACCCGCCTTATACAACTCGCGCCCTTCATCTCGCAGCTTCGCGATATGGCTTTCAACTTTATGCAACTTCTCGCACTCCCGTTTATCCGCTTTTCCGAACAAGCACTGTTCGCGCGCTGCATGCGCATTGCTGTAGTTGGCGAGGGTGGCGGGGAGCGTGAACACGGTGTTCAAGAGGGAGGAGACCTGGGAATCGGCGAAGCGCCGGAAGGCGATGAAGGGGTTGTCTTCGGGACGGTTGGGGTTGTTATTATTGTTTGACATGGTGAATGTATGTATGTTGTGAGGTGAGATGGGTGATGCCTGATGGTGATGGATTGCGGGGGTGGAGACCTAGGTACCGTGATGTACGCGCCACGCGCTCCCACGCGTAATCAGGCGTGTGCATAGCCAACCATCACTCTTTCATCACTCATCATCGAAACTCGAGGTATTGATTGTGATCTACAAGATCTGATGATAGCAGCTCGTTCTAAATTCTTCAAACGTACACACGCCTGGTGTTTTCAGCTGCGCGCTTTCAGCATCGCAACCATAACAACTACCACCCTTGAACCGCTCAACTACCTGCATGCCTGTCCAGATCCTCTGATTAAACTTGTAGGAACGGCCCGCTACTCACTCTATATTCTCATCCCGTACGCCATGCAATGCATGGTTCGGGGATGAAGCACCCGACTTCGTCTTCCCTTATTATACGGGCAAAACTGCACGGGCAAGATCTTGGGCCTTTGGCAAATTTACCTCAAGGCCGAGTATACATTACAAAATTGACCGGCTCTCAACAGTCAAAAGACTGGTATTGATTTGTAAGGCACTTCATACCATCGCTTGAGCACCACAGGCCGAATCAAGAGCATTATGCCACATCTTTCATCCCAAGATCCCGAGAATTAATCCTACGTAATTTCGATAGCGTACAAACATTCCATCGAGTCATTCTTTCTTATCTACTTCCCCAAGCAATCTTCATACTGTCGTGCTACGTCATGTTTCAGGGTTGAAGTATAATCCGTCTTCGTAGCGTTCCTCCTCGCCTCAGTTCCAGTCCTCTCCCCTACTCTACGATCTGAGTTTCCAAGAAGCACAAGACACTACATCGTCATAATCGTCTACAAGATGCAAGGACCCCCATGTGCTTCGAGTTGCAATTCACCGAGAATTTCGGACTAGCCAAGAGGCCAAGTCGGAGATCTACCAAAGCAAGCACACAGACACGAAACCGCGATCCTCGCGGAGTCGCATTCTCGTTGTCATCCAAACAAAGCGGTTCATTATGCAAGTCGGGCATAGACGTGCTCGGCGACGCAATATGACGTTGCAACCAAGACGTCAACAAAATAGTTCGGCGTCTCTTGCAACGTATCATTGCACTGCGGACAGCGAAGCAACGCCGAGGGCAATCACAACTTCACACATCCCAGGATCGACCTTGGACGCCGGCACACACCTTGCTCTATGATCGGCCAAACAAGGAGTGGCATCTCTTGGTACATGCGTACCGTGGGACGATCCACGTCATACGCATTTGTCGAGAGGGTACAAAACTTCGTCGCTGCCCCGGGTTCTCCATCATCACAACCTCCAATACTCAATTCAATCATCTGTTCTGCACTTGCAATAAATACTCTCTACTTCAACCTCTCCAACAACTCTCTACCAAACTCACACCAAACACCATGCGCCCTTCCATCCTCATCGCCTCCCTCCTCGCCGGCATCGCCGTAGCCGTTCCCTACACAGGTCCCTGCCAAACCACAAACTGCGGCGTCGACCGCCTCGACTGCACAAATAAGGGCCACCTCTGCGTCGCGTATCCCGATTCCGACCCATCGCGCAGGCTGGGCTGCACCTGCAGCAGTGGTTAAGGATGTCAAAGATTGTCAGCATTTCAGGTATGCATAGATTTCTAATCTTTGATAAGATGCGTGGGACTAACAGACACTGCAGGAGTTTGTTTATGATGGGATAGTAATTGGAAAAGAGTTTGGATGTGAGCTGGTGTCGCAGACAGTAATAAATAGCATGATGGCGTTGTAAATGAATTGAACCTTATCACATTGAACTCGGGTCGTGTTTGCGAGCGGATGAATTCGTGAAATGGTAGCTGAACAGTTTAACATCTGGTCAAACTTAACGCAACATCTTTATCGTTACCCATGACAGCTAAAACATTTGATAGTTTCACAGGTACCAGACGTCAATCAGAACGAGTCATATCTAGGTTCAACACATTGGAGTATTCCAAAGAACGAAACAGTAATGTCAAACGTTGGACAAACAGATGGACAGCTCTCCTAGTGTCCCCTACACGTATCTTCGCCTCAACTCCTCGTCAAAAAAGAACTGTTCCCGATAACATATCTTGATCGGTGGAATAGTGCAAAAAGATATTTCGACACCTGAGTGATTCGAACACTCGCTCCCGAAGGAACGGGCTTAGCAGGCCCGCGCGTTAACTAACGAGTCAGTTTTGGGTCATGTGACGTTGGATTGATAGTGAACTTACCCACTCCGCCAAAGTGCCATTTGGTTTGATGACAAATAGTAAAAATTGATAGTCAATATAGTTGTAAAATACACTCGCAACAAAGCTCGAGCAGCTATACACTCGACAACCCTCCCGGACTGTGGGGAAGTATTACGTAGCCCGTCCTATGCGGGGCTTACAGCAAACGATACTTGTCCAATCGTTGCGGAGTGGAGGGGCTAAACCAGGAAGATGACAAGGCAATCGCGGCCAATGAGAAGCTGATACATTCTGTGATCTGTACACAGATGGACCGGCTCTGTCATTGACGCACCAATCAAAGAATTCTTGTTCCATGTTTCCTGCAGACTAACACATGCGTTACTAATTTTCAATGTCTTTCGAATTTAACAAAAGACACTGTTGGGATTATTCCTGCCGTGTGAAACCTGAAGGCGCGCTTACATCGTCAACCGTAAAACTACACACCGTCCCCAGCCAACACACCATCTTCAACTTTAGCACATCTTCAGTACTGTGCGCTTTTAGGAAATGAATGTTGGTTTGATATAATTCGTTCTCTTTTATGCCAACTATGCTTTGTAACAACGCTCAGGCTATTGCGAAACTCATACACACCGTAATTCTTTCAAAACTCCATTCCACAGCTTTTGAACATAAAGTCCACCTTCTGTGCACCTGTCGCATTTAAATGATAACATTTCCTAATTTATAAGCAAAATGCCCTGTTGATACACAAACACGATATCAAAGGTCACCTATCAGGTCCTCGGCGTCCCATAGTTGTACACGCGTAACGCGAGCCCCTCTTAGTCAATCGAGAAACCTCAAATCAGGTTGTGACAAAACCTTTCAACAGCCTGACAACTACATGAAAAGCTTATGTTAAACTTGAGCTCCTTAAACATTGATAGTATACGTCTAGACGCTGCTACAAGACCCTTGAACACCAGCAAACCAGATACAATTCCGCGCGATCATCCTCAAAGTGCCCGATCCTCGTAACAGGCAAACCCATCGAGACCAACGGAGATACCGTGGCCAAGCCAGTCCCTAGAGACGTTTGAATCTGGCACGACTCGAAGATCCCATAAAATAGACCAGTCGAAGCCTTTGGGAAGTGTTCCTCCATCATCCCATAGACCAGTTCGGTTTCTCGAATAACCCATAGAAATGGTGGATTCCGCTTGAGAATATCGAGTATCAGACCTTCGTGGCACGCGAACCCATCGATACCATTGAGAGGAGGATAGGCTTTAGTTGAGGATTTGCCTCGGCCTGTGCCCTCAGGTCCTTCTCTATGGCCATGATAAACTTCCATGCACGTCGCATGGCACTGCGATGATACGTATCTACGAAATGGTACGCATTGTCATGTCGACTAGTGGGGATGTATCTGGTCTGTACATGCGTCCCCGCGTGGAAAATGGCATCTGCATTGCCAAAGCCGATACTCTCCTTGAACGTGTTGATCTTGCCCTGGGCATACGCTGGCAGACCCTGGTCGACATATTCATGGCCACCTAGCCATGACTTTGGAGCCTGACTGGAGCTACTTGCGACGACGAGAAGACTGTATGATTGTAACTCAGTGGCTTCGACTCGAATCTCTATGCGAGACAAGACAAACCCGAGTTGTGGCTTGTTTGCCGAATTGCAAACTTCCAGATGGCCTGCTAGCAAGTACATATCGCAATAATACCCGCTACATTGGTAGCATTGGTACGGGCCCCGTACATATTGGCTATGTACACCGGCATGGATACCTTCACTCATCCTATCTGCTACCCTGAAAGTGCAAACGACCCCAGAAACGGAGTTCCATGAACAAGGCCGAGGAAACAGCTCCGACTCATGCCGTGGACATCTACTGGCATGATCACCTGCCGCATGGTAACTGCTGATTTATGGACGCAGCCGTCTTTGCAAGGGATCTTCGAAGTCCCATCCTCGAAAGGGTTCTGTTCTAACGTCTGAATAAGCTCGCCCTTATATGCCTGGTGTGTATGCAGTGCCATAAAGCGAAAGTTGTTGTAAGATGCCGTCTTAGAGACGCATCTTCCGAGTGCTTTAAATGGGCATATGTGGTCGCCGTTTGGAGGCGGCAAGAACGGTACGATAGGCCCTGTTGGACCGGTCATTCCAGTCGCGACCTGCTCAGAGGCGATGTTGAGATTCGGGTTGTTCACACCAACGTCGTCATCTTTTGCCGGACGAGTGGCTTCCGCTTGTCGCTGAGCCTCTATCCTCTCCAACCGTGCCTTTGCTTCTACACACAGGTCAATACAAGACGTGAGCAGTCAATCCACATGTTACATACTTCGGGCCTTTGAACGAAATCGTTCCTTGATCCGTGCTCGTTCGACTGGGTCACTCTCGAACTCCCAGTACTCGGGGATCTCACCCACAAGGACTGGCGGGGGTCGATCTTTCAAGACGTTCGCCCGCGCCATATCCCTTGGGATGGATGATGGTGCTTTGATCGTCGTTAGCTTCCCGAAGTACTGTGCGGGAGAGCCCTCGAACACGTCCCGGTACTCTTCGACGATGTCTTCCAAACCAGGGAGTGGCTCAAACGCGTACTTGTGCTTCTCGTCGTTGATCGTGTCCTCAAACCCACCATTATCAGCCAATGACAGTGGGTTGTCCACGGACATTGTGGCTACTTGAGGAACATCTTGTTTGGTCGATGAAAGCTTCGGCGACGTCTCTCTGAGTGTCGAAGTAGAGGAAGGGTTGGTCACTGGCTTGAAAAAGGAGTGTAGAGTGAGCTTTGGAGCGATCTCCTTGCTCTTCTGTTTTGCCATTGTGTTGAATAAGTGGTAAGTGTAGTCGTCATTGGCTTCCCGAAGTGCTGCGCTGGCGAGCTTTCGAAGACTTCCCAATACCCTCGCACCAGGTCTGCTCGACCAGGAAGTGGTTCGAATGTGTAGTCGTACCTCTCTTTAACTGTTATATCCTCCAAACCACTGTTGGTAGTCAATGACGGTGGATTGTCGACTTTTTTCCAATTGCCGAAGGACGTGGCGTGGGATGCTGTTTTAAGGAACGAATGTAGCGTGAGCCTTGGAGTGCCCTCTCGTTTTGTCATCGTGTCAAACAAGCGTGGTGTGTTGATATTGTTGAGTTGGCGGGGCGGTAGGACGATGGCTTCGCGTTACGCGTGTGTGGGGCGCCGTTTTCACCGCGGCGCGTTGTCGCCGAAGACCCGGTTGGAGACCTCTAGTTTCGTGTATGCGTGTAAACATCATGGCCAGTTTTGAATCAACTGTAGATTGGAAGACACCTTTCTATCTTACATCCTTCACCGAAAGTCGTTTGCATATCCTCAACCTTCAGTGCTAGAACTACTTGTGCATGACGAACGGCTTAATCAAGTCGTACTTATATAATGATAGTGGTGCCCTGTGTGATTGAGGAGAGTATGTTGGACTCATTTGAATTCCGCCCTTTTTCCCTACATCATCACAACAACTCTATTACAGGGTATATGCATCTAGCATATGGTTTAGTTCTACTATCCCATCATTTGGCATGACGCAGCCTAAGGAACTAAGAACGAATCATACCTTTCCAATCGCTCAACCATGCTGCATATCCCTTACGGGATCAACAGCACCAGTCTCGTCGTGTCTCATGTACCCCGCTCTGCCGCGCAATCTTATCAGATCATCAGGCCCCATCCGGCATCCGACATCGCACGCTCACTGCAAAATTACCAATCGCCGAAAGATCTCCGTCCAGTCGAACAAAGAGATTGCTTGGCCTTGACGCCGGCATGCGTGTGTTGGGACGAAGATCGGACAAGAAGCAATGAACTCCGTGACGGAATGAATCGGATAGCACGAAGAGTCACGCAGAAGATGAATATACATGTCTCATGAAGTCTGCATTAAAGCTCTAAGCTATCTATGTATGCTACTAGGCAGTCGGGGTATAATCGTCAGAGTCGTCGTCCTACTTTCTGCTGTTTCCAAGCGTCGTGATGATACCGGCGGCGTCGAGCTCCATCGCGCTGTAGCTGCTAGTTCCTTGCATCGGGTCTGGTGCAGACTCGCCCGCTGCTGCGCTGGCAGCAAGATCACGACAGGCACAGTTGCTGATGTCGGTGCAAAATCCGCAGCTTTCGTGCTCATTGTCCAACATGAAGTTGATGGAGGCGCGTGGATCGGGGTAGGGCTGCTGGGCTGCAGACCTGCTGGTGAAGTCCATCTCTACCTCGGAGAATGCTTGGGGCGTCTGCGTTGTCGTCTGCGCTGTCGTCTGCGCTGTCGTCTGCGTCTTCTTCGTGGTTGACCTGGCAGGCAGAGCCACAGCAGGCTCATAGTCGTCGTCCAGCGTCACCTGGTTCGCAATGTCGGAGATGCATGGGCACTCGCCATTGGGCTTGCACTTGCCACAGCCGTCAGGAATCTCCGTCTTGGGAGTGTTGTACGCAAAGCTGGGCGAGTCCTCCTGGCGTGCTTCATGCACAGAACTATTGGGGAAGGGCATGGTGATCATGGGGGAACTCTGTTGCTGGGAGTGGGAGGCCAGTCCCCGCTCCTTCTCCCTTTGCTCGAGCTCCATGCAGCGGTTGTGCCAATAGTTGGTCTGCTCCTGCTGCTCGCGAACGGCGTCTTTCAACTCGGTCACCTCCTCCTTCAGAGCTGCCACAGTCGCCATCTTCCTCAGGCGGAAGGCTCGCTGGGACTCGCGGTTCTGGGCCTTGCGCTTTGACGCAGGCTCGTCAGTTGCGGGCTTGCGCCCAGGCTTTGGCCGCGGCGGGACGACATAGCTCTTGCCTGTCGGACCCCCTCCAGAGGAGGGGCCGGCAAGCGCCTGCTTTGAGGACGCCGTGGCAGAAGAGCCCTGCTGGCTCAGGTGTGTGGAAGGCAAGGTGCGTGCCACGAGGGCTGTCAAATGTATTAGTAAGGTTGCAGGACAGAACGACGACTTGACTTACATCGTGCGGTCAGACGTTGGTCGGGGTTGGCAGTCACATGAGGCACCAACGTTGACTGCGGCTGCGGCTGCAACTGCGGCTGCAACTGCTGCTGCACCTGCGACTGCACCTGCGACTGCGACTGCGACTGTGACGGGCCGCCTAGCTGGAAGGTCTGATTGCCTTCGTAGTCGGGAGGAGTGAGCGGAGGAAGAGGGCCGCCCAACATGTCAAACGCCGGCTGGACATAAGACGAATAAACGTCGAAGGGGTTATCAGATGGGATGAAGACGTTATCAGATGGGAAGAAGGCGTTATCAGATGGAGCGGCTGTTATCAGATTAGATGAAAACTCCGATCGGCCGACGACAATGCCGCCAAGCTCGGAGCGGGACGGAGAAAACTCACCATTGTAGCCGTTGTAGTAGTATTGAGCCATTCCGCTTTGGATTAGCTCTGGCACTAGGCCATCCTGTCTATCGTTGTAGAAGAAAGTGTTGTCCATTGTTGATATCTACACAATTTTTGCAAGGTGGTGCGAAAATGTTCAATGTTAGTATACTCTTATCAAAACTTGATGAGAGTATGAAGCTGATGGAAGAACAATAATACAGCTGTTATCTCTTTTATGTATTTCCTCATCCTGCTGTTTGGTTACCTTTCCTACTATGAAAACCCGTTCAGTCACTACTCCTCTTTCTTTTCTGGTTCTCATTTCGAAACTTCCTGCCTAAATCAAAACAATGGTTCAGAATCACTCCTTTCTGGTTCATCAGTCTCTGCAGCAAAAAAATTCTCAAAGGGAAATATGGATCCATTTCCAAATCTTGTTCGAAGACCTGCCAGTAACTATGACACAATCAATGTCGTGCCTGCTACACTACAGCTAGTATACGCTCCTACATTCTGTCCATTAGTAGTTTCCAGAGGTATGGTATTGCTGCTCAGGGAAGTTTCACGATGATGGTCAATATCTGGTAAAGATCACGAAACTACATAAATATCCAAATTGGCATCACTATATTACAAGTAGGAGCCTCTACATCTGGCTGAACAGCAACTGCCATTCCTCTCCACAAGCGTGACGGCATGATTCTACACTTGATCCACAGTGAAGGAGGAATGACCGGCACAGCCAATCCATCTACCCCTATTTCCCAGCTAGCAGCCTCGTCCTCGACCAGGAAACCACAACTGGCATCTTTGGCACTGGTTCTTCTTCTCTGATTCCTTCACAACTGAGCCGGAGAACCACCCCGGGATCCACTTATCGACGACAAATCACTCTGAGCAGAGCTTGGAGCATCATTCTCGTATTTTCGGTCAGTGGAGACTCCTGGAAGCACGGTGCAGTAAAATCTTGCAATAGCTAGGCAACTACATCTCAGAGTACTGTGGGGGGTTTGTGCTCAATCTTCAAGTTGTATGTGCCTAGCAAGCACTTTTGTAAACTTGATTGGCGTGGTTTTACAGCTTGTAGGAGCCACATAAGACGTAGGTTACTTCCCACGTTCACACCTGAGCAGGAGTTACGGTCGATCTTTCCACACAGATTACTCCGACTTGTGACAGAGTGTTCTGCACTCCACAGTTTACCTCGATGTTCCCCATTGGAGTGTGATTCCTTGGGACTAAGCTCCAGCCCCCTCCTCCATGATCCACAGTGCAAAATCTCCATGCAATGCAAATACAGACCCCGCTACTCTTTCGCACAACAATGCTCAAGATTCTTGATCCGAGTTCTGTCTTGCTGTTCCGATCTCCAGCCTCTGTCCCATCGATCAGTGGTACGATCACTGTGGGCCTGCCAGCCAACTGCCCATACGGTACTGCTCCAAACATCTCTTTCACGCCAACGTCTAGTTTCAGCCTACGATGCTACACATTCCGGAACGGGCCGCCATATAATGGTTCACATGGACGCATTAGTCGTCGTGCCAGACTTTCTAACATACATTGTTACATCACCGATGACTGCAGCCTACGTGGAATCAGTTTGGAAACGTACGCAGAAATCTGGACATGTCGATTGACCTGGCCAATTGATAGAGTGGATCGGGACTCTCAAACAGAAGAGAAAGAAAAAATTGGCCAAGGTCAGGAGTCCTCGCTGAGACTTGACGCCGGCCTATGGTACGAAGTGCAGCAACAATGAATACGTCGTGCTTGAGTAATGACTACAGATTGGTGTGTCTTTCCATGATCTTCTACAACATTTCCATACTCACGTCACATCGACTCCCATCGTCCTACCTCTGCCCTTTCGTCACGTCCTGCTAATTCCCATCCTCCCCCCCCCCCAACCCTTTCACCTCAAGACCTGCATTCCTCTTCGCCCTTTCCCAGCATATCTCCGCCCACTTATTCCAACGCGTAATTATTCCATGCACCATCCCACCAATCACCCCATCGAGCATATGAGGCTGCTAGCGCGATATACACACACTGATAGTTTGGGTCGGTACACCGTTTCGTTCCATGGACCCTTTACGTTACGTTACGTATCGTGCTGTCCAACGGCGGCTCTGCGGGGGCGGATGGGTACACGTGTGAGTCATTCGCAGATATCGCATGTACTGCAGTTTATTTGCTTGGGATGTTGGTGGTGATGAGTTGTGCGTATTCGGAGAAGAGAAGAGAAGAAAAGAGGACATGCATGCAACAGATCAACGGGGAAAAACATTGTATTTGCCTCGCCTCGCCTCAGCTCGACGTGCAGCAAAACTCCCCAACGCCAATACAACGTAAACATCATACCAAATCCAGACCTCAAACCCAGCGGACATCGCCCGCATGACCTGAACCACGGATATCCCAAGCTCTGTATCCAAATCCCAAACGCCGTACTTCTCTGACCTTCCAGCCCCGTCTATGCACTCGCTCTGAAGACCACGCTACCGCCATGTCTCCACCTGACCGTCTCCCTCGCGGCCATGACGTGCAATGCACGACCGAGAGCCTGCTCGCTGTAGCCCTTTCCGTCGACCATCTCCCTCTTCAGCGTGCTGAGATTGACCTGCCAGCCAATGGGCATGCGTCTGCGCAGCTCCTCCTCCACCTTGTTCACTTCGTCCATGAGTTCTTTGCTGCTCTGCCCGCCGCCCTGTGTCACAGCGTCCATAGTGGATGCGAGGAACAGGCGAATCGCCTCGTCAACGTGCGACTCGTCGGCGATGGGGGAGAGGCTGAGTTTGGCGAGCGACTCGGTGATGCGGATGATGGCTTCTAGTTGACGAACGGTGATGGGAATGCTGGAGCGTTGATTGGCGTTCATTTCGGAGGCATGTACTTGTCGTCTAATGCTGACGAAGTGGGAAGATAGTTTCTCAGCTGCCTCGGGGGAGAGACGTGGAGCGCATCGTGATCGACAGTATGTGATGTAGCGTTTCATTTTCTCGATGGAGATCTCAGCTTGTACGGTTTCTTCGACACCGCGCCCGCCCATGGCGATGCCCATAACGTGCTTGGCGATGCGTTCGTCACGCCCGCGGTCGTGTTCGTCGCGCACGATGAAGATCATGTCGAAGCGAGACAGAATCGTGGTCTGAAAATCGATGTTTTCGCCGGGCGTTTTCATATCGTCGTAGCGGCCGAAAATAGGGTTAGCTGCAGCCAGAACGGATGTTCGCGAGTTGAGGATCGTGGTGATGCCGGCTTTGGCAATAGAGATTGTTTGCTGTTCCATAGCTTCGTGGATTGCGACACGGTCTTCGTCGCGCATCTTGTCAAACTCATCGATGCAGACTACGCCACCGTCGGCCAGGACCATGGCGCCGCCTTCTAGGTAAAATTCGCGCGTGTTGTGGTCGCGCTGAACGGAGGCTGTCAGACCGGCTGCGGAAGATCCCTTACCGGAGGTGTAGATAGCGATTGGGGAGACTTTCTCGACGAACTTGAGGAGTTGAGATTTGGCGGTACCCGGATCACCAAGAAGTAGCACGTTGATATCGCCACGAAGTTTCATCCCATCAGGGAGAATCTTCTTGGAACCGCCCATCAGTAAACACGCAATGGACTTTTTGATGTCCTTGTTCCCGTAGATAGATGGCGCAATGCAGTTGGCGAAGACCTCGTAGATATCAGGTCTTCTGCTCATCTCCAGAAATTCTTGCTCTTCTTCTTCGGTGAAGACTGCGTTGCCTTTGGTGGTGTGGTCTACATCTGCATGAATTCCAACGGCACGAATGTAGGGGTTTCGAATAGCGACCGCGGCGTTGCCCGCTCGTTTGGAGCCCTTCTGCTGGTATATGGAGAAGATGCCCATGACTGTGCATCGCGTACCAGGAACAACACGATTTGCGAGATAGCGGTCTGCCGAGATCATGATGTGTCGCGGCAGTTCTCCGACAGGGACCTGATCTGGCGCCTCCTGCACCTTGAGCACTTGCTGATCGATGAACTGACATCGCTCGTGTAATACGTAGTATGGGTCCAGCGGGCACTTGTCCGAGGAGTCTCCCTCTGCTCTTTTCCCTGCGCACGTCCGGGGGAGTGAGATGCCTGAGAAACCGCCTGAGACAGGCAGCATTTCCTCATGTTGGCAGTTCCGGCACCGGATGGCTAACGCGGTGGATTTGGATGAGAGTGTTGAGGCGCCGATGACGATGCCTGGTATGCGCACAAGATGCGAGACATGTGACGCGGTGAGGTCGCGAATTGAAAGCTCTGAAGCGGATGTATGGAGAAGCAGCTGGTGCTCGGGAAGCTTGATGTTTTTCTGCGAGGGGTAGACGATGCGATGCGTGCACTGTTTGATAGCCGATTCAAACTACGTCGTGTCAGCGTAGTCATGAAAGGCAGGGTACAGGGGACGTACAAGTGGCACGATCTCGGCGGGGTCCTGCTTGAGCTTGTGTGCGAGCTCGTCATTGTATACTATAAGGTGGGCAATGTCGACGTCGCAATAGTACTGTTTTACCAGCACGTTTTCGCGAATCTGGTCTCTACAAGGGAGTCAGGACAACCCTCATCAACTGTAATGTCAAACATGCCTGTAGATAAAAGCATTGTCCAGGGTAAAAGACATGATAAAGTCGACCAGCGCTTGCTGGATGCGCGAAGGCGCGGCCACATCTTGGGGCTCATCGCCCGTCTGGGTGCCGAAGAGGCTGATGGAGTATGCGGTCTGCCTGTCTGCCATTTCGTCTGCTGTGTGGTGTTGTGAGGGGTCGATTCACGGACTCGTGCAGTTATCGTTCCGTCGCCCCGGAGACGCGAAAGTCGCGTTCGCGTTTTCCCATCTGTCACGTAAGCACTTAAGGCCGCATTGGGCTAGTCTTTTCCGCGGGAGCATCTCATATATCTCCAAGAATGCATTGCAGCATCACGCCTAAGATCATCAGATCTGTCTATAAAAATAACGGTTACTGCACAGAGCAAATCTTGTTACTCGTCATAAAACTTGGATGGTTTAGTCATATCTTCTCATAGTTATGTTCAGTTCTGTACATCACACCAGGTTGACAATCTTCTACATATATTCTATCCATGTCTTGTTAACTCTTCTTCTTCTCTTCCCTTTTCTCATTGGGCCTAGTTCGCTGTAAGTGTATCAGACAGGATTGTAGAAGTTTTGAAGCAGCAGTTTAGGTTCTTGGGATATGAAATGAACACTACTGAATCTCGAGGCCACTGCTCTGAATAGATTCGAGTTTGACAGTGTGCTTGCGGGATTAAATTGACCTGTGGGTGTGTTTCCATGAGGAAGAATGATAGATTGTAGTGGTTTGGCAATGTCGATATGAACGTCCACAAATTATTTGATTTCTTCCGCTATTTGGGACATACAAAGTTTCAAAAGAGGGCAGAAAAATTAATCGATTAGATAACAGTATAATTTAACAACATTAACGCAATCGATGAAGAACAAACACTGTATCAAGTGAATCGAGGGGCGTAGTCCAATCCCTAGCGCCCTCCGCTTGGCTCTCCCGAACCTCCGACCAAACTTTCGACACCTCCTCGCTCCACCCATCACCACCTCCCCACCCGCAATGGCACACGCACGGCACCTCGCAGCTCCTCTGAGCAGACTAACCCCCCTCCCCCTCGCCGCCCCATCCCTTTCAACAACCCCCCGCCTCGCCACGCCCCTCTACCAAACCATACGATGCGCAACCACCAAAGCCCAGCCCAAGAAGAAGAAAAAGGCCCGAAACACCTTCCTCCAACAAGACCTCAAGAAAGCGCAGCAATTCTCCCTCCTCGACGCAATGCACTACATCCGCGCCTTCGAGGTCGGCCGCAACCCCTCGTCCTCGAAATACGAAGTCCACGTTAGACTGCGCACGCTGAAGAACGGGCCCGTTGTACGTAACCGGCTGCGTCTGCCGCACCCGGTTAAGACGGATATTAGGATCTGTGTGATTGCGGCGCCGGATTCGAAGGCGGCGGCTGAGGCGCGCGCGGCGGGCGCGACGCTTGTTGGCGAGGATGAGGTGTTTGCGCTGATTAAGGCGGGTGTTGTGGAGTTTGAGCGCTGTATTTGCCATGTTGATTCGCTGGCGAAGATGAACAAGGCGGGGCTGGGTCGTCAGTTGGGTCCTAAGGGGTTGATGCCGAGTACTAAGACGGGGACTGTCGTCACGCAGGTGGGCACCAGTGTGAGGAATATGGTGGGCGCGAGTGAGTACAGGGAGAGGCTGGGCGTGATTCGTATGGCGGTTGGGCAGTTGGGGTTTACGCCAGATGAGATGCAGAGGAATGTCAAGGCGTTTATGGATGCGCTGAAGAAGGATATTGCGCAGCTGGGTGATCGCATAAGCAAGGAGGTGCATGAGGTGGTATGTATTTCCCTCTCCGTTCGTAGATGTATGGTGGCTAATAGTTTTTGTAGGTACTCAGCTCAACCAATGCGCCGGGCTTCACGCTCAACGGCGACTTTAGGGGCGCAAACTCCATCTCGCCAAAGGAGTTGTCGGGGCCGTTGTAGATGTTGCATGTATGTAGTCTTACCCATGAGTTGTACAACCAATGTACTATATGAACGCCCTCGCTATGCTTGCGTCATCCATCCCCACGCTCATGTCGTCGTCTTCAACGACCTCAGAACCTTGACTGCTTCCGCCGACTCGTCCATATCGGCGTAAATCTTCATAACCTTCATGATGCGCCCCGACCCCGCAGTTCCAGCCTTCTTCGCCTGCCCCAGCGCCGCACTCAAATCAAGCAGCAGCGTACTCCGCACCATGAGCATCCTGTGCGTCTGCGCCGCGATAAACGGATGTCCTTGCACCCCCTTCTCCAGCTCCTGAATGAGGCGATACTGCGCGACAGTCCTAGCAAGCTTCGCAACAGACACGCCATACGCGCCTTCCTCCTCATCATCCTCCTCTTCATCACTATCCTCCACCTCCTCATCCCCATCCCCCTCCCTCCCCCTCCCATCAACACGCAACTCAGTCTCCAATTCCCCCACCCTAGCATCCCACTCCACCAACCGCCTCCCAATCTCAATCCCCCGCCTCACCCCCCTCCGCTCCCCAAGCAACCCAGCAACCTCCTCCTCCCTCCTCCCCACCCCCTCCCTTAACCCATGCACCTCCTTCCGAAACCCCAGCAAGCCCACCCTCACGCCCTCAACCCGCTCCTCGCCACCATGCAGACTATTCCCCAGATTCAGAAAATCCTGATAGTTCCCGTTCACGAGGTCGAGCAGCTCTTTACTCAGGAGCTGGGAGCGCGAGCGCAGTTCGGCGCGCAGGTCTTCGAGCGTTTGGTGCTGCGAGCGCCGACTGGAGAGGTAGGTGGCGGGGGTGAAGTTTGGGGCGAGGAAGTCGGCGCGTTGGAGGGGGAGGGGGTAGGGGAGCGCGAGGGAGGAGGTGGTGGATGAGGTGGTGGAGGTTGATGAGGGGGTGGGTGAGGGGGAGCGCGAGGAGGGGAGCTGGTTGGGGATGTTAGTTTGGGTATTCAAAGAGGGTTATGGGGGCTTACATAGAATTTACTCATCGCTGCGGGTGGATGATTTGGTGTTTGGCCATTTACGTGTGTGTGTATGGCGATGGACGCGTCGAGGTCGGAATAACGTTTACCGGCGATAAGCCTCGGAAGCGGGCGGCCTAGATCGATCAATCTACCCCACTGTACCGTACGTCATGTACTCGATAGTTGATGCAATGCTGAATCCCGTCCGGATATCCTCATCCTCGCCCCCTCTCTAACACTGCACATGGTCGACGCTGCAAAAGACCAGAAAGGACCCCATAAGATGCCCCAGCTCCCCACGCCCGCGCTTCCCGAGCCCGCGCATCCAGAGGTAGACTCGATGCTGAGCCGCCGGTTTGGCAAGGAGATTGCGAATTACTACTCCGGTAGGTTCTACGACTCCTTCCCAACGGCATGAACCAAAAGATTGATTGTTGTTCAGGCTCCCCGTTAAACCGCGTCGGCTTCCTACGCACAGACAACACGTTCCTCTCGCTCGCACTCCGCCACCCCAGCACGACAGTCCTGCTCTTCAAGAACCTGGAGCCGCTTCTAAAATCGCCCAGCGAGCTTGCCACCGTAACCTTCGACGACGTCAAGTCCGTCATCGGCGATGACCCGTTTGGCCGCCCCGAGGCAGACACAATCGCCCAGTACAACTCCTCCCTGTACATCCCGCAGATCATCTTCCTCGGGCTGGACGAGCGCAAAGAGAAGGAGGGGTTCGTGTACAGGGAGCATTACAAGGGGCAGCCGTGGTTTGCCGTGGACGTGACGCCCAAAGAAAGCGTGACAGATGCGGCGGAGAAGTTGATCGAGAAGGTGAAGAGCGAGGGTCTGGACTTTTCAAAGGGGCGCATGAACATGAGTCTGCACGCGCAAGAAGGTATACCTATCCCCCCATAATCACATCCACATCCACACCCCCTCCAACATCTAACCCGACAAAGCCGCCATCTACGCCGAAGCCCGCCACCTCCTCGACTGGAACGCACGAAACCCCTTCTGCGCCTCCTGCGGCTACAAAACCCTCTCCGTAAACGCTGGCTTCAAACGCACCTGCCCGCCCGCCGACATCGCAAACGCCGTAACCGACACAAACGCCCGCCCCCCCTGCGCAACACGCACCGGCATCTCCAACCTCTGCTTCCCGCGCACAGACCCCACGGTAATAATGGCCGTCGTCTCCGCAGACGGGCAGCGCATCCTACTCGGCCGCCAGAAGCGCTGGCCGCCGCACTGGTACAGCACGCTTGCCGGCTTCCTCGAACCCGCTGAGAGCGTCGAAGAAGCTGTGCGGCGCGAGGTGTGGGAGGAATCCGGCATTCACCTCGGGCGCGTGGTTATTCACTCGACGCAGCCGTGGCCGTATCCGGCGAATCTGATGATTGGCGCGATTGGGCAGGCGATTCCTGAGGGGGAGACGGTGCATTTGGGACATGATGCTGAGCTTGAGGATGCGAAGTGGTTTAGTGCTGAGGAGGTTAGGGAGGCGTTGAGGGTTGGGACGAGTGGGCTGGGAGAGGATGCGGGGAGTGAGTATAAGGAGGGGGGGTTGAGGTTGCCGCCTTCGACTGCGATTGCGAATCAGCTTATGACTGCGGTTGTGAATGGGTTTGCGAGCGGGAGTCCGATGATTTAGGGGTGGGATGTAGAAGGGGAAGAAGAAGATATAGATAGATATACGGGGGGGGGGTTGTAGATGCTATCAAGTAAAGCATTCATTCGCATCATTAGATTCATGACCTTCCGCCCACCCACTAACTCAATCAATCACTCATATCGCTCTCCAGCAAATCCTCCACAATATCATCTTCCGTGATCGCCATGCCCCTCATCCTCTCCCGCTTTACACTCACCACCGTGTTCTCCTCTTCATCATCATCATCATCTTCTTCTTCATCATCCTCCTCCTCGTCAAGTTCAAGCGGCATCCGCGTCCCCTCGCCCTGCATACCAGCGAACATCGTATCGTCGTCCTCCATCTCCACATCGCCATCCGCATCGACACCAACACCGACATCCTGCCGTACAGACCCCGCGTCCGTTTCGGCATCAGTCTCCGTCTCCGTCTCGCGCGACACGCTCCGTTGGACCTTTCCATCAGCCTCAGCCTCAGGTTCAGGCTCAACAGACGTCTCCGCCGCCCTCCCGGGGGTAACCGTCGCATCCGACTCCGCCCCCTCTTCATCCCCGCGATCCAGATCCCCCACCACCTTCTCCAGCGCGGCCTCAAGTTTCGCCAACGCATTCCGCTGCGCAGCATCAGTCCCGAGTTTCGCCTCAACAGCCTCCGCGACTAGACCATGCAGGGCGTGCAGATCGTGTGTATTCGCCCCCGCCTCTGCGGGCACAACGTGCAGTTTGGCAAGCAGCATGAGCAGCGGCTTGCGCTCATCTTTCGAGCAGGTGTTCGACAGTGCGCGCTCCAGCACCGCGATGGCAAGGTGCACATGCGCGTCCTGCGCGTCGGGAACGTTATGAAATTTCCCATCCAGACCGAGCGACGTCGCGCCGACGACTTTACGGCCGTCTGTCCACTCCGCCAGATGCGCCGTAACAACGGGCCAACCGACCATTTCATCCGCCTCCTCCTCAACCGATTCATCGCGCATGAGGAGTAATTTGCTCAGTACGGGCACGGCGACTTGTGCCATTAGGCCGACGTTTTTGAGCTTGCTGTGGCAGAAGACGGGGAGGAAGTAGCTGAGAGCCTGGCGGAGGGCGAGGTTCGTGCCCGTCTCCGGGTCGAAGTAGGTCAGGGTGAAGGATTTGAGGATATCTGCTGTTGGGGCGGGGGGTAGGATGCCCATGAGGAGGAGCTTTGATGCGGCGGTGCAGGCGACGAGGCTGATGCGCTTGTTGTCGCTGTTGAAGGCTTTGACGAGGAGTTTGGTGATTGGGCGGACGAGGAGGTTGGACTTTGGTTCTAAGTCTTCGGATGAGGCGTTTGGGTCTACGGCGGGGGGAGCGAGGAGTTGGGGGTGCGTGATTATTGCGTCGGTTAGGACTTGGATTACGATTTCTTTGAGGGCGTCGTGGCCTTTTGTGAAGCAGTGGAAGAAGAGTTCGAGGTTTTTTAGAGCGAGATCCTGGGTTGTTAGTTTGTTGATGTGAAGTAGGGAAGGATGTGACTTACTTTGCTAAGAAGTGCCGCCAAACCCAGACAGATGACTCCACGCTCTCGAATCATCGACTCATGCGATTGAACAGCCGGAATAATGAGGGTGTTGAGAATGCTTGTCAGTGAATTGTCGGTCTCCAAATCGCGATGCACGTTCTGAAGTGCGCATTGAGCGATGTGGAGACACTTCGAGTACACCATAGTCTCTCGGATGCGCTGCTCTTCCTCCTCCTCTGGATCAAGCTCCTTTCCAGTCTTTGCCCTCTTTGCCGGCCTGATGAAAGCTGCATTCTCTTGGACATCAGATGCAGCAGAGTGCACGCTTCCATCCACATCGCTACCAGCTTCCATTCCCGTGTCCTCATCCCCATCGAGGAGTGAATCGCGAACTTCAGCAATCGCTTCCACAATCAGTGCGCAGAACTCCGACTCGCCACGCGTCCCACATGTCGCACGCAGAACCTCAATGGCGAGCTTTGTGCATTCTTCCGGGAGTTGGGCCTTTGCCATGGCTTCACGCATGATGTTGTACATCTGCCGACGTCCCACCTCGTCCGAGTAGTCGAGACTCAGTGCGATGTGCAGCAGCTGCTGGACGATGAAGTCTCCTTCCTCGACGTCGTCTTGAGCTTCCTCGGCGTCTGGGTGGTCTTCGTCTAGGACTGCGGCAGTGTCGACGACTTCCATGAGCTTGTTCAGTTCACGCTGGATGATGTAGGCAAACGCAGTCACCTCAGGCATCTTATCCTCGAGTGTGTCTTGCAGCCTGTCGTCCTGAACGCTCTGGCAATAGTCGTTGAGAGTGCGAACGATAAAAGCCTTCTGCGCGTCGAGATTGTTCCAGAACTCGTGGTCAAAGGTGATGTATTCTCGGTAGTCCGGTCGGCCGTCCCACAGCTCCCGCATCGCCTCGTGTGCCATGCCATCTTCTTCTCCAGATCGCGTGACTTCAATGCGCTCGAGGAGCTCACACAGAGCCTCTAGATTAGGTGGAACGACCTCACCCGGTATCTTCTCCTCTTCTGGACGATTGTCACGTGAAGCAGCGCAGTTTTCCAGCCATCGCTGGCTGAAGAGACGGGCAGCGTGTTTCCGCACCATGTCGTCTCGGTCACGCAGTCCCCATCGGATGAGTTTCTCCCTCTGCACGAGGGACATGTGTCGGAAGTCGCCTAGCTTTGGTAGAATGGTCTTGTAGACTGCTCTTCGCGCTGCCGGGTCCATATCACGGGCGCGTTCGAACATGTACGTCAGGGTTGAAGGTAGCAGGGGCAGATTGTTGAGCACAGCGCGTCGCACTTCAGCGCTGGGATCGTGGATCATTACTTCGACAAGCTTGCTCAGGATACTGCCCGCAGCATCGTCGTCGCTGTCTTCGTCTTCCTGCTCGTCATCGTCACTATTCGATAACCGACCCAGACAAAGGATGGCCTGAACACGGACAGAGGGCTCCTTGTCGCGTAGCCGCTTCATCAGTCCGAGTCTGAGCAGGTCGAACATGTCGTTGTCGATGGTTTCGAGGCTGTTCATGATGTGCGCGATTGTTTGTGTGGCGCGGAAGCGTATCGTCTTATCTTTTGCGGTGAGGAAGCCAATGATGGTAGTGAGGACCTGCGATATCAGACGGTTGGTAGGCCTCTCATGTTCAGGCGTTGCATCTTCTTCAGCCTCGGCTGCATACATGGCCGCGTCTGCTCAAGTCAGCACTTGAATCCATGATGAAAGCAAACACGCTCACCCTTCTCCGAGGCGTGCTTCAAGAACAAGCCCAGAAACCTCACCAGTCTGTCCCCCACCGACTCGCTCTTCTTCACGCCCAAAACTCTCAACACACACCTCACGATCTCCGTGTTGAAGTCGTCCTGGTCGAAGTCCTCGTGCGCATCCATCATGGCGTTCTTCCCCTTCTTGCCAGTCTGCGGCGCCTCGAAACAACACGCTTCCTGGATCTTCCTCAAGTTGACCACCAGCTTCCGCTGTGTCGTTGTTGTCTTCTGCGCATCGCCGAAGATCTGCGCGACTTGTGTGCGCAGCGACGTGGCGGGTCCTTCATCGGGAATCTCGACGGCGTGTGCAGACTGGCGTGCGGAGGCTGTGCGTGTTGATTTGGTGGATGTGGTCGATGTGCGCGGTGCGCGCGTCGATGTGCGGGCGGGCATCGCGTTGTGTGCAGTCGTGTTTCGTGGCCTGGCAGTTCTGGCGCCGTCGTCTGATGTTGTGGACTTGGCTTGTTGGTGGTGTTGTGTTTACTCATCCCCATGCGGAAAGCGCGGGGGCGAAGGTACGCGAAGACAAGGCTGTCCCCACAATTGCGACATCGGACGCACTTCGCGCTGATTCGCTGACGACATCATCGCGAGTTTGGAAATTGTTCCAACCCTTCTCCATAACCTTGACTGGTAGCTTTGCATAATATACAAGCTGCGACAATGTTCAGAACAGCTGCGCGCAGTTTCGCGGCCTCTGCGCTGCGCAGTGCAGAGGTCAAAATAGCATCAGAAGCCGGGTACGCCACCGGGATAAACATCTCCAAAGCCCAAGGCATTGGGCAACGGGGTTTCATAGACGGTACTTCTCCTTCCAAATACCTACAACAAATACTAACCCATCCCCAGCCATCGGCAAAACACCCCTCATCCGCCTCAAGAAGCTCTCCGAAGAAACGGGCTGCAACGTGCTCGGCAAAGCAGAATTCCAGAACCCCGGCGGCAGCGTCAAAGACCGCGCCGCCCTCTTCGTGGTCGAAGCCGCGGAGAAAGCCGGCCTCCTAAAACCCGGCGGCACCGTCATCGAAGGCACAGCAGGCAACACGGGCATCGGGCTCGCGCACGTCTGCCGCTCAAAAGGCTACAAGCTAGTCATCTACATGCCCAACACGCAATCGCAGGGCAAAGTCGATCTGCTGCGCCTGCTCGGCGCAGAAGTCTACCCCGTCCCCGCCGTCGCCTTCGAGAACCCGGAGAACTACAACCACCAGGCCAAGCGCCACGCAGAGCGCCTCGACAACGCAGTGTGGACAAACCAGTTCGATAACACGGCGAACAGACAGGCGCATATCGAGACCACGGGCCCGGAGATCTGGTACCAGACTGAGGGGAAAGTCGATGCGTTTACCTGCGCAACGGGGACGGGGGGCTCGCTTGCGGGCGTAACGCGATACCTCAAGGACAAGTCTGAAGGGCGCGTGAAATGCTACCTCGCTGACCCCCCTGGGTCGGTGCTGCACTCGTACATACAGTCTGGCGGTAAGCTGCCCCAGCGCGGCGGCAGCTCCATCACAGAAGGCATCGGCCAGGGCCGCGTGACAGATAATCTCAAGCCTGACATTGACCTGCTGGACGGCTCGCTGCATATCAGCGACGAGAAGACTATCGAGATGGTGTACCGCTGCTTGGACGAGGAGGGCCTGTATCTGGGTGCTAGCTCGTGTCTGAATGTCGTCGCTGCGAAGGAAGTCGCTGAGAAACTGGGCAAGGGACATACCGTCGTTACCCTGCTTTGCGACGGCGCGTATCGCTATGCTGATCGGCTGTTTTCGAGGAAGTGGCTTGAGGAGAAGAAACTTTATGGCGCAATACCAGAGCGGTTGACTAAGTATATTGTCTTGCCGTAAGGGGAGTGAGTGGGTGGAGAATGTGTAGGTGGGTAGGATATCTGTATATACGTCAAAAGTTTCAAGGCGAGGTCGGGACATGAATGTAAAAAATCGGGGGTTATTTTCTAGTGTCATCATCAGACTCAATTCTAGCATGCACTGAAATAGCGACGCTCTTTCATGCACTATTTGAGAAAAAGATCCAACCACTTTGTCGTCTTGGCCTCATCTTGGGCGTGGTTTGAAGTCATGTAGGAGCAGATGGGTGCTTGCATAGACTGTTCAAAGCTATGCTTACTGTTGCGGTGTATGGGCTGGGATTTGCTGTGTTGTGCTGATCAATCCTCGGATATCGTTCATTCACGGTGCGTGGATGTGCGTGGGAGCAGGACAGGGCGGAGCGAGTAGTTCGAGGGTGGTGGGTTGGTGTTGGTGAGGAGGTTGCGAGGGATGGTTGAGGAGGCAATGGTGGTGTGTTGCAGAAGAGTGTTGGGTGCGTTAGTGAGGGATTGGGGTTGTTGGAATGAATGGGATCCAAATTTAAATCATTGGTGGGTTGCTGGAGATGATAGTGTGGAATTGGGGAGACAGGCAGGTGATTGGAGGTCAGTTTGTTGATAGTCTGTTGAAACGTAGACCAAGTGGAATTTGCATTGTGAGTGACTGCGATATGAGTATGTCTAGGGGGGACGTGTTGTGTGTGAGGCTGTGCGGGGGAGGAGGAAAGATATGCACAAGACATGAAATATAAAAAGGAGGCAGATGTAATTACAAGCACCATGTGTATCTTGCCTTCTCGTCATAAGCTTCGGTTTGTTGTACATAAATCATGTTGTTTGACCCAGTTTTTGTCAATTTTCGATGGCTGTTGTCTCCAGAAAATCGTTGAGTTAGCTCTGCTTTGTTCCAATTTCTGGTCCAGTATCCTTGTTCGTCGTCTTGGTGGAGTTGTTTTACGAGCTGTCTGATACCAAAATCTGTCTTCAATCTTGCATAGTGGCGAAGACCTCGCCTTGCTTCATCACAACCCAAACTCCATCTTTCAAAACCTCACCAACCACCTCAACGCCGTGGAGCCTTTGGAGACCGTCCTTGAAGTCGATGCCAACTGACCACACCCTATGTTCGCCGATTCCGTTCTCAACAAGGCTCCACCTCCTCATGTGCGATGTCTCGGGGTAATCTCGGAATATGGCTGCTACATACGTTGCGTCTTTATGGCATCTTCCCCCCTTGAAACGATAACCCGCACCTAGATATATAACCAGGCGATCGACATTGTTGAAGGTGCCCGTATTATTATTTTCTTCTCGATATTTTCCAAACTTGTACAAGAATGCTCGTAGATTGCTGAACAATCTGGACTCTCGCATGCATTCCCCATATAAGGTATAGGTATAGGTAAGGGTCATCGTGGAGCAGGGTAGCGCAGATGCTCGATACAGAGCCGTGCAGAGGTCATCGTTGAATGATGGTTGATCCCGTCCCCACTTTATCGGATTGACCATGGTAATATTGACAGAGGCAGACATAAAGCGGGGCTCGTTTGATATCTCGATGCGAAGTGGCCCATCCCCCAGAAGAGAGAGTCGCTGTGCTTCAAATAGCGGACGCGCTTTGTGAATGAAGTCGTTCTCCATCTCGCTCTTGACCTCGTGGCATGACAAGTAAAGGCCACGGAGATGATGAGGTTTCCCGTCTGCCAGAGACGACAGAACGAGGTAGCGGTAGACCTGAACTCGTAGCTCCGGTGGGAGGTCCAGGAAGCTGGGAGGCTGGGAGTCACTCATCTTGAAGTAGAGTGAGTGGAGGTTGTGGGTTGTTGGAGGTTGACGTGTTGATGGAGGGGCAGGGCAAGAGGGGATTTCCTAATGTAGCGGCGGTGGAAAGATCCAAGCCTTTTAGTGTGGTGGGGCTGCGGGCGTTTGTATGATGGTGAGAATGAAAGAGGATTCCCTATGACGACAAGATGAAACAATACCCAAGGGCAAGCTCTGCAAGGCAATCTGCGGCATATTACTACATTTCTCATTCTGATCGATCAAGTTTCTTCCTACGTAGTACCAGCAGACAACCAAGCCTTCCCAGTGTAATCCCACACGTTGTTTTCCATCACCTGGTCCTTCGGTCTCTCCAGATCTGCTTTGAAATCAAAACCGATCGAGCATATCTCGATGTCGCCCGCGCAAGCCTCACTCATCCAGACTCTTTTTACATCCAAACGTGGTGATTTATCTTGGGTTGGCTCACCAAGAATCGACGCAACCTCATTGCCTGCAATCACAGAGATCCATGAGCAAACTGACTCAGGGCCATGATGTGCACCAAGTCGTACAACAATGCGATCGGCCTTTGGAGTATACTCCCCAAAACCAACACCAAAGAAGAGGTCATGTAAGAACTGGAAACTTCTACGTACGTCCCTAGCTTGACGGTCTTTGGTAAAACCAAAATATACCGTTAACAAAGAAAGTGGCATATGAAGTATGGGATAAAGCACCTTCTCCAAACAGGGATACGGCTCGTCAACGTACGGCTCCCGCGACTTGCAAAGTTCGTTGATTTTGGGTACGGGTAAGACGACGGTGACTCCGTCCAGCGCTGGGGAGGAATCGAGTTCGTGCGCCATATCAATGCCGAGAGTGGTATGTTGTCTGGACAGCAGTCGCTCTTCTTTGATCCAAGTTTGTTGCGACTCAAAAAGGATTCGCACCTTCGAAATATACTCGTGCTCCATTTCTCTATGAATCAGTCTACACGACCGGTAGAGACCACCGGCTTCAGAGGGAGTTCCATCGTGCAGACACGTCTCGATGAGATGCCGGTAGACTTGAAGTCGAAGCTCAGGTGGAAGAACGAACAATCCGTACGTCGCCATGTCGCGAGTTTGAAGTCTGACGCCGGTTGTTTGATCTGTGCTGATACTGGTGATGATGACCAAAGCGTGTTTGAAACACGTGTTGTACAGGAGTGTGTTGAGCGTTCTGTGTGTGTACCTGAGTATATGGATAGATATCGGAAGCGGGTGATTTAAACGATAAGTGGAGGTAGGTCGTGAGGCGCGCCCTATACTTGCACAATGATGTTGTTTGTAATGAGCTGACATAAGATATTTCCAGACAAACGATCAGGCCAGGCGACAAAGCGTGAATAGAGCAGAGTTTGTTGAGGAAAAAGAACGATCAAAGCTGGACAAAGGATCTGAAGAGCCGACGTCTTCAAAGTCCTGCATCTCCGTGCTTCGGGTCAAGCTAATCATTCTCTGCTTCGTACTTAGGCTGGACCCGATCATTGGACTTCCCAGAGTCTGTCAGATCCAAATTCCATGCTGTTCCTTCTGTCTTCATTCTCATACAAGCGCAGATCCTTTTGGTCAACATGGTACGAAGAAAGTCGAGCGTGTAGCGGATGCAAGGCCCAGGTCCAGGAAGCCCAAAAGCTTCTCGTGCGAAAGCCAAAGTCGGCAGGTATCCATAGATCCATATAGATAGATCACTCTTTCATGATCACATCACTGCGACATTCCGCACGTAACGTTTTCGCGGTGTGCGGTGTTGCTCGTGACGGCTCCACACATGCCTGTCGTTCGTCTTCTCCAGGAAGCAGTAGAAGCCGTGGCGCGACTGAATAACCCCAACCGACAACCAGCGACGCTTTCCACACGATTGTTTACGTCTCCCCATCTCCATCACCACTCAACACCTCCTCTTTCTTCTTTGGCACATCTTTCGGATGTGGGTTCCCCTCGTGATGGCCATCGCCTTGAATCCTACTCCACAAGACTATGAGAACGAGAAAGCCCAGAAGAACGGCAATAATTGTCGGTGCTGCGGGATGACGCATGTTTTGCTAGTTCTTTCGCACCAGGTCGGAAGGTTTCGTTGTTTTGGGCGTGGGAAACGTTGTACATCGCCTGGTTGTCGCGCTACGATAAGCGAGTCATGACGACTACCTTAATATAGATTCAGAAAGAGCGTACATTGCAAAAGGTCGACGACTAAAGTTAGTATCGCGTAACCAGGCGTAACAAGGCGAGTAAAAAGGCGTGGCAGGGCGTAACATAGCATAAAAAGGCATGACAGGGCATAACAAGGCGTAACAAGACAAAACACGCAGATAACAAGCAGTAACAAAGCAATAACAAGCACGTAACAAACTGTAACACGCACATAACACAGGTCTAGGTAGCATAACAAAATATAACACGCACATAACATAGGTCTAGGTATATAACATCGGCCTACGTAGCGTAACAAGGTATAACACAGCGTAACAAGACATATAATAGCGTAACAAGGCATAACAAGCACGTAAGAAGCATGTAACAAGGCATAACACAGCGTAATAAGACATAACACGCACGTAACAGGGCATAACAAGGCATAACAAGGCATAACAAGAGTTCTAACAAGTAGTAACGAGGCGTAACAAGGGTAGTAACAAGGCATAATACGGCGTAACAGGGCGTAACAAAGGAGAACAAGGCATAAGACAGAAATATCTACACTACTTATAACTGCTTGTTGAAACTCTTGTTATGCCTTTTTTACCTTGTTACGTGCTTATCATGCCCTGTAACGTGCTTGTTACGTCCTAAGTATCTTCACAAACCACTTTATGCAATATTCTCCTGCCTATTCTTGAAGCTTCTGTATCTATATCGTTCGTCTATAAAGTGATCTCAGTCTACAATGCCATTCATATTCCACGTAACATCCATGTCAAATTGCTGAGGCACCATGGCCAACAACAAGACCCTATCGCCGAACCGCGATAACTCATAGGACACAGAAAATGCACATGTCATGCAATTCAAAAACGCCGCGCCATGCTTGATATGCCCGCAGGGCGAAAAGAGAGCACACGATAACTAGTCCATGCCAACATATTTGAACCATAGGGGGCGACAGTCCTCGCGGTTCAACCATTTCTCGCCGTCGGTAAAGCGACCGGCGACGCAACCGCTGCACTTGGGGTTGTTGGGGCAGTTGAAGAAAGGTATGTGCTGGTAGCCTATGTCTCTGAACCTGGTACAGTGTCAGCGGTAATATTAGTTCGCGATCGCGTGTCCACATACCAGTGAATCTTGCTCTTGTCCTCGAAAAGGCCCAGTGCAACGCTATGCACAGGCGCATCGCCCCAGCGCTCGTAGAAGAAGCCCCCGGCGCGATCGAGATGATCAAAGTACTCACGGTACTTTTTGCTCCGCCAAAAGCTTAGATCGCCAATCTCGAAATTGGACCAGAAATGACAGGTCGAATACCCGTTCGCCTTCTGGTGGTTTTCCGGTCTTCTATTTTTGTCCTCCAGCCATTCCCTCGCATTGTTTTCGTGTACATAGCCTGGATGGTCCTCGAGAAATTTGAGCGTCTCTGGCCAGAGCGTTGTCACACTCTCGGGGCTGTCGTAGATGTTGATGTTGAAGCCGTAGGTCTTATTGTGGTCTTGCATCCATGCGAAGACGTCATAGTCAACGTCGCAGTAAAAGTGGACGTGTGGCTCTACGCGCCAGTAGTACTGAATATCCTTGAGAGCCGGGTGCTCGCTGAACATGCCGCTATTCCACCGACACATCTTGTGGTACGACTCCTTCTCGGAGTATTGCACTTTTTGTTCAAGTAGGATGTTAACAGATTCATCGTAGAGGTCCCTGTTGATCCACGAAGGCATGTCCCAGTGCTCGGCGGGTACAAGCTCGTATCGCACCTCAGCGTTTGTAGCTGCTCGAGTCTTTCGCTTGAACTCCTCTGAGAAGGGCTTATCGTTGAAGAAGGTCCACGGATAGTTGAACTTGTGGTTCCACGTCCTCTCCAGATCGCGCATGCTCTGGAGCATGTCGTCGACTTCCTCATTGCGTACTAAACTCAGTATGGTAGCGTTGATGCGCGCGCTGTTTGGATTGTTCGGTGCGTAGTTATCGCCGTTGACTCGTCGCAAGGGCTCGGGAGGTTCGCCAGATACTGCACACTACCATCAGCTTCCTGATACTGCACAGAGTTTCTGGGAGGATTTCATACCATCTGATTGCGGATCGTGGTCCCAAGTGGCCAGTTTCGATTCCGAGGATTTGTTCGGAAGCTGCAGCTCGCTTGCGGGCGCATGGAGGATCTGGACGAACATATACACAAAAATACACACTGTGACCGCAGCCAGATAGCGCATGCTCTTCGGGAGCGCCATAGTGAACAGTAGTGGTGGGCGGGACAGGGACCAAAGTCCCAATCTGCGCAAGAACGTTGCTGATGATGGTTTCACCGGGATAGCACGAGCTGCGTAATGGGCTAGGCCACATTGGGCAAATAGTGTTGCAGCATCCCAGCACAACCCACCGCCATTATCTTGCATCACCAGGGTCTACCTTTCGAAGAGCGGATCACTTCGGGAGGACAGCGCGTCAACATGGCGCAGAATGCGAAAATGTCGGGGCTCACAGACGAGCTAGTTCATTCTATCCTGAAGTTCAACCCTGAAACCAACAAAATCGCGTACAGACACGCGCAGGAGATTGCATCAAGAGGCCTGAGAGGATACCAGTATGCACGCACAAATCAGTTCGACGTCGAGACCAGTTTTACGGGCCTGGACGAGAAGTTCCGCGTCAAAAACCGCGATGATCTTGCTGATGCGCTACGACTACGCCTTCAGAAGCTAGAAGAGACGACCGGCAAATTCAAGCCTGAATTTTTGTCACTGTTACTGCAGCTATCCGATCGACCACTAGAAAACACAAAGGTTGAAGCGCTGGAGCTGCTGAGACCTCCCAGTCCCCCGCTTCCTGAGACATGGGCAGAGATCATCCAAGAAGAGCCATACAGCGACGAGGAAATATGGAAGGATATCGACTACGCCGAAGAATCTTCAGGTGATGAGCAAGTGCCCAAGGAGCGAGAGAAGCCGAAGCCGAAGCCGCCGCATAGTTTTGAGGAAGATGACTTATATGATCCGGAATCGTGTGTCGTCACAATCGATGTTGCCTCTGTGCAGGAGCTGGAAGTAGCGCAGTTCTGGAAAATGACTCCCAGCGAGAGAGGTGCCAAAGTCCAAATCACGGAGTTACAAGCAATACGAGAGACGCTGTACATGCTCGCAGGTCTCCAAACAGCCTCATATGAAAGAGATAAGCAACAGAACACTATACGCGTCAGTCCCAAGTACAACCTCAACCATGCCATTCCTGTGACTGTTGGCCGCCTTCTGCAACAATTCGCGGGTATTGGCCAGGAGACCTACCGATTACGCCAATGGGCCAAGAAGTCTGCATCATTGCCCCTGATACAGACCTTCAAGGCAATCGTACGGAAACGGCTTATGGACTATGATCAGACTCTTTCAAGATTGCAACAACACTATCTCACCCCTGACAACCCTATTTCGGTAAGCTTACTCGAATTGTGCAACAAGGTGCAGTGTACATCTACATCCCTCCTTCGCCTAGCGCAAATCGTATCAGACGTCGAGCCGCAGCTACTTGTAAACCCCTTCAGCCACTTGGAAGCCCTCTTCAACCAAACCACACTAGCTCAGATGACACTCGAGAAAGATGTGTTCGAGTTCCTCTCTAGAGCATTTTTCGAATGCCTACAAACGTATCTCAAGCCCATCAGGCGGTGGATGGAGGCAGGCGAACTAGGTGCGAACGATGAGACCTTCTTTGTTTTCGAATCCGACTCTGGCAGTGACGCCTCCTCCCTCTGGCACGATCGCTTTGTTCTGCGTCGCGATGCTCGCAATGAACTACGCTCCCCCACGTTTTTCCAGCCAGCAGCCAAGAAAATCTTCAACACTGGGAAAAGTGTTGTGTTCCTCAAACAACTCGGTATCTACGGCACAGGCTCCAACATCCTAGAAGAAGAACCCCGTCTCGACCATGAACATGTGTGTGGACTTACAGATGACCTCCCTCTATCGCCTTTCCCCGAGCTCTTCCAAGCGGCGTTCGAGACATGGATTCGGAGCAAATATTCTCTCGCCTCTATGTTCCTCCGAGAGCATCTTTTTGAGTCGTCGGGCCTCATGCACGTCTTGAGCATCTTCGAAACACTATATCTCGGTAGAAATGGAGCTATCTTCGAGGACTTCGCGAATGCCATTTTCGAACGCATGGACGCAGGACACCGGGGGTGGAACGATCGATACATGTTGACTGAGCTTACTCGCGAAATACTCAGCACGGTCCTTAGCCCACTGGACAAGGAGAAGATTGTTGTGCGTTCAACAAAGAGCAAGACCCTAGGACGGTCCGTGAAAGGGCTAGCTACGGTGTCCATCGACTACGCAGTAAGCCATCCTGAATTTTCACACATATAAGCAATCACACACTCACGCAATCTAGCTCCCATGGCAAATCCAAAACATCATTCAACGCGCCTCAATCCCCATATACCAATCTCTCTTCACCTTTCTCTTGCAAACCTACCGAGTGAAATACCTTCTCCAACGAATTCATACCAGAAACGCCTCGCGGCTTACTCACAAGCTTCAACACCGCCTTATCTGGTTCGCCGACATGCTCCGCTCGTACCTCACCGAAACAGTCATTTTCTTCACAACGCAAGATATGCATGCTGCTATGCAGAAAGCAGAAGACATCGACGACATGGCGCACATCCATGTCAAATATGTCGCGAAACTGCAAGAAAGAGCCATGTTGTCACAAGAGTTAACCCCAATCCACAAGGCAATTGTGCAAGTGCTGGATTTAGGTGTGTTATTCGAAGAGTCGGTTACAAAGGGAGGTAGTACACCAGATGAAGTGAAAGTACCCACCAAGAAGAGGCCAGGGGCGAGGCGGAAGAGTAGCGCCCTCTTGCTCATTGTTCCAGACTCGAGTTCCGACGACGAGCCGTCTGGAAACGAAGCTGAGCGCGTTCCCAAAAGACCCACGCAGCAAAGTCCGGCGACAGCACTACAGACAATCGACCGAGAGTTTGCACGTCTCGTGCCCTTTATCACAGCCGGGCTGCGGAGTGTGGGGAGAGTGGGTGCGGAGTCTATGTGGGAACAATTGGCAGAGAGACTGGAGTGGGAGGGGAAGCGAGATAGAGTATGAATAGAAGAATGTCACTGCAAGCCAACGATTTTGATGTTGGTGTAGTTCAAAGCAGTAGCGATGACAATTACCCACTACGATCAAGCAAAAGCTCCATACTTTTCAAAATTTGGTTTCCTGCACTCTTGCGAAAGACTAGCAAACGTCTCGATCACATAGATGAGAACATTGCGCTTGCACCAAGAAAACGTACCAGATGTCTCGATGGGTTTGTCGCCTTGCATAGAGACATTGGTTTGGAACATATACTTGCTCAGAAATCTTGAGCAGATGTTTTGTCCCACCAAAGATAGTCGTAAGTGTGTTGTGCAACCTTAGGACCTACCTACTCATACTCAATACGCCAAACCGCTCGTCCAACCCCTCCAAGATCGATATCCTAAACTCCTCAGTCGGCCATCCTTCCTCCGGCACCACTATCCCCTTATCACCTCTCCACCGTCTCGGCTGCGGCAAATTCTTCCCCGTCGCCGAGTCCACAAATCCAAACATCACAAAATCCAGGTAATGCTGCTGGACATGCAATTCCCTCCTTATCCCCTCTGTGATGACCATATCCACCCCGCTCTCCATCCTCTTGCCATCGACATCCCAACCCTCTTTGCACATCAAGCCCCACTCCTCCTCAGGTACACCGTTGTCCAGCTCGTCGTCAAGCCAGGGGTGTGTGTCTGTATCCAGATCTTCGGTGAGGTAAGTGCGCACAAGGATATCCGTAGTCTGATCATAGTCCAGTCTGAGTTTACCAGTCAAAACTCTATGTAGCATGGATAGCGATTTCTGCGTTAACAGCATATGTGACAGCAGACAAACCCCATTACCCAGAACCGGGTCCGCAATGAACATATCGAGCTTGACGAGGAAAAGTTGAAAGAGCACAATATCCTCGTCCGTCCATATAGACGTGTCCTGGAGGAAAGCGAGACGCAGCGCCGTCGTCTTGGTCTCCATCAAACACCAGTATTTCATGACCGCGGCCTCGACGCCCGCGGGCATGTTGCCTACTCCGCCCCCAACAATCATTCTTGTCAGTATCCCGCGCACGACGCGCTCCCGCCATAGCGCCATGCCAATCCATCGGAACCCGGGTACGTCTCGAGCTAGCCACTCGCGCCCGTCCATGGGTCGCAGCATGGGGTCGCTGATGCACAGGTCGGGGTACAGCATCCACGTGAAGATATGTGACGCGAGCGGGGCATGGTACTTTGCGTAATCGTGGATAAGCGAAACACTGTATTTGTTCAAGCGGTAGTGAAACTCCTTGTCGATGGCGTAGAGCGATATGATCAGTGGATACGGGAGGCGGAGCGCGAACTGGAAGAAGAGGTTCGGGTGGCGGAGAAGCGCTTTGTAGATGTTAAAGGGGACTTGCGCCTGTGAGATTGCTGGGGTGTATGAAGATGAAGGCGCAGTGGAGGGTCCGTTGCCTACTGGTAGTGGTGTGGTGGGCGTGAGGAGAACATCTGGACCCCAGACCGTGGCCGCTACATTGCGGCGACGATGGTGATGGCGACGGAGGATGCGCGGTACGTCGTTTGCTCTATGAACGCTTTCGACTGGCGGTATTTCTTCTGCTGCGCGCTTTCTACCTTTCGCAATCAGGAAATCAACGTCCATTGGGCTGGGTAATGGATTCATAATTGCAAATTACGCGCAGGGCGAGAGTAGTGGCGAGGTCCTTGAGTGGAATTCTCTAAGACCAAAGCGTTGGGTAGGTGGGGTGTCCAAGGCATATGAGTTACGCTTCGTGGTTGATATGAACTAAGACAATGTGTTTGTTTGTTCTGTGAAGCAGCGACGTAAGAAACAATAGTGATCGATTTACAACAATACATCCAGCGGTGAAAGTGAAACATGAGAACTTCACCCCACTCACAAACCAGACTAGTTGGCGGGTCTCCCATTGCAGAGGAAGACCTGGCCAACAGGAATCAGGGTAAGGATCCGGTAGGTAAGACTTATTTCGCGTGCCTGGAATCCATTGGTTTGGTAGAATTTGACGACATCTTCATGTGCGAGTGAAATTACGTAGCCGTAGGACCAAAGCCCCGGCCAATCTGTATATACGTGCTGTGATCTCCAGAGAAGATTAAATCTGTGTCTGCATACCTCCTCGCCTTCACAGAGCTCAGTCCAAATCGTTGTCGACCTGCAAGTCGCCGTCAGAATTCGCCGAGTCGCCATCCGAATCCTCAATGTCAATATCCTCTCCCTCGCCCTCATCCTCGCCCTCATCCTCGCCCTCGCTTTCCGTTTCCCATTCTGCATCGTCGTTTGTTGCCACGAATATCAAATCATCAAGTTCATCAGAATCATCGCTACTCGAGGTCTCGTCTGTATCAGAGAGACTCACGCTAAACGTCATCGTTCCCGCTATAAGCTGTGAAATGGTTTTGAAAGGCCGGTTGCGACGAACGAACATGCGCCTCAACTGGCCCATGGCGCGATATGTTTCACCGTTTAGACGTTGTATATCACCGTCGCCTAGTTGATCGGTCTCGGGTGGATTCCCTCTTGTGTCCATGTCGTCTACTTGTGTTTCTGTGATCTCTGGAGGCGCAATATGCGCATGAGGGAAGTGTTCTTCGATATCGTTATCGGCCAACAACTCCCGGAGAGGACGGAATCTGGTGTTAACAACGGGTTCGGTATCGTTCTTGATATGTCGATGGAAGCCAACCAAATCAGCATCATACAAACATTGATTTATCGGCACCTGTTCGCCATGCAGGTAGGGTGGTATCAGAGATTGTGTTTTGTGCATCTCTATTGATACTTTTAGATTGATGCCTTTCTTGTACAACTTGTAACCGTACGCGTGGCGACTTCGCAGACTGTCAGGGTCGCAGAGACGAACAAGGCTCAGGGTGGGACTTTGCAGAAAAGAAGACTGGAGGAACTCCAACGTCTTGAGGGATGGTAGCGCGAGATATGTTTCGACCTGAGGAAGTTGATCGAACAAGTCGGGGAAAACACTCCAGTGTCGACGAACTCGGAGAGTGTCTAAGTTTGGTGGAGCGAGTTCGTAGTTCATAATGATCGCTTGATGGAGAAACGAGCCTGTGTCGCACTCCAAAGATTTGAAGGCATGGAAATTACGCATCCCGTCACCGGTGGGACGTATGCGACACGTACGGTGATCGGGATCGATCCGCCAACTGGGGTCATAATGCTTGAGAGTCTCCAGCGAGTGGGCGACTGCTGAGAGAGCTTCCAGAGAGGCGTTGGCATGCCTTGTGAGTTGAGGTGCGAGCCGCGTCGTTGTGTTGATATTAAATACGTTCTCTCCGAGTGTTAAATGCTTGAGGTGTTCTGGGGTGCGCAATATGCGCAAAAGACTTTTCGGTTTCAGCTCACACTCGTTGAATTCGAGTGTCGTAAGAGGCGTCTTCTTGACGTGCGTCTCCAGTTCAGGCAAGTCCTCAGGGAATGTCACGCAGGAGACGTGAAGAAAGCGAAGACTGGGGTGGCGGAAAAGACAGTGAAAGCCGTCAAGCGTCCAGAAATCTGCGTGTGCACCATGTGAGTGGATAGTGAGCGATTGCAGAAGCCCCAATGCAACCGTTCGATGGACATTGTTGCCCAGCCGCCGCTCCTGCATGAGTCGAGCTTCCTCTACAGGACCTTCCACACACGACTTCTCGAGCACGACTCTGAAGCTTTTCATGTCCTGCTCGACCCACTCATGTCCGCCCGTTCCCCAGTTGAAGTTATCATAGGGTGATTCGATATGCCATTCCCTCAAATGAACCATTTGCGCTACACAGTCATTGAAGACTATCCTTGCCCCTAGGCTATCCTCCAGATGTTCGGGTACATGCCTGTACAGGATCTTGAGAGTTTGAACAGCTCGGACACGTTCATTGCGGCACTTAAACGCTTGAATGATTTTGTGCAGGTTGTTGACCGAGAGGAGTTCAATCGTCTTGTAGAGCTGCTCTTCAGCAAGATGTTGAAGGCCGCGACATGTTCGCGCAAGGTTACACAACGCTTGGTTGTCACCAGAGAGGTGATCAATGACCAGGAGTGTGAGTTCGTTAGGGAGGTGGTGGTGTATGCTGCTTAACAGAGCAGAAGTCATGGCGGGTGTAGCACAACCTGTCGCAAAGGAACAGTTTATATGGTGTTTCGGTATTTGTTCGAATTGAAAGGCGACTTACTAAGGTTGTAAGTCTACAAGGTTAGAAGGTTTATGTTGTGGTCGAGATACCTCGAGGCGGGGTGTGCATGGAATCGAGTTCGCGTGCACAGGCCCCATGACGTCGACGCGTTCTTTGGATCGCTCTCAATCGCCACATAACAAATGTTGTAGTTGTGGCCTGGCGTTTTTTGTATCTACTTCATCAAGGTAGTTCTCGTAAAACTACATTCTACTGGATTTCTGTTGCCACACTCTGAGAAGCGATCGAGGTTCCGAAAATGAGGATGTTCCATCAAGATCTTGAGTTTTGAACAGCGAGAGAAGAGAATACGCGCCTTAGATACGGAGCAAGGAATCAAGCATGAGATTGCCGCGTATAGGCTCAATTTCATTCTAGAAGGTAAATTTATATCAGGCAAGGGCAAGCTAGTTGATATGGGTTTCAAGAAACGATCACGACAGCTCGCACAATCACGGGCATCTCAAACAGTCCAGTCACTCATACGATTTGATTGATATGAGAAAGTCTCATACATGTGAGTCTACGATTCCAACGTTGCTTCTTCAAATGACGGGCAACTTAGGAATCGATGATAGCATGCGTTGAGATACAGAAGGCATCAGTTGCTGATCCTCGATGGACGGAAGATCAGTTCAACTTCAGCTTCGCCTGTACAGACACCTATACCCCAGCATTTCATACTCACTTATGCGTTCTCATCCACCTTCCTAGGGAAATTGAGCCAGTACTCAAAACGCTCGGAATAGTCGTCAGAATCCTCGGAATCGTCGAGCTTGTCGTCAAAATCGTCGAGCTTGTGGTCAGAATCGTCAGAATCGTCGAGCTTGTCATCAGACTCGTCAGAATCGTCGAGCTTGTCATCAAACTTGTCAGAATCGTCAGAACCCTCGCCCAAGTAAAGCAGGTTATCGTCAGAATCGTCAGAACCCTCGCCCAAGTAAAGCAGGTTATCGTCAGAATCGTCGAAATAATCAAACTTGTCATCAGAGCCCTCGTGAAAGTCAAGCAGGTTATCATCAGAGTCGTCGAAGTAGTCAAACCGGTTCTCACGCTCCACCAAGCTGCTACCGTCGGGCCTGTCGTCTGATTTAGTTCCAATTTCACCATAGTCTTCCATGTATTCTCCCCCATTTGACTTACAAGTAAGGGCTCACAAGCTTGAATTCCACCAAGCAACATCCGCTCGTTGCCGGCTCCTTGCACACCCTGCAGTCCCTATAGAACCAAAACGAACTGTCCAGATGTTCTCGAGTTTTGTAGGTCTCGTTGAGACGCTTGCAGTCAAGGTCAGCGCAGCGCCACACATACGTCTCGATCAACAGATCCTTGGGATCTTCTTCAGCAATGAAGGCAGCGACAGCTGCTTCATCAGAGATCGCATTCATCTTGAGGGTGCGAGTGATGAGACGGTCTCTTCTGGAAGTTGCGTGGGGCTCCATCCCGAGTTCGTCACACCGAGTGTGTTTGGGGTCGCGTTGGGCTTGCTTGGGACTCGCGGTCGGGGTGTGTGATCGTGGTGTTGCAGAGATTGCAACGGTGGGATCGAGCAGCTTTTTGAGTCAACCTGGTGTTTTGAGCAAGTTACAAACGGACCTGTCGGAGTTGTCTAGGTAACCACCCTGGGGGACGAGAGTGAAAGTCAGGTCCAAAACAACATCCCAAGTGAACGTGATGGACACGATCGGCCCATGCAGTTCAAGGGGATATTGATGTCTTCACATGTCTTGTAGTCGCTCTTATAAGCCGTTGTGAGTTACCGGTATTGATAGTTGCAGTAGTTGGGTTGCGGCGTAGGGACAGTTGCTTTCACCGCTCGCTAAGTCAAAGTACTGGCACAGGAAATCACGGCGCACTTACCTTCTGTCGGAGCCCTCGACAACAATGTATCAGGCATTAATGTTTCACAATGCAATCATTAAGACTTCAGTGACGCACTGCAAGACGAGGTGCAAGGCGGCGCGTTTTGGTGAACTAGTCGAAGTACCAGATATTCGACTGCGTCTTGCCAACAAGTGAAACCATTCGTCTGAGTGAATATTCTTTGTGACAGACACAGTGAACTGGCGAGCATAGGCAGGGATAGTCTCATCACAATACGAAGACGAATGCAATTATTCGGGTGCCTTTGTGTCACTAAACTCACCTGAAAAAAGATCCGGAAGAGATCCCACAGCCATGCAAACTTCGCAAGACATTGAACGTATCTAGGAGCCGGATATCTCACTCATTGCCTTGATGTCAGGTGTGGAGCCAGGCGCCCGGACTAACATTTGTAAGCCAGCCAGGGAGTGGCTCTCAAACCCATCTATGTCACTTTCTCTTCTCAAATGTACGCTTCGCCTTCCAGCCGTTTCGCCAACTCATACCTATCCCCACCATCTTTCAACTGCTCCTCAATCAACTTGATCTCTTCCTTGATATACCACGGTCTATTGACGATAACACTGTTCTCTATAGAATACTCTTCGAGGGCACGCGTTGCATGCTCGGGTAGGGTTTCTCTCCACTCCTCCATCTTCCGCATCAGGTCCGTATTGAGAGTGAGTTCGTGCTCGAGCTTGGATATCATGGTCTTTGCGCGCTCTTCCAGCGTTGTGGACGAGAAAAGTACGCAGCAAATGGTAGCGCAGTGCTTAACGGCCTGGGCGTGGCATTGTGAGTATGCGAGGTGGTACCAGTATTTCTCAAGTCTGAGTTGCGAGACACAATTTTCGTGACGCTTCGGGTCCGGCGGAGCGGTGTCTGGTAGAGAAGAAACTGAATGGTTGCACTTTGCTGTTTGATTCATCAACTGCAGTGTCTCCCATCTTCTCTCCAAACTCCTTAGTTCCCAAAGTATGGTACCCTCTACCCTAACGCAAAAACTATCTGGACAGGAACTCTCTGGGCATAATCGATGAAACCAGGGCTCTGCGGCGGAGAGCTCTGCTTCATGTTTCTCGATATCCCATTGGCTTCGTTGCACACGCCATTTGAAGAGCCATCGCTCATCGTCATCCGTCGCATCCTCAATAGCTTGCTTCTGCAGTGCAAGTCGGTGTTTGGCATGGTGAATATATCCGAGTATTTCGGGGCCCATGACGTTAGCGTGCTTGCCGTCGATTTCTACGACACGTTTGAGCGTAGCATCTGCGTAGACACCATTGAAAAGCGTATGCTTTTTGCGAATTAAGTCTGCGTTGAACTGCTCTGAATCAAACGATCGTGGCCATCCGTTATTTCTCAGAAGAACTCTTTCGAAACCTCGTTCAACATCCTGTTCGTTTGCGTTGTATGGTGTCTCCCACGGTGTCCATGACAACTCCTTGCAAGCTTGGATGATCCGTCTCAAAAGTGTCGGAGCGTCGAACAGCGTCATCTGATCAAACCCGTCATGCTGCTCATGTGCCCGCCATGGCTCGCTAAATATACCGCCGAATTTTCCAGTGTTCTTGTCACGATGTAGGCCGCGCATGATCCAGTACTCGCCGTCAAAAGCTCGCACTCCATTACGAGAGATGTCGTAGAATAACACAAGGGCCTCATGGTTAGTCCACGTCGTCAGTGCAAGAGTGCTAGACATCGTGTGGGACCACATGGAGTTCACACGAAGCGGATCGCAGCTTTGTTGTAAGTGATCTAGACGTCGATAATCCATGAACTGGCCACCATAGAGCCAGCTATCGTCCCGAACTTCGAACGTGTCGACGTAGGGAAGGAGCTCCATGAGACGCAAGACTGATGGGTCGTGATGGCATGGAATGGACGTCGTGTTGATGACGTGCGGTCCCTGCTTGATGGCGGTGTGTGGAATGAAGGTCATATCTGCCAGTTGTACGTAGATGTCGTTCATCAAGGTGGCAATCTCTTGCAGTTGGAGTTCGTTGTGTGAAGTAGAAGAATTGGTGAGTATGTTGTATGCACTCGGAGCGCATAGAAGCGCGATGAGCGGTAGAAGAACCATGATGAAGGGATGCTGAAACCATCTGAATAGGTCATCAAGCCGGGTAGATTCCACACGTTGGTATGAATCCCGTCGGCGCTCCTCTTGATTACCTTGTTCTGAGGTTGAATCCATTACGGCGGTATGGAACACAGCGACGCTCGGGTGATCGAATGGTCAGACGGCTAAGACTTGGGCAGATCGAATTGTCAATGAAAGTCATGACAGTTGCGGATTGATGGAAGATCACCAGACTGAAGCACAGGCAATATGATCGTAACATGCACCAGGCACGATAGTCGCCAAAGCCTACGTCGCTCAAGCACTATCTTTGCTTTGAGTTTAGAACACCGTCGGGGTCAGTTAGGCGTTATCTTGCAAGAGTGAGGTGGGGAAACATTGAGGGGTAAACTAGACGCGCTAAGTCGCGTTGCCACGTGCATAGATGATTTTCGTGACGACCCCACGCATGCGATCTTTTACAACCCGATTTACTTGCCCAGCGATGGCGTCCACCCCACCATAGACATTGAACATCCCTTCCAATCTCGTGGTCTTTCACACTGTCAAACGAAATCATGGCGCAGAAATTGGATCAACTACCCCCTGAGATGCTCGACTTCACGCTTCTCAAGACTGCTGGGGCTCTCACACCGCGACTTGGACGCTTGGCGGTGCCTGGAAGAAAGACCTTGTTGACCCCAGACTTCCTTGGTAATACGTCGAGAGGCGCCATTCCCCACCTATCGCAGGACAACTACCGGAAAAGCGTCGACATCAACGGCGTGTACATTGCGCTTGAAGACTGTACATAGCCACTCCTCTACAGGCCTTGCGCGCAGCTCACCCCTCGCAGTCGTCGAGAAATACCCCGCGAAGACGCCGCCAGTCCTCAGCTACGATGTACCCGAACCTCTCCGCCAATTCATTGCTCTCCCACATGACACGCTCGTCGTCCTCGGCGCTCGTCGCAATCCGCCGATACCATGTCCCTCCGCGAACACAAACACAGCCATCTCGCTGTTGACGTCAGTAGGCTTCCGGTCTGTGAGCTCAGAGTACTACGCGGCCGCGATACAGAAACTCAAACCGGATATCGTGGTGGGGTTGGCCGACATACCCTTTGGCCAGGACTCAATAGGCACCAAGAGGAAGGATAAGATGAGTGATCGAACCGAGACATGGCTGAAGGATCTTGTTGCTAAGGGAAGCGCGCTGGGGGAGGAAGAGCAGAAATGGAGCGTGTTTGCGCCGATACTGCCCATTGAGCGAGATCTGCAGTCGTGGTATCTAGAGCACTTGGTCGAAGATATGGCGGACAAAATCAGCGGTGTCGCAATCTACGACGCCTATCTCCTGGATGACCTGCCAGAGCAGCTCTACCACCTCCCTCGATTGTCTTTCCACGCGCCAGCCAGCCCTCACGAACTATTGCGTCAGATCAGCCTGGGCATGGATCTTTTTACCGTGCCATTTCTCGCAGACGCAACAGATGCTGGCATCGCCCTCGACTTTACGTTCCCCGCCCCATCCAAAGATGAGTCGTCAAGCGCAAGGAAATCGCTGGGGATTGACATGTGGCTCGATATGCACGCACAATCCGTCATTCCTCTCTCAGTAGACTGCACATGCTACGCTTGCACCAAGCACCACCGTGCATACGTTCAGCATCTACTCGCCGCGAAAGAGATGCTGGGCTGGGTGCTTATCCAACTGCACAACCACGCTATTCTCTCAGCCTTCTTCTCTGGTATTCGTGCTTCCATCGAAGCCGACACCTTTGACGCCGAGGTTGCGACCTTTGAAGCTTACTACGAGCCCGCACTACCCGAGAAGACTGGGCAAGGGCCAAGAGTGAGAGGCTACCAGTTTAAAAGCGAGGAGCATGCGAAAAGGGAAAAGAAGAATCCTAAAGCGTTTACAAAGTTTGATGAAGAGCAGATTGCAGAACTAAAGAACGCGAGTGAGTTACAAAAGGACAGGAAACTGCCAGCAAGTAATGTTGTTGATGATGAGGCATTGATGGGACTTGTGGGGTTAAATGGTGTTAATTTCAATGCGGATCCGGTAGAGGGGTTGACAATAGAGGATGATAAGAAGGTATGAGTTTTTCCCGTGAAGAAGATGCATATGAACTAAACGACTTCTCTCTTGTTCTACTTGTGTTCTGTCTTCTCGTAAACTGTTGTTCAGCTTCTGCACTTGCCTTGTTCCACATAGGTTCCATCACATACGGACTAGACCACCTACCCTTACGTCCGATGCACTCTGAGGACCGTTCAAAAGGCGCCAAACAAACTCGTGGGTGTGCTCAGATGCTGTGCAATAAGCGTTGAAAACGCAAAAACAGACGGTGTCAAGGCTCTGGATCAATGCACATATCAGAAACGCACAACTACACCACAGAACAAGGACACTGTGGGTCATGAAGACTCAGGATCGAGTCAGTTGTCAGAGAAGGAGCGCGTGTAAAAGGTAAAAGGTTGACGAGCGCCGAAGTCGCCAGCCACAAGGATGTCTCAGCGAGCAGCACGAGTGACAATTATTGTATTTTCAACCACGTCCAGAAACCTATCTCTGCACCGAAGGTTCTCCAGAGAGCCTTGGGCAACTAAAGTTTCGCAATTTCATGCACATGATATGATTCTCAGCTGATGACTGCTTAGAATATACAAAACTGTCTCATTTAAACCACCATGCAGCAATTCGATACCACTGCATAGCGCTCAAACATCCTCAACAGACACTCAGAATATTATTCGTAACAAATTCATGTCTTCCACATACGACCATAGGACGTTGACAACAAGGCTTCCCGTTCGCTCAGCCCTATTTAAGCAACGTACCGGCGGATTAGTACCTTGGTTGGTGACAACAAGGGAATTCCCGCTGTTGTATGTATTTCTTTTTGAAATTTTGGCTAAGTTTTTTTGCGGGAGCCGAAACGCTAGGATAAATGGGGCCTAGCTTTGGAGATGTGGGGCAGGCATCAGCAGCGGCACTGTCGCTAGTGAAGACCTGCCGTGGCATGTTTTGGTTCTGTTTTTGCATTCAAGTCTAAAACCGAGTAGATGAGATCTTGCAACTAGCCATAAGTATGAGTATATTCTACCTTGTAGTGAGGAGTTCACAGTCATCCTAGCAAAGAGCTCTTTCTTTTTCATATTATTACTATCATTATGTATCTGGACTCAGCCGGCCAGGGCCTGGCGAAAAGCCTCTATTCTGACTTGATTAGGTAGGACGAGCGTCTTCTAGCAGGATGGGGCGATATTCTCTCTCTACCCTCCAGCCCCACTTTTTCACGGTGCTTACTCTCAGACGTAGCCTGGGTTGCCTCTCGAAGTGAGCTACTCGAGGAAGAACCTTATCGAGAAAGGCCACGCGGGAATCAGAGAGGAAATGAGGTTGAAAGGGAGACCACTTGCGTAGATGAGGTGCTGGTACATTGCCACGAAGGGACTTTGTCATAATACAGTGGGAGACTCCAGAATCTTCGCTATTACATGGTTTGTTTTCGTATTTAATTATCCGTTGCACATTCGTACTTTGAATTGGTCTATACGAAGTAGAAAAGATTACAAATTAATTGAAGGAATATCGTCGTTGGAGATTGTGCAAACATGCAAATAAAGAGAAGCGTCATTCTTCCTCCGTCATGCTTGGAACCATCGTCCCAGAAACCGCAAAGCCCATTCCGGACGTATAACGCCCGTCATAAACATTGCGAGATGCACCACCGAGATATAATGCCCAAATCAACACAACCCATATAGCCGACGCCTGCCATGAAGTAAGGGGAGAATAACCTATATCCAATCCAATCCAAGCGCCTGAAAGCAATCCGAACTCCGAATACACGTACACAGCTCCGCCAGGTCCCGCCCAGGTGCTTTTCCTTCTGCCTCTGCAATTCCGATCACTTGCTCTTGCTCCTCTTGGGCGCCCCGGGGAACAATCTACAATCCATCTTCATCTTCTTGACAAACACGAGGTACGACTCGAGCGCTTCAACCTGCGTGGGGAACGTCTTGCTCCGGTTCATCCACATCTTCAGGTACTTGTCGGAGGTCTTATCTTTCAGTGCTGCATACCACTCGTTCGACGAGGCTTCTTGCTTCAAGACAATAGCAAGGCGCCTTCCTTTTAGTGCTGTCACGCCGCTTAGTTGTTTTAGGCAGGCGGCTTGGAGGTCGGATATGTCTGTGTCGTCTTCTGGTTCTTCTTCTGCATACGAACCGAATCCAATTCTTGAGAGGATTGATGAGCGTACGGGTTTTGCGGGTGGGGGTACAACGATCTCCGGTACAACGGCTTTTGGGGCGGATGTTTTTGGGGTCGAGGTTTTCGAGGAAGAAATCTTGGAGGATGATGTCTTTGGTGACACGGCCTTTGGTGGGACAGTCTTTGGCGTCACAGTTTTTGGTGGCGCAGTCTTTGACGGCGCAGCCTTTGGCGGTACGGTTTTTGGGGGCGCCACTTTTGGAGACGTAGTCTTCGAGGAAGTGGTCTTTGTAGATGTGGTATTCGAGGCCTCAGCCTTTGGAGGCGTAGTTTTTGGAGGCGCAACTTTGGTACTGGGAGTCTTCGCGGGCGCGGCCTTCGCGGGCACGGTCTTCGGAGCCACAGCTTTCGGCGGCGCGGTCTTTGAGGGCGCAACCTTCGTCGACGCAACCTTTGCCGACTCGACCTTCAAAGCCGCAGTCTTCGCCTGCGCAGCCCTCGCAGCCAAGATCTTCGACGCGACCCCCGACTTCGGCAGATCCGTCTGCGGCACGTCCGTCTCGATTGCCGGACCTGACGGCGGCTGAAATTGCCCACTTGCGATCTGTTTTGCTCGTTCCTTCACACTGACAAACATCTTGACCGGTTGGCGATGAAATGGATGAGTAGGTGCACGTACGGCGCGACGCAAGGGGGGCCTACACGCGCTTTTAATACCTACTTGCCACAAGACGACACATTCCACTACGCATCGGCCAGGCGGTGGAAGATGCGCGAACGCCTGCGAGCTGGCTAGTGAGCGAGCCGAGATTCGTGGTTAATGCGTCCAGTGATGGGGTGGTGGCAAGCGGGATTGTAAATTAAACGGACGCTAAGGTGGCGCAGCTGGTATGTAGGTAAGACGGGAAAAGGGGGGGGGGTCGAGAGCGTTGAGCAAACAAAGTTTGTTCAACATGTTACAGACAACGGGCTTTGCATATATACTGCATGACTTTCTCACAGGTTCGATATGATCAGGTGGCATGTTACGCATCATGTGCTGTTTATGTCTTGCATGTTTCATGCAGGACGTGTCGATGGCGCCCTGCACGATGGAAATGGAAGGTAGCTAGTGTTATCGATAAGAGAAGCGAGGAGGATCGATTGGGGTAAGAGAAGTGGCTGTGCAGATTCCACCGCTGGCTAGAAGACTCGCTTGGCTCAGCCCCTGGTTAGCTCAAAGCTGATCGAGCAAGGATACGAGTATACGATATGGTCGACGCGTCGTAATCACGAGAACCTCGAGTTGCTTGTTTTGATCTCTTCTCCAACATCTGACACTTACATATTATCTGCCAAACCGAGTTGTACACCAGGTCCAATAAGTGGTCACCTCTATATGTAAGTTTGGTAGTTCCCTTCAGCAAGCCGCAACCCACACCGAAGCAAACTCAAAAGACTACTTTAGCTCAGGTACGACACTCGTATGCAATTTTACAAACGCTTCCCCGGACTTCCTCACACGAACAACACACGGACCCCTGCTCCATAATATCAGACTTGCAGACACGACTTGTTGCGGATAGCATGTTCTCACGTTGTCGAAACAGCATGAGCACACATACCAATCAATAAGTCTGATACCATAAATGCAGAGTATACTCACTACGAATACGTTGCTCAGGACAAGTCAACGTGTACACGTATGTTCCTTCGTGGCCTGCATAAGGCCTACCAGGAATCGCGATAACGCAGTCAAAGCCGATAGGATGGTACTCTTTCTGCACATTACATGCATTCTTGATAATTTCTTGCTGGCGTTAGAGGGTGCGGTTATTGTAAGTGAGAACCCGGCGGTCTGATACGTGATGCGCAGGTTCATCTTCCCAGGCAAACTGTAAAAGAAGTCATGCTGTCTATAAAGTTAGCCTATCAATAAATACACGCGTTCACACTACGCGCAAACCCCACGTCAATTTCGTAACAGCCGTGGCCAAAAAGCAAATAATCATCATTCATATGTATAAACCTCTGGTAGCGCCTGTCTACTTCTAGCTGGTGGTAGGACCAACAACCCCTCACATAACCGACTAATTTACAAATCCTTAGCAACAGCCTCCAACGACTCCTTGAAGATGCCACAAGCTTGACTCAATTCCTCCTCACTAATCGTCAGCGGCGGGATGAACCGAAGGACGTCGAATACCGAAGTGCTGAGGAGAAGCATATCCCGTTTGATGCATTCCTGGACGATTTTCGGCCCGAGCTGCGGTTGGCTTTGTGCGTTGCTTGCAGCAGTATTGGATGAATCGCGTTGCAGTTCCGGGTTCGAAAATTGTACACCGACCATCAGGCCCTTTCCGCGGATATCTTCGATTAGATTGCCTGCTTTGGTGCCGGACGACTTTAGGTCGTGGAGGAAGGAGAAGATCTGTTTGGAGCGCGCAGCAACATTGTCGAGTATCTTTTCGTCGTGGAACGCTTGGATCGTCGCTGTTGCGGCGGCGCATGCGACTGCGTTACCGGCATATGTGCCACCCATCGACCCAGGCTTCTGGAGGTCCATTAGCTTCTTGCTACTCGCGATACCGGACAGCGGAAAGCCGTTGGCAATGCCCTTGGCGAAGATAAGAACATCCGGTCGCACTCCAGACTCCTCTACAAACCACATGTGTCCCGTGCGACCCATGCCACACTGAACCTCATCGGCAATGAGAAGGATGTTATTCTCGTCGCAAATTTTTCTCAAGCCGTGTAGGAACTCTGGAGGCGCAGGGACATAGCCTCCTTCACCCAGAACAGGCTCTAGGATGATAGCGGCGGTGTCTGCAGGGGATGTCTGCTGCTGCAAGGTGAGCTTCAATTGTAGCAATGCCTGGTTTACGAGTTCCTCCGTTGGTGTGTCTGGAGTAGCACCGCCAAACTGGCTGTAGTATGGAAAAGCGGTTGCGAATACACCACCCATCAACGGGCCGTGACCCTCCCCATAGATGGTCTTGGAGCGAGTCATCGAGGCTGTCGCATTTGTGCGGCCATGGTAGGAGCCCTGCATGACGATGATGTTGGGCTTTTTGGTCGCAGCGCGGGCAAGCTTTACAGCTGCCTCGACCGCCTCAGCGCCAGAGTTCCAGAAGAAGACGGTATCGAGGGATGGATGCGGAAGGATAGGAATCAGCTCCTTGATAAGGGCGATCTGCGCGGAGCTAAAGCCAATGTTGACCTGAGCATGTGTGATCTTGGAGCATTGTGCGGCAGCGGCGGCGCTGACTTTGGGATGGCAGTGGCCGAGGTTCACAACGCCGATACCGGATGTGAGGTCGAGCAGCTTGACGCCCTTGTCCGTGGTTATGAATGTGCCTTTGCCTTCGTCGAAAACATGCTTGGTGAGGCGGCCAATGCCTTTCGCAATGTGTTGCTCGGCGAATGCTGCCGTGTCCACGTTAGAGGATGTCGGTTGTGTGGTAGAAAACGCTCGTAGGGGCACTCGAACCGTTCGTGAACGGACGGGCGCAATGTTGCGCAAAACTGATGAGGAGCTTCTGGGTATCATGGCGGTGGTTGTTATTGGAATGGTATGTTGTGAAGGTCGAGGTTTATTATATACAGACTGACGTAGGACTGACACTTATTCTTATCTCCGACACTAGACGCTTTACACGCGTCTAATAGATATTTTTGTGTAATGAGCAAGATATTGAGCAACCGGGATATTACAAGTAGAAAGAGTGACGTAGGGCAAGTTGAGAAAACTTATGAAGTTGTTAATAATCATCAAGCGACAGGTCATAACTACACGTACTGTCACATTAAGCAATTTCAAAAAAGTACTGAAAGCCATCTCGAACCTTATTGTTAGAAGATCGAACTAAGCTATTAAATCAAAGCTAAGCAAACAAGAATCCCTACCTACAGTCTCCTCTACTCGAATAAAAAATTCATGGATGCCCAAGTAGCATATCATCGAATATTCAAACCATAAATACACTATACCGAGCAGAACGGTGCGCTAACCACCGACATCGTGTGAACAGAAACGATATGCCAAATAAACTGCTTCTATGTCTTCTTACACAGTATGATTGCAATTTACTCATCTCTCTAGTCCCAGAAACTAGCGCATGTTTGCGCGTGTAGTGATATGCTGTGCTACGATCACACTCAGCTTGTGTTAGTGAGATGTAGCACGGGATAGAAGCATGTCCTATGGTTTGACGGAAAGCTGTGTGTCAGAATGCAGATATAAGATGGGAATACACTACAGTGCGAGGTATCTGAATGAACCTCCGCCTGCCTGCTCACCCACTCAGAGACACGCACCCGTTTCCAACGACCCATAAACCCGCACTCACCTCCTGGCGAGCGGAACGAATACAACGGTAGCGTAATACTCCTTGGCTATAATTAACATCAGTATTAGCATGAGGGCATGATATTCCCGCTACATGGCCCCATCTCCGCCGAAACCTCAAGCCAGCAAAAGCGCCCAACGACTCCAACCCACGAACCCACAACGTGCTCCCTACGCCCTTCCCGATTGGCCATCAGATTCGCCGCACAATTCCCTGCGCGGGTGGAGATTCCAAGGCGGAGATCGCTTGGCCGTAGGGATTTCCTCTTGGCTTGTCCCGCTGCCTTGGCGGAATTGTAGGCGCATATGAGGCGTTCGGCCAACCAGGTTCAAGTCCTGTCAGACGTCAGGATCGTAGTAGTGCTCGGCGGGAGGGTTTTGCTTGCTTGGCTGGATACGTCGTGATGAGGAGGAGGTAGTGGTCGGAGGTGTCCGGGTTGTTGTGTGTATGTGGGTGTGTATTTATATACAAAGCGGTCCAGGGACGTTGTGTAGAATTTCCACACATTCGTTGCAGATTTCTGCTTTCAACCTTGTTCTAGTCGAAAAGGAGCACGATGGCGCCCGCTATCACTGCCAGATATGACTGGATTCTTGCAATCACCACGATTGCATTTGTTTTCTCCGCCTTTGGAAACGGCGCCAACGATGTCGCGAACTCATATGCTACTTCGGTGGCTGCGCAGACGTTGACCATGCCGCAAGTTGGTGTGCTGTCTATGATCACAGAGTTCGTTGGGGCTGTCGCGCTGGGGGCGAGAGTCACGGCTACCATCAAGAACGGGATTATCAACATCGATCGCTTCGCTGAAGCGAACAACCCGGGTACGCTGATGCTGGCTATGGGCTGCGCAGAGGTTGGAAGTGCAGCTTGGTTAATGTTCGCTACTGTGAGTGTTGTAACCCTTTGTCACTGCTGTGTCTTCTCACACGATCAGGCACATGGTATGCCGGTGTCCACGACACAGACTATTGTAGGTGCTCTGGTTGGTGTTGGTTTCGCCACGCAAGCCGGCGTTACCTGGGGATGGGAGTCAGGTTCTGTTTCCCAGGTTGCTGCGAGTTGGGCCATCGCTCCCCTGATTGCATGCGCGTTCAGTGCTATTATCTTCGGCAGCGTCAAGTACGCAGTCTTGGAGCGCGAAGACTCGTTCAAATGGGGCATGAGACTCATCCCGTGGTATTTTGCTGTCACCGCCGCCATCCTCGCGCTCTTCATCGTCGTCGAGGCCCCGACCGCGCCATCTCTAGAAGAGTTTGGGGCTGGAAATGCCGTTGGAATCGTTCTCGGTGTTTTCTTTGGCGTGCTCCTCATTGCTTATGTCTTCTTCATTCCTTTCCTCAAGCGCAAGTTGGTCCACAAGGATGCGCGTCTCCGCATCTGGCACGTTCCTCTTGGGCCTCTACTTCTGAAGGAAAACCCGCCCCTTTACTTTGCTGGTTCAGCCGATGGAGAGTACGTTACCAACTACTACGCCGACGCACATGGCGAGATTCGTGCCAAAGGCCAGGAGCTTCGAAACCGCAAGGGTGCTGCCGGAGACGACGAGGAGCGACAAGGCGTTGACACGATCAACAAAAAGCCCGCAGATATCGACAGTGCAAGGGTGCCCTCGGACCCAGAGCAGGCTAAGGCTTTGGAGGAGAAGCTGCGTGTCAATGACGACCCGGCTGGTACTCTTCAACTGTCTCGCAAACGCAAGCTTGAACCATATGAACGCTTCATCAGCCCCGTCAAGGATCTGTCTTGGGTCAATCCGCAAAAGTACTGGGGATACACCAAATTCATCCTGCTTCAAGGTAAGTTGAATATGAGTGAGATGTAGCGAGCAACCAGCTGATCGTCCCAGGTGTAACACGAGACGTCATTACTCACGACAGCGACAAGCTGCGTGCAATCCACGCTCGCGCCAACCGTTACGATGTTCGCGTCGAGCACATGTGGACGTACTGCCAAGTCATTTCCGCCATGATGATGTCTATTGCCCACGGCTCCAACGATGTTGCCAACGCAGTCGGTCCGTGGTCGGCGGTGTACCAGACGTACCGAGAAGGTACAGTTGCGACGACGTCACCAACGCCGATCTGGATGCTTGTCGTGGCTGGTCTGCTGCTGGGTTTCGGGTTCTGGTTCTACGGCTACCACATCATGCGAGCCATGGGCAACAAGATCACACAGATGAGCCCGACGCGTGGGTTTGCTACAGAGTTGGGTGCAGCCGTCACTGTGCTGCTCGCGTCTCGCCTCGGTCTTCCCGTGTCGACAACGCAGTGCTTGACGGGAGCGCTGATTGGCACGGCATTGATGAACTACGACGTGAGGGCGGTCAACTGGAGGCAGCTGGCGTTCATCTTCATGGGGTGGGTGATCACGCTGCCTGCGGCGGGTCTGATTGCTGGTCTGTTGTGTGTGATGGCGCTGAACACGCCGCATTTTTAGCTACTTGTGGGTGGGATTAGTAAGGGTGGTGTAGACGAGTCTGTTCTATTGTAGCTATGAAGATTGAAGGTTGAATGTTTAAGAGAATGAGTGAAGTGGTGAGGAAGGTGCAGCGCACGCTAGTGACGCGTCGGTTGCCCCACCAGACTTTTTTTGAGGCGACCCCGCCATGCGTCAGGCCTTTGGAAGAGCAGCGAGACGTCGCACTGTGACACAATCCCCGCCCATCCAGCATGGCGCCGACTGAAGACGCGTACCTGCTCCTGCCGGGCTCGTCAGCCCACTCCGACTTCCGCCTGCAGCGCCTGGCGCACGACATCGGGGCCAAGGAGGTGCGCGCCGTGTGGGTGCACTTTGTCAACCCGCTGAAGGAGCTGAGCGACGAGGAATTGAAGACGCTGCAGCAGATCCTGCACTATGGCGAGGACCCCGCGGCCAGCGACGCCCTCTCGCAGACGCTGCTCGACGCCGTGCACCGCGGCGGCGAGCCCACGGACGACCACACGGTCCTCTTCTACGTCTCCCCCCGCGCCGGCACCATCTCGCCATGGAGCTCGCTGGCGTCCATGATCGCCCGCACCTGCACCCTCGAGCACGCCGTCAAGCGCATCGAGCGCGGCATGGTGCTGGCCGCCACCTTCGACCGCACCCTCGCCGCCGACGAGATCCCCAGCCGCGACCAGCTGCACGACCGCATGACGCAGACCATCAGCCGCACCGCCCCCAACCTCAACGCCATCTTCGGCGAGAGCGAGCCCGCGCAGGCCACGATCATCAGCTTCGACGAGTACAGCAGCGCCCAGGCCGCCCTCGAGCACGCCAACCGCGAGCTGGGCCTCGCCATGGACAAGTCGGAGATGGACTACCTCGTCGACGCCTACACGACCGAGCTGAAGCGCGGGCCCGTCGACGTCGAGCTGTTCATGTTCGCCCAGGTCAACTCGGAGCACTGCCGCCACAAGCAGTTCAACGCAGACTTCACCATCGACGGCCTGCACAAGCCCTACTCGCTGTTCGGCATGATCCGCAACACCCACCAGAAGCACCCCCAGCACGTCGTCAGCGCATACAGCGATAACGCCGCCGTCCTCAACGGCGAGGAGGCGAGCTTCTGGGCCCCCAACAACCTCACCGGCGAGTGGAACGGCACCAAGGAGACGGTGCACATCCTCTGCAAGGTCGAGACGCACAACCACCCCACGGCCGTGTCGCCCTTCCCCGGCGCTGCCACTGGCTCCGGTGGTGAGATCAGAGACGAGGGTGCTGTGGGACGCGGCTCCAAGCCCAAGGCGGGTCTGGCCGGTTTCACTGTCTCTGATCTGCTGATCGAGGGCTTTGAGCGGCCATGGGAGCTCCGCGACGTCGGGAAGCCTGGCCACATCGCGAGCAGTCTGGACATCATGCTCGAGGCACCACTAGGAAGCGCCCAGTTCAATAACGAGTTTGGTCGACCCTGCACCATCGGCTACTTCAGGACCATGCTTATGCGTGTCTTCACCAACGAGACCGAGTCGGAGATTCGGGGCTACCACAAGCCCATCATGCTAGCAGGTGGTGTGGGGACTGTGAGGCCACAACATGCCCTGAAGGACCCTGACATCGTGCCCGCTGGCTCCCATCTGCTCGTCATTGGTGGGCCTGCCATGCTCATTGGCCTGGGTGGTGGAGCTGCATCGAGTGTCCAGTCTGGCGAAGGCAACATCGACCTCGACTTCGCGAGCGTGCAACGAGGCAACCCTGAAGTCCAGAGGCGAGCCCAAGAGGTCATCGACACGTGTCGATCAATGGGCGACAAGAATCCCATCCTGTTCATCCACGATGTCGGCGCGGGAGGCCTGTCAAACGCGCTGCCAGAGCTCGTGCATGACTCAGGACTCGGCGCCATCTTTGAGCTGCGCGAGATAGACAACACCGACAAGAGTATGAGCCCGCTACAGATCTGGTGTTGCGAGGCTCAGGAGCGTTATGTCATGGCGGTCGGGCCCAACGACCTCGACCTATTCAAGCGCATCTGCAACCGCGAGCGCTGCGGATACTCGGTTGTGGGAGTTGCAACCGACGAGCAGCGCCTCGTACTCACAGACAGGAACTCGACAGACCACCCCAAGCCGATCGATCTGCCGATGGAGACATTGTTTGGAAAGGCTCCAAAGATGTCCCGTGTAGTCGAGTCTCGAAAACTCAGACTGCCTGCATTCGACAGCAGCTTGTCCATATATATTCCAGACACACCCAAGGACGGCCTGATCGCGGAGGCTGTAGACCGCGTGCTCACACTTCCTTCTGTCGGTTCCAAGAACTTCCTCATCACTATCGGTGATCGAACTGTAGGCGGTCTCACCGTCCGCGACCAGATGGTTGGCAAGTGGCAGGTTCCAGTGTCTGATGTGTCGGTAACAGCTACATCATTGCTGGCTGGTGTCAAGACTGGCGAAGCAATGGCCATGGGCGAGAAGCCCACACTTGCACTCATCTCACCAGCAGCGTCCGCCAGAATGGCCGTAGCCGAGTCTCTCATGAACATTGCTGCTGCAAGCTTGTTCGACAGGTTGTCCAGAGTCAGGCTATCTGCCAACTGGATGTCCGCCAGTAGCCATCCTGGCGAGGGAGCCGCTTTGTACGAGGCTGTGGAGGCAATTGGTATGGATCTCTGCCCTCGATTGGGCATATCCATCCCTGTTGGCAAGGACTCTATGAGCATGAAGATGAAGTGGTCGGACAACGGCGAAGCGAAGGAGGTCACGGCACCCATGTCACTGATCATCACTGCGTTTGCGCCTGTCGACCGCACCGACCGAACATGGACTCCTGCCCTCGAGCGATTGGAGGACGTTGGCGAGACAGTCTTGCTCTTCGTTGATCTGGCAGTGGGCAAGAAGCATCTTGGCGGATCTGCTCTTGCCCAGACATTCGGCCAGGTTGGAGACGAAGCGCCTGATGTCTACGACGCCAACATCATCAAGGACTACTTTGACGCACTTGAGCAGTTGCATGAGTCTGGCATTGTACTTGCTTATCACGACAGGTCTGATGGTGGTCTGTTCACGACACTTGTCGAGATGATGTTCGCTGGCCGATGTGGGCTTGAGATCATGCTCGATGGCGTTGCCCGTTCAAGCGAGCCCAAGGACATGCTCGAAGCACTCTTCAATGAGGAGCTTGGTGCGGTCTTCCAAGTCAGAAAGAAGGACGAGATTGCATTCAACCGCTGCTTCGCCACTTGCGGCCCACCACCTGGAATGATCAAGAAGATTGGTCGCGTACCAGAGGCGTCGAAGCAGCAAATCTCTGTTGCACACGGTTCTCTGGTTCTCTACAGAAACACTCGTCAGAAGCTGCAGCAGCGCTGGGCAGAGACTTCATACCGCATGCAAAAACTTCGCGACAACCCTGTGTGTGCAGACGCCGAGTTTGCGAATATTCTCGACGACAAAGACCCTGGTCTGTCTTACAACTTGACCTTCAAGCCTCAAGAAAATATCCTTCCATTCAAGACCACCATCTCGTCAGCCTTCACATCAAAGCCACGCGTGGCTATCCTGAGAGAAGAAGGTGTCAACGGCCAAGCCGAAATGGCCTTCGCTTTCCACATGGCTGGCTTCACCGCGATCGACGTCCACATGACAGACATCATCTCCGAGCGCGTCTCGCTCGCCGGCTTCGTCGGTCTAGCCGCCTGCGGAGGATTCTCATACGGCGACGTCCTAGGCGCGGGACAAGGCTGGGCTAAATCCGTCCTACTGCACCCCACCACACGCAAAGAGTTCCAGACCTTCTTCCAGCGCCCCGACACCTTCACCCTCGGTGTATGCAACGGCTGCCAATTCCTCTCCAAGCTGAAAGAGCTCATCCCCGGCGCAGACCTCTGGCCAAGCTTCGAGCGAAACGCAAGCGAGCAGTACGAAGCGCGCGTCTGCATGGTCGAAGTCATCGACCCGCCCAAGGGCAGCGCACCCCAATCCGTCTTCCTGCACGGCATGCACGGGTCCAAACTCCCCATCGTCACCGCCCACGGTGAGGGCCGCGCACACTTCTCCTCCGCTGGCGCGTCTTCCTCGCCCGAGGCCCTGTATAGTGAAAATCTCGTGGCGCTGCGCTACGTGGATAACTACGGTAAACAGACTGAGATGTATCCGCATAACCCCAATGGCTCGCCTATGGGCATCACGGGCGTGCGGTCGGCGAGTGGGAGGGTGCTGGCGCTTATGCCGCATCCTGAGCGCACTATTTTGAGGGAGGTCGGGAGTTATATTCCTAGGGAGAGGATGGAGGAGTGGGGGGAGTTGGGGCCGTGGTCTAGGATGTTTAAGAGCGCGAGGAGGTGGGTTGGTTAGTGTGAGTGCATGGATGGATGGAGAAGATATGAGAGTTGGGGTTGCATTTTAGGTAAGGATGGTTGGCGTTTGTGGCTTTGTTCGCTGGGGAAATCTTATATTAGAATATTTTGGATGGGAGGGGGCTAGGTGACAGGGAAAATAGTATGTGTTATGATTTTAAGGAAGTGGTTCTTTCTACTACGCGCGTGCCACACAACACTGTTGTTCAAGATCCCAAGCACTTTCGCCTCATCAAGAAAACGTTATATACCCCCGACGCCCAGGGCGAAAAAAGCTACAAGCCAACAATCTACACACTCGGAGACAATTCCAGTCGCCAAAGCTCCGACGACAAAAATACCGCATCTTGTCTTACCCGCGCGGCCTTGGCTTCTCAATACTCGACCGGTGAGTGAGGGTGCGTGTTCTGTCGACGAGGAGGTTTTCCGTTCTAGACAAAAGTGGCTGCTGTTTTTCGATGGAAATCATCTGACGAAGTGAATGATTAGTCTAGGTGCGTTTTCATGGAGGTTGGTAACTTGCATTATCGAGTACTAGAAGCGCGTGCGTGGGCTGTGCGCGCGGAATGGCATGTGCAGCTACCGGGGCAGATGATCATATTACGCTGGTGTAAAGATGTGGTGTTTGTGGTGTTCGTTATTTTCATGGAGGTATTTCGTTGTGTAGGATCGTGACAGATGTATTTATAGGAGTTTAGATTACGGATGCTTCTCCTTACTTTACTTGTGTGATTTGAGGATTTTGAGTTTCTCAGATGGGAAAACGCAGCGATATAGGCAGTAGATAGCTTTTGTGTTGCTTCATTGGCAGTTTGGCTGTTGAGAAAAGCTGAATGTGAATCGAGTTTCTCGTCAACAGCGACCAATACGCGTTTTATACTTGTTTCAGTTGTTAAGATAAAGAACAGTGCAGAATAAAACTTTATATGATACACGGCTTGCTGGTACGTTTTGAGGAGCCCGCAGTCACGAAGGCTTCAACGCCGTAGGTCAACTAACGATGCTTTGTAGGTCATACCGAGCGACGAAAGCTGTGATTTCGTCTGGTCCTACTGGGGACAGTGGCGAAGCGAAAAACAAAGAACGCTACATTTAAATGACGACAACAAGGGGTTGGTTATGGTTTTATCGACGACGTGCTACAGCGGATGATTGCAGATTATACTATTGAACAGCTCAAAACGCGGCAAAAGACCAACGAAGCAAGAGAAATCATCGCATGTCTAAACAGCAAGCACGCTAAGACCTCCATCACTCGTCACCCTCTTCCTCACAGTAAGTGGTATCAGCTTACCTGTGCCCTTTTCCAGCCCTCCATTTTCGTACATGCCCAACACCGCGTTCGGCGAATACACAAGCGCAGTGCCAGTTTTGAGGCATTCAATGGCTTCCATGGTTGAGTGGTGTTCTTCTTGTCGCATAGGTATGTGACGTTTGATAGCGGCGAACCATTCTGGGCTACTAAATCGGTGGATTATCGTGATGGAGCATAGGGCGATGAGATCTGTTAACAACGTAGGCTCTTGTGTGGAAATTACAACGCGGACACCGTAGTGACGCTGCAAGCGAATGGTAGTGAGGAGTGTCTCGTTCAGCGCTTTTGCGCCGGGGGTTGGGCATCATGTACTGAGATTGGTCAAACTTGTTTCTGACGTACCCGCCCGGCAATCCGAGGAAAAACATTCCCGATGACGGCGATCGAATAAGGGAGTTTTGCACGTACCTTATGAGCCTCGTCAAGCACAACAATCTTGCCGGCCGTTCCTGATCGGAGATAACTCTGCAGTCCGATCCGGAAAAGAATGCACGCCGTGTTTGCATCTACAAATGGACAGCTCATGTCCATAACAGCTACTTCTCCCTCCTCGAAAACCAGATCGGGGCAGCTGTTATTCATATCTAAGAATGATTCCAGCAGATCCAAGCGCATCTGCAACATGTTGACCTGTGCTGGGTTGAAACGGCATTTTTTCAACCTGGCTTTGAAATCGGTGTAGTTGAACGCTCCCCCATCGGTTGCCATCTGTCGAAGAATCTGTGTCACGGCGGCCATATACAGAGGCGTATCGTTTGACTCAGCGACATTCATCAACGTGAGCATCGTATCGATGTCCAGATTCCGAGGTTTTAGCTTGAACTGCGAGACAACCACGTTAGGAATCAGAAGGTACAATCTAGAGATTTTGACATAGTTGGATGGTGCCACCCAAACGTGGACTTTCTTCACATGAGGGTGATTGGGGAACTTCGGATGTGGCGTTCCCAAGAAAGCTGCCTCACTGATACTGAAACCCGAGCCATCACCTCCAAACTGGCTGTAGCTGAATACCAGCGCAGAAAGCGGCTTCTTGAGACGCCCAAGTTGCGAAGAGGGTATGAGCGCATTCTCGAGAATGCAAGACGCGGTATGGCTCTTTCCACTGCCCTGGACCCCGCATATGAAAGCCGAAAACGGCACGTTGGTATTGAGAAAGACCTTCTCTTTTTCGTGAGAACCCAGGAAACCATACTGTGGTAGAACGGAGCGGTCTTCTCCTCGTATGACACTCGCGGATAAGAGCGGTGCATCGCGAATCTCATTTTCCACTTCACTGATGATTTCGCCTTCTGTAGAATCTTCTGCAAGTAGCAGGTCCATGAGACTGTCCTCACGGGCATCGAATGAACAATCCGAGTCGCTTGAATCGATTCGAGTCGCTTCTGTGTCACTGGAATGAACAGTCTGTCTTGCGTTAGTCGAATAGCTCGAATAGATTGAATGATTCGGGAAGAAGCAGAAGTCTTGGAAGAGAAAAGAATAGATGTCGAGTATGCCTTGGTTGGTGTCAAAACATCCATTGACTTACTTTGTTCCAGTCATTAGCAGAAGCCTGTAGCTGACTCACCTTTCTTGCGAGAAGATCACTCTTGGACGTGTTCTGGTCATCGGATATTCTTACGTCCTTTGCTGTACCATCGTCGGTTGGAAAAGTAGCATGTTGCGGTGATGTAGAAGGACTCAAGCTATCTGCAGATAGTTGTGATGTATCAAAGGCATTGACTTGAATGTTTTGTAGAACACGGTCGGTTGAACTGAGTTCAGTTGTAGAGTTTGACTGTGCAACCTGACTGGTATTGCTGGCCGCCCTATCATGAAGGTAAACCCCATCGCGATCAGGGTGGAAACTATACTTATGTCCAGGCTTTTGAAGTCTTGAAGGTATTAGCAAGCAGTCAACTTACACATTATTATTGTCTTACAAGTTTACTGCCTGACGAATGAGTGTCTTTTCCACGGTCGGGTGCACACTAATTAGATCAATTTTGAGGTATTCTAGACCGTAGAAATCTCCAGTTGGTGTGAAGCCGTGCTCCAGATATCGTACATAAACCACGGCCTCTAGACTATCATCCAGTCTTGCCTGGGCAAGCGTGCAAGCTGGGGCTGGAGCGTCCAGCGTTGAAGTTTGCGACATCATAGACGCTTGTGAATGGTGATCGTTCTTGGACACTGTCAGACCTATGCCCAGCAACTCCGTGCTGTGTTGGTCTCTTACTTCTGCCCTAGTATTTATTTAGCAAAAGTCTTAGAAAAAGAGCAAGGTATATACATCTCAACAAAATGACTGGTTGTTGGCGTAGCCGTCTTCGATAATGGCACAGAGGTCGTTTCTTTGTCAATCCTGAAGATCATAAGCAGGTTTCCAATATATAGCTAAGCCATGCTGGAATACTTGATGATTGCGTTGTAAATGGCCGCGTCGTGGCCAGGACACGTCCTCTCCAAATACTTTTGAAACTGCCCCAAATTCGGGTTGACGTCTGGTAGCTCGTTTTCCTCGCCGAAATAACGATGATGTTCTTCTCTTACCCAGTATTCGACTTCATCAGGCGTCATGACATCGAATTTCGATGGTACGAGCGACTTGCACTCGGCGGTTGAACGAGGGATCTATCGTCTTCCAAATGAAACTTACCAAGATACTTGTAGGTAGAGTCTTCAGCTTTGCGTTAATCCATAACAGCTCTTTGAACGATTATTATGTGGTGTGATTCGATACCCGCTAGAGGATAGTTCGTATTTCTCCGCTCTATCCAGCTGTTATTTCGCTTTTGCTTTTTCTTTCTTGAAACGGTCGGAAGTCTCTCCAATCATCGTAAGCATCGTGACTCTTTGAGCCCTCATAGTTCTGGTATGACGACAGCTCAACAAAGGCAGAAGCACGTTGCCAATTGCGGGCAGATTCCCTACTGGCTCTGACTAGATGGAACACTTGTGTTCTTACCAGACTTGTCAACTCAGCTGTCACAAGTTCTCTAACCGTACATACACAATACCCCTGAAATGCATTGTATACTTGATTAGTTAAAGAGGACTATTAGTGTGCCAGAGCATCCGATCACGAACCCTTGCTCATCCCCGTTGCTGTCACTATCGTCACCGCGATGTATGCTTAACAATTTTATTTATTATCATGTAAACTATGGTACCGGAACTCTGTTGGAAAGGGTTGACAATAATATCAATCAAAGTTTGATACTGACCCAAGATACCGAGACAGGTGTTTTAATCATATCTGTAGACAACAAAATTACGATCAGATGTGCGGGGTATTTTACTCATGAAGCAGGACATCCCAACAACTGTGGGGGCTGTTTTGCTTTTTGCGCCTGAGTACAATTTTCGGGCTCTCAATGATTTCATTGTTCCCTTTCAACGCCAAGCAATTTGGGGCATTGTGTGTCTTGTGTCAACATCTCTTGGCTTGAGCAGGTGGCTACTATTCTAAGCTAATCGAATACTAGGGCCGTACACACCGGACGATGGGATATCGTCTTCATGGTGCTAATGACACATGTGTTTGTACAAGGAAACAGGGTAAAGGGCGATAGCGACAGCATCATGTCCCTAGCGAGGATCGTAAAATGGTAGCAGAGATTAGACAAGTGACAATTTCAGGAAGATTGAGGTTAGATCATCTGTGCCATGGATATTTCACACCTTGAACTACTACGGAATGTGTCATGTATCATCAGTCAAGTGTATTGTTCAGTTGAGAAAAGAGATTGGAATACAAAGAAACATCACTGGACTATGATTATGAACCCAACAAATGAGAACCGGGAACAAGTTGTCGCAACACTCGTTGAAATAGTTCAACGGTTGGACGACATGAGTGCCTCAATATGTTGATTGAAAGCTTGGAGATCGCTTATGGTAAAAACCGTTGGTTCTCATGGAATTGATACAGTAAGCAAACAAACAGTAGAATCCTAAGACCTACTTCAAAAATCGAAAGACCAAACCAAAGTCACTCATTGGTAGATAGACGTGTGAAATCTCTCTGGTTGCGATTGTGCAAAGTTAACCAAGGTTCAAGATGAACAGTTGTTGAGGATTTCGGGGTCGCGACCAAACAGAGGTTTGTCAAATGTTTGTGCTAATTATGTTGAGTGCGGTCTCCAAAAGGCATCTCATGCTATTAACGCCTTAGGTACTGGTGTCTTATTGTCCACCCCTCTGGACTGTTATGCTTCCGGCACCTCGTCCGCCCACGGAATACTCGACTGCGCACCCGCCTTCTGCACTGTCAGTGACGCTGCTCGATTTGCATGTGCAATCGCCGCATCGAGATCAAAATCCGCCTCCTGAGACATCACCTTCCAGCGTGCTACGGCCACAGTGTAAGCACCTGTGAAAGTGTCACCTGCTGCTGTCGTGTCGACCACCTTGACCTTACGTGCAGGAACGATACGACCGGGCTCCCCACTGGACTGCTGCTTTGATGTCTTATAGAAAACACCTTCCCCACCGAGAGTGATGATGACGTTTTGCACTCCCCGAGCCACGAAAACAGCAGCTACTTCATCCCACGACGGAGGATTTTCGATTCCAGAAAGGATCGCAGCCTCGGTTTCGTTGACGATCAGATGATCTAGTCCTTGGTAGGCTTCCTCCGGTAGTGGGATGGCGGGTGCGGGATTGATGATAGTTTCCACACCTTTCTGACGCGCTGTTTTCATGTTGTGCAGAACCTTCCTTCACATCAGCATCCCCCGAGAAAGCAACAAAAGAGAACAAGCAGGATACGCACCACATCCAGCGGCAGTTCCAGCTGAAACAATGCTACAGTCGCATCTCCGTCCACAAGATCCTCAACCTGTACATCTCCGTTCGCCCCCGGACACAACATAATCCGATTCTCCCCCGTCCCCGTTTCCACAATGATGACTGCAACCCCCATCTTCTTACCCTTCAAGATCTGCACCCTGTCCGTATTCAGCCCATCTTTTTGCAGACTCTTCAAGAAACCCTCGTGAAACTCATCATCCCCTACTGCACCGACCATGCGCACCTCGACATCCCCCTCTCCGCCATTCTGAGCTTGTTGCTGCGTCCTGGATAGACGTGCACATGCTACAGCCTGGTTAGCGCCTTTCCCGCCGAAGCCAATGTCGAAAGACTCGGTTGTGAGGGTTTCGCCGCCGACGGGTACGCGTGCTGTGCGGGTCACGAGGTCGACGTTGAGGGAGCCAATGACGGAGATGACAGCCCGGGGTGAAGACATGGTTTTGGTTTTGGTGCGCGTGAATTCGAAGGTGGGATGACGATAGGGCTTTGATTCGAAGTTTAGCGGCTGCGCTAGCTAGTGTGGGGTTTTGTGGAGATGTTCCTCTACTTCTACTTGCAACCTCAACTCAGTTTGTTAAATAATGGAGTGAATCTTCCCTCTAAGACTTCTACTTCTACAGCTTAGCTTCATGATTGGTGAGACTGAGTTGTAGTGCGGTCAATAGTCTCTACAAGACAGAGAAGGCCGCTTCTTATCTTATTAACCACCTGAAGACTTATGTAGGCTCTCTTGTTCAAACGGCTTGACAAGCTGGGAAAAAGAGAATAGATCAAATGTAACAGACGAATATTTTTGATATTATCAGCAAGATCATCAGCATCGCTAATTCTTTTACTTTCTATTCCCGCAATAACAAGTACAAATCGTCACAAACGACAAAAATTTACAACAAATCCAAGAGAATACAGGGTATCACGACATCTCTATGTTGTCTATCCCATTAAGTTACACGGTCAGCAAGACGGGAACCTATCTCAAATGTGTCAGCACAGCTGTGAAACCCTGCTACTCCCCAATCCGAAAGAGAATTACAAAACATAGAGTACTAACAGTATTTAGGCCTCCTCAAGAAGCTGCAATTCTACGTGCACATGTCCTTTGTCAGCGCGCGGCAGCCTAAACAGAACGGAGTGAGGTGAGACGCAATGAGCCGGCTTTCCGACAAGGCCGACGACAAGTCATCAGACATAAATATCACGACCTACTTAAGTAATTAATCAATCACTCCCTCTAAATCAGCAATTGAAAGTCCCTTCGAATAGCAGATTCACCTACCTTATACAAACAACACGTCCAACCACTATCCCTATAAACCATCTCCCAAGGACCAAACATGCAAACCTACCTCACCCAACTATTCACACCAACCCGCCAACCAACCGCCCCCCCTCTACCTGCCCTAGATCCTCCTCCAAAATGTCGTTTCCGCCTCGACAATGACACTTCACATACCCTTACACTCCCCGACGGGCGAGCCCTCGGCTACGCACAATACGGCTCACCAACAGGAAAGGCGATTTTCTACCAGCACGGACTACCGGGCTCGCGACTCGAAGCAGCAACGTACCACGACCTAGGCCTAGAACTCGGCGCGCGCATCATTGCCACGGATAGACCAGGTATGGGCTGGAGCACGCCGTACGCAGGACGCACACTGCTCGACCACGCCAAGGACGTGGAATATCTTGCTACACATCTGGGGCTGCGAGAATACGCTGTTCTGGTACGTACGTCAGACGTGTTTGATGTGTTGTTAATCTCATCTATGTGCTAACACCATCGAGGGTGTCTCAGGAGGCGGTCCCTACGCGCTCGCCCTTGCCGTGGCCCTACCTCCAACCCAGCTAAAAGCTGTCGCCCTCGTATGCGGCATCGGACCGCCGGACATTGGGATGCGCGGCGCGGGCTGGGTGCATTGGCTAGGCTTCACCATAGGATGGCGTTACTCGCCCAGCTTTCTGCTGCGCTGGTTTTTCCAGCGCGACCCCATGGGCCGCGTTGACTTGAGCGACGAGCAGCGTCTCGCACTCATGCTGCGGCCGTCGAATGTGAGCGCCATCACGCACGACAAGGATCGCGTGCTCATGAGTGACGAACATGTTGTGCGATTGATGCTGCGAACGACGCGGGAGGCGTATACGCAGGGGTTTGAGGGCGTGCGGGAGGACGGGAGGCTGATTTGTGTGGACTGGGGTTTTTGCGTTGAGGATGTGCGGCCGGATCTGGATGTGCAGTTGTGGTATGGACGTGAGGATACGTTTGTTCCGCTGAATCATGGGGAGCAAATTGCTAAGCGGTTGGGAGGGAGGGCACGGCTTAGAGTGGAAGATGATACGCACGCGAGTATCTCTATGAATTGGAAGAGAGAGCAGTTGGAGGGTCTGATTAGGGCGATATGAGGATTGGATTGCGTCTGGTTAATGTGCAAACGAGATTTCTACTTTATGGAATGGAAACTTTGGCTCCTTCAAGAAAATAGAGAATTTGCAAGTAGTGTTATAAGCTCAGCTGTGCAGAAACGTTCTTAGCCTTGCTCGTTCCTTACCTCTGATAAGATGACGGGCTCGATCGACAAGAGCATGTAGTGTTCCAGCATGAAGGACGTGTATAATACAACAAGGGGGAAGTCAATGATAGCTCTTCGTAGACGGTAATGCAAAGTAGACTCTGTGTTGAGATTAACGTTAGACACGCAGATGTCATTCAGGATGCTTAACACAGACAACAACACGTACTAGGACAATAGTGCCACAAGAACCCTAACAATGTTTACAGAAAGCACGTTGTCAAGGTGTATACTAGGCTTTTAGAATCCTGTCTTCTTCAGGAAGTTCATCCAAGCCGGTACATCTACCTGAGTAAGAAATATCAAACTTGGACTTCGGAACTAGTCTCTCTACAGGTGGCACGTGCTGTGTGGATTGTATCGTCTAGATATTAATGTATCGTGTAAATTCTCATCATGATGGAGGGACCTTGCTGAAAGTTTTATGGCAACTTGGTCAAGAACTCATGGGTAAAGTCAACAAATATTATCAAGGGCTAAACCTTGGAAAGAAGAAATCAACGACTGGAACACACAAATGAATCTGGGAATCTGGGCTCACGAGAATTCCAGTCCCAGGGTTGGGTACATGCATCTCCACCAGACCAGAGTGTTCTCGGAAGGACCATCACCGAACTCATCACGAAGTTTCATAAGACCACGAGGATTGAAAAACTCCACGCCTTGATCGAAAAGCGGAGCGTCGAAGCCATCGCCGAACAGATTATCCAAGGTATCAAGGATGCGGATATATACAATGTCCTGAATCGACCCAAGTTCACGTCCAAGGAGTTGACTGACGCGGCCAAACACAAACTCGATGGCAACGATCCTGTCAAACCATCTGGGGACGTTGCCGGTGTATACGCTTGATTCCACATCTCCAACGGAGTGGCACCTGGATGGAAGCAAACCGCAACCTATGGTTACATTGGTAAGACCGAGGCGGGCTATCATGAGCGTAACAAAGTCTACTCAAACTTCAGGTCGCCTCTGACTTAATGGTCAGAAGCGTATCAAGCCTGATTTTCAAGCTCATGGTGTGCTGAGAACCTTACTGTGGTCGGCTGGTATGAAAGTTTTGCTTTAACTACTATGTTCACATTTAGTCTACCCTGTTTGTAGAGTACATGTCTGTGACCTCGTACTAGTTCTCCGTGGAAGGATCGACGAAGCTTACTTTTGACATTTACATTCAACTGAGAGATTTCGTACACAACATATTCCAGAATATCGCCATCGAAGCGTCTCCAGCCCTACAGAAAAATATCGTGCCAAATCAACGCGTCCAGAAGCGCTTTGAAGCTTCCACGACCCACGCCAAAATGTCGCAATCGATTCCCGCGGAAACGTCATGACCGCACTACAATTTTTCAACAAAGCGTGCTCTCGATCTTCCCATTTCAAAGCACAAACATCCAAAGAACACACAATGCCTCTGTACAAACTTGACACGTTCTTTCGCATAAGAACAGCCGCTGATACCCGATCTTCGCATCACACCGGCCCTTCGTGACACCCTGTGCCAACCTGCGCCTGCCAACGCGTCGGACAGCTCAGCCCCGTCGATAACCCCACCCCCGCCATATTAAGAGCTTCGCTTGATCCCTCCAGCACGCCATCGCTGCTAGATCCCAAAACGAACACCATGGTCCAGGTACGCGTCTCTTTGGCCTCACAGCTGTCCTAATGCGGTATACTGTTTATAATTGGAAGGCTGGGATGTGGATAGGGCTGACAATGATGTCATAGCTTGAGTATTCAGTCGAAGAGCCGCTGAATCGCGAGCCCGAGTTGGAGACATTGGTTTCGAGGTACCAACACGCTCACGTGGGTTTGAAGAAATGCACGTAGAGCTGACAGGAGGTGCAGTTTCATAACTCAGCCAGGCACCGGTTACGATCGCAATCATGGTCCTATCCCACACATATCCACTTCCACACACCGCGTGTCAGTCTCCGGACTTGTGCATGATGGACTGTCCCTCAGCGTCGCGGACCTGGCGTCTTTACCACAGCACTCCGTTATCTGCGCGCTGCAATGCGCAGGTAACAGACGCCACACGATGCGCACAAAGCTCAAAGAAGTCAACGGAATCGACTGGTTCGACGGCGCAGTCATGAACTGCAAATGGACAGGGCCACTCCTCTCAGACGTTCTCTCACGCGCTAAACTAGACGTTGAGAAAGAAAAGTGGGAAGATGCACACGTCGCGTTCGCATGCCATCAGACGCCCTGCCAGGACGACGACTTCTACGGCGCATCGATACCGTTGTCACGCGCCATGGACCCAGGGAGTTCGATAATCCTCGCGCTGCAGATGAACGGTGAGCCGCTACCACCCAACCACGGCGCGCCAGTGAGGGTTGTCACGCCTGGGATTGCAGGGGCTAGGAGCGTGAAGTGGCTGGATCGCATCACTGTGCAGATGTGCGAGAGCAGTAGCTACTACCAGCAGCACGACTACAAGATCCTGCCCCCGGAAGCGGATTCGAAGGAGAAGGCGGAGGAGTGGTGGGGCAAGGTCAGCGCGCTGCAGGATATGCCTATCAACAGTGTTATTGGGGTGCCAAAATCCGATTCAACCGTGAAGCGTGACGAGGATGGCAGAATACAAGTCAAGGGTTATGCGCTACCGAGTGGTGCCGAGGGACCGATTACCAAGGTGGAAGTCAGCGTTGATGGAGGGAAGACATGGACGGATGCGGAGTTGATCAAGGGCCAGGACGAAGCAGAGGCGACAGAAGCAGACTTGAGATGGGCGTGGACGTTGTGGAATGCGAAGGTCAAAGTCGACGAGGGTAAAGACGTAAGGGTACTGAGCCGGGCAACAGATAAGAGTGGCTCTACGCAGGCCGAGCATCCCGTGTGGAATTTCAGAGGCGTGGGTTACAACGGTTATGGGGAGGTGTCTGGGCTGGAGGTTATATGAGAGGAGGCATGCGGAAAGCGTGTGAAAATGTTCTAGATTTTGTCTTCTCCATCAGCGTAGCATTAGCCAGCTTATATGACCACGCTTCGTAAGAAGCTCACATCACATCTCAAACTCCCGTATGCCATGCCTCATGATTCATTCATTGCCGTGGTTCCCACGTGCCATCAAAGCCCCAGACTCTTCCTCACGTTGCCCCTCACAATCTTCTCATACTCGGCCCTCCTCTCCCTCCACATCCTTGCCGCATCCACGTTCGCCGGACTCTCATCGTTCGGCTCAGCCAGCATACTCATGACACTGATCAGTATCTTCTCAACGCTTTGGATCGGCGACCAGCGCTCAGACGCCTGTTCGTAGTGCAGTGGATCGTCGCCGGGCGGATGCAGAATCGATATGCAGACTTCGCCGTTCGTGTACACTACACACTCGCGTCAGCAAATCCGTTGTCATTTCTCAGTCTCATCCCCAACAACCCCTCCCTTCGCTCCCTCCCACCGTTCACACCAGACTAGCAACTGGAGAAGCACGACGCACCATTCGGATGCCACATGTCGGTGACGAACTTCATCTTGGGCGGCGCAAGCGGGTAGTCCTTTGGAAACTTCAGCTCTGCAGGGAAGATACCGCCCTCGAACGGCGTGTCCTCGGGCCCTTGGATCAGCGCCTCCCAGATGAACATGTCGTCTTCGCTGACGGGGCCGGCGGTTATGCCTTCTGGCGGGTCCGAAGACAGGGATTTGTATTCTTTGAAGAGGCGTTTCGAGGCGGAGGATGTCATTGTGGGGGTCGTGTGCGTGTAGTGAGTGGGTGGGTGGACGGAGACGGATCGTGGGTGTCTGTGGTGGAATCGGATCTGTGGATGATGTGCGGGGAGGATTTATATGGTGGAGCTTGGTCGCGGATAGTGGCAGGGAACAAAGCGCGTGGGAAATGTGGGTAGGAGTGGATGTAAACGTGTTCGAGGTCTTTGATGTGTTTCGTGGATGGAGAGCGTCTGGTTCCGACACGTCGGCTTTCATGACGAGTGTCGCGGCCCGAGCGCCTGTGCACGTGCGTAGGACATCTCCATTCAACCTCACGACCGCGTTCATCTTGTCATTTTCGCTATTTGCCAGGCGGAAGATATTCAGATGCCGAAATAAATGTGGAAATTTAATCATTCGCTTGCAATGTTATGTACATGAAAATGCCTATCCGTTCTCCGCCCCTGTATTACACCATACTAATCACCTTTACATCCTCACCCTGCTGGCTCCTGAATGAAATGCTTATACTCGTCCTTCTCTGAATACCATCTCGCGTTGCGTTTCCATCTCCCAGCAAGCCGCCTTCGTCCCTCAGACTCGCTTGCTTGAAATGAACGGGCACTTCCACTGCTATCCCCAAGTCATGCGTGTCCGATTCATACCTAGTTTGCAGTTCGGAGTCGTCATTGTCCGGAGTACCGCCGCGCTGTGCAACGGATCGCTGCGTCATGAGGGTTGTGAGTTGCTTCTCTGCCTCAATGGAACCGATTGTGAGCCAATTTATCACCATAATGCCCCAGGAGACTACAGGTTGTTAGTTTCCATCGTGTATCGTGCCCCATGATCATTTCCCATGAAAAGTAGAGAAAGTGATGAGCAAGAGGAGTGGGGAAACATACTGTCTAGCACGCAGAGCGTCATACAAATCCAAGCCTGTTCTCTCCCCTTCATAATGTAAAACTGCGCCATATTCGCAACCGTGGGGAACATGACGAGCGCACTCCCCGTCAAACTCTTCCACAACAAAACCTTGATGTGGTTATTCATTGGACCACCAAACCCGGCGCCTTCCGTAGTTTGCGTCTGACTCTGCTCTTGCTTCTTGATCCCATTGCCAAAAACCCCCTTCACGCTCAACAAGCTGCGGAGGTCAATCACCGGGCTCAGCAACCAGAAGAACAATCCCGTCAACATGAAATTCACACCGACGTCGAACGACAGCAGCGGGAAGCTAACTTTTGACGGGAGGCCAATGCGGCATTTACCGTCAAGTTTGCTCAGTTCGACCGTTGGCGACAAATACCCGATAATGGCAATGGTACCAAAGCCGCCCAGGAGGATGAACATGCCCGCTAACCAAATGTGGTCTTTACGGCGCGGGAAGAAGGGCGCGCGGACAACACGGGCGCGTTCGAGGAGAAATATGTATCTACACAACGAATATATCAGTAACGTAGGCGCAAGGCAGCACACTAAGAACAACGCACATGGTGAGTTTGTTGCCTGTGTAGAAGACCAGGCAAATCATGGCCGCGGAATAGCATAATTGGTGAGTGCGCAGGTTCTGCCCTGTCTCTACAACCGTAGCGCAGAAGACGAAGCCGAAGCCGAAGATGAAGAGGACAAGCACGAGGATGGATGTGAAGGTGCGTTTCCGTAAGATATTATTTTTGAGGGTTTTTACTCTTTGTCCTGTGTAATGTCAGTATGTTCCTCCGTGAGTGACTATGTTGCAGTTGAGTGATACTCACCAAACAATACACCTAGTAATATTGCACAGAACAAACTGACAGTATTGAAGATTGTTCGATCGGTGCTTGTCCCCCCAGCCACGAACGAGCGGCCCGTGTCAGGGTCTGTGATAATGATACGACTCTCATCGCGAACATGCAAGCCTGCAGGTTGACTCAACGAGACAGTGGCAAAAAGCGGTACCCACAAGAGCCCGGGTGTTGAGTACATATCGACTCGCGGTTCACGGAAGGATATGTTGTGAAGGTCAACGCGAGAGCATATGAAGTAAGAGTTTGATAACTTGCTTAATGATGGAGGGAGAGTCTTCTCAAACAGTCGACGAAATTAGAGTCGCTCCCCATGCCTTGCCTTCTGACACCCACCATAAATGCATCTCATCAAGCAGAAATATGGTTAGCAAGCCACGTCTAACGTAGCCCAGCATTAGAGTAAACTTTCGAATGTTGAAGATTTGGAAGACAGGCCCTAACGGCGTTTTAGTGCGAGTCATCACTGGCGGAGAGATTACCGGTTGGTTTGCGCCAACTCCACACAACGGCGGATTACATCGCCGGATCATTGAAGTGTTGAAACTTCTTAGTAACCGCACTGATGCCTCGGATGTTGTTGCGTTTGGCGGTGGCTTCTCGTTGTTGATCGTGGGGCTCGGCCGGCTACCGGCAGTCACGGATCTGTCGATTAGGCTGGGCCATGTCCCAGGCTCATGTAGGATTTTGCAGACCGTATCATGTCATAGACTGGTCCTCGAAAACCGACCGAGATTATTGAATGGAGGCTGTCGCACTCTTCTACGGCAAGCTGTTACAGAGTTTGCCTGAGTGTCACGTATATGTTAATAAAGGTTGACGTAACAGGACCTCAGTCGACGACATAACCGCGAACCAATACCTAATCAGGAAAGCGTGAGCCAACGATGGGCAGGTTCACCGACATGTTTTTGGACGATGATCCACGTTCAAAGTGGCTTGTGTCCGCCGAGTCCATTTTCCTCGGATGCAGCTAGTCAGGTCCCAACAATGAATCGAGACCAACGGGTGAGGCGATCTCGTTCCGCAGCCACGATCCCACTTCCCCGCCACGAGCGACCCTGAACATCGGGGCGATTGCAACATGGGACCTCGTACTCAACGGGTTGCCACACCCGCCTCTTGTTCGCCTACATCGAGGCTGAAGATGCTTTTGCCAAGTCCACCTTCACTCTCTCTGGCCTTTTGCGGTTATCAATGCTCGGCTGGTCAAGTCATGATCTCACGTGGCTGCTTTCTCAATCCCTATTCCGACTCGGACTCCACCTCTTGAACACAAACTCCCTAAGCGTATACCTCTTGAGGACGGTCCCGATATCGACTTTGAACCCACCACCCATGCTCTCCTTATCCCATGGGGGAGGCACTTCAACGTAGACCAGCACCAGCGTTTTGAGAGCCTGTGTCTGTACACGATGCACGCGGTGGAACCACCACCAGTCGTTCTTCTTCTTTTCTGCAAGACGTTCTGGAGTCTCCGACCAGTACGGATGCGAGTAGGAAGGTACAATCGTAATGGCAAACTCGGCGTGATGAAAAGCCGGCCCGCGGATGTAAATTAGATAGTCGATTCCGAACTTGATGCCAGGGCGTACAACCCAGCCCAGGGAGCGGAAGTGATGGAAGACGACGTATCTGAGAAGGAAGTCGTTATCTGGGGCGATAGATGGAATGTACGAAACGGCGGGGTCTAGTTGGTGTAGGAGATGTTGCGGTTGGTGGGCGGAGTGGAGACTGAGTCCCATTTGTTGGGCGAGTTGTGAGGGGGATTCGGAGAATGTCGAGTGCGCGGAGTACAGACGTACGAGAAACCAGGCGGGGAGCGGATAGCTGCCCTTCGTTCCGTTGACGACTTCGAGAACCCCTAGAACGTATGTGAGGAAGAAGGCTTCTTCGAGGGTGAGCTGGAGGTGCTCCATATCTTCGATTTCGGCTTCCAGGCCCAACTTCGCTCCTTGCGATGGCGTCTCGTTTGCGGTGGTTCCGTTGACTTCGGATACGGTAACATCGCCCTTCGTAGTGTCGATGTTCCCAGCCTCGCGAGAGGAAGGAGTTTCTTCATCAGACTCAGAAAGCTGACCGTCCTCTACCAGTTTGCCAATGGTCTCATCTGGAGCAAGCTTCCCCTCTTGTCGCAACTGCTGCTCAATCTCCTCCCGCTGAGCCCTGGCCCGCTCCAGCTTGAACTGGTTGCGAACTTCTCGCCGTGATAGCGTGACTTCTGCGCTCGTTTTCGACGCCTCGATGCCTCGCCTACGCTTCTCAGCGATCAGCCACTGCGGTTCACTTCTGCTGAGTGATCCTTTGCCCCAGAAGCCCTGTTCCCACAACGCTCGTATCGACTGAGGATCTGTAATATGGATGGATTGGGTTTCTGGCGAGAAGTACGCTTTGTGGATGACTTTGTGTGAGTTTGGTGACCATAACGAGTGTGACAACAGGTTGACGGCGATCCTCACAATAGAAATCGGATTATGTGGGATGAACGTTGGCAACGGGTAGACGTCAAGCGGAAGTGGCTTGGCGTGAATTTCATTATAATTAGGTCGCATTTGACGCGGTTTCCTCGGGCCGCCTTTCGAGGTGTTGTCTACATTTTGTGACGCCGCACTGTCCTTCGCCTGAATATCTTGACGTGACGCTTGCACTGGGTGCTGGTCGTCGACAGCCATCTTGCTACCTCAAGCCCGCTGGAAATGATCTGTGCTAAGATGTCAGCGACGTTCGCGCATATAGCAACATGCGCAATGTTCGTGTGGTCCAGATCAGATACCGTTGTAGTCTATCAAAATTGAGAGCAGCAGAGAGCGACCGACACAAGCAAGTGAATGCTTGCACCGGCGATCTTATGTAAAAAATTGAATCATCATAAGGAAATGTTGTGGAGAGGACGATGTACTTACTTTATCGCCCAGCTGTCACGATGTCTTGTGCCTGTGGTAGATCAATTAGTCTGTAGAGCATGTTAGCGTTGGCCATGCATCTTCTTGAAACGTATCAATTGCAAAACACTGATCAGATACCGTTGTAGTCTATCAATATTGAATGCAGCATAGAGCACCTAACGCAAGCAAGTGAATGATTGCGCCGGCGATCCTAGGTGAGAATTTGAATCATCACAAAAGTGGAGGGAAGGACAAAGAGAAGCACTTACCAAATGACAGTCTCACGCGTAGGTCGCACATGAGTGTTGCGCGACTTGGGAGAGCGGTGGTGGAGGTGAGATTGAATTTAATAGAGCCCGAGCGCCCGGAGAAATTCGCGGGCCGCTGTATCGCCCCATTGGTCCATGTGCTATGGTTGCATGTTCCGATGCATATCGTCAGGATCTGGAGCCATGCTGAGATCTTATGATATTTTTTCTGGACCAATGCCTAGGTAGACGAGTGCAAGGTTTACATGCGATGTGAGAGGACGCTGCGATGACGTAATCACGTCCAGCTGGAGCTTCAGCTCTGAGCAAGAGAAGACCTTTCGTTTAGGCATCAACTCTCGTCTCCCAATTCGCAGACCTAAACGTTTGCATTGCAGAAGCTTACTGGAGAGCGCGCGAATAGTAGAACAGGTCCATCTCAAGATGCTACCAGCAGCACGATGGTCGCTAAGACTGCCTCGACTGCCTCGACCACATATTCGAACATTGGCATCGCGTGTCACACCTCCACCACCAGGACCTCGCGGCCGTCTACCAAAACACACTCCCCCGCAGCGGAGGGAGCCAGCAAGCTCGTCTAAACAGTCAGACAGCGAACCTGCATCGTCCAATACCCCCAACGAGCCCGCGCAAGATGCCTCGAGCCCGCCCTCCAAGGTCGAGGCTGTGTCAAATGCCCTCGCGACAACGCCCGACTCAGAGAACAACCTCGTGACTCCCGTCTACATGCCCGAAGACCCGCATGCCGTCCTCCGCGAAACCCACCCAGCGATGCGACTGCTCGACAACTCGGCCATTGTCGTGCAGCGGCAGCTGGAGATGATGAACGTGCTTATGGGCTTCGAGCAAGCGAATCGCTATGTCATCATGGACCCGCACGGCACACACATAGGATACCTGGCAGAGCAGGAACACGGTGTGGGCAGTGCCGTGGCACGACAGATGTTCAAGACGCATCGCAGTTTTACCACGCACGTCTTTGACCGGGAGGAAAAGGAAGTGCTGAGGTTCCACAGGCCCTTCAGCTGGGTCAATTCGCAGATACGCGTCTACGATGCTGTGGGCAAAGATGGTGGCGCCTACACTACCTCTAGCAGTCTGCAGGGCACGAGCACGAGCAGCGTGGTGAACCAGACAGCCGCCAACGTCTCGAACTTGGCACTACGCGACATGAGGATCATCGGTAGCACTGAGCAAGAGTGGGCACCGTTGAGGAGAAAATACAACATGTACTTGGCCAGGGACCTTGAGGCGGTAGCTGCCACGCCACAGATTGCGTCCGGCGACCTGCCCCTATCTAGCTCAAAAGCTGTCGCGATAGCAGAAGGCGACACGAGAGAAGTCGGCATGCTGCAATTTGCACGCGTGGATGAGCAGTTTCTCTCGTGGGACTTCAGCTTGATGTCAGAAGACGGCCGCTTGATAGGCTCCGTCAACCGCAACTTTGTAGGCTTTGCACGAGAACTATTTACAGACACTGGCGTATACGCCCTCCGCATGGACGCTGCGGGTATCACGAACGACCCATCGCCCCCCACCCCACAGAGTGGCATGACTCTCGATCAACGTGCCGTCATGCTTGCCACCGCCGTCAGCATCGATTTCGACTACTTCAGCCGCCACAGCGGCGCAGGTGGTATGGGCATGTGGCCTATGTGGATGCCATGGTTCGGCGGCGGCAGCGAAGCAGCTGGTGGCGCCGCGACAGGTGGAGCAGCAGCAGGTGAGGCTGGTGCAGGGGCTATTGGAGCCGCCGGCGAAACAGGCATTGCGAGTGAAGTTGGTGCTGCGGCGCGAGGACTCGGGACCACCGAGGGAGCAGCAGTCGGTGCTGGCACTATGGCAGGATATGAAGCTATGCAGAGGGGAAGACAACAAGGAGACGACCAGTCACCGCAGGCTTCTGATCCGTATCAGGCTTCGCCTGAGCAGCCCTCCGGAACAGGGCAGGGTGGCGACGACGTATGGGGTCAGACAAAAGACCCTTGGGCAGACCAGGGGAGCCAAGAACCCGGGCAAGACTTCTGGGGTGGTCAAGGTGGTCAGGGAGGTGATAGTGGCGGCGGTGGTGGTGGTGATGGAGGATCAGACTGGAGTGACTGGTTCTGAGGGGAGTTTGTATGATCATGACTTGTATCACCACATTGTTATATAGCATGGAATAGCTTTGCATAGCACAGCGCAACGTGGATACTAGAGTAGCTGGTCTTAGACGCAACTCTGCGTTGTAAAGATCAAGCTTTGCTGAGCGAAGTCCACTTTCCCCTCGATTTCCCCAGATTCGGCAGCCAACGATTCAGCATATTCTCCGAAGCTTGGTCTTACCCCGCGTGCAGTCCGTTCCTTCCTTGCAAGGTGCAAATATCCCGAAATGATGGCTTCGGCTTCAATTCTTCCGTTTCGCCACATCAATGTCATTGATCGATGACAGTATTTCAACAAAACCAAGGCCAACAGAGAAAACAACTGACAAGAAACTCTCCACGCCTTCCCGCCCACCATGCGCCTCAAAACAACCGTCTGCGTTTCCCTAGCGGCAACCACGCTTGCAAACCCAACGCGCCTCAAAAACTCAACCTTCAACTGGCACACCACCAAATCTGTCATCGCCTTCGGTGACTCCTACACCTATGTCCAGGGCCTCCAAGGCCACATCAACTACACCTACATCAACGACAACTTCGACCTGTCCTTCACGCCCGACGAGCTCTTCTCAGATCGTATCGTGCAGAACGCGACACTTAACACCGCGTCGGGCGGCCCAAATTGGGTCGAGTACCTGACTGGCTGCGGCGTCGCAACTGGGCTTACAGATCCGCGCAAGTGCAAGACGCAGCTATGGGACTTCGCCTACGCAGGTGCGGACGTTAGTGTCGAACTCACGCCGTTGCACTGGAACCACACGGTCAGCCTGGAGAAGCAGATTGAGCAGTTTGTCGCATATGGGGACCCCGCGCTGCAGAGCGTTGTACGGAAAAAAGACGCGTTGGTTGCAGTGTGGATTGGGATCAACGACATCAACGACTTGATCAAGTTGAGGGGTAAGAACACGAGTTTTACGCCGCTGTACGAGCAGATCCAACGCCAGCAGTTTGGGCTTATGGAGAAGGTGTACGGGCTGGGGTATAAGAACTTTTTGTTCATGAACCTTCCACCGTTGGATAGGGGGCCGAGCCCGAGTGTGAATGCGTCGCTTGTCGAGACGTTTAACGACGTTCTGAAGACCCACGCGGATCAGTTTCAGGCTGAGCATCGCGATGCGAGTGTGCTGCAGTTCGATGTCAATACGGTGCTGAACGGGGTGTTGGATGACTACGAGAAGTATGGGTTCAAGAACGTGACGGCGTTTTGTCCTGGCTATAATCAACCAGATATCAGGACGAACCCAGAAAAGTACGGTTGTGGTGAAGGGTTGAGCACATATTTCTGGTACAACTCAGGGCACTTGACGTCCAGAACGCATGAGGTGTTCACAAAGACATTGAGGAAGTGGCTGGTGTCGAAGAGTGGGCGATAGGGGGGTGTCGCTGCCAATGTCAATCATTGCCTTGTAAGATACAATAATCGAGTGAACTGTTACTGCTACAAAATGAACAATAACATTATGGATAATCCCGAGGTTGAAGAAGCTTGGATGAAGGTCCGCACAAGTATGAAGATAAATTGTCACATCGCATGATTGGAACCCCGACTGAGACGATCACATCCCGGATGCCACTTCCGTGTCGCCGTCCTGGGCTTCGTCTGTGAGCTCCTTGCACACGGGAAGCTGGACATCGGAACGAGTAATATTTCCAGTAATCGAGAGACGGGACACAGTAGTGCGGACCTAGCACATGTTAGCATGGTCGACGTTGGCTGTTGTCACTGCCCGATATTGCATGGTGCAGACGCGGTTGGTAGTGGCTTGGAATGTCTACTGTCGCTCTAGTATAAACTCAAATAGCCTGGCGTAATTTTCCTTGAATCGGCCGAACACATGTTGCGATGCCATCACAGTAAGCTTCTCAGGAACAAATGTATTACCGACTGCGATCCCACGTGGTTGGGGAAAAGCCATGGTAGGAATTTCGAAGGTGTCGGTGAGACAACACAAACGTTGATCAAACCCACATGTAGATAATAACAGGGTATAACAATATCAGACGTTGGGCACGGGTTGACATTGACATCTCTCAGAAGCTTGTAACGTTTCAGACGAAGTGATGCTAGAGAAAATAAGTTGCGGATAGATCAGAGCTCCGCGCATCTTTTCCTGCAGCGGGATGATTCCCTCCGAGCCGTCTTTAAGGTTCAGGTGGATGCAGGCGCAACGTCTCGGTGATGATAGCGGTGAGATGAGGGGTGTTCTAGAATCCCCCCTAAGCGAACCAACTGTCTGGATCTGCCCACGGAAAGAGCTCCGTACGCAGCTTGACTGGACGTGTGCTCCGTGCATCTCGGGAGGTTCAGACGAACGTGAGGGTCGATGGATACCTGTCACTGCCAGTAAGTCTCTAGCTTGCAATGGGTGATCGAAGCATGGCGGCAAGCAACAATGGCGTGTTCATTGTTCCATCACTCGCAAGAGGCAGCGTCGCTTAGACCCCTGCAAGTTAGAGAGATATTCACTAAAGTTTAACAGACGAAGCGGCGCTTACTTTGAACATGCAGTGGTCTTCGCGGCTGACAGTCGCTCCCGAAGAAGACAGCACAGTATTTATCCATTCAACTGGGTCTGCCGTGCGTCTGATTGTCCGTATTGGTAGTGCATCACTGTGCGTTGCAGCGCTGATCGAATTTATGTCGATCTCGACGGAGTTTACCACAGCGGCAAGTGCGTCCGGGTCGTTTTCGTCCATAGCTGCCATGAGTGCGAGTGCCCAATGTGCTGCATTAGTAGCGGGAAGTCTTTACAAGGATTAACATATCCCCTCGCTTTTCGGGTCGAAGTTTTACCCATCCATCGAGATCAACGTAATTGACAGGATTAGTTGATCGATCTTATTGCGTTATGATATATGACGCCAATCGGATCGCAAAGCGGCAACCCAAAGCTAGATTTCACGGGGAATAGTTCAGACGCTAGAATGAGTTCGTCCAGCGTCCTGAAAGGAGTTGAGAGAACTATACTAGTTAGTGTGTAACACTTATGCGTACCCTGCGCTAGTATGTACCCTGAGGGGTAAGGATCTTTGCAAATTCAAAACTCAGGTAAGCTGAATCGAGATTTTACGAGTAATGTCTCACGATAGCTCTACTACCTCACTAGAAGCACTAGAGTTGGCATCTATTCTCGGCAGATGGATGTACCAAGCCTAACAAACTTGCCGTCACTTTTTGAGGCTGTTGTCCTTGTTCACAATACGTCGCGACAACGGGAAAGCTGTCGTTTGGGATCACGAACTTGTTGACAGGGTTTTGATAGAGAGACATCTTCCTGCACTCCTTTCACACACTTCTAAACCCCTTATGATCCTAGATCCCCAAGGAGGATTTTGCCCCACCGAAATGTGGGTCTGCTGTCACTGCGGCTTGGTTGCCCACGTTTTGCTAGCGTAGATGTCCGGGGCAAGCACTCGGTTTGCCGACGAACCCGGAACTAACGCCCGTGAATAGCGCGCGTCAAGTTTGGTCAGCATTACAAACTTTATGACTTGCTATGATTATCAGGGCTGAACTCTGGGGTGCCCGTTGACATTTTGGCTGTGCTTTGAGATTTCCGTCACTGCGACATGTGGTGTTTTGGTGGCGTATCTGGCGATGATTTGCGTGGTGTTGTGGTGTCATGTATCGGACTTGATTCCGGTTGGGCTTTTCTACAAACGGAGCAGGCATGATCAGCTCCGACATGGGATAGGGATAATGTTGACATGCTATCACTAGAGCAGGATCGACATAGGGGATGTCAGGGACAGAGTCGTGGGCAGCTGGTAGATATGATGCCATGTCGTGTCCCAAAATTCTTTGTCTCTAGTTACTAATATTCTTCTTAATTCCTAGTGATTTTTATTTCAACGCAGTTCTCATTTCTCCGCCTCCTAACACCGTTCCCCCACCTGTTACTCCCGCGGTCCCGCACGATTAAGTTCGCAGATCCGTTGCTAAGGTAGACCAAGTGGAATACGAACAGTTCGCCTGAAAGAATGGAAGACCGAAGTGGGCAGGTTATAGCCGTGGCTGTCGTATTTTTCATCTTGACTTGGATTACTGTTGGCCTTCGATGCTACGTTAGGTCAGACACCTCGGCTTCCTCACTCTATCGAGCAATCCTCTAACACAATTTATAGAACCTTTTTGGTGAAAGGGTTTGGTTTAGATGACAAGATCATGGTCCTCACTCTCTTGGTCTTCACAGCGTATATGTCATGTCAACTTGGCGGCGCAGCCTATGGTACCGGTCAACATCGATCAGCGATTACGGATGAAAACGCTGAAATCGCCCTTCGCTACTGGTTCTTCTGCGAAATCTTCTATACCATATCAACTTCCATCCTCAAGATCTCGGTTGGTTTCTTCATGCTACGCATCACGACAAGTCCAATTCACGTATGGATTATTCGGACGATCATGATTGTCTCTGGCATAGTAGGGTCTGGATATACCTTTCTAGTCCTGTTCCAGTGCAAGCCTATCTCCTTCTGGTGGAACCTGAGCCCTGACGCTGCTGGCTATTGCCTCTCCACGACACTGGTTACGAATTTTACGTATGTGGTCTCGGCACTGAATTCGTTCGCCGACTGGACCTTTGGCATTCTACCCATTTTCATTGTCAAAGACCTGCAGATGAAGAGACGTGTGAAGGTAGTCGTCGCCTCAGTTATTGCGTTAGCAGCGATGTAAGTAGCATACCCACTTCTGAAAGCCCTGTTGTTTGCACAGTTGCTTCGAGTTTGTCTACTTTCTGCATAGATTCTAACATTCATAAACAGTGGTTCAACAGCAACATTGATTCGCTTACCCTATACGTCAAGCCTGACTGGAATAAAGGGCGACTTCCTCTATCGAACAACCGACTTCGCAATCTGGACCACAGTGGAAGTAGGCGTAGGCATAACGGCCGGCTGCATCGCGACCCTTAGACCACTCTTCAAGGCCGCTCTAGGATCAAGTAGTGGTGGTAACCAGTCCTCAGGAATGCCGTGGAGTAAGGCATCAAGAAGCAAACTACGAGACACCTTCGGACAGACACTCGACGAACTCAGGCCAGCGGCTGTGAAGTCGGTCACAACGACGACAGTGACCGGCGGGAGAGTGAGCAGTGACTCGGACGAGGAAATCTTTTTGGGCACAGGCATGGCGTCAGACAAAAAGTGGAAATCCGGAATAAACAAGAGTGTGACGACGACAGTTGTAGAGGAACACTCAGCGAGTCGATTAGCTGGAGGAGGGCCCAGTCAGACGAAAAGCAGAGAACGGAGCTGCAGTTCGGGGCAATTGAGTGATTCTACTCTTGATGACGGGGAAAGTGTGAAACCGACAGAGGTGCACGAACGCTTCTGAGCAGACCTTGTCTGAATGTGTCCACGCCACCTATCTGTAGACGAATATTCGGCAAGCTTGCCGGCAAAAATGAAGACTTAATAGCGGCTTATATAAGGCTCGCAGCATTCCATCGTGGACGACAACATGTCTGTATGAGACTAGGGTACGTTTCACAATTGAAAACGTAGTCAGAGTACAGCTACTTCGCCGCTGTTTTTTCATGTCGCAAGATCGCGTGCAGAAAATTCAGGTATCACGGCCAGGTAGTTGGCTGACTCGAACCGTGATCGGAACGAACCCTCCGCTCTAACTACGCTTCGATGCCGACTCCGTTGCTGAAGACAAAGTAAGCAGCGAGAGCAAGGATGGACCCATCACCTACCCACGTTGCACGTTGCAGGCACTCACGGCAAATGGAAACAAATGCCTCGCCGGCGATATGGATCCGCTGAACATCAATTCCTCCTCAAGGACAACAACAGAGGAAAGACGACGACGACACGTCAACGTTGCTCGGTTTCGACAGCTAAGTCTTGACTCTTCGTCCAAAACTACACCTCGTGTTATCTGCTCCATAGTCCGAGCACTTCTGCCTGAGTCATGGGCTATAATATCCGACAATGGTGGGGCAAGAGTAAGCATCTTGTGGTATGGCGTCGGCAATCGGTACGAGACGCGCGTCATGAGAGTATGAAAACCCCCAAGCGCGGGACAGGACTACGGTAGATAAATGGAGATCATTGTACATATGTGAAGGGAAGGATTGATACGTCCGAGATGAAACCCGATTTGACGAGACTGAGGGACTGGTATATATCTGCAGTGTCGTATAGGCAGATCACTGTAATACCCTATTCAAATAAAGATTTTACTCTACTGTGTTACGTTGAAACCCCATAACTACGTCTCTATGTCCCCCAAACCTGTCATCATAACACATGTAACTAAACTCTACAGTTCGTGAAAGTGACAACACGTGGTAAATGATGTGTGCGTCCATAGTGTACTATATAATGGCAGAGTTATTCCAATAGCTACTGCCAGCTCATCATATTTAATTCGGGCTGGCACATGTCAAAACCCAGCAAAGCATCGCTTGACATATTAGAATATAAATCGGCCCACGGTAGTCCGAAGTTGATCATATTTGGATCGCCGAAACCCGTCGGATTCATCATCTGCGAGTCGGTCAACTCCACTGCAGAATCTCCTGGGGACGGTTGCAATCCGATACTCGACGACGATGATCCCATGGTTTGCCTTATGGATACCACGACCCTTGGCAGTACCAACTCCCGTCCAGATTGTCTAAGTACCGCCTCCCTCGCATCCCAAGCCTGTAGGATAAGTTTGGCGAAGATTTTGAAGAAGGGGCTATCAGTCGTCAGTGGCATGAAGCGGGCATCATGGTTATCGCTCATAGCCTCCCAAGCACGTTCCGACAACTCGTTCGCCGGTCGTCTTCTCAAATCATACGCGAGATGAACATATGATAGGCCAGGGAAATGATTACCCATGAACCAGTGAAAGCCTTTCATAAGCGGTGAGATCATGATCTTGGTGTCACACTCTAGGGCGTCCAGTGCGTGAGATAGCGCTATGTTACGTTCTGCGTCTCCTCCCAGCCCTTTGTGACCCGGAGAGTTGAAGTACGAAGACAGATGTTTCAGAAGCCCGAATTTGGCGAGGAAAGACCGTGCTGTCCAAATGGTCATATAATGTAGCGGATTACTTTGGCTACAGAACTTCAGATATTTGTTTTCCATGGTCGCCTCTACCATGCCTAGCTCGGTGTCCTTGGCCAGAACTTTCAGAGCCGGCGCAGCGAAGTCAAGGTGAAACGCAGCATGACGAACAAAATCAGCAAGTTCACTGCATACTACAGCAAATAGAGCGTCGGTGGATTTACTCTGTACCGGCGGCTCCTTCATCTCAGGCCAGAGATCAGAGTCGTTTACATTGAGCGGTACATTGCAATCCCAGATAGGGGTCAATGTCGCAACATGTCCATCGGCCTTCTCGGCCGTGCGCGTGTCGAAAATTGTGAGCGACCACCACAACCGACGTCGCATTTCGGCCTCGAAGATGCTGTGTTTGGACAGACGGGTTTCGTTTTCGATGCCCATACGTTGTGCGATACGGATTGCGACGCCGAGCATGGAGGAAAGCGAACGAGGGACCGTGCTAGACCGCACCGAGACGAGATAGAGGTATAACGCGGTCAAGCAGTCGAGGTCGTCAGTCCGCAGGAAGTTCGCATTTGAAAGGGCTTGCTGACAGCCGAAGGAATATGTTGTCAGGAGATGTTCTTGTGACGAGCCAAACATAGCCTGACAGTCACCTGCATCGAGGCTGAGGACCGCAAGGCAGTAGATACTAAACATGAGCGCCTCAAGATTTGCGTCTATGATCGTGAGGTTACCGGTGGCACTGACGACACGTGGCTGTAATGTGGGAATATGCGTAACTTTTAGAAGTGGGTTGACGTTGTCAAGATACACCTGCCAGAGTCGGAAAATTTGAGCAGGACTAGGATGAAGCGTAACGAGATCGACAGCGGCTTTGCGTGAACCAAAGAATAGGCGGTCATCGTCGTGGCTGAACTGATCCCAAGCTCTCCTGACCATAAATTCCTGTGTGCGAACGCCTTCATGAGAAGAACTACTACTGTCATCGATGCCTTCACTCATGGCTTGCCAAATACTCTTGGCTTCGTAGTCCGGCTCAGACGTGGCCATCGAAGAGGGAGGAGATGCCATATCTGGATGAGCTGGGTGATGGCCTGTAGTCGCTTGGGAAGACTCATTTTCAGCAGTTGTATCAGTAGGTAGCGATTCGAGATCAATGTTGTTCTGACGGAGTAAGTCTTCGTATCGGTGGAGACGATGTAGCAGTTCTCGTTCAGGTAACACGCGTCTTTGTCGACGTGGGGTCAATGTTGCAGGAATACATTGGACGTGCGTTTTGACGCAGTTCTCGCAGGGGAACTTCCGATCGCACTTGACTTTACGTTGTTGACAGAGTACGCATGCCAATACCCGCTGTAGCTTCGAGGGATGGCTAAATGACGCAGGCGCAGGTGTCGCCATAATCGCAGCTTCGGAAACTTTCCGATGAGATTCCGTATACTATGCGTAGATTTCGGGCTTTGAAGTGTGTGAGAAACATCTCCAAGGGTCAGTGAGACGGGATGGTGATGAGCTCGGGGCGGATGATGGAGATCAAACTAGCACCGAATTTGGCAATAGGCTAACCATGTTTCGGGGGCCCGTAAGTCCGTAAAACTTACGGGTCCGCGTCCCTACAGAACGCAGCATACATCGCACCCGAATCTCATACTTCAACATTCAAACGCAGAATGACGGTATGTATATAAAGCACTGCTCACTCCGCTTCTTCCTGGCACAAACATCGCTGACCATGTCTTCCACAGCCCCAACACACTCCGCAGAAAATGCGTCTGCTCAGCCTATCAACGAGTACGAAGACGCCGAAAAGAATTTCAAGCCCAAGTCCATCAATTTTTGGACAGTCTTAGTTGGCATGTACATGTCATTTTTCCTGGTCGCGCTGGTGCGTTTGCCTACGCCTATCTGCTGTAGCACTTGACTTACACATCTACAGGACCGCCTAATAATTGCAACTGCCATCCCCACTATCACCGCCGAATTCGATTCTATCCAAGACATCGGCTGGTATGGCAGCGCATACATGCTGACCGCTGCTTGCTTCTTTCCCATCTTTGGTCGCGTCTACCAGCTCTACTTAACAAAGCATGTCTTCCTCGTCTCAATTATCATCTTCGAGACTGGATCTGCGCTTTGTGGCGGTGCTCCCAATTCGACAGCATTCATCGTTGGACGCGCCATCGCAGGGCTTGGCTCCGCTGGAATCTTTTCCGGTGCTACCTTAATCATCCTCCCGCTTGTACCGCTCCGCAAACGGCCCATCTTCACAAGCTTGTTCGGGTTAGCTTTTGGTGTCTCGTCGGTACTTGGGCCCATCGTTGGCGGCGCCTTGACTGATTCTGTGTATGTTGCATCGTTCTTTGAGAGATTCGCGTGCTAACTTCTACCCTTTTAGATCTTGGCGATGGTGTTTCTACATTAATCTGCCTGTGGGCGGCTTCTCCTTCATCGTCGTATTCCTCTTGCTCAAAGTTGAATCACCAAAACGCACAAAGCTTTCTTTACTATCCCAGTTTCAACGCCTTGATCCTGTTGGAGCATCCTTCTTCATGCCATCCATGGTGTGTCTTGTTCTCGCACTGCAATGGGGAGGCTCCACAGATGCATGGGACGCGCCCAAAATCATCGGTCTTCTTGTCACCTTCGCTGTCCTCTTTGTCGCATTCATCATCGTGGAGGTGATGATGCCAGAAACTGCCATGGCACCCACTCGAATCGTGTTCAACCGTTCAGTTGCGGGAAGCATGTCATTCATGTTTTTCGTCTCAGGCAGCATGATGTCCGCCATTTACTACTTGACTATCTGGTTTCAAACAGTCAAAGGCAGCTCGGCAACCCATGCAGGCATCCACACGCTCCCTCTGCTACTGTCCATGATCATCTTCGGCATCGTGGCCGCAGTGTTTACACAAAAAGTCGGATACTACGTTCCGGCTATGCTGGTATCCCCTGTTCTTAGCGCTATCGGTGCTGGGTTGCTATCAACTCTTTCGCCGGACTCAAATCATAGTCGCTGGATGGGATATCAGGTACTCTACGGTATTGGGCTCGGCTGCGGGATGCAGACCTCCACTCTGGTTGTACAGACCGTCTTACCACGAGGCGACGTACCTATCGGCATGGCCCTTATGTTCTTCATGCAGCAGCTCGGCGGCGCGATCTTCATCGCTGTCGGCCAAAACATCTTCGCAAGCGAGCTTGTTGATAGGCTCTCGGGCGTCGCAGGTCTCGATACGGCAAAAATCATCAACAGTGGCGCCACCGATCTACACAAGATTGTGCCATTAAGCCAGATCGGTACCGTCATTGATGCATATAACTATGCATTGACCCGAGTATTTATCTTAGCTGCTGCACTTAGTGCATGTATGATCATTGGTGCACTGGCAGTGGAATGGAGGAGTATCAAGGGTGCCAAAGGGGGGACTGCGAAAGGCACGGAGATAAATGTAGAAGAAGGCAATGTCGAGGCTAAGGTGTAAGTATCAACAAGGGTATCAAAGATTAAACAATATTCCTGTAGGGTCTGTAGTCTGGTAGATAGCGTTATCGGTGTTACAAACTATATTATGTCCATTTTGCCGTCTTGCTGTTCCTGAATCTTCAACCACTTGAATGGTCTTGTTCACAAGTTCGGCCTGATTTGGGCAAGCATAGTGCTTCTACACTAAAAGTTTATGAACTACAAACGAAGCGGGTAAGGCTGATCCTGATGGTTCTTGAAGCGCATATTTGTAGCTGTCATATTGTTGTAAGGTTTTACTGCAGCTTGAGATCAGCCCTAATACTTGATCGAAAAGGAGGACTGCACTCTCGACCTAATGTTAGATGATATCCTAACGATTGTTGCCTTGACCAACGCTATTGGTGGGATCTATCTTCGAGACTATTATGAATACATGGGCAGAGGGCTCATAGTTCATAAACGTCGGCAAAGCAAAAGTATGCGCTAAACGTTGCAATTCTGGAAGGTCCTTAGTGATTAGGAGTCATGCCAAAGCCCTCGAGAAGGCCTCAACAGACATGTGGTTCTTCGATGCCATCTGCCAGTAATCTGAAATATACCCTGGAGAGAAAATTACCAAAAGTATTCCTCCGATTGATGATTTCCTAGCCTAAAATATCCGGGTTACTATGTTTGTACCCGTAAGGCCATGCATAATGTATCTTCACGATAATGCGAATCTGCTACTTTTATTGTTGTAAACACGGCCAGTTTTGATTGATGTTAGTGGTCAGACTTCAGTGCATGCTTAGAAGAGTGGACAGAAGTTTCCAGAAATATAAGGACCAAGTGGAACAGTACGGCCAAGATCACTACCTAGATCGTTAAGTGAAGTTTGGAGGGTATTGCGGTGGCATTGGAAATCACGAAGCCACTGACCAAAAAGTGTGGGAAGCGAAAATATGTATTATATTTGATGGTGCTGCAAGCGTGTGATCGATTCGTTAAGTACATACAAGTAAAATAGAAGTAAACTTCATCTACAGAGCCTTGTTTCTTCGTAATTTATCTTCCTCCAGACCCCTTGTTCGGATAATACGGCCACAAAAAACATGACAACATTTCCGACCAAGTGGTAGTACCGACGTTGCGCTTAGGCAAGACCAGCGACCTGAATAGCAAACGCTGCCGCCGCATCAGCAACCTTGCCGTAGTCGGTGTGGCCTCCAGTGGCGCCGCCATCACCACCTCCACCGCAGACCTGATCGCTGGTACCACAGAATTGCTTAACTTTGCTGGATGGAAGACTGCCAACAGCCTGAGTCTTCATTGGGTCGCCGAACAGCACGGCACCGACAACTTGAGACGCGGAGAGACCGTTCTTGAAAGCATTGTGAACCACCATGCCGCCCTGACTGTAGCCAGAAACAACGACCTTAGTCTTGGGGCACTGCTTAAGAGCAGTTGCGACAAGCTGTGCCATCTTGGGACCACCATCTGCGCCCTGGTTGGAGTTTCCCTAATGCGTTGTTAGCATACCTCTCTGGTGACTGTGCAAGGATGTTACTCACTGCAGAAGAGGCCGGGTAATCGACACCCTGAATGGTGACCCTGCTAGCGCCCAGCTTCGTCCTCAAGGACTTGAACATGGGTGGACCAGCGACGTATCCCACGTTACCCTGCTCTCCAGTTCCACGGGCGAAGATGACGGTGATATCGGTGCAGCAGTTGTTGTTTGTCACGCCGTTCTCGGTGGTTCCTCCTCCGCTACCCTGGGCAGTGCAGCTGGTGCCAGTGGTTTGGGCATACGGAAGAGCGTTACTCAGGCCGGCCAGGGCAACAATGATTCCAGTGGTGTACTTCATCTTGCAAGTGTTGACTTTGAAAGTGAAAGCCTAGATGTTGGATGGCGAAAGGATAATCGGAAACGTAAGTATGAGTGTACAGCACAGCGAGAGTCGAAGAGAGCGAGTGAAGGTAGAAGATGAAAGACAGAATGCGATGAAGATATCTCCATGTTGGCGATGTGCCTTTGGATATTTATATCTGGCAGTCTCGTCTGCTCCTCGGCAAACTTTCCAACGAGAGGATTCGGTGGCGCAAAAATGAGACTAAGTGAGTTTCGAAGTAGGATAGTATTGGTCCCTTCGAAAACAGTTTCCCTGTATTAAAAGGTGTAGTACAAGGGAATCATAGAAGTGGTTCTTCCTGTAACCCTCACTAACTCCCTGTTCACATGCACGGTCCAAGTGGGTCCATGTCTAGACCTCAGAGATCAGTCTCAGGGGCGGGGAGATGTGCCGGAAGCTTGGCGATCATCGTTCATGATGTCCTCCGATTCCTAATTGTGGAGTTCGCGTTGCCTTTGTACGTTGTCATGGGTTGCCGGGTTCATGGCGACGATGTGGCAACCACAAACGCAGACGAGTAGTGCGTTTCAAGACATCTTGATAGACTACAATGTGGAACCCCTTAGCAACTTCTGCAAACAATCCGAGGTTAACATTGTCTTCTGCTCTGAACGCCCCTTTCTCGCCGCCATCACGTTTATACAAGGTTGGCAGGACCTGATGGCAGTAACAATCTTAACTTGATTTACAATGGAGGATTCCAACGGCCAAGACCCCGCTCCACTACGATTTAAAGTTCTTGCCTTGGCGTGCTTATACTTAGCTTGTCCAGTAATCACCACCATAGCGTCTTTGAACGGATATCTTTAGATTGGCCAGAAGTCAACTCGATGCTTAGAGTTCATAGCGGTCAAGCCTGTCACTATCTGGAAATTTACCTTCTCTAAACTTCCAGCGCTTCGGTGTGGTTGACATGAGATTTTACACAAAACTTTTGACGAGTGATGTTCGTTCATGGCTCGGTAAACTGCCGACTTTCTTAGCGGACGGGGAAGTTCGGGGAAAGATGTATCAGGTCCCGCTAGTTTGTATGGTCGAGTTATTTCCAGAAGTGGGAAGGCTGCGGCTTGGCCAAAAACTGAGGAGTGAGACAGTGGCTTTTGGAAGATGGAGTAGAGGACTAGTTAGGACCCTAGCCTCCCATCTAGGGCAAGATGCCGACTTGGACCGAAAATATGTGCAGTAGGTGTTGCAGCAAAACTTTAATTCATCAAGGAGGCAACTTCTTACAACGCTAGTCTGACTCGTTCGAACGCAATGTTCTGCCTGCATTGATTAGCCTGTCCCCATGATTAATCGGTGCATCAACGTGTCATTACAACAATATCAGCTAACCATCGATGAATAGCCTTGAGGACAGTCAGAAAGCACTTACATCATGCAGACGTACGAGTCTCCAAGACAGTCATCTTTCACTTTCAAACCTCTAACTCTCTTCAATTGATCTTGGTAACATTCATTGCCTGTACCCATGGCTTCCAGAACTCTTGAATCCCCTTCTCATAGTTCCATCCAGTCCAATCGTAGTTCGTCATACCCCAAGTATCGGGGAACCCTTGCACACCTGACCTGATTCTGTATGAGCCAGCGATCGACCACATCATCCAGCTGACATCATTATCGATAGTGTATTCCCTCAAGCAGTTCTGCAGTGTGTTGTTGAACAGCGTTTCATCCTGTGCACTCCCAAACTCGCTGATGATAACAGGCGTCTCGCGTACCGCCTTGGGACAATCATTCGTAACATTGCATGCTGGCGGTGCATCTATACCCAGAGCATTAAACCCGTTGCGGTAGAAGTTTGCTTTGACGATATCGCATGTACCAGTGTCAAGATCCTCACTCATGCTGTACAGGTGGATCTCCCAGACGATTTTGTCGGCCCACGCGTGATCTTCGAGACTGAAGTACTCCGGCTCGCGTCGATGAGCGTCGCGAATTGCAGTGCATTTGTAACACGGGGCGGTGAGGATGTTCTTCCCGCTCGTCAAAGCAGAAAGGTCTTGACCGTATTGCATACCAGACCAGATGATCAGCATGTCAGGATTAGCTGCGTGGATCGCGTCAGCGCCAGCGGTCATGTTTCCGACGAGCGTCTGCCAGTTGTAATATAGATCTGTGATGTTCCAGGACTCGCGGAGTTCATTGCGGAGAGACATGCTAACGATGTTTGGGTGATCCTTCGCCCAGTTTGCAACATAGGCGAGGCCACGGCGCCAATCTGACGCATTGAAATTTAGGTCATCGAACCAGGAATTTCCATCGATATGCGAACAACACCACTGAGATTTGCCAACATGAACGTCTGGGGTGATGAAAACACCTTTGGTAGCAGCAATGCGGGCGATGTCCGACCAGATTTCGAACCGTGTGGTTTGAGTGGTCCAACCGGGATTCTTCTCGATGATTTCGTTTGTAACTTTGGTGCCATTCACATATCCAAGGGCGTTAATCATGGCGACCTCAAGAGGTACGTCTATTCCATTCCTGTCGTAAACTTGATCAATCATCTCAATGGCGTACCCCATGCGAATATAATTGAACCCGACGCCTGCAATGTCGTCGAGGATATCTTCTGCAGATGCCCATTCCAGACCCTCGGGGATCATTGTTTCACCTGCTCGCGACAGTAAGTCCAAATGCAGATATTGACTATTGTTACGCATGACATACCACTCATGGGCCAATTGACACCTGCCCAAGTAACCTTCTCGCCTCGGCCATCAATTATATCCCTCCCGCGCGTGCTGTATGGGCCATTGAAGGAGGTCCCGTTGTCGGCTTGCCTGCGCAGGTTGTATCGAAAGTGAGAGTCACTTGCAGATTCTGGCACATATGCGGCCGATACGGCGGCGCCTGCAATAGCCGAAGTCAGCAAGATCTTTGGTCCTAGCATGTCGAAAACAAAGTGTGGATACTTCGGATGCTGAGCAAAGAACCGGGCGAGGTACCAACCTTTTAAAGCTTGTCAAGCACCCATGCGGACTTCAACGGCTTGAAAGCATCCTTCCTCGACTGAGGCAGCGAGCTGTTGATCATGATCACAAACTGCCGGAACATCGGATGATTGCTGTCCGAGCAGCACTGGTTCTGGTAACAATCGACATTGCGTCCATGTAGTGTGGGGAACGCTACGAGGTTCCGCACCCCAGTATTTTCGGAGAACGGCGCGCTAGACCTTTTTGAGATGCATGACAGGGGTGGATGCTTTACCCTTTGCGGATTAGAAGTTCAGATTGCCGATTGACCCCACAGATGCCCAACTCGTTCATCGTCTGGTGTTTCGGCAATACGATGTATATGACCACAATGTACACATGACGTGAGCCAAGCTGACTACAGTATTTCCATTTCAGTTACAGATTTTCTATACAGCCCATGGTGTCCTAGACTAGACTATCTAATTTCGAGCTGCAGTAACGACATCTCCCATCCTGGCCACTTTCCACCTTCGTTCACAGAGTGACTACGCATCCATGACCCCATTTGTTCTCGAGTTTCAGCATCCGCCGCATTCGCAGCGGTTGTCTCTGTAGTCCGGTTAGTACTCTGGCCCTTGTTCTCATCTACACGACTCTAATAGTCTTTTTGAGGAAATGGAACGACGTACCCAAAAACTGAAGGTCCGCAAAACGGGTTTCTGCATGGAGCACAGAAGCTCCTGCAGTCGTTGTTACTGCCACAAGTTGGGGCTGATTGTTGAGGCACGGGTGCCGGTGCCGGCGCTGCAATGGCTACGGCCATGAGAGAGAAGAGAGCAACAATGCTGAGCTGCATAATGGATGGATTCGACGTTTGGATGTTTGAGAGGCAAGATTGGAAAGTGTGTTGTTGAAGAAAGGGTAGTGGATGGATTGGTGAGTAAAACGACAAGAGAGTAACAACAGCCATTATATATGTCGTCTACTTGATCCTTGGCGTGAATAGTCCTGATATTTCTCGGTCCAAGATACACGGTGATTGACAAGTTCTGGAAGGACCGAAGACGAACTTTCCCCTGAGAATGCTGTAGTCGCCAAGGCTCCGAAATATCTTCATACAAACTGCTTTTCTGCTAGAGGCACAGGTAGAACATTAAACATGGTCGGCCCTTTACTGCCGTGCCAAGGCAATATTCGCGGCAAAATCTTTATAAATCCACGGTTCTATATCGGCTTCATTAAAGCAGCGTTACGTCAACATCAAAGCGTCCTATTTCAGCAATCGACATATTACGCTGTACCTTTTCATGCTCTCACAAAGCAGGAACAAATGGGCTTACAAGAGGAAAATCAAAGTCATATTCAGTCCATACGTTTTCCAACAGCCAGTACCCTGACTCAATTCATGTGGCCTACTGAGTATACTGAGGATACTACTTTGGATCCAATATTCCATTGAATGAGACTACCTGCCATCAAAAAAGGTTGAGGAAACACACCGTCCGAGAACTCCTTGTCGCCCCAATAATAGAAAAGCCTAACGTACACTCGCGTTGATTGGAACTTTCTACGTCCACACCAAGATCTATGCACATCTTGATAGACTCCCTGGTCTTCTCGCCCCCCATCCCAGATGCCCAAAGCACCAGCTTGACGAGCTAATCAGTTTTGAAACAAACTTCTAGCAACTCTTTAAGAATAACAGCAAATAGCTTTTGCTTTTCTGTCTTGAACTCCAAGATGACATACACTTTGTTACAATCACCATGGTAGTTCAAATAAGGGAAGTGCTTGGAATATAGCTGCAAGGTATGCTGCTCTGTTACTCTCCTCTTGGCTAGTGTATATATCCATTCCTGGAAATAATACGCATGCAGAATCACATGTTACAATCATAGAACTAAGACTAGGCTCGGGGATCTCTTGACCGATACTATTCTGATAGTAACGATGTTTCTTGATAGATACGGCCACTTGTATGTATTACTGAGCTTTAGTGTGAAAGGTTGAAGAAATAGTATGTATGGTATATGGGATAAGGCTTCTACTCGTAAGGATACAGTAAGGTATATTGACTGGGAACGATGTCATGTTATTAGGGCTTGGGAGCTTAGGTTATTGTTATACTCATTCAAAAAGATTAACGTAAATAGATCTAGAGCCTTTTTATCAAAAGACATTTCATTCAATGACTGACTATGCGGGTCAGTCAACTAACTAAGACACATCAATCCCTGACTATTGCACTTATTTCGAAATACTTAGCAGGCCGACAAGGTCGTCTGTCCCTTGCAGTTCGCGGTCGTGGAAACCTTGGTGCTGTCGCCATTTCCCTTCTCGACACCCTTGAACTCCTGGCAGACCTTCGACACGCTGGATCCGCAACTTCCAGAGATATTAGCTGTATCTCCGTAGTTCGAATTAATTCCAACCAGGTTGGAGACGCCCTTGGCTTTGACGTTCTGGATAACAACGTTGCGAGGTCCGCCGTTGTTGGTGCAGTCACCGCAGCCGCGGTAGAGCTTGCCCGCGTTGACGACAGTATAGTTCTTGATCGTGACTGTACCGCGGCCATTGTGTTGGACGACCTTGTCCTTAGCTTCCTGTGCACCTCCACCGTCAATCAATACCGAACCTAGCTTGGTTAGATTGTCTCATGATTATAACCAAATGTCGGGAGTATTACCTGTGCCCAGAGCCGAAATAGCATCTATGTCACCATTCGTCAGCTGCAAACCTCAACACCATGGTTCTTCAGTTACTCACCTTCGCAGACATCGCGGAACCATACGTTTTTTAGAGTACACGAAGCCTTGCAGTGGACTCCCTCCAGCTGATTGATTCCAATGATGACATTGCTCAAAGTTGCGCCGTCCTCGAGAATGAAGACGGCATTGTCGCTACCGGTGTCATCATCTGTGTTGCAGGCACGGCCACGGTCGTATTCCTTATTTCCCATGTCTTTCGAACCAGAGATGACGCTGGGAGATGCAAGAGACACAATCGATCCAACCCTAGTCGGGATGTTCAAGGTCTGACTAGCGCCAAGGCTGGACAAGGCCGCGCCAATAAGAGCATGCTCGAAACGCATTTTGATACGGGCTTTTGATGTCTTGAACGGGAAGAGTCGTGGTTGAATTGTAGATGAGAGAGTTAGATGTGCTGTTGTATTGAAATACGAACAGCACTCCTCCTGTTACTTATACCCCTCTGGACCTATACTCTATGATTATGGTCGTTCCAGTTCTCCTCAAGTTGTTCTACCCATAAACGCCTACTGCCATACGTATAGATCCCTTCATCTACTTCATAGTTCGGAGAATAAAAATCGCTTGGTGGAAGAAAAGCTTACAGCGTCCGGAAGTACAAGGCGTTCTTGGAAGACTCTTGGCTTACAGATACATTTCCACATCAGGTGTAACACCTCCTCGCCAAGAACTATATTCGAGACGGTCATGACAATGGTTCTTCTCGTTGGTCTAAAAGTGGGTCCACGCTATCGAGGGTGTAGGATGCATGTTGCCGATTGGTGGAGTACTGGTGCTTTACGGTGAGATAGTTTCTAAGATTCCCATTCTGGGCTTGCGAGTTACCGTTTATGCAAGTATCGAGAGTAGTATTGGCTTGTTTCTCATCTCCACGTTAAGCCTTTTCAACACAGTCCTGCCGATCTAATCAAATAACTCTATGCAGAGATGTGATTCGAAGATACTGAAATGATACTTTATCTGGGAAAGACTAGGCAACCAATCAACTATACAAGCATAGTATGAATAGCGGTGAAGTTTGAGTTTGAGTAAGGTCTTAGCAAAATCGCCTGACTTGCCTTTATATCTGACTCGCCTACGTGTCTGAATTTCAAAACTTGTGTGGATAGACGTGTACAAGTGTTAGCATTTCCTTCTCTAGTTTAGTGGCAGGAGCATTCCTTAAAAAACACAGTTGCTTTCCAGCTTTTACAGTCGACTGAGAATACATGAATGTGTTCTAGGGATCGTAAAGCAGAAGTGTTTACCTGCTATCACGAAGTTGACGGACTGAAAGTGGAATGAATTAAGTGGGCTACGACCTGTCCATTTCGAACATCTTATCGAATATATGCTGTTGTACGTGGGTTAGATTGCTCGTCCCATTGCAGAAGAGCCGCCCCAGCGTGTTGGCTTTGGAGTCTCTACTATTTTCCGTGTGTGAGTCTGCTGAGAAGAGAACTTACACATCGGCGCCAGCGACACCAGAGGCGAGAGCGAGGGATTGGGTTGCTTCGGGATCAATCCTACTCTCCCCATACTTGAGATGACTATATCTGATACCACTATGATTGCGCGTGCTCACCCACCTCGTCCTTCGGCTGCTTGTCATTCACACGGACCTTGAAGCGATCCAGTTTTTCGTCCGCCCAATAAGGCTGCGAGTCGAACCCAAATTGCAGAATCTCTGGTCGCTGATAGTGTCCTGCGGCATCAATCCAGACTTTCACAGCACCAAGCTGTGAAAAGTCTATCTCGCCCTGCACCAACTTCTCTTCAGCACCAGTATGCGGACCGGCGATGAAGGCGCAAAAGGGATGCAGTATCGACGACCAGCCTCCACCAGCTTTAACAAGGTCCTGTTTCCCGAGATTCCCCTCCATCCAGCTAAGACACGTCTCATCAACGTAGTTGGATGCGGTGATAACGAAGACTTGCGCAGTCAGAGCGTGCGTCTTCATCAAGGCCTCGATCTGCGCGTCAGCTACTGCCTCGAACCCAGCCATCGTTGAGAGCGCTGGCCATGCGCCCGCATGAATGTGTTGGTTTTGCATGATCAACGCCTGTCGAGCACCGTTCATGGTATGTTCCCAGCATGCCAGACCCCCCAAATTATAACCCAAAGACAAAGGCCAGTTACGCAATGAACTTCCGTTACCCTGAGCCCAGATGTATCGCTCGGCATAAGTGGGCTGGAGTTTACGATGGACACCTAGAATGGTACCATCGCTATCGATAATAACTTGTGAGTTAAACAGTGTGTGTCCGTTCGCGACACGCTCGGAAATACCCAGGTTGATAGCTACACCCGTCCGTCGGCACACTTCTTGGATGGCACTGACATCTTCGCCATTAGGCTCTACCACGACACTTTCCTCAGCGTATTTGGCCAATGAACCGACCTGCTTCAGTGGAGGGTAACACTCGGCCCAGTACTGTGAACATCATCAGCACTGGTGGTCATCGGACAACGCAGCCGCAATCTGGTAATCGAGTCGGCATACCGGATAGCCAGGGATGAATGTTTCAGGAAACACCAGCAACTTGATTTCTTGATCGGCAGCCTGCTCGATAAGACTGATCGTCTTCTTGATCGTCGCGCCTTTGTTCATGAACACTGGCGCAGCATGGACGGCGGCCACCTTAAACTTGGTTTGTTTAGCCGCCATCGTATGATGACCCGGTGAGTGAGTTATGTAATAAGAAAAACAAAGGTGGTACCGATTTAATGTCAGAGAGAAGGAAATCAAAAGACGAACGGATTGTGGGGAGTGACTTCATGTCGCTACACCACATGCGACGATGAGAGTCCCACTCTTGAGCTTCCGAGAACGTGACTGATCAGCTGGTGCATAATCTCAGCTGCACCCCGGTAAGATATCGAGGCTTTATGACGATTGCGAACTCCAGTTTGTTATTCACAACGTTCTTAGATTTCATCCTCCAAAACGCTTTCATGAGTCGATGTTGGCTGAAGGTATTTAACAGGCATTTCTATGACCTGTCCCTGGTTCCTTTTTAACCGGCACCGATTTTTCAATAGCGCCTCCCGCTTCTCCGCACTTTTAGTCCAGCAACTCCCACTTTTTGCATTGATCACGCTCTTCAGGACCTGTCTAGATCCCCTGACATTAGGTATTGGTAACGGCCAAGAAGTATTGACATGCAAACTAGGTCCGCACTTGCAAACCGGCTTCTACAACTTACAGCAGCTAGCCTTGTCGTCCACGGGAGACACTCTAGCGTACGATGGACTAAGACGTCCAGACCGTTTCCCAAGACGCTTTTCCAAGCAATGTCATAGCCATCGCTCACTGGGCAACGTTCCATGTCAAAACCAAGTCGCCGCACTACGCATCGTCGTTGACGTGGTGGGAAAGCAAAGCACAACCCGAGGTACTTGCACGCCATCGGCAAGAACTCATTGTGTCCGTTCGCTTGCCGACTGCTCGCTATCGACGTCTGAGGTCTGGGATTCTATCATGATGATCGACGCCGTTCGGGACTTTTCCTCTTGTCCAATCTCCACTAAGCCCTCCGCATGCTCGTGGCCCCGCATGCCACGCGCGCCCAAGAGCCAACTTCAACCCTGTACCATCCTAAAGGCGCGTTCTTTGTAGCGCTAGTAGTCAAGGCTTCTTGCAGGTGTCTGGACTATGTCTGCGAGGTCTGCCGTTTTTTCTTCACGCCAAGTTCCGCTCCGAGTGAAACATTTAGCCACGCGCCTGAACGTCTCCTGCCAAGGCCGTTACCCAGTCCGATTCGCCGTCCTCAGTCTGGTGCAATCCGCGTCATCCCAAGGGGCTCATCGCTGGCGTCTCCCAAGAAACATCTACATGTCCACAAGGCCCGACTCCGCGCACGATCTTTACGCCTTTCAAGTCATCTCTAAGGGGAGCCAATGACGCGCGGAAGTGGCTGCGCATAACTTGGGTGAGCGTACCGATCTTGGCGCGGTAGTAGTCGTATTGGCAGCAATCACAATGCCTACTTGGCGAAGTCGTTATGATTTTAGAATGACATGAGTAGTAGGCGCTGGAAGGGGCTGAGTTTATTTCATAAGTTTATAAGGCCCTCACTCGATAGACTTGTGGTTGTCATCAACGATTTTCCTTGAGGCTCCTTCATCTGTAACACGTACTACACGTCGAATATCATCGAAACTTACATCACCATGCTTATTCCGTCGCTGCTTTTCGTTTCCCTCCTGCCATCCGTGTTCGGATGTCCGCAACACGAGAATAACGAACGATCCCACCTCGTCGGGCGTCAGAACAATGCACAGAACCCCAATAATACTACAGCCATATGGGCTTACGAGGTAGAACAGAGACAAACGCAACAAAGACACATGACTAATCTTACCAGGCCAGTTATAACTGGGGAAAGCTCAGTCCGGAATACCACCTCTGTCAGACTGGAACCCAGCAATCGCCCATCGCGCTGTCCCTCAGCAATGGCTTGTCCCTCAACCACGTCCCCAAATTCAACTACGGCAACGCAACAGCCGGCAACTTCTACAAGTATGTTCCCTTCTCGGCATGTTTTAACAACGTTCTAATTGTGATCAAGCTGGGGATATGGTCCGGCGTTTACAATTGCGCATGACGGCGATTGGACTAAGCACCCGAGTTTCATATACGACAACAAGACGCTGTACCTGAAAGGATGGCATATCCATGCCCCCGCAGATCACTCTGTTGGTGGAACCCGTAGCAAGGCCGAACTACACTTCGTCCATGTCGACGCGTCTGGCCACGAAGCTGCGGTGCTCGCCTTCCGCCTCGATCCTGGTAACTTCAACTCGACATTCTTCGATCAACTGCCACCTATGATCGGGTTCAACGAGACAACTACACGTGAGCCTCTAACCTTGAATCTGGATTTGGCCCTGGAAGGCGTCATGCATTTCAATGAGTTCTGGACATACGCAGGTAGCCTGACGAGCCCGCCATGTCACGAGGGCATACGGTGGTTTGTTGCGCGCCAGATCTTGTTCACCGGTGTTGAGCAGATGCAGGCTATCTTGGGCGCGAGCACATACTCTGCAAGAGCTGAGCAGCAGGTGTGGCAGCATCGGATCAACGAGTGATCCAAAACATGGGTAGCAGTATTGGTGACGATGAACGTTGTGAGATATAGAAGGTTGTATGTCTTGTGTTGTATGTATATTTACCTGTTTCACGTAATTTGATGTGCATATCCAGGCATTCTCGGTTTAGAAAAGATCATGACATTTTTCAATAGACTATTCTCTTTCACTTGCTTCCCCTTTTCTTGTTTGTGTCCTCCAGTCCTCTATTCAGTCACCTGGCAGATTTTGCAAAAAGAAAAACACCTTGTCTCTCCACGACGGTCACCCACTGCACAAATCGGTAGGCCTGTGAATGAGGAATCAGCAATTTGTGTAGCACAGAAACGACACATCGCGTCACATCGTGTAGTTTCACCCGCGTCTGCCATTCCCATTCCTCTACCTTCAACCACATTACTCGGCTGTAACGAGAGAAAATGGTGAACGAAAACAGTATCGATCGGCAGTTCACAGAAGCCTTCAATAAAGCGAACGACTTGTACCGTGCTGACCGGCTGGACGAATGCGCCGCCAAAACTCGCGAACTCGTTGACGACCCCGCCAAATCACGATACCATCGTATGAAGGCACTTGTGATGCTTGGCTCGACATGTACTGACTTGCACCAAGCGAAAGAGTATCTTACTGAAGCAGAGGCATTATGGTGCCTGGTAAGGTGCTGGCATCCTGTTGGCGTGAACAACACAACTGATGAGGTTATGGCCGAGATATACGAATCGATTGTTGAGGTATATGACGCGCTCAAGGCAGAGAAACCGGAGAGTTATGATTTCGAGGACGCCATGCATAGACTTTTGGATGACCTCCACGACGCAGTCACTGGCGCACAGGCAGTGGTGGGTGATCTCGATTCGGAGACAAACTTAGAGACAGATTTGGGGCTTAAGAAGGTACACTACTTGTCATTATCTACGTAAGTTACTTTTCTCATTCTATCTTTAGGTTGAACAGCGGGAGCAGCCTGAGGTTAGTGTTTTTGAACCGCTCACACAATCAGATGGCGTGCAAGATCCACGTCAACAAATTCCACCTCCGTTACCGGCTCCGACGTCTACGAACTGTAAGCAGCTGCTTGTTTATTATGAAAGAATATGTGCTAACTCTTGTAGAAGGGCGAGCCACTGCCCCATCAGATCTACCTCCACCACAACCAGCTTTCCGCGCATCGTTGTCGAACTGTAAGCTGAATGAACATACAGCGTCTTCTTTAGCTCACCTATCTGATCTTTGTTGTCAAGGACGGACCTGTAACTCGAACAATCAATGGCAGAACTTGAGAAAGGGCAGATCGCAAGGAAAAGTTAATGGAAGACTCCCTGTTGGATATACTAAATTACCTTTCGTGACTCTCGATTAGGTCGCACTCGTACCTGGACGGTTAAGCAGCAAAGCTGCACGATTAAAGAACACAGATAAAGTAGGCAGGTGTGTACATGCAACGATAGAGGCACATACATTTAGGCCTTACTTTACATGTCGTGTTCAGGTTGTTTCAAGATTTCGCTGCAGTTTGGTTCTGCATTCTACACTTGATGGAAAGCGTGCACGCGGAAGGAACAAGAACTGGCACCGCCAAACGCTAGATCCTCACCAAGACTTGGTCACATTTGGCTGAACATAAAAACTACTCTGCGTCAAACTAAAGATAAAATGACAACATTGCAGTATAAAAAGATATCTTAATAACAAAAATAAGAACATGTAATACTCTTAGCAGCTTCCTATTCAAGTTCTTAAGAACTTTTGTACTGTGTTGATGTCGTGGCTTTCTAAAAGCATAGCTTTTGGCGGTGCCAGTTCTTGTTCCTTCCGCGTGGCGTGGTAGGAACACTACGTCACATCAGCCCTGCGTCGCTTCCCCAAGTCGTTCTCAACCCCGCTCGCATAAACATGTGAGGGGAACCATGAAGCGGATCATCTTCAACATCACCACTCATCATATCTCACGGAACGCACATCTGTCATGACGGAACCAGCTCCAACACAGCTACCCGTCAAACACCTCTTCAGGTTAGATGGGCGAACGATTTTGAGTGCGACTCGCGACGGAAATGACTTGGGACATGCAGCTGATATGAAGACGCAGTCTCTGGGGGTGTCGGCGCGGTGGGAACAACCGTTGCGAAAGCAATTCTCGAGAGTGGTGGCGACGTTGTCCTCCTGGATCGAGTTGCTCCAACGACCGAAGCCTATCGTCCGTTTACCCTTGTATTGTTCACGATACCAGATTCGCACCCAGACTAAGGCAACGATCAGATGTACTCAGTGACATTGCAAAGGCCAGCGACACAAAGGTGTGGTACCATCAGGTGGAGGTCCAAGATGAAGCCAGTATCACAACCACTATGAACGGCCTTCGATTGCGACATCCTATCAGAGGTTTTGTATCCTGCGCTGCCATCTCTGGGGAAAGTGACGCTTGCGACTACTCAATCGATGTGTTTCGGAAGATTCTCAACATCAACATAAGTGGCACTTTTTTGATGGCACGAGCAGCAGCAAACGAAATGCACAAGGCCAATGTCACCGGCAGCATCGTCCTGATCGCGAGTATGAGTGGCCACGTTAGCAACCGTGGAATCAACACGTCCCCTTACAATGCATCGAAAGCCGCAGTGCACCAGCTCGCTCGCTCTCTAGCAGCTGAATGGGGACATGCGCAAAACACATTCCCAGGTAGCACACCTAGCGACACAAACCCAACCCCCTCTCTCGAGCCACGCTCGGTGTACCCTCCAATCAGAGTCAACACCCTTTCCCCTGGCCATATTGAAACACCCATCAGTGAAGCAGCGCGAGTGCGCGGGCTGACAGATGAGTGGGCAAAACAAAACATGCTTGGACGCATCAGCCAGCCTGAGGAGTATCGAGCAGCAGTGCTGTTTTTGCTTGGCGAGGGGAGTAGCTTCATGACGGGTGCGGTAAGTAAACAACACCCTTCTCACAGCATCTACTTGCTTCATGTAGAAGCTGGAGAGCTGATGGGATGGATAGGATCTTCGCATTGATGGCGGACACTGTGCTTGGTAGATCCGCAATAGCAGCACTTACGACATCTGCTCCAAGACAGGCAGCTCTGCCCATGCTCACTCCACAGGTGCAGTCACATCGATGTTAAGGGAGGTTCGGGTTAAGGTGACTACCGCTTTTGTCGACTATAATGACCGGCACAGTAAACCCTCGTAACATCACCAATCTAAATCCCCTGTGTCCTCGTCGCTATGCCTTATCGTCATGTCGCTCATATGTTGTGTGACACATGGAGCCTGGTGGAAAGAGGAGTTCCGCTAGCACTGGCCACGTCGCCAAGCTTTGCGGGGCCTTCCGCCGCCCACTGCAACATCCCACACGCCCCTATCTCCATGACTGGTGTGTTTTGGACTCCCTAGTGTCGCCCTTGTGCCTGTCTATCTTTTATTAATGGTGACCGACAGCGATCACCTGCACGGTAGTACAGAGCCAATTGTACAACACCATGTTCAGGGCCACGATACCGCCTGCTCGTTACGGAACAGTTCCCTCCATCTTCTTTCGACGAATCTGATGATCAAAGAACAGAATCAGGCCTGTGCGTCCGCTACATAGATAACGATATGCTAGCCAATCAAGGCCAAGGCACGTCTTAAGTGCTTTTCGGCGCCGCTCACGTAGTTTGTCCAAAACAAGCATCTCGGAAGGCACCTTGTATAACACGCAGTGTTATACGGGCATCTCTGTTGTCCAACAGCGCGCGAGTACTAGGACTAAAGAACGGAGTCAGGACCAAAGAAGAAGGCATGAAGGTTAGCGCGTGTCTCGAATCTCAAAGCAGGCCAATCAGAATGAGCGAAGATATTACTGTAGGGCATGACCTACCAACCATTAGCAGAAGGTCAGGATGGGACGAGGGCAGTCGAAGATCAGGTAAGTATATAGGCGCTTTTGCTCTTCATTTCTTCCAAAGACGTTGTGCTTCATCCTCTCATTCTTACGGGCCCTCTATACCCTCCCGCCACTATGAAGTACTCTCTCATTGCATCGTTGATCCTCCAGAGCACAGTCGTGCTTGCTGATCTGCTGCCTGTTCACTTCAAAGCACCAACTGCGGCGCACTTCAGGGAGCTCGTCCGCAATGACACATACGACTTCGGCTGCAGGGCGGTAGCTCACCCCACCGAGGATGGACAGTTCAAGCTCCACGCTCTCCTCACCGAGGAGCAGATCGCCGACTTTGAGAAGGAATACCGATCCGTGCCCGAGATCTCGGTCTTCAGGCAGATGGTGAAGAGGGCGGCTACCGCTCCCATTGGAACCGGTGATCGATTCAAGTCTGGCACTATTGCCCCGTCGGGTCTTGGAACCAAAGCCTCAGGATCGACCATCGCCAGCATCATGAACGTTGCGGAGATTAGCTCGGCTATCCAGGCTCTCGTCACTACCTACGGCGTCAACACTGTCACCCTGCCATACAAGACTTTCAACGGCGCGAGCCAGACCGCTGCGTTTGTTGGCGCTGGCACAGACAAGTCAAAGTACCGTCTCTACCTCAGCGCCGGTATGCACGCCCGTGAGCGTGGTGGACCGGATAACCTCATCTACTGGGTCTCCGACTTGCTTGCTGCCAACAAGGCCGGCACCGGTCTTACATACGGCGCAAAGTCGTACACCAACGCACAAGTCAAGAGCGTCCTCGCCGCCGGCATCGTCTTCTTCCCGCTCGTGAACCCCGACGGCGTAACCTACGACCAATCCTCCAGCTCGCTGTGGCGCAAGAACAGGAACACCAGGTCGGGCTCCAGCGGCTCATCGATCGGCGTGGACATCAACCGCAACTTCGACTTCCTGTGGAACTTCCGCAAGTACTTCGACTCATCGGAAGCGCCGGCCTCGACGTCGCCCAGCTCCGAGACCTTCTACGGCACTGCAGCTGCCTCCGAGTCCGAGACCAAGAACCACGTCTCCGTGTACGACTCGTTCCCCAAGATCCGCTGGTTCATGGACATCCATTCCGCGGCCGGCGACATGCTGTACAGCTGGGGTGACGACGACGACCAGGGCACCAACACGGCCATGAACTTCCTCAACACGGCGTACGACGGCAAGCGCGGTCCCGTCGGCGATTCCGTGTACAAGGAGTACATCCCCGCGGCTGACCAGACGAATGTCAGGAACGTGGCTGCGAAGACTGTCGCTGCTATGAAGGCTGTTGGCGGCCGTTCATACGTGTCCATGCAGGCTGTGGGATTGTACCCTACGTCTGGTGCCAGTGATGACTACGCGTTCAGCAGGTTTTGGGCTAAGAGCGGCGTGAACAAGGTCTATGGCTTTACTATGGAGTTTGGATACTCGACGAACTTCTACCCCACGTCGTCGGAGTTCAACCAGAATATCCTGGATACAAATGCTGGGTTCATGGACTGGGCGCTGGCTGCTATTGCTATTGGGCTGGAGTAGAGATGATTGTTATGATGATGATGTTGATGTTGATGATGAGCAAGGCTTTGGTCGTATGAGGTTTTGCAGCTTCTTTCTAAGCACGACGTAGCTAGTGGTGCGATATATACTCCAATGAATTTCTTCAAACAGCAGACTCTGAAGCTGAGCCCACACTTGTCCAGACGAAGACGAAGATGTGGGATGATTATGTGACGTCAACGCGAAGGAAGCTCCACCTAAACCCCTCTACCCCAGCTCCGAGGTCCATCAAGCTCCCCCATCTCACCCACCGTGAACGCGACAAACAACAGCCCCACATACACACACACGCACATAGACGCATACCCACCCAACCCACAACCCACAATGCTGCTCCTCGGCCTAACAGGCTCCATCGCAACCGGCAAATCCACCGTCTCCACCCTCCTCTCGCGCGCGCCCTACTCCCTCCCCATAATCGACGCGGACCTAATCGCGCGCCAAGTCGTCGAGCCCGGCACCGCAGGCTACACCGCAATCGTACAACACTTCCTGCCCTCAACACCCGACCTACTACTCCCAGATGCCACACCGCGCGGACGCCCACTAAACCGGCCCGCGCTGGGACGCCGCGTATTCGGCAGCGGAGCAGACAAGGAGCGCGACCGCAAGACACTAAACGGCATCGTGCACCCCGCCGTGCGCAAGGAGATGTACAGACAGATGGTGTGGGCGTACTTGCGCGGGAACTGGGCGGTGGTGCTGGATGTGCCGCTGCTGTTTGAGAGCGGGTGGGAGCGGTATTGCGGGAGTATTCTCGTCGTCGGCGTGTCGGACCCGGGGATTCAGATTCAGCGCCTGAGGGCGAGGGATGCGCATTTGACGGAGGAGGATGCGAGGAATCGCGTTGTGAGTCAGGGGGATGTGAGGGAGAAGGCGGAGCGTGCGTTGAGGAGGGGGAAGGGGAGGGGGGTTGTCGTGTGGAATGATGGCGGGAGGGAGGAGTTGGAGGGCCAGATTCAGGGCGTTATGCGCGATTTGCGGAGCGGGAGTCCGCGCTGGTGGAGCACTTTGCTTTGGGTGTGTCCGCCGTTGGGGGCCGTGGCTGGGCTGTGGAGTTGGTATCGTATGAGGGGCGTGCAGTTGAAGTGGGAGGAAGAGAAGAAGAGGGAGAAGTCTAAGTTGTGAGGAGAGTGGATGTGTTTGTCTGTTCGACATGTGCGCTGGATTGAGTCGGTAATTACTCGCAGTACGGATGTTTTCATGGTAAACGTTCTCACGAGTTTCGTATATCACGTCTATTCCATCTGGCTCGTCGTCACTTACTTCATCTCATTTTCCCCATCGACGTCAGTCATGCCGCTTTCACCTGTCTTTCACCACCATCCCTTTCCCTTACCAAAGCGACACTACCTCTCCCACCCTCACACTCTCCAAACCTTACCCACAACGCGAAAACACACCCCAACATGCCATCATCAACGACATCCTCCCTCCCACCCCCCTCCTACATAGACGACACGCCCATCCTCCCCCTCACAAAACCCAACACCCCCAGCCTCGCCTCCTCCCTCGCATCCGCCTACACAGGCAGCTACATCGACGACGGCGCGGACCTCCTCCCCCACTCCTCGCACCTCCCCGGCTTCGCCCCCCTAAACCCCACATTCTACAAGCAGCGCAAGCGCACAGCCGACACAGCGCTCTGGAACGCCGACGTCCAACGCGCCGTGGACGGGGATATAAAGCGCAGTTTGGCGGTGCTGCGGCGGGGTGTGCAAGTCAGGCAAGTTCTTGAGGAGGGGGATGAGGAGACGGAAACGGTAAGGATCCGCGTGCCGGGGGAGTGGGGCACGTTTGTTATCCGGGAGAGGGAGAGGGGGCGGGTGGTTGTTGTGGGGAGGGAGGGGGAGTTTGATTCGGGGGTTAGGGGGGAGGGAGGGGAAGAGGGGGAGAGGTGGGTTAGGGATGAAGAGAAGGGGATGGGGAAAGAGAAAGAGAAAGAGATGTATGGGAAATCTCACGTCGAATACCGAGCTCTTCCTGCGAAGTCACTTACTTCTATACTGGAGGAGGAGTACGAGGATACGTGTTTGGAGGAAGAGTCGGGTGTCGCGTCGCCGACGGGGTTCTTCATGACGGGGGGTGGGAGTGGATGGCCCTTGTTGAGGACTGGTATATCGGTGGCATCTGCATCGAAGGCGTCACGGTCGAAGGCCAAGTCGAAGGAGACGTCGAGATCAGACTCGTCGCCTAATGTACGGCCACTATCGCCTGCGAGATCAGCTGCAGCGTCTCAGCTTTCTGCGAGCAGTGTGGAGGTTGTCCAGGCATGGGAAGGGGATGGTTCGCACAAGTCGTGGAGCAACAAGAAGTTAGACGGCAGGAAGTCAGACAGCAGAGCGTCAGACAAGCAGTGGGACGACGCATCAACCAGGTCTCACAGGAGCAAGAAGAAGGAATTTGACAGTATGTCTGCGAAGACGTATTCTACATACAGACCTCCAATTGTGGAGGACGCATCGTCTACGTCGTCTGGAAGTGTGGGAGAAGTGAGATGGGGCGGGAGTGATAAGAGTGCAAGTCACAAGAGCAGAAGCAAAGACGGCAGTGCGAGGGGATGGGAAGGCAGTCAGGCCAACTCGCAACATTGGAACGACAGCGTGAAGGGGAGTGAGAAGGGCTGGAGCCAGAGCGCACACGACGAGGCCACCTCCCAGCACTGGTCTGGCAGCGCACATGAGAAGACTACTTCCCAGCAATGGGGCGGCAGTCAGAATCGCTCTCGTGTGGGAGCCGCCAGCGAGACGAGTACGAGGTCTCGGGGAAGTCAGGGTCGGCGTCGTGTCCCCAGCGAGCAGAACTGGGATGGCTTCGAGCGGGTCAAGACGGCCAGCGAGGTTAGTGTTGCGGGGAGTGACGGGAGTGGGCGGACTTCTTTCGGGGACCGGTCGTGGGGTGGTGAGGGGCGGAGCAAGAAGAAAAGCGACGATGGCTGGGGCGGAAGTGGCGGTGGTGGTGAGCAGCGGAGCGAGTGGGGAAGGAACGAGGCGACGCCAGAGGGGGTGTGACGTTGACGAGCATTGATGGATTACGCGATGGGTTGGACTGGGGAAAGGATTGATCACGAACTCTAAAAAGCCATGTACGATTGCGCGCAAGACACGATGGAGAATGATGGCTGTGATGACTTCACGAGAAATGTCCCAGCCCCGGCCAAGGCATCGGTCCAGCAATCTCACACGCGTGCATGCTGCCTGGACGCGACGAAGCAGCACGAACGCGTCGGGCGTGCACAATTAGCAGCAGTGAGACCCCAGCCTCCTCGACAGGCAGCCTGTGAAACGCAGCTGAGGCTACCCGCCCCGCTCATGCACGCACTTCGCAGGCCCCGCCGCGATTTGGCACCTCGATGGCGCGTTAGGGCGGCTGTGTGGGAACCTGACAGCCAACGCATTGATTGGGCCGGGGGCGCAGAAACCAGTTTGTGGCATACGAGGGGACCGCGATTCCCATGGCGTGACGCGACACGCTAGGCACGCGTTATGATGGGGGCGTGCATGGCTCGAGTAGATAGACTGCCTGCCGCTGACTCTCTGCCTCTCTTCCTCTGCTCTCCAGGCTTGTCTTGTTGTGTTCGAGTCCTCGCTTTGCATTCTTGAGACCCGGCTGCACGCTGTCGAGACCTTCGTTGATATCTATCTACCCGTCTGCTTGCTGGCATTGAGTGATTTGTTGCTGGTCAGACTAGCTCGACGAACGGCATCTGCTCGGCATTCCCCGCTTCTCATTCCACCTCGCCATACCGACTGCACCACCACCACCGCCCATCTGACTCGGCTCGACTCGACGCATAGCTATTCGCACCTTCGCCCACTCTCTCCGCGCATTCTCTCGCCGCCGCCAGTCTTTACTTTACCATGGCCGCTATCACGCGTCAGCCGTTTGCCGAGCTCGGCTCGCCGCGCCTCCACGCCCTGCAGAGCGCGAAGAACAGGCAGAATGGTGAGCAGCGCCCACTTGCAATTGACACGGAATGACTACTAAACGCGTCGTGACAGCCTTCTCCATGTCGCCCACCTTTGCTGCCTCGCCATTGAAGTCCGCGCCCACGCCCTCGACGGGTAAGCGCCAGCGCGCGCCCGAGATCTTCGAAGACGACGCCGACTCAGAGAACACGGATCCCACCACCGTCAGCTCGCCCAGCAAGAAGACCAAGACCAGCGACGCCAGCGTCTTCACGAAGCCATCCAGGTACTCGCTGACGACATCGCCCGCCACTCCCGTGCCTTCGATCCGCAAAGCCCTCTCCTCGCCCAACACGACGCAATCCACGCCCATTAGCCACACCCGCGGCTCGCCCAAGCACAACCGCGTTGGTGCCCTCTCCAAGCGCCGCGCCTCCAGCTCGCCCTTTCGACGCGTCGACCCGCCTTCGTTCTCCCAGCGCCCCGCCCTCCCCTTCTCTATCGACGCGGCTCTCAGCGGCACACTCAAGACCTACACCCCCAAAGCCGCTCCACCAACACCTGCACCCGCACCTGCACCTGCCCCTACACCTGCCCCCGTCCAAAATGTCTCCACCCTCGACGACTCCATGCCCAACAGCTGGTTCTTCGCCATCCACGAGGACACGCCCGAGCAGGAGGCTGCCAATCTGATGGAGCACTCCGCGTCCGTCCTCGACATCAGCACCGACGACGACATGGAAGCCAAGAAGCTGACCGAGCACCTCGAGCGCGGCAAAGAGAACATCCCACCCCCAGACTTCACCGCCACGCTCCCAGACCACGACGCCACAGAACACTCCACCCCGCGACCGCGTCTGAGGAAGATCGCCCAAGACGCCATGGACGAGGACCGCAGACCACTGGGCGACCTCCCACCCGCCGACTTCTACGCAGAGGGCTGCGACAAAGATACCTATGTCACCGTCGACACGGGTATTGAGAAACCCTCGAGCCTGTCCAAGGAGTGCGATTTCACACACGACGAGGCGGCGGATGAGGAGAACGTCGCGCCTGTTGTTGAGCGGAAAGAAATAACACCGGTTGGGAAGTCGGGTGGTGATGTGCTTGCTCCTGCCTCAGTACAAAAAGACGGCGTGTCTGTTGCTCCATGACATGAGATTTGAGGTTGCTTCCTTGTTTGTTGTCTTCTTCTTCTTCTTCTTCGCCACCACCACTTCTATTCTGTTCTTGAACGTCGGAGTATACATGCATACACGATGTTATGTTAGCGTTTTGTTTCTTGTCCATCTTTTGTAGTTGTTTACGTTTGGAAATAGCCGGTGCGGTGCGGTGCGGTGCTTTTGGCCAATGGGCGATACCTTTAGTCTAGCTAGTTTGCTGTTATGTAGGTAGTGTTACCAAGGAGGAGAAATAATAAATACATCCCTTGACTTATACATACTTCTGTCTTGATATACATGCATCGCGTGCGTGAGACCAAGTCCGACGATAAGCAACAAGCCCATCGCCAGTCCTTCGCCCATCCCCTCACATAAACAACTCCTCACGTAGCCTTCCTCCTCGGCTGCTCCCCCCCAACCTCCAACCGATACCCCTCCCCGCCCCTCTCCGTCTCCAAATCCTTCTTACTCTTGACCTTGCCCCCAATCTCCGGGAACCCAAACGCCTCGCTCCTGCCCCCCTCCAACCCCTTCCACGCCCCCAACGTCTGCCAATTCGTCCACGTCAACGCACCCACCCACGGCTGCACATTCCAGCCCAACTCCAGCACCACATCCGTCCTATTCTGCAGCCGGCCCGTCAGATCCGTGATCTGGTACTTGGGGCGCTGGTTCGCGAGGTGCAGGGTGCCGATATCCTTCTTCGCCGTTTCTGGGGTAGATTTCGGCTTTTTTCCTGCCGCGGCGGCTTTTTTAGAGATCTTGGGGAGGACGGATTTCTTCTTGTTGGCGTTTGGGGCCGTGGGGTGGATGTAGTGGTTTTGGTGCCAGGGGGCGGATGTGGAGGCGAGGATTGCGTCCCAGATTATTGCCTCGGAGGGGGGTTCGTCCGGGGAGAGGGAGGGGTAGGTCGCTTTTAGGTAGAGGAAGATTTGCTTGGTGTTCCAGTTGAAGAGGGTGTGGAGGTCTGTTGTCATAGTTTTTGTATGTCAGCTTACGTTGTCACATATGTACCATCTTTCGAAGTAAGGGTAGAAGCGAGTAGGAGGGTGAGATACATACCGGCATCCAAATCAAACCGCACATGGGCATACTCTTCTTTCTTGTAGCTGTAGTAGTGCGGTCGGCCCCTGACGACCTGCACGTTTCGCACTTCGATCTTTGCGCTAGGGCTCTGCGGGCTGATGAAGCTGCTCAGCGCGATCACGGCTGCTACGGTGAACGCGACTGTTGTGAAGAAGCCGAAGACATTCTGAAGGCGCACGAGTGTCGAGTGCATCGTGGAGGAACCGGAAGAGGTATGCTCAAGGGGTGGGGTTTTGTTAAACTCAATCCCCCGGGGAAAAGAGAGAGGTGCTGCTGGAGGGGCGGTTCTGTGGAGCTGTTTGGAGTACGGCAAGTAACACGTCTCTGGAGCTGGCGCGGAGTTCAGCCCTATGGAGCGCGCTAGTCGACTGGCTTGGCGATGTCTAACATTCTTAACTCGAATTAAATCTGTAGGGTTGGAAAGCAAATGGGAAGTCGATAGACACGTTCACGAGTGGGAGACTATTATTCATCTAGAGATAGTCTTGGTTGTCTCATTATCCAATCCAACATCAAGTGCTGGTTAGATATCTACCATCTCTAAACGCCCCTTCGCACATCACCGTGTTTGTCCCTCCAACGGCAACATCAAGACGCTACTACAAATCTTGAGGCCAATGTAGTTCTACTGCGGCGCAGCAGGCGCCTGTCCACCACCCCTCGGTCCACCGCGGCCACGAGGACCTCCCCTTCCACGGCCCCGTCCTCTGTGTCCGCCCCGTCCACCATCCAGGTTAGCCGGCGGCGGAACACTTGAGTAGTTCTGCGCGCGAAAGTTCGGGTTGTTCTGCACAACACCTTCGGCCGGATCGTGCATGTCCGTTATCGTGAAACCACCACGATTAGCCTTGAACCCTCCACGACCACGGGGCACAAAGTCTGAGCTACCGCCGCGATGGTTTCCGCGTGCATTGTGGTTACCGTTGGAGTGATCTTGAGACTGAAACTGGTGTCCGTTTGACTGTCCACGGGGCGCAAAGCCCCCTCGACCGCCTCGAGATGGGCCTCCATGGATGGGCAACGTCTGTTGATATTGTCCATCCCCATTCTGCCCGTGCACGCTTCCTCGGGGAGCCATACCACCACCACGTCCACTGTTGTCTCCACCACCGAAGGCTCCTCGGTATGAGCCACGGAGAGGAGGCGGTGCACCTGCTGGTATCAGCTGTGGACCACCAGGCGCACCCACACGAGGCATTGTGTAGGACTGAGATGCCTGTTGAGGACGCTTCGCCGCTCCTGCGCTGGAATAGGTAACAACTTGTTGGTCGGTTATATTGAGGGCCGCCGTTGCTGGAACGGTGGATCCTCGGAATGGAGAGCATCGGTCGCCAAGAGATGTTCCACTCATGAAGGTCGTGTCGAAGACGACGTCGAGAAGCATGACACGGGCTGTCCTGGTCTTGCCAATTACAGTACCAGACGAACCGATCGGTACTCTTCCAGAATCTTGGACGTAAACAATACGGTCGCCAATGGTAAACTCTTGGCCCCCGAGACGCTGTTCTGCATCAGACGGCTTGAGCAACGCACTACGTGGCACCTTTCCAACTTTTTTAGTCTCAATGGTCTTTTCCAGAGCTGCGAGATTGGCGTCAGCAGCGTGCTCAATCGCCTTGACAGTGTCCGAGTCGAGCTGCTCCGCATCCAACGGGACTTTCTCGAAATTCTTGGTTTGGACTTCCTTCAGCCATGCTCCGATCTCCTTGACCTTCTGTTTGGCAACCTCGGGAGCATAAAAGTCAGTATCCTCCCAACCATCACCGGTTGGGTTGTTGATGATGGCAGCAAAGAAATCTGGGAACTTGATCATGTACTGAGCAAGCAGATCCATCGCCTTTTGACTGTATTCCCAGCCGTTTGCCGACTTTCTGGAATAACCCAGGACCTTCAACTTCTTCGCTTCAAACTTGAGGTTCAATCCTAGGTTCAACTTCAGACCACTCGAATTTACCATGAACGAGGACGTCAACTTAGACAATGCTAGGGGTGGCATGTGCAGTTGCCTGGCGACCATGTACGATGGAATATACGGTGTCGACCTCTCGGCTTGTCTGACAATGTCGCGGCCAAAATCGGGCTCTGTCTTGGTCAACTTGACAACCATAATCGTAGCCTTGTTTTCCGCATGACCGATGATCTGCAGGGGTCGACCGTAGGCGTAGTCTCCGAGGTAGAACGCCCTTGCGCCCTCGGGGAACTCTTCCTCGATCGGGAGTGCTTCCTTCTCCAAGAAACGAGTGTCTGCGCTGATGACTTCGTCGACAATGGTCTGAGTCGCATACTCGATTTGTAGTCCTGGAACTTCGCCATACTCCTTGATGGTCGCGCCTTCGTCAGTCTTTCTCAAGCCCTTGAGCATTTCTACGTGCACAAGAGACTCGACTTCTCCAACATTCATACCGAGGCGCTTGCTGTAGGTATTTTCGATGCGATTCGCCATCTTCTTCCAGTCCGATATCTCCCTGGGTCCATGTGGTATGGCAACAGGGGCAGACGGGCCGCTTTCGGGTAGAACATAGTCGAATAGTTCGTCCGATACCTTTACCACCTTCGCTTCGTGCAGGAACGGATATCCAACATGAACGGCCTTTCCAAGCTTCTCCTGGGCATGAGTGACTGATGTTCGAGGTTCTGTACCCAGAAGAGTGATGATCATGCTTTCATTCCGGCTATCCTGTTGGAACACACTGACACCCGCGAAAGCAAGCTTGCCATGGAACGGCAGCACCTTCAAACTAGGGAAACCAGCTAAGGCTTCCGCTCCCAGTTTGACGTCGGTCATCAAACCAGCGTGGTATTCCAGTCCTTCCATGGTTGGTAGATCGAATATATTCTCTATGCACTTGCAGTGCGGGAGATCTGGGAAAATCCCGGGCAGAGACGACTGGTAGGTGAAGTCCACCTCGTTGGAGTAGGTGAATTTCAGTGAGACGCCAAATGAGTTGCGAGATTTCTCGTCTGCTGTCAGCTCGTCTTCTTTCGTTGCCATAGCCTTCAACAGCCTATCCTCTTGGATAAAAGGAATCCTAACAACAGCTTCCCAATCCTGCTTCTTTCCGTTCATGTCGAGATTGAAGTCTCGGGGATAAAAGTCGATGATTGGAGAGTCGTCTTGTGTCATGAGGGGATGGTAGGCCTCTGGTACAATCTTCTTACTGCGGTCTGGCAAAACTCCCATCAACTGCTGGAATGGCTTGAAAGGCTGACCAAGCTTGAAGTTGATGTCTGCCTTCAACCCTTTCTTGACATCAGAGATCATGGGCGAATAGTGGTAGCCATAGTACCATGGCCATGAAGCCACACCGCGATAGTAGTAGTAAAGAACCCACTGCAATCCTTGCACGTAGTTTTCAGTCAACTTGCGAAGTTCCTCTTCATTACTGCGGTCCCACTCAAACTTGCTCTTGTAGTAATCATCTTTCCAGACATCAAACTTCTCGTCGTACTTCTTCTGCATAGCTTCTTGAGCCTCCTCCGGGGAAACATCAACAATCTTGGCCTGGTCGTACTTTTGAATTACTCGCACAATTGCTTTCGTCGATTCGTCGTCCATGTCTTCTTCTTCGTCATCGTCGTCTTCTGTCAACTTGGGTGGAGCCGTTATCTGGAGGTGGCGCTCCCCGTCATCGTTTTGTACGGTCTTCCAGGGTAAATGTAGCTTGTCAGCCAGTTCCTGGATGAATTTCCGGTCCTCTGCTCTGAGGTCCACCGGGAAATCCAAAGCACCCTGCTCTTTCTTCTCTAGATGGTTCGCCAACCAACTCTTGACATCCGAGAAGAGCTGCTTCTGTTGAGTAGACATAACAACCGTGCCTCGTCTCGCTGTCTTCTGCATAACGTCCTCCTTCTCAAGGCGCTTACCCTTGAACCAAGACGCGTCTGCATTCTCTGATTCGAAATGGCGAAACTCGATCTGTGAGAGCTCGTCGAGCAGCAAAGCCAGCCTCTCCATGTTGATGACACCGTTCTCGTTGATATAGCCCTTGGCTTTAGGCAAAACCGTCTTGTAGACGTTGAACATGAGGGCCAAAGCGCCCTCGTTGATATGCAAATGGGGAAGATTAGGAAGGAAATCATTGCCAACAAAAAATGCCATAAGGATGAAATCGTCAATGACTCGTTCCATATCAAATGGAAATCCGAGAGCACCAGGCTCATCTAATTCTTGGAACTCGAGTTCAAGATATTCCCGGACAATGCACAAGTGCATGAGGAAGAAATTCTGGTGCTCCAATTCCTTGGACTTGGTCTGGCTTTGTCTTCCAAAAGTCACCTCTTCTCGCAAGAGGCAGAAGTGAGGATCGTGGCTCAACAACCCCAACATGATGAGATCCGCATCAAGGCCGTACAGGCAGTGACGGCGATTCGGGTCGTATTCAGGTTGCGCCTTAGCCTGGCGAATGTACTCCATAATTTTGTGCTCGCCCTCTCCAGGAACTTCATGACCTGACAGCACGACTTCCACGCCCTGCCAGTCTATGTCCTCAGAGACCTTCTTGGCGATGAAGTACTTCAGTTGTTGTGTGAGCTTCGCCATGAAACCGGTACCCGGCGTGATGCAGTTGCTGTCGAAGGGATCATCCTTGGGCATCTCCACGCCTTCGCGGATGGCCTTCTCTCGAGCCTTCTCAGCATCAAGAGCAGTCCTGAAGCGGCGCGCACGCTGCTGGTTCATCTTGGCACGCGGGGCGACGCCGTCGATGGCCATGAAGAACAGCTGCTTGGGCTTGATCTTGCCAAACAGGTGCTCAATGTAGTTGAAGATAGCAATGAACATCTTCTCCTCGGTCATACGAGCCGTTGGACCGTCCGAGTCATTATGGGTACAGTTGTGGATGATACCGTTCATGTCAAGCTGTCAAGACTGATATTAGCGTCATATGGTGGAGGTAATTCGAGAACACTCACGTAAAGACAGTCGAACTCAGGGATGCGGTTCTCTGCAATGAGCTGAGAGATACCAGGGTATCTCTCAGACATCCATCGAAAGAACTTGGGGACACCCATGGCTGTCGCTGGGTTCTAACAATAAGCTGATGATAGCTGTCGAATGCGACCACACTGGAACAGGTGGCGATTGGGTTGCAAAGGCGGAAATGGGTGTGAGTTTGGGGGGGGAGAAGCGCACGCTGCGCTGTAGCTGCGAAAGCGACAGAAATAGAGGGGCGAGGTTCTCGACGCTGAGGTCTTCAAAGAGTCGAAGGGAGCAGCTCATGGAGCTTGATATATTTCCCCACTGCCGCCAAGAAGAGCGGGCGCTAACCTTGATCGCTTGATCGATGACAGGGTTGTTCTACCATAGTCACGTGTTGGTCGCGAACTTCGAGCGCAACGCGTCTTGCTACAGCAACTTTCCCACTGCTTAATCTGCGCTCGCCACCACGTCAAACGCTACTATCGCGCTGTTCAGATCTATACACGCGTGAAATCATAATGGACGAAACAATGAGTGGTAAGGTTTCCTCTAGTTGATCGTGTGTTTGACCGCATAGCCCTCCAGCCACTTGCAAAGTCCATTATTGCAATGATGAGCTACACAAGCTTGCGTCTCGCGCCGTCATGGTTCCCAAATGATACTCGGACCTATACGTCAATGCCTGGGCTTGCGAGACAGTTCTGCGACGAAAACATACGAACATACATGCTAACACTCTCATCATAGACGCTCTCGACTCCCGCGAGATGGAGGATCAAGAGCAGGTTGAGCACAAGATCATCAACGAGGAGTACAAGATATGGAAGAAAAACTCTGTCTTTCTCTACGACATGCTCTATGGTCGCGCACTCGAATGGCCCACACTCACCACGCAATGGCTGCCAGACAAGAAACCGTAAAACTTCCCATGACCTGGCACTACTCAGGCACTGACACCGCACAGAGTGGAGGGCACCAACATGAGCCAGCATCGCATCATCCTCGGAACGCATACCTCCAACCAGGCACAAAACTACCTCCAAATCGCACACTGCGAGATTCCCGATTTCCGCGTCCCAGAACTATCAGAGCTCAGCGAGGAGCGGGGGGAGGTTGGAGGCCATGGCAACGCGAAGCGACCTTTCGACTTCAAGATCGTGCAGAAAATTAATCACCCCGGCGAAGTCAACAAGGCGCGGTACCAACCTCAGAATCCAGACATAATAGCCTCCCTATGTGTAGACGGCAAGGTGTTGATCTTCGATCGGACAAAGCATCCCTTACAACCAAAGGGTGATGCTATTCAGTTCGAAGCTGAGCTTGTAGGACACAACAGGGAGGGATTTGGGCTAAGTTGGAGTCCTCTGAGGGAGGGGCATCTGGTGACTGGTAACGAAGACACAACAGTCAAGACCTGGGATATCAAGTCTGGCTTCTCCAAGGGCAACAAGACAATCAGCCCAACCGCCACATATAACGTTCACAGCGCCACCGTCAACGATGTGCAATACCACCCCATCTACGACTTCCTCATCGGTACCGCGTCCGACGACCTCACCTGGCAGGTGCTCGACACGCGCATGGCCACGCACAAAAAGGCGCTCTACAGGAAGCTCGCGCACGAAGATGCCGTAAACAGTATTGCATTCCACCCCGAGTTCGAATCAACCATGGCGACTGGTTCTGCGGACAAAACAGTTGCCATCTGGGACCTGCGTAATTTTGAGAAGCCATTACACACCCTGGCAAGCCACCGCGGTGATGTCATCGGTCTTCAATGGCATCCACAAGACGCTGCTATCCTCGCGAGTTCCAGTTATGACCGTCGTGTGTGCATGTGGGACCTCAGCAAGATCGGCGACGAGCAGACTGAAGAGGAGGCAGAAGACGGGCCGCCTGAGTTGTAAGTCTGCATTCAGCAGTATGTTTCGAGCGCATTACTGACAATACCTAGGCTCTTCATGCACGGTGGTTTCACAAACCGGATCTGTGATTTTGACTGGAACAAGAACGACCCCTGGGTCATGATGGGTGCTGCCGAGGACAATCAGTTACAGATCTTCCGTCCCAGCCGCAAACTTGTCGAGCCGCTAAAGAAGAGTGTTAACCATGGAGAGGTTTCAGACTGAACTGTCCACTCTGGTTCCTGCTAGTTGGCTAACCTGGCGTTTATAGCGTTATAGCAGTTCATCTGGTGGGTCGTCTCATCGCATGTCTGGCGGCGATGGATCTCGCTCACCATCCGAGACGTGTACGACCGTGCCAGAACCCACGTCAGCTAGTACGTTGGCTTCGACTAGTTCAGAGGGGTTGGACAAGTTGAGGGTGCTGTGAGTGGACGATGGAAAGGGAAACATGGCGTTGGGCGTAGACTTAGTGGATACGAACGTTCAAAGGTGGTTGGAAGTCCCTACTTGTGCTTCTTCTAGCCATTTATTGAAAACAAGTACTACTCAACTCAACTCTTGAATGGTGCACGACATGGGGAAATGATCTTATGGTATTAACTCGCAAGCTTTCTGTTGTTTGTTGTGCGCTAGTAATATCGACTTCGTTTCCCGCATCCCCGTCCAACCTGAACGCCCCGGGTGCTCATGTGTACGGTATTTTGATCACTTCCTTCTATCCGTACAATTGGGTGGAGATTATCGTCACAGAAGAAAATATGTCATAGTGCCACTGATAGTCTGTGCTAGCCTTGTGCGAAGCATCACGATCTGAAGACTGAACATTGAAAGACGTTGAGAAATTACCCAGAGATTACTAGTACTCAGTCTCAAGACTGGACAAGAATCTTGTTCGCCCCGATCCGTGTTGCGGTTGAAGTAGTTCTTGGCCCTAGTTCATCGCCTCTTCGAGTGAAGATTGTCCGTCAGTGTGGTGCAAGGTCTCGATAAGATTGAGACAACGATGGGGTTGAACATGTTGAGTAAGGGTAATAGGGAGTTGAGGCATTAACACTTGATCGGTCGGTTCTTGACTCCGTGGGGTATTTCGCGCGTCGCTCAATATCTTATAATCAACGAGATAGACTAGCATTGCGTGTATGTCTCTGATCTCTCTACTACGACAGGCTGTGTGTTTGAGTAGAAAGAATCACTATACCACCAGGGATTCACCTATCAGAGGCGTGGTGTTTATCTTCTTGAGTACTAATTCAAAAGAAAGTTGACGAATGAGGTCATAGAGAGATCTGCAACTACGACGTAAGGTGAGACATGACACAATCCGTTGTCATGCAGGAATACTACTGGGAGAAGTGTCGCTTATGCTGTATCGTGACGAAGTTGCTCCACAGTAAATTGACGCATGCCATCGGCTTCTCGATGCGATGCAGTGAGGTGTCGAGGATGAACAGGGAAGGAAATATTGAAAATAAGATGAAGGGAAGAGTGGCGACGACGTTTAGTTCAAGACTTGACCATATGATTTTTGGTATTAGCGCTCAATTTTCACGATGAACGTTGACAACGGTTGAGGCTGGTGTAGCTATCAAACATGGATACTCGAAACGGCTCACATGTCATGGCATAAGATCTGAGATCTATTCACGGGTGTTGTGCCTCTTAGGATGATTCGTAACGAACACTTCGGTACAAATCTCCGCATCTGACGTCGCGAAACCCCACAGATGGGCTGAGAGCTTGCATATGCATGATGCGCGGCTGAAAAGCGGGGGCACTGACATTAGGGTAGGGAATGAGGTCAATATCGAGGAATGTAATGGTGGGTTAAAGATCTGCAGATTAACGTGGGTTGAAAGTAGTGGGGATAAGCGTCAATAGAGTCTGGGCTTTTTGGTGGGGAGTGCGGTCTGGGCTAGATTATCGGCATGGGATCGAGATGGAGGGTAGAACTTGTTGTGGAGCAGAAGGCGGGAGTGTGAAGGTGATGGTCCAAGGCGAACCAAAATCTTGCAACAGCTTACTACTACAAAGAAAGTTTCTGTAGAACCTGTGCGCTTTAAGTATTTTGAGTATACGCTCAAGCCGCTCTACATGAAGCATTCAATCTCGTAGTTTGGTTGTGATATTTTACTGCCGAATAGGTAGCTTGATTTTTGGTATTTCGACATCCCAAGAGATGGTGTAGGAAAACCTGGCGTACTCAACGAACGACGACCGTCGAATCTGTGAGTGGTTGGGTAACCGCCAAAGCTCGAGTGATGTAATCTTACACACCTATGATTTATCGATTTGATGTGATCTCCGTCGTCGTGGTCTTGGCACGACGAAGCCCAGAGACGAGGCAAGGCGGCATCCAAGTTACCTACGACACCGGTAAATGGCCTTCCCGCAGTACCTGCGTTGGTCGCTTATCTTCGTGCCAACAGAAGAGCAGTTGTGACGGCCCTGCATACTGAAAGTAAACGCAGACGCAGCCATCTATCGTCACAGGTGACGTGACGGCTTGGTCGGCTTGGTCAACGGCTGAAGACCCTGCATAAACCAGCCGGCGAACTAGTTCATAGAACGCTAGTACATTTGCAGATCACCACCTCATACGGACCGAATGACGTTTCCGCTGACCTCACATGCGGGACGAAAGGGGGTACTATGGAGTTGTCTATGTCTGTGTCCCGTATTTTGAGGCTTCTCGCCTAAACTGCGACCATCAACAGGAGCTCTGACCTTCGTTTCAATCCTTACACAGTGCGCTGAACTTGACATCATGCGCGTCATACGTTGGATTATGTCTCGCACACACAGACACTTCAGCTTCTGGTGCGGTTGAGACTCTGTATGTATATTGGTTTTTGAAACGAGGCTGCCGAAATTTGCGGTCAGTTCGGTGTAATTTTACAATATGTGAAGCCGCACTTTCTTTCTTGTTTTCGACAAGACTATTGATATCATGGGGTATTGATGAAGCCGTCCACCAACAGTCAAGCTTCAGTCTAGTGTGTCTGGTGTCCGAGGACGCATAGTTCAGGGACCATCACTGGTGACGCGCTTCGCTTCGCTCCGCGCAGGAAGCGTCATGAAGTAGACTAGCTCCAATCGCAGGCGAACATGGGTCTCGGTATCGTCGCTATCTTATTCGTCAGGGCTTCGCATCCGCGCATGATGTATACATGACTAGACATCATGAGGAAGGACCCTGCAGATCTCTGACCTCAGGGCCCTGCTCTGTTGTGGATCGTCGTACGTCGAGACCAAGGTCAATCCGTTGCCTGGGACAGTGTTGATGGAGGACTGTTGCGTAAGACGTGCTGGTGTATATATTACACGGCCGTTTCCCTCGATCATTATCCATCCAAGCTCACCATCAACGATTATCAAGCAACTCACACACAAACCTCTTCAACGAATCTCCATCCATCCAATCTTATAATAAACTCCAACTCATCAATCATCATGTCTGGATCAACTGCCTCCGTCTACATCACCGACGACTTTTCTGAGCCCATGACTGCTCAACACAACTTCGCCAACGCGTTCGACCTGGAGAACCCTGACGAGGCCATGACTCAGTATCAAAAGTATGTTGCACAGCCTATTCCTCTCTACACAAATTTTCTAACAACCCCATCAGGATCATGCACGAGCACACCAAGCGCCAACTCACCACTGCCACCGATTCCGCAAGACGCCGAACCGGCTCCACATCATCCTCGCTGCGATCTGCTGAGTCTGTCGATTCGCGCGACGCATAGACGCCACCAGCAAACAACGTTCGATTCTTTGCGACATTTTTAGCGACATATTTTAGCGACATTCACGATCGGGATCTGGCACCACTTTTTGCGCGCATCATGGGAGGCGATATCTGGAACGGAGTTTGGAATTGTAACATTATCGAGACTAGCATTTGAGCCCAGGCGTTCAAGGGTCCTCGCGGCGGATACTACTACATTTATCAATCTTATTTTCCACCCTATCGAGGGTTACCACCATACATTTTTTATTGATGCGACATATGTTTCATGTTATAACGGCCTTGCCAGCGCCGCTGTGAGGTATCAATAAATCTAAGCTTGGCATCTTTGGAGATGGCTATTGGTCGCTCTGATTGACACTGGTATGCATGTTAATGAAAATTGCGAACATGTTGATTAGCTTTACATGAGTAGGAGCTCAAGATCTGTTAGACTACTCACAAAATGTCAGCACGATCATAAGCTCAACATCAGGGCCTTTTTGCATGAGGATTTAGCACGTTGCTCACTGGCCATCAACCAAAAATTCGTGCACAGGGATTGTGAGTATGGTTATTTAAGATGTAAAGTCAATAAAGATATGTACTAGAGGACATGGTTCAATGATCAAGTCGAGGTTTTTCTCAGATTTACATTTGGAAGGCTGAGTAACATCTTGCAATAATGTTTTTTGAGGTTAACGTGTCGTAACGATCAAGACTGGTGTCGTCAGTCCTGATGTATGACTTGATCAGCAGGTTTGTTCACGCTCCATGAGGAAGCCCGACCAACGGGTCACAGCTTGAGACTTCTAATGGGTTGCAGCCACACAAGGTTTATTGGTATCGAATGGTCGCCAAATGTGCCCAGATACTATACCACTCGAGCAAGTGACCCGAAGCGCCGTCAGGGCCGCACCACCGCATTCGAAACCAAGCGTACATTTACTGTGTAAATACCCATTTTACATCTTCCATCCCCTTTCTCCTCTGCATTTTGACCCTCACCTCCCTCAGCGGCTTCGTCACTGAAAGTGGAAACCTCTTATCATCCCTTGGCGGATCCCATTGCACCTTCTGTGCCCCCTCGACGGGCAGCAGATCAAATCCCAACACCAAGAGTGCTACCAAACCCGAAATCTCCGCCTGCGCAAAATGTCTTCCCGGGCAGAGACTTGAGCCACCGCCAAAGGCCCTGAAGGCCGCTGGGTGTATCGCGTTCGCCTTTCCCTCGGGGACGCTACCGTCAGCATTGGATTTCGAGCCGTTGAGGTTATGCATGAAGCGGCGTGCGTTGAAGGATGAGACATCAGGACCCCAGATATCACCATCAGCGTGCATAACACCACCAGCGATCTGAACCGTGGTGTTCTTACGCAAGAGATATGTGTCTGCGAGAATAGTGTCTTCGAGAACGAACCGCGCAGATGCCATAGGTGCAGTTATGCGCATGGTCTCGCGATACACCGAACTGAGAAGTGGACACGAATCCTTCAACCTGGAGGCAGAGATGGTACCGGGGGCTACGAGAGCGTTGGCGGAAATTTCTTCGCGGATTTGCGACACGAGCTCGGGACGGCTGAAGATGTTGTTGACTACCCAGAACGAGGTAATTCCAGCGTTTGAACTGATGGCGAAAGAGAAAGCCATCTCCAATCGACAGTGCTCATATAGGGAGATGCCTTCGTCCTCGTGCATTTTCTTCCTGTCTTGGAGCATCGTGAGCGCTTGGTTTCCTCGTCCATTCTCAAAATATTCGACAAAACCCTTGACACAGGCTTCGAGTCCGTAGTAAGCTTTACGAGCTGTGATTTTGGGAAGGACGTTAACCATATATGCTACGGCTCCAGTCTCCCAGTCCCAGAAACTTTCTACCAGTTCAGGATGTAGAGCAAATGGGTTCTCAGGTCCGTAGAACGTTTGCATTGACGTTTTGGTTAATCCTCTCGTAATGTATCGAAACAGCTCTGTTTCCATTCCGTCTTCGATGTCGCTTATCTGTTTGCCGAACAAGTTCAACTGAGTTTCCGCGATCTCTCGTACTTTTTGCGGTCCTAAAGCTGGAGTTATGATGTAGTGTGATCGAGTAACCATCCGCTCTCTTCCCTCCTGTTTAGCTGTAGGATCTTGTAGTATGTGTTTTGTTTCGGCGCTCAAACCAAACATACGAGGAGTCATTTCGACTACCAGCTGATCGAAATCGAGGGTTGCTGCGGCACGTTGGACCGCCATGGCAAGCGGGGGAGATGTTACGACATAAGTGCGGTCGTTTAGCATGGGCATGGTGAATATTGGTTGTTTACATTTTTCACTGAGTACCGTCGTTAGCTTCTTCCACGTAAGACCCTGATCGTAGAAGCTAGCTACCTGATCTTTTTGAGGTACAATGGCCCCTCTGTGAGCATACCAATGATATGTCCGAGAAGTGGTATCGATGGATGGACAACAGGTGGCTCTCGCGGGTCCACTTTGATGCGCAAAAAATTGCTCAGAAAGACCCCAATCGCTGCCAGGAGCCCGATAGCTCCTACAACTGTTGAGATGCCCATGTTGACGGCACAACAAAATGAGGACAGAGCGTGGTCTCTCACGAAAGATGCAAGTTCTTAGTACGTGTAGAGCTCACAGGCGTGAAGCAACTATACAATACAGTATCGCCACAGAGGAAAGTGAAACTCTTTATGTTCAGCAAGGCAGCATCCAGGCCAGCTTCCCCTCGCAAGTATATGTGGGATTAGCTACGTGGATTTCGCCCTGCTGCTAGGGCTGACATGCTGACCGATAGTCAGCCAATCCGAGCACTTCTTGTCTGCCATCCGGGTTAATTGCGGCAGACTTCCGCGTTGATGGGGAAACCTCGAAGTTTGAAGAGTCGGTGTGCCGATTTATGTTCTGCGGTAAAGGGTTTCGTGAGGTCGCATCATCGAAACACGGGCCAAGTCGTCTGACTGGATTGGCTGAGTGGTTCCGTCTACACCGTCTCCACTGTGACAACTGACGTCTGGCTGTCAATAAAGGTCCCAGCCATCAATTGTTCCTTAGCGGAAAGCTTTGTTCGTGATATTTATCGCGTCGCTCGCCTTTGACTTCTTCCATCTTGTGCCTGCATCATGCGCTCCTTCGCTCTTACCTTACCTGCTGTGTTGGCAGGCGTCATTGCATCGTACCTGCCGACTAGTTCAGGTGCCCTGCAAAACATCTTGGGGAACACTGACAGATCGGAGAAATATCATTATCCAACGGACTTTACACGCGATCTTCTACCGGTAGGCTCTTCTTCACTCGGACTCGCGGTTCAAAGCTTACGCAAAACCATAGAAACCCTTCCACAGCCACAATGATTACTGGCGAGAGAGGCCTTATTGGACCGGCCTATCCTATGGCGCAGTGTCGACTGAGGCTGATGTGTGGCTGATCAATGGCACGCTCTATGTAAGTTTTCTCATTGAACACAACCTGCTTGCCTTGGATGTTAGACTTCCCCGTGTAATACCCAGGACGACTTGGTAGAAGTATAATACCCACAGCAAGCGATGTTGAATTCTCCATGACTCGTGTTTGATGGAGTCAACGTGCTTCGTCCTAACTGCAGGATCAAGGTTGCAAGATATGCGACCTGTGTTTTATTGAAGCCTTTGAACTTTCTCACCTCGCTTGTCAAGGTGACCAACTCTCTAACACACGTCTAGGTCGGCCACGAGCCCAGCGCACTCACCAAACATCGAACCTTGGAGTCTCTCTACATCGAGCCCATCCTCGACACGCTCCAGCGCATGAACCCAGAAACTCCCTTCGTCCAGCCTGGCGAGCAAAATGGCGTCTTCGATACCTCCAGCGCCCAGACCCTCTACCTCTTCATCGACATAAAAACCGCAGCCGACGAAACCTGGCCGGCCGTGTTACGCGCTCTGGAGCCCTTGCGTAGCGGCGACTGGCTCTCAACCTACGACGGCAAAAGGTTTTTCTCGAACCCCGTAACCGTGATCGGAACGGGGAACACTCAATTGTCAGACGTGCAGAAGTACATGCCGCGCGATGTTTTCTTCGATGCGCCACTCGCGTCACTTGGAGAGGACAAGTATGCGAAGCTGACTGCGAACGAGTCACCTATTGCATCGACAAACTTTGCTTCCTCGTTTGGGGAGTTGAGAAAACGGGCGTTCAACGACACGCAGCTCAACTTGCTGAGAAAACAACTTGATGCTGCGCATGCAAAGGGGATCAAAGCACGCTACTGGAATCAGCCTGCGTGGCCGGTTGGAACGAGGAACTTTGTCTGGAGACTTCTTTGGGACGAGGGTGTTGACTTTTTGAATGTAGATGATTTGAAGGGAGCGGCGGAGTTTTGGGAGGGAACTGGATAGATTGTTGCGAGACTAGAGTCAGACTTGTATGAATCAATAGTATCTGTCATGTCGTCTATGGTTAGAAAGGGTGATATGCCTTTTCCATATGGGCTCGTGTTAATTCTTGCTTGGTTATATCGTTTGTGTATGCGCTTCTCAACAGTTCAGATGCCGAAGGCGGGTAACTGTATGTTCTAATTGTATAGACGATTTTAAACGACATTTGCTACTCCCAAACGCATCCGGATCATCAATGACACGCGTATATCTCTGAGTGACGAAGACTATGCGCTTTCACCACGCCAGCTCATAGACTCGTGTGGGGAGTGTGTAAACAACGTCCTCTCGTTTTCGAGAGATGCTACAAACGACACGGCCCAAACTCGACTCGAACGTAACTATCTTGAATATAATCCACCCTAGTAAGATGACAAGACCGTGAGCTTGATAAGATAGTATACAAAGGTTATGGTAGCGGCTATCATCATGACTCAAAAGGGGCTGGAGTACTACACCAACCATGACCTCGAGAGTTTTAGTGTCGCTAGCCTCACGCTCTCGATTACTCATTATTACCTCACCACCAGGTCAGACCTCTTGATGAAGTTTTCAAGTCTAGCAGTAAGAAACAATCCCCGTGTACGAGCTCCGACCCGACGAATGGAGTGTACATGAATAAGTCGTACCGCTCCAGGTTTCTCAAGGGTGTCAAGATACGGGTCGGAGGCGTGCATGCCTAGTTGCACGTACACTGGCAGCCAACCTGGTCCTTGGTGCGTTGCATAGACTTTGCTCGCACATCGTGAGGGTACGCAAAACATGCATATACGAGTGAGGGGGTTGGCAGGTTAGGCTTTCAAGTTGATGTCAAGCGGTAATTCTATCCACCGTTAGCAAAGTCTTCGACATGTAACCCCAATGCGAGTGCGTCTGAGTCGCAGATCAACGAAAGCTACTCATGCCCAACTCCTTCATGAATAAGTCTAGGCCTTTTGTATTGCACTAGTACGGAGCAATCCGAACCCCATCGCTACATCTTGACAAATACAATGAATCACTGTGCCAAGGACCGGCTAACGATTTGACAAGTGTACAGTGAATCTCGATTCCGTCTCATTCTTTTGACGCGTGCAGTGGCCTAGCAAAAGCGAGGATACTCCTGGAGAGGGCGTAGTTTGATAGTAATCCAGACTAAGGCAATGAATGCTGATATTCCAAACGTCTAGGCTGGCCATGGTCGGTAGTTGCTACGTGCTGTGCATACAGAATACACGCTTAGCACAGAAATATCCGTTGGCTTATATGGGTTGCATGTAGGGCTATCCTTGCAGGAGCTACCGTGCTGCTGTGTAACCTGAGCAACATTTCTGTGACGATAGTGTTATGCGAGTACGGCTGGTAGTCCATCGGCGATCTGCGATATCAATCATTACGATGGAATGTTGAGAAGATGCATCAATGTCTAGTTTGCAACGTGTTCATCTCGGTACGGAAGAACGGGCGGCCCGGAGCAGGTTCCATTGCGGGAGAGATGACATGCGTGTACCTGCAGACGGTATGCCGTCCTCGATGGTGAAGATAGCCGATTTTGACATCAGCGCCACCGATTGGTAGATGCAAGATTGCTGCAGGCGGATTAAGTTCCGGGTTAGGTATAGATCAATCTGCTCCAGCTGATGAACCTATGGGCAAAGCTTCCTACCCTAAAGCAGTTCCTCCTCTTCAGCTGTGCCGTATAACAAGGGTAGGCGAGTTGATTTCAGCGGTAAGATGATTAGTGAAATCGTGCATGGGAATTTGGAAGCGCAGAGATACATACTATTGCGCACACTAGAGGAATATGCAGGGCTTGTAGCAAGGGCGTGACCATCTGAATAGGTAGGGAAGACGAAAGTGAACAGCCAACAAGAGATGGTAGGGCAGATGCGAAGAGATATGATACTACTCCATGACGGGTTAGCACAGACTACCCCGCCCCCGCCTTCCTTTCTCAGACACGCCAAAAAAATCTCGCGACGCGACAGCATTACCGTCTACACCACAAATATTGCCCAGCCGCCCACCATGGTCTCCCTGGACGAAGAAACCATTGATGACATCCTCTACTTTGCGCGCGCAAACGAAGCGTCTGAGCTCTCCACCCTCCTCACTGACCTCGCCACAACGACCAAAGCCTCCCAAGCCGATATATTAGCTGCTGTTATTGATTCGAACTCAAAGAATAGTCCTCTGCATTATGCGGCTGGAAATGGACATGATGGTATATTGCTCCACTCCAAGCTATCATTGCAGGATACGCAGCTAAACAGAGCCTAGAAATCGTTAAAATCCTCCTCTCCACCCCCTCGCCTATCCTCAACGCTACAAATGAGTCTGGAAACACAGCATTACACTGGGCATCCTTAAACGGGCATCTCCCGAGTGTCAAGTTACTCGTTGAAGCAGGCGCCGACGTGACGATCATCAACAGCGCAGGGCATGACGCGGTGTTCGAGGCGGAGATCAATGATAAGAATGACGTTGTGGACTGGTTGCTGGGGGCTGTAGAGGCGCTGGAGAAGGGCGTTGGAGGAGCTGGGGACGGAGAGATAAGACTTTCTGCTGGGAATGTCGAGGAGAGTGGAAACGTGGATGTGAACGGAGATGACAGGGAGAAGGATACTGAGGAGGTTAGAAAAGGGGTGGAGGGCATGAATACAGGAAGTGGGGATCCAAAAGATGGTTGAGTCAAAAAGAGAGGTTGACTATGGGTTCATGATAGGTTGCTGGCATTCCTCCCAGTTAGGCTGGTCGAGTGACTGCTCGAACACGATGAGATAGGCGCAAGAATCATCATCATCGGGGGAGGGATTACTTGTGAGGTGTACGATGATCGGAGGAGCGAAGAACCCATTGCTGGGGAGTCAAGACGTGTGGAAGATCGATAGTATTTGCATGACTGCGGTGCAGAAGGACTATCCTGGCCTTTCAACAAGGTTTGAAAGTGGCGGAAGCTCTTTCTTGCCAGGATTGTCATGGTCATCTACATGAGTAGCCTTTGATAGACGGATAGGCTGTCGTGCAAATGTCGATCATGTTGCAAAAAGAATCGGACAACTGTTACACGTGGTTCCTCCGTGATTGCTTTCATCCAGGACCAAAATCCAGAAATTGATGCCACACCCTACCTTGAACGCCATACATGTTACATATTTATGTGATCCTCATCCCTAGTCGGCATTAGTGGACGCATTGACATCACTATTCTTCTTTTCCTTACCGCCCAGCGTTCAGTCCCTCAGCCAGGCACGGCGCTTCTCCTCTTTCTTGGCTTTGCGTTTCTCTGAGAAAGCTTTGAGTTCTTTCTTGGACAGAGCCTTGCCACGGCGCTCTGCCTTGAGGCTACGACCATCATGGCTATTGGCAGCTGCATCAACGTCGAAGAACGCTGTCATTTGTCGCTTGCTCTTGTTTTCATCGTTGTGCATCTCTGGACCCATGCTAGCCTGTTGGAATTTACCGGTGAAGCGATTGAAATGGGCTTGCGCAACATAATCCTGATTAGGGTTCTGGATACCAGTGACACCCGCAGCAGCCTGTTCTTCCTCCTCTTCTGCCTCCTTAGCGTAGTCCGCATTGGGGTCATAGTTGCCGTGAATTGCTGGATTGTATCCTCCCCACTTGCGCCTGGGCGGCGAGCTGGTGCCGGGTGCGCCAGAGTTTGTTGCTTGCATGGAAGCGCCTGTATTGAGAGTCCTGTGTTGATCACATATTAGGCTAGGAAAAAGAGAAGAAGACGATAGTAGTTAGCAAACCTGTCGTACGATCCGTGACTGTGGGTAGCGGCCGCTTCGGGCACACGCGGGTTTGTCCATTGCGACACTCCAGTAATCTTGTTGTAGAAATAATGTTGGTTCGCATTCATGTCCCAAAGCGCGTCCCAGCCGTCGTCCTCTGCACTTGGAGGTTGCTCGTCCGGGAGCGGAGGCGCCTCCTCGTCAGGCAGCGGTGGGTCACTTGCAACAGTGGCACCCTCGTTCCTCTCGCTCACAGCACCATCCTCAGTCGAAGGTGACGCGCTGTGTTCGCGATCGCTCCCGTGACTGACAACACCATCGCGATGCATATCAGCAGCTGGTGAAGGCATGCGCGCCTGATCTTCGTCGGCACTCATGGTAGCGTCCTAGTGTATATATCCGCGTGATGTGTATATGTTAGAACTGATGCGCCCTAAGAAGAAGAGGATTGCTGCATGCACGCTGTCGCATAGATTGTTGTGGTGGTGTTGAGGTTGGTTGGCGCATGGGTTCGTCACTTTGTCGAGCAAACGCCTTGGCACATGCTGATCACGTGCCAATGGCATGTGCTATCATTGGACTCTTTAGCACGGTGTCAATTCGCCCTGTTTCGTACGTAGTGTTGTTGCTGCACCCTCATGTTCAACTGCCGTCGTGCTTGACTCAGTACAATCCCAGAGCAGCCTGCAGCGACGAAGTGCATTCGTCAATCCGCACTATCTTCAATGCAGCCAACGCTGGAGCCTCAAAGCGCCCCCCGCTCGAGATATCGAAACATCGAGAGCAAGATCGCCTAGAAACCGACGGCAATGCATGGGTCCCTGGCGCACTGCAGGATGGAGTTAGGTAGGGGAGCCGGCAGACACCGATCCGCTGTAAGAGTTCGACATCACTTCGCTTCGCTTCGCTTCAACGGCTGCTATTGTCGTACAGAGCTCCGAGCTAAACTATTCACGTGTGTAGTACTTTCGCCTGATGGATATCGACGTTGTCGAGCTCGATGCTACAAATGTAGGTGGCTTAGTCTTGAAAGGCGTGTTGAAACAGCAGGGCTGGTAACAAAGGGCCGGCAGTCCGAGGCCTTGCCAATGCACTGTCATCAGTGACTCTCTCACAACAAGGTAGCAGCGCAAGCGACATTTATCAGTAGACACATCGAGACATGCCTTCGAAGCGAGGCCGGCACCATGAAACTCAATTCTGTTGAACCTTGTTGTTAGTTGTCGGGTAACTTTCATGGGCAGTTACGAGCAATGTACACGCTGCATGAGCTGCAAGATCGGCGTTCATCAGCGGGACAGCTTGCGGTTGGCTAAGCGGGGATTCGGGGGCTGAAGAAGCATCCTCTCATCAACCGCGCATTGCCCATCTTTGAGCAGGGTACATAGTTCCGCAGCATACTCTGGAAACCAAACGCGCTACGCACAAGGTTTCTCTCTGCCGCGTCGCAACAGCCAATCCCTCTTGGCCTAACCATATCCCCGGACCTGTTCCTTTCTGGGGTCTCAGACGGCAAACGACTCCACGACCATCACCTGGAAGGACCATATCTTTTCAGGGGCCTTGCCTTGCCTAGCTCGCAGTCGACTGTGCGCAGCATTACAGATTCTACCGTCGTTCATTTTCCCCCCATCTTCACTTCGCTATTATCACCACCTTCGTATGTTTGTTGTTCCCGATCCTCACGCCCCGCTAGAAACACAGCTAGTGGTCGGTCACAGCGTGCCCTGTCAAGACTACGCCTGCGCCGCACACTTTGCTCGGAACGTGTACGTCCTACCCCGAACTTTCCCTGCCATTTTCTACGTTCCCTGCGTATTCCCCTGCCCTGCTGCTTCAGCTGCCGATTAGCTGCCGAAGGTACGGTGGCCTGACTTCGGTACTGTAGGGACTTTGATCATTCCAGAACCGTGCCGTCTAATACCTCACAGCATATGCTTTATTGCATGCCATACGCCTGCAATCGTGTCCGAAACGAAAGCTTTGATCGCAAGCCGATGCCGTGTCTAGTTCTGTTTAGGCTGGCGCGGTGCCCGAATTCTTGATGTGCTAGGCTTACGATCTTTTACCATTTTTCAGTCCTCATGTGGCGACCAGCATCAAAATATTTACCCACGGAATCTCGGACATGCTCGTCGGCGCCAATCATCTGTTCAGTATGCCCTCACATCCGGGCTCCACATCCTCCTACGACCCTTATCCAGCGCCTCATGCCGGAGACGCTCAATTGGAGATGATTGTTCCTAGTCAACATGCTTATCATATGGATATTACCAGAACTCAAAACAACACACAACAACTTCCTAGCCTGCGTGCTGTTCTGGAACCCGAACTACTTGATACGAAGTTACCAGGTCAACCATCACGAGTAGGTGGCACTCAAGTGTTCCACAGTACTTCTGTGCGCTACGAATCTGACAGCCCAACATTGAAGAGACGGCTCGATCTTGATACAAATAAGTATGGCTACTCCGATCGTAGCACTGTTGTCCCTCAACCGCCGTTCGCATATCGACCACCGCTTTTGACCAGCAGTAGCAGCAATTCCTTTGCAGTATCCTCAACGCAAGGTTCTACGTCTAGCGCCGTTATCCCGGAACTTCAACGTCGTGAAAGCTTTGCTCATATCTCTCCCCATGATCAGACTGGCGAATTTTTCCGACCATCATCGACACCGTCTGACCCAGTAGCAAGCCACTTGTCTCGGGACGAGCTAGGGGAAACTGGGAGATCTGTTAGGAGGCGACCTGACGGCTCCTCGGTGTCTTCACGGGCTACAGTCAAAGCTTCGCGATGTATCGGACAGCGTGAAGTTCCGGGCGAAGGCATTTGTTATTTCTACGAAGACGGTACCTACTGTCGGGTTGTTATTGATGGAGAACCTGTCAATCCATCGTGGGGTATTACAAAAGCCGGAAAGCCACGCAAACGGCTTGCTCAAGCTTGCCTGACCTGTCGAGAGAAGAAAATAAAATGCGAGCCTGGCTATCCCAAATGCCATCAGTGCTCGAAGTCGCAAAGAATATGCAAAGGGTATGTCAATACAGAACATATGTGTCTCTGTCCGATTTGCGAAGCCATTAAGACGGCCTCTGCAATTTGGGCTTGACTACATAATCCATATCAGTGTGTTACATACACTAACGATTAGTAGAGGACTCAGCCAGTCAAGTGTCAGCAGTGCTTCAGGGGAGCCATCGCCATCCAGTCCCCCTTTACCGTCCAAGAACGCATCGACAGAACTTTCCAGTTCCGCAGCCGGCTCAGACAAGGAGAAAACGCATAAAGAGTCACACGAGCCTTTCATTCCGAGGAAGAATGAATTTTGGCATGCTGGCACCCCTTTCAACCCTCAGAGTTTTCGTCCCCAGTCTGTCGCGACAACAGGGTCGGTTTACTCCTATGAATCAGACCTGAGCGGTGTTTTGAACGGACAAGAGTTAGATGGCCGTACTCGCGGCTCGTATCTCCACATGGAACTCCAATGGGAGCAAGACCCTTACAAAACAGACCCTAAGCTCACTATGGAACTCTTGGATTTATATTTCCTCCATGTTGGACGACCGACTTACAACATCTTTCCTCGTGTGCCTTTTTTGTCGTGGGTTGAGTCCGGCCACGAAAAGAACCCGGACCATATAATGCTCTTGTATTCGGTTCTTGCCTTGGGTTCGTTGTTTTCGAGTAATTTGGAACTCCAGGCCCTTGGAAACAGATTTGCGTCTATCGCCACATATGCTCTTGCAAAGCGTTTCGGCAAATTCGACCTGCAAATGTGTCAGAGTCGTCTCATACTCTCTCTGTACAATTATGGACAGGGCAAAAGCCAGGCGGCCTGGGACTTCACTGGAGCGGCACTACGCGCGCTTAGTGCACTGAGATTGAATACAGAGGAAGGGGTGAAGAAGACCGCGTCTGACGCTGCCGCCCTGGAGTACGGCATTGAGTCCTGGACTTACGAGGAATGCTGCCGTCGCACTTTCTGGTCTGCATTTTTAATGGATGTGAGTATCGTGTATCGAAAAACTTATTCTGAGACAAGCTGACGAAGCAATAGCGCTACAACGCTAACCAGGGTGGAACCTTCTGTGGGATCAACACAGAGGACATTCATGTTCGCATGCCTTGCTTGGAGAATATGTACGAAACGTCTAAGCCCTGTGAAGCACCCCTTTTCAGCTATGATCTTCTTGATCAACCGGATCCTCAACAACCGCCTCTCGGACACATGGCCTACTTGTGTTTGATTTCGGTTATATGGGGAGATGTGATGACATATACCGGACGTGCGATCCATCGACCAGAGGGCAGTTTCGAACGCAACTACACAGTCTTCTACGACAAATCCTACTCAAGACTCAAAGCATGGGTTGATATGTTGCCAGAACATCTCCGATACAGTCCGCAAAACCTCGACAAGAGCATAGTGGAAGGGTACGCAGGCTCCTTCGTCTCCATCCATGCTCTGTACCACGTCACGGTGCTCCGAGTCAACCGTTACGTCCGCGTCCGTGCCATGTCTACCCACATCGTACGCCGAAACATCGACCGAGCGTTCCGCTGCGCCTCCAGCTTCGTATCAATCATGCAGACACTCGCCGTAACAACCCGTCGGCAACGCCTGCCCACTGGAACCGCAACAGACTTCCAATTCTCGACACCTTTCTCTGCAGAGGTACTCATGCTATCCATAGACGTACTCACCTCTACCGGTACCTTCCATTCATTGCCAAGTCTCATCGAAACTGTCAACGATGCGTTGTCTTGCACTGATGAACTGTCCAGTTTCTGGGCATCAGCACAAGCGCACCACAGAACGATAACCACCCGATTGAAGCAACTCCGAGACATTGCCGCACAAGCAGAGCAGAAAGTCAACAATGACGGTCAGGCGCAGTTCTGGACGATTGCCGATAGCCTTGATACGGCATTTGGGAGGGATGACGTGGTGTACGGGACTGAAGACCAGCTGCGATTTGATACTGTGGCCAAGCTTGCGGAGTGCCGAACCTAATGAGTGTTCGTCACAATGAGTATTCATCACACACCCATGCACTATCAGGCCTGCGACTCCATACGAGCGTCAACACATACGACCATACAGACATCCACAAGCCACACCACAACCCCGCAGACCGACCTTTTGCGTGAGCAAACTTACAGAATATATTGTACCAATCCCCGACGACATGGCCAACCCGCCCCATGTATGGAAACCGCCATCTTTCCGCAGTTCGTTCCATGCGCATAACAGCCAATTAACAGCCAATCTCGAGCTCGCAAATGCGGGGTACGAGCGATACACATGCACAAGAGGTGGCGATGACAAGTACCGGCGACAAGCAAATTGGACGGAGAGTTCTAGTAGTCGATTGTCTTGGTTGGCAGGCACATTCCTCCCTCCATCATGGAATGTTGCCGGAGAACCAAGCGTGCCGCCGCCACGAACTTTGAACGAACCGAGACTACAAGATTAGGTACATGCAGCAGTGGTGCGACTACATTGTGCCGATATATAGTCACCACATGTCTCGTCTCGTCTCATATCGCATTGTCCAGGCAAGATCTTCCATATACATGCAACACACACAGCTGCGGAAGATGCTCTTGTTTATAATCATAGTTACGGAATAGAATAATCATCTACTTTGATCTTCTACATTCTATCGTAAACCCTTACGTCGTGTCCTGTCTTTTTCTTCAAAACCTCAACTCTAAGCAAACACACACGAGAAGAAAAATACATCCACTCACACATCCACTACCGCGAGACACTGACAGCGACAAGCCCAATACATCACCCCAAGCAGAACCCCCCTTCCCTCATGCTGTTGTCGTAGCCTCGCATACCAAAGCTAAAGCAAGGCCTAGCACTGAGAAACAATAACGCCCAATAATTTCCATATTCTCATATAAGATCGTGATACCCACCTCCCCAACCACGCTCCCAACCAGTCGAAACCCAGGAGCCAAGGTGCAGCGAAATCTTTCAACAACTAGACACTTACATCCAAGACCAACATACGAGTCCCATACATATAACCCCAACCACACACGCCTCGCACACTTTCTAGCACATCATCGACATACTCTCTCGTCCTTCCAACCCACAACGCGCCTCCCCTCCCACTTCCCCACCTTCCTCCTTCCCCCAGCCTCCACACCACCCACCCACCCACTCACAACAAAACACAAACAACCAATCAACACACCACACAAAGTAAAGCACTACTTCAAGACTCCCACCCCCACCACCCCCGCGCAGCAGTAAAGACAAAAAACGCACAAACTACGCAGCGCCCTCTGCCCTTCCCACCACCTCGACAATCCTCTCCAGCGCAACTGCCACACGCTGCAACGCATCAAGTCTCCTCTCCATAGCGGCAGCAATCCGAGCAGCAGCTTCCGCATTGATCTCTGCAGCGGTAGCAAGTCGAGCAGCGGTTTCCGCTGCGTCGTTTTCCAACTTGGAGGGGCCTTGCATCCGCCTCGTGGTTCTGTATGTGATGAGGGAGGATGTGAGTGTTGAGGCTGTGATGAGGGGTATTTTGCTGGGAGGGGGGTTGTGGACTGTGCGTTCAGCTTGTTGGTGGGGTGCGTACGGGATTGTGGATTGGGGGGGGGGGGGGGGGGGTGGGATTACAGGAGCTGATGATTCTGTTCATGGTGGGTTGGGTATAGCGAGTGGTGATCGTAGAGTGAGTGGTTGTGGAATAGCGATAGTCAAGAGATGAAAGGTACGTCTGATAAATGCAAGGTTTTATAAAGGGAGTGCGATGCCAAGGGGAATCCACAGCGCGGATTGATGGCAATAACGAAGGAGTGGTACACTAGCCCGCCTGCGCTCAGGCATCTGCGTTTTATTTCTGCTTACTCTGCACATCCTTCGTACAACTTCCTCAGCTTCAGTTTCAGTCTCATATCCCAGCTGCACGCAGGATCCCCTCGGATTTTCCCCAAATGAGAGGGTTTCCGCTTCTATGCTCTTCTCCTCCGTCTTCGCTATCCGGCAAGCTAAGTGGTCTGTTGGAGGCGATATCCAATGCGCGTTTTAGACTGAACCCCTCTTCTCTGGATGTGTCTTAACGGTTACCAGAGACCAATGACAGCTACCAAGTAGCTGCTCTGCATGCCGATGTCGCGTAGCGTTGTAAGCCCCTACACAACTTCCCAACTCTTACGTTGCAACGTCAATGTTCTCTGCACCTCAGGCCTATACCCCTCATGGGGGAACCCTAATCTTCCCAGCCAGACAACACCAGATGCTACACTTCTTCACGTCATCATGACAGGCAACCACGCCTTGCATGTACGCGCGCACCAAATATCTCCAAACACCTCCGCAGTCACTAGACCACAAACGCAAATCTTCTATTCCCAGTCAAGCCCACTCTCATCAACTATTCAGCCCTCTCTTTTCCCTTCCCATTAACCCTATCCATATCACTAGTATCCGCCGAACCCGCAAACGCCTGCTGAATCGGCAGTCTTGGCTTCGACGCGATGTCCAGTTCGGCAAACTTCGGTCTGACTTGGAAGATGTTGACTCTAGCGGCGTTGAAGATCTGCTCCGAGGGGGGAATGGTGACGGCGAGGTTTGTGTTCTCGGTGAGGCGCGTGATGAAGAACATGAAGCGGCCTGTTTTGATTTGCATTTCGGCAAAGTTTGCGCTGCCGGCGGGGATGTTGGTGTGTTTTCTGGGGGCTGTTAGTGGGGATGAGGGAGGGTGGGGTGAACAGATTCAGGTTTCTGGCTGGGGAGGACGGGGACGTACGCCATGCTCTGCTTGTGTGTCTTCAGAATGCTCGAGATGCGCTCAAATCGATCCGTGAAGGGATTCGGCTGCTCGGTCTCCCTTGTGACATGCGCAACAGTAAGGCAGGTCGTGCGCTCATACAGAATCAGCTCCCTCGCGTCGATGACCTCGGCTAACTGCTCCAGCAGCGCCTCGATGGTCCCTGCGTTCGGGATCAGGTAGTAGATGATCTTGGTCCAGGCCTTGTACAAGCTCTGGTCCCAGATGCTCGTCGCGAAAAACTCAATAGTCTCTCGGAAGCCCTCGCTGGCGTCTCTGATGTAATCGGCGCGTTCGTTGAACATGGTCTCGCGGAGACGCGCTTGTACGAGATCCATCTTGTGGATAAGGCAGAAGACCTGGGCGCCGGGACTGCATTCGTGCAGCGCGCGGATGATGTTGGAGTAGGAAACGACGTCGGAAGCGAACTCTCGAGATTCTATATCGAAGACGAAGATGAGGACGGCGACGGAGCCGAAGACGTGATTGCGCGACTGGGTGAGGTAGTTTTCTACAAAGCCGTCCTGGCTGTGGCCGATTAGCTAGGTGACAGACGATGGCAGCTGCTTGCTTGCTCACCCTCCACAGTCCCACAGGTTCAGCATCAAGTTGCCCATAAACTTGATGTTGCTGTGCTCGACATCGATCGTGGCGCCGAGCCTGCGGACGTCCTTTGCGACATAATTGCTGAACACGATGCTTCTCATCGACGACTTGCCCGCCCCGCTCTTGCCCATCAGCAACACCTTGCGCTGCTTTTGGCGCTTGGTTGTGTTCATGTTCGGCGTAGGGTCTGATGACGTATGGTAAACACAGAGATACGGGTATGAATATGTTGGTGTATCGTGTCGCGAAGATCTCCAAGCCTGCGTGTTGTTATGATGTTTATTACAGCGACAGACAGATTAGTACACCTGAGGTACAGCTGATGCAGGGGTTGGTGATGGAAGATTGCCGGTAAAACTCGCAAGGCTGGTTCTTGCTTGATGGAAAGAGCTCTGGAGCTTGGGACGCGGAGATGTGCAAGCGTGATGTTCGGCAGGTGGCAGTGGGGCAGTGGAGACAGGGCCGCACGTTGCATGCAATACTGGGTACGACCCCCGAAAATCATTCAGCGTTGGCATGTGATTGCAACGGTGGTGCAGAATGCACATCATTATTTAGTGTTGCGCAATCATTGCGTGGGCGTCGTTTGTTTCTCGAGCGGATTCGACGCCTGGCCGCCAAGACAAGCTTTGAGATATTTCCAAAAAAAAAAGATGAGCTTTGTTATGACAAAAGATGCTCGACGAAGATTTGTCGGCTTTTGATTATTTGCTATCGCTAGATAGAGGGGTAAAAAGGCCTAAATAATCCCATCCCAGTCCAAGTCCCTCGATGATCCCAAAACATGTCAATAGAAGAGAATGTACAAACGAAAAAAATAGCAGGCTAGGAAGACAAGGGGCCAGCGTTCCATGGCGAAAGTGGGTAGTCCAGCAAAAATGAGAAAGGGGAGAAGAGTCAGTATAAACACAAAGCTGCCACCAAAAATCGACCGTCGAGATCGTACGTCATACATAACTAGCCGTCCACTTGGCCGTGAGAAGAAGGTCGCGTCGCACGATAGTGACTAGAAAGATCGGTAACGCGCTTTCGCTGGACGCAATCCAGAATCGAATGGAACGAAAGGCAACGCGGGGAATCAAACACTGGGGTATCTTAGAAAACAGTGCCGTCGGACATGATCATGATAGGCGGCTCTTTGGTATTGGGTCGCGACACTTCTGCGACCTCTCGGCCTCCCTGTGAATGGTGTTAGCTGCGTTGGTAAAATCAATTCAGATTGTGCTGCTCACCTTCCAGCTGCCAGCCTCGAGCATCTGGGCTAGGTTCAACTTTTGTGGTCCGCTCAGTCCGAGCATGCTGTTGACTTCGACGAGGAGATCGTCTAGTAAGCCAACTGTGACTGCGCGCCACTCGACAATCACGTCGTCGTCGGCTGTAAACGTTGGGACGACTTCCATGCTTGGCTGTCCTTTGAGCTGGGCGTTGCGCTGGAACTGTGCGATGCCCCGCTTGTGGTCTTCCGGTTTGAGGATCAGAACACCGGTATCGATGAATAGTCCACCATTGCGGTACTCGGGCAGTCCAGTTAGAAGTTCTGCACCGGCAAAACGGATGTTGAGCAGTTTGGTCATGGGAACCATCAACGAGTATGTGAGCCACTGCGTCAGCTTGTGGAAAGGGACGATGTTCTCCCAGGGGTGAGTGGGGTGTGATGGCATGACTGAGCAGGGCCACGCATCGCCCATGGGGAGGCCGTCGATTTGGGTTCGTGTAGCTGGCCAGATTGGAGTTAGGCTGTCCATGAGCATGTTCCAGAGGGTGGGGAGGGGGATGATGGGCACGGATGAGGCCTGGGTGGTTGGGTGTGAGAGGAGGTAGTCTGCCACTGTCAGCGTGCGTGCTTGTCGCTGTCGACGGCCGACATACCAATCATGTTTCCGGGGCGGGCCTCGAGACCAAAGACCTCTTGGTTTTGCAGCGCGCCCGCGAGCTTCTGCAGCAGGCTGGTGCGTCCCTCGAGGCCGGCAATTGGGTTAGCATCCGTGACCTGCAGACCGCGCGCGATGACACCGACGTCCAGCCGCCTCAACCCGGCACTGTCGACCTGGCAGGGCTCGTTGGCGTTGCTGCTGAAGGCGCCCGCCTTGAACATCTCGAGACTGGCTACGGCGAGGCCCTCGCTGCGGCGGTAGATGCGGCCCGTCTCCTTGCTCTTGTACTGCCACTTGGTGCCGGCGCCGGCGTCCAGGAGCACCGAGACGAGGAAGAGATCGAGCAGGCGGCGGGTGCGCTCCATGTTGTCGACAGTCGACGGCCACGACGCCATCAGCTGGTCGATGCGCGGGCGGCCGCCGACGTCGAAGTGCTGCCATCGCCCGTGGGGGGGGATCGAGGCGTAGTCGGAGTCGTAGTCGCGCTACTGCTGCGTCAGACACATCTTCACACGGGCAGGCCGGGCAGCAGCTTGGCGGCGGGCGTGCACAGCGCAAGTCTCACCTTGATGATGGCGCACACGAAGCTCGTCACGTCGCCGAACTTGGACAGGTCCACGGTGAAGTGCTTCAGCTGGTTCTTCTTGGCCTTCTCCAGCACCAGGCGGGTGCGCTCGCGGACGGCGTAGATGCTGCGCAGGTAGCCGGCGGGGTCGAGGGTCGGGTCGGGGGCCTTGGGCAGAGGCACGTCGGGGAAGCTCGTGGGCCTGGAGCCGTTGGTCGACGCGGGGCCAGGGGAGCGCAGCGAGCCATTGGACGAGTTGGGCTGGCTGGCGCCGGGCGAGATGGAGGGCTTGGAGGACTTGCGGCCGAAGAGACGCATCGTGGCAGCGGCAGGAGAGGACGCGGGTTGCAGAGGGAAGGAGCGAGCCGGAGAAGTCTGCTGGGAGAATGGGACTGGGACTGGAATTGGCTCTGGCGCTGGCACGGGAGGCTTCGAGGGCTGCACTGCCCAAGCACGGCGATCCTGCAGCGCGCGAGAACTAACCCCAAACTAGGAGCCTCTTAGTGCGGCAGCCCGGGAGCACTAGCCATGCCCTTGGACACCACACGCTATGCAAGGAGCACGCCGCGAGGAGGGCGTCGGGGCACGCGCTGGAGCAGTGTGCAGCGGTGCCTCGTTGGCCGCCCGTGGCCCAGCACCATGCTGTCCCGGCCTGCGCTCCCCGGCTGCCAGCACCTCAGCACCGTTGCTGGCCAGAAACATCCGAGCGTGTTCCTGCAGCAGGCCAAGACACGGCCCACGCTAATCCTCACATCGCAGTTCTGTAGAGGCCATGACCTGCACAGACCCTCACGTTCGCTTCAGGGAAGCTGCAGGGAGCATCACCCATCGACGCTGCAGGGTCCCGAGAGAAACATCGACGTCGCTGCCTTGTGCTTTGGGCCTTCTGCCTTCACATGTCTCTCCACTCGCCAGTCCGCGCCGTGTCACGCTCAATCTCCCTACCCTTGACTCTGTGCTCGTCCGCTCCCTTGTCATGTCTCGCGGAACGCGCCTCATCCTCCATCCAGTAAGCGCCGAATCCCTCGACCTTGGACGACTACCGGCCTTCTCCGTATCCAGCTTAGCGACGGCCTGTAAACCGCCGTACAGCGCTACGAGCAGCCATCGTTCATCGACTGAATAGCAACCCTCGCATCCTGGCTGGCCTGCTTGAACAAATCCCAATCCACAAAAAATGACGCAAACTGCTGCATTTGCTGCTTCCAGGCGACTCGACACAGCAACACCAACCATTCTCTACACGCGCCGACTCCTGAGCACTAACAGATCCATGGAAACGGTCCGCGGGTTCACGGCTCGGCAGTCCCGTCTTTTTGTCTGGGCGCCATTCACCTTTCCCGAGAGACTGGGAGTGTCGAGCTGCGAGGAACTGATGCTTTTCGCCGACGCCTAGGATACCATCCAGGACGACAAATACGACGTGTCTGATTATCTTAGGCAGAAACTTCGGCGAGCATTACCGGTACCGCGCCGTTCATTTTGCGGCGCAATCCTGTCATGTTGTTCCCGAGCCGAGTCATGGAAATAAGCCAGACAGCCGCGCCCTACCCCTTTCTAGGCTGTCGACGAGGATGGCCTGTCTTCAAGTCAGAAAATTGGGACCCACTGCCGCCAGACCGTGCTTCCTTGCCGCAGACGTGGATTGGGAGGGCTCACTGACCAACTCTTGACTGGATGACAGGAAACGAAAATAACTGCACTCAAGTGCTTGCTTTATGACGAAATAGAGTTCTCCAGACCCGTTGGGTATTGGAGGAGTTCCATTATTGTCGGACGTATACACAGCAGTCTTGAGGGGGTTTTCGACGGAACAGTGTTGGGTCTGACAAAATAAGAGTAGAAGTGTTCGACATAACTTTCACTAGACTTTGATCGAATCTTCTGATGTGGTCTGCGCGCCACCCTGAAATGGCAGAGTTACTTCTGTCTAGATGGAGCAAGAATCGCTTGAGTAATACTCCATCTAATGTGGTTACCACGTGTCTTCAACATCATATCACAAGTACTAGTCGCATGTCCGATATGCCCTGCATTCCGATCGAGCACCGACTTAATTTGTAGCTTTTAGACATGGCCGCTGCACAACAATACCAGCAAGACTTGCCTTCCACAGCCAGCCACCAATTCGGAAGCTTACTGTGCCAAGCATGTGGCTGTGCTGTTTACTTGTGGCGCACATGTGCTGGCAGCTGTCAGGTACATGGCAGGTCACTTGTCGCAACACCAAACATCTTACAATCATGGCATGATTTTACCTACAAATCGCCTGAGCCGTCTCGAAGCAGCACAACACAATGGATGATCTAAACGGCCTTGACTGGTCGCAGCCCACCAAACCAACTCCCAGCACCCCCGCGGCCTTCCCTCCCTTCCGCCAGAGCCCCGCGCCGCAGCTGTCTGGCCGCTCTACCCCTCTGACCACCCTCTCTGCACAACAATCAGGGGTTGGCACTATCTCTACGGGCAATCGTGTCCTCAAGGCCCCTTCGAAACCAGCGACCCCCGCAGGCGATAGCTTCGCTGGCCTCGTATCACGCAATTCCTCGAAAGCTACAACAACCAACCTCTCGCTGCAGGAACGACAGAGGCAGATACAGGAGGAGAAGGTCAAGCAAGAGGCAGAAAGGAGGAAGCAATATGATGCTAGCTTTGGGGGCGCAGATTCGAGATACTGGGATACGATCGGGAGTGGGAAGAGTACACCTGAGCCTGCGTCCTTCGGCATACTGCCCCCTGCCCCGAGCGCGTCTGGAACTCATACACTATCGAGGACCATCAACAAGCCATTTGATGGCTTAGACATCAACTCGAAGCGCCCTATACAGTCACCTGCTGAAGATGATCTTTTTGCAGCGTTCAACTCGGCGGCCCCGGTAGATGCATCGAGTCATTTCCCCCCTGCTTCTCACAATAGTGGTCGAAGTACTCCCGCATTCAGCGCCAACATCTCTAGAGGCCACACCCCACTACCGCCTGCCTCCAACAGCAACGCGCTCTTCGACGATGATGATGATATGTTTGGCCTCAAGCAGATGGCGCAGAAAGCTACATCGCCAGCCCCACCACCACCGACAAACGACGACGAGGACGATATACTGGGGCTGCTGAGTAAGCCTGTTTCCGAATTTCAGAAGAAGGAAGAGCCGGCGCCCGTGATCGTTGAAGACGCTTATTCAGGACTACAACGTAAATCATCGCCAAGACCCACAAATCCCCAAGACAAAGCTGTTGCTGAATTGGTGGACATGGGCTTTTCCGCAGATCAGTCTGCAATTGCTCTTGCGACAACAGAGTCTGGACTTGATGTACAGGCGGCAGTAGGATGGATCTTGAATCAGGCGCACGCCCAGGCCAAGCAGAAAACACAGGGACGAACTCAAGAGAGAGAACGTCGAAGTCCCGACGAGTTTGATGAGCGACCCCGGCGGGGAAACAGCAGACCCAGCGCAAGAGACACTAGCGAAGGCGAACCTGTGCCTGCTTGGGCGCGGGGTGAGAATGCACGGAGTCAGTCAGGACAACGCAGGCAAGAAGGTCAGGCACATGAGAAAGATGTTGCCCAGGTAGCGACAGAGTTGGGGAACAACCTTTTCAAGTCAGCGAACTCGCTTTGGAAAACAGGTCGAAAACAGGTGCAGAAGGCCATGGCTGATTTCCAGCAAGATGGCGACCCAAATGTCCCAAAATGGATGCGAGACGCTCAAGCAGCAGAAGCTGCTCCCCGCCCAAGTAGGACGCAAAGAAGTGACCCAGGCGCTACTGACGAAGCAATGATGCTCGAAGCCGGTGGACGTCAGCCGAAGCCGTCTCGCTCCAGCGAGATGCGCCAGCAACCCGAACCCTTACCAGTGCGGCAAAGAAGAGAGCAGGAAAGGGCCCACAACGGCCATCCAGATCGCATGTCTTCTCAATCTCCATCCCAACGGCAGCAATCTACAACAAGTCTAGACAAGCGACCAGCAACTCGATTGACTCGGCAAGAAATTGAAGAGCAAGGTAGTCAGGCGTATATCAGTCCTGCACGGCGGAAGAAGACTACACCACAGCCACAACCGCAGGTGGATCTGTTTTCTCCGGAGCCCACACCTTCTGCACCACCGCCACAGCGTAAACCGACGCAAGTACAAAGTAACAACCCCTTCCTTCAAGCAACATCAACTCCAAAACCGAGGACTCCAGCAGCCACACCGCCTCCACCAAGGCCAAGAGCGCCTCCTCGACGAATCCCTCCTGCTTCCTCTTCTGCTCTCAACTCTTCTGCATCAGCCCGCCAGAAAGGTTCTGAGGCTTTCAAGCGCGGCGACTACGCAGCTGCTCACACAGCATACACATCGGCGTTGGGTCCACTTCCCCAATCACATCCGGTCGCCATCATTGTGCTATGCAACCGTGCCCTCACGAACATCAAAGTTGGAGATCCAAAGGCTGCTGTAACAGATGCAGATACCGCTCTGGAAATTATCGGTATATCGAAAGGGGAGGGTGAGAAGATCGCTCCAGGCGGCACAGAAGCAGACAAAGACATGCAGGAGTTCTACGGCAAGGCGCTCATGCGCAAGGCAGAAGCACTGGAAAGTATGGAGAAGTGGACCGACGCACACAACGTGTGGAAAGAAGCAGTGCACAGCGGTGTTGGAGGTGCGATCAGTATCCAGGGCCGTAATCGGTGCGAGAAGGCTGCAGGCGGAGGTAACAATTCCGCCACCCCAGCGGCTGCGAAACGCCCTCCTCCAGCCCGCAAACCCGCACCGCCAAAGCCTTCCGCGCTTTCAGACCTTGGTGGTGGTGGTGCTGCGAGCGAGTCTGAGGCTGTCAAGCGAATGAAAGCCGCCAACGCCGCAGCAGAGAGGGCAGATGATGAGAAATTCGCACTGACTGATCAAGTCGACGGAAAGCTCATAGCATGGAAGGGCACCAAGTCTGACAATCTACGCGCACTGCTCGGGTCACTAGAGAAAGTGTTGTGGCCAGAGGCGGGATGGAAGAAAGTCAACATGGGCGATTTGGTGATGCCAAATAAGGTCAAGATCATATACATGAAGGCCATTGCTAAGGTGCATCCTGACAAGGTATGTGTTTGTATGGTGGGGGCGTTGTGTGGATGAGCGGCAGCTAACAAATACAATAGATCTCGCAATCAGCAACGACGGAACAGAAGATGATTAGTGCGGCGGTCTTTGCGACGCTGAATGAGGCGTGGGATAAATTCAAGACGGATAACAATCTATAGGGTACTGCCCAGGGCTTTAGACATTGTGTGTGCAAGTGTAGTAGCAGCATTAGATCAAGAATTTTGCATACGAAACAGACACGTCTGATTCAACACTCTTCCTTACTGGGACCCATGAAGACTGGTGCTCATAAGCTTGATTGCAAGACATGTTTGTGTGACATGCACAGCGAAGCTAGTTGAGGCTGAACTTTTTCGTTCCTGCAGAATGCAGATCCCTGCACTAATTTACCCCGGACTCGCTTGGCGAACGTCAGAGAAACTTTTGAAGTTTTGATCTGCACAGTCATGCATTGCAATTGAACGCTCCCATCCATCTCATCTTTACCGTCACTATCGTCTATCAGACAGCACATAATCCCAGATATCATATCGCTGTATATTGTGCTCGGTCGTTCTTTGACATCAATCAAAGAACTTTCTAGAACGGAACCGTCGTTGTTGAGCGCGCGCTCCAGATTCACCTGACACACTCCGCATCGCGTACGCAATCCATCGAAGCAGAATCACGTATTCCTCCAGAGCTCGACCGCTCTCTGTTTACCGATCGCGTTCCGGCGCGCACCTCCGTTCTTTGTTGTCGGGAGAGAGGAGAAATTTGAATCAGATTCTGCACATACGTCATAGGCGTCATGTTTCCTCCAGCACAGGGCTTGCGCCTGGACATCGATGCGATTTCTCAAATCTTCGGATCCATCAGTATCGCTTGTTGGATAGGTATGTAGCTTTGCGCGGTTGTGCGACACACTGGCGCTCCAATGATGTTCGACCTTTCTGCTGACACGTGCTACAGTCGTCTTCTCACCTCAAATTATTGAGAATTGGAAGAGGGGTTCAGCAGATGGTCTTTCGGTAGTGTTTATCGTAATATGGCTTCTCGGCGACTTCTTCAACATCTTCGGAGCCGTGCTCCAAGGCGTCCTGCCAACGATGACCATCTTGGCTGTGTACTATACGCTCGCTGATATCGTGCTACTGCTCCAATGCTTCTGGTACAAGGGCTTTACCCTTCGCGACGAGGTCCACAAGCCAGAGGATGAATCGCATGAGAACGGAGTAACGTCTTCCGAGCGGTCACCGCTTCTATCTGAGAATACGCGTCAATCGCACGGAGTCCACATTAACGGCTATGCCAATGGAAACGGTCATGAAATCACCCCACCAAGGATCTCAGATATTGACAGACGCCATTCGAATCACTCCCAAAGCTCGTTCCGGGAAAGATTCCTCTCCATCGACGGCACGCATCTCTCACCCGTTACACCACTACACGACGAATCGCCCAAAGTCAACACCACACCCCGTCCCAATCCCACCCAGTCAACACTGCAAACAGTACTCTTCAACCTTGGCACCATCGTCCTCGTTTGCGCCGCCGGAGTCTTCGGCTGGTGGCTCAGCGCATCTCGTGCCCCACCGCCCCCACAAAACCCCGACTCCGATCTCGCGCCCGTCCGATTCCATCTCTGGGGCCAGATCTTCGGCTACATCTGCGCTGCATTGTACCTCGGGTCCCGTATCCCGCAGCTCCTGCTCAACTACCGCCGCAAATCGACAGACGGCATCTCCATGCTGTTCTTCGTGTTTGCGTGTCTCGGCAACTTGACATATGTACTCAGTATCGTTGTGTACAAGCCCAAGTGCAGGGACGTGGTGTGTGGGGATGGCGAGGCAAAGAGGATCTATGCAAGGTATATTGCGGTGAATTTTAGTTGGTTGTTGGGCAGCTTTGGTACGCTGGCGTTGGACGCTTGTGTGTTTGTGCAGTACTTTATGTATCGTAAGGAGGGGGATAGCGAGAGTGAGAGCGAGAGCGAGAGTAGTTCAGAGTAGGACGCAGGGGTTTGTTGATAAAAGTTTGGGTTCTGTCATAGATGGATGGTGTGTATGACTTGCTGGTTGCTCTGCAAGTATTGCCTGTACATTCTATCAAGTTCATTTCGTTGGTATATTTCCATACTTGGTTTATCATGTTGACACGTCAGGTCGCAAGATGCTACAAACGAGCCACACCGCCGACATGCACTCTGTTTGCATGTTCCTGCATAACCGTGCCTCGATCCATTGCGCCTAACATTCATTGGCCGTCTATCATCATACCTCCTCACCTGAGCCCAACCAATCCGTTTGTCAAAGCCGGTCTCGCTCCGCCAGATCCATCTTCAAGTACACCATCCTCCTCTATCCCCTACCCTCTCAAGCAATCCATACTCTTCTCTTTCTTTCCTCCCAAACTTCCCATACCATTCCACCCAGCCTTTCCAGCACCCAACAACCACCAAACCAACCCAACCCCCAAAATGACCACCAAACAACCCACCAAACAAACCATCAAAAGTCCGTCCCCCCCTCCCCATTTAACCCCCAACTAACCCCCCACCCAGCCCTCCTAACAACCCCCCTCCTCCTCGCCGCCGAACGCCTAATCCCCACCTACCCCCCGCACTTCCCCACAATCGAACACGCAAAAACCCACATCAGCCACCACTGCGCCGCCGCACACTTCACCTACGGTTCCCCGCCGGCGCACCTCCGCGACCGCGTGCGCGACCGCGTGCACTTCCTCGTCGCCGTGCGCGCCTACGAAGCGGGGGAGTTTTACCTAGACGAGGGCCTTGTGGATCGGGCGGCGCTTAGGAGTCAGTATTCCGCACTTTGTCTTTGTATTTGTGTCTAGGGGTGGGAATGGAGTGCTGACGCGGTGTAGATGCGATTGAGCGCGATATTGCGCGCGTGCTCCCGCTTATACGCGTCTGGCCGCGTGAGTTTCCTGATGTGGGCGCTGCGAAGCTGTATGTTGAGGGGGTGTGCTTCCGCGCGGGGTTCCGGTGTGGTGAGTTTGGGGGTGTGGCGCAGGGGCGGTTTAGGGGGTATGTTGTGTTTAATGCTGTGAGGAGGGGGTTTGAGAGGGGGTTGTTTGGACTGCGGTCGTGTGAGGGGGTGGAGGGGTGGCGCGTGGGGAGGACTGCTCCTACGTTTACTTCTGCGCCTGCTTCTGGGGAGAGGTTCGCGTGTCTTAAGGGTATGTGTTTGTTTGCTTGTTTGTGTGGAGACTGACTGAGCGCTGTAGATGCTATTGACTTCGATGTCGAGCGCCTGGTCCCGCTCGTACGTGGCTGGCCGGCTCGCTTTACGGATATCAATGCTGCGCGGAATTTCGTTGGGGGGTTCTGCTATGATGTGCGGTTTCGGTACTCTGGGTATGGCGATGTGGAGGCGCATCGGTATCGTATGTTCGTCAACTTTCATACGGCGAAGCGTGCGTTTGGGGAGGGTAGGTTCGTGCTGGATGTCCAGATGCTGGGGGTGAGGAAACAGGTTTTGGGTGGGAAGTTGGCGGAGGAGAATGGTGCTGTTGAGGAGAAGACGGAGATGGACGGAGGTGCTGTCGCTGGATCTACGCCTGTCAAGAAGTCCGAAGTCGACTCGGTCCCCGTCTACGCCGCCGATACCGAGCCCGAAACCGAAACTGCCGAGTCGGAGGTTCCTGCGACTGTCCTCCAACTCGCCACGCCTTTTGATCGTCGCCGAGACGACTCAGCCAACGCAAATCAAGATGTCGAGGAATTGGGGGTTCACGTTGACACTGACACCGAGGTCAGCGCATCGCCGTCGTCTACACTCCATGACAGCGTTGTGGACGAGAACGAGAAGGTCGATGACCTTGGATCCTTGCCTACTGTGCAGGCAGATCCGTTCAAGGTGAGTTCCATATCCACCTGTGTGTAAAATCGGCACTAATTGGGTGTACAGGACCTCCTTGCCGAGCTGCGACGGGAGTTCGTACTCAAGGCAGCGTTTGAGTAGGTTGGGTGTGTGTGCAGTGTCTGATTCTGCGAGTCTATGATTTCCCTGCTCGTGCGGATGTTCGGAACATGGTGTATATCCAAAAGCCTTGATTTGCTTATATTTGATTTATTGTATTTCTGCCTGTCATGTTTTCAGCAGCAAGGACTTGTTGATACTTCTCAGTGTATCTCTTCTTTCTTCCCACTCATGTATCAAAACACAGATATCGAACAATCACAACTCCCAAATCCTCGTGAAGCCTTCCATCCACCCTACCAGCCCCCTACACCCCCTTCCCCTCCCCCCTTCCCTGAATCCCACCAACCTCCCCCTCAACCCCCTCCTCCACCTCCCTCCTCAACCCCCGATAAAACCCCAACCTAAAAAGCACCTCAAACCACACAAACAACGGCGCCAAAACTAGCGCCTGCACCAGATTATCCAGCAACGCCGGCTTCCTCCCCTCAAACCTGCCGTGGCCCACAAACTGCAGAACCCAGCTCACAGCATGTACAGCTACAGCTATGCTATTGACTTTCGTCTTGTTATACCTAGACGAGAGTTTATTCGCGAGCGATGCGGCACCGAGGATTAGCGGCGTGATGCTTAGACCGGCGGTGTTGGGCGAGAGGAGGAGGTAGAGGGTTGAGTAGGTTACTGCGGCGAGGGTGCCGAGGTTGAGGGGGAGGTGCAGGTGCGTGAGGAGGGTGGGGTGGCGGATGGGAAGGGGGGGGCGTGTTTGTGCCCTTGGGTGTGGGTTAGTGGGGGGTTTTCTTCTGGGGGATTGTTTGAGTGAGTGGGGTGTGGGTTCGCTTGGTGGGTTGTTCATGGTGGAAAGGGGCCGGAAGTCCTATGGGAAAAACATACGAAGAGAAAGCCGGTTGCTAGCAAGACGGGCACGCAGGCGATGTGTATAGCCACATTTGTCGGATCTCGGTGGTATGCGCCGTACTATTTCAACATCAGCAGTTGCAGTTGCTCAGGCATTCTGATTTTTCACTACGACGCACAAAGACGAGGTTCTTCTTCAGATCAAAAACGGGCATTTTGATCATAAATCAGAGATGGTGTGATGCAGCAAGTGTGAACCAACAAATCTTCCAAGTCTTCCTGATGTGGGGGAAACCAAGCTGATAGATGGCAAAATCACCAATCCCTCAATTCCATGGTATCTCAAGCTCTTTATATCCTGCTTCGTATCTCCAAGCCCGCACAGTGCTCCATCCATCTCATTGCACAACCTCAAACAGGGATCATCTTCCTACCGAGGCAATCGTACGACTCTGATTGGCGCATGGCAGCGCTGGGGTGTGAGAATGACGCCAAGACGGCGGGTTTGCGGGGTCGTCTTAGAAGGGAATGCTGAGCTTGATATGGCAAGACCGATCGCACTCTGTAAGATGTGGTACAACGATGTATGTTTATGGACGGGAGTGTATGGCGCGAGGAAAGCGTGATGCACGGCACGGCACCGAACGGCACCGGACCGCATGCGTGGCTTCTGTCATCTTGACGATGGCGAGGTTTATGTTGACTTCACGTTACTTTATCTTGGTATTTTGGTTTATCACTTACTATACTATGAGGTATATGTGCGAAAAGAGGCTGTTGCTAGCTTGTATTTGAAGTGAGCACAACAGCCCACGACGTCCAATCGAGGCAATGAATAGAAACAGCTATTTCACATCACTGCACACATTGAGTTGAATATGAAAGTGAGTCTCATTATCAGGGGCAGAACACATAAGCTAACCGCACGAAGCCATGCTGAGGGTATATAAACGGAATCATCGCCAGACATGATCTCTCCACATGAATATCATTCCAACCCCACTGCCCAAACGCCTCGAGCTACCATGGCTCCGAAACACACAATACAGTACTGCACCAGACAGCATGTACAAAGGGCGTAAAATCGTAAATGCCTTGAAAACATCTCTCCAGAAAGCGTCCACGGCTTAGACATGTTTCTCGCCCACCGGCGCAACAGGAGCCTCGTACTTGACATACGCGTTCGGCTTAGCCACGCCCTTCTTACGCAGGATATACGTGTTCCAAGCATAGCTCAGCTGTGCCGTAACGCTCGGCTCGGGGAGATGGCCAATGTTCTTGTAGAGTTGTGGTTTGGCTTCGCCCTTGCGGCGGAGGATGTACGTGCGGATCCACCAGGGCAGGTTCTTGGTTGCTTGGTACTTCATGTGGACTGTTGTTGGGACGGCGAAGATGTAGTCGAGTTCTTCGAGCGTGCGCTGCTTGGTCTCGGGCATCCAGAGGAAGCTGGTCAGATGTTAGTATGTGCTGTTTTGTTGGGTTCGCGGGGACAACTCACATCATGATCAGCGCGACGATGTTCATGCCGCCGTAGAAGCCGAATACGCCCTGTGGCTTCATGACTTTCAACATGCGCGGGAGTGTGAGCGACAGTATAGCTGCCCAGAAGTTGTTGGTTGCGACGGCCCACGACATGCCTACCTCACGATGAGACAGTGGGAACACCTCGGCGGAGTACGTGAACGGAACGGGCCCTGCGCCTGGCGAGTAGAATGCGCCGAAGAGATACACGAAGAACGCGATGAGACCCAAATGCGCTGCACTCTCTTTGGGGATGTAGTAGCACATGCCGGCACAGAGTAGAGTCCAGAACATGTTGGGGAACGTGAACAGCAACAGTCCGCGGCGTCCAAACGAGTCAATCGTCCAAACTATGAGACGTGTCAGTAAATACAACATTATCAGGACTTCGCTCTACTCACCAGCAGGCCATGCGAACGCGAAGTTGACCAGACCGAATCCAAACGAAGCAATCAAAGCCTCCTTCTCAGTAGCCCCACCCTCTCTGAAAATCGACGATGAGTAAAAGGCAATGATGTTGATTCCGCACATCTGCTGAGCAATCATGATGATGCCAGAAGCTTGAGTGGCACGGCGCACACGAGGAATCGTGAAGAGTTCAATGAAGCGCTTGAAGAAGTTGCTCTTGGGATTGATGCCAGCCTTCTGCACTAGGACTTCTTCTTGCTCGAGCAGGCGATGGGTATAATAAAGATCGCGAGCGGCCTGCAGGGGAGTGTTTCGCAGTCTGGCGAACGACTTGTATGCCTGCGCAAACTTGCGTTTCTTCATCAGCCAGCGGGGAGACTCAGGTACGAACCAGATACCGAGGACTAGGGGAACTGCGGGAATGAACGCGGATCCAAACTGCAGGCGCCAGGCGATACGACCAGTGTTCTGTTGGTTGCGAGTTAGTATGCGTCACGCAAAGCTGTATCTTGACAAGACTTACCATGACGACCAAGTTGGCAACAGTTCCGAGAAAGATGCCAAAGGCCGTCCAGATCTGCCACGACATGACGAGTCCACCACGCACGCTAGCCGGTACGTTCTCAGCGGAGAAGACAGGTACTGTCACCTCTTTCAAACCCATACCGATACCAAGAAGCACACGACAAACAGCAAGCTGAGGCCACGTCTGAGACGCTCCTTGGCCGATGGGAGCGAAAAGTGAGAAGATGGCGGCGACGAAGATAGTTCCACGGCGACCAATCAAGTCATTGATAGGGTCCGAGATCCATGCAGTAAACAGAGCGATCGCGATGTACGGACAAGCGTTGATGAAGCCAATGATCCAGCTGTTCCTCTCGCAGGTACCCGCAGCCGTGCACGCATCGCCAGAATCCGGGATGCCCAAAGCCCGGCCGAAGGTCAAGTTAGCTCCGTTGGATCCGGTCTGATCCCAACCTTGGATGGCGGCGGCGACCGAGTTCAAGATGACGGTGTAGTACAGAGTGCGCGGGAGCTTGAAACGGTGCGTGATCTCCTCTCGAATGCAGGTGCGGTCATCTTCGTCCAGTTCTTCAATCTCCTCGAAGAGCGCTGGGGATTGGGCGACGAGTGCACCTTTGATGAGAAGCGGCTCAATGTGCTCAAGTTGGTGTTCCTGGGCGAAGCTCTTCACGTCGGCGAGGAGCTCGTGCTTGGGAACGCCAACGAGAGGGTTGCGGACCCTGTGTGTGTGAGCGTAGGAACAGAACCAATTGAACAACAGACGAGAGACTTACTCTCCCTCAAGGTTGGCCGTAAGGCGGGCGAGACTCTCTCTACGCCTCTCCTCATTGTCGAAAGCCGAACCCGAGCGTTCATGGCGCTCGCCAATAGTAGACCTAACGGATACAATTAGCAAAAAACAAGAGGTGAGCCATGAGGTTAGCAGAGCTTACTCAGTCTTGGTTTCCTTGGAGTCTGCCATGGTTGAAAGCAAGGCCAGGAAAGACAGTTGCGGTACAACGGCTCGCAGCTGGGGAAGTCATGCTTATAAGCTGCGGGGAGGAGGGCGCGTGAGCAGGGACCAGGCAGCCGACAGGGAATAACACATAGTAACAGTGAAAGGCCATCTGTGTGAAAGTTTTCCCCAACTTTGCTCCCCCATGGCAGGGTTGGGTATCACGCGCTGTGGTGGAAACAACCAATAGCTAAACGACAAGATGCCGAGATCAACGCCCGCCTTACACAATCCCTAGACCGCTGTCGTCGGTGGCCATGCACCTCCTCTGTCACAGTGCAGAGGCGAGGTGGAGTCCGCTAGGAATGCGCCTGGGCGTTCACTTATTTCGCCGTGGCGGTGGCTTGGCGTACGGCGGAACTATGCCAGAGACAACCCTGTGTGTGGAGAAATACGATGAGTGCGCAAGTTCCGGTATAACTTTCTCCATCCTCTGCACCAACGGTATGCACGCATGTCGTGATCATCGGTCGAGACACCCACCCTGTTCAGCAGTGCGCAAGGCATCACTTCCCGATCTTTCACAGTAAAGTGTAAAACAATATTAATGATAACCCGATCTTTCTGCGCTAAACCAGAGCCTTTCACCCGACGATCGTGAGCATGACACAACATACCACAGAACGCTTGGACATCTTCGACTCGAGTCGGACTTGAGCAATGGTCAGGGTATTGCGAAAATGCGGGGATAAGCAAAGCCAAGCTCACAAGAACCCGCCCGCAGCTTCAAGTCTGACATGGTGTACTCTTACACGACCTTGTGCAACACAGCTCAACTCGTGGGACGAGAATACGCCGCACTTGCTCACCGGTACCAGTCTGCCTTGCCCTGAGGTTGTGTACTTTGTCAGCGCTTCACACCGGTTTTGCGATTCGAATATCTCGACAGATGTCAACTGTAGATGCGGAGCGAGGCTTTACGCCCTGCATTCCGCGGATGTTCCCCACACTTTCGTCTTGGCTTTGAGCGGTTCCTCCCCGTGTTGATTGACTGAAACAGGGATGGCGCGTATACCCTGCACACACACATATGCTTGTGATACAATATCCGTCCATCCATGACTCCCGCGGTCGCAACACGTTCTCCACGCGTATTCAAGCTACCATTGCGGGACATAGGTACGGCAACGCGGTTAAGCGCTTTCCATATTAGACTGAGTGGGTCGTATCTGTGGGGCATATGTCGGATCATGTACCACAGCTCGTAGGGACACAGCTTGTGTCGTTGCCTGAACATGTGAACAAGAAGTAACGTGATCGGAGAAAAAGCGCTTTAAACTCGCGCAAAGCTTGGTGGACATATGGATTGAAATCTTTGCAGATACGTAAGCTGTCATATTTGGTAGTGAAGAAACCTGTCAGCACATAGTCTGCATATCCATCGCACAACCTCTCCCTCGTGTAATTGTTTTTATACATAAGCTAATGTATGGTCGTCGCGAATGGTCGCTATTCATGGTCAGTTTTTCAAGTCTCAGGCAAGGAACGCACAACATACCGTGAACACCCAAAGATGCCACACCACCCGCTACCGACGATCCAGTAACAAGCAATTCTCCCATAGACTGCTCGTCAGTAGTCTTGTAACTGGCAGTGTCCTTCAATTTCACCTCCACGCAACCCAAAGGCACGCCGAAGTGACTGTGTTTGGTCGAAGGTTTATCCTCGCGTCGGTAATCGTACACGTTCGTTTGTGCAATGGCTCCAGCAACTGTGGCAGCTGTCAAGGCGTATACGACGCGCGCCTTGGTGTAGATGCGCAAATCGGACAATTCATCTGAGTTTAGTGGGGGTGAATTGAGGCCAGCCCTCTCGGAAACAAAAACAAGACGCAGCTTTCCTGGAGTGGTGCCAATGGCAGCTCTAGTGGGTGCATTCAGTTTGGTCAAGAAGTTGTCGGTGGGCAGTCGGCCAGACATGAGCATGCGAGTTTCAAGGTAGTGGGCGAGCTTCTTCAATCCGCTTGTGATTGTGGTAGTGGTCGTGTTATGAAGCTTTGCAGCAGTTTCTGCGGAGATGACGGTAATCGTAGGGGCGATGGTTCGGGTAGCCAGAGTCAGATCAACGCCAGGACCTGCTACGGAGTTGATGACGACTGTTGCGTGCGAGAAAAGGGCAGCAAGAGTTAGACACAAGCTGTAAGAGTGTGTGAAAGCATCGGCAGGGAGGAATGTGTCTGAAGCGGTGATTCGGTGCATTGAAGGCAGAGCGGTGATGAGTGCGCCGGTAGCCGCAGCCAGGTTCTACGTGTGTTAGTTTGAGAATACAACAGTGCTAGGGCAACGAATTACCTGCTGAGTGAACTCGACAATCTCCGCAGGCTTGCCAGCGGCCTCTTGCCAAAGAAAGACGACATTCGGCGCCTTGTCGCTGTTGGAAGGCAATTGGAATGAGCTGCTGGCCTGATCCTGCACCAGCTGATGCCATACAGAGACGTCGATGTTGCCACCAATTCCCTCGGGCACTTCACTCCAGTCCATGTGCCTGCTCGTCTTCTCCACGGTCCAGATGATTTGGCGCAAGCCCGGAACCGCTCGGCTGACGTCAGCAAGTGGGATCGAGCCAGCTTGGGCGATCAGGGAGTCAGCACCAGTATGAAGAAGGAGTTCGACGAGGGTAGGGTGTGGTTGGTTGTAAGGGATCAGAATGGGTGTGAAGCCATAGAAAGCACCCGCGAACAATGCGGCCAGGAACTCGATACTGTTGGGCAAGTATATGGCGACCCTTTTGGCTCCTCTATCCTGCATGTGCCTGCCAATTGTGGCAATCTCGGTCGAGAGGCCAGCCACGTTGTGCTCTTCGATGTCCTCCTTCCCGTAGACGGTCATGATGGTGGCCGTGCCGCCAGAGCTTGCCTTCTTCTCGAGAGGAATCTCGCCCGTAACGCGTCGCCAGATATCACGAAGGTCACCATCTTTGCCTGCAGAATACATGGGGGAGCCTGGAGGCTTCACGGCAAGCCCGGTGCGGAGAGCGTCTGCGTCATGTCAATACCTACGCGGTAAAGCAAACGCCGAATGATGGACATACAGCCATGGGGAGTCTCGGGTGACCGGAAGATGGCGGATTCTCCCGGCTGCCTCACATACGAAGCTTGTGCCTGTCTTGCGAGCAGCAGTGGGTGTGTATCAGCGTCCGCTGTGTCGTAGATGACCCAGCCTACGAAGCCGAGGAGGCTGGCGAGCAGGAACGAGGTGTAGACATTCCAGCCGGCCAGCAGCTCGGAGATGCCACCGTCTAGCTGTTCAACAAGTCCGGGCATGATGAACAGATGACTGAGAAAGGAGAGAAGATGTTTGTTGGGGAGAGAGTAAGCTCGAGCTGCTCGACACTAGCGGGGTGAATATCAGGGTCGGTCGGCGTTCAGCTGGGCAAGGTGCCGACATGTCAAAACAAAGCGTTGCTACTCAACAAGAGACGCCCGAACTCCCAACTACCATGATGCGACTGTAGCTGCTTGTGCACCGCCAGATTACTAACCACTAACCCACAGGAACAGCGTTACCAGATCCTTACGAATTGTATTCTTGCTACCTCTAACTGAGGGACTGAAGTGAGAAAAAAGAGAAATAAACAAGCCCAGAGCCGTGTAGAACTCCAGCCAACATGTCTGTCGCGAGATTGGCGCCGCCTGCTACGCCCCAGACGCCTGCCACGCCGACTGCGCAGAGACACCAGCTGGACACGCCAAATGGCGCGTGGAAGCACCCCAAGTTCGACGAGATTGCGCGTCGCCAGTACGCTACCACCTTTGACGAGCGCAACGTGAGGACCATAGTCGCAAACACGGGGCTCCTGATCCTGTCTGTATACGGCAACGCCATCTCCTCCAAGGTGAAGCTGCTGGAATATGCTGCGTGCGCACTGCCCTTAGCCACCCATCTAACCCGCAAGCTAACGCCCTGCAGAACCCCAATGAACACGCTCATTCACAGGACCCCCTACAGCGAATGGGTCGTCGTCTTCATCCAGCTCGCCTTCGCCGCCAACATTGTCCTCGCATTCATGCCCCTCGTGCGCCGCTACTACCCCGACGACATGGCCGACATCCCCCTCACGCCCTCGCAGCGCGCGGCAATGGGTCTGAAGGGTGGTGTGCTCTCCCCACCGACCGCAGGCGCCGCCTACGCGTCGCCCAACTACGTCACTCCGCCGCGCTACCAACGATCCACACCGCGCGGCAGCTTCAGCAATCAGGGCTCGCAGTCTCCTCTCCTCGGCGCCAGCCTCGCAAAGTCCATGTCCAACTCGCCGAGCAACATGGGCAGCCCGCTGTATCGAGATGGGCTTGGAGGGTCGACGACAAAGCGGGCGAACTATGGTGGAAGTCCTATGGGCAGCAGTTTGTTTGGAGATAGCGGGTCGAGTGGACCAGGGACACCGACGCCTTCGACGGGTAGAGCAAGCGTGGGTTTGAACAACAAGTGGCTGTACGAGAAGCGAAGGGACAGCCCAAGGAGTAACATGTTCACATGAGGCGTGATGCTTTTGGGAGAGCATGTGTAGATGTCTCTTTATAACCTCATATATCACGCTGGCGCACTGGGTGGGCACATGGCGTTTAGTTACAACACACCATGGCGGATGTTTTGATTTCCAGGAAATTTCATATATCATAATTGCAAGAGTGGAATCATTCCCATCAATCATCCAACGCCTCCCATGCACTCACTCACTTGCGCAACCCATATCTTACACCTTCCCCCAAGCACCCCCTCACGAAAACCGATCCCCCTTCCGACTCCGAAACACCCCACTCGCCTCATACTTGCTCTTCGCGCCCTCCTCGCCCTCATGCCTCGTCGCCGCCGGATCCTGACTAGCCTGCACCGACGGATTCCCCATCTCGCCGCCCGGACTCCCTCCCTGACCCCCCGTCTTCCCCTGCGTAACCGCGCCTGCGCCTGATATCGGTGTTGTCGACGCACTAGATGCAAGCGACTGCTCGAGCTGGTACTGGCGCTGCCGCTTGACACGGTCGGCCTCTGCTTTCGCCGCCCGGTCCGCGTTGATCGATTTCTTCGCGAAGTAGTATGCTCCGCCGCCGGCGGCTATGAGGGTTCCCCAACCGTAGCTAGGAGGGTTAGAGGGAGATGGTGGTGGAAGGTGGTGGGTGACGTACTATACTGATTTTATCTGGGGGGTGTTAGTGTGGGGGTGAGGGGTTGATGGGGGGTGGCTTACGGTGTTCATGGTTGCGGTTCTGCGGAGGAATGGGTAATTGGTGATAAGATGTGGGAGGGTTTGCGCGTGTTGAGGGTTTTGCTGTGCTGGGGGAAGTGGTCTGATGTTCGTAGGGCTGGGGCGATTGCTCGGTGATTGTTCGGGGTTGGGGTGATGTGGTCATTCGTAGTTGACTTCCATCAACGTTTTGCAATGTGCGATCTGTCTGTAACAACAACGTTTCTCAGCATCACCAAGAGCCAATCTGATGGATTTTGACGAGCATGCAAGACTGCTTTCCTAATCGGACGTCTAGACTCGCGTCATCCAGACGTTGACCTTTATATCCAAATACCTAAGTCGCCACACCGGCAAGATTTTCTTGTCGACGTTGTGAGTTAGTCTCTTCATGACCTCACTCCAGGAGATACACGAACGAGGGTGTCAAAACCCGCATTTATCGAGATCTTAGGCTTCATTTGTACCGTCGAGATTGACCAATGGTCATCACTGAATGACATGCGGTCGTCTGAAAGTCAGTGAACAATAAATCGTCTCTTGACGACTTGCTGCTCAATGTACTGTGCGGACGCGTGTTCGAGAGCCCAGGCAGCCGTTGGTTGAAGTTTGGTTCGGTCGTGAGCCCTGGATCGTATCGTAGACCCTAGGGTCGTGAAAACTCTTCGATTGACCAGTAATGCTGAACACATGACCAGAGCAGCTTCGGCGGGGGTGACGATATACGGATACACGAGAGTTCTCTGGTCCACAATCAACTTCTGGGAGCAACAACTCCCACGATCGGACTAAACTCCATAGGACTACACTCGCATGGCCGGCATAGTAACGTCGAAACACTAGTAGAAGTCTGGCGTTCTCAACGTCTTTCAACGGCGTGTCTTTCTCCAATGAGGTACCGGTCAGGCCACTCAAACAGGTAGGACTGCCCTTGGGGAGGTGATGGTCAATGTACCCGATTCCCGGTACTTGGTCGCTCATCGTGTAAGGCATCCCTCCAGGACCTGGAGCTCTATCTACCAGGAAACCCTTCTTTGTCGCTCTACGCAATTGGTCTCCTTCTTTCTCTCTCCTTCCCCCTTTCCTGTACATCAGAGGCGTAGTAGGCCAGCTCAGTCTTTCGTCAATCTCACCCTATCCTTTTCATATGTTCGATAATTTACGCAACCGCTTTCTCTCCAATCTCGATATTCATTGGAGAACAGACGTCACACACCAATGTTACACTAATTCCAAGGTTGAAACATGGACAAGACCAATCCTTCTATGGTCTCTCCATGACAATCTGACCATTTTCTCCCATCGATATAACACGCTGTTGAGTGAAAGGACGACTAGTCGCGCGGCATGGAAGCGGAGTCGCGAGTGGATGGGGATGGCCTATTCTCGTTAGCGTATGATGGCGTTCATCCCTTCCGCTGAGGCGTTCGCCCCTTCCACTAAGGCGTTTGCTAGATCGTATCTCGATTCGAGAAAGATTAGCGATGTCATCTAGGGCCGCCCTTACGGAATGTTTTGCTCCAACGATCGAGAAGCCTCCGAACCAATGGTTCTCCCGCATCGAAACTTTATCTCGGAACCTCGCGCGCGCTCTAGATTCGAAACTTCCGCGCCGCAGTGAGGGGAGATGCAGATGGTTCGAGACAGGGGAGAGGTGCAGAATGGTAAATTGTGGTGAGTGAATGGCGGCAAACGGGCACTTAAGATGCAGCAAAATGCATATGTTTTTGAGATCAGAAACTTGGGACATTAGTTTTGTCCATCATAATTCTTTGTCATCTTGGTAGCCATGGTTCGTCAAAACCCCAACAAGACTGGTGTCAACGGTGTGAACGGCGTCAACGGCGTCAACGGCGTCAACGGAACAGGAGTGAACGGAACAGGAGTGCACAATGGAAGTTATGCCAACGCCGCCTCGCCAATGCCCATCGCCATCGTTGGTATGGCTTGTCGGTTTAGTGGAGGTGTCACAAGCCCCTCCAAGTTGTGGGAACTTTGTGTTGACGGGAGAGATGGCTGGTCGAAAATACCAGATACGCGCTTCGATGTAGCGTCGTTGTATCATCCTGACCGTAACAGACCAGGTAGAGTCAGTACCGCTCCTCCATATGATCATTTGCATGTCAAGCTGATACTATAGTCGATAGAGTAATATCGAGGGTGGTTATTTCCTGGACGAAGACATCTCTGTTTTCGATGCTGCATTCTTTAATCAGTCTACAGAGGCTGCCAGTGTGAGTACAGTTTCATGAATGTTCACAAAAAGATGTATCCTCATCTAACAACTTCAAGGCTCTAGATCCCCAAGTTAGACTCATGCTCGAGAGTGTTTACGAAGCAACTGAAGATGGTAAGTGTGTTTCTCTCTTCGGGTGCAAACATTGACTGACAATGCCAACATAGCCGGTATCCCTCTTGAAAAGCTAGCGGGCTCCAACACGTCTGTATACGCTGGATGCTTCAACCGGGATTACCACGAGATGTTGATGCAGGATGCCGAGTCGTTCCCGCTTCTCGTATTCACTGGAACCGGTGCTGCCATGCACTCGAACCGAATATCCCACTTCTTCGATTTGCAAGGGCCAAGCATGTCCATTGACACTGGTTGTTCAGCTGGAATGGTTGCCCTGCACCAGGCATGTCAAAGTATCCGCTCGGGTGAGAGTGACATAGCGATTGCATGTGCGGCGAATGCGCTCCTCGTCCAGAATGCATTCATCGCCGCCTCCGGTCTTGGTACTTGCAGTGCGGAAGGTCGGTGCTTTGCCTGGGATGATCGAGCTTCCGGGTATGGCCGAGGTGAAGGGGTTTCTGCGCTCATACTCAAACCCCTGGATGCCGCGTTGCGTGACGGAGACCATGTCCATTCCATCATTAGAACCACAGGCCTCAATCAGGATGGAAAGACAACCACAATTACTTCGCCATCAGCGGAAGCGCAAATTAGGTTGATACGAGAGTGTTACAGACGCACAGGCTTTGAGCTCTCAGACACAGGATATGTCGAAGCCCACATGACTGGAACTCCTGCTGGGGATCCAATCGAAGCTGAAGCTCTAGCAAAGACATTTGGCAACAGCCGCGAAGAAGATGATCCTATCTTCGTTGGCTCTATTAAAACAAATGTAGGACATACCGAGCCCGTCAGCGGTCTAGCGGCCATCATCAAAGCCACTTTTGCTCTCAAGCACGCGGTCATCCCGCCCAACCTCAACTATGTCACAACAAACCCGGCCATACCACTGGGCGACTGGCACCTCCAAGTACCTACTACCTTGACAGCATGGCCGAAGAACAAGCCACTGCGCGCTTCAGTAAACAACTTTGGCTATGGAGGAACCAATGGGCACGCAATTCTGGAATCTCCAAACACAACACATAACCATGGCATTGAATCTCCTACCGCCCACAAAGTTATCCGGAAAGATGATCAGAGTCGTCTTTTCGTCGTCAGTGCCAAGGACATGACTGTTTGCAAGAACTCGATGCAACGTCTGGCTGCTTGGCTTGGTGATAACACACCATCTCCGGATGACCTCGCATACACGCTCTCTGAACGACGAACATTGCTCTCCTGCAGAACAGTCGTCCGGGCCAAAACTCTTGGCGAACTTGCTGATAAATTACGGGAGCCATTGCGCAAGCCTGTGTTCGCACACAAACGGTTGCGGCTTGGCTTTGTCTTCAACGGCCAAGGTGCACAATGGCACGCTATGGGTCGAGAGCTGCTATTTGGATATCCAATATTTGCGGAGGCGGTCATAAGAGCTGATATCATCCTTAAAGGATTCGGCGCGAATTGGTCCCTCACCATCGAACTCATGCGGAAAAAAGAGACGACACGCGTAGCCGATATCGATCTCAGTCAACCTATGACCGTTGCACTTCAGCTGTGTCTCGTCGACTTGTTGAAGTCTTGGAACATCTCTCCTGATGCGGTAACCAGCCACTCCAGTGGTGAGGTTGCAGCCGCTTACGCGATTGGAGTACTGTCTTTCGAGGAAGCACTTGGAGTCGCCTACTTTCGTGGAGCGTTGGCCTTGAAATATCAAGCACAAGCCACGCTGCCCGGCGGGATGCTTGCTGCTGGAATCGATGCTGAGACTGCCAACCGATACATCAAACTCTCAGCGCCCAAGGGGCGTGTTGTAGTGGCTTGCATCAACAGTCCTGGTAGCGTCACACTTTCTGGAGATTTAGAAGCCATTGATGACATCACAGCACGACTCGAAAAGGACGGCTTCTTTGCTAGAAAGCTCAAGGTCCCTATGGCTTACCATTCTCATCACACATATCCAATGGCGCAAGAGTATACCGAGCAACTCCAGGCCATTCTGTCAACCCCCACCAAGAGAAGACAATGCGACGTCTTGTATGCTTCTCCAGTAACAGGCGACTTGATTCTCCCAGCCGATACCATAAGTGCGGAACACTGGGTGCAGAACTTGACGAATCCAGTCCTATTCAGCCAAGCATTTGACAAAATGTGTTTCAAATCGCCAGAATCAGACTCTCGAACCACCAATGTGGACTTGATTGTAGAGATAGGGGCACATGGTACCCTAGCAGGCCCAATACGGCAAATTCTGAAGGCGCGAGGTGTGGAGATGCCTTACATCTCTTGTCTCCAACGATCTGTGGACGCCATCGATACCATGCAGGATCTTGTTTGCATGCTACAAAGCCACGGCTACCCAGTGGATTTAGCTGCAGTCAACGAGCCGGATAGACAGCAAAATCTCAAATTTGTGACGGATTTGCCTTCATATCCTTGGGATCACTCTAGGAAATACTGGGTCGAGTCAAGGTTCAGCAAAGAACAGAGATACAAGAAATTTTCGCCCCACGAGCTGCTCGGCACATCGTTGAGCGGATCCAACCACCGGACTCCTACTTGGCGCAATTTCCTCCGCCTCTCAGATGTCGAGTGGCTGTGCGATCACCAAGTTGACTCTAACGTTGTATTTCCGGGCGCTGGCTATATCGCAATGGCCCTCGAGGCCATCCGGTTACTCACTGATCCTTCGGAAGAGACAATCCTCAGTTATCAGCTCCGCGATATCGACATCCTGAACGCCTTGGTTATTCCTGAAGCACAAGCAGGTGTTGAAGTTCAAATGTGTCTCCGTCCTTGCAGCGAGAAGAAGTTTGGCCGCAAAGGCTGGTATGAGTTTGAGCTCTGCTCTTTGTCTTCCGGAGACATGTGGATTGATCATTGCCGAGGCTATGTTACAGCTGAGACTGACGAGAAGCTCGAGCTTCTACGAGCGGCAGAAGCACCTTCGATCGATACAGAGTCATTCTTCACGTCAAAGGATAAGGTCGAAGCTGTCAATCTCGACTCATTCTTTGCTGACCTGCGTGCAAGTGGGATTGATCATGGTCCCCAGTTCCGGAACTTGATCGACAGTCGCTCGGAAGGAGCGCGGGCTCTGACCAACTTTGAGATAGCTGATTTCGTCTGCAGCGAACACAACTATGCGTTGCACCCAACAACCCTCGACTCGATCATCCAAGCTACTTTCAGCACGCTGAACAAGAAGATGGGTCAAGACTCCATGACCTTACCTAGATTCATTGGCTCGATGTCCATCCCCAAGAATTTCAGCAGAGAGGGCGGAACTAAGTTACAGGCCTTTACAGAGCTGCTCAAGTCAGAGAAACGAGGCCACACCTCTGACATTACTGTTGTTGCTACCGACTCAGATCATTCCTCGCCTGTTCAGATCCGAGACTTCTTTGCTCAGGCAGTATCTCGACAGGTTGATGCTACAGCTACGGATACAACACTATGTTCCAAGACCTGTTGGGAACTTGACATACTACACAGCCTTCCGGACGGCTTGAAAAGCTCACTCGCCGAACCAATAAAACCTCAGGATGCAGAGCTAGAACGAACACTTGTTCGGACGTGTTACTATCTCATTCATGACGCCGTTTCTGAACTGGCCAACCAGGATACAGAATCGTGGTCGTGGTATCACAAGCGATTTCACAGCTGGATGAAGAGCGTCATTGATCTTGGCGAGCGAGGTGAACTTGCGCCAGGCAGCCGATCTTGGTCACCCGTTAATGCGGTGGTAAAGGATATGCTCTTCAATGAAATGGACGCCTCCGGTGCCTTTGGCCAACTTACTGTTCGAGTTGGTAAGAGGATAGCAAGCATGGTACGCGGCGAGACGATGCCACTTGAGGTCATGAAACAAGACAACCTTCTGGACCGGTTCTACGAAGAACAGGCCGCTTGGGGAAGAGCCTATTCCCACGTCAAGAAACTGGCTGAGCTCTACGCTCTGAAGACGCCGGGAGCCAAAATCTTGGAGATTGGAGCCGGTACCGGTGGCGCTACGACACACGTATTGGAAGCATTTGGCACGAGAGGTGACGGAACAGGATCTCTGATCGGCAACTACACGTTTACGGATATCTCCCCAGGGTTCTTCGAGGCAGCGAAGACCAAGTTTGCGCCGTGGTCAAGCGTGATGGACTTCAAAAAGCTAGACATCGAGACAGACCCCTTGGAACAAGGATTCACAGCAGGCAGCTACGATCTCATACTGGCATCTGAGTGTCTGCATGCGACAAAAGATCTCCGCCATACTATGGCGCACGTTCGAAAATTACTGAAGCCGGGTGGCACACTGCTACTTGTTGAGGCAACTACAAACCGACTCGCATCGCAGCTCATCTTTGGCACACTTTCACAGTGGTGGGTTGGTGAGGAGCCAGAGCGCCAGATCAGCCCTATCGGAACACTCGACATGTGGAACCGTGTACTCCTGGCGACAGACTTCACTGGCGTCGATTTTGAGGTCTCCGATTACGAGGATCTTGAATTCCAGTCGAAACGGGTCATGTTGAGCAGGGCTACGAGATCCCTTTCGGCACCTGTCTGTATCGTTGTACGCGAATCAATGTCCATCTCTGAGCAATGGTTATCTGAACTAGTCGAGACGATTGAGAAGAAGACCGGTGTCCCACCCACGGTAACCAATCTTGACGACACCGAAGCCTTGCAAGATTCGCTCTGTCTTTTCCTTGGTGAGATGGAGTCACCGTTCGTAGACGGCATCGACGCGACCGACTTTGAGAAATTGAAGCGAATGATCTTCGCTTGCTCTGGGCTTCTCTGGATCAGCTGCGGCGGTGCTGTGGCCGCCACCAACCCCTCTTTCGCCGCGACCGACGGTCTACTGCGAATCATGCGGCTGGAAGACTCTAGCAAGAGATGGATTCGGCTTGACTTTGACGAAGGTGCGTCTGTCTGGACAAATGACAAGATTCGCCACATCGTGCATGTGTTGGAACAGTCCTTTGATCCGAATGTCGCCATTTCTGACTTCGACTGGGAATATTCCGTAAGGAACGACATGCTTCACGTGCCTAGAGTGTTCCCGGATTGGCCTCGAGATATGATCGCAAAGGGTCGTGAAGCTGAAGGCGAGGGTTTGCCAACACTCTCACTCGATGACCATGATGCAACGTATCTGATTGCTGGTGGTCTAACCGGCATTGGACGCGCCATTGCATTATGGATGATCGAACACAACGCCAGGAATCTGATTCTCGTCTCTCGCAATGCAACATCTCACCCCGGAGCGGCTGAGGTTCGTGAGATCGCTGAAAAAGCTGGTTGCCGTTTGATGGTCTGTGATTGCGATGTTGCAAACAAGGACAGTTTCCTAAGGCTTCTGGACGACTGTTCGACAATATTGCCTCCCATCCGCGGAGCTATAAACGGAGTGATGGTGCTAGCCGATGCTCTCCTGGGACGCATGACTTATGAACAGTGGTCCAATGCCGTGCGACCCAAGATTGACAGCAGCCGAAACATGCATGCGTATCTACCAGATCTTTCGTTCTTCATCATGCTGTCATCAATAACAGGCGTCATTGGATTCCCCACGCAAGCCAACTACGCCGCTGGCAACACCTTCCAGGACGCCTTGGCGCGTCACCGCACCGCACAAGGTCTGCCCGCTGTTTCCATAAACTTGCCTGTTGTGGGATCAGTCGGAGTTGTCGCGGAGAGAGAAGCCAAGGGCGATGATCGAGTCCGTGCATACACAGAGGGCTTTGGAATTGACTCCATCGACATCGATGGTGTGTTGAGGATCATCGGGGGTATTATCCGCAAGCCTCTGCTAAAGTCACCCCAAGACAGCCAGATCATGGTGGGCCTCAACTCCCGTGTCTTCCAGTTGGACTCAAACATATCTAGAGATCGCCGCTTCGGAACACTGCGCATTGAGAGTCCACTACAACAACATGTCGAAATGAACAAGCCGACTAAGACCTCTGCAACAGCTGCGCTAGTCCAAGCTCTTTCCAGCACTTCGACGATACCCGAAGCTGTGTCCGTCCTAGAACAGGCCATGGCAGCCAAGATGGCCGATATATTCAACATTTCCTTGGCAGAGGTTCAGTTCGACCTGCCACTGTCGCAGTACGGTGTTGATTCGCTAGTTGCTGTGGAATTGCGCAACTGGCTAAGCAGCAGTTTCAAAGCTAAGATATCTGTGTTTGAGATTCTTCAGAGTGCGTCGTTGACTCAGTGTGCGGTGTTGGTCGCGGGCAGGAGCGAGTATGTAGCTTCGAAGCAGGTGCAGGTGCCGGTACAGGAAGAGGCACCGTAAATGGGATTGAAAATAATGGCAGGGCGTTACAGGAATTTTGGGATATATTGTATTACTATCATAGTTCTCTAATGTTGTTTCTTCGATTCATTGAGACACCTGGAAGTTGTGTTAGTGATGTCACGGCACATAGTAGCCATAGCTTGTGTTTCACTCCGGAGAGTTTTATTGCTGCGCATGATGTACTTCGAACGAATCATAATCAGAGTTACAAGCAAACATGCTGTGAGCTCTGGCCAGGATACAAGCCATTGTCCAGTGTCTGAATATAAAATTAATCAATGACCAATTCATAGGAGCTGAGTTCAAAGAATAACAGATTTCTTGTTCTGTGAGCATCATTTGCTAAGTACGGTAACAGATCGAATGGCTTCTATGATGTGATCTCGAAACAGGCATAACTTATGACTACTGTTCACCTTGAACTCGACTGATCCTGACTGACTTTGTCACGGTGATCTTCCCTTGAACATCTTGTCCCACCAGTTCCTCCTGGCTGTCCGTACCATGCACATGCGACGTGTTACTCGTAACGAGAGTTTCCAGCGGGATTTTCCTATCATCTCTTGACGCACTTCCATTTCCTCCTGTTCCATACTTTGATCTTTTCCGACTTTCGGGGGTTTGTATGTATCCGTGGCTGTTGTCGTAATAACGTCCTTGATTGCTACTATATACGGCTTTTGCCTTGCGGTACAGGCCTGGGCCGCATCCTACTGTGATAGCAACGGACGACTCAATGATACTCCATAACGCGAGCCAAGTCGTCGATGGTGTGGAAGTACTTGCACCCGTAGTCGCGCCGACCTGGATGACTCGAATGATTGATGCCAACATGCAGAGTATGGCAAGTGCGAAAAGAGCGCCAACGCTAAGTTTTCGCGAGAGAGGCATTTGGAGGTTTCGTATCAGGGTGACGGGTAGGAGCATGACTAGTAGATCTCGTTAATACCTCATCAAAATTGACAAACTGAAGCCTGCTTACTCAAGATATCGGTTGTAAGGTCAACGGCGAAGGCCTCCCAGAAGCTGATCAAGCTACCACGGACATCTTCAGGTGTTGCGCCACAGCCACCTGAAGTGAACCAGGCGCGAAGAGATGAACATGACGTGATATGGAGGGTAACTGATAATATGAGAGTCATGGAGGGTATCAGCTTGCACGTCTAGGGGTTTGCAAATAGGGAGCGCTTACCAATATAGAGTAGACAAGGACAGCCCACCACAGCTTGATGTATAGCGGAACGTTGATCATCATTCTCTTGTAAAAGGCTAAAAGGGAAAACTTAACACTCCAGAGTGTCAACCAAAGACCCGGGCTCGTGAAGAAGAACATTACTTGGATAGCAAGTGCGTCTTGTGTTAACCCCGGATACGGCTTCAGTCGTCCTTCTTGAAGCGCAAGCATTCGGAACATGAGGTCAGTTTTGCCAACATAGACCCCAGAGACTGTCATGAAGAATACCCATGCCAGGATGAGCCAGCCGTCGTCCCACTGAATTTTGGTTTTCTGCTCGACTCTTAGAGCTGCTCGGGCTCCAACAACGAGAGTGGTGTAGATCATGAGACCAATTCCAGTCGTCCGAAGGGTCGTCTCAGTAAGGCCTGTTGAAGACATCGTAGGAAATGAATAGATGGATAGATTCAACAGAAAATTTGATCTCCGAGTTTGATTTATGCCATTCTTCACAGCCAGATAGTCGGAAGGAATGAGACTTCTCGTCATCTAGAAAGCGGCTTCCTTTGTGATCTTCAACCAAGGGATCTCGTTCTTGGTCATTGTCGGTTTTCTGAAGAGTCTCGCCGCATACGATGGATGAAACTCATGCACAATCCTTGCCCTGTCGCACTTCGACTATTTGCCACAATTCACGCGTAGACACCGATTAGTTGATCCGTAACCGCGCCGTACTCGATTTTCAGGTCAAACAGGATTCCAGACTCCAGGGATCATCATATCTAGCTAGACAACATGTAGGATTGTGGCGTAGTAGGTAAACCTCCGATCCGACGGTGCTCAATCGAATGGCAATTTCACAACGTTCACCTATACCGTACTCTTCCAAAGAAACCGAAAGCGTTATGGCCTCGGCGCCTGGCGCGCTTACTACTCTTAATCCTGGGCATGTTGTAGTTCGTTTCTGTGGAGCATCTCCACAAGGAAGTTGGAAATTCGGGGAACCGGCTTACCGAACCACCCGACCAGTTTCAAGCGGGATCGCTTGCTATCTCCTCGGAGATTTGAGCCAATTACAACCGTGGTGACGGGTTCGTGCATGGTATTTAGACCCAATCCATCGTTAAGATCATGCGAGTAGGGCAGGTCGAAAGTGTTTTCGAGCATTAAATCAAAACTAGACACCGCTCCTTTGGAAGGGAGGATACGGGTGATACGGATGATATCCTATTGGCTTATGGTGAGAGAGCGAAGGAGTGCTTAATTCAACTTAACCACCCAATTCAGGCGAGTTGGAGTGATATAAAAACTATAGAGCAGCTCCGAGCTCTCTTTCCTACAAACATTCGCTTCCTCTTGCCATCCAAACTTCTTGAGAACCTGTTCGCAGCGATGCGTTCAATATTTCTTGCCGTCCTGGCATCCAGTGTCGCCTCGCAGGTCTTTGAAGCTGTCGATTTCAACGTCACCGAGGCTCTGATTGCGCAAGGTGTGAACGTCTCAGCGTTACCTGAGTTAGCTACTCTGGTCGAGCGATCGTCGGACCAGGCCTGTCACATTGCTGTAAGTCCCTCGCGCACATTGTAAGGTCTTCATGTAACTAACGTGAATCCATGAAGTGCACCTCGCTCAATGTCCTTTACGGAAATAAGACGGTCGATTTTGAAGATGAGACTGCGTACTCCTCCTTCACTGGAGGGTTCTGGTCCCAGATAACCGCGAATGTCAGGCCATACTGCATTTTCAGGCCGTCCAAGCCATCTGCAGTATCTGTAATGGTCCTCTTATCTCGCCTTTCGCAATGTCCGTTTGCAGTGAAGAGTGGTGGACACTCCGCATTTGCAGGCGGTGCAAGCATCGAGGGCGGAATTACAGTGTCGTTTGAGAACATGAAGGGCATCAAGCTTTCGTCAGACAAGAAGACCGTGGCCATCCAACCCGGGAACACTTGGGGAGATGCTCTCTCAGCTCTTTCCACAACAGGTGTGACTGTGACCGCCGGTCGTATTGGAGACCTTGGCGTTGGTGGTGTTACTCTTGGCGGAGGAATCTCTTTCCTCACGAATGAGTATGGTTTGGTATGCGACAATGTTGCCAGCTTCGATGTGAGTAACACCGGTCCGTCACTAAGATTGTCTTCGAAGAGATCATGTCTGAGATGGTGGCAAAGTTCGGTTGTTTGACGAAGTGCTAATCCTGAGATCAGGTCGTAACTGCTAGTGGAGTCATTGTCACTGCAAGCTCGACTCAGAACTCAGATTTGTTCTGGGCTCTTCGCGGTGGAGGAAATAACTTTGGTATCGTTACGAGCTTCAACATAAACACTCACCCACTCGTGAACGATCTGTTGTGGGGAGGAACACGCACTTTCACTGAGGATGTCTTTCCGGAAGTAGTCACAGCCTGGATAGACCTTACCCTTAACTCAGCTAAGGATCCGAAAGCAGGAAGCTGGGTTGCCTGGCTGAATCCTGGCATCAAGCTCGCGTCGACAGAGCTCTGGTATGGCGCGCCACTAGCCAGTGGATCAGATGCAGCAGCTCTTGCTCCCTTCTACAACATCAGCGCTATGTCCGATACTACCAAGACAAGAGGCCACGCTGCTTATGTCATCGACAATGAAGCAACCAATACTTATGGCTCGCGCGAAATTTTCTACGAGGTCAGCGTCAAAGCCTCATACAAAATCGCTTCCCGTTCTGTCGACATCTTTTACGACGCCATTGGGGCCCTTTCTGGAGTTGACGGCGCTTTCCCTGCATTGATCTGGCAGCACATCACCGATGGTTCCCTCAAAGGCAGCGTCCGAAACGGAGGCAACGCAATGGGTCTTGATCCAGCCGAGGGACCAGTGCACATCATCCAGCTATCATGTTCGTGGAACAACGTCGCCGACGACGACAAGATCTATCAGGTCATGTCAGACATTATGAAGCAGATCAAGAAAGAGTCGATAGAGCTGGGAGTAGATACCGATTGGGTGTACATGAATTACGCCAGCCAGTTCCAGGACGTGATTGCCAGCTATGGCGAGAGCAAGGCCAAGTTGAAGGCCATTGCGAAGAAATATGATCCTGTGGAGGTGTTCCAAAAGCTACAGCCAGGATACTTCAAGCTAGATCGCGCGCCGGTGCCAGATGCGCGGTATTTCTCTCATTAAGGAGCTAGACTTGATGGCGTAGAGTTACACATCTGACGCGATCAGTCGTGATCATGGACGGGGTTTGAGAAAAAAAGAATCTTGCAAAATGGATGATGAACCATGAATAAGCTGTCTGGCTGAACTATAGAGCTGACGATCAATATATTGAGATGGCACGGCTCCTGCAATGATATTTTACGGCACAAGTGAATTTTGACAAGAAATTAATAGAAAGGATGGCGATGGACAGACAGTATTTGTAAAGTGAAAATAAGGAGACAAAAGGTCCTCTTTGGCGCAGACAAAGCTCGCAGCGATCGAGGCGAAATTCTACGAGTACAAGAGCAGAAGTTTGGTTATGCGTCGACGTTTCAACCGCAGATTTCCGTGAGTCTCCAACTCTTTGAGCTCTAGTGAGAATCATCGACAAGGAGAACACCATGAAGCAAGAAAGGAGGAGCTCCTCCCTTTCCACCCAGCCAATCAACGCCCACTCAGTTCCGATGACACCGCCCCAAATGCATGACTCTGTATTCGTAAGCGTGCCAAAAAATGTCGTGATCGCACGCTCACCAATGCGCAAAAAGTGTGACGAAGATTCACTGCCTCACCGCGCGAATAATTCGCGCTCAACGTCTTGGAGAGGGGCACCCTCGCGCGACTTCATACGACTGTGGTGTGATCTGCGCGATCGGGACGTTCCATGCATGCATGTTTCCCCACAAAAACCGTTGGTACAAGTACCGAAGCCTCAGCGTTGCTTTTGGCCAGCTGAAGCATCGTTCTTAATAACTATTCGTTTGTCTTCTGAAACACGCTTTCAAAGCAGGTCGCTTGACAAGCATTGCTAGAATAGAAAAATCGCCAGGATTGCCAGGATAAGAAGAAGCTCAAGCCCACAAGACACGTTTGTACACTCGCACCATTCGTGCATTTGCGCCGAAGAGACACCGTAAGTTACAGCCTTATGGCCCTAGTAACTCTAAGCCGCGTAGGCAGCCGCGTTTCAACGGTTATATATACTGGAGCTTCTGGAACTTTACTGATTTGATATTTTGAAGAATACAAACATCACATTCACCTCTTACTACCTTCACGAGCAACCAACAACACCAACACCAACACCACCCTTCCAAACCACAACATCCAAAATGGCCATCTCAACACAAGCCATCAACCAACTGCGTCGCTACTCCACACACATTCCCCGCGACCCTCACTACAGACTCAAAGCCACACTCGCAACCGGATACGTCGTGTCAGCCCTTGCGCTACCGTTCGTGCCGCCACTACTAGAGACGAGGCGAAGCAGGGCTGATGGCTCGGATCTGACACGGGAGAACGTGTACTGCTCGTCGCACTATTTGGGGTGCGCGAAATGAGTTGGTCGTCTCTAGGTATGTTGTCTCCAAACACTCACGACTGGAGTGTTTCGACCATGACTAATCTTCGATGCAGACTTGGAAACGCGATAGACCCGTTCAGTCTTTTTATGAATTTGCATCAGGATCAGGATATCATACCCCGGCGTTTTGCTTTATTTGGCGTTTAGTTCGCATGGCAGCCGTTTGGTTCCTCGCCTGGCCGGCCGGTCGATATCGACACCCGAAATTTGGGGCGGTCGCGAATGTGGTAGATTGGAATAGTTACTTCTTATTACAAGATATGGTCTCCCTTCTTGGGTAGCAATAAGAATTGTATTGCAAAAATTGTTGCTACAACCCCTGGTTCGAGATATGCTACAAGCACAATCCCGCAGTAGGATGGCGCGCATGTTAACCACGACAAGTCGTTGGCTGTTCTCTTTGTCCCTCGAGTTTTGTCCAAACATGTTCAGACCTCATCGCCTGAGAATCTGAACATGCCCTTGGAAACCGCCTCTGCGTCTTCGCGTTGATTCTGTAAGACCGATTTGGTACGACGGCTCGCGAATTATCTCGAAACGCCAGGTCGAACAACTGAATCTGTGGCTACTTGAGTGTGATGAAAGGGGCCTGGCTGAAGATCCGCTCTTGCCCTTCCAAGATATTGGTGTACGGTGGAAGAGGCTAGTGATAGTAATCTCGCTTGCACTTCTCATAGTGTGCAGTCTCTGGTGTGTCGTAACAGATATAGCAACTCCTGCATCGCGTTAGCATCTTGTAGTAAGACCTGGGTATGAACTTAGACTCTACCATGAGCTTGCACTATTTTCTGCATCCGAACGCCCTGGCTTTCGGAAGACACACCACACAGTCCAGAATCAACCGGTCACGTGCGCGTCTCAAGCCTTCCTCCTCTTATACCACTGCCTGAGCTTGACTTCAGGTAACCTCACAGCGAATCCCTTTACCCCAGAGTCCCAATTCAAAGCAAGACACTGCTTTTCTGCCCAGGCATGCCACTTTCTTCAAGCTCAATCTTCGTGATATGCTGGCCAGGCACAACGATCAACCCAACATAGCGACTATTCCAAGACACCGTCGCAGACGGATTACCAGATTCTTCGATAGCCTTGCGGATGCTTTCTGTTGACGGCGCGCGGTATTCATAGGCGAGTGAGAGGATGATGTTGCGGTCCTGGGAGAATTAGTTATCCTAAATTTACCAAATTTGAGTGCATTCGTCTGCACATAAGTGAAGGCGGAAAATAGTGAAATAAACCAACTCACTTTATCCGTACACTTCATCTGTCCGCCAAACACACGTCCATCAGACGCATGAACACGCAAATTCTTCCCGATGAACTGCTCGAGCCAAAACACAGCCTCATCATTATTCATAGCCGCGTCGGTCTTCCTGCGCGAGAAGAGCCAGCTGAGTCGATTTGGTCTGCTGGAACTCGACATCAGGGTGCGGGGAGGGGGTGATGGGTCATCCTATCGCATGGAGTCGGGGGCGTGTGGAGGGGCCGACGACGGCTTAGCGTGTTTGTCGTGTTTGCGTCGAAATTCTTGAGACCCTGGTGGGTGGGAAAGTTGGAACTTCGATGCGACGCATTTGTTCCCCATCAACACACCAGCACGATGCATTCCATACGGCGGAGCTGTTCCTCCGCGCTGCGCAGTTCGATTGGCGTCTGCATACATGTCAATGGCACACGGCGCGCGTTCTCGCGTAGCAGCGCTTGCTCACGAGGTCTGTCTGCCAGTCCCGCATGCATGACTATCACCACGCACAGTCACTGATACAACATACAGGCGCCCTCCCCGTCTTCCTCACGCCGTCGACCCCCGAACTCGGCGCCCTCCTCGGCTCCTTCAACACCAAAGTCCTCCTCCCCTTCCACCTCACAAAGGAACAAGAGAAGCTAGTCTACAAGCTCGACAACCGCGCCAAGCTCGACGCCGAACCCGTAGAAATCACACTCGGCGACGTGACCCTCCCGCTCACACACATCAACCGCAACAAAGACCTGCCGAACACATGGCGCTCGCTGCGGGCCATCGTCACCCAGAGCACAACAAGAGAGGACTGGGAAAATGTCGTGCGCGTTATGGAGGGATGTGAGAATGCGGGGCGACATGTAAAGCCTGCGTGGCAGGAGATGATTGTTCGGACGCTTTGTGCGAATGATATGCACCATTTGGTTCTCAAGGCGCTGCAACGGCCAAAGGCGACGGGGTTGAGGTTGCGCGAGTACGGCGTGTTGAGGCAGGTGATGAAGGGTGTGCATGAAAAGGCTGCGCTCGCAGACTGGGAAGAGGAGGATACGGCCAAAGCGCTGAGGTTGGCAAAGCAGATTGTGGAGTTGATGGATGATGCGGAACACCAGGCGGACAGGCAGAGGGGGGAGATGCTGCAGAAGGATGATGTGAGGGGGCGGCCGACAGTAGTTGCGCTGCCGACAGAGTTGGCTGCTGTGCTTGCGGAGCGATATGGAGGAGATGTAGCTGAAGTCAAGAAGATGGCAGGGAGATTGATGAATGCGTTGAAGCAGCACGAGTATATGGTAAGCCATTTCCCCACCACCTCCAACTTTCGACCTTGATTCTGACCCCCTTGCCACAGACTACTATCAACCAAGTCGAATCCCTCGCCTCTAAAACCTCCGACGACTTCAAGAACGGACCTCGCCAGGTGGCTGCATTGACTACTCACTGCTACGAGCTCTTCGACCTGATCCTCGTCTGGAACGCGCTCCGAACATCTCGCAAGGTGCTCGGCGCTGACATGCCCATGGCCGAGGAAGCACTGAAGTTCGAGCAGAAGATCGAGCAGGTGCTGGAAGATGGCGTAAAGGCGGCAGACAAGCTGGGGGCTAGGAACGGCCAGCGACTTTTCAGTAGTGAGGATGGAGGGCTTCCGGGCCGTGTTAGAGATGCTATCCAGAGGTGTCGGAGTGAGGCATCGTGAGAACACTAAGGAGAATCATGGGTAGAGGTGTGTTTGAGTCCAAGACGCTGTATGTTGGTGTATGTGTACCTGTATGACGATTGAGATGGAACATGAGTTCACGATCTGCTCTTTCACAGCTCCTCTTTGGTGAGCGGCCTTGCATACTCTTACCTTTCCAAGCATCGTCGGAGATGCCGATGAACAATGCTCAACTACCTTGAGTTTCTCGAGATGACAAAACCGTGAATTTTGACTGAGGTTCCCGGTTAGTCAAATTGCTAGGAACCAAGGTATAACTAAATCTCGTAACGGCTGGACAATTACATTCCAGATTAGCGTTGGAGTCTTGTGCCTAGATTCCTAGCAGAATACATCTAGCATGCGCTTTGGTAATTCTTATAGGCGCACTTATGTGTTTTGTAGTTGCCACAGAGAATGTAGCTTACTTCTCGCTTTCGCGCTTGACCGAGAGTGAGGATATAAGTTGGTGTTGGGCACGCGACTTATTACTGTAGCAAGTGCGGCAATACATCTGCGAAGTTTTATGAACAGATCCTCCAATTTCTCATACATTGTGTTGAGATGCGCATCAATCAGCATGTAATATGCCATGCAGGAACCCGACTGTTGAGATATACCGGACCAATAATCCGCTGTTCCCCAAGAATCGACCGCGTCAGTCAAGCGTTCCGCGTACATACGCGTACATGTACCAAAAGCGAGTCAGTGGACGTATCCGGACATCGAGTTACAGATGGATCTGGGGGTATCTGCGCGCATGACGGCAAGATGTGCGTGCCGTGATTAAAATCATGGTCCTATTCCTGGCAGGAGCACTGACCCGAGGAGCCGGGTTCGGCATCGCTCATGATGCAGAGATTATTCAGAATTTGCGCTTTGTCCATGTGGAAGAAAAACAAAGGAAAATCAAATTCCTCGGATGCGTTTCTGCATGCGTCTCGTAAACGACATGTACGATGGTTGGGAAAGGTAGCAGGGATCAGGTCAAGTGCCAGTCGGTGGAAAAGATGAAGGAAGGATGGTAAAGTGGTGTCTTGACTGCTGTGAAACCAGTTGAGATAGAAATCGCAGTGGGGTCAAAACGCGACCAAACGCGAATCCACGTGCACCTTGCGCTCACTCTTCTGCCGATCCAATGACGGCCGTTCCAACTCTCATATGGATGCATGATCGTGCCGCACAAACCTGGGTTCGCAAAGTGCGACAGCTGCAGAACCTCATTGGCTGTGCGAGTATCTGCAGATAACGCTTGCGCGCAAGCAAGTATCGCGAACGCATTCCGTTTCCGCAGTTGTTTGATTGGACGTTCGGGCTTACACTGGTATGAGGTTTAGGGTAGTAGAGTAGAAAGGGTCAGCTGTGCTATGCTCTAGGCAGGTTGGTGTAGCCTAGCTCGCCCTTGTGACGCTTAGTGACGCCACAGGTAACGTTGAGATATTTGCAGGGTACACGATCCTTGGGTTCTTTAATCTCATGTCTCCATCCATGGGAAGAGAGTTGTTGAGACGCAGCAAGAAGCAAACGTGAGGAATGCGAGACAGCAGAAGACGAGCTTGACACCAGCTTGACAGGGCGAGTGTGTGCTTTGATACCAACTCTGAGCGTCAAGGAAGTGGCTGAGGACCGTTGAAAGTGCGGTGAGCATCTCAAGGAAGAGGAGGCAGGGTTGACTCGCCTTGACTGCATTGCCTTGGCGAAGGCCGGAATTAGAGCGTCAATGACGTCTGGACGGCAGCAGGGTGGTGGATTCAGGTCGGCCACACCGTGGGCGATCAAAGTCTCAGTGCAGCAGCTGGACAGTTGCTAAACTCTGTGCATCCGTCGTCGAGGTTTTCAGCCAAACCATGGGCCAAACATGCGCCAGGCCATGGCGCCAACGGTTAGGCGAACGGGCAGCGTCTGGCAACTGCAATCAGGCAGCACAAGCGACACGATGTGACAGGCGAGACAGGCGAGGCTGCAGCACGTTTATCGTGATCGTGATGCGAGGCGGGGCACGGGCGCATCTCACGAAGAGGGGAAGCGATTTGCTCGACGGCGGGCGACCAGGCCTGCTAGCTCCTGCCATGATAAGCTAAGCTCCGCGCTTCGCCCTCAGTGTCGATAAAACCCTGATTCCCATCGTCTCTTGCTATGCGAAACTTTTGACCTTCCCGCCCGTTGATTGTACAGTCCACCCTCACCATGGCGCCAGATCCAAAGGACGCGCCGTTTCCGACCAAGCAGCTCATTATCATCGGTGCGTGCAGTGTGGCGGTGATGTCACGACGATTGGACCACTGCTGACAACCGGACAGGAATATGCCGATTCTCCGAGCCTCTTGCGTTCAACTCCATCCTCGCCTACTCGTCGTTGATGGTGCAGGACCTGGGGATCCATGAGCGCGATGCCCCCTTCTACGCGGGACTGCTGGTTTCGGCCTATGCTGTTGCAGAGGCCATGACCGCGCCACTGTGGGGGACCATCTCCGACGTCTATGGCCGCAAACCCATCGCCCTGATTGGTCTGCTCGGCGTGGCCATGTCGAGCATTCTTTTTGGCGTCGCCGAGACGTACTGGGTCGCGCTGCTTGCTAGATTTGTGGGCGGTGCGCTGAACGGAAATGTCGCCATCATGCAGACCATGGTGGCTGAAATGGTCAAGAACCCGGCTCACGAACGTATGTATCATACGCTCTGCTGATCTCGCTCGACACGTACTAACAACAAAACACAGCACGAGCATACGCAACCCAGCCCTTCGTTTGGACTCTGGGAGGCATCATCGGTTCCGCCATGGGCGGTTTCCTCGCGCGGCCTGCCGTATTCTACCCCAACGCCTTTGCGGCAGATGGCCTATTCGGGCGCTACCCCTACCTTCTTCCCAACCTCGTAGCAGCTATTGGAATCCTCCTAGCTATTGTCCAAGGCATGCTCTTCCTCGAGGAGACACTCGTCCAACCTGAAAAGGAGGAGGAGAACGTACACGGCTACGGCGCTATTGACCACCACGGCCCCGATGTCCACGAGCGAAGCCGACTTCTTGCGCCGCACGGGCATCCATACCAAAACCCTCGAGATCGCGATGTACGTGGCTCTTTCGCGCAATCAGTGCGCGGACGTGGCTCTATTGCGAGTTTCACGCGTGAGCGTCTGGGATCGATATCTGTTCAGGGCAGCATCCGTCATATCCGCAAACGTGCATCTTTCATGGAGGAGGGTATGCCCTTGCCATATGCTCAGAATTTCGACATCCGCCGCGCGTCTTTTGGTACCATGCATTCCATCAGGGTTGCTCCACACAATGTACTTCCCATGCGTCAACCCCCAACGCAGCCGCGGAAGACCATGAACAGGACAGTGGTAATGATCATCGTCGCTATGGCCATTTTCGCGTTCCATCAAATGGCCTTCATCACCACACTTCCCGTTTACATCCTCGACGAGCCGACTAGCCGTGGTCTTGACTTCAAGGGCGGTCTTGGTTTGACACTGCACGACGTGGGCGCCTTTCTCGCCATCAACGGATTCATTTCACTGTTTGTTCAGGGCTTTGTCTTCCCCATTTTTGTGGAACACGTCGGTGTATGGAAGTCATTCGTCTGGATGATCATCCTTTACCCAACGACCTACGTCATCATTCCATTTATCAGCGCTCTGCCCACCGAGTTCGAAACGTTTGGTGTTTACTTCTCACTAATCTTGCAGGCCTTCTACGGTATCATCGTGTTCCCCTGCGCATTGATCCTTATGAAGAACGCCACACCTTCACCCCTCGTCTTGGGTCGCGTTAACGGACTGGCCATGTCAGCGTGCTGCCTTGCGCGAACCTTTTCGTCACCCCTCGTTGGGTTGATCTACTCGCTTGGAGGTTCCGCAGCGGCATGGTTTGGTCTTACCATCATCGCAGTCATTGGCGTGGTTCAACTGATCTGGGTACCCAAGGAGGATGTCGGCCCCGTCGAGATCGAGAATGTGCTGAAGAAGGTCATTCATCACGAGGATGATGATGACAACGCGGTAGACGATGTGTCGGTCATCGACTCCGTGCGATAACCATAATAAGGGTCCTGTCAGGAAAGGAGACATTATACTAGGTGCATTAATGTTCTTGGAACGGAGATCTACTAATAGATTTCTTCGTATTCCAGGCATGGTCGTTCGGAGTTTATGGTAGCTCTTACTAGCGAGCCTCGGATCTTTCAGCAGTCATCGAGTCATGCATGCGGGTGGGCATCTCTTGCATAGCGAGTCAGAAGTCTATGTTACACCATCTACTTTTACGCTGACTGGCGTTCATGGCCTTTCACTATCTCCGAGTTCTGTTTTTTTCCTTAGACATGTGCGGTTGCGTAGATAGGAGTTCGCTCATCACAAGAGTCCTCTTCTTTGGACTTGTGAAAGGAATGATATGGATGCCTCGAGTATCTTAGACCCTTTTGATAATATACTCGAATCAATCTCATCACGTATCATTGCATCCCCGGTTCAACCTCCCGAGACCACCTACTCTTCCAAAGCCACATCCATTCTCCAGGCCGAACACCGTGCACAATTCCAAAAGGCGTGATCACCGCATTCCTCACTTCACTGCCCGACACATCTTCTATCGACTTGCAAGAGTTATCAAGCGACGCCGTCAACCGCCCAGTCTTCCTCTCCACCAACATGGTCAAAACGTGTTGCTCAGTCGGCGTATGGAAACGATTCGACCGCAGAACAAAGTCCCCATTCTCGTGTGTCCTCACAACCCGGAACCTAACCACACTCTCTACAGCCGGCTCACACACCGACGCGCGCCGCCCACTCTTGACAGCCTCATCCGAGTACCCCCCAACGCCCTGATACACACTGCGCCAATCCCCCCTCGTACTGAAATACCCCGTCCACTCGTCCTCGGTGAAGAAACTCGGCGTCGTCATAGCGCGCACGTGACACGTCCCGAACATCTCCGTACTACGGGTGGAAAACGGTACGGGGAGTGCCATGCAGTCTTTCAGAGGGATCTCAACGTCGCTGGGTGGGTACGCACAGCCGTCGAAGTTCTCGCTGATTGTTCGCTCGCCGCTAAGTGCGATTCGTAGCTCGGAGCAGAAACATCCTACTACTGCGTTGGCTAGGGCGTGCTGCATTGCGACTGCTTTTCCGTTCTTGGTTTGCTCGGTGGTGGAAAGTAGCCACCGCACGCTTCCGAGCTGGAAGGGGGACGTCTCTGGGTCCTCGGGAGATGTGTCGTCGGATAAAACGCGAGATGCGAAGCAGAAGGCTGCTGCTTGGGCGGATTGCCAGTCTGAGGCGGAGAAGGGGCTCGAGGGGTTAGTCATAAATTCCCAGCGAGGATTGGAGTCTGTTGCGAGGCGAACGAGGGAGCGGGGGTAGACGGCGTTGCTGATAAGGGGGTGGCAGAGGTTGTAGAAGGCTTCTGCGTGGATACTGGGGGCTCCGGTGTCTATCTTTCCATCAGCATTCTTTCCGTGTTTTTGTAAAGGAAGGAGGTTGCGCACATTTCAACGCTAGAAGTTGTGGGAGATATTGCTCAACGGCTTTTCTGATACATGTGCCTTCTTCGAGGCGGCTGGCTCGGGCATCTGCTACTACGTATCTTTTCCATGCATACTGGGTGCTTGTGGAGAAGCCACGGGGGAAGCTGGGGTTCTGCGCGATGAGGTCGCGCCATACGGTCCAGTCGTTGCAGGCTTGGTGGATGGAAGGGGATGTGTGAAGGAAGGCGAGAGCGGACTCAGAGGGGAGGTATATGCATATGCGATGCAGGATCTCGAGTGGTAAATCGATCATCATAGTAGACATGTGTAGCTTTTTGGGAGGAAGAACTGGAGATAGAAACAACGATTGAAAGATGAAAAGCCAAGTGAAATCAACGGAAAGAAGACCGCATATAAATGGCAAAGTAAGACTCTCAATAAATGAACGTAGGATACTCGTATCCGCAAACCCTACGCCATTCCATCCTACATCACCACCGCAAGTGGACACCTCACGACGCCGTCAGCACCTCGCCTCGCTTACCCACGACGCAAGACTTCGCAGAAGATTCTTCATCCAGCCAACCTCTCGCAGCGACCCTTCAAAAACAAGCCATCATAAGCCTCGCCTCCAGCCCAAACATGCACGTACGCGTGCACCATAGCCTTCTAGACCAACGACACGAGGCATTGCGTTCTCGCAGAAAACAGTAACTGCGGGTAAAAGGACGCCAGAGACCAGCAGAAACCCCCGGTTCGCGAAACCTACCTCTTCCTGGTAAAGCCAGGCGCCGTGTTCTACCTACAGTGGGATTGGGCTATGCGCTTCCGAGGTGCTGTCGCGTTCGCAATGCCCGTGGTGGAACCTGTCGGTGTGGCCGTATTGTGCAGAGGCGTGACATTAGCCGCGCGTAACTTGAATGGGTTAGTAACGCGAAACGACTGCGCTTTGTCAGCGCGGGCTGGGGTTGTGGAATGCAGGGCTTCCCTCGCTGACTGCTTTACTACCTCACTTTTTTGGGTGTTGTCAATTCGAAGCCTTTGAAGATAGTGATTTCCTGGCGTGTTGTCTGTTTGAAGTGCATTGCTACTCCAATGTACTTTGTTGCTTGTCCGCCATTCGAAGATTGTTTAGTTGTGAAAACAGGAAGAGATGGAACGGTAGCAGAAGCAATTCGCACGGCGATCGCAGTGTTCAGGGACGTCAGACATACCGCCTCATCTCTTTGTAATGTCTGCATTAGAATCGTCGGGCGTAGCGGTGGCGGCTTACATGCAGCCTCTCGTCCTTTGTTTCGAACATCGCTTGGGTTATTCTCCGTTTGCATTGTTTTTTTCTTTTTGGTCACATTTTCTCGGACTTGGAAAATCGATCAATGTAAGTTGGGTCGATAGCGAGCTTGTTTTCAATGAGACATACGACTCTGCGAATAATGTCGCATGAGACTACTCGGTCTGAGAACTTGTCCTATCGATCTTAGTCTTACTGTTTCTCCATCACTTTCTACACTGCTGGTGAGAGTGCTAGGTGAGTTTGTTTCTGATAGGATTGTGTCTTAACTGTGGCATACATGGCAAGACCATCTGTCTATCCTACGATCAAAAGAAGGCTAAAGGACGTTCGAAACCCGAAGGCATCGGATCCATCATGGTTTGACACAGAACAGACCGTGCCACAACGGATTGTAAGGTGTGTAGTAGGTTGTGTAGATTGTGAGCTCTTTCGACAGGTCGATTGGTCGAAATCTATGTCGGCGGTTATGCACTTACGCAAGTTTCTAAGATATGTTTGAGTCGCCTAAAGCGGTTAGTGCAAGGTGAAGGCATATACGCTCATGGGCTTCCCACGCTGCATCGATACACATCAACACCGCTTTAACCCCACCTGAACAGACTCGGTCAGTTGTGTACCTCAATCGCCACAATGATGTCCTCCTCCAGTTCACCTGGGACAGACCTAGGGCTCAGGCGCTTCTTCACCATTCCGCGCGAGACAATCCGAGCCAGCCTTTCGATCCTCGAGAACATCACTTCACGCGAAGGGCGGATCGGCATCGACCAAAAGCTTGTGGAATTCGGTCGGAACATACTCGAGGATCGTGCTTACCAGTGGCCTCTGCCCGTTCAAGCTGAGTCCGACCTGAGCTTGAAGCTTCATAAACTATACTTTTTGACAATCGCGCAACTGATCCAGTTTGACTGCGAGAGTCGCTTGGGTAATCAAGGGCTGGCCAAATATGTGGTCCCGTTTCCGCAGTTCTTTACCCACAGCGTCCACGTCGACGGGAGGGGATACCTTGAGGAAGGCGACACGCTCAACATCCGCCATTTGGTGAATGCTACCAGATCGAGGAGACTCAAAAGGATGGTGTACCAGGACTACATCCTTGATTCGCCCGAATGTGATGAATCATTTGAAAAGTTCATCGCAGCAGCCGAGTTCAAAAGCGAATTCTATGCTCATGACCATATTCGCCAGACTTGCCAGCCCGTGCTGCCAAAGATTCCCCACTATCTGAAAAACGTACTTTTCGTGAATGAGTTTCGGCAGGACAAAACGTTGAGCGAACACAGTCGTGGGGATGAAATTTACGTCGACAAGGAACATGGCTCACCCATGCGGCGTTGGTCGATCAACGGTAAGTACTTGACTGACTCGTACCTTATCAAGAATAAGGGCTTAACGTCCGTGTAGACAGTGAAGTCTCCGAGCCTATTCTTACACCGCCTGACACTCGTGGTTCTTCCCCTTTTGCCGGACATATGACCGCAGAGAGCGACATCAGCACCGAACAGCTCAAAGTTTCGTACATCGCCGTCTTTGAGACCCGAAACGAGAAGGTAAACATGATGATCGACACAAACGATACACCGGGCAAGCAGGTGGATGCAGTTAGAGAGATATGGTCATGGCTGGCAAACAAAGGTTACGGCAATGTTCGACTTCAGGATGTGGTTGAGTTGGCACAGAAAATGGCGGCGAAATGAGAGTGGAGTGGCATGACTCCTGCTAGACACGTTACGAAGACTATATGAGACTGAGAAGGATTGAGTGGAAGAAATCACGATGTCGGACATATTGATGCACATGTTGCATGTCTGTTCTTATTCCACTCCGTATCCTGTCCAGGGAAGACGCTAATATTGAGAAATCCAAATTTCGACTGAGCCTACTGACCTCTCAATTTATTTCTGAATCACCCGGTGATCAAAAGCTGATAACTTTGTATCCGTAGCTGATACCCCACACCCAAGAATGTCAACGTCCGTCCATCTGCGGAGATTAGTACACGCGCGTCCAACAGTCTCGCTTGCTCGAGCACCGTAGATATACCCTCGTTGGTCTTCTCCAAACCGCTCACAGTAACACTTTCAATTACTGGACACCACTTTTCTTTCAGCTGAATCAAATCGTCAAGGAATTCCTTATTCAGATCCGCAAACTCGCAAAGTTCAAGGTTCAACGACTCTAACGATGCCGGGAGTTTGTGAACCTTGACGAGCTTTTGGAACTCAATGGTCATGTGCGTCAAATTCTCAAAGCCACGCATTGATGAATAAGTCATCCAGCAGTCCTCTGGTGTCTCGCCAAGTTGCTCTAGTTCCTCTAGCATGTCCGGATCGCTAATGTCGTAGAAATGATGAAAATCTAGACGAAGAGATTTTAGAGTATGGCTGTGTGTTTTGAGCAACGCCTCGACAAGTTCTTGTGGTCCAACCAACGGTTCATGGCCCACATCTAACATTGATGTGTAACGGGCTCGATCAGGAACAACGAATTCAAAGAGAGTCAGACGAGGGCAGACATCCAACAGCTGTCTCATTGTAGGCAATGGCGCTATGCACCATAGCAATTCAACAGCCGATTGCGTCAGGGTATTAATTGCGCGAGGTTCGCCTATGATATGAGGAACATCGTTCTCGGTTGAGAATCTTTTGAATGAAGGGTATCGCATAAGATGGATGTACTCCTTTATGTTGACCGGGCCTTGTTCGTACTTCTTGTGTCTGAACATTCCAAGTTAGCTAAGTTCACCCTCAGAGTGCGAATGCGTGATGTTGTAAAGCACTAAGCAATGTCGATAATCAACCCCGCTTGCACCCAGAAGTGACTTACAGATGAAACGTCTTCAACTTGGAGAAAATCGAGGAATCGGCCTGCAACTCATGGACACGTTCCAACAAAGTACATGGTGCTTCAATCTGAGCTGTAAAGTGGAGGTGCTGTAGATTGGGCAGTCTGGCAAGTACCTCTACAGCTAGCGGATAGTAACAAAGCTCAGGTTCAATCTCAGATGGATGGCCTCCTATATATGCTGACAGGTCCATGAAGTACGGGTCTTCTTCAAGAGCAGGCCACTCATAACGTATCACCCGGTCGTTGATCAGAGCAAGCTCTTGCGTCTCTTTGCTCAATGACGGACGTTCCATCAAAGTTCTAAGAAAGATCTTGAGAGGCTTCAAGGGGTCTACCGCTGGCTCCGTTATTCGAACGCAGGTGTAGAGTGCTGGTTGCGCAATGTCGAGGAGAACGCGTGAGGAACGACATAGGTTGAGTAGAGTTTTAACGTCGATGTCGTCGCCTGTTACGAGATGCGCAACGACATTGAAAAGTATCTCATCTGGAAGGTAGGTAGGTTTGGCCATCTGCAATGTGAAGGTGGCGAGTGAAGAATAGAGTTGTGGTGTCATCAGGCAGCAACATTATTAACATAACATGCTCTAGCATCTGACGTACGACCTCACCTGACGCACGTAACCGCCCTCGTCTCGTGTGGGTACTTTCCAGGACGCTTACTGATTGGTTGAAATTATGTTTAGCAACAACTTGGGGGACCAGTACTTGAGGTGGAGAGGGGCCAACACTTTGGGGGCACAGTGAGCATTCTTGTTTAGACAGAAACTTCACGACTTAGATAACTCTTAGATTGTCTTTTGAAGCTGTATGAACAATCGTGTCGCATTCATATGTGTCTAAATAGATTGCATCGGTTTTCGTTGCAACTTCGTCGCTTGCAGAGCCTTCGGGCTGTCTCGTGTAGAAGCTTTACATGCAGGATTACGTCTTATGTGTAGGTTCCGCGGGTAGAATTCCGTGGAACGTCCCGAAACCTTAAATTGTTCTCTCTAAACTTTAATTTGTCGATCACTGGTGCATGCAACGGTCCGCTTGCTGATGCAGACACGACTCAACGAAGTGTGAAGTTCCACAACTAATTTATCACTGCGGCTACAGGGCTTCCGAAAATTATCTATCCACAGAGACCGTTGATCAAGAACACATTTATCAGGAAACAAGAAATTCAGCAACAGATCATAGACCTAAATGATCTAAAGCTTTATCATTGAGCTGAGGCACTGCACAACTGATTCTCTACTGTGGTAACCCCCGGAAATTTCCCCAAAGATGCTACAAATTAGGGACACGTTCAGATGGCTCTTGAGGCTACAACGGATCCTCTGATTCGCTGAATCTCTTCCATGCGGGATGGCGATTTGGGAATACTTCAGGGGGTTAGCACAGTTCATCTTTCTCAGCTGATGTTGCTTCGTAGTATACATCAAAGGTGATCATTGCTCCAATTATGGCTTCATACTAAGACTAAACAGAGGCTAAGGATGTGCGTGGAGCCATTCTGCTGAACAAGTGACTAGCGCTCCTTCGTGCCCGAATCCAGTGCTTCTGGATGGTTACAATCATTGTTGCTGGCTGTTCAAAGGCCAGTCTAAGCAGCTCAACAACTGTAGTATTGCGGCGTTGTGCCTCATACAGATGTATATAATGCTTCGAGCATGCTGCTCATCAGTTCATCAGCTCGTCAAACATCTTCATCTCTCTATTCAATAACATACTGCTGCAAGCACCACTTCTTTCAACCCCTCGTTCAAGAACCAAGCATTACAAACAATACTATGTATTCAATCCGCAACATTCTCGTCACTGTCGCCCTCCTCGGCGCAGTGCCACTCTCCTTGGGCGCCCCAGCACCAAACCAAGCGGACGCCATCGCTCAGTACGATTCTAGCGAGCCGACTACCCAAGATGATTCTCTCGATGCCAAAGACGTCTTGAACGTTCTGGAAGCCCGCGCGGTGAACTGCGGGATCACTAGCGCCCCAGGCAAGAATTGCACAGCTATCAACTGCAAACCTGAGGAACAGTGTACGGTCTCCGCCGCGCAGAATTGCGTATGGAAAAACACGAACCCAAGGACTCGTCCGAATGCCTGCCTGGAATGCAAGTGCTACAAGTTATCATCTTAAGCGCAGCCATTGTGCTTCGAGCAGACCTTTGCCGTTCGTTGTCCGAAATCGGGATTAGAGGAGATACCGGTGGAACTCACTCATTGGAGCTTTTTCGTTAACACAATCTTTTGAATGTATCCAAACTGTTCCACTCATTTAGATAAAACAAATTCATTCTGTGTCTACTACCAACGTATATTTATGAGCTCGTGATGCAGAGAGATTTATAACGCACCGTACAAGTATTTATACATTTATGTTCAAGGGGCAGCCTAGGAAATTATAGAGGTTACGGGAAACACGTAATCTTATTAATAAGCAATATAGCCTATGCAGGAACTCTAAACTTAACTCTAAACTATCTATTATAACTTAGCCTACTATTATTTTTTACTCTTAACTTTATTATACTGCCCTAGTATACCTCTAAATACGTAAATTAACAGCGTAACTTAATAGATATATAAAGAGAAGCTATAGTAGCACTTTACTACTACTTTAAGCTTAATTTTCTATATATTATAAGTATACTTAGGCTTAAAGTAAGTACTCTAAATAGAGTTTTTAATAATATTAAGGCCTATACCTATAGTAATTCTTTTACTTATATACTTAATAGAGTACTATATAAAAGCTAAGCTAGTACTCCTATTAAAGTATATAATAGCTCCTTACTTTTTACTTATATACGCAAAGCTATTATTAAAAATAGCTATATAAAGATTAAAGAAGTAGTTAAAGAAACTCTTAAGGCCTTTAGAGTCTTACTTAGTTAATATATAATTATCTAAATTACTTATAAGCACTATAATAAGCTATATAACTACTCTATTATCTATAGTATCTACGTCTATAAACCTAAGCTTAATTATAATACTTAAAACTCCTATATTAACTACTTAAATTAGCTTTTTACTAAGTTTAATTTATACTACTCTAAGCTTATATTTATATACTATAATAAGACCTCTAAGGCTATTAGAAGAGTAAATATATGTAGTAGAAAATAGCATATTTAGCAGCCTAAAGGTAATAATACTAATAAGTATACTATATATATTTAGCCTCTGTTATTCTTACTTATAATATATACTACTATATTTACTAATACTCTTATTAAGTATAAAAGACTATATATAGTATAGGTATAAGAAGAGAATAAGTAAAAAGAAGAGATACTTAAGCATATATAGTAAGTTAATAAAATAGCTAAATAACGTATTTAGAAGAAGATTAAGTATACTATAATTAATAGTATCTTAGAATACTAAGCGTTATAAGAAATTAATACTAATATTACTAAATATAATAATAATATTAGAGCTACTAATTAAGCTATAAGTAAGAAGAAAGGCTCTCTTTAGAAAGGTATAAAGTACCTAAAGACTACTAAGAACTTCTATCTTATTAAGGACTTTATATATAAATTAGAGAAAGGTATAAATAGGATTTAGTATACTAAATAGATCTTTAAAGATAAGCTCTTCCTATACTATAAAGCTATATATAAGGCTAATTCTAGTACTTATATATACTTAATCTAAGATAATATCTACTTATATAGTTTTAGGCTCTGTTATTATACTCTAGAGATTAAAGCTTAAGATATTAAATTTACTTCTTACTTTTTAAACTTTTTAGATTTATACTCTATTAAACGCTATTTTAGAAGGCTTAAAAGATTCTTATAAAACTATAATCTAAATAGTACGTCTAAGGTAGTAAAGGCTGAAGCAGAGGCACTTATAAAACAGATTTAGTAATAAGATAAGATAATAAAGTAATATATAGCTAAATAGCTCTATTTAATATTATTTTAGAAGCTTATAAATAAGTATAAAGACTATAATAGAAGTAATAAGTTTATAGGATAATTTAAGTTCTAAAATCCTAATTATTTACGCTATTTTAAGACTATTTTAATAAATATACGTATTTTAGAGTGTTTTAGTATTCTATTACGTGTTTCCTGTAACCTCTATAATTTCCCAGGCTGCCCCTTGTACATGTCCCTTAATCTCACGAAAAGCTAAGACAACGAAAGATAGCCCGGATGATGTTTTTTCCTTTATTTTATCTTTCTTGCGCATGCGGTAATTATATCCTATTGCGGTTCTCTACACATTTTCTAGTTGCTGTTTTCTTCACCTCAATCTCTAATAGATCTCACCCATTTCTCTATGCTTCTTCCATAAAAGCGAGGTTTAAGGGCAGCCTCATGTAAGTATCACCTCTAAGTGGGTAGTAAGGAATTATCATCTCAGCGGGAAAGGTTTACAAAACCCAGACCGCCTACCAACCCCTTTTGACCCCAAACACACTTTCCTCCAAAAGCAAACAGCGCAATAACTGTCGAATCAAACCGTTGCATCTGCCGAAACGCCCTATACTGCCTCGCTGAATCATCTCAGCTGGTTTAGACATTATCGAAATCACGACTAGACCTCATAATAAGATCAATAACCTCCCCTTGTTGAGATTTCCTCTTGCGGATAGATCCCTCGCTGAGGTGTCCACTAAGTTGCGCTCAGTTGCGCATCCGTGACTGTCGCAACAAACGTAAATGCGAATATCACCTACCCACGATATCAGCCATCAGCCACCCTAACATGTAACAATAAGGTTTGCCGCTCATAATGGGTATGCCAGGACAGTTCATTTCCCAAATTCACGCACACCTGAAACATCAACTTGAAGAAAGTAAGAGGATTAAGGGTGGGTTTTACGCGGAGAGAGTTGAGCGGGATGATGAGACCGAGGGGAAAGTGTAGACTGAAGCGCATCTTATGAGTGTGCCCGAGATTATTATAATCGTCGTTAGGCTGGTCAATACCAATACATTAATATGGCATACCATCACAATAAGGAACATATTGAACAACGAACAACAGAGCACATTCAATCACATCCGTAGCTCTCGGCCTCATCACTCGTTATTCGGTATCTGAAAGCTAAAAAAAGAGTTTTATCAAAGCAGGAATAGAGGTGACCCTGTTGACAGTGGTGACTAAAAAGGAAACAAAAAATACAACAGCGGGGATCTGTTCGTGCGGGTGGCGGGCGATGAACAGATGTTAGGAGCGGCTATAGATCATGATCTATTGGAGGGTAAGATGGTTAGAAGCTTTTCTCTGTCTAAACTAGCGTACTTTTATCGCTAGGTCAGAGCTATGCGGCGCAGTCAAGGACCTCGCCGTAACACCGCAGCTAGTTGCCAATTACTTATCGAGCACTCTGCACGAAAAAATATCTCCATTTACTTCCTACCTTCTTCGTGTTCATGGCGCTACGTATTGGGCAAATCCTTCGTGGGGCCAAAGGAAACTATGAACTTTTACGGTCGTTGAAAGGCTCTACTGTCTTCAAAGCCAGAGTTCTATCTGGCTCTTCTACCCAAGCAAAATGGTGGGTCCCTTCCACAACACAATCTACTGTGTAGATTTTATACTTACTGTTGTTGTAGGGCTATAATTAAATCAGCCGCAACTGAAAGCGAGAGAATGTGCTTAAGGCGCGAGCATCGCAACTACAAAATCGATAAGATCGCTTCAAGTCCATATATTCGAGCACTGTACGATACTATACAGTTGGATACATCTCAAGACGATACCGTGCATTTGAGTACATCTCGAGACAACGCCTCATGTTTAGTATTCGAATGGATGGATCATGACTTACGAGCGGTAACTGCGCCAGAGTTCCGGAGTGACTCAAAACTACCAAAGGCTGTGTGCCATGGAGTTTTATCAGCACTTGATGTTTTGAAGACGCTTGATGCGGTTCATACAGGTTACATGCTCTATCCTGTTTCCTCTTATAGTACTCTACTAATCTCTCTAGACATCAGTCCAAATAACATATTTATTTCCGATATTGATGGGAGGCAGCCAGTCGCAAAGCTGGGGGATCTTGGAAACAGCAAGTGTCACTCTAAAATTTATATTTGTGGCTAACTCCTACTTCTAGTGATCAGGGATAGCTCCGCAACTCAACGTGCTCAATGCCTGCCGTGTAGAGCGCCGGAGGTCTGGAGAGGGCAATCGTGTCGACACGCTTCCGATATCTGGTCTCTTGCTGTCACAGTTCGTACCCACCTCCGTTTCCTTCTTCTACGAAGAAACTGACTTGGAAGTTAACCACGAAACTATCGCCACTTGGTTTGTTCGGCACCGGCGATAAAATTATCGAGGGTCATGCAGAGGCATGGTGCATTGCGAAAATCATATGTCTTGTTGGCCCGCTAGGTCTGCCTGTCAATCGCCAGTTCAAAGAAGAGTTTGAGTTTGCCGCAAAGTTAGCTGTCATGAACCATCCAAGTGGTATCATGAAGCTCATTGATCGACTCAACTGGCGCGAGGAGCTGCAGCATATCCCAGATCCCCCAGTACCATCAGACGTGATGGATTTTATCGAATCTTTACTTGTCATTGACCCCGAAAAGAGGCCTACGGCGTCGGACGCGTTGTTGCACCCTTATCTACAACCTACTGCATGAAGCTAACGCTGTTATTGCGAAGTACTGTAATCGACAGAAATGTAGAAACAGATTCAGAAAGAACGCATCTCGACATCGATATAAGTTGTCAGACGCTTTTTTTCCAACGTCCTATGGCCGTATGTTGGGATGGTGATAGGACAGGCAATCGGTCCCCGCATTAGTGACAGACTTGAACGTCCTCCCCTATTACGGTGCCCCTCTCTAGCTGAATTGCAGAGGCGCATCCGATGTCAGACCGCTATATATGAATATTAGGCTTGCGTCATTTGAGCAGATGGCGAACACATCAGGACGGGCCGCTCAGGACCCTGAGGGGCTAAAGGTAGAGGTGGATGGGAAGAGTGGATGAGCGGAAAAGACAGAGAGTGGACCCTTGCAATTGTCACTAAACCTTTCTTAGGACAATCAGGAAAAGAATGATTGGTCACGTTTGCAAGTGCTATTGCTCTAAGAGAAGCGCTCATAAGGCGTGAATGACAAGTACAAGAATATCACGTAATCACACGAACTACTACCAGGAACCTCATAAAGCTGTGTTTTTGGCTCCCTTGTCTCTTGCAACGACACGGCTAGCTTCACAATCACTCATCCTACACAATGACAAGCAAAAAAGAAGTCGTGAAAAGCAGCGCGCAGCCGCAGACACTCTCTGTCATGCCCTACTCAGCCGCAGTGAAATGCAACGGCATGGTTTATCTTTCAGGGAACATTGGCATGGATCCAAAAACCAAAAAGCTCGTCGAGGGCGATATCAAGGACCGCACAGTCAGTGAATTGCTCTGTCAAATAACGGCAATACTTACTGGAAATCTAGAGAATGATCATGACCATTATCACCGGCGTGTTGAAAGACTCCGGTTCGGATATCAAGAACATTGTCAAGTGCGGGGTATTTCTCACTGACATGGCGAATTTTACCGCGATGAATGAGGCATACATGGAGTTCTTTCCGGACGCTGGAGACGTGCCTGTGAGTTCATCTCCTTTCGAGATGTTGTGGGAAATGTTGGAGTTGGAATGTGCTGACGGATGCAGGCTAGGACGTGTGTTCAGGTTGCGGGATTGCCCCTAGGAACGGATATTGAGATCGAGTGCATTGCACACCTGTAGAGGGGTCGTTTGGAAGACGAGTCCACAATATAATCATCCGACCAATAGTGAGGGCGCTAAATTTACATAGAACGATCTATAGTGATACCTGAAGGTAATGATCAACGATATTTGTTGCTGTCACAACCGAGGTTATAGTTGTAGAAGTGGTGTCCACCAGACCGCGAGGCAAACCCTAGCACTGTTACTTTTAGCTAGATTTAGCACCATAGTAAGATCATATAGATGAAAATTAGAATCATATGACGCATCAAATGAAACCTTTGCACCTTCAATATCCCAGTGTTCGACACCTCTCTTCCCCAATTACATCAACCAAACTAACCAATTTAAAACTTGCCTGATCACCCGTCCCGCCCTCGACCAATTCGTTCGCATCATCATGTGTCACAAACAGCCCACATGGAAAATCGGCGTTCAAATAATGCCCAACCGCAGCGATACCATCCGTATTGCTCACATGATCTATGCTCTCCTTCTTGTTCTCCACAATAGAAAACGTCATGACATACTCATGCGGCGGCGCGCGTTGATACACAAGGTAAGCACTGATACCTTGACTGGAAACGAAGATGTACCCACCTGTCCCGTTTCTGTTTGGTATGAGTGTCAAGCCCTCAACATCTGCGTGCAGCCCGTTTTCACCGACTTTGGCGATCTGTACACCCTCGTTCGAGCTGTCAGGCTCGGCTTCATAGCGCCAGATACCAGAAGGTTCTTCGCCTAGGAAGATGTAGCCTGATGCTTCGTCGGCGACGCAGCCTTCTACCTGGCCACCTGAACCTCCAGTGAACTCTCGCACAAGAGTTGTTTGAAGCGTGCCGTTTGCGGCGGAAGTCAGTTCAAATTGCAGGTATTTCGCCTCTTTGTTGTTGACGAAGAGAAATTGTTTGTGTGTTTTGGGAGATCGGTAGGTACATGAACCGTACGGCTCGTAGTTCTCCGGCAGGAGCTGAGTTCCGCCGGCAATGGTTTGGAGAGAGCCTGTGCTAGTCACTTCGACAAGACTATGTATGTCAGTATCGATAGCACAGAGGTAGACGCTTATGTGGACTTACCACAACGTGTTGTCGCCGCGGCACGCAGCATATGCGAGATCGATGGTGTGATTACCGGCAGGAAGTTTATAGATTATGTCGACATTGTTAGGTTCATCAGCAGAGATATGCTGCAACAGCCGGCCTTCGAGATCAAAAACACCGAACCCTTGCCCCTGTTCAGACTTTGTTGTAGTGATGATCTTGCTTTGGCCTGGGTTCGTAGCATGTATCCAGATGGCAGGATCGTCGCCGTCACCGCCATTGGCTTCTGTCTCATATTTGGCCTGCGCGGCGACAAACGAGCAATCAGGACCAGTCCATCCGTTGGAACATTTACACTGTTTTGGACCAGTGCATTTGCCATGTCCAGAGCAGGAGTTCTCGCAAATCGCCCGGGAGCAATTGCGGCCGGTGAAGCCTACAAAGCAGGAACAATTTTGATGACTGTCAATGTATCCATGGTTGGAACACTTCTTAGAGATATCACTTTTGCAGTGACGGCAGGGCTTGTCGCGTGGATTGAACTCGGTGTTGGACTTGATGTTAAAAGCTTCAAGTACCCCTTCTAGTGAGCCAACTGCAACACCGGTGATGTCTTCTCCTTCGAAAGCAATAGCAATGACACCCAAAGGATAATCCGGAAGTGCTGACTGAAGAACGGAAAGTCCTCCCTCGATGGAAAGCTCGGCGATGCCATTCAAGGCAATAGTTCCTTTCTGTTGAATCTTCTCGTCGTAGACATCGATACTTTCGTCATGTGCGATGAGAAGATAGTCGCCGGAACTGCTGTAGTAGGTCGCCAATCCAGCGACCTCGACGTCTTCCCTCACCATCGTGATCTCAGGGGTGATAGTTGAATCGGACGCCTGAAAGGAGTACAAAGGTCGGCCTTCGCCCGAGAAAAGGATAAGGCCATTCGAAAGAACTGTACAAAGTTCGCCTCCAATAGGTATAGGAAACGTTTGGATCTAATTCACGTTAAACACCTCGATAACTAGCCTGAAAATGACGCTCACTTCAAGAATCTCAACCTCTTCTGCTTTGCCCCTTATCAGGAACTGCACCACCATTCTCTTTCCAAAAAGAAACAGGTGGTTCTCTCCGCTGTTCTGGCTGCGCCAAACGCATGCTGTACTCCAGTCACCGAGTTGGTTCTTTTCGCCGCTGTCGATCTGTCTCAGGCTATGCGCATCGAACACTCTGAACACAGAGTCCGGCGCCGGGATATTAACAATCACATCGCGACCGGCCACACCGTAGACAGGAACAGCAATCTTTGATCGTCCCGTTGTTTTGTGCGTTTTCTGCTCAAACAGGGTCGTATTGAAGGTGGAGAAGAGTCGAAATCCGCCATCAGCGGCGCTTCCATCATTTGCGAGGAGAAGTGGCGAACGGGAGTAGATGAACGCTGTGTTGTCGCTTTCGAAACTCGTAGTCACTGGGAAGAGGGTGATGTTGGCTACCTGAGCAGTGACGGAAGAAAATAAGAACGAGCACCATAGAGGGTACTTTGAGAATGCATTCATAGTGGGCGTCGAACGTATTCAACTTAGGTCAAAGACACAGCTCTCTCTTATCATACAGATCGAGCCCAGAATTGGCTGGGTCTGGGCGTCTGGGCATATCTGACCTCGTGAAGACACTATACGCATGTGCGCAGCGAACACCACAGATTGACATGAAGAGCATGCAGTAAGATTCATTGATCGAGAAGACGGGAAGCATCCCAAGACATCAGCACCTGCTTCTTCCAGTTAGGCGATTATAGCCATACAACCAATCAGACCATTTCCCTCTCCAACGTGAGACAACAGCTGCCCTCGTTCGCCACACCAGTATGTGAAAAGGCAAAGAACAGTTTCTCTTTGTCAACAGCAGCAATCCCTGCCCGCTTTTGATGACTCGTCGATCTTATATGCGTTTCAAGGTAACATACTCTTCAACTATGCCAGCGTAGTCCGGGGGCATATAAGGCGTAAACCGCTCAGCCCACCAGCTTTTCTTCCTCTCGTTCTGCACTCCGACGTCCTTCAGCATGAGATCCACATATGGCAAGCAATCGAACCATAGCTCGGGGAATCGCGCACCAAATCCTCTACTGTATCGCCATTTGCCAAACTGTGTATGGAGAACCGTTTCGTAGTTGATCCGTTCAGTAAGGTCTTGCGTAGTAGCTTGGAGGCTAGATATCCGGTCGTCAAAAAAGGCTGTGATCCAAAGTGCTTGTGCCTGAGCGATGATAGTCGTTGCAGGACTTCGATATGTGCCGGCAAATGCGAGCGTTTTGGTTGATATGAATGCAGGAGGCACCATGAAGCGATACAAGCGGTACGGCTCAGGGATCGTTTCTTTCTTGATAGTGGACATCGGCTTGGAATGTCGGGGTGGCGGCTGTTGTTTGAGTTTCGGGCAATTCTCGAAGATCTCGCTTTCGGCTCGCAGGATGTGATCCTGTAAGGATCCTGAGGTTTGGCCCGGAAGTCCCAGTTCCTTTTTAGTCACAAAGTTGAGTTGTGGAGTGTCTTTCCAGCCCGTGCCACATATGAGAACATCAGCGGGTAGTGTATCGCCATTCGAGAGGTGTACTGTGTGGTGTGAAAGGTGTGTGATATCTGCAATATGCACCTTGATTGTACCGTTCCTGACAAACTCGAAGAAGTCCACACGGTAGTTGAGTAACCCTCGGTTCGTCCCGATGAAGAAGACGTCGTCCCAGGGCTTGAGTTTCGCGGTTTCCGGATGGCCACTGTAATCGTTGATTTCTTCCGCACTATGTTGCATCTTCGCGAAAAACGTATCTACGATTTTCCGCCCAAGCCAGTGCTGGTGGAAAAAACTTCGAATGCGTGAGAAACCATCCTCCCAGATACAGGGGCTGAGCCAGGTGATAAGTCGTGTTTGCAACAATAATTCGGGTATGATCTTAAGAGGTGTAAGCCTATTTGGCATCATCCAGCACGGCCCGTGTCCAGATTCGCGGATGATCCAATTGACTTTTATACCAGCTGATGCGTATGCGCAGGCGATATCCCACGAAAACTTGGCACCACTCAGGAGCACCACTTCTTTGAAAGACCCAAGTCCATTTTCCGCTCTTGCAAACTCGCTGGAGTGATATATCGGGGCATCGAAAGTCTCACTGTTTTCCAGTTTGGGTACGAATGGCTCTGAGGTAAGTCCCGTCGCCACTATTAGCTTTGAGGCCTTGAGTTGGAATTCGCGAGTTCCTGGGTTCGTGTCTTCCACTACTGTAAGTACCCAGCCTGAAGATCCGCAATCGATCGCCGACTCGACGCTACATTGGAAGCGAATGTGTTTCATCAAACCGAATTTCTCAGCGTATTTGTGGAGGTATTCATTAACGTGTTCCCCTGGAATATGGTCGTTGGCAAGGTTGAATCCTTCTGTGTTCATAGGGTAGTCGCTGAACTGGCAAACAAGTTAAACCCATATCGGTGCAAGGAATGTTACTGGAAGTACCTCGAATCTGTACAACGTGAGCTTATGTTATTTTACGAATGTAGAATGAGCTGACGTCTGGAAATGGTTGTTTGTATGAAGACCTGGATATAGCCTGTCCTTCGCCCACACTCCGCCTATTGAACTCCCTTTGTCCAGTACCAAAATCGACGCGCTGGGATGAACATCGCGATAGGTCTTCAGCATGTTCAAGCCATGTATGCCTATAGTAGGCAGTTGTCAAAGACGGTTCAAGAGAACAGCGAACAACACTCACCTGCCCCTACAATGACAAGATCAAAACTTTCCATCTTCGAGTCTTCCATGAGTGTATTTTGTGCGAAATGTTTGCTCGGTTTTGACGTTTGAAAACCACGAGGCGTATTTGCGCATACCCAACCATCTTATAAGAGGTGGTCTAGTCTGACTTGTACCATAAGCACTAAAAGAGCTTAACATCATAATCGCGCTGACCTATGTGAGCAATAGCCAGATCACTTTGCCATGGGGCGAAACTGGGATCAGCCACAAGCTAAACTGCGGCTGACAGGCCGCGCACGTTTTCTCAGCTGCAAGGCGAAAGCTAGTAGCATGGTGGCGCACTTCTAGATTCAACTCCCATCCAGCATCTTTTGCTTTACTCTTGCTATACGCTGGAACAGGAGCAGTGGTTTCAAGGTCACACCGCCGCAGATGGTGGAAAAGGGGTTGAGGCTGACGCGGCCAGATCAGCGACGGGATAGAATCTCACCAACGTTGATACAGACCAAAGTGCCGTAAGTACTGATCATGAGAGAACAGCGACAAGTAAAGAAGGACATGATTGACGTGCCAGAATTACAAAAAGCTGACCTGTACTTCGCTAGTGCCCTCGATAAGCATCCTGCTAACTACTGTTAGACTAGATCGCATCTTGACTTAGGCCTTACACTGTAGCTGATCACCCGTGGGTCATCATTCGCAAGGAAATCAGATAATTCTCATCCTGAGAAGCTCCAAATCGAACCATAGTGACTTATTGACCAGTTAAGTGCAACGTCTTACTTACATGAAAATAGTCCAAGTTTGAGTGAAGAGAACCCTGACGTCGCTAGAAGGATCAAGCTTGTAAGAAGATGAGAAATGGGAGCAGAGAATAGCGGAGAAGAGAGCGAGAGACTGGGAGGAGAGGGTGTATACTTGCAAATTTACCTGAACATGAAATAGTAAATAAAATCCACTTGAATAGTTCAAATTGCGCGAGAGATACTTACGTCATAATCGACTTGTCTGCGTCTATCAACTTGCAATCAGCCCTAGAGCATACTTTGTGGTCATCACGATGTCGTGGGGTTAAAGAGATGATTGTAAAGTCTGGTTCTTCCACGGTCGCGTAGCCCTGTTCATCTCATATACGGTCTGGAGTTGGCCTGGAGACAGACTGGCGTGGATACGGTAGAGAACGTTCTGCGTTGTGCAACCGACTGTCTCCAACATGACACCATACCTTCACTCTGACCTATTGTTGTGATCGTCTTGTGAGATACAAGCCATGCGTCGCCTTTGTGTTCTGCAAAAGCGTGCGTCTGTGTATTTGCCAAGGTAGCGAGCTCTGGTAGAATTATCGTACCAGCCAATCTCCTTTTTACCCCCACTCTGACCTATGACGACGTCGGTTGTTGGTGATGGACCGATTTTGGTGGCTAGCGCACTTTGCTCGGCCTGTCAACCAAATCCAGCGTCTTCGTGCTGGAAGGGGCCCCTGATAGGTAGTGATGTGAATTAGCGAACGTAGATCAGCGTGATGCGACAATCAAGCGATCTGCTGCGAACCACGACTACACCATCGGACACCACCGGACACCACCGCTAATACATCGCGGGTTCCTTGCTGACGGGCCCGACACCAAAAGCTAGCTGAGTGTGACGTGGTAGATGGAGCATGGGTTCCTGTTTCGGGTTGAGTGGCCGTGCGCGGGTCGGGTTGCTATGGGGAAGCGACGATCGAACTTTGTAAACACGACTCGAAACGTCACACCGAACCAGAACTGATCAGTCAGCTTTGCCTCTCGCTGCCGACTATTACGGGGTGCTGGCGACTCCAGACACATTCTCCGCCATCACTATCGCCCTTCGCTTGCGTGTCCTCGACGCCGCATATCGCTATCGCTCCGCCAGTCGCTCCCAAACAATCGCATGTCGTAGGAGGAAGCCGCGCGCTGGATGAGTTGCAGGCCGACGAGCATCCCATCGAGTAATTGAGTACCGGAACCTTTCAGCCATGGCAGCAGGGCAGGCGCTTCCCACGCGGTTTCCGTGCTGGTGCAAGGCGGTGTACTCGTGGGGCGGAGAGGTGAGTCTTCGACGGGGACGATGTTTGTTTTTGCACGTAACCTGACCGTGTCCCTGCAGACTAAGCGCGATCTTGGATTCATAGAAGGCGACCTGATCGAGGTGCTGAACGCGGGCGATGGCGCCTGGTGGATGGGCCGGCTGAAGCGCGACAGGCGAATGGTCGGCCTGTTCCCGTCCAATTTCGTCGAGCTGCTCAGCGAGAACTTCCAGCCATGGAACACGATGGCGGCAGCCGGGAACGTGTCGCGGCAGAACAGCGCCGTGGAGCCAGTCAAGCAGACGCCGCAGAAGGCGAAGAGCACCTTCAGGAAGCCCTTCACTGCCTATGCCGGTGCCAGCGCCCCGAACCCAGCAGCAGCGGCGCGCGAGAGGCTGAAGGCAGGCGGGTCGGCGTCGCCCCATGGCGCCGGCAAGAAGACACCCTACTCATCGATGAAGCACCAGTCGTCTGTGGACAGCCGCGACTCACACTCACCCGCGCCGTCGCGAGGGAACTCGCATCTGCACGTCGTACCGCCCCGACCGACAACGAAGAGACCCGCCACGTCGCCAGCTCCACCGCCGGGTCGCAACTATCACACACGCACGCGTTCTGACATGCCACAGTCGCGCAGCCAGCACCTGGGCCGAGCAGTCTCGCCAGCACCGCCGTCCCGATACGCGACCCAAAGCTCGTACACACGCGCACGCTCGCCTGCCCCTCCAACGCAACAACAGTACCAGCCAGAACCAGACCAGTACAGAGCGTACTCGCCAATACCCCCATCCCGACACGGCTCGCATACTTCGTACGCCTCGTACAATCGTGCGCCTTCTCCTGCGCCTCCACCACAGCCCCAGGAGCAGTACAGGGCATACTCTCCACTACCGCCATCGAGACACGGCTCGCACGCCTCTTACGCCTCGTACAATCGTGCACCCTCGCCGGCGCCCCCGCCGAGCCATCAATATCACTCGAGAGCAGTCTCGCCAGCACCGCCTCCAACGCATTACGAAGATCAGTTCAGGGCCGTCTCTCCAGCGCCCCCGTCCAACTACGACCTCTATTCGCGCGCACTTTCTCCCGCGCCACCCATTCAACGAACCCATTCACGCGCCGTGTCTCCTGCTCCATCCTTCCAGCACGCCCACTCCCGAGCCGTGTCGCCTGCTCCTTCGTTCCAGGAGGACCCGCGAGCAGTATCACCCGCCCCGTCCCAGTACCGCGCATATGACAAGGGACCATCGCCATCCCCATATCAACGATCGCTGTATAGCCGAAGTCCCTCCCCTGAGATCGAGCTCGAGGAAGCCGCCGACTCGCCCCCTCCACCGCCGCCGCCTCCGCATCGTGTTGTGTACAATACCAGCAGAGGCCCATCTCCCGCTCCCCCGCCCCACACGCCCGAACCCCCTTCGCCAGACCCAAGAGCTCGTCGGGGGCATTTCACGCCATCGCCTCTTACGAGCGCGATGAACGATGTCATGTCATCTCTGCAGGACATGGCATCGCCAGATGAAGCTCCCCCGGCTTCCAATCCTTGGTCTCCAGACGCTTTTGATCAAGTGCACCAAGCATCGGCAAACTTGAGCAGAGCACAGAAAGCCGGCAGTCGGATTGGAAGCGCTGAAGAAGACGACGATGCAGCCCAGGATAGCGCGGATGGGCCCCCAGATGCCGACAACTATGTCAAGCGTATGGAGAGTCGTCTGCGAAGAATGCATCAACTGGAGAAGTCTAAGGCAGATGACTTACATATGCCTCCACCAGTACCTCAAAAGGACTCAGCGCAAAGACCAGGATCTTCGAGAGCTGAACCAGAAACTTATGTTGAGCGTAAAGGATCCAGATTGATCCATCGCAAGTCTACGTACGATGTTGGACGCAACGCGCTTGGCAGGACGTTCACGAGCAAGACCAGCTCGACCACCACGACGGATACCAGTGCCAGCACCAACCGCAGTCTCATGTCTGGGCACTCCGCGACAAACATGAGTGCCACTAGTGCCGGCAGCTACTATCGCAAGAAATTTGGAGCGAACCGCCCCAAGACCATGATGGAGACAACGACTGGAAAAGGCTATGGCTTCGATGATGGCCGACCCGAAACGCCATTTACAGGCGTCACGTACCACTCAAGCCACGATTCGCACTCTGGCTCTAGTCACCAAGAGCAACCAGTTGAATACGACACACCAAAGACTGCGCCGGCCACAGACGGTCCAGATCCGCTTGGAGGCCTCACGCAACCCAAACCAAAGAGAAGCGGCTTTTTCCGAAAGATGATCGATACAGCCAAGACCCAGGCCGCAAATGCACGTACGACCATTGCTACAAACCGGCCCGGATCACGGGCAGCCAGCCGCGCTGTTAGTCGGGCGGCAGGCCGGGCGGCCAGTCGCCTCGATAATACTAGTCCAACTGGTACCGCAGGAGGTTCGTCGGTACCGCCGTCCACTTCAACGAAGGAAACAGGGTTGGGATCTGTGGACTGGGTGCAGGTACGCAGGGACGTGAACAGGTCTAATTCCTTGAGTCGTAACGAGCGAGCTGAGAGACTGGAACGATGCCAAATGATGGACTTGCCAGTGTTCAACCCAATCGACATCCTATACGAGTCGGCTGAAGGTGACGAGGGACTCGACGGCCTGCCTATCGCTGAACCGACCAACTTTGCAGCATGCGCCTTAACACATGTCGACAAGGCTACTCGGTTCATCAATAATGTCCCGCTTGGGACGTCCCCGGCTGCATTTGCTCAAGGATACATCTGTCGACCATACAGGAGCGATGTGCAACGGTTGAGGGCAATCTTCACTTGGGTCAGCGAGCGCATATCCTGGGAAGAAGATTTCGAGGGAGAGATGGACACCCGGCATGTCATGCAGAGCAAACGCGGCTGCTCTCAAGAGATCGCAATGGTGGTCGCAGAGATGTGTGCATCTGTTGGGCTTCACGCTGAAGTGGTACGTGGGTATTTGAAGACCCCCGGTGAGGTTCTAGACCTGGAGAGTATCGCTCGCCCAAATCACTTCTGGAACGCTGTCATCGTTGATGGCGAATGGCGCCTGATGGACTGCTCACTTTCCGGACCCACACATCCCAAGCGTGTGCATTATTCGACTACTGGTTCGCAAGTCGCCGAGAGTTGGTATTTCCTCGCCCGCCCGCTGGAAATTTGCTTCTCCCACGTCCCACTCCTCCCTGAACAGCAGCATATCTGCCCACCACAACCACACGATATCCTCGTGGCTCTCCCATGCGCGACTCCCGCCTACTTCAGACATGGCCTCCAAATTGCCGAATTTGACACTAGTCTCCTGAACCTTGATAACCTCGAGATGGCGCACATTTACGTCAACGTTCCGGAAGATGTCGAATGTGTTGCTGAGATCGAAGCAAGAACAATCTCTCAAGACGCTGACGGTGATTACTTTGAGAGCGGTGAGCTCGTACGGAAGCCGGCTCTCGCTCAGCCAGAGTGGCATGGAGGTCAGAAGCGGTACACTGTAAAGGGGCTTGTGCCAGGTGATGAAGGTCATGGTGTCCTGAAAATCTATGCTGGACCGCGCGGGCTCATGGTACGTTCTTCCAACCCTCGGTTCAAATCGTTCAATGCTTACCATCTGCAGCACTCAAACAAACTCAACCCTCATGCCTTGGCCGTTTCCCTGCCCCTGACGCACACTGGCAGCAACCCTCCACACTCATTCCTGACGCTCCACCCAACGCCCCATGCTCAGCGTCACGATCTGTATGTTGCACAGCCACAGTGTGCTAACCTCGCTCTGAACAACACCTTCGTCTTCTGTGTCCGCCAACACCCTTCATCTCTCACGCAGTCCCCAGAAACGAGCGCAGCGATCGGCGGTCGCGCCTCGCCCAATCCCTTTGCTCGCCCAACTTCGGCCATGAGTATGCAAAGCATCTCGGCAACGGGATCAAACTACACAAACCCATCCCAGAGCTCTGCTGGATCAGCCGGTAGCGGTGGTATGAAGCCAGCCAAGTTGGCAATCCAAACGCCATCTGGCAAGATTATCCGCTTGACGAGGAAGATGGAGCATATCAGCAGTACTAGTGATGCTGATGGCACCGCTTGGGAAACTGTCATCAAGATTGGGGAGAGAGGAACGTGGCGGGGACTCGTACTTGCGGATCGGAGCGCGAGGTGGTGCGTGTTTGCGCAGTGGGATTGTGCGTAAAACGTCCTTGGATAGCAGTACTGTTGCCGTGTTGGATATACAAGCTGGAGAAGCTATCCTGAAAAGCTGTCACTTTTTTTTGGTAGAGACCTTGAATGATCTGTCGTAATATTTTACTTGCGACTTGTAATGCATTAGCGGATATACAAATATAAATAATTACCTCGACTTCGTACTTTGAGTGATCGATCGCAATGTGATGATACAAACAGATGTCAAACACTATTAAAACTGCTCGACTGTTTTAAAATGACCTGACAAAGTATAATCTTTATATCTGAACATAGTCTCTCCACCGTCACTGCCTCAACATGACTCGCCCTTGCTTTTATCGATAAGCCCCACCATCCAAACCTTCGACTCACCCCACCACAACACCACCGACTACTCACTATAAAGCTTGAAGCACATCAGTACTTCAACCCCACGCAAACCGCGATGGACGCCCAAATCGCCGAATGGCAAACCCGTGCCGAGGCGCTCAAGCCCCTCAACCTCAAAACCATCGAGCCCGCGCTCCTCGAACTCGACGCCCACCTCACGCTGCGCACATACATCGTAGGCTACTCACTCACGGACGCCGACACGACTGTGTGGAAGACGCTTCGGGAGAACAGGGTGGCGCATGCATATGTGAAGCAGGATCTTATGAAGAGCTTGGGGCGGTGGTTTAGGTTTGTTGAGGAGACGGGCGGCGAGAAGGTAGTGCTTGCTGTGCGGGGGGGCAAGGAGACGAAGGATGGGAAGGAGAAGAGCGATGATGCGAATTTTGATATTGGGCTGCAGGAGGTGGGGGATGGGACGGGGATTGTTACGAGGTTTCCGCCGGAGCCTTCGTGAGTACTTCCTCGTGGAGACAAGAAGGTGAATAGGTGGATGAGAGCTGACTAGAGACAGTGGCTATCTTCATATTGGTCATGCCAAAGCAGCACTTCTTAACGATTACTTCGCACACGAGAAATACAAGGGCAAGCTGCTGCTCCGCTTTGATGATACCAACCCGACCAAGGAGAAGGAGGAGTTTCAGGATGCTATCGTCGAGGACTGCGCGTTGTTGGGTATCAAGCCTGATCAGGTCTCATACACCAGCGACTGGTTTGACGAGCTATATGATCGTTGCGTGCAGGCACTGAAGGACGGTCTCGCGTATGCCGACGACACGCTTCAGCTGAAGATGAGGGAGGAGCGCATGGACGGTATCGCTAGTGCTCGTCGGGAGGAGAGCATTGAGGATAACCTATCCCGATTCGAGGAGATGAAGACGGGCAGCGAGGAGGGTCTACGATGGTGTATTCGTGCGAAGATGTCCGTCGACAACCCCAACAAGGCTATGCGCGATCCCGTCATCTACCGCTGCAACCCCCAATCACACCACCGCACTGGAGCCAAGTGGAAGATCTACCCAACCTACGACTTCTGCTGCCCCATTGTCGACTCTCTCGAGGGCGTTACACACGCACTGCGCACGACCGAGTACAACGATCGTGACGCCCAGTACCAGTGGTTTATCGAGAACTTGAAGCTTCGCAAAGTGTACAACTGGGGCTTCTCGCGTTTGAACTTTGTCAGGACTGTTTTGTCCAAGCGGAAGCTCACCAAAATCGTGGATGCTGGCTTTGTTCGGGGCTGGGACGACCCTCGTATGCCAACTGTTCGAGGTGTCCGTCGTCGCGGCGCTGTCATTCCCGCCCTTCGCGAGTTCATCCTCAAACAGGGCCCGTCCAAGAACATCGTCAACCTCGACTGGTACTCGTTCTGGGCCACTAACAAAAAGCACATTGAGCCCACTGCTGCGCGATACACTGCCGTGGACGAGGTAGCCAAGGTCCCCGTCACCATCATCGGAGCGCGCGAGGGCATCATCACCGAAGAGGCCAAGAAGCACGCCAAATACGACCTAGGCAACAAGAAAGTCGTCTTCAGCTCATCAGTCCTCATGGAGCAAGCCGACGCCGCCTCTTTCGCCCAAGACGAAGAAATCACCCTAATGAACTGGGGCAACGGCATCGTCCGCAACATCAGCCACTCCATCAACCCCCTCGCCACACCCTCGGGCCTCAAAACCGTCACCGCCCTCGAAATCGAACTCCACCTGCAAGGAAACGTGAAAAACACATCCAAGAAGGTCACGTGGCTCTCGGCCGATCAGAATCTCATCCCCATTGAGCTGGTCGACTTTGACCACCTGATTACTAAGGATAAACTCGAGCCGGAGGATACCCTGGAGGATTTCCTCAACCCCACGACCGAGACGGTGACGAAGGCGCTGGCGGATTGTAATGTGGCGGAGCTTAAGGTGGATGATATCGTGCAGTTTGATAGGAAGGGCTTCTTTCGTATTGATCGGGCGTTTGCGCATGGGGAGCCGGTTGTTGCTTATCAGATTCCGACGGGGAAGAGTAAGTAGATGGTTGGGCTTGTGGGGATCGACGCCGTTCTGGCTCGTGTGGTTGGGATGCGTGTACTGAAATTGATGGGTAGGCTAGCGTAGATACCAATCCGGAGAGTGGCTAAATCACAATCGTGCGAATGTGTTGGGAAAGTGAAAACAGTGGAAGATGATATATAACGGCTTGACTCTGTCAGAGAACATGATTACATCAGTCGAAGAGATAATCGAAAGCCATGTATTTTCTACTCATGTGTATCCCATCATGCCGTCTATCATCCATGATCATGTGTGATCAACGACTCACGCATGTGCCGCTCAGTAGCAGACAGAGTGCGTCTAGCCGCAAAAGAGCACTCAGCGCATGCCCATCTCCCCAGATAGAGCATTCTACCCCATCGCTATCTATCCCCAATCCTCTTCCGCCTCTTGCCCGCCCCCCTCTAACACACATTCATCCCCCCCAAACCCCCATACCCTACTCCACCCACCCTCCCACTTAAAAACAAGCATAACTAAACGACCACGGAATCCCCACCCCCTGATCCCTAACCCCAATAGGACCGCCCCAATACGTAATCCCACCAGTGCAATCCCTCCACCTGCCTCAAAGTCAGCATTTGCCCTATCCCTTCCTTGTATTCCCCTCCTTTCCCCTCTCCTTCACCCCATCATCCACCCACCCCGTTAACAACAGGAAACAAACATACAGATGCGCAACACACACCCCACAGTAGTAATTATACAGCGTCTTATACGGCTCGTACTCGTTCTGCACGTTCTGGCATGCGCCGGTCGCTAGCAGCTGCTCCGCGAAACCGGTGTTGGTTATTGCTGTGCCGCATTTGAAGGCTGTGGTTGAGGCGGTGGTGTTTTGGGGGGTTGGGGATGGGGCGGCGAGGGGGGTGAGGAGAAGGAGGAGAAGGAAAGGGGTCAACATTTTGGATGGGCTGAGAGTTGGTAGATTTGGTTGGAGTGGGGGGAGGGAGGTGGGTTTTATATCTGCGGACGGTGGGGCGCATTGATGAGAGAGGCTGTGGTGAAGGTAAGTTTCTGTGTTTTAGAGTGGGGAAGGTAAACGGGCGGGGTGGGTGAGATGTGGGGCTTGGAGTGTGGTGAAGGAGGGGGATGGGGGGTTTATCGATGGAGGGTGGATGGGGAGTGTGTGGTGGGTATGATGGTGATGCGAGTTTAGGATCTTGGAGATTACAGAATGGATAAGTAGATAGTGGGGAGTAGATGCATAACTACATGCATAAGAGAAGAATGAGAGTTGCTTGGAGGAGAACGCCGCTATCCTACTGTTCCTCGACTGTTGGAAAGCAATGAAACGCATATGGATCCGATATTTTGCCTATGACTCAAACCTAATCCGACTTTCTTAGCTTTGCTTCCATCATAGTAGCTCCACACTTGTTCAGGGTCACGTAATTCGTAGTATCGTTCGAAAATATTGGTACACAGCTGAGGCGGAAGTGTATCTTTCACTCTAGTCTTGGCATGGAATACCCCCCTAAGAATCATATCAGAAACTTCCCATGCTGCGATTCACATCCGAGTCTCCAAGCGGACTCAATATCTTTCGTCTCTTCGCGTTCGGTGGACTGATCATCATGCCGGTGAAGCTGCGCTTTGTCCTAGATCGTGACATATCTTCCACCTCAGGTCGGGGCAGGTTGGCTGCGGATGGGAGAGGTTGCTGGAGTGTGGATGAGGAGGATGGCTGCTCGGGAGTATCTTCGCGGACAAAAACACGGACTTCCCGGGAAGCTCGGACGCCATTGCCTTGTGTACTGCCAGAGTATTGCGTCGTAGAGATGGAAGTGTAAGTATCTTGCTGAGTTTCTTGGACCACCGCACCGATCGGCGTCTGCTGCGCCGACAATTGACTTTGGTGTGGTGTGGACTGTTGCGTGTTTTCCTGTGTAGTTTCGTAACTGGCAACACTTACTTGAGAGCCGCCCATCTGTCTGACATATTTCTTAACAAGCAACGCAACGTCTCTGGCATGCCCGTCAAGACTATCAGCTTCGGGTACTTCCCACTTTTCTTCGGCCATCCGTTCAAGTTCCTCCAAGGTGACTGTATCCTCCCAAGTTCTGTCGTGGTGAATCTTCTTGACTCGAGGATGGCGTAACATCTCGAACACTTCATTCTGCAGCTTTTCATATCCGCCCCCAAGGATTTCCACGACGAAGGGTTTCTTGAAGGCTACTGTCATTCTCCGATCATAGCCTTTAGAGTGCTCAATATCAAAATCTTTGGTTGAACCATCTTTCCGCAGCTTGGCTTGGCGAACATAGCCTTGAATATTCAAGTACTTCACATCCGACTTTGGTATACACTTGTCTAAGCTGAGGGACGTGACGATCTTGAAGTGTGGTCTCACGTCTTTCCGCTGCCGGATCTCAGCCATGTTCGTACAACAACCGAGATGGAAGTGCGTCCAATGTAGTGGCTTGATATCAGTCTTTGGGGCGACCTGCGCATCAAAACTTGCTCCAAGGACAGCAAAGTCACCCAAGTCGCGTTCGCCACCCATATCGCCGAGATAATCTTTTTTGACCTTGATGAAGAAACCCGCCTGGCAATGTCCCTGCTCTGAGAGGAGAGGAAAGTATGGCGCATGGAGAGGCTTCAAGACTAGGCCTTCCTGGCGATTAGCCAGACTTTGGGCAAACACTTGCTTGAGGTCCGTATTTCCTTCCTCCGACTTGAAGTTGAGCAGAGTCCACTCTGACCGCATTGATCGACCAGGTATCACGCGGACAAGATCTCGAAGCACCTTGCGACGATCCTGCAGGCACTGACGCAAGACAGACTCCTCGTCCAGGACTAGCACATCGAAGAAGACGATCATAAGATGTTCCCATTCATGTGGTAAAGAATCCTGGAGCGTCCCGATGAAAGATCCTGAGCGCGATATGTGCTTTCTGATCTTGGAGAAGGGCAAAATCTTCTTCTCTCTGTCACTATACAACACCATCTCGCCAAGTAAGACGCATTTTGTTTTGAAGAGACAGCTGGGACGGCCGATACGCAAGGCGTCTCGAATAGTACTGCAGATGTCAGGATTATAACAGAACTATTCTGACTGTAGACATACCTATGCAATGCCTCCCGGTCTGCTGTAGCGTCCTTGCCATTTTTGGAGAAGATTTTGATGTCGTTGGGCGCTTTTTCCAAGTCCACGTGAATCTCGCAGTACTCTTTACCGGTTAGTAGAAACACGACAAACTTTTCCAAGTCAAGTACTGGTGCAAAATACGTTTCTGGAATGAGAATTTGCTAATCTTACCTCCATCATATTTGACCTCAGCTGCCCAAGCGCGTTTGCCGACTAGTTGAAAACAGTTCTTGAAAGACTGTGAAGCCGATAAGTCACTACATTTCGAATGACAGTTGGGCCACTTACCCAAGCCTTGTGGAATCTTGGACGCCCTACTTTGACACCAACAACTGCCTTCAACTTCTGCGCTGCCTCTATACGCATCGTCTTCGCTTGCAAAGGGTCTGGGACGGAGGGATAGCAGCCTAGTTCCCCTCTAAGCATATCAAAAACAGCATCGAAGTCGTTTTGGAACATCAGCAGGTCCGGCAAGAGGAAGTGATATTGTTGGAAGACAATCAGCTCATCCAACTCAATGGTGCAGTAGTTTCTTAGTAGCAGCCGTACGAGCCATTTTGCTTCCCACGATTCTAGCCTGACGAGGATGTCTTTGAGCTCCGTATCGGTCTCCATGTGCCAGTCCCGCTGCTCACGAATGACCCGGTCGGAGTATCTGTACTTGGCGGCTAATTGTACCAAAAGTCTGTCGATCTGTTCGATGGGAAAGTGGCGTTTGGTGGTGAACGTGCCATCCCATGACTTCATTGTTCGTTCTGTGTACGCACCCAGATCACCCAGTGCTCCAGTCTTCCATCCATCAAACAACGCTCGATGGCCATTGTTGAAACTGAGCAGCTTGGTGAGTTTCTTCGCAAGTAGAGGCGCTTGGAGGCCATAGACTCGATCTTTCCTCCGATGTGGAAGCAGTGCAGACAGTACAGCGCTGCCATTTGTGTTTTGGTCATCCAAAGCTTGCCTGTGATTGGAGAACCAGTTCGAGACAATCTGACGGATGCTTTCCTTGAGTTGTTTTGGCGAAACTCGTGGTTCCCGCGTAGAAATGTTCTCGATGCTTTGCAGAAGACTGCATACGGCGCCGAAAGTAATAGTCATTGAGGATGAATATGTATAATTGATAGCACAGAGATATCACGGTAATGTTGATGATGAACAGAGAGATACTGAGCCTGGAAGAAGTGATCCAGGTATGATTTCTCACTTGAGTAGGAACGAAAGACAACGCTGCTTCCAGTTCACACGCCGACTGCGTTCCAGGTCGAGGCCAACCAAAACCTTGAGCGGGGAGTTACTATGCTTTGTGGTACGCGCCTCGACAGTTGGCGGTCGTTCAATACGCTAACCTGATACCTCAATACCGTTGACATAGTAGATTCGAACGAACGTGTTTAGAGAGAGCTGGGGAAGTCGTGATGGAAGGCGTTGGAATATCACAGTAACCGCACCACAGTAGGAAGTGGGATGGTGGCAAAAGATGCTCAAGGAGGCAAAAAAACTGATATGCAGATACGCAGGCAGTGGACCGGAAAAGGGTCTAGGAACGCGAAGGGTGAAGGAACTGGCGCGGGGCAGCATGGATCGACGACGCGCTAATGCACAACATCACGGGATTACGCGTTCGAGCTAGTTCATGACTTTGGTTGCTCCATTCCTGGACACCAGACTCATCGAGGCTCTGTTTTGTCGTTAACTCATATCTCCCAACGCTTTATCACGAGGAGACAAAAAGCATTTAGTATATCGGGATACCGAGATCGGTTGTTACTTACGTCATGATATATACGAAGTAGACCCTCCAGGGTCCATCGCACCTCATACCACATCTTCAATTGACACACACGATGAGCGCAAAGGCCAACGACCCGCGTTCGGAGGCGGCGAAGAAACGCGACCTCATCTCCCGAGGCGACTACACATCCACTCCCGCCGGCAAAGCCGCCTTCTTCCTGCTCCGCGCCATCGAGCCGCTCCTCCAATACTCGATTCTCGCATATGGCGTCGGCACGCCCCTCCTCCATCGAGTGGGACTACGTACACTTCCTCCCGGCCTTCCAGCAACGACCGGCATTGCCGCGATCGATGGCCTCGGACTGTCGCCCTACCGACTCGTGCTGCTGGGCATGTCCGTTGGCAGTGCGGTGAAGCAGAACCTCTGGGTCACGTTGCTTTCCGGCGAGCCCATGACTGTAGGGAACGCCTTCCTCGTTGGAGCATTCAACGCCGTATGCAACAGTCTGAACACGTATGCCTTCCTCCTCAGCGCGACATCAGCCTCGACCGAGTCGGATTTCCCCCAGCCGTCTCTTGTCGTTGGCAGCACCCTGTACGTTGTGGGCATTCTCACCGAGCTTGTCGCCGAGGCCCAACGTAAACGCTTCAAGATGGATCCTAAGAACAAGGGAAAGCCCTATACGGGGGGTCTGTGGCAGTTTGCCCGCCACATCAACTACGGCGGATATACGCTATGGCGCGCAGGATACGCCTTGGCTTCCGGTGGATGGGCGTTCGGTGCGGTGGTCGGAGCGTTCTTTCTTTACGATTTCGCAACGCGCGGGGTTCCCATCTTGAATGAGTACTGCGAGAAGAGGTACGGGCGGGATTGGGAGAAGTTCAAGCGCGATACCAAGTACCGCCTGATTCCTTTCATTTACTAGAAGTTGAATAAAGTAACAATAGTTCAAAATCCTGACACTACCTCCATGACGTGAAATCAACTCGACATAGATCCATCCATCACGTCACTTCACTTACACAACCATCCCAAAAAGCGGACCAAACCACAACCACAACCACAACCACAACCACAAACCACGATGTTCCAGCCTGTCACCCACCGCATCTTCAGACCCTGAACCAAACAAATCACACCAAACCAGACCAAACCACACCACACCAAAACCACGCACACGCTTACATTTAGCAGCGGTTCTCTCCGCACGCACACACGCACGCTACCAGAAGGACGTCAGACCAAACTATCTCCGCCCAGACGAACTATCCCCGCCCAGACCAAACCATACTCAAGCATACCAGACCAGGTCGAACCATACGCAATGGAAAACAGGCACGCTAACACTAGCGAACGGAAGATACCTTCGAATGTTTCCCAAACAGGCAGTCCACGATAAGGCTGCGGTGCGGTGGAGTTTGTGGTCCAGTGGTTGGGGCACGCGGTTGTTGCGCGTGATTGTGGTGGGTAAGAGAGGAGATGGTGATATTGGTATTGACAATATCGATCACTCATCAATGATAATCATTGGGAAATCTATAAACAACCCAACCCGACCAAATCCATTCGCATCACGTCAACATACCTAGGTGCTGACTGCAACTGCACCTGCACCTGCACCCAATGAATAACACTCACAATTATATCCCCAACCCCACCAATCCATCCAGAAATACCAACCCGAAAACATATACATCGCCACCCAATAAACACATTAAAAAAAAATCTCCGAGCACCACCCACCCAATACGCACAGCGCGCGCCCAAAAATAAACCGCCAATAAATCCGATCTCAGGGTCTAAGCATACTAGCAGTGTGATGGGAAATGATCGACATGTTTCCGCTTAGGGAGCTGGGATACGAGGGCGTGGAACGCCACTGAGCAGTGCTTTGCTTTGCTGCTGTGTGTTCTCCAGTTTTTTTTGTTGTTTGGATGGATTGCGTATCTGTGTGTGTGTGTGTGGTGTGTGGAGAGTTGACGCATTGAAGTGAGGGTCAGGAGGTGGCGGATTCGGGAGGTGGTAGCCGAAGGGAAGGGAAGGGAAGATCGGTGGGTGCACTGCACAGCACAGCATAGCACAGCATAACAGGAGATCAACGACGACTACCTACGACGACGACTACGAAGACGAGAATGGGTGCGTGGTTGACGCGTTGGTTGGGGAGTGCCGATTGCGATTGCGATCGCAATCGTGGGCTGTGGATTGGGTCGCTTGGGTTGGGTGCTTTGCTGAAAGGGGATGTGGGAGCGGGGAAGGGAAGGGAAGGGAAGGCAAGAGGATCGTAGGTGCATTGCATGGATGCATGTTACCTATCCATGCATGTTGGCTATCCATGTCGGCCTCGGTCGCGGTAAAATTGGCAGGAGGATGAGGCAGAGGGATTGTTTGAAGTAAGTGTGGTGCTGCTACGCGTCGGCAATATCAGAACGAACATGTTTATTCGCAATCGACGATGGGGGGTTTGGCAGATTGGCGGATGAGGTCATATGGGATTTGATTGAGTGGAGGGATGGATGGACCCGGTGTTGGGGTTTGCTTTGCACTCGGGGCACGCAAGCACACAAAGGGAACCATGGTTGGCCACACGCGATCTGTCAGACGTTGCACGCGGCGATTTGTATCCACCGGCGTAAATGTGATGTGTTTGCATTGAGCAGATGCGAGGTTAGGTAGGTGGAGGGTATTTCGCTTGTCTGTGCCCTGTTTAGGTATTTCTCAAAGTGTCGGTCGTTCGGATGCTTGTTCGTGCATTGCAGACAAGGGCCTTGTTTCCAAGAAAGATGCTCAAGGCGTGTCCAGGTTTGTTCTGCTGCACCGTATCCGGACGCGTCTCCGCAGGCGGCTGTTTCGACCCATGCAAGCTGCAGTGTCTTGATGTGCCCTGATGTGCCTTGATGTGCCTTGATGTGCAACTTGACAAGGACTGGCCAACTGCCGCATTCCGCACCACCAGACGCGTTCTGCGTTGGAGAAAAGACGTTGAGGATAAAGAGCGTGTAGGAATTTCGTCATAAGGGCCGCAGGTGGAGTCGTGTTGAATCAAAATTTAGCGCGCTCGCGTTCAACGGCAAGCACGGGAGGGGAGCCAAAGAGCAAAGAGCAGAAGCATACAAGAAGAGGCTCGCTCACGCTCCCGGTCGCTGCGGCAAGGATTCTCGCATGCTCCATTCTCCGTCGTGTTTGATCAGCTATCTTTCCGCGCGACGTGACCTGGTGTATCTGCTGTGTACAGAGCTGGAATACGAAGCGAGCAGTTGCCGCCAAGGTCCGACTCGGGGCTCGGATTGGACAGCAGCCGGATCGCCTGTAAGTCAGCTTTCAGCTTTGGCGCCATTGTCCACTGGCAACACGCGGTACCCACGTTGTTGACACTATGCTCCATGGACGCAAGCAGCAGCTAGCCTCTGGCGTCGAAGGCTGAGAGAAAAAAATGGCTCGTGTTCGCGACTGATGGTTCTTTCTTTAGACTCGAAAGTCCCTAGCGCATCTGGTGCTGGGCCTGGCAGCGCGAGCGAGATATTAAGGTAGCAATCGCCGCATATCCATGCCGGTAGTGCCTGTAATATCGCTTCAACCCCTCGCCTCGCCTCGCACTTTGCCCGCCCAGCCAGCCGTAGTAGTCCAGTAGGCCAGCAGCACCACCACGTCTGCCGTCTGCTCTGGTCTGATCAGGCCATTGCCCCAAGCAGTGCCAGTCAGCGTGGTGCGAACGGCGGGGCACTTCTGCCATCCATACCCATACCCAAACCCATACCCATATCCGACGCCGTTGTCGTTGCCGCTACTTAAGCTGCCACCCTCCTCGCGCAGAGCCCTTGCCGTCGCTGCCGCTGTCACCATCACGGTCGCTGCCAGGCAGTCGATCTGCGTTCCACGGTGCGTGATCGTCAAGCGAGGCAGGCACCATGCAAGCAGCCATGATGCAGCCGCAACAAGCCTCCGCTTATGGAGCCATGCCCGTCCGCCGCAAGCCCATAGCCAACCCCGGCGTGTCCATGCGTCCCCCGTCGCAGCCCTACCTCGACGCTCCGCTGGGACACTCTCGCACCCGCACCGTCAGCTCCGGCGTCTTCCCCGCCGTCTCTGCCTCCCCAACCGCCACCATGATGCACCAGCAGTACCCAAGCCAGTACCCAAGCCAGTACCAGGGCTCGCTCCGCCGCACCCCGACGTCGTCGACCAGCTCCACGACGGGCACCCCGAACCGCTCCAACAGTGGCGCCCTCCGCCGCTCGTCCAGCGCCCGCTCCGGCACCTCGCCCACGTCGTACGTGGCCCTCATGCGCAAGCAAAAGGCCACCGTCTGGTGTGACCGCGCACAGTACGAGGACCCGCGCATAGTCGCCGCACAGCAGCAGGCCAAGATGCGCGCCAACATGGAGGTAGCCGGCGGGCCCCATCACGCGCCGCCACGCAGCGCCTCAGGGGGCTCGAGCATGGCCGCGGGCGTGAGGTCCAAGGTGCGCCATCACGGCATGGCCAAGGCCTCCAAGTACGCGCCCGTCACCTACACAGGCTCAGGCGTGCCCATGCGACTGAGTGCATCTGAGGTGGACGAGGGTGATGAAGAGGATGGCGGCTCGATACACCAGGGCGGCGCACACCACCGCACCGGCTCAGGGCGCAGCTCCCTCGGCTCCAACCGTCGCATCTCCTACGCCAACCCCGTTGGAGGTCGCCTATCCACCAACTCATCCCCCCCTCAGAACACAACCCCCGACGAGCTCGACGACGTGCAGGAAGAGCCCACGCCAAACCCCGACGAAGAACCCGCCGCATACTTTGAGCGCTCCAAGACCAACCTCTCCTTCGGCAGCGGCAGCGAAGGGGAACGAGGCTTCGGCGACGTGGGCCAGATGAAACCGCTCCCCAAGCTCGAAGTTAAGAAAAGCACAGTCGACGACCTGATACGGCGGGGCAGTGTGGACGAGCGCAAAGCGACTATGAGCAGCGGCAGGCTCTTCATTGCTAATCCTGATCTTAGCGACTAGATTCTTTCTCTTCTACGATACCCGGGACGCACGAATGTTATACATAAGAGATGAAAGGTTTTTTTGCATTGTAGCGAGCGTTTGTAAACACGCATGGCGTTTTTTGGGGGGGTTTTGACCATTTTTTTTTGTTGGGTGAGCGTGTGCTTGGATTCACGGCATGGCATTGCATCGTCTGCTGGTTGGTCGTGTTGTTTTATCGGTCTTTATCATTGTCTCTATCATTGTCTGGATGGGATATGTCTCGCGCCCTGGCGGTCTGGTCTGCACCCGCTCATTGATGCCGTACATATTGCTGGAATCATATGTCCCTGTCAACAACATCCATCCATCACTCCCTCATTCACAACTATCTTGCTGCATGTTGACCTAATTCATTACCGTACATCCACTTCTAGCAAATTGCCATGGCAAGCCACATGCCATTCTCAACTTGCGCATCCTGTGTGCCCTTGTCGTGGCGGGCATGGCATGGGCATGTGATGTGATGTGTCAGGCGGGCCGCGTGGTGCTGGCTGGCTGGTCCTGTCGATCTTGTTATGCAGGTTTGGTGTAGTGTGGTTGCCAAGGTGTCCGAGGGAGTTAACTCTCACACTCATATGATAGGTGTGTCTTTTACAATTACTGCTTCAGGGTTGTGGTGATTTAATACTTACTCTACCCGGGCGTTGGTTCTTGTGTTAATGGCGGGCTTGGGGGTTTGTGTTTTGCTGGAGGCTCTCACATTTACGACTGGAAGTCTGCTAGGGCTGATGAGGGTCTAAACTAGACCTGTATAGGTAGAGTCCTACTCGAAGAGGGATAGTAGGATGCCTAAACAGGTATAGCCTTGTACATACTACAATAACCATATGCGTACAGAATGGAAGTATGTTCCTGCAGCTGCATCAATGCTTGTTTTCTGCAAAACTCAGTAGGGAAGGCATTGTGAAGCTTATGCTGGGATGATGCTCGCGCGATGATTATGCAGGTAAGCTGACTGTATTGAGATTACCCCTTTGCCCATGTAGTTTACGCCCGACTGCGTGTGGTCTGATTCGATTCGCCAAGTCGTCCGATAACTCAACCTCTTATATACTCCCCCGCCCACCTGCACCTCCTACAATGACAGGCTAAGTGTGGAATAGCTTCTGCGATACGGCCAACTACTTCCAACACCATGGCGCAGGTCAATGGCACGGCAAACGGCGCGACCAAGCGTGGAGTGAACGGGCACACGGCGCAGGCCACGCTAGGAGCAACGGGCGAGAAGGACTACACGAAGACGGACTATACACGCTGGAGGCTCAGGAACGATCGCGGGTGTCACACATGGCATTATCTGGAGACGGAAGAGGAGGAGAAGGCGTGGCCGCAGAGCACGGCGGATAAATACTTCCTCGGCCTGGACACGGTGAGTGCCTGTATCAACCCCAGGATACAACAACAACAACTGACAATACACACACAGAACCTGCCCGACCTCCCCCCCGCAAAGACACCCCTCCAATCCGCTACAAATGGCCTCTCGTTCTTCTCCCACCTCCAGCTGGCCCCTGGGAACTGGGCCTGCGAGTACGGCGGCCCCATGTTCCTCCTGCCCGGCCTCGTCATCACCTGGTACGTGACCGAGACGCGCATCCCCGCCGACCACGCCATCGAGATCAGAAACTACCTGTTCGCGCGCGCCCACCCGGAGGATGGCGGCTGGGGCCTGCACATCGAGGGCGAGAGCAGCGTCTTCGGCACCGCTATGAACTACACGGTGCTGCGGCTGCTGGGCGTCGACCCCGAAGACGCTCGCATGCGCAAGGCTCGCGCTACGCTGTGGAAGCTGGGCGGCGCGCTGAACGGGCCGCATTGGGCGAAGTTTTGGCTCAGCGTCCTGGGCGTGCTCGAGTGGGACGTTGTCAATCCCGTGCCGCCTGAGATGTGGCTGCTGCCGGATTGGGTCCCTGTTGCGCCCTGGCGCTGGTGGATTCACATTCGCCAGGTCATGCTGCCCATGTCGTTCATCTACTCGAAGCGGTGGTCGTACCCCGTCAACGACCTGACGCGGGAATTGCGCAAGGAGCTACTCACACAGCCTTTTGAGACGATCAAGTTCAGCGCCCATCGCAATACTATTTCGCCCATGGACAATTACCATCCCAAGACGCTGCTGTTGAGGTGCTTGTTCTGGTTCCTGGCTGTCGTTTGGGGGCCCTTCTTGCGGCCGGACTGGATGGTCAAGCGTGCGGAGGACCATGTGTGGTGGCTCATCGAGGCCGAAGACAAGAACACCGACTACGCGAATCTCGCCCCTGTCAACGGGCCCTTGAACACGCTCTGCACCTACATCAAACTCGGTCCCGACTCCCGTCCCTTCCGCGAGCATATCAAGACGCTGCCCGAGTTCCTCTGGGTAAAAAACGAGGGCATGCTAATGAACGGCACCAACGGCGTACAAACCTGGGACACAGCCTACCTCATCCAAGCCGTCGAAGCCTGCAACCTCTCGTCGGACCCAAAATGGAACCCCATGCTCACAAAAGCCCTCGCCTTCCTCGAAGACCAGCAGATCCTCGAAGAGTGCGCCGACCAGCACAAATGCTACCGCCAGCAACGCAAAGGCGCCTGGGCCTTCAGCACCCGCAAGCAAGGCTACACAGTCTCAGACTGCACATCCGAAGGCCTAAAAGCAACCCTCATCCTACAAAACACACACGCATCCACCTTCCCCAAACTCATCTCAGACACCCGCCTCCAACACGCAATCGACGTCCTCCTCACCATGCAAAACCCCTCGGGCGGCTGCGCCTCCTACGAACCAACCCGCGGCTCAATCCTCCTCGAGCACCTCAACGCCGCAGAAGTCTTCGGAAACATCATGATCGAATACGACTACCCGGAATGCACAACCGCCGTCCTCACCGCCCTCACCGCATTCCAACACCACTACCCTTCCTACCGCGCGGACGAAATCTCCGCCTTCCGCGACCGCGCTATAGCGTATATCCGCAACGCCCAGCGGCCCGACGGCTCCTGGTTCGGCTCCTGGGGCATCTGCTTCACCTACGCGGGAATGTTCGGCCTCGAGTCGCTGCGCTGCGCAGGCGAGTCCCACGCCAACTCGGCTCGGGTGCGGCTGGCATGCAAATTCTTCACAGACAGACAGATGGAGGATGGCGGCTGGGGCGAAACATACAAGTCCTGCGAGACGGGCGTGTACACGCAGCACCCGCAGAGCCAGGTCGTGCAGACGGCGTGGGTTGTCATCGCGCTGCTGACGGCGGAGTTCCCGCATAAGGAGCCGCTGGATCGCGCTGTGAGGCTTATTATGCGGAGACAGCAGGGGAATGGCGAGTGGTTGCAGGAAGCTATCGAGGGCGTGTTTAATAAGAGTTGGTAAGTTTAAGTGTTTGTCCGCTGTGTGTGTGTGTGTGTGTGTGGGAGGCTTTGCTAATAAGATGATAGTATGATTTCTTACCCGAATTATAAGTTCATCTTCCCGGTTATGGCGCTGGGTATGTATGCTAGGCGCTTTGGGGATGTGCCGCTGTCTTGAGGGAGGGTGGGACAAGGGGATGATGAGTGCTGAGTAGGGGGGAGGTGGAAGGGGGTGCTTTTACGGTGTATGTTATGATACGTGATGACACCGCATGCATGGCAAGGGCCTCATCTCGTCTCACCTCATCATGTTAGATTAGATCAAAGTATCGTAGATTAGACAAAGACGAACGAATAATGCAAACTTTACATTCTCGCAGCAGTCAATCAACGATCACAACACACTCCATCTCATCCTCTCCTCTCCCATCCATCCCACTCCGCACCACACACAAAACACCCAACATGATGACGTAAATATACCATTTGCACTTCATTCGTATAAACTTGATCTTGATCTTGAGCTTGAGTTTGAGCCAGCTCACCCAGATCCGCATCTCCAGTATATGTTTCCCCAACGGAACGAAATGAAATGGAACGAGACGTGACATCTCTCCCTATGGGCGAAAAGAAAAAAAGAAACAAAGCGCCTTGCTGGCATGCCTGCTACACCGATGAAGAAAGCCACACACACACGAAAAAGAGAAGAGAACATAACATAACAAAGTAAAAACATAGCAACCCCCCTCTCCGCGCGCGAAAGAGCGCAAGACAAATGACCCACGAAACAACCACCCCTCCCATTCCAAACCCAACGCCCAAAAGAAAGAAAAAAGCCTCCCCTACTCCTCAACCAACGCGCCCAAAATCAGACTCTGCACCACAAACTCCGCACACGTAACGCGCACGACGCGCCCGCGCACCTCGCCCCTAGAAACCAGGTCCCCCTGCTCCTCGCTCTCGTCTCTGCGGCGCTTCTTGCCCTTCTTCGCGCTCTTCGCACTCGCAGGTCTCCCCGCAGCAGAGCCGAAAAGTTCCGCCGCAGCGTCGGCAACACTCGCATCCGCGCTATCGACATAGACCCAATCCCAGTGGGAGTCCTTGAGCGCACGAGCAGCAGCGGGCAAGTCAGCACAACGAGCGACCGCCGCAGAGCCAAGGGCATGCGTGAGGAAGACGAAAGGGGCGCGTTTTTCGATTTCCTTCTTCGATTTGCCGGTGATGAGGAGGACGGCCTGGTCGCGGAGGAGTAGATCGCGGTCGTTGATAGTTTGGGCGAAGAGCACGTCGTCGGCAGAAGGGTCGTAGGTGCGGATTGTGCGTGAGCGCAGCACGCCGTTTGGGTCGAGGAATTTGGACACGCCGGCGGGGAGGAGGAAGCGCGCAAAGGATAGGGCGCGCGAGGCGGAGAGCGAGTCTTGGATCCAGCGGAGGTGGAGGCAGGGGACGTTGAGGGCGAGGGCTTGGATGTATTTTGTGCTGCGGGAGTGCGAGTCGGAGATTAGGGCTACGAAGCCGAGGTCTTGATATTGGGGTTTGAGGGTCAGGCCGGCGGGATTTTCCATGGCGGAGGCGGATCTTCGCCGGCTTTGTGAGGAGGGCATCTCGCCTGACGATTCGAGGTCGAAGAGCTCGTGGAAACCGTGCTCTAGGACTTGACCGCCGTTTATCTTGATGAGTTTTGCGATGGCGTCTTTGTCTACGTCTCCGCCGGTTGATGTGATGATGAAGGCCATGTTCAAGAACACCCCGCTGCCTGATCGCGCCGTGGAGGCAACAGATCCTGCGCGGGCAGTCGCGTCTCTCAATAAGGACGGCGCCGCAGCCCCTCTACGATTGAAAGACGGTGTGGCGAGCATAGCCACTCTGGAGGGAGTTTCCGTCTGTTCAGTAGATTTACTCGGTGACGCAGGAGGCGAGAAGTCAAAGGCACGGTCTCGAAGTCTTTGCCACAGCTGAGTCGTCAGGTAGATGCTTGCCATGGGCACCGCGATCTGTTTCGCTGGCTGAGCAGCCTTTGCTGCTGGCAGACTGTCTCTCTGCTTCTCTTCTAGAACAATGGTCGTATGTCCAAATCGATCGGTGCTAGGGTACTCCTCAGGGTCAAGGTTCTTCGCTATATCCTTGAAGCCTACCACAACATACGTGTGCTTCTTCATGCCTGTCTCATCAACCTTGACATGATCCCCAGTGCGAAGAGCAAGCGCTCGAACCAGGGCAGTGTCTACGAAAGTCGTATTGCCATCATCATAGCGAATGTGATATTGACGTGAGGCCGACCGCCCGATGCATGTAGCAGGATAGTAGTGACTTCCAGGCCATGATGCGAACACTCGGTTTGGCACAAGCACATCTCCGGTCGGTGTATCAGGCCTCTTTGGCGCATTCTCACTCATCCGCTGTACATTGGTAGCCTGGGGAGATTCCGTAACTTCGTCTGGCTTATCTCCCACATCGGACATGTCGACGTCAGCTTTCTGGTGTGGGGTATCAAGGCTAGGCGCAGTGGGTGAAGGAGGCGTGATGGTCCGAATTGGCGCAGAGGCTTTTGGCTTAGACGGTGTGTTGACCGGGGAAGATAGTGTTTGCAAGAGTTCTCGGGCGACTGGCTTGAGGGCGCCCTTTCTTTGATGTTGCGGTTTCGAAATTCTGGGTTGGCCTCTAGTTTTCAAAGTCGCTGGCCTGGAGTAAGGTGCCTGCGCTTCTTCCCTAGCTTGTACCGCTGCGTGAGCACCTCGGTTCTCTCGTGCCTGTGCTGACGCGGTCGGAGGAGTATCTTCTCGAACCGGCAGAACGCGGTTCAGAGGTGATGAAGGAGGCGCATCGGAGAACGGCTCGACAGCAGGCCTGACAGGGCTGGGGAACCCCTTTTTCTTCGCCGTGTACATGACCTTGCGCCTTTTCGCCGAGGGAGGTGCGAATGAAGTATTAGTCATGAAGGTATCTTCTTCGTTCTCGTCCAAACCACTCAGTCGAGGCATTTCGAAAATTTCCTCATCCTCAGACTGTTGGGTTTCTGGAAGATTAGCAATGTCGTGCAAAGAGTGAATGCGGTCGCCTATCTGAATGGTATCGCTACCAGCATCCTTTGAGCTGGTAGGAACCGGTGCAGTGACCTGCGCAACAGACTGGTTCTCTCTAGCGGTCTGGAATGGCTCAGTGCTGACAGGTAGACCACGTGCAGCCAGCTCGTCGTCTGCAGACTCAACATGTGCATCCTCATTGCTGATTGCAAGCCTTTCATCTGGAAAGAACGACGGCTGTGTCTCGTCGAGTGCATCGGTCTCAGGGATCGTGTTCTGTCGATGCATACGTGGCGGTATTTGCGAAGGTTCTTCCATTTCAATGTCGTGCTCCTCTGTGTATCTTGATTGCATCAATGCATCATCATCCGGCTGGACGTTCTGCATCTCGTTCTGCTCCAACGTTTCAGGAACTTCCTGGTCTGTGCCAAGATCAACTTTCAATGGCGGGATAAGATCTGTTTCGTTATTGTTCAAATCGTGTCCAACCTCTAGCTCCTCGTCACTGGGCTCTCCCTTTGTAGCAGGAAAGTCGTCGTCGTCCTCCATGACCGTGTCTTCATCGGCGACGTCAGATTCCGTGATGTTACCTTCCCCTTCAGCATACTCGTCATATGTGTGCTGGGTAACATCGTCTTCAGGAGGACACAGTACTGGTGGACTGCTTGGCACGCGCTCCTCTTCTTCTGGTGTGATCCCTTCCAGCGGTTCCTCCACTTCCTCCGGACTTGAGTGTGGCGGCATTGGAGGCATTGAAGACGAGACGATTTGACTAGTATACCCTGTCTTTGTGGCAATCGTAGTTTGATTAATGCTGTACTGTTCTATCGAGGGTGACGAGGGATAGCGCAAAGACTTGGGTCGCGGTATGCTTTCGAAATCGGCAGTCGCGTCTGGTTGAGAATCCATAACAGCAACAGACTCCCTGCTACTCTGCGGTAGGAACGAATCCCGAAGAAAAGACTGCGATCCTGGTGCCCGAAACTGTGGCTTGCGTTGCATTTGTAACGGTGGACTCTCGCGCGGAGAAGAGCCGGGCGAAGATGTTCCTGATCGTTCTATATCTGGATGTGAGGAGGTTTTGGGAACCTCGACTCTATTGTTTTTGCTATTGTATTTCACCGCACTCCGCGCGGTCGAGAAAACGTCCTGAGAAGATTCATCGGGAAGATTTTCAATTTCATTCTCCTTCCCTTCTCCCGCAAGCTTCTTGACGGGTCGTGTGGGAGCAAGCATTGGCGCTGAGATGTGAGAGAGCGACTTGGCGGCATCACGATCGAATTTCTCCTTGGCCTGCTGAGTGGCCTTTTTCTGTTGTACGCGCCGCGACAGCTCGTCCCAACTGTCTTCTTGACGAAGCTCAGGACGCTTGATTCTCGTCTTGCGCTTTCGCCTCTCTTGCGACTCTCGCATTGTGACATACTCGGTTCGTGGCTCGCTGGACGACCGTACGACTGGATCCGATCTCGAGATGGTCCGCGAGAATTTGATGGGACTCGAGACGGCTGGCATTGGGCTTGAGTTGCGTGCGTAGTTGAAGTTCGGAGACGGCCGCAGGAACACGGGGTCCTCAATGGCTCCGCCCACTGCAGGCGAGGTCGGTGCCTGTGTCGCATTGTAAGCTTGCGTGAGCGACATGAGCTGTCCAGCGTTCCCGTTGCCGAAGCCCGCGCCAAAGAAGGCAGATGCAGAAGCGTCCGTGGCTGGCGTTGTAATTGTTCGCGCAGCTGAGCTCAGCAGCTGCCCTGAACTGTCCCTCTGTCGAGCTGCGACCAGCGGAGTCTCAAACTTGAGCGGGCTGGTGAAGCCGTTCTCGGCGCGTACGCCTGCGCCGTGTTCATCCTCTTGTATGACGGTGGGACTGGTGATCGCAGGGCTATGGTGCCGTGGACTCGACACCTCCATCTCGATGCTGTCGGTGAGCGCATCGCCGCCGTCGTCTTCTTCTTCGTCTTCCTCTTCATGCTCAGCAAACAGCGATCTCGGGTCTGGTCTAGAATGGTCGGTCGATGTTGCCCCGTAGTCGCCGCTCGTCCAGTACTTGTGCATCTGGCTGTCAGGCTGCGTATCGCCCGGGGCGTCCATTCCCGCAAAACTATGATGCAATTTCGGCGCGCCTTCTATCTCCAACGCAAATGCAGTGCTTGTGGGCGCGCTGTAATTTTTGGGTAGAGACGGTTGGACATTTCTCGCGGTCGTAGCGCGTCGTGGGGAAGGAGCGTGTTTAAGTTGGGCAAGCGCGACGGGGAGCTGCGGTGCGGCGGTGACGTGGTGCGCTTCCGTGGAATTTGGCACAGCGTCAATTGAATGACGGCTCTCCGTCGAGGTGGTGAATTGGAGAGCCCAGTCACTGCCTGCACGCTGCCTGAGAGCCTGCGAGAGCTGCGACGGGTCCTGAGTGGCGCAAGTGATCAGCAAGACAGACGACTCATGTCACAACCACGACCGGGGTGTCCGCAATCAATTGCTTGGTCGCGTGCATGCAGGAGGTGGAAACTTACATCATACAGATTGTCACCCAGCACAGTGAGGGCTTGCGACTCAGCCATTGTGTGTGCTCATCGTCCGGAGTGGTCTCCACACGTAAGTGTTGAATGTGTCGCGGCTCAGTAGTTCGTTGCGCGCCGCTACCCGCGAAACACGTACTCACGTGTTTGGCTAGGACGTTAGATTATCATACGAAGCACCCTTGAGCAGCAACTAGAAGTGAAAATGACGTTTGTTGAAAGGGGAGAACACGAAAGACGCGTTCACCTCACCAGAAGCTTGATTCTTGAACCACCCCGCTTCACTCGAGCATCAATTGTGTGCCATTCTATCAGACAGGTGAAGGCTGGTCTCATGTAAAACAGCAGCGCTGACGTCGAGGCAAAAACGCTTGTAACGGTATTGTGGTTAGGTCTTGTTTTTCACAACTGTTCTCAACACTAGAAGTCTGCGTCGAAACACTTCTGGGCGGTCGTCTGTACATAACGAACTCAATTCATTTGACACACAAAATGTACAAGGTTGTGTTTCCACCAGATGCTCTACTCAACGTATCCCCAACTTCTTTTACTGTCCACGTCTCACTCCTCAAACCCCAGTCCTATCATGTTATCCTCCACGTCGACAAGTCTCATTCTCTCTGTTTAACCGAGAAAGACGTAGTACAGCGACGTAGCAACCGTCAATCCAACAACCGTCCATCCAGTCTTGATGACCTGTGCGTTCTTGAATCCCATACCAACATCCCAAGACAGATGCCTAAGTCCATTGTACGAGTGGAAGAAGAACGGAAGCGCAAAGAAGCTCTTCAGTCCAAGCTTAACAGCCAGAGGCCAAGCCGCGACCGCCGCGACCATGGACTGCGTCTCGAGGTGCCATCCCAATGCGGGAGCAGCGAGGTAGGCAATTCCAAAGACGTAGAGAGCGCCGCTGAGGGTGAGGCCTGTTATGCGGTTGAGCACCGAGAGGTACCAGGTGATTTGCGGCTTGTAGATGAGAAGGTGGGGCGAGACGGGGCGGTTGATGCGCTGCTTCGCGAGGATCTCCTGGGCTTGGGAGTGGGAGGCGGACTGTGTGGCAGCAAATCTGCAGGTGCTATTAGCAAGATGTATTTGGAGGGGGTGTATCGATGGCAGTGCCATCATGGGCTTTCCGTACCGGCGTTGCACGATGCGTCCTGCAGGCTGGATCCTGAAGCCAGGGGCCGCCGCCCGTCGCAGGCCAAGCTGGAATACTCGCTGGGAAGCCATTGTGCTCTGCGTTTGTCGATTGCGGAGTCGAGAGTGTTGGGAGTCGTCGTGATGTCGTCGTCGCCCAGCTCACTGATCCAACGCTCCCGACCCGAGGTCTGCCGTTACCTCACCATCCAATCAGCAGCGATTCGATTACATCTGCTTAGTCATGCGTTTACCCACCCGAAAATTTCTCGCGAGCCGCAACCCTTTCTTTCTCCCCACGAACCTCGATATCGCCGGCAATGAGCGCAAGCGCTGATTTGTTGGAGTGACGGCCTACTTGTCTGCTGGCGTTATGTCAGTGGACTGGGCTCTGAGAGTTCTGCGAGAGACGCCCGTAGTTAATCGCTCGTCGAGTCAAAATCAATGGCTACCATGAGTTTCATATCAAGGCAACATATTTCTGTAGAGCAAACGGGGGTGAAGAACGAGCATAGACGCATTACAGAGTACTGCTGCTGTCACTCGAGATTGCAGTGTGACTGCTGTCGTGATGCACGTCTGAGTGATGCACGTATGCGTGACGATGAAAAACTACCAATATTTCTATCGTCGATTGGAATGCGAAACCCTGCGGAAGTTCAGAAACACCGCCTTCACGCCCCAACCGCACATGTCTTAGGTATGTGGTCAGTCGTGTTGGTAGCACCAGCAAGCTGGTTACGGTCGTGACGCTTCTTGCAAGCAAATTTTCTTCTCTTTCACATATACCGTGACCTAGCCATCGTACATCTAAAACTATCGCAACTCACTTCAACTCCAATCGAAAACACGATGGTGTCCCTTACACCAGCGTTCAGCTCTAATGCTGGGCTCGCGCCAAACTCGTACATCTACAAGATCCTTTCTACAGCAGCACGGCAAGACCCGCTCACGTACTCGCAAACCGATCAGCTAGCAATCATATCCTCGGACGACTCACTACGGTTCCTAGATCCCACAACGCTCAGTATACTGCCCGACGGCCTAGTGAAGAACGTGAACCAAAAAGTCACATGTCTCGAACGAGCGAACGATCTGCCAAGCAACATAGTAGCGACGGCTGGAAGAGATGGACTCGTCAGATTCTGGGACAAGAGGAGCAAACAGAAAGTTCTGGAGATTGAGAGCCGTACGTTTTGTCCTGTCGAGAGATTTGAAGCACAAAAGCTGACGTGGTTTGTAGCGCACAAACTCATCTCATCACTCGTCTGCGACGCTGAGAGGAACTTCATTGCAGCGGGAATCGAAAACCCAGATGACGGGGCCGGCGTCTCGCCCGTCTACATCTGGTATGCACGCGTCTCACAGTCTATCATCATCTGTAGTACAATATGCTGAACAAGTCATAGGGACCAGCGCAACCCCTCAATCCCCACGCTTTCCCTTATAGAATCCCATACCGATACCATAACCTCCCTCGCCTTGCATCCAACACTCCCCAATCTTCTCCTCTCCTCCAGCACAGACGGCCTCGTCAACATCTTCGACATAACACAGCCTGAGGAAGAAGACGCCCTGTACCAAGTCATCAACCACGGCTCCGCTATCGCTCACGCAGGCTTCATGTATCCGAGTACCGACATCTTTGCTCTAGGCACAGACGAGACGATGAGTTTCTATGCGCTGCAAAGCCAGAAGGAAGAGGAAGAAGAGCCCACGCCGAAAACGTTTGGTGATGTAAGGGAGGCCTTGGGATGCGAGTATCTCGCCAAGATGCATTGGATAGGCAGCGAGGCGTTTGTAGCAACAGGAAAGCACAGGTACAACCCAGTCCCCAAACTACCGAGTGAAATGCTAATCCTATCCAGCGAGAGTCGTTTGGATCTTGTTCCCGTCCGCAAGAATTCCAGCGCACCTCTAGACTACCAGTACAACTTGGATCAAAGCACTCGCTTCCCTGGCGCTCATGGCGAGGAAATTGTACGCGATCTGTATACAGATGTCCATGTAAGTCTTCCAACCCACCACCCTTCCTGCGTTCTCACCAAAGCCGCCCGTAGACCCAGATAACATACACATGCGGAGAAGACGGCCACATCCGCGCCTGGAAATCTTCCGACACCGATAGCATGGACATCGATGCATCGGCCGAGTCCTCGAAGAAAAGCAAGGACCGCAAGGAGAAGCGAAAAGACAAAAAAGAGAAGCGCAAAGGAGACGAGAAGAAAATCAGATACAACCCCTACTAGACATCACGAGCCGCAGTCAATATGGTCTTGTATGGCACGACCACCGTAGTGATTGATCAAATCATCCTTTGTACCCCATCACGCTATAATATCATACGAGACTAACCACAGCCTCAAAGCTTACATCCCAATGACAAATCACGGCGAGAAGCCCGCTCAAAACTACACCACAGGCGCCATGTGACGTCAGACGTTCCGAAGTTCCGGCCTCTTTTAATCAGTAGATTCACAATCGCGAAACTGGAAGCCCATTACTACCTCTATCCTCAAACCCTTTCCCGACCAGAACAAAGCTCTACACACACACGCATATACCCTCCAAAACTTCCAATTTGCTTTAAAATGTCAAACCAAAACCCCTCCTCAGAGTTCATGGCTGATGTAGCCAACGGTACGCACTTGACTCCCCCATCTATTCCAATGATCAACACTTTGATCCGCCGTTCCACATCACTTGCCTTCTCCTGCTCACACACGCACCCCTATGTCTTGCCACCCTAATCACATCCATCCAGACTCCAACCCCTCCACATCAACGAAGATAAAAGAAGCGCTCAAAAAACCCTTCCGCAACGACAGCACAGAAGAGGCCAAGGGGCACGGGCCGCTGGAAAAGACGGACGGCCATGGACATGTTGCGGGCACGAATGTGGAGGTGCGGGCGGAGACGACGATGGATCGGATTAGTAATGTGACGAGGACGTGAGGGGGGTAGGGAGGTGGGAAGATAGAGATAGAGATAGGGATAGGTGGGAGGTGAACGAGAGTAGACTAATGACCAAGGTTGGAATGATTCGTAGGCGCTAAAAACACCGCTATGTGAAGAGAGTGTGGAGACAAGAGTATGAGACGTGTCGGGAGCGACAGACCATGGGTCGATCCAAGGAGACCGACATGTATAACCCGCAATGACATGAACCCGGACTTCCTTGCTGGCAATTTATTCGCATCCACCACCATGCTCACTCCACGTTACATCATTTCTTACCTCTTCTTCTCCCTCACACCGCCAACGTCCAACCCCGCCCTAGCCTCAGCATCCTCGCGACTAACGACTTTGTGCGCACCACTCCAGATCCCACACCTCCGCTTGATCATCTTCCACGTCTCGATGGCGGAGATGTAGATAACCACACATCCGAAGCTAACCCCCCACTCCCACGTAATCGTGCCATGCTTGAACACCTTCTCGTTGATAACAGGGATATAAACGATAGGAAACATAGTGACCAGTCCCGCGATGACAGCGAAGAAGAGGAAGCGATTGCGCCAGAGCGTCGGAAACACCGACAGGCCGCGCGGCACGCCCATGTCCGTGTGCGGATACATGTTGAACAGCGAGCGAGCGAAGTGCTTGACTTCCCATGCCGTGACGAGGAGCAGCAGCGTGATGGTGCAGTAGGTTGTGGCGCGGGCGCGGAATACAACGTCACATGTGTCGTTGAATGCTTCGTTGCATCCGGAGCCCAGGTTCCCGCCGCCGGGGCCGACGTAGGCGACAATGGCGAAGGAGAATAGACACAAGGCGCCCATGAAGAAACCGTAGATGAACTTGTCTGTGATGAGCTCCTTGGAGAAGACGCCGGCTTTGACGTCGCGTGGGGGGCGCAGCATGCTGTCTGTTTGCGACTCCTCGAGACCCAGCCCAATAGCGAGGAAGGAAGAGGTGATGAGGTTGACCCAGAGAATCTCAATAGGAGAGAGTGGGAAGACGGAGTGGTTGTCGTTGTCTTTGAAGGCTAGGCCGATTAGAAGGAGGATCACCTGGGCGATGTTGGAGATGAGGAGGTGCATCAAGAACTAGAAAGGTTAGTATGCGTGGTGATCTGAAAGGGCGTGTGTCTTACCTTCTGAATATTGTCAAACAAGCGTCGACCTTCTTCAACTGCCTTTACAATTGAGGCGAAGTTGTCGTCAGTGAGGACCATCTCAGCGGCGTCTTTGGCAACATCGCTTCCAGTGCCCATAGCCATACCAACGTTGGCTTGCTTGAGGGCCGGAGAGTCGTTAACACCATCGCCAGTCATAACACAGAAGCGTTGCCTCCTGTGCAGAGCCTGTACCATCTTGACCTTAGTCTTTGGGCTACACCTGGCAATGACCAGGGGCAGGGTTTCCATGTTGTCAATCTGTTCATCTGTCATCTGATCGAAATCTCTTGCGATCATGACGGCCGAGGCTGGAGTATCATCGTCGATGATATCAACGTCTTTGGCGATAGCTCGCGCAGTACCAGGGTGGTCGCCAGTGAGCATATGGACAGTAATACCGGCGACCTTGCATTCGCGAACAGCACCCTTGGTCCCCAGGCGAGGTGGGTCATAGATGGCGACAAGGCCGATGTAATCCAAGTCATCTTCAACCGAGGCACGTTCTTGAATGTTTGTGCCAGGTGACAGTGCCTTATGAGCGACACAGAGAACACGCAAACCTTCATTAGCCATAGACTCAGCCGCTTGCATAATCTCGTCCCTTTTTTGTTCGGAAACGTTGAGTACCGGAAGCATGAACTCGGTAGCACCTTTGGTGTAGACATCCATATTGCCAGAATGGTTATCCTTGTAGACGACTGTCATCTTCTTGACTGTCGAGTCGAAGGAGAACTCTGTGGCGAGAGAGATGTTCGAGGACCTCAGTATATCCTCTTTACCCATGCCAAAACGTGACGCAAGAACGTGCAATGCGATCTCGGTTGGTTCGCCGTGAGCCTTCCAAGTGCCAGCTGCCTGCCCTGGAGCGGAAGAGAGGGTCGCAGATTGTATCGTGGATGCATCTGTGTCGGGATCATCATCACTGATGCTGCGATCTGCATTGTCGCTCTTCTCGTTTGATGTTTCAATGCTCATCTCAGATGGCGTTTGGACCTTGGAGTTGTTGCAAAGAGCAATTGTACGCAGGAAGCGAGCAAGGGTAGTGCTTGGTTGGTACTGGTCTAGGCCCAGACGCTCGTCGTCGAGGGTGACCCGGCCGCTTCTGGGATCGAAAGGATCAGTGATAGCGTCGACAGCGATGGTCCCGACCCCTTGTATGAGAGCTTTACGGGTGACCATTCGACCTTGGGTAAGGGTACCAGTCTTATCAGAGCAGATGTTGGTGACGCCACCCACAGCTTCGATCGCGGACTGAACCCTGGTGATGACATTGGCTTTGGCCATTGCTTTGCCGCCAACGGCGATGGTGATTGTGAGAACCGCAATGAGCGATTCGGGGATGACCGCAACCGCCACACAGATGCCATAGATGAGAACCTCGCCACCGACCTGCCATTTGCTTGCGGAAAAGACAATGATGGCGAGGAGGATGGCAAGGCCAAACAACAAGAGAGCAAACTTGCTCAAAGTAATCTGAAGAGGAGTTCCCACAAGACCTAGGATGGTCCTCAGGCCACGAACAAACCTCCTCCATAGTCTCCCGAAAAAGCTCAGAGATTCCGGGGCGTCGTCTTTCTTTTGCCGAAGCATGGTGGCAATCTTTCCTACTTCAGTCTCCATGGCTGTGGCGACGACGATACCACGGCATCTTCCAGATGTCATCTCGCTGCCTGAAAACGCAAGGTTGGTCCGGTCGCCGGTGGCAAGGTCGAAGTCGTCGAATACCTTGAGCGGTGTCTTCTCTACGGGAATGGATTCTCCTGTGAGAAAAGCTTCGTTGGTGAAGGCGTTGACACCATCGATCAGACGAATGTCGGCGGGCACAATGCTGCCAACACTCAACTGAACAATGTCGCCAGGAACAAGATCCACAGCCTTAACCTTAACGTCCGTAGTACCATCACGAGTGACAGTTGCTTCAGGAGCAGTGAGCTTTTTGAGAGACTCGATGGTCTTCTCAGCACGGTAGTCCTGCCAGAATCCGACAACGATGTTCAGACAAATGACGGCAGTGACGACACCGCCTTCAATGTAGTCGTCGATACCAAAACTGATGGCCATGACGATGATGAGAACGAAGGTGAGACTGTTCGATATCTGTCTCATGAGAATCTTCCACATAGATAACCCTTCAGCTCCTTTGACCTTGTTAGGTCCATAGAGCTGGAGGCGAGATTCAGCTTCAGTAGTGCTGAGTCCATGGCTGTAAGAGTTAGCTATTGCGGGAGACGTTAGGAATGTTTCATGCTGGTCTTACTTGATGTCCACGCGCAGTTCCTCTGCAACTTCTTCGAAGGTGAGGGTGTGCGGTGCATGGAGCGGGGACGGAGTAGCGCCATCGCTTGGGTTTGGCTGGAGTTGCCCTGGTCGATTCGTAGTATTTAGCCCATTTGAACCACCTGTACGGGGTTCAATTTCCTGAGGAGCAGTCTCTTCGACGGCAGGTAGGACAGTTTCACCCATTCAAATAGGCAAAAAAACACCGTGGTGCTGTTGTTGAAGACAATAAAGTGGCGCTTCATCAGACAATTATATCCCGTGGGTCATACCAAGGGAGGCGGGGTCACGCGTGATAGGTAGGCGATCAACGTGGGGCTTGCGTGGATCCTTCCAAGGCTTGGAACTCCTCATCATCCACGTCCCACTAACTTGCGCTCATTCGTTGCTCACAATGTTGTTGTGGTATAGCGTAGGTGAGGCTCTTCAAGTCTGGGATGGGTAGTGCTCGAATTCCTAGCCTTACAAGCTTCTCTGAGCGACAACCTGCAGTTGGAGCGTTCAGCAAAGATGGACTCTTCGTGCTGGTCATAAACAAGAGGTCAAGAAACTTGGCTGACGATTTCAAGAACATCTTTTGCCGAATCCCGAATATGTGTTCGTATGATTGTCGGGATGCACGGCCCCGCCACTGAAATGATTAGTTTGTCGGGTTGAGAGATAGATGAGCGCTCGCAATGTGGTGGTACAATACTGCAATACTGGTAATAAACTCCGCTCGTAAGCCAAGATCAGCGAACAAACCAACAACTACTCTGCCTTTACAGGTTAGCCATGACCTTGGAAAGGCTAAACTATCTGGCCCATCGCTGTTGGTAAGCAGCAGTCGCGAAAAGTAAACGCGCTGGTGATCGCCACGCTGTACATGCTTGATCGGACTGATAAAAGTCCTATGCCACCAATAAAGCGACTCGCAACCACCTGGAAATGGTACAACTGCGGAGAAGTGCAGGAGCCTTGCGCAAGACAACAGCATCTTATCAACAGGTTCAGAGTGCCAATTGGAAACCGAAGTGGTTCGAAATGGGCAGGATCCAACTTTCAGAGCAAAACTAAGTGCGGAGGACCAATGCGAAGGCTTTCCAAACTGAAAAAATTGTGTTGGAGAGGATATGCGGAGGTGTCCCTGGCCGAATGTCGTTGAAATTGAGGGGTTCCCATGGACGAGGAAGAGCCACATCCCCACACATACCTAGATTTTAGCAAAGTGGGGCGTCCGCTCTACACCTCGTTGCATCAACATCAACCACACCAACAGGCTTCGCAGCTCAGATCAGCTTTCACCACAATCCAACAATTGGAATTGTTGAGATGCAATTTTTTATGCAGATCCCGTGGCTCAATAGCATCAGGCAATGATGGCTGAAGAGCATCAGCAAAGGCATCTTGCTTCGGCATCACGAGAAAGAGTGGAAAAGAACAAGAACTTTTTGATTCTGTCAACGACAAGTATGCGCCGCGAACCCCATATCCATGCTGATTACCATTCCCAAGTATATTCATAAGATCGTAAACTCCTCCAATCCGCCAACTCGGCCTCAAATCGACCTGAACGACTCAGCCTCGGACAGACTCGATGAGCGACGAGGAGCCAATTGGCTATCAGCCTCAGCCAACGCAGCTTGTATGGACATGCTGAAGGTGGCTGCGAGATATTGCGCGTAGCGGTAGCGATATGCTTCCGCAGGATCTTGCTTTGACTTGTGTAGCTCCTGCGTTGACGAAGCGCCTGTACTGAGATTAGATGGAAAGCTTTAGTTTGGTTGATCAAATATACCCGATGAGGGATGAAGAACTATCGATGGCGTAGGCGACATGGCGGGCGACAAAGTAGGAGAAGATGATGGGGAAGGAGCGTGAAATGATAGAGCAGGCATGATGAGTGTTGGTTGTAGTTGGAGGTTTGTATGGGATAGTTCTTTGGCGTGGATTGTGTGGTTCAAGAGAATCGGTATCGAAGTTGAGTGAGTGTTGCTTCAGAGTGTGGAATCGTGGTGCTTCTCCAGAGAGGGCAGCCAGCCATCACTTTATACGATGTGACCCCTTGAAAGTTTCACGATGCAAGACTTCACCGCAAACCAGAAACAGCACACATCACGCCCTGACGGTGGCATGAGGCGTACACACGGACGCATGCATCACGATCGTGACAATAATCATGGTAACTTAATTGGCGCATGTAGTCTTAGCACGTAGAACGTGATTTAGCCAGCTCCGCCCTGAGCCATTTTTTGACATGCTCCACACACCGCCAGATCCGAAGCCAGCCAAACAAAATCTGGGGAAGCCGCGATTTCAGGGGCACGGCTGACGCACCATGCTTTTTACAGCTCGCTGCATACAGTACCCTGGGACGGCAGGTATTCATCAACGCCGCTGTATCTTGATTCGAAGTTGTGGTGACGGCTTACTCGGTATTCACGATAGCTGATGGCGGCGTTTCTGGTGACGATCCAAGTTGAACATCGTGGCACCTCATGACTAAAACGCCCAGCGCCGTTGCACGAGCCGGCTGCTGAGCACCCGCCACGTCCCTGTACCTTCCAGCAAGATGGTTGTTGGAAGACACGCCATGTCGCTAGACAATATCGTTATTCGCGTCGTATATGACGAAGCTGCATTCGTATCCTTGCAATAGACACATGGATCGTGCATACTATGCCTTCCTAACAGGGTCTTTCTTATCAGCTTCGTTCGACCCTACTGCACTACATAAATTCAAGTTTATTTGGCGTGTAAGATTACAGCCTGATCCACGTTGCCCAACTCTTAGAGTCAAAATCTCTGCAGTCAGCACTTTTCTTTTGGGTTTACACCGGTAGGTGGAGCATGCAAGGAGACGGGGCAATGTTTTCTAGACTCTTCGATCTGCACTTCGACACGTTCTTGACACGATTCAGCCGCGAAAAACCGCAGCCAAGATTTCTTTCCCACACAAAACGCTCGACCATTTTCTCACCGCCAAGCCTTCCCGACAGACGCGAGTTTCTAAATCCGTAACCTAACGTCACGGACCCACCGCTGTTTGCTTGCAACATTGCTCCACCGATCGCGAATAACCTCCTGCTCATGGCCGGTTATTCAGAACTTGCTATTGCCACTCTGAGGCGATGCTCCCGATTTTAGACGCCTCACAAGTGCCACATTACGTACGAAACTGGTTGGAGACTCGCACCAAACGTCACGATACAATACGTACCGACGTTTGAACGTGTTCGTGGCTGTCAGGTGCCGCCGATCAGAGAGGGGCGTTTTAGAGCGGGGCCGAGAAGGCGGATGTTTCGGCACACGCCCGTCACATCGTGTCGTCCATCCAGGCACAACACGGCAAACCCACCTTCCTCTTTATCGAGCCACATCGAATTTCGATCTGCGTCGGCACAGCCTTGTGCCAGCCGATAAGGTCTGTGCAAGACCAAGTTCTGAACAAACTTTGCAGAATCGCATCTCGTCGTCACAAGCCGTAACCACGTATCAGCACGATAATGCCTCAACCAACTTCCCCCCCCCCTTTGGTCCGAAATGCAGATCATTCTCTCCATACATCCAGCAACTTAAACTCAAACCCGCCCTGTCTGCAAAAACCACGGAATGAGCCATTTCGAGGACGGCGGGCCTGCAACACATATTCCCGTTGTGGACCCGGCGATCAAGACAACTCTAAACAGACGACAACGACACCACCATCGCGGGATCAGCAATACTTCTCGACATTTGAGGAGGCAAAACGCGTCAATTAACTCAGCACTAGATGCCCACAGGGACCCATAAGAAGAAGGTGCTCACCGCTAGATTACACGCGTCGATATCCTTTGTGTCCTCTTTTTAAATCGGGCCGAGGTGCACATACCTCAAATCAGTTCAACCCGACCCGATTGCACTTACGGCAAGAACTGGCGGATTGACGGCAGAACTGACGAGTGCCTACATCGCATAGTGCAATATCGTGTTCTACCAGGCACCTACTCAACCCGTCAGTTGTGAGACATGGTTGCATCCAGTCTACCTCCATCTCCTTCATCACAGTCTACCCATGCGTAGGAGCTAGACCAGCAACAGCACCAACATCAACAGTACAGTACAGTAGAGCAACCATGCCGAGCAACCAGTCATTCAGGTAGCCACTCAGTCAGCTCCTCAGTCCAGCCATTCAACCCGCAAAACCTTACAGTCTAGCCGTCCATCCATGCACCGAGTATGTGTGCACCGAGTATGTATGTACTGCGATGAGGCACACACACACACACACACACACACACACACACACACACACAGACACACACACACACACACACACCATCCCAGCACATCCCAGCACATCTATAGACACGAGACCCAGACCTTCCAACCCCCACCTCTCGCAAAGAAAACACTGTGATGATCATGTACTCACCACATCAACACTCACACCCACGCACACGAGTGAGATGTGAAGAACTGTAGGTACATTGGTGGGTGTTGACATGATATGACACGACACGACACGACACGACACGAAACATGAGCCGGAGTGCAAGTAACCCCTAGATTCGAATTCTTGATTCACCGTATAACACGAGTCGATTCGTCGAGGAAGTAGAGCACACGCTCGGATCAATCCATGCATTTCACGCACCACCAACCAAAGAAACACTCCAGCAACCAGGTCAAAAAGCCGCATATCAACACCACACACCTCATTCACATTCAGATTACCACTCGCTCCATCCACCCACCTCGACTACAAGCACTACAAAAAACAAGCCGTCGAAACACCACGCTTGGAAACCAATCCCCCGCTCGCTTGCTACCTATACTTGACGTGTAGGGCCACCCAACGCCCGCCATCCAAGCCCGAGACCAGAACCCATAAACAAGGGACAAAAAACGCCGACTCATGCAGTAAGTATAGTATACAAAAAACCACCACGCCTAGCCTGCATATTCAAGAAGCCACAGCATACGGTAGACCGCTAAAGTCTTCCCATGGCCAAGAACGGATCATTGTCCCTCCCGTGAGAAGAAACGCCGCCGATCAGCTACACCAGCACCGTAACCAAAAAAACACAAACGCCCCCAACCCCACATTCAACACGACCCCGAACAACCCCACAAAAAGCCAGAACTACGCGATAGGCCAGCGCGTGCGCAGCCCCTGCGTCCACTGCCCGTAGAGAATATCCGCGAGCAGACCCTGCTGCTCCATGCCCTTCTCGACATGGCCGGGTAGTTTCTTCTCGTCGAGGGCCCCGTGCGCATCAGGGGGCATTAGTTTCTCGCCGCCTGCAAAAGCGCTCTGGCGCCGACGGTGGGATTTCACTTGAGGGTTGTTCTGGGCGAGGATGAGCTTCGAGGTCTTTGTCGGGGAGCTCATGGGCGTGCTGTTGGGGGTCTGGTAGGGCGAGGAAGAGCTGTAGTCGTCCGAGGCTTTGCTTGTCGAGGTTGTGGATGTGGTGCTGGAGCGGATGCGTGTTGTGCCTTTGCCGTGGACGGTGGTGCCGCTCAGACTTGTGTCGCTGGTGTTTGTGTTGTGCTTGAGGGGTGACTTTGTGGGGGCGATCTCGAGGCCGAGGGCGGATGCGAGTTTAGGGTCGTTCTTCAGACGGTCGACCATGGCTTTGAGCAGCATGAACTCGCCGTGGGGGTCGACTTCGTCCAGCTGCGCCCAGGCCTGGGATACCCGCCCTAGAGCCTCTCGCTGAGGAGCAGACCCAGAATCGGCATATGCCTCCTGGAACACAGAGTCGAGGACTTTGCTATATGCTCGTCGGCCGTACAATGCATCTTTCGTTACTGGCATTGGCGGGTAATCTGGAGTCGGCGGTTGGTTCTCGTTGTTCATGTCTAGAGCGCGTGCTGAGTTAGGTGGCGATGGTCGAAATGTCGGGGCCTGAGGGTTGAACCAGTTGCCCTGGTTGGCCTGGTCTGGCGGCGGACTCGAACGCAAGGGTGCTCGACGCTCCCCAGATGGCACCCGTTTGAAGTGTCGCACAGTCGATGGTGAGTTGCCAAAGGTGAGATCGACGCCGAGGGGCTGCTTGGGGGCGTTACTAACGCGTCGAGCAGTTGGTGTCGAGCCAGAAGAATCGCGTAATGCTGTTGCTTGTGATGACGTTCGAGATGTAGATCGACGGCGTTCTGCTAGAGGGGATTCTGTGATCATGCCGAGTGGTGCGGCGTTTAGGTCTAAGCTCTGCATCCCTGAGTCTACATCTGAAGCCTCCGCAGAAGGAATGCGTGCAAGCTTGCGTCGCCGCCCGCTCTGGCGCGCGGGAGCCACTGTGCCTGGTTTGAGAGTGTCGAAAACCCATTCATCATCTCGTGTCCGTGAAGATAGGTCGATCCTTCAAGAATGTCAGTGGGTGACCCGAGTCGTCAAATCAGCAAACTTACATGGTCTCTTCGTAGTACTTGGGTTGCGAGACGGTCTGTGTTTCTCTTTGAGTATCCCACATTTGCTTGCGGTCAACCAGCTCTCGCAATAGCTCGACTTTGCCTGCACGCTGAACAAATCGATGCTTCAGTAGTTCTTGTGCGGTCGCTCGTCGATCTGGGTCCTTGATGAGACATTGTGCAATGAAGTCTTTGAAGTCTTTGCTCCATCGGTCGCCTTGTAAACGGGGAGCGGGGTTCTTGGGGATTGTGAAGAGCACCTTCATGGGGTGGGCGCCGGCATGTGGTGGTGCGCCTTCAGCCAGCTCCATTGCGGTGATGCCGAGTGACCAAATATCAGCCCTGAAGTCGTAGCCCGCCTCTTGTATAACCTCGGGCGCCATCCAGAAAGGTGTGCCCACGAACGTCACGCGGATGGATTTCATGTTGGTCAACTGTGCAGCAACACCGAAGTCGGCGAGCTTGACCTTGCCCTGGTCGGTCAGGAGGACGTTGGCAGCCTTGATGTCGCGGTGAATTTTGCCTGTCGAATGCAAGTAGTCGAGTCCCAGGAGAAGCTCGCGACACGTTATCGCGATTTGTGCCTCGCTGAAGGGGCCGGGTGCCAGCTGCAATTGTCAGCACGCATGTCATGGCTGCTTTTCCATGAACCGCATACCAGATCTGCAGCCGAACCACCACCAAGATACTCCATGACGATCCATAACTTGACGCCCTTGACGAAACTCGTCTTGTATGCGGTGATGTACGGGCTGTGGCAGGTGCTGAGCAGTGCGATCTCTGCTTGGATGTCGGCAAGCTCCTCGGAGCTGTCTTCGAGGTCGATCTACGCAAGGGTGAGTGTGGGGGTGGGAAGACGAGATGGGCTTGCACGTACGTGCTTGATGGCGACTGTCTCGCCAGTTGACCGGTCAATGGCCTTGTACACTTTGCCAAAGCTCCCACCTGTGATCCTGTCAGCCCTATGGTGTTTCGTGGTCCCACAAGTGACGTACTGCCTAGCTCCTCCATGACTTGGTAGTTCTCAGCCATCTTGGGCCGTGTTCCTGCGACGTTGCAGGCGCTCAGAATATTGGGGTCGTGGTCGGGCACAGGCTGAGAGAATGGACAGACGGCGGGGCCGTTGGATAGAAATAGGGGTTGTGCGGTGGTGGTGATGGGGGTGATAGGGCTGCTGCTGGTGCGGCCATGAAAGTGATAATGGACGTCGAGGGTGCAGGGTCCGTGGCCATTGCCCCAGCAACCGCGTCAACAGACGCACGCCCCGCGGTGATTTGGCTAGCAACACAAGCAAGATGATCATGACGTCGCGACGCTATGGGCGCGATCCAGGCAATTTCAGCTGTGTGCATCGACGGTCCAGGTGCTTGCAGTGACTTGAACGACTCCCAGACGCTGAGGTGGGCGGTTGCGGGTGCTTCCCCAGAGAGGCCACGCCTTAGCCCATTCTTGCACCAGCCCCATCTTGCCGATTTCTGGAATGCCACCCTGCATGAGAAGTCGACTAGATCCCTCGACGGCGGCACCGCCCGAGTTTGTGGAATAGTCATCCGCATGGAGTTACTGTCCGCACTCTGGAGCTCGAGCCAACAATGACATAGATGGGCTCGACTACAGCGACGCCTGGCCAGCAGTTACTATGGACAACCGTTGGTAGCTCCCAGCCCCAGATTGCGACACGGCAGAAGAAAATAGACCTGTCACGGGATGCCTGTCGCTTAAGCAGCTGCCATTGAGCCGTCGAAGCGGTCTGCGTTGTCTTGCAGGACTGGAAACACTCGAGGTGCCAGAAGACTTGCACAATGCACTCTACGCGCGTTTGACCGCCCATCTCTGTGACAGCACGCCTGGGCCATGTTCGTGTTGCTTGCTTTTGGCAGTCTGCATCGACATGCGCTCGAGCCGTTGGCGGAGGATTGCTGCCCCTCGCGCTCGTACAGACGACGATCGAGCGTCCCACTGCACGTCTGTTGACGTGGTTTCAGGCGTGCATGCCAACGGCCAAGATGCGGCCAAAGGAGCAACGATCAAAACACTGCCTTCGCACCAGACCAGTGGTCACACCACGCTGGCAACGCTAGAGATGCAGGCCAGCCCATGGACACACAGCTGGTTGCTCGAGTGGATTTGTTTGTGTGTGGCCTGAGCACCACGCGCGTGAGCATGGCAGCACAAAGACTGCGGCGCCCGCTGCTGTACCACTGTCCAAACCCCGCCGCCTTTGCCAACCTCGACTCCAAGAAATGCACCCTTCAGATGGCCTGGAATGGCTTCCTGTGCTAACAGCCCGACGCTGCTGAAGACGTGGGTGGAGTGGTTCAAGGGCTCCGTAGTCCTCCGCCTGCTCGGCCTTCCTGTCGCGTTATTGGGCCTTTGTTTCGAGTTCTCGCCCGCCACCAGCTCGCTAATTTTGTACCGACTCTCACGCCGCCTCCGCCGCTCGTTCCTCCTCTGCACACACGGCAAAGACAATGCCATGAGCGTCAAGTCGTCCGCTGGAGGAACAGATGCCATGGACCGCGCACAGCCCCAGCCCAAGCCAAAGCCAAACGGCCTCGCCCGGAAACGGTCCATGACCCTGGGATCCGATCGCAGCAGAGCCGCGCTATCGCCAGGGGTCCAACTCGCATCAAATCTCAGCGGTCACCGCTCTGACCCTCCCGCCCCTTCTACCACCATCACCACCACCACCACCACCACCTCCTCTCCCTCCCCCCTCGAACCCTCCCCCGACATGTCATCCCATTCCCGCTCCAAGACCATGTCGCACGTTGATGTCCTCTCCCAAGGCAAGCGCCTGTCGCTGCAGTTCCCCATCCAACCCGCTGCTGGCAGCAATTCGCCCATCCACACACCGCGCTCGCGTCCCCAGTCGTGGGCAATGGCGCCGTCGCCACTCTCGCCAGATTCGACGGCCTCCTCGCCCGAACCAAATCTCCTCGCCGTCCTCGCCGCCCAGGAGCGCTACGTCCTGGAACTCAGGGAGGAACTCACAAAGGCCGAGGCGGACCTCAAGACGCTGAAGAGGCAGTGGTCGATGCACGAAGCCAACAAACGGCGCAGCGACTCGCGCAGGGTCGCCCAGATGCAGCCCGTCAACACACTGCTCATCGACATCCAGCCCGACCAAGAAGATGATGACGGGTCCATATCCATGCAGCGCGAGATGGAGCGTAGAAAAGCCTTGCTCAACAACACAAAGAGCTCACAGCGCAAGGTCTTCAGTGGTTCGAGGCACCTGCGCACGCTCTCGCTCCTCTCACCTGACAAATCCTACACGCCCTCCTTCCCCCAGCCCATCGATGTCCACAACGATGAGCCTATGGACAAACAACCTGTGCCTCTCTCGCGGACCTCGACATCGTCTGATCTTATGCGGAACCTCATCGATGATACCAACATGGACCGCTCGGACACAAGTAGCGTAACCAACATGCAGCGCGACAATATCATCCGCGCTAGCTCTCAGATCGCAACCGACTTCAAGAACGGCCTGGTTACCTTCTTCGAAGACATCAGACAGGCTACTGTTGGTGATGAAGCCGTCTCTGGCAACGACAACTTCGCCTTGGCCAATGGCAGGGGTCCCTCGAAACAGTCCGTCCGCAACCCGTCCGGCGGCCGCCCACCCCTCAGTCGTTCAGCCAGTTCCAAAAAGACCACACCAAGATCAGGTTCTATAGGCGATGACTTTTGGAAAGAACATGGTTTGAGTGAACCCACACGAACTACCATGAATAAAAAGACTCACGCGATCAAGACCCCACAAAAGCAAACCCAAAGAGCCGTGGAGGAGTTCGAAGATTGGGATAACTGGGACACGCCGAGCGAAGCAAAGGCCGTGAACACGCACGACAGCTCCGACGAGTCTGACGTGCCGTCGTCGGAAACCTCTGGCAGTGCACAAGCGAGCAAGATATACCACTCGAAGCGTCACGACTCCAAGGCGTCGTCGCAAACTACTGCCAGCTCCGTGGGCCATGCCGACGACGCTGCACCACGCGAACCCAAGCGCAACTCAATCCCCTGGCCGGATCTAGTCAAGCTGTCGCCCACCCACCTCAAACGCACAGCCTCGCATTTGATGAAGGAATGGGAGAAGCAGCTCACCCCTCCCCCAGAGTCTCGCGACTCAACCCACTCCCATGGAGACTACCTTGGCCGCTGCGGCTCGCCTACTGGCCTTCCTTAATGACAAAACGACCCACACGCCAGGACAACGCTCTGATGATGTTACGCGACCATACCCCATGGTCGACATGAAATTTTCTTTAATATAGAGGAGCAGAGCTTTGCATAGTGGTTTGGTTTGGTCGAAGATTGAATTTGACATAGCGAGGCGTTGGGATGGGCGTTTGAGCGTGCAATGGATGGACATGCACATCATACGTATTTAAGCGTAGCGACGACATATGTATTGTCGATCAACTTTTTAGTCTTTTAGTTTGCTTAATGAATATTATATCTCACCATATCAATAATTTGTGTGCATGCCTTTTTAAAATTGATAACCAATTATCAAGGCCTGGAGCACGTTGACGTACATGTCAAATTCTCAACCGTCCCCCAACCCAGCCAAGACCTCCGCACCTCCTCCGCAAAAGTTCCGTGCCACCATCACCCACTTCCTCACAACCCACATCCACGCCCTCTCAATCCCCCCACCACACGACAAACCAAACCATGGCTTTCCCCGGCGGCCTCCCCGGCGCCATGAACCCCAACGCCGGCATGTCGGAGCAAGAAGCGCAAATGGTCAAGATGATGCAAAGCGGAATGGAGAGCTGCGTGGGCAAAACCGCAATGGCAGGCGTAATGGGCGGCGGGTTGGGCGCCATGTTCGGGCTCTTTATGGCTTCGGTGCGTAGATTTGCATGGACAAGTGGAGGATGGATAGACGGATAGAAGCTGACGAGAGAGGGATGCTAGATGCGCTACGATACGCCTATGTCGCAGCCTTTGGCCGCTACGGCACAAACACCAACTGCGACGACGACGGCGGCGACGGCGGCGGTAGGGGGTGTGAAACAAGTACCCGGCGCTGTGTCGTCCGTCGCTACCAGCATACCCACACCCACCGCCGCCACCACAACCCCCACCGCAGCAGCAACAGCAACAGCAACCCCCCTCACCGACCTCCCCCTCAAACAGCAACTCAAACACGGCCTACGAGACATGTACCGCCAATCCCTCGCCTCAGGGAAAAACTTCGCTAAAGTCGGCGCCATCTTCAGCGGCACCGAGTGCGCCATCGAGGGCCTGCGCGCGAAAAACGACCTGTATAATGGCGTCGCGGGCGGGTGTATTACGGGCGGGGTGTTGGCGAGGAATGCGGGGCCTCAGGCGGTTGCGGTGGGGTGTTTGGGGTTTGCGGCGTTTTCGGCCGCGATTGATGCTTATATGGTGAGTTTGAGCTTTTCTTTGGTGGGTTTTTGGCTTTTTGGGGGGGTTGGGCTGAACTGATGCGTTTTACAGAGGATGCCGGAGGATGAACGGAGTCGGCCGATTGCGTAGGGGGGGTTGGGGGTTTGGGGTGTTTTTTGAAAGGGTGGGATGGGATGGGATGGGGGTTTCGTCATGGTGTGGTGAAGGATAGGGTTGTACGAGTATGCTGTTGTTGTATATTATATCCGCGGATTCGGGCATTTGGGCGGCGTTCAAGGCAGTTCGCATCACATCACATCACATCACATCTCGTTACGTCGATAGAAAGCTGAAGGTACAGCACCATATGAGTAAATGACTAGAATGTATTCATGTCGCGTGGGATATATACCTATACTAGCCGAGCAGCGAAGTATCGGTGTTTTGCTGCTCGACAGTCCAGAATACCGCGTTTATCAAGTTTCACTCTTCACTCTTCGCTCTTTCCTCACGCGGGCAAGACAGATTTTCTCCAGCGAAAACAACGTATTGGCAATTTGACTACGTGAACTACATTCCACAATATAACATCCTAGGCAAAGAAAAAGCGTTCAGCAAGAATTAGGCGACCTGATAGTGCGCCATATGTGGAAAGGGGGAACGATTGTGTTCCCATCCATCCATCAGTGAGTGTGAAAGCAGACTCTTACTTCCCACCAAGAACCCAAGAGCAGGCAGAGACGCGACAAGGAAATGCGCATCGTGAACGAGCGGGGGCGTGGAGCGTACAATTTAGGAACGGGGAAACGTATTTTGGTAGGAACAGAAATGCATGGAAAGCGAAGAGCACGGTATGATCGTTAGGCGAGCGATTTACCAACGTCGAGCCATTCAGGGGAAGTATTTCACTGGATCCCCTTGCTCGTACTGGGCAAGGTCGATGCTCGTAGGTCCTCCTGTCCGGCTCCTGGGGCATGTATACACGGTGACGACAACGCCGCGTTGGTCGGTGCCTAAACCCGATCAGTTTACACACGAGACTGGTCTGCACCATGAGCAACTCACGCTTAAAATTGTGATTATGAGGAATCCAGGATCCATTAATAAACATGTGTGGGAGCACAAGCGGTAGGTAGTCTAGGGAGGTCGAATGTGCTAGCAGTGCCAGGAAGATGGGCAGTTCGCCAGTGAGTCCACCCCAGCCTTCTTGAGACACGATCTTCGGGGTGTGGTAGATGTCTGGCAACAGTAGACTCGGCCATGATTGGTCGTTTCGTTGGCAACGCAATGTGGACTCCCCGCCGGCGTTGGTCAAGAACGAGGACCAATCCGTGGTCGAGTGGTCGAAGCGCAGAGGATGCCAGACGTCGTCACGCGGCGGAGCGAGAGCGTCTCCTTTCAATACCCAAAAACCATCTCCTCCAACATAGTAAACAGAAAACGTCTTGTATACTGCTGAGCCTGGAGGAAACTGACTAATTTGGTGGATGTTTTGCGAGTCGCAATGCCAAAGTTTTCCTGTGACCCCTGCTCGGACTATTTCATGCGTTTCTGGAGCGGTGTGCACAACCAGTTTGCCGTTACAATCAAATCGTTTTTTCACGTTCGGATTCTGCTTCACTTCGGTGATTCGGAAGGTGTATGGTGGCTAGAAACCCATGATGTTAGAAGGCCATTGCAAAGTGGAAACCCCAAAACATACCGACATTACCACCCTTGCAACCCGCTAAGGGTGTTTCTGCAGGAGATTCTCGGGTGACGGTATGGTATGCGTAAATGCGCCGCGGATACATCCAGCCTGCTGCACGCTCTCGCAACTCCCCCTCCCTTCTAGGCCTTTATCTTTCCCGTTCACCATGCGGCTCTGCTCTCCACTGGTTATCAGAGACAGTATCCGGTATGTGAATCACGCGCCAGTTTGAGTAACCAGAGCCAGCGCAGACACGAATATAGGGAAAGCGTCTGATATGCTGGAGCAAGTCCTAGACCAAGCACTGTGGCATCATTCTGCATGGATTACAGACGGCCAAGCGATGAGATCGCAGCCATCATCATGTACCCCGCCAGTCTATGCCACTGATACCCTGGGGCTTCCGATGGTTGATTATGCCGAGCCGTAGCTGTTCAGTGGACGGAAGGAGCACCAGACCGGCCGGTAGTCATTGCCCCGACCATATGGACGTGCTGTTACAGTCGAACCGCGATTTGCGATAGCCTTCCCTATGGTTGATAGCACTCGGCGAGGCGTGGGGTTTCGCAACTATCGTGGAGAGTGTCAGCTGCGATTGAGTAAAACTAGTTGTGCTGGCCGGCCGAGAATCCTGCCTGGGGGTCATGCAGAGTGTAGCTTGCATGCCACAGCACATCGCCTCCGACCAACCAATACAGGCCGTAACACACCCGCCCAGTGACGCTCGAGCAAGACCCTATCCTGGCGAAGCGCCCTGTCGTATCTTCGTTCGCGTCAGCCCATATCATGGGACAGCAAGAGGACGGGTCGTAGAGAGTCTTGCCGAAGGAATTACCGTGCGATCTAAGTGTATGTCCAGTCGTGAGATGTTTGGTTTTGTTCCGCGGATACTACAGAGAGTTGAGAAAGCGGTTTGTTGAGGAATTCCATGAACGCAGCAATGCGGAGAACAAGTGCCGAATCCGATACAGCCATGAACCTAAAGGGTGATAGGCAGGTGTTGCATGCAACAACCTTTCGCAGATTCCCTGCAAATATCGTATTGCCACAATCAGATACGCATGTGTCTCCACCTAGGCGATCAAGATGCGAATGCGGCTCTGCTCCATCGAGGGGTTATAAGCCAGACAACCGATGTTTCGAAGTGCCGAGGAGTGACTGCGGGCGCTTATCAAGTTGATTCGACGACAAAGGCTTTCAACAGCTAAAGGCTGTTTAGCGACTGTGTGAGTAAGAATTGGTAAGTTCTTCCAGCCCTAAGCTCAAAAGATGCGGGCACAAAGGGGATATAAGTAGAGGTAGAGATTTGCAATCGGCTGACCAGGTACACTGAAAGTTGCGGCGCCGAGTAAGCGCCAGGAAGCTCTTGAAGGACTTTGCATGGTTGCCCTACGGCGTATCTCCATGCAGCCACATTGCTTTTTTCACGGGCAGCGACATATATGGGCCTGACGATCAAGGGGGACATGGCTGTATCGGTTTTCTTCCCTCACCGGACGCAGCCCCTGCTGGTTGAGTTCGACTGCCTGCAACGACCTCAATCAGCGGCAAAACACAGCCAACACTCACCGGTCGGCATCATGGCGGCATGAAAAATACCTCAACACAGCCTCGAAGTCGTACACACAAGCCGACTCGGCTCTCATCTGACCTGTCTCGACCACGCACACAGGTCACGGCCCGTTCGTCAGGACACAGTATCGTCTCGAGCTTTGATACCCGGCTGCCGTTGCGAGATGATCGGACAAAACAGAATCGAGTAAGAGCCCCGCATCGAGAAGCGATATACATTGTCGGCAAATCGCTTGCGTCTGTTGGATGACGAACTGACCAAATTGTACGTTTGAAGACCATTTTACGCACCTTCCCGACCAAGGTTTTGCTATCGAAGCTAGGCCAGGTGGCGAGTAAGATGTTTTTGCTTGCGAACATTTTGTCTTGGGATGTGTTACTCGCTGCATGTGCCGGCTCCTTTGCCTGCCACGAATTTGCGCCAGCAGCATTCCCAGTCAAGAGCATGGCACGTGTCGGTGATCGAGTGGTAAGATGGCGCTTTTGGGTTCGATACGAGTCCTTGGAGCTGTTGTTCACCAAGACGCAAAATCTTCCGAGTCATGATAGGCTATACTTACTTCATGAGAGCTCACAAAATTCCTATCAGACTCAACGCTCCTATCTCCACCCATTAGAGACTCACGGCCAACGCCAAGAAGTAGCAGACGATGATGGCTAGATCGGTGTAGCTGGATCCCTCTTGAGTATCGGAATGCACGGAAGAGGCGTGGGTTGTACTCGCGTCAATTTCCGCCACGCTGGATCGAGACGTCTGGGCGGTAGAGTATGACATCAGACTAAAGCCAGTCGTGAACGTGCGAGTTTACTCTGGCCCCGTCTGTTTGGGCGTATGGAAGAGCTTCATAACCAGGATGTTTAGAGTGGACCCTTCCTGACCGGGAAGGTTGTACCCAGACATCATCGGCCCGATGTCACATCAGAAGTCGCAACAAGTCCATACTGGTTCACGTACTGAGATCTTGGGACGTGTACGCCGTTCTGCTCAGAACCGTTCGGTGACGAGACTCCGAAGTTTGCTTCTGAGGAACTCCTGCAGATCGCGGCGGCTAATGCCCGGATCGACGAGGGTTAAACTGCGGTGTGATCTACCGGATAAGCTATGAGCTTGTAGAGATCGAGGCAAAGCGCCGCCAGTGTAGCCGCCATCCCCACGATTTGGAGATGTTTCCAGATGGGTATCTACCTATCGCAGCAAGTTGACCGAGACGGCCCGAGGAACTTGCTTGTTAGAGGCGTCTTCGAAGCGCTCGAGGCTGCGAAAAGACGATTGAGATGGAACTGAGAAGTGGACGGTGAAGAAAAAGGGCATTTGAGTTCCGAGTCAGCAGCAGCAAGTACAGGGTGGAAGTCTCACCATCGCCGTTGCCTTTCGAGGAGATACTTAGTCATCGTGTGTATGTAGTCTATACCAATTAGAGTGCTAGTGTTGCACTAGCGCCTTACTGAAATTTGCCTGTTTCGAAAGCAGTCCGCACAATCACACCCCGCCACGATCGAGAAATTTTATACCAGTGCACAACGAGCATTCACCAAAAGTGCGCTAACACAAGTGACTGTAACGAATCCTGAGAACGAAAGAGAGGGAATTCCATACATTGAAAACATAAAAGATGGCGACCGAAAACTCCCAAAAACCAATCCATTCCCTGATTCTCGACACCGGACCCTTGATCAAAAACGCCGTCTCAATATCCACAATCATCAACTCCGCTGAGGAACTCTACACCACGCCTGCCATTCTCTCTGAAATCCGGGATGAGGCGACCAGGTCACGAGTCAAGACGACTCTCATGCCATTTTTGAAGATCAGGAATCCGAGACCGGCAAGCTATGAGGCGGTGATTGCGTTCAGTAAGAAGACGGGCGACCATGCGGTGCTGAGTAGGCAGGATTTGGGCATCTTGGCGCTGGCGTACGAAATACATTGCGAGAGGAATGGGGGGCCTTGGGGACTGAGGGATGCGCCAAAGGGGCCGCTTAAGCAAAAGCCGGAGGAAGAGAAGAAAGAGGCAAAACTGGCTGAATCAGAGCAACCCACGAGTGGGGAGGGTCAAGTTGAGCCGCAAAGTGAGCAAGTAGTATCCGAAGAGAAGGCGGCCGAGACCACAACTACGGGAGAGGACACCACCGAACAGGAAGCACCAACAGCACCAACAGTAGACGATCAGCAGGAATTGGAAACGCAAGCAGAACAATCAAACCAGGAGCAAGAACCAACATCCACAGAGCAGAAGTCCGTTGAGCCGGAGGTTACTACAGCTCCGGAAAACCTCTCAAAAGACATCGCAAACCTTGCCATCTCTTCCACCCGACAACCCACCCAACAGCCCACCCCTCCCGCCACCGACTCTTCCAACTCAGACAACGACGACGACGACGCCAACGACAACGACGATGACAACGACGGCGAATGGATCACTCCCTCCAACCTAACCAAGCACAAAGCCAAAGACTCCGGCGCGCAAACCTCCGCGCGCACAGCCTCAGACCCCCAAACCGACGTAGCAACAATGACCATCGACTTCGCGATGCAAAACGTGCTCCTCCAAATGAACCTCCACCTCCTCTCGACCAACATGCAGCGCATCAAGCAGCTGAAATCCAAGGTCCTGCGCTGCCACGCCTGCTTCAACATCGTCAAAGACACAACCAAGCAGTTCTGCCCGCGCTGCGGCGGCGCAACCCTGAAGAGCGTGTCGTGCTCCACAAACGCAAAGGGCGAGTTCCGCGTCCATCTCGCCAAAAACTACCAGTACAATACTCGTGGCGATCGGTATAGTGTGCCGAAGCCGATTGCGGGCACGGCGAACGGGAAGTGGAGTGGTCAGGGTGGAGGCAAGGGCGGGTGGGGCAGGGATCTGATTCTCGCTGAGGATCAGAAGGAGTATTCGAAGCAGATGACTGAGGAGAAGAGGAGGGGCACGAAGGATCTTATGGATGAGGATTATCTGCCGGGCATTCTTACGGGGGATCGGGGGCGCGCTGGTGGCAGGCCTAAGGTCGGGGCTGGGAAGAATGCGAATTCTAGGAAGAGGTTTTAGGTGTGCGAACTTGGAGGTGGGAGGGATCTTGACAAGCATGGAGGGACTATGTGTTTGTGGTAGAGGGTTCAGGACATGATTTATGATACCTTGCATTAGACAGGCGTTTTTGCGAAAATTCAAAAGTGGTTTTATTGGAAATTGGGAGATGACTTAGGGTATCACGGAAAATAGACATTGCAACGGCGACCTCCACCCTCAGCTTCCCATACCCCAGACGACTACGTTGCCGTCGCCGCCAGCACTAGCCCACTCTCTTCTTGTCTTGCAGAACGCGACAGCAGATACGACGTCCTTTTTGCCAGCGGGCTGCCCTGTTGACCTGCCCATAACCTCCCTCATCTCAGAGTGCTTGAACTTGTGCAAACATTCGCCTTCCAGCAGATCCCAGGCGAAGATCATACCGTCGTCACTCCCACTGAGCACCACGCTATCATTCAGGCCCAATGTACTTCTAACACGAAGGTCCTTGTTCACAAACGCCTCATCGCGGTACGCTTTGAGCAATTGCCCGTTGGTACGATCCATAAGCCGCACGGTGGAGTCCAGAGAGCTGACCAGCACCTCGCTTCCCTTCTTGCTCACGCTCAAACTCGTGCATGGCCACCCCACGACATCCACCTCACACATCCCCGTGCGCAGATCATAGCTGCGCACCCTGCCGTCCACACTCGCGGCCAGAACCTCCGCCCCGTACACCGCAACATCCGTCACACTATCCTTCGCATCCGCCAGCGTCATGACGGGTTTGTACGAGTTCGATCTGAGGTCCCACACGCGCACCGTGCCATCAAAGCTCCCACTCACAACCACACTGTCGGCCTCGCCGCCAAACACGCCCCGATTCACACGCCCCGCATGTCCCGTGAAGCGGCGGATCGTCTGCGCAGTCTGCACATCCCAGACGAAGACTGTCTTGTCGCCGCCGGTTGAGACGAACTTTTCGTTGTCTTCGCTGACGTCGATGCTGAGGACTTCGTAGCCGTGCGCCGTGTACTTGTTGACGAGGCCTGGCGTGTAGGCGTTGGAGGGAGGGGCGGCAGAAGATAGAGGCGCTTTCGAGGGGTTGTACAGGCGGATTGTGCGGTCGGAGGAGCCGGTCAGGATGTAAGATTGGCTGCCGGAGGAGTAGGCGACGGCGTGGACGGGGCCGGCGTGGCCGGTGAGAACGGCGATGGGGGTGGTAGGGAAGGCAGGCATAGTGGGTATGCGTTGGTGGTTGGTACTCAAGGCATTGTAAGGCAGTGTCTGGTGCTAGATCGGTGTATATCGGCCGAGTAGATGGAATTCAGGGTCGAGTCGCATGTTGGTGAATGGCCCGTCAGAAGTCGGAGCTGAGGAAGGAGCTATGACGTCTCGGCTCTTCTTCGGGGAACTTTTCATTGCTGAACAGCTGCCTCCATCTGTTGCAACTCAAAGCAACAACAACAAACGCGTCGCATAACCGCCAAGAGCTTTGAACCAAATCGCAATCACCTCCACAGTCTTACTACAGACAGAGATTCTGCAAAAATGACACTCCGACACCTAGATGCCGCGCCCAAGACGGAAGACTATACCCCACTCCAAGAGCATCAAGAGCAGACGCCGTCCACCTTCTTTGGTGCAAAACCAGTGCTGTATGCGCGATATGGCGGGCTCACACTTTCTGTGCTAGCTTCACAACTCCAGGAAGACGCAGCATTTGCGAAGCTCAGCACAGAGCCTGACGGCGACGATGTGCTTGTCAAGAATGTGGAGATCTGGGTCAATTCAGAGTACGCGTGTTTAGCTTTAGTTTTGTACAGTTGCACTAACATCCCTCAGGAACCTCATCCTCTTCCAAGACTCGCCCACACCTACCGGTGTATCAATCCCGTACCCCTCTGTCGCACTCCATGCTACAATGAAATACAAATCCACCATCGAGGCCCTCTACATGAACATCTCCCTCAACGACGCCGACACTGTCAACGAAGAAGAAGACATCAAGACCCTCGAGCTCACCGTGCTCCCGCCCAATTACGTCTCGAGCCCCGTCGCGACATGCATCATGGACATTTTCACCGCAATGAACACATGCGCAGATCTGCACCCAGATCCCGATGCGAGTGACGACGACGGTGGTGACGATTTGGACGAGACTGCACCAGGAGCCTCGGGCTGGATCACGGCGGAAAATATGGACGAGTACATGGACGAGGATGGGAACTTTGCAGGCATGGTCATGGGTGAAGAGTTAGGGCCTGGGGCAGGAAGCGTGAGGCAGAGAGACGAGGGCGATGGGGCGAATGGCGTCAACGAACATGAAGAGAAGTACTACCGTACTGGTTAGGCGTAGAATGGTTGGCGTTCAGTAACGAGCCCCGCAACGAAGAAACGGCCAAAAAGGTTATCAAAACTTAGCACTGCAGCGACGCATTGAGAGAAAAACGGTGTTGTTGTAGGTACACAATATCAATTGAGAAGGAACGGAACACTAAGTCGAGACGCAGATGAACCAAACCGATCCTCAGTTCCCAAAATCAAAATTGTGGAACAACGTATTCCAATTCAAAATTCCACTGGCTAAAATCATGAACTTTCGCAACAGTAGATGTTCTTCGCCCTCCGTAACCCAAATAACGCCATACTCCTCCCGCTAACCAGCACAAAATAGTCCCAAGCACCCTAAAAAAACACACACCAAATATCTACCAACGCGCAGGCCCCCGCATCGCCTTCCAGATCCTCCTCCACATGGTCTCCCTCTCCACAACGCCCTCTTCCACCCGCTCCTCATACCCCGGCGGTGCCTTCTCCCCAGCCTCACTTTCCCTCCACCCCTCCCCACCCACATCCTCAACACAAACAGCCACCCTCCTCTCACCCCCCACACACTCCCGCGAATAAACCGGCGCCGGCTCCCGAATAACCCCCACCTCCAAATCCCCTATCCTTCCATCGTTGTTCCGGCATGCACCTCGCATCCCCGTCCTGATCTGTCCCACGAGCGATGTGGATGTAGTTTCTGAGCGTGGGGCTTTCGGTGTTGTTTGCGCTTTCTTGCGTCGCTCGAGTAGGACGATGATGAGGGTTAGGAGGGATATGATGCTTAGCACTGTGCTGGCGATTATTGCGGTGTGGATGTGTGTTGGTGTTGGGGTTTGGGAGTGCGTGTGGGGGCGGGTTGCGGGCATGGCTGATTTCGTGTAGTGTTTGACTTTGTGGAGGTGGCTTTGTGGTTTGGAGGGTTGTTTGTGCTTTTCGAGTTTGCAACAGCGGAAGGAGGTGTTTTGACAAGATTGAGAGGACAAAAGTCTTGCTTTGAGTATAGGTTTGGATAACGCAAGTCGACTTGGATTGGTAGTTATGTGTTCAAAGTGACTGGGGAAAAGGATATTGGTTGTTCTTGACGTCTATTCATTCGGGGGTTGATCGAAGAGAAGAAATACTAATACATGCAGATCAACAACACAACATCGTTAAAACCACAAATTACCATTATCGTCCCCCATGTCATTGTCCCTCGGTCTGTCCGTTCAAGCTTTACCCCAGACATCCATTATCCAGCTAGCCCGACTACCGCTCAGCCAGCCCCCACAAACCCACTAGTCGCTCACCGCAAGCACGTTACACTACACGCACGCCCACTCCAGCCACAAAAACGCACCACAGCAATCAACTGGAGCGACTCTCAGCCCTACGCGTCAACCGCGTTACCAAGTAGGGTATCAGCGCTAGGAAAGTCCGGACGGTGTGTTGGCGTTGCGACATTCCTCTGCGGCTGAAACGTGCATGCGTAGGGCTGCGAATCTCTGCTTTGATCGGGCCCTGAGCGTCGAGCCCCCAGCTACGCCTCCTAACAGTCGATATGCAGCTAACGCGCAACCCACCGCATAATCCTGATCTGTCGCAAAGTTTATGTATTTATACAGCGGAGGATGTGGTTGGATTGGGCGCATATGCAGGGACTGGCGTATCGGTGTGTTGGATCTGGTACTGCGCCTGCACGCGCTCTTGGTCTGTTACGACTTCGTTGTATGCTGGGGGTGGTTTTGCGACGGCTGTTGTGTTGACGTGGGTGACGTCCTCTTCGTCTGGGTCTTGCGGTGGTGGGAGCGGTGCGGCCATGGGAGTAGCTGTGCGTTGCTTCCATGCGCGGTAGTGGAAAAACATGTAGAATAGTGCAGAGGCACCCACTAGCACGGCCATGATGATTCCAACTTTTGTGCCTACGCTCATGCCTTTCTCTTTTAAATGTTCCGTTCCCTCGTTGTTGTTGGTGTTGTTGTTGGTGTCGTTGTCACTGGGTTGAGTGGGTGTATCCATCACGCCGCTTTCGTCTCCATCTGCCACACCCCACGGGAACGTCTCGTTGTATCGATACACCGTATCATCTTCGTAGTACAGTTTCCCCCAGCGCGGCTTGTTGTGTACCATGAAAATCTGGCTTCGGTTCACCCTTTGATCGTTATCGGCATTTACCAGGAAGAAGGAACACACAGATATGACCAGCAGATCCTCGCTGCGTCGCTTGTCATGCGGCTGGTAACTATTGCCATTGTACTCGGGAATCTTCAGCGTTATACGCGAGCCGTTTTGGTAACCTGAAAGTTGACGGGATATGGTGTCGACTTGTGTTGTAAAATTATCGCACGCCTGCCACCTCTGCTCGCCGACCAATTTTGTTGAGTCTTGGGGACAGCTAATGCAGTCGATAGCTATCCCGCTCACAGCGTTGTTTGTATCTTCGGGCTCTGTCCACGATACCTCCACAATGTCATTGGCTGTGATACCCGCATCGATTCCACCAAATGAGCGGTTACCGGCGCTGTCGTAGTCCGTGGACGAGTTTAGGTGGTTGATCGTGGACTGTATGTATGGGATTGCAGAGGGGCCGACTCCCCCAGGGAGTGGAAAGGCGAAGGAGGCGTACGTGAGGTTGGACATTGTCGTTGCTATGGTGGGTTGAAGACATGGGAACAGGCCATACTATGATTCAGCCTAGAATCGAAGCGGGTCTCGTTATCATCTTAATCGTTTCCTCGAGAACCTCAATGAATCATGCGATGCCGCCTGATTTTCCAATTCATCGAAATATCTCTCGCGGGAATAACTCCTTCTCTTTTGAGTGTTTGGGCGCCGAGTATCCGGGCCGTACCGGGTTCTGATTGGCGGATTACGGTTTGCGGGACCGAAAGGCATCGCCGAGGTCCTTGGAGACCAGGATAATCTCCTGAACGGTCATCTAGTGCTGAGATCTGAAGCAAGGATCTAACGTCGTGAGGCTCTGTCTAGAACGTAAGAAGTTGTGCTTAGCAACATGGTTGTCCGATGTTCGCCGGACACATCTATGGAGGGGGGCCTGAGCAGGGGCGCGCATGCAAAGAGAACCTATACTGGCTGTCGGACGATATGGCGGCATTTAATCTTGGCCTTGTGATTCTCCTTACATGTGTGCACTAGCGATTGTTGGGCAAGGAACGGATGTCTAGAGGCCACATCTATGGTCTTGCAAGTCCTACGCATGATATGTCCCATTGATGACAACATCGGACACATGCTCAGCTCAGCTTAAATGTCTTTTCTTGTTCTCGTTCTCGTTCTTGATTTTGATGCGGGTTCGATGGGAGGGTTGAGTCGTGTTGTGTTGATAAGACTGGGTCGCCGTTGAAGAAAAAGAGGGCTAGGCTCGGAACGGCTACAAATGTTTGTCACTCCCAACCTCTCCTCTAGATTCCATTCTAATGCTATCACCACCAATTTATATCTATATCATGTAATGAAAATCGTCAACTCCAGGAATTCAAATGTAAATTCTACAGGTCCCGCGAATGGTACAAGCTAAAAGGCGCGATGTGGGCACCTATCTACGCTCACAAAAGCTCGACAGGATAGTCACGACAGTCTCATCGGACACAGTTCAAAACGGATGTTAGGCTAGAGAGATGGTTAGTAGTCTACAATACTGTTGTCTCAACTTGTAAATCATCGAACTTCTCGTCCTAACTGAATATTTTGTATCATGATCAACCAATACAAGTAAGTGCCTGCTTGGTCTTTCAAGCGCCTCTAGATGTGATGATTCAGGTGGCACAGAGACATTTCTGCTAGCATTTTATAATCGCCCAAGTTTCATCTGCTCAGATAGTCTTTGACTGCTGATCAATCGAGATTGTGGATCAGTGATTGGCTGTCAGTGAAAGCAGTTTGTTTGCCAGACTACATTTATTTCAATGCGTTCGTGAAGGGTGTTCGTTTCCCTTTCCCACAAGAACAACCAGCTTGTATCAACCCCCATCAGACAAAAATACTGTCTGTGCAGTACCTACCACAAGCTTGCGAGGTAAATCTGATAGCTCCCAATGGCTGGTGCGCACACCTGGTACATACTGGGAGGATAGATATGATTAACGGGCCCGCAGACAACCACAATGATACGCAAGGCGATGATGTCCCGCCCTTTGAAGCCAGCGACAATGGCTCGTGGCTGGCGGAAGACACAGAGACCCCAGTGTCTAGCACCGTCCCGTGCTCTGACCACCCCGGACTGTCAGACGTCCAAGCCCCCACTTGCAATGATCAGGGAGTCGTAACATCTGCTGAAAAAGGCTATAATGTCACACCAGAATGTAACCACAACTCTGAAGCCAAGGCCACCAATGCCAGCCATGTCCACCCACTGACTTCACAACAGCAACGTCAGCCCCCTCCACAACATCTACTGCCGGATGCCCACTACTCTCCGAGCCGTACACCGCTTCCAACCCCTTCGCCAATTGGAACGCTAACTGTATATACGGCTTCGAAGATCCAAGTACGACAATCCATCATAATTCCGCTCCAATCAAGGTCCTTGTCCCTACGCGTAACAATTCGAAGCCACGCTCGCCCAGACGTAGTGCATCCTTCGAAGACACTTATCGCCCGCTGCTGCCGGGACAAAACATCTTCGAGGACGCGGTGGTGGGTGGGGTGAGTGATCGGCGCCTAGACAACGTCCTGGGCGGCTGGGTCCCATGGGCGAACAGGAAGACTCGACTCTTACAGCCACTGTTGCCGCCATTTGAAGAGTCTGGAATGAACGAGAGAAGACAATGAGCTGAGCGTAGTGGGAGGCTTGGATTGGAAGGTAGAAGAGTTGATGATGCTAGTGGTTGTGGGATAGGGTGTCTTCGCGTGGAGTCAGTGAGAGTTAGGATGCTGAATGAATGTTGTCTGCTACTGAGTTATGAAAGGTACCATCGAACAGCGAAGGGAGGTTTTGGGGGCGACCAACATGTGCACTCACGAGACCAAACACGAATTGATATACATGTATAATCTTGGAATCTGTTGAAATCTTCACATGGACATAAAATCACAACTGTACTTTACGAAACTACAACATGCCCTTCCCTGTAGCGTCCTGATATATTAAGACCTTGCACTCAGAAAATCTTTTCATCTTTTTAGGCGCCGCAACCGTTGTTCACGTGGGTACATCCTTGAGGTAAAACAACAAACACGGATCGTCCCGCATCCGCGCATCCTCCTCGTTTTTAAAATATAGCGTAACCTTGTCCAAAGTCTTGTGCCCCAGTTGCTTCTTGTGCTGTATTAGCAGCCATGCAATCCCACTCCCATGCGGAGTACCAAGCAAAGCTTTCCCGCTGTCTTCATCCATACGGAATGTCACACCTGGCCATAGCAAACCGTCGCCTGGTCCAGTCTCGCCGCATAAGTGACGAATTATTGCTTGTGTGTCGTTGTTTTGAATCCTATACCGTAGCACGTATTTGAGATCAGCGACGTTCTCATGACTATGTTCGGTCAGTTGAATCATATCCTCCGAGAGCTCCGGGGCTAACCATTGCAGATACGCCATGTCAGACCAGTGCTGGAGATCGGGCAATATCGGGTTCTCTTCTTGATGTTTTGTTTTAAATTCAGGTCCGTAGCTCTGTGTTGCAACTAGCAGCCCATGTTCGTGACTCACTAGCGTGCAAAACTTCGCTCCTGTGGAAGGGAACAGCATCCCGTCGTGCGTCGTCGCATGAATGTGATGGTCGAATATCTCGACGTTGAGTCCACTACCTTGTATGTTGTCAGTATCAACCCCTATATGGTACAATGGGCTGATGATATTTTCAAGCTCATCGAAGTTGGGTGTTGAGCGGTTGTAACCCCATGTTTGCAAGGCTGTGGGACTCAAGAATTGGCTTTCTGCCGAAGGACGAGCAGCTGTGAACATCTGACCTGCTGTGTAGTCGTCTGCTTGCATCATTTCCAGCAGAATTGTGCCTTTTGTCAGTGCGTCGGAATATGTAAGATGTCCTTTTTCCGGAGAAGCGGCGCGGGATGTTGAGCGTTCTGAGTCTGTAGAGATGCTTGGGGGACCATCTGGGAAGTCGTTCCAGGAGGGTGTTGAAGTGTGGTTCATGGTTGTTCTACAAGTGCATATATATGCTATAATTGAGATGTTAAGACCCCTTCTTTGTCTACAAAGTTTGAGAACGGGGTTTTCTCTAGCTCTTTAGGTTTATATCCTGTGAAATTCGCTCAATTCTGCGTAAAACTGTTCGTGAGCACTGCTTATGAAGAGACTTGAGATCAATATATGAGGTATGCGTTGAGGATGCACAATGTGCCATCACAAGTCTTGGGAGCATTGTAAATTGAGAGACTGAAGAATTCGAAAGAGTAGTGTTGGTGCTAGCGGCATGGCATTGTGTATGTGAATGTAAAAACTCCAGGGAAGTGACAAAGAGCGATTTGGGTAGGTGAAATGATGGCAAGAGTCAAGGCTTGTTGAACTAGGCTTATGCATATTTATAGAACTGAGAAGTAAGTCTTAGTTTGAACCATTTTAGAGACTCAACAAAAAGACAAAGCATTGTATGAGACACCAGCTAGCAGCGTTTTATACTACGACACCTTCGCCATCAAGTAGAGGTACTTGTCTCTAGAAACAAAAGCCCTGTCTCTGGGAAGAAATTTGGTGGTAGTCGAATTTCTGGCCTTTACTCAGGGTACAATGCAAAGGCACGAGCTATCTGGATGGCCGGTGGAGCCAAGTACGACATAAGATTACAGAGACAAGTGAAACGATGCGAGTGAGTTTACAATGAAAATGGTATCGTTTGACAGCGGCATACAAGATGACCCTTAGCGCAGGATCGATATGCTTATTCATCTTCACGTGACCCAGTCTGCTTACAGGTGGTTTGCATCTTTTGTACATGTCTTTTTCCCGGGCCCGAACTGTTTGAAACCTGTGTGGTCCACATTCGAGACGTAAAAAGGAGTGCAAATATGTTTGTGGCGTTGTGGCTTAGTGTGGCCGTGTTTGGTAGTTTCGCCGAGTTCGCGGAGCTTTTCCACAATCAGCTGCAGGAGGTTCAATCTCACAATAACAAATCCAACGCCTCATCTTTCCCTGATACCAGTTCTTGAAAGCACAGGAACATATATTAATGTCGAACTCTCGATCATGGCAATTGTTGCCGCCGGACCTGGTGGAGCTTCAGATCGGACAAGTCGACCTCCTCATGGCCATGTACCCCGACGAAGTGAAACTGGATGAAAGCTCAGAGGCGCTGCTTGATACTCTACGTGAGGGGTCCAACGATGATCCGAGTGCTACCTTCAGTGCGCCGCCGACGATCTCCATCCCGCTGCGCCTACCGATACCAACATCAGAATCTGATAACGCGACCCAAGAATCCTTATTGTTAAATCTTACAGTACCCTTTATGTATGAAGGAAGCTCACAACCAGAGGAACCTCCTCAAATCAAAGTGCGAATACAGCAAGCCTCATGGATGAGCAGAGCAACTACATCCAAGCTCATGGACGAGGTTTCGGAGACTGAAGATCTGCTCGGCACCCTCGAGTTCATAAAAGAAGCGACGGCGTTACACCTTAAGCGTTTTGCAGACCTGGCTGCCGATAAGCTATCACCAGACTCTGTAGTCGATGAGACGTATTCCCTCGTACGTGTGTGGTTCTATTTCCCTAGCATCAGCACACGGTCGAAACGCGACGATTTTGTCCAGCTAGCACCTCAGTATAACCTCACGGGTTTCCTTTATGCAGGCAAGCCAGGCCTTCTTTGTGTCGAGGGCAGTTCTACGAGCATCGATCTCTACATGCGCTACATCAAGACCGAGAGCTGGGGGGACATTCCTGCGCACCACAAGAAAGTCAGCGAACGATACCGAGAAGAAAGTGCAACGAGAGCCTTCTCGGACATGACCGAAATCACGGATAGTGTTGGGGAACGAAGAGGACACAGGATGAACAGATCTGACATGAAAGCTATTGAGGATTGGCTTGTAGAAAGAGGATTGGGAGATGCATTCACGAAGGTTTTGATGTGATCTCGACTAGATGTCGCATAGTATATGGAGCATTAGCCATGGCGGCATCAGGATAGATGCCAATTCACACACGACGAGTGGGCAACGTCCTGCTCACTCCCCACCACAAGCTAATGTTCCAGACTAACTGAGCCAAAACAAGAGGCTCGGCCAGCGAAAGGTATCCGTCTGGTCTTCTGCATGGAACAATGTAACCTTCTCAATGGTTTTGTGCCGGAGTTGTTCCCTATGCTGAGCCAGCAAATAGGCCGCGCCGCTTCCGTTTGGAGTTCCCAAGATCGCCTGGCCTTCCTCGCTATTTATGTCGAATGTCATTCCCGGCCAGAGGTCGAACGTATCTCGATCCTGTCTATGAATGATCTTTGAGAGAATAGAGCATGTGGCAGTGTTCTGGATGCCGCATCGGACGATGTATTTGATATTAGCTGGTGAAGTGGATGGATTTGGGTCGGAAACGAGCCACTGCAAATATGCGATATCAGACCAGTGGTGTAGAGGAGGATAGTTCATGATGGGTGGATCAAGAAGAATGCCTGCGTAAGGAGCGCACTGGTTGGCGTGAGCGATCAGAACACCATCCAAATGATTGCAGACTTGACTAAGGTACGCTCCTGTAGCCTGCTTTTTTGTTAAGACCGGTCTCACGCCGACAATGATCAAAGCAGACACTCACTACGCACACCTCCTCTCCATCAAATACGCAGTCTTCCTCGTGGATATGCTCTATCGCTACAAATTCACCGCCATCTTCTTCCATCTGGTCGTTTGCACCAAGATCTCGGAGTATTTCTCGTAGTTTTCGAATTGGAAACTTGCGCGAAGGCATCCTTCGAACGTATCCATGCCTTGGGAGATCTTCAGGCTTGTCGAAAATGCTCTGGTCCTGACCCCCGGAGGTGACCACACATTGTTCCTCGATCTGACCGTCCGAATCTAGCATACGGAGCATAGCTTGACCTTTCTCAACAGCTGCTTCGAATTCCAGATCTTTGGTCATAGCTGCGGTCGTGTGGGTGTACTCTTTAGTTGGAAATGAGGGAAAACGTGACGGTAGGGTGACAGGCAAAAGATAGAAAGTCTTCACTCCAACACAAACCGTTGATGAATCACGTCATACAAACTTTCACCAAACACTGCCAGTCGTGTTGTAGACGTTCCCGCAAGTTTGCTTTCACCATCATGAGAGCAGCAACGCAAGCCGTCATAGTTTTGATGAAAGATTGTCGCAGCCGTCGCCCAATTTCTGATCTAGAAGCTGAGCATTCTGTTCTGGAGCACGATGTATACCTTCTTCTGCGGAAGGTCACAGACAGAACACACGAATGTATGATGGCATTGCGCCAGTTACCTGTTTGTATCCGATACGGCTGTTTCTATAGATTTAATCACGGACTTGGCCTGAGGTTGGCTCTCAGTCATGTTTGGAAGTGGGGAATAACCTGCGTTCTGCTAGAATACAGTACTAAAACTTTCTGAAGTACACAAGACGCATACTGCTAGAACGCAGGCAAAAGACTCCCACATTGATTCTGGACGAAGTCGTCAAGCTGTTTCATGATTTTACTGCACTTTGGTCCTTAGTATTTTAATCAACCAAAAGAGGTACCTGCTAAGGTTTTATCTCAGCCGCAGGGCTTTGTGCCACGTTCAAATTAGTGTGACAGCCCCTCGACGGGTATGAAGGGAGAAAGTAGTGGTGTGTCAGGACAGTGCGCTTAGAATCGTTGACCTGAGATTGGTAAGTTGAGCGACTGTATCGCCTTTGTTCTAGTGAGTAGGACGTGAACAGGCTTCGCGACGGATCTCGCTCATGCTGGAGCCTAGAAGACGACGCATGAACTCCACGAGAGAACCTAGTAATCATACTGCCGCTTTTTGTCGCGATAGGTAAAGCTGAAAGCGAATCTCAGCCTGATTGACCCCTCACAGATCTAAGCCACTGTGGTTCCACTGTGGTTGAGTGACTGTGCCTCACCCGCATGAATTCGACCCCTGTCGGCGGGATAGCCGCCAGGCAGACTTGCGGTTGCAGGGGTTAAGCGAGCAGTCCCGACAGCTCTTCCAGTCCAATCGTTTGCCTTGCATCGCATACAAAACGAATCAACCACTGAGTACTTAAACACTGTTGTTGCGCTGCTCCTCACTGCATCCACACGTCAGAACATTCACATATCACAACACTCACATATCACAGCTAAAATGGACGAGTGGGTGCGAGCGCAGTTTCGCGCATCCTACTGCGACAAGAGTGGAGTTCAGTTTGGCGTCTTGAACATGGCTAAGTTCCGTAAGCGACTTGTTGATCAGCGTCCCCAGTCATCCACTACGATTGACGCTGCGCTTGCAAGGTAAGTTCTGTCACAAAACCAGATAAATGTGTGCTTACATGCAGTAGGCTCGATCTACATGTGTGCGCTGCTCTATGCAAAAGATTTCCACTTGACAAAGAAGGCCGCTTCCAGAATCGCTCCACTGTTCTCGCAACTGTCAAGCATATGAGATTCGACATGTCGGAAAGCGCAGTCCAAGCTATGGTAGAGAGGTTAGTAGTGCTTACAATAATAGTTTGAAACATGCATGATTCTGATTCTGACTTGCCTTAGTTTTGAACAACAGAATATCGCAGCTGTCAAGACGACTACTAAACCACCCTACACTCCTCCCACAACTTCTCTTCAACCTGGTCCTGCATCCGCTACAGCTAAACCCCCACCATCGTTGATGTGTGCTACCGAGCTTCGAACTTGGATCCAACAACAATACCTCAGTCAAGGGTTCAACAAATTAGGCTTCATTGGCTGGAAGAAGTTTCACGGTCTGCTTGTTCAGCAGAAGCCCAACCAAGGCCAGGGAATCACGGCTTTGCTAATCGAGTAAGTCAGTCTGAAATTTCAAGTTTGGACTTTCTCTTACAATCATTCACAGACTTCGAATACCGGGTCGTCCAGATAGTCTAGAAGATCCAGCCCGTGTGGAGCAAGCAAGATCAGCTTCCAGGAAGCAGGGAGGTGTTCAACTTGAGCAGTCTCGGTTGCAGTCTGTTCAGTTGTACAAAGCGACATCAACGCCGGCACCAGTCTCAGTCCCGGCGAAAGTGAAGCCTGCCCCCACTCATGAGGATGTGAGCGTCCTGCAGACCCCAGAACCCACAGGCCCGACCGAAAATGATCTTCTCGCACGAAAAATGAGGGGATTGGATTTCTTTGTTGACGTGAGTCATATTGCCGTGGGGTTGATGCATCGCCAGAAACGAATAAATGCTAATGACAGCAGACACAAACCTCCACTTCGACCGCGTCGGACTCTGAAGACTCGTGTGATGACATGTCAATTACGCAGGGGCTGCACTTCCACCTGATGGATCAAATGCTTGCTGATACGCGCAATACACCTGATCCGCAGGGTGCTACACATGGTCAGAACCGGGATATCCGCCAAGCACCCTTGCTGTCTAGTGAGCTTATCACAACGCATAGCAAAGATCTTCTGCCTCAGTTCGGTCTCCTCGGTAGTCATTCGGATACAGCCCTCGACAACGCAGATACAAAGTTGTTCCTGAACAGTAACGTTCCATTCTCAGCCTTCGTCTGCGGTGTTCAAGGAAGTGGCAAGAGCCATACGACCGCCTGTATGCTTGAAAATGCCTTAATTCCCTCCCCGCACCTTGGTCAACTCAAATCACCCGTGTCTGCGCTAGTCTTCAGTTATGGAGAATTCAGCAATGGTGGGTCAGGTTTCAATGTCAGCGAAGCCGCCTTCCTCTCCGCAGCAAATCGGAGCTTTCCAGGCCAATGCGTCAAGAACATTACTGTCCTTACCTCTCCATCCAACCCTGCGATACGAAAGTTCTACGAGCGATTTCCAAATATCGAGATCATTCCGTTCAAGCTAAAGGCTAAAACGCTTGACATCGGAACATTACTGACACTCATGGCGGTCAATGAGAAGTCGGATGTCCCGCTCTACATGGCCAAAGTGGAAAGTATCCTGCGAAATATCGCAATGGAAAGCAAAGCAGGAGTTTTCGACTACGATCTGTTCAAAGAGAGATTGGCTCTGGAAGACTTTGACCCAAAGCAGACAAATATGCTCGAGATGCGTCTGGGTTTGCTCGAATCATTTTTAGATAGGGCTGGTAACATACCCGAGCCGAAGTATCGTCCCGGCGAAGTCACCATCATCGATCTTTCGGATCCGTTCGTCACTCCGAACACAGCTTGTATTCTGTTTAAACTAGCTCTTGAGCGGTTTATGCAGTCCAGCGCGCCTGCAAAGATGGTCGTGTTGGACGAAGCACACAAAATGAGTTGTTGCCCCTTATCCTCCTTCTCCGCTGACAATAAAAGTACATGCTCGATACACCCGGCTCCAAAGTCCTCAACGATAGTCTGGCAACCCTCATTCGCCTCCAACGCCACAAAGGTGCTCGTGTCGTCATATCCACGCAGGAACCTACTGTCTCCACTGACCTCATCGCATTGTGCTCTGTCACAGTTATCCACCGTTTCACAAGCCCTGCTTGGTATGCTGCGCTCAAGAGACATATCAACGCGATGGATAACGACAGAGCTATTATGCAGGATATCGAAAGCCTAAGGACGGGAGAGGCACTCGTGTATTCTCCAAACGCAGTACTAGGCAAGAACGAGGATGGCAGTCTCATTAAGCCGACTGGTCGTCTTCTGAAGCTCGGTATCAGGAAGCGCGTAACAGTCGATGGCGGAGAGTCGATCATGGCTGTCTAGACGCTCACAATGGTTTAGTTTGGGTGATTTGGTGTTTGGTCTGGATGATGTGGTACGTGAGTCTTGCGTTGTGGCGTTTGGATATGCTGTAGTCATCTTGGAGGCGTCATACCCTGAATTTGTATAGAATAGTTTACTTCGTATAAGCCCCAACAATACTTTTGTCAAGGAATGGTGAACTTAGCATTTAATACCTCATTGTGCAATGTAACAACCGTTGAACTGTCCGGCACCTCTTATGTCTGCATTGGGGGTGGGTAATCTTTTCTGAACCAACTGTGTACGTTAGGCCTCATCTACGATCCAGCTGGCAACAGGGCCCAAAGACGACATTGACTCCGATACCATCTTGGACGGCGACCGCGCACGTTTTGGATTGCAATACTGGATGTTGGTCCATTGGGAGTTGCACGCCTCCAACAACAACGAGAGAAACGACGGTTAGAGTCTGCGCAGAGAATGCTGAATTGTTATATCGGTAAGTTTAGTATAACCCCCAACGGCGATGCATCATTGCATCAAGTAACTGATCCTTTCTTTAGACTGGGAATGATTATGGTCGTGCCACCGACAGCGGCTAGAACATGATTACAGACACTTGGAGTGGAACATATTATCCTTGCTGTATTCAGGCAGTACTTGATTGATTGTTTAGATCTCGTGATTAAAGCTATCGTTGATCTCAGCAGAGATAATGTGTGAAACGATAAGTACTACGTAACCCTGGAATAATGGCAGTACATCAAACCCCATTTTTGCTTCACTCGTTCTCGCTCTCTCTGCATCCTTCCCACGAGAAGCGATACATAGTTGATGCAAACATATATCAATCTTCCTTCAGGCTGTTGTTGTATCGCGCCATGTTAGCAGGCATGAACGATGGCATGCGCACTTCTAGGTCGTATATCCTCTGGAGTAGATCATCCAGCGTGTCCAACGGATTAGGCACTTTTGCCGGGGGAGGAGCAACCTGGACTTCTTTCACCCACGCCATGTACGACGGGTTCTTCTTGAAAATATCGCTGGCGTCTTCATCCGAGCCTATGTCCATGTAGGCCAAGCCATCCTCCCTGACCTGCCGTAGTAGATCGGTAGGCGGTTCCTCGTTGTAATTATACTGAGCTTGTATGATCGTGGCAACTTGGCCCACCTCCTCGTCGGTGAGCTTCTCTGTCAAATCGAGGAATCGCGCCATCATCGCATCGTGGTCTTCAACTTTGATGGGTTCAGCTGCGTCGTGTGAAAGCGACTGGGCCCGAGTTTTTTTCGCGGACGGGCGTTCGTCGTGCTCGGTCTTTGCTTTGCGCTTCGACCCAGACTTGACCCGACCTTGCTTTCGCTTTGGCGCATCTCCCTCACTCTCCTCCTCTTGCTTCCGCTTCTTTGTCTTTGGTTCCACTCTTGGTGGAGCTTTACCAAACGTTTGTTCCCATAACACACGGACGTCGTGGCTCCAACTCTGTACGTTGGTGGACTTGAGCTCCTCAACAAGTGTAGAGAAGTCAACGTTGGCTCGTGTTGTCATGTTGTTGGCACCAAGCCCGGTGGGGTGCGTATAAACGTTGGTTCGGTTCTTGTAACCATTCGTGTCAGGGACAGAGATGACTGACGCCCACACATCCTTCCGTGGCTGCGTGGTAAACGCAACACGGATCCGTTCGGAGGTTTTGTCGACAGCGAGTGTTTGCCTGTTCTATGAATGATGAGTCAGTTTATCAATCAAACGAGTTCACGAAGCTTACCATCTTGAACGAGCTGTTGCTAGCACGGGACTCTAGAGGTAGTAATAATTGGACCTTAGGCGTGAATTGCGGCGATTCGAATTCTAGAAATAGAAGAGAGGTGGGAAGGTCGTTGGAAGGTCGTTGGAGGGCGGACTGCGTATTATATAGATTAGTGGGGGCCTTCGATCCAAGTGAGATTGGCAAGGTGAAGGCAGCTGACGTTTTTGCACCTTAGTGAAAACAAGTTGTTGCTGCTTGCCGAAGAATGGTCGGCTGGCGGTAGCTGAGATTGCGTTCGGCCCAGTATCTCCACCCAACCCTCCAGGCCGCCTGATATTGCTCTTTTCTTGCCTCGTTGATATCATGGAGGTGCTTCCATCAGCAGCTCAAAAAGCGACCAAAACATCTGGCTACGTCTGCACATCATCTCTACCACCCTGGCTTGGATTTTGTTGGGTACAATGAATGCAGGGAAGTCTCAGAGCGCGGCAACGGGTCATCTTTTCGTGTATGGCTAACCGATCTCGGTACAATGGTATGGAGCCTCCCAAAGCCAGGAGCAAGCAGCGTCTCCGTAGGACAATTATGCAACAAGAGTACAGACACAGACTACAGATAAAGCTGCCTAGGCGTATACCAGATGTGATCAAGGTGTACGTTTTCCTCACTAAGCTGCATGTAGTCGTCCAACTGTTTGTCTCTCGTTTGTAAATCATGATGTTTCAGTGTATCTTCGAAAGTCACGAGTAAGCCGCATGCTCCTCGACACAAAAATGCAACAAAACTACACGAATGAAGTTAGCTAACAAAGAAGCTTGGGCGAATACCAGGTGTAATCAAAATGTACAACTTTTACACTAAACTCACATGTATTTGTCCAGCTTCTACATTTGAGGAAAAAAACGTATAATCTACAGTTACGCAAGCCTTTCTACTTTACACCCTGACTTTAAGTTTCAATCCCGTAATCGCGCACCTCGCAGCCACCAAGATCGCACTTCCAACTAGCACCGCCGAACCGGCAAACATTTGAGCAGCCAGATAATCACCTCCCCGACTCTGGATGAGCGCACCGGCGATCGGCGGCCCGACGAAAGTTCCCATTCCTATGATGGCAAATCCCTGGCCATTTCGAGTGCCCACCTTGCTCATATCCTTAGTTAAATTGGTCAACACCGCTGGAAAGAGTCCCTGGAATCCGGCAACAAAAAACCCGTAGACAATGGCCCAGCCATACAAAGAGCTTTCGCTTGTGACAAGTGGCCAGAAGTAAAGAATAATGGTGGATATGATACAGTGAGTGACCAGGACATTGAAGGCTCCATAATGCTTATCCGCGAAATAAGATGGGATCAGGCGGCCGAAAATTCCAATACCGTTAAGACATAGAAGTACATTTATAGAAGTTGAATAAGGAAGGTGTAGAACATCGACGGCGAATGACGCGATATAGTAAAAGGCGAAGTACTGACCCAGAGAAATAAGAAACACGGCTAGGATAAAAAGACTGTATGGCAGCTCTTTGAAAGCACTGAGTTCAAGTATGGGACCTGACTTCCTTGGTGGCAGGCGTGGCTTCAACAAGGAACAGTAACACGCCCCAATAGCAAGCATGATAAACCCCATTGTCCTCACCGTCCACGCAAACCCGATGCGCGGAAGCAACTGCCTCGCGATTGTAGGATACACGAGTCCTCCCGTCGCGGACCCACTCGCCATGATGGCTAAGGCAATACTCCGGTTCTTAGCAAAATACGTAGCGATAAGCGACATGCAAGGCGCAAACTGCATACCGCAGCCTATTCCAATCATCAGGCCTTGCGCAAGGAAGAACTGATAGTATTGTGTGCTCAGACTAGTCATGAACATCCCTGTGGCGGCGATGAGCATACCTGGAATGACAGAATGGTAGAAGTATCCCGCGTCGAAAAGGCGTCCAGTGATCATCCCGAGGGAAAAGTGACCAAGCATTTGCATGCTGCCGATCCAGGATACGGCGGAGGGCTCGAAGTTAAGGTCGTTGGTGTAGTGAGCCTGGAAAGCGCCCCAAGAACTCAGCAGCCCGAAAGTATTCGCTATCACCATTTGACCCATGCATGCTTGTATCCATGCTCTGGCGCCTCCATCTGGGGGAGGCCCGGGGTTGATGAGAGTGGCATTGGAGCGGGCAGTGAGTGTTTTGGCCAGACCAGTAACAACATTCTTGCTTTTCGAACGGCGGGATGTATGTGTTGGTATTCTTGCTATCTCTTCTTCTTCATGCTTGTATGATTGATGTGATGAAGCGTAGTTGGCATCGTCATGGTTCGCGTTGTTTCGATTTTCTCTGGTATTGGACAACACCTTTTCAATATCCGGGGTAGTCATCGCTATGGCAGTGTAGTAGCAACTGATACTAAGCCTGATGGCTTCGGTATGATGTTGGAGTGTGCTTCATAAAGTAGAGGGTACGCCTATGACTGTAAGGTAACAAGAAAGTGCACACCGTTTTCCGATGGATAACCAAGCACGCCGGCCGCGGAGGCTAGTCTGATTACGCACGATGGAAGCATTCTCGAAGCCTATCTGTGCGCCTAGGGCATTGAGCCAATTGAAAGTCTGGAGGTGTAATAGTCGACGTCGACGATCTCCGAAAGACTCGGCATTTTCGCCGCATTTGTAAGCGACGCTAACTCTCGTTGGGGAAATGCTGGCGATCTTCGTCGGGAAATAAACTGCTTTTTTTGGATCCTACAAGCCAAAAAACCACACCAATAAAACTTACAATAGTGCAACTAAGGCGTATACTGCTAGGAATCTAAGTACAAGTCTCCTACAATAAATTTATGTGTAGTTATCCTGCGGTTGCAAGATTTCGCTACACCTTGGTTCCTAGTACTTCGATTAACCGAGAGCGAGGTACTGATGCTGAGCTGACACGTTTAATTATGATCATGCTGAGTTGTTTTGTAAACATTCAACAGCCGCGGACCATTCCAACATCGGTGAGTGAGATCTCGTCGTTGACAATGTAGTAAAACGCATGGTGGGGCGAAAAGCAACTACGTGAGCCTAATGTCAAGCCCACGCATCTTCCTAGTTGACACGAACCAGAAGTCTACCTTGACTACTACGGCACCCGATAACTTTCTCATTGGAATACTCTGCCACATGTCTGGTTCCCTTCACTTTGGGTATCGAATACTCGTGACAGAGAAGAGTGAAATCGGTCTGTGGCAGAGACCAGGAAGAAGGAAGCTGATCGATATAGCATGGTAACTTCTTCCCCACATGATCCTAAACTTTGCAGGTACTACTTGGTCGGTCTCGCGTGTACAACGTCGTGAGTATCGCAATTCTGCAAGTGATGAATCAAAGCTGGGAGCGAGCATCCACCGCCGTATCACAACAATGTTCTGTAGAGATTTGAGTAGTAGGGCACCTCGGAACAACCCAAGATGTAACAATTTTGACGCCAAAGTTTACATACCACACGAATGACAAGCTTTTATGATTCCACACCCAATGCAGCCATAACCATGCAAAGTCGCAGCGACATTCCTCGTGTGCGGACAAATCAGACAAGACGCTGTAAAACTCGCTACGCAAAACAGAATAAGACCTTGCTAATTGAAAAACGACAGGCGGGCAGAAACTTGAGGAAAAAGTGCCTGCAAGATAATGTTAGTTGATAAGAGCATATGCATGAAATGCCTACAGCTGTGCGGCGAAATCCGAATTTGTTTCAAAATGCGGCACAGCTGCGGGTGGAAATGCGCCGTGGGCCGCGAAATCTTGCGTCGCCGCTAAGGGAAGCATAAGCGAAAGTTTGTGACGTTGCAATGAGAGTCGAACGTCCCACGCTACGAGATTCCAGCATGCAAGTAGTCAATTAGTCCAGTGACGATAAGGCACCGTTTGCTGCACCATGCAAGGCGTTCAAAGCTCGCCCTAATTCTTCTTCTGGGACCATGACCGTTCCTGCTCGAGCTGTGCTAAGGTAACTCATTTCTACAGGGCTCTCAATTTGGCCGATCGTACCTCCAGTTAGACGGCCAGCCACACCACAGACGATACCGGTGCTTTCCATTGGGAGGTTGCGAAGGTCGAGCGTGATAGGTGTAAGATAGTCCTCTTTGGAGCCAAGCAAGATGTCTTGTGTGAAATTTGGGAGCAGTGTGTGGTCGAGAAGTAGCGATGCCGGTTCAGTGTCGGTCAGCGTGAGGGATAAAAACTTCGGATATGGTGGCGAGATGAGGCATTTTACAAGACCGAGGTGAAGCGCATCGTCTGCTGTACTGACCATACTGTTACGGTTGCCGTTCTGACTCATGCCGTTTGCACCATCTCTACGGCCGGCACATTGGACAAGACGAATGCCTGAGTAGACTGTGGGGACGATATTGCGGCGCTTGAGGGTGGCGAACGTCCTGATTTGTAGCTCCGATATCGTCGCCGGTGGAGGCGTGCTGGGTGATTGAATATCGCTCGAGGCTGACGAATGTTTGCGGTTGTAGTTATATGGATTGACATACGACGAAGTCTGGTCCTCGAATTGAAAGCCTTGCTCTTCCAAGGCATGGATGACTTGCGCTCTGTGACGAAGCGGGACCAGGATGTAATCTGAGAAATACGTGGTAATAAAGAAGATTGAGCTAGGAGCTGATGAGTGCCAAACTTTGATTTCATGCGATTGTCAGTACTTACATGCCGGCTAAAGCAAGAGGACTTGTGAGCTCCAGGACACGCTGACCTGCATCAAGCCCTTCGCCATCGACTTGCATTACCACGAAATCCTCGGAAGTGATGTTCACCTGGCTTCTAGATTGAACATCGAGCAAGTTGAGCACCGGGATGAACAAATCCGTCGCTAGCGTCCGCGAACATACCACCGAGCACTCGATGGGCGTGACAGAGATGTTCACGAAGGGGTGCTCGTAAGGCCAGTCTCTAGGAGGCTGGACCGCCCCGTCGTTGCTATTGGGGAAGCCACTACGGGATGCATTTGGTAAAAGTAGTTGTAAGATGGATTGAAGGAAGCTGGAGTACAGATGTAAAGGAATATGTATGAGAGCGAGGCGCGTATCCTTCGACGAAATCATGTTAGCTGAGGGTTGATCGCGAGGAAGATTGTGCGTGAGAGGCAAAATACAAAAGAATCCTACGAAAGACCCTGCATCAGGCCCACATGAGGCTGAGCTCGGCATAAGACTACAGGCTTGTTCACGCGCGCTTTACGCAAGACTCCAAGGAGTTAAGGAAGAACACGTACCAAGAACTGGATATTTGCACCGAGCAAGGTCATAGACGAGTCCATTACGCACGATAAGAATAGTTTTCTTGATGACGACGAGTCGCGTGGTCGTAGGTGACGCCTGCAGGTAGCCTCCGATCTGGCAGGTAAAGATCCGATAAGGCTTACCTGAAGAAGGCTCAGGAACCAAGTGAAGACGCAGGCGTCTCGGTTCTGGATTTGCTCACAGAAGCAATGCGTATCTCAAAGGCGATGATAGCTAGATCGGTTGGAGTAACGGTAATTGTAAGTGTGGGGAGTTGGAATAGTCTATCTGTTGATATGTTCCTGTCCAACGGGCCATTGGATGTCGTTTTTGAAGCCGAAATTCATCCCAGTGATTTGGTTGGAGGAATGCGTGGAGACTAAAGCCGCGACAGGTTGTGAAGACCGTGGAATGATGGAATAGCTGGGTTTTGACGTAATGCACCTAAACACGGTCTTCAGGGAGAGAGTGTCACGGAGATAGGTGCACAATGGAAGGTCGGAGGAACTGCTGTCAGTGGATGACTGGCGTCAGGTTCGGCTGGGGCGGTTGTGGTCTGGGGTAGAGGTGCAGCGTGGGGATGCAGGCTGCGTCTTTGCAATTGGTTGGCAATGTTGTGAACGACACAGCGGGAGGAGGTTGTGATCGAAACCAGGGCAACTTCTGCAGGCACGCGGGGGCAGCTGAGAGCGTGGGGTGTGGATCGAACAGAAGCCGTAAAGGCGGCTAGACGCAAGAATTGGTCTTGCGCGTAGAGCGATTATTGCTGCTGACAGTACGGAGATTGAGGGAGACGAGTAATTTATGCCTGAGTATCGAGTCACAAGACACACTGTCAAGAGTAAGAAGAGATCGGTTATCAGGGATTTAAGTGATCCAGAATGCCAGAGTGGAGCTAGGTCTGGGGCACGACAATCGGAATGGTGACTCCAAAAGCCACTCCGAGAATTTTCCACAACGGCGAACATCCATCCACCCATCCTGGGTCTCTGAAAGACATAAGAGGCCGGCGGCGAGAACACGGTCAGCGAGTAGAGGACGAACGCTTTGCGACGAGCGCGTCAGACGTCGGAAGACAACTACAACATCGTATCGTCCTGGTGGCTACTGGGTCATGCAGCAGTCGAAGCGCGCACCACGGAAGGAGCGTCCGTGCGCTGTTATATCATCGTACATCGACAACAGCCCCAAGCTGCCACACCTTCCAACCCGTACCTGAATGTACCTGACCACACAAACAAGGGTGGCGACAATACACGACATGAAAGGCGTGTTATCAGTCGAAGTTGACAGGCGAGCCGTCAACCGCATACCGACTTGCAGACGGCTCTGACCTCCTTTTCGGGTCCTCCAGCAGCATGGCTGTGAATGCACTAGCTGTTGTGAGCTGTGCGCTTTGTCGTCTATGTCTCCGGAAGAAGCCGATCGTGTTTGTGCCGAACAGCGCGAATAGCCGCTGCCGTTTGCCTATCATCCTTTTATCAACGTCGCTATACGCGCTGGAATGCAGTCTAGCATTTCACCGCTCTAGTGGCGGGCGTGTGGAATCAAATGCAAGGGAATGCCTCATCCTTAGAGTCGTGCGATAGAGGACACGCTACCCCGCAATGTCTGTTTCCATTCATTTCATCCGTGCATTCGCAGCATCTACCTCGAGTCACAACACGACCTCACTGGACGAGCTCGCAATGACGTGGGGGAATTCTGGAGATCCACAGCATGAAAGCATCTGCAGTGGGTCGTGGCACCATCTCGCAGCTGACCATCTCGCAGTTGTAGGCAGCCCACGATTATGACGATGATTCCCTCGCAGCCAGACAAGCCGCATCCCACGTAGCGTCGTATACGCATGCAGGACAATTTAATCAGACGCTCCGCAATGCGAGGGCGTGGGGGCTTCCTCCATCCCAGCATCGTCTCTGCATCGTCTCTACACCGTCTCTACACCGTCAGCTCGCTCAGCCTCTCGTTGCCTCATCACGCGTACTATGAGCGCATCAACGAACTACAATAATACTGATCGATCAGAATAACGATCAGGATTTCGACTAACAAGTTCGCCGCTCGATGAGACACAGTGAACGTCAGTCGTATCACCTTGTTCGATATTAGACCATACAAGACCGGATGACGTATAAAGTCCTATGCCATCGAATAACTTCGATGTTGCACCGCGTTGATAGATAATGCACCTCCGATAGGTTTATTTTCTGCCGTTGTTGGCTTCTGTCATGGCAATCAGAAGCCCAGCTTCCTCACGGCTGATCTCCTTCCTGCAGGAAGGGATGACGAGAAACATACTCGAAGTGGATCTAGACTCGGGTGCGATAGACTACGTATCCACCATCACAGCTTCATAATGCTCGAAAATAACTTGAAAGATAGCCGTTACGCAAACATAATGTCCTCGGCACGCATGGACTGCTTTCACCAGTTGTCTCGGGTAATCGTGCTTCGAAACGACGATGTGGATTAGGAGTTTCGTTTGCCACCACGAGCTGCACTTCTTTGTCTTGGGAGGTGGAGACAAAGGAACGCGTCAAGGGTGAGATTGATACAACAGCATCAACCCTGAGATCCCTCCCTCAGTCTGGACGTCGGCGGAACAAGACAACGCGACCATGTCAAAGATTAAACCATGTCCGCATACCGACTCATGATGCTTGTTAACAGCAAGAACCAACGAACGGGAGCAACCGAGCAACCCAATAATAGTCAGGACGTCAATGTCTTAGTGGCTGTGTTCACTCAGGTTGACTGCCACAGCCTCACGACCCTTCTGTTTCGCAATTTGTTTGCTGTTCTGGTAGGCAAACAAACCTGGTATATATCCTCTTTGACTTTTGTTCATTTCGGATGATGCAAAGCATACTCATAAGTCCTCTCAAGCGTCCTCATCACAACCACAAGACCATCCATTTTCCCCTCAAACCTCCAAGTCAACCATCCATCCACAATGTGTCTCCACGCAACGCGTATCCCTTCAAGGCTTACAAACCTACCATTCAAATCCGCAACGGAGAGCCTTTTCGAGCCATTTTTCACCTATCCGCCACGCATGCAGAGCATTACAGAGAAACTAAGCACTCACTCGTATGGAAGTCTCACCACACTAAGGCTATCTAACCCAGCGAGATTATCAAACACATCCAACACATCCAACACATCCAACACATCCCAGCCATTCAAGACCACAACCTCGCGGCAAGATCTCAACGATTTGTATCTACTTTGGGCTTGCGACCTTGCAGCACCTGCAACCGTTGCGTCTTCCTCGCCAATATCACAATAATCACACGACGACATATCCTCGCTCGGGCTTGCTCAGGCTGAACTGCTGATGTAGTTAATGTGGATCGTGCCAGTCACAACTTTGTAGGCTTTGGAGTAAATGTGGTCGAGTATGCTTTATTCGTTTCCGAAGAGATTCTGTCAAGGGATTAGGGGATTGAGCGCAAGAAGTCGTGTTGGAATTGTCTGGTGACGCGGAGTACTCGAGCCGCTACGAGTGTGTTAGCACAGGCTGTTGCATTCTAGAGTAGAGGTACAGGAACTGACAGCTGCTATTAGAGGCAAAACCTATACAGGCGCGATCGACGATCATGTTAAAGAGCTCAGATCGGCAGAGCAGTGTCAGGATTCAATGGTGATGCCCCGTAGAACAAGGCGTGGCGGCAGCGCAGTAGCAGCAGCGGTGTTGGAGAGATTATCGCATGCCTCGATCGCAAACTGTAAAAGATACGCAGATCACACAGAACATACCAACTGAACATTTTCGAATCGATTCTTGACGCTGTTGTGATATCTCAAGCGAAGCTCCCAGCCGTAGCCGTAGAAGACCAAGCCATGATGCAATTCTCGTCTACAACAAGCCCATACGCCATAAAACGCCGTGCCGTGTCGTGCCGTACCTTTTCCACTTCCTTCTCATCTTCACGGGTCGCACATCCATCAAGACTCTCAACCCAACCCCCCTCACTCCGCGTTTCGTCTTGTCTCGTCGCGCGCTTCCCTCTCTCCCTCATTGATCCCACGCATCGGTCTAAACATTCTCTACGATCGCTCCGCAACCTTGTTCTCTGTTCTACGTTAGTCCTGATCCCTTATTACAATTCCTTCTCGAATTCTTATATTCTCCTCTTCTTCGCCCGGAATGTAGGAAACTCACTCTGCTGCGTCAAAAGCAGGCCGTATCGCTTCTTGATGGTAACGCGATGCCTCGAGTACTTGTCATCGGGAGAGAAGCGGGCCGGGTGCGCGCTCTTGGAGACGTCACCGTCGATGACCTTCTTCAGCGTGTAGATGCGCTTGGCCGGGTTCTGCGGGTCGGGGACGAACATAAGATGCATGCTGGGGCAGGTGTTAGTCGCGGGTTGTGTGTAGCTTGCGCAAGATAGCAAGGACGTACGTGGCGGTATTTGTGAAGTGGTGCTGGGTGGGCGGGTTTGTGGAAGTTCGGTGCTGGTGCTGGTTGTGAGCTTCTGAAATCTTCGCCCGTGCGGACATTTTCTGCGGACCACCGAGCTCTTTCCTTGGCAATCTGACGTGTTTGCACGGTTTGCACTACTCGCCTTATCCTAAGCTCCACATCACCATCAACGCGCCAAACACTTCGCACCTTCTGAACTACCACGTCACAGCATAATTGTCGCATTCCGTTTGATTCTCCCCCACAAATTCGAGCATGGCGCGCACAAGTCTTTTCCTGGTTATTCTGAGCGCCTGGGTGTTTGGCGCACATGCGCAATTCGGCTTCTTCGATCAGATGTTCAATGGCGGTGGAGGACAGCAACATCAGCAGCAGCAGGCCCAGAACGTGAGGAGTGATAGTACGTGGTATCAGGCGCAGTATGAGAATGGTATGTACACGTTCTATTTTCTTTCTTCTGCCATCCTCGTTCCATACCCTGCATTCTTCCACCTCCATACACACTTCTTCTTTGCTGTTACTCTCTCGCAAGATGATTTTATTTATCCAGTATGTCATGCTGACTCCCTCCATAGCGCAATGCTCCCACTACCTCTGCCCCGGCACACTCTCTTGCGTCCACTTTCCGCACCACTGTCCCTGCGCGTGGCAAGGCGTCGAGGATAAAGTCGAGTTGGGCGAGGGGATAGCCATCTGCGGATCCAAGGGAGGGTACAAGGCTGGCGAGTTTGCGAAGAAGGTCGAGCTGGCGCGGAAGGGGCTGTTGTGAGGAAATAACAAGCATAAGCGATGAACGATGAACAATACCGAAGGCGTTGAGGATATGAAATTCAACGTAGAATTGCGTGGTATACCAAGAGGAGTACAAGCACGAACGAACAGAAGATAAAATTTAGACGGATATTCCGACCGCCATCGTAAATTCGTGTCATTTCATACCAGAACAACACCAAGACCAAAACGCCATTCCCCGTGCCCACCCATCCAACACCTAACGATATTACCGGGTATTAACACCCACCCACCAAAATAACCCCACATCAAGACCTCTTAGCATACTTGTACAAATACCCCTGCCTTTCTCCACTCTTCTCATCCGCGATGCCAGTCTCCTCCCTCCCCCACTGCCTCATCAACACCTTGCCCATCAATTCCTTCTCGCTCTGTATTTTGCCGACAGACTCGACCCACTGCCCGTCCCGCTTCCCAACAACGCTCTTTGCGCGTTCCTTCATCAGCTTAGACAACGCGGTGGCGAGACGCTCATCCATGGCGGTATTGATAGCAGCGAAATCCTCAGCCTGGGTATCGAGCCGAGATTGCAAAGCTGCAGCTTCTGTTTGTGAGGCGAGGAGTTGAGATTGCAGGGAGGCGATTGTAGATTGCAGATCGTCTTTAGTCTGCGAGGAAGTTTCCGCTGCTTTGAGGGTTTTGTTCTCTTTCCGCAATGCTGCGGCTTCGGACTTTAGGGTTTTGGTCTCTGCAACTTGTCGTCGGATGATCTCGCGGAGGTTGGCGAGCTCCGTATCCCTTGTGCTGTCTGGGACGGAGAGGGCGGTGGAGCTCTCATCGTCGGAGGGCTCTTCGGCAGCGCGCTGTGCAGTTTCGGCTTGGAGCTTTGCCATATCAGCTTTTGCGCGGTGGAGGTCTTTGACGATGCGTTTCTTCTCGTTGCGTTCCTGGTCGAGCAGTGCGCCGGCTTTGCGGACTGCGTCTTCGGCGTTGTCGCGGACGTCTTCCATCACTACTTCGTGTCGTTCGATCAAGTCGTGATGCTGTGATTGAAGTTCTTTGAGCTTGTTCTCAGCCTCGATCTTTCTTTCTTTCATCGCGTTGAGCTTTTTCTCAACATCTGCGACGCGACGATCTGCTTCTGCGCGTGCGTCCTGTAATCCGTCATTCGCGTCCTCAAGGTCACCTTCCAGTCTTTCGATTTCCGTTCGGGCTTTGGCGCTGTCGCGGCGTGACTCGGCTAGTTGCTGACGGAGAGCTGCAATGGCAGTCTCGAGGCCTTGGATTCGGCCCTGAGCGGTATCGAGATGTTGCTCGGACTGTTCTTGCGACTCGGTACGGTGTGATAATTGCTGCTCCTTCGACGCGAGGTCAGTTCGGCAAGACTCGAGCTGACTTTGAAGCGAGTCGATACGTGATTCGAGTTTGGCATTGTCGTTGAGTTGCAAAGATTTGGTGGTATTTCCAGCATGGCTTGCCTCAAGCTCCGCCTTCAAGTCTCGGAGGCGAGCGTTGAGGTCCAGGTTCGTCTGGAAGAGTTGTTGCTTCGCGGCGACATCGGCTTGCGCACATTCCAACTCAAACAGTGCGGACTGGAGCTGTTTTTCAAGATCGGAGTTGTGCGATTTTTGTGCGCGATGTTTCGCGTCCATGGCGGTATGCATCGCATTCCAGTTCTGGGCTTCTTCGCGGGCTGCCCTGGCATCAACGGTAGCCTTCTGGAGTTCTGCCTGTAATCCGTCTGCTCGAGTCTGTACAGACGAAAGCTGCGTGGACAGCTTCTCGCGCTCTCTCTCAGCGGCCTCTACAATGCTCTGGTGCTTCTTAGACTCTGAATGGCCATCGTCCTCAGCCTCGTGTTTGTTTGACTGCCTGAGCTGAGTCAACTCCGCCTGGACCTGCTCCAACGTTCGTGCTTTTGCTGACATCTGTTCGTCGATAGCTCTCTTGGACTCCTCCAGCGCCCTCAGCTGTTGCTCAAAATCCGCCCGCTGGCTCTGCAGCTTGGATAGATTTTGCTGGCGCAGTTCCTCGCCATAGTCTTGCATCTTAGCTTTCACAGTCTCCTGCAGCGCTTGCTCTCGAGATTTCCGTTGAGCTTCTGAAAGCGAACGAGCCGTCTCGTGTTCGGCCTTCTGTTGTTCCATATCTTTCCCAAGGCTGCTGAACCTTTCCTTGTGCTTGTAGTTGTCCACACGTGCGCCTTCAAGCTCTGTGCGAGTGTAGGAGAGAATTGTCTCGAGCTCTGTGATGCGCGTCTTTGCGGCCAACTCGTGGGTCTCGAGCCGCGATTCCAGTTCAGCGATGCGTTTTTGCATCGCCGTGTTCCCGCTCGTGTCGATGGCCGAAGACACATAGCGGTGGTGGATGACTGTCTCTTGTGTGGGCTTTCGCGGCGTGGTGTCGCAGTCCTCGACTGTGGGCTGTAGCGATCGGGCTTTTGGCGGCGAGGATCGTGGTACTTGCAAAAAGCTTTGCTTGGGCACGTGCGGCGGTGTTCCCATGAGTGCGCTATCCATCTCCGTGTCCGGCAGCGCACTCAGAAAACTCCTGACTTTCTCGTCGTGCTGCATGGATCGCTCAGACGCGGGCGTACTATACACGCGTTTGTCAGGCGTGCCGTTTGCGCGCATCGTGGGTGCGATAGAATGTGAGCCCCCGTCCTTGCGGCCGCTTGAGCCTTCCTCTACCATAGCGTCGTCGCCGCCTCCTACGGAAGTTTGCTCCTCGGTATCCGTCTGTCTCGCGTCCATCCGCGTCTCTTGCCTCTTTCCTTTCGCTTCTTTCCGCGACTTGATCTGCGACAAAGGCAGGTCTGCCGTCATCCAGTAGGTCATGTTCATGGTGAAGTCCTCGGGGCCCTCGATGTCGCTTGTTTCCACGCAGTCAACCGGTTCAAGGTTCCCGTCCAGGTCTGTAGACTCGAATGTCGAGTTGAGGCCTAGCGCGTCCAGGTCCATCTCATACTGCGACCCATCCTCTGAGGTTGGGCGACGTGCCGGGCTGCGACGCGGAGAGCGCGTCGGGCTTGTTGTGTAGTACGAGTGTGTTCGCGCCATTGCTTATTGCCTGCTCATCAAAGATATACACGCGCGGCGACGTGGCGTTGAGTATGAATAAGAGTTTGTCCCTGTGTTTGTTTGGGTGTTTTGGTTGCGCGCCCGATCGAGTTAAATCAGGGTCCCGAAGTTGAGGTTAGCGTGGTACACGGGTGCACGTGAGCATCACGAGGTTATCTCGATTCCACTTATCACCGTTGAGATGCAAGGTTCTTTTCTTCCTCTGTACTCAGCGTACACTAATCACTCGTTCTCTGAGGAATCATATAGTACAGTTAATTTGGGAGGACGACTACTACACAAAGGTCTAACAAAGAGTAAAGACATCACGGTTGTGGCACTAAAAAGTAAGCAAGATGCTTACGAACTTTTGTATAATCAGTGTTGAGAACCTCGAAAAGACCTTAACCAGCCAGAAATAACGTTCTTCTGACTCAATACCCTCAAAGCTTCATCCACCGGATTACCACCAGATCTGTCGAGGTTATGTTTCCCCCCAACAATACAATGACAGTTTGGCCATTTCTTGGTCCATACAAGTTGCTGTACGTCTTCATAGTAGAGAGTGTAGCGGTTCAATGTATACTTTGGGAAATGATTGGCTCGACTTTACTCTCCACAATTCCGTTGTGCGGAACAATGTGGGGAAGCCCACTTCGATGTCGGCATCAAATGTCTAGTCCCAATCAAGTGGGCAGTTACGAAGTCAAAATCTGGCGAACGTTGAGTTGTTCACGCAAAATAAGATGGAAAAACTTAGTCTAAGACATAGATACCCGTGTCTTGATAGGTTACAGATACTGTTGGTTGTGTGGTGTTGAAGAGTGACTTGATCACACATTTGAAAGATGTCCCGGTTCCTGACTAGAGAATCTAGCGTGTGGGGATGCTACCTCGGTAATGCAGATCCGCTAAAAGAGACACCGATAACTACCTACTTCGTATCTACAAAGCTTGAATCGGGAACCTAACCGCAAAGCCTTTGTTCTTCTTACCTTGACCTGTTCTTGTAGACTCATCGGTTCATTTGTCACGACTTCTCCGCAACATTATTGTACTTATCGACATTTGAGACATATCAGATCTAATCGCTTGTCCATAGAAATCATACACCATGGCCCCCGCAATCGCAACTCCTCGCAAGCTATGGCAGCATCCCAATCCAAAGTCCACGGAAATGTGGAAGTTTATGCAAACCTCGAACCGAAAGCGCGGGCTGAACATGCAGGTACGTCTCATGTGGCTCCCACTCGTTCTTGCTATATTTGGCTTGGATGAAACAAGTGTTTCATTTTGTCCACTGTTTTGGCGTTGGTATCTGTCAGCACTCCGGTGGTCTGGGAAGATGCTTGTGTCGCGCAGTTACAAGAACCGAAAAATCGGTCATGTCGTCACGAACACATCCAGACGTTTCACGACATGCAAGTGTACCACAGTTCATCAAGTGCCAAGAGAGTTAGGCGCAACATGACATCCATCGAATCGGCGACGGTACGAAATCACAGCTCGAGATGCTAATACCGAAAATAGACGTTTCGCGAACTGTACGCATGGAGTATCGGTGATAGACGAACGGAGTTTTGGGAGGACTTGTGGGATGGCAGTGGGCTAATCTACGAAGGGAGCTACACTCATGTATGTGCCGGATACTGAGTCTCTTCCGACGTCTTCATGCTGTGAAATTGTTACTGATGCAGTAAGGTTGTTGACGCTTCTGCGCATATGGACAGCATCCCACATTGGTTCGAAGGCACATACTTGAACTTCGCCGAGAACATCCTCTTCGCAGCTTCGCCATCAAATCCATCCATCCAGACCACCAAACATAAGGAAGACTCCAAGATCGCTTTAACAGAAGTACGCGAGGGCAACACTGAAGTTCGACATTTGTCATGGGGTGACCTTCGCCGACGTGTCGGTCTGCTTGCCAATGCCATGCGAGCAAAGGGAGTGAAGAAAGGTGATCGGGTCGCAGTGGTAGCGAGCCATAGTATCGACACGTTCGTCTGCTTCATGGCTGCTGTGAGTCTTGGTGGGCTGTTCAGCTCCAGCAGTACGGATATGGGGACGCAGGGAATTCTTGAGCGCTTACTCCAGATCAAACCTGCCTACGTTTTTGTCGACGACTGGACAATTTACAATGGGAAGACTATCGATCTCCGGCCCAAGATCCAGCAGATTGTTGAAGGTTTGGAAGGCGTCTCAGAGTTCAAAGGGATAGTCAGTCAACCAAGGTTCCCCGGGAAGCCAGCAGATGTGAACAACATCTCGAAGACAGTGACACTACAATCCTTCTTGGAAGCTGCGAACGGTGATACGGGGCTGAAGTTCGAACGAGTGGCTTTCCGCGACCCCTTCCTCGTTGTATATTCCAGCGGTACCACCGGTGTGCCGAAATGCATAGTCCATTCCACCGGCGGAGTTCTGGTCAACTTTGCTAAAGAGGGCAAGCTTCATGGCGAGCTGGGCCCTGACAGCGTCAAGTTGCAATACACAACAGTAAGTTCGTTTTACCTGTATTTGCAATCACCTATTGAACAGCAACAGACTGGCTGGATCATGTACCTTGTATCTCTGCAATGCTGTCTATTTGGCACCCGCAGCGTCTTGTACGACGGCTCCCCTTTCAACCCCTCCCCGCAAGCCTTCCTTTCCATCCTCGAAGAACAGCGCGTAACCGACTTCGGCACCTCACCCCGCTTCCTGCAAGAGCTGCAGAAACTCTCCATCGTGCCCAAGAAACAGTTCGACCTATCGGCGCTCCGCTCCGTCACAACAACAGGTATGGTACTTCCCGATAGTGTGTCTGAGTGGTTCTACGACACCGGATTTCCATCAACCGTCTTCTTGAAGAACATCTCTGGTGGCACGGATCTCGCTGGTTGCTTTGGGACTGCGAATCCCCTCGAACCTTTGTATTTGGGTGGATGTATGGGCCCGTCTTTAGGCATAAAACTTGAGGTGTACGACAGCACGATTGAGAGTGGACCAGGCCGCGCTCTTCCACACGGGGAGCCTGGCGAACTCGTCGCCACAGCGAGTTTCCCTAACCAACCCGTGTTCTTCTGGGGCGACGAAAGTGGTGAGAGGTATTACAATGCATACTACACACGTTTCCCGCACGTTTGGACTCATGGAGATTTCATCGAGGTCCATCCTGTTACAGGCCAGGTCTTCTTCCTTGGTCGCGCAGACGGAGTCCTCAATCCTTCAGGAGTGCGGTTCGGCTCTGCGGAGATATACTCCGTCATCGAGGAGAATTTTCCAGAAGTCGCGGACAGCATTTGTGTGGGGCAGAGGAGGCCAGAAGATAACGACGAGAGCGTCTTGTTGTTCCTCAAGATGAACGATGGATTTCAGTACAGTCAGGATCTGGCAGATAGGGTCAAGAGCAAAATTGGTCAGGAGAGAAGTCGCAGACATGCTCCGAGATATGTGTTCCAAACTTGGGATATTCCGGTATGACTTCCTCCTATCCACATTTTATGAAAGAGAGATTTGCCATCAGCTGACATGCAACAGACAACAATCAACGGGAAGAAGGTCGAGCTCCCAGTCAAGCAAATCGTTTCCGGCAAGGCCATCAAAGCAAGTGGTACACTGGCTAATCCAGACAGTCTGAGTTACTACTACCAATTCGCCAAGATGGAGGAAGTACTGCAGGAGCAGAACGGCGTGAAGGAGAAGAGGAGAAGGAGCAAGCTATAGCGCACCCACCAAATACAAACCCACGTCCCAGCTTCCCAATCTCCAAACACACGTTCCACGTCCCAATCTTCCCAAAGCCCACCCCATGACGTCCACAACCGCGCTTCCCTCCCATGATCCCAAAGTCCAATTTCCATGCTCCCGATTCCCAGCACCCCCCCAATCTCCCACGGCCGCGGCCCCTCCCGCAGATCAAACATCCAAAAAAGCTACGGCCTCCCAGCTTTCATCTCCCCTGCGATCCTCATCCATCTGCCCCCGCTTAGACCGCTGCAGATGGCGCGCACCCTGGTCTATCTACACTCGCTCGTCAATGTGAGACATGAGGCCACGACATTGGGCCCTGCGTCCGTTCCCTCGTTCCTAGACTGCGCGGCTCCCTCGTCTCGGTGGGCTTCGCAATACAATTACTCGGGGTGTTTGGGATTGTCCGCTCGGGCGGTATGGTTTATTGCGTGGGGTGGATGGATGTAGGTAGTCTTGGTGCACTGTCCGGACAAGTAAGAACCGACCGACCGAGCAGTTGTATTATAGCTATATGATTAAAGTAAAGCAACAACACAGGTAAGGCAACGGCTAAATCTGCACAAAAACACACTTTATCCATATAAACACAGTACATATTATGGAGCAGCGGGAGGAAACACCCGAGAGCGCGAAGCGAACACATCTATTCCATAGTATGCACATTATACATACATACATGCATGCACATTTAATTCCTCGTCTCGTCTACCATCCATCCCATCCTGATCCCGCACCCTCGGTCCAACTCTCTCCGCCCCATGCGTCGTCATCACCCAGCAGCGTCATCATCATCATCACGGCCCCCCATCCTTCCCATCCTGCCTGCATCCTGCATCCTACATCATCTATCCATCGAACCATCACCCCCCTCCCCGGTCTAAATCTCGCCTCGTATCGATTAGCCCGTTTCGAAAGTGCTGTTATCAGCACGCAACGCACGCACGTACGCAGGGTGGATTTTCTCCGAGCAGTGGGGCACTGCCCTGAACTGACTCGTGGGACTAGCTGGGACCTGCGGTAAAACGGTTAGAGTGGGTATGTAATTATTCGCGAGATGCGCAATTCGGCGCGGTGGGTTCTGTGGGTGCTGTTGGAGTGGGGATGGGGATAACGTCATGTTGTGTATCGGGTAGATGGGGGGATACGCGGACGTACGATGCAATGCGGTGCAATGCCATGCAGCACGACGCGACGCGACGGGGTGAAGAGTGATGATGGAGCAAGACGTCACAAGCACAAAGGACAAGCGTAGGTATGTATGATGAAGGAAGTGACAATCTCTATTGGTGTCACTACAGAAGTACTAGAACTAAAAAATAAGGATATCATAATATCGTGAAGAGAACTATTTGCTGTCCAGGGCACCACATACTGTGATGGTTGCCATTATCCGACCCCCATATGAGAATATACAACACAAAAAAAGAGGAGAACGCAGGCTAAAATGGCGATGCGATGTGACGATGACTGTGATGGTGGTGGTTGTGGCGGCGGCGGCGAGCACTTCGCCTGCCAATGTGATGCGCGAGGGTATCGTAACCTCTTCCAAACTGCGAATCGATATGATTTGATAATGAAAAAACGCCTGATGTGCGCCGACATGCAGATACGCTTGCGAAAGATGCCCCATGTGAGAATGGTGGGGTAGAAAAAAGGTAGGGGTGTCATGTACAGTGGCTGGGATCGCGCATGAATGTCGTCTAGTTGTATACATTGACGCGTCCATTTGCGGAGAGATGTTTCGTTTCGTTTCGAAACAAGGCCAAGCGTCATCTAGGGTCTTACATCAGGCTCATTAGCGACTTCCTCTTCCTAAGACGCTTGGCTTTGATGCTAGCCATGGGATCCTCCAGGTCATCGAAAGAAGGAATCTCAAGCGTAGGTGCCCTCTCGTTTGCGCCGCGAGCAACCATTCTTGATTGCCGGTTGAACGACGAATTCGAGGTGAAAGAGGGGATCGGAGGCATCTCCGGCGAAGGGCCTCTAACTGACTCTGCGTGACGAGACTTTGGTCGCAGGATAGTGGACGCGCGTCGTAGCTTGTTGGGAACTGGGCCCGGGAAGTAGGACGACATGCCTTCAAGAGGCGCCGTCTGTGGTGTGAGAGGCGTGAATGGAGAGCTTGGTGTTGGCGGCGCTTGGCCGTTGATCTGTGCGCTGTGCTTTCTCGATGATGGTGAGATGGCAATCCTAGCTAGGGCAAGTTTCATGGAGATGGACCGTAGTCGTCTGTGTGGCGCAGGCTTAGCGACGTTGTCGGCGCTCTGATTTCCAAAAGGATCCGTGTTGAGAAAGGCGTGGCTCGCGGGCGATACCGGTGTCAGTGGTGCAATGTGTGACTGTCGGAACTGCGCCTGTGAAGTCTGGATTCGGTGCAGGTCGCTGCGAGAAATCGAGGGTACGTAAACGGAGGAACGACCCGAGCTAGATGACTCGGCAGTCGCGCTACCTGGTCGAAATGAAGCATCGTTGACAGGTGTAACACTACGACTTGAGTTACCGGTCTGGATGGTAGATGTGGTGGATGCGGAACTCGACAGTTCAAGCGTGCTGAGCTTCTTGGTGAGAGGCGAATGGCTTGTGGATGGTCGTCGAGTATCGAAGTTGATGGACGGCGAAACCGAGCGGCTGGCAGGAGGTGAGAGGGGGCGAGTGTTGGTGGTAGTGACGGTCAGTGACATGCGCTGGGCCTGGTCTGCTTTCCTGAGCTTGCTGATGGCTGTGACGGGGAGGTGGGCAACCGAGACTGCACGCTGCTGCACAGGTGGGCATGGAGGAGCAACCGTGGCGAGCTCAATAACCTTTGGTCGGCCAGCAAAGGCATACGACACGCGGACTGCCATGTCACAAGACTGTCCCTTGTTCCACCTCGATACTGACAGCGTCCTTGCCTTCTGGCACTCCCTGGTGATGTCGTGGATGACGACATCGTCGTAGTCGTACTCTGATTCCGAGTCCGAGGCCATGTCTGCTGGTGAGAGGCCCTCTTCGCTGGACATGTATCGTTCCTGGAGGCAAATGTTCTCTTTCTTGCAGATGGCACTGGGCTTCTCGACGGCAGTAGTATCTATCCTGAGGGTGTCCGAGGCGTCGTCCAATTTGGCACTCGAAACGGAGTTGAGAGTACTGGAGCGTACGGTGGGCTTCTCAAAAGTCCATTGCTGGAGCTGGGACACGGCGGCGCTGGCCATGATGGGTTGGTAAAAGAATGGTTCTTGGGACCCGCTGTGGTTACTATTTATGAATCTCGACCGGGCGTTTGGTGCTGCGGCATGAAACCTGGGGCGTGTAGCTTCTACGCGCCAATAGTGTGAGACGTGGGTGAGATGGATGTGACGGTGGGTGGCGTGGGAGCACGAGGCAGACTCGTGATACACTTGTCGAACAGCTTGGCAGAAGCAGCAACGGGGTCGGTCAGGACGTGGTGTGGAGGAGGGGCACGGGTATGGATATAGAACTGTAGGGGCGAGAAGTCGGCCAACAGCAGGGCAGGACGGCGGACGCTGATATAGTCAGGCACGCAGATGGATTAGGCGACGGGGTTTCAAGTACAACAGGCGAGCACGACTACGAACGGGTCGGCCAAGGATGCGGTGGATCTGGCAGAGTCAAGGCTTTGTGGCCGTGGCACATGGCAGGACGTGCACTAGCCGATAGCAATCTCCTGCTGGACCATTTTGGCAGTCCGCATGGTGCACACGGCGGCCTGGCGATTCACGAGATCGCGCAGCAGCAGCTCGTCGACACGACGTGCAGGACAGAGAGGGTGTGCCCGCTGGTTGGGCAATGGCGTGTGTGGGCGACTCGATTGGCAGCACAGAGCCTCGAGCGTTGCAAGCCTCAGGCGTTACACCTCTGGCACGCCTCGCACGCTCACCCACCCGCGCCAGAGCATCGCACACGCCAGGCACAGCTGCATCGCCCGTCCGATGAGGCGAGAGAGCCGGCTGCGTTGAGCGGGCAACAAATTGTCACCAGCCAGGGGACGGCGTGCCCTGCGATCGCCCTCCTTTCATCTGGACTACGCCCGTTCGACACGACCTCTTGCCGCTATTCAGGGGCAGGCCACTCACAGCACTGGCGGCGACCTTGGCAGTGTGGGGACTATGGCGCCGCAGCCGTGGACGGACCCTGACTGGCCGTCACCGCCTCTGTCGACCCGTTCGTTCTGCGCTGGCAGGCCGTCGAAGATCATGCCAGACCCTTCTTCCAAACCTTCCCTCTCCATGGCCTCGGTCAGGTTTGTACCACCGCGCTGTGCCCTTGGCGCAACCCTGAAGCACGCAATTCCGGACATGCGAACGCTTCTGACCGACGGCGACAGCACGGGAGGCCACATCACCTTACCAGGCCTCCGTCGCAGGTCTGCACCCCGACTCGAACCCTTCCAATGGCGCAAACCCAGCCTGTGTCACGCCAGCCGCCATTCGCGCTCCACACTTTTCTGCTGTGACACTCGTAGCGCCCGCGTATGAACTCAACACCACCACCTTTTCCAAGCGTCGCCCGCATTGACCACTCACAATTGCAGCTTCCTCCACACCACCGTCATCAGGTGAACAGAAAACCAGAGCCCCCGGCGCTTCTTGGTTCATCACAATCTATTGCATAGTTCATTAAACGTCGCCAGTCTGCTTCAGCCCTGACCTGGTCAAACTGACGACGCCTTTATCTTGCAGCGCGATACGGGCGTTTGACCGGAGCACATCATGGCAACGTTCGGGCTGATCAGCCTGCACAAAGGCAGGTGCCGCGTCTTTCTGCGATGCTGTATGGCTGTAGTGCGTTGTCAAGATCGTCATCATCAAGAACCCTCCGAACCCTGTCGTCTCTCACCATCAGCGAATCATGATCCACATGGCGACTCATTGGTGGTAAGAGCCGACAGTGTAGTGAACGATCATCACGCAACTGCGATAATGCCCCGCAGTCCGAAAGCGGTTTTATCTTCGACATGATACTGTGCAGAAACACCAAGAGCTGAGGAGATCAAGAAGTAGGCTTAAAAGGTAGGTCTTCTTCTCTACAACTTCATGCATACTTGTCTAGACGGCTACAGGCGGTGCTGAGGAAAAAAAACTTCATGAAAAGACAACCAGGTTGTATTCTTTAGTGCTGCTACAGATATTTTAGTGTGTTCATTGTGCGTCAAGTTATCGCAGCTGCGTGCCCACTCACATCCACCCAATCCATGTCCATTACTCTCTCACACAGCTTGCAAGCGTATCCATTCTTTTCACAGTCTGCATCGTACTCCTCATTGGTAGCAAGCAAGTATGTGGTGGCAACCATCAGCCTCCTTCGCATGCGGCTGGGATTGCACCACCGCGGGGCAGCGAGTGTGCGTCTTAGTGACAAAAACCGTTGTCGTCCACCAACGCCCTTGAAACGCCACACTCAACGGCCGTACCACTCCGCAGGTGACCGGAACCCCACCATGCCAGTTTCCCTCCCCTCCTTGCATACCCTCTACAAAGGCCGGGAGCGGGAGTAGAGAAAACACACACTATGTAATCATGACTCTTTTCCCAGCTGCTGAGGGCCCATCTAGTGCATAACCAGCAAAGAAGAAGTATGTCACCGAGGGGGGACGTGGCGGGCATCACGAGATGAATACGGACGCATTTCTTCTTCTTCCTGCCCGCCCAGTCCATCCCCGGGATACCCAGCTACTGAACACGAACATCACAGCCCCCTCCATCACAACAGCCACCTCGCCCTGGAAAATACCAGCCACATACACACCCCACCCACCGCGCCCAACAAACAAACTCATAGCCCCTCAACACACAAAGTCTCGTATGCAAAGACGAAGTCGACGCAAGCATGACTCCATGCAAGTCACCTCGCCCCCCGGGAGGTTGGGTCCGCCCATGCAGAAACGTATCCTCTCCCCCTACCGTTACGCTGGGAATACGCGACATCGCTGAACAAGTAAAGTCCCGCCGTTGATGAGCCGCGAAAAGCAAGTGTGGGAGAAAGGGGGAGGTGGCTGTGTTTGGTAGATGGAGGTAAGATGCGGATTTTGTCGGTGAGTACGCGTTGGCAAAGGGGGATGCGAGTCTTCGCACTATGGGGGGTGGGAGGGGAAGATGGGAAGGATACTGCGGTGTGGAATTTAGTGATGTCTTGAGTAGTAGTATACATAAATCTATTCTGCAATATGTGTACGCGTGATGGTGCAAGAACACGCCCTAACCAACCCCATGTGTATCCTTTACCCCCGTACCATCACCCTAATCTTCAGTGCGAAGAAAAGACAGCTTACACACCCAATCTCTATCCCCCCCAGCACTCTCCCACTCACTCACCCACCCATCCCACAGCCTAGTCTACCCCAAAACTCTTCACACTCCTCAATTCAACTATACATATACCGCAAGTCCGCACCCACACATTTCCCAGACATGTGTGCAGCGATACATAAGATACGAAGCCACTGACTGACGAGCGAACATGGGAGGATTGGGATTGTGATAGCAACAACGATGGCGATCTAGAACAAGAGGAATTGATGCGTGCGTGCGTGCGTGCGTGCGTTGTAGAGGAGAAGTGCAAGGGATATGTTTAAATGACATATTTCCGTCTAGACAATAAATCTACACCAGCGAGTAAGAAGCAGCAGCAGCAACAGCAACTTTTCCACCAACGAAGATAAAAAAAAAATGGATAGAGGAGAGAAGAGACCCGCGCAAAGAGGTATATAAAAGAACCCAGAAGCCCCAAACACATCTCAAAAATCACATAAAAAGCCCCCCCCCCCCCCCCCATTATATAACCCATACCAAACATCAATCCCCGGGACATAACTTCTACGTACTAATTTCTCCACCACCCCAACCCAGCCTTTCGTCATCGTCACCGCAACGGCAAAACTAAGTAACAACCTCCCCCTCACCACTCTTCGCGCGCTTAGCCTCCCGCTCACTATCAACCTCCATCCTGCGTTTCCCTTCCTCCTTCCGCGCCGTCTCTTCCCTCGCCGCCCTTCGCGCCTCCTTATCAACCCTCTCCTTCTCCTTGCGCAGCGCCTTACTCTCAAACTCATGCCAATCGCCCTGCAGTTCCTTCAGCGCCTCAGCACGCATCGGAACCGGGGCCTCACTGGCGAAGAACGGATGCTCGAGGACATCCGCGGCGGTCGGGCGCGCCGCCGGATCATACAAGAACATAGCCTGCAGCAGTTCAAACGCCATGGGACTAACTCTATCCTTGTATTTTTCCTCAAAGACGGACGTGCGCTGCTCCGTGGGGCGCAGCAGCTCGAACCACTGCATGTCGACGATGCCGGGCCAGTCTGCTACCGTGGGCGTGCCGAGGACGTGGTAGATTTTATCTAGCTGGTTGATTTCGCCGCCGTCGCCGGGGAAGATGGCGTGCCGTGTGAAGATCTCGACGAGTACGCATGCTGCGGACCAGATGTCGACTGCGGGGCCGTACTGGGTTTCGCCGAGCAGGAGTTCGGGGGATCGGTACCAGATCGTGATGACGCGGTTGGTGTAGTCTAATTTCCCACTCTTTGCGTAGAATCTCGCCAATCCAAAATCTGCAAGCTTCAGCTGGCCCGTGTTGGACACCAAAATGTTCGCGGCCTTGATATCGCGGTGTAGAACACCCCTCCGGTGTAGGTAGTCAAGCCCTTCAAATAGCTGCTTGGCTAGATCCTTCTTGTGCGACTCCTCGAGTTTGAAGGTAGGGTGGTTCAAGAGACCCGTGAGGTCGTGAGCTGAGTATTCAAAAACCATGAAGCAGTCGTTCTTCTCGACCATGACTTCTTGCAGCTTGACAATGTTGACGTGGTTGAGCGACTGTAAGAGCTTGATCTCTCGAATAGCGGTGACAGGAAACTGTAGAAAGTTAGTGAAGGAACAACAATCAGGAGTAGAAGCTACTTACGCCATCGCGCTCACCCTCCATTCGTATCTTCTTGAGTGCAACCATATCCTTAGTATAGACGTGTACACCCTTGAAAACTTTGCCGTAAGTACCAGAACCAACGACGGACTCGTTGCCTGGCTTCCGGTAGTATACCGAGTCCGATGCAGCAAAGTCAGGAGAAAGAGTCGGTCGAGGTTTTACACGCTTCCTTATAACAATCTTGGTCTTTGGTAGTGTGGGAGGCGCGTCTTTTCGCTCAGGGCGGATCTCAAGACGAGTGTCAAGACGAGAGTCCGGCCGCCGGTCATCTGGTCGACGAGGGGGGTAAGGCTCTCTACGGTCTCGCTCGCGCATGTCACGAACGTCGCGAACGTCGCGAACGTCGCGAACATCTCGTGGGTCCCGTGTGTCCCGTGGGTCTCGTACATCTCGGGGATCTCGTTCTCTGACATCCCGCATGTCGCGAAGATCTCTGTCTCGTGGATCTCGGTAGTCTCTCTCCCTATCGCGGTAATACGTATCTCGCGGGTCGCGCGTGTCGCGAGGGTCTCGGTCGCGAGGGTCACGATAGGCGGGTCTTCGATCGTAGTGGTCGTCGTACCGACGGTCTCTGTCTCGAAACTCACGATCTCGCTCTCGCTCTCTCTCGCGCTCACGCTCACGATCATGTTCTCTATCCCGATGGTCCCGGTCCCTGTCATTCCTGGGCTCAACTCGTGTCGACGCATCCTTGGCTTTTGGATCAAGCAAAGATTGTTTGGTGGATGGTTCTGGCTTCTCAGGCTCTTCCAATTCCACTTTGGGCTTGACCGCAGCTGGAGGCACTGGATGTTTTGTTTTCAGAGAAAAGCTGAACCCTGACTTTGGCTGGGTAGGAGTAACAGGACCTGGCTTTGATGAAACTACTGCGTTCTTCTCTGCCTTGGGGCCCTCATCCTCTACACGCAGGTCCTTGGACGGCCGGAACGGATTGTCGTCAGCGTCAACGGCTGTGGACGGAGTCTCTGCAGATGCCTGAACGACAGTAGGAGGCTGTTGACGTGGAGCTTCGGTGGCAGGGCGACCACCTCGTGTGCCTGATGCTGGAGTCCAGGAGAGGTTCGAGAATTGCGTCGGCGTTGCGCCTCGCCCACGCCCGCCCTGCATGCCCAAGGCTGGATTGGGAGCAGGTCCTGACGTGCGTCGGTCCGGACCACTGAAGTGGTTGCCTCGATATCCGCTTCCTCGATAGGGACTGCCTTGGAAGCCCGGTTGAGCGTACGACTGGCCCTGGTTCTGGTAGTACCCAGGCGAGTAATTTTGGTTATATGGCGACTGGTTTGGCGAGAAGCCCTGCATGGGAGATCTGACATACGTTAGCATACAGTCGAGTGTAAAACCATAAAAGACTCACCCCTGATTAGGATACGGCTGCCCGTTCCACGCCCCCCTACCCCCTTGATAAGGTGACTGGCCTGGAGGTGAATATTGGTTCTGTGGCGGGTATTGCGGAGAGTGCGAGAAGCCCCCGCGGCCTTGGTAGTGGTATGCTCCTCTCATCTTGTCGTCCTCTTCCCTGTCTTTTGCTGTGTCAGGGAGGTTACCTGATGCAGGTGCAGGCGAGCCTCGTCTGGAAGCTGGCTTGTTTGCACGGCCTGATTCGTTAGGCTCGACTTCCTTGCCTGCTTTGGGTTGAACTTTTGGCGCACGTGAGGGAGACCGGGATGATCGTCGTCGAGGTGGTGCACGAGGGGAGCGGCTCCTGCCGGGCGACGCCCTTCCACGCCTGGAGTTGGGCGGGGGGCTTCTTCTGGCGGGCGCTGGAGACTGTCGGCGGGGTGGGGTGCGAGACCTGGCGCGCCTGGGTATACGGCTGCGACTTGGGTCTCTGTCGCGGGCAGAGCTGGGCTTGTATGTCCTCTCCCTGGCTTCGTCAAAGGGCGTGTTGTGCTGCCGGTGGGATCTCCTGGGAGAAGACCTCCGAGGCGTCTCAGCACGTCTCGACCTTCTGTCAGGCGAGATAGATCTCCTGCGAGCCCGGTGCGAGAGCGGCCGGTAGTAGGAGTCGGCCGAGGGGGAGCGACGGCGAGACGAAGCGTGCGGGATGTATGTGTCTGGCGTTGGTCGTCGTGGTGCTCGGTCGCGGGGGGGTGGGGAGTATGGCCTCTGTACAGGCCGATGCGTCGAATTTGCGCGACGTGGCCGCGAGCGCGAGCGGACGGTGCTGCGACTCCTGTCTCGCCTGGCGCGCTTGTGGGAGCCCTTGGGAGATGCCGAGCGGCTGCGGTGGCGTTTGGAGGATGGCGTCGAGTCGCGGTGGTGGTGGTGGTGGGTGTCGTGACGGCGTGGGTGCGAAACCCTGTCCGAGCTGGCTTCCCTCCTCGAGCGGCGATAGCGCTCCTCTCGCGAGGCTCCGCGACTGCGACTGCGGCGGCGCGTCCGCTCTCTGCTCAGACTCCTCTCACGTGAACGGTCCCTTGGATGCTTGGGCGGCGGGCGAGCGTCGGCGTCGTGGGTGCGCCGTCTGGACGAGTCCCTCGCCGCGCGTGGCCGTGGTGACGCTGGCCGGGCGTCGTCGATGCGTGGCCGCGACCGCTCCCGGGGCCTGTCTCTCTCCCGGACAGACGGATCCTCTGGTCTCCACTGGTCTATATCCTGGGTCCTGCGCAACCCAGCCATGTAGGCAGGAATGGCATCAGAGGGCGCGAGACTGCAGCATCAAGAAGGTTCGCACGTTGGAGTGTCACAGCCTAACCGAGAGGGCAGACGTCCAGCACTCTGCAACTACAGCCTGGCGGTGAGCGTAGGAATGGGCCCGAGAAGAAATAGAGAAAGGTACTGCGGCTGGGTCCGAGACACGTTCACTGATGCGCTGCCGTCGTCGCTCGTGTCAGTCGTGATGGTCGTGCCGCTGCATTTCGTGAGCCCGCCGCCTCAATGTTCCGCCAGCCGCTCTAAATGACGCCAAGCCCTTAGCCCGAGCCCTCCAGCTTGTCCCCGAGAAGCAGCCTCTTCAGCCTTTGCTCGCTCCCTGCATGTCCGTCCTTCTCATCGCCGGGCAGTCCACCGAGCCCACAGGGTTTCACGCAACTATTTAATGCAGACAGAGATCAAGACTACAGAGTATCAACCTGGGTCTGGGCACATGGCTCCGCGCAACATCTGGCCACGTGCATGTTTCCGACTGCAAGAAGGGTAGGGAGCCGTTGATGACTGTCCTACCAAAGCAAGGCGCGGGTAGGCGGGAGTTGTTGCTGGACTCGTAGTACTGCAGCTGAGCGCTTGCGTGGGTACGTAGTTGCGACGGCATGTCGTGGACGGACTCGTGAAGTGACAACTGCCTGCACCACAGGCGATGAAGAATGCCTGTGCTGCCTGTACTGCCCTACCGAGAGTGCAGGAAGGTCAAGTTGTAGAGCGCATGTCAACTGCAGACGTGTGGCCTGGTCGAAGTGCTTGACATAGGGCCAAGATAGAACAAAACAGCAGCCCGCCTCGTGCTCAGCGTAGATGGTCAGGAGTCGAGCACTCCCCAACATCCATAACGAGTCGGTACTTCGACATGGCTAGATGATCTTCCGCGGCATGTCCTGACTCTGCTCACCGTTTGCGAAAGACGGACGACATGCTCATGACCACAAGCCATCACAGTGACGGGCGACGATGTAGCTGACAGTATGTAACAGCATCGCACGTCTCAAGTCAGTCTGGCAGTCCGTGGTTCCGAGTAGCGCAGAACACAGACGATGCATGCAGCTGCAGGCGCATGGCAGTCAAGCCGAGTCCCAGCATGCCCCCCTCCCGCACACGCGACTCTGCACTCCCCTTCCCCATGCCGACTGTCCCTGACGTGTGGGACGCCGATGGCGCGCGCCGTGTTCGATGAGCTATGCCAGCGGGATGTGCGCGATACACCTGAGGCTGGGGGTGAGGTGAAGCTGCGGGGACAGGGACCGCCCTTGGACTCCTTCCCGACGGTCTGCCTGGGCGCGCCGTCCTGGTGGCAGCGCTGTGAAGATCAAGTCCCGCATCTCAAGGGGCGGCGGTCATGTACGTACCTGCGCGTCGATGCATGTGGGCTGCGAGGCGATGGGGGTCGTGGGTTGTGTCTGGAGGTCGGCGCTCCTGCTCGATTAGACGAGCCTATCCCGTGACTGGCCGCCGTTGGCTGGCGTCGTCGCGTCATCGGCCTTGGGGTACCGCTAAACTCCATTTGCCCGCTTTTGGAGTAAAAGTTGTGCCAGTCATGGGAGCGGCATCGCAAACAGTATCTCTGCACGAGCATGCGCCAGACTGACCACAGATTCAAGGCGCATTTGCCTGTCTCACATTGCTAGCCACCTTCAGAAGATCTGGACTATAAACCACGCCCGATCCACATCTTTTCAAGACAAATTCCCCCGCAATGGACGCTGAATCATCCAAGCCAAAAGCTGCCCTTCCCTCACACATGATGAATGGAGGGTCGCCTTTGCGCGTGACGACAGAGAAGCGCGACCAGAAGGAGAGGGACAGCCTCTACAATGCCATAGAGACGTCGCACCGAGGCCGCCAGGCCGTCAACTTTGACGGGCCCGAGGGCTACTTCCCCTCCAGTTCCTCGCATAACCACCAATATGGGAACGGTAATGGGAACGGCAACAGGACCCACAACCGCCATACCAGCATCAACAGCGAGATAGACGGAGAGAGCCACCACGACGGCGCCGTCCCCCGCACACCATTGGCCACAAGCCGTGCCCAAAGCCCCTACACACAGCACCCCACCGTCGACTTCAATGGCCTGAGCTGGCCCAGCAAGGGCACACGCGAGAGGAAGGAGGCGACTGAGGAAGAAAAGGCGGAGCGCCTGGAGAAGCTCACAGGCGCTGTCAGGACTATCCTCGAATGTGTCGGCGAGGACCCCGACCGTGAGGGCTTGTTGTCTACGCCAGACCGGTACGCGAAAGCGCTCCTGTTCTTCACAAAGGGCTACGAAGAGAATCTGCGCGACATCGTCAATGGCGCCGTTTTCCATGAGGATCACGATGAGCTAGTCATCGTCAAGGACATTGAGATCTTCTCGTTGTGCGAGCATCATCTAGTTCCCTTCACGGGCAAGGTACTTGATTCACTCCACGCCCACCAACACCACTGACAACCCTCAGATGCACATTGGCTACATCCCCAACCGCCGCGTCATTGGCCTCTCGAAGCTAGCCCGCATCGCCGAGATGTTCTCCCGTCGTCTGCAGGTCCAAGAACGCCTCACCAAGCAAGTCGCCCTCGCCCTCTCCGAAGTTCTGCAACCGCAGGGTGTCGCCGTCGTGGTCGAGTCGAGCCATCTCTGCATGGTGATGCGCGGCGTCCAAAAGACAGGCGCAACCACCACCACAAGCTGCATGCTCGGGCGCATGCGCTCGACGGCCAGGACAAGGGAGGAGTTCCTGAACCTCATCAACAGGCCATAGACATTGCATCATTTTGGGTACACGGACTTTCTTTCACTAGAGAGACCAGGAACATTTTGCATGTGGGATCTTTTCATACATGGAGTTTTTTTTGGTGACCACATAGGCTTTGGAATCGGGGCGGTAAAGGCGTTCGTTATGGTGTTCATCCACTTTGCACGGCGGTGGTGCTTTGCTTTACTATCATCAGATGCGTTGGCCTCTCAACAGCGCCAGGCCTTCAACAGGCGCTACTTTAGATATTTGTATCTTCATAACAAATGCATCAACTGAAACAAAATACTTGACTTTGTATGTTGACCGTGTTTTTCCATCTTGGACACTCTGCAACACTCTCTTGACGAGTGAATGGAGGTAAAAGATAATCGACATTAGTTGCGAAAGTAGCCTGCATTTCACACATTCAACATTTTCAATTAATGTAGGCTTGTAACAGGCAAGGTATCGACAAACTACAGATTGTGGTGTAGAATCCTCTTCTAGAGGTGTTCTTCACAGCGAATTGATTGACAGTATTCACCGGCCAACTGGATCAGAATAGATGTATAATATTAAGAATTACCATACAGCAATAGACCGGTCTAACATCAAACATATGCGAGGGGTATCTATGACATCGAACAGCCACCACCACCACCTACTCCTTCCTCAGTACATCAACCACCCATTCCACCGCTTCCTTTGCCTCCCGGATGCCATACGGCATCATCAGGACAAAACAATGCATCTGCTTCTCCCACTGCAGCCACTCACCCTTTACACCTTCCCTCGCGCAACTATCACGGAATATAATTCCATCGGGGCTCAGCACATCGTAACCAGCCGTCACCCCATGGACCTTGACGCCGCGCCTGGCCAGTAACGAAACATCAGCATTAACCGGCGACACCCTGCGATCCGCCGGATCCCAATCCGCATGCCACGCCTTCGCCGTCTGCTTGATCACATCAGGCGTCAAAAGCGGATCGTGGGGTGCGATTTTCTGTATATCGGGGTTTTTGCGCGTGAGGTCCGTCGACGGACTGATGGCCATGACGGCCATGGCGTGGGGTATTTGCTGCATGTCGAGGCCGGTGCTGGCCATGTTTTCAGCGTCCTCCCGCAGAGCTTCCAGCACGAGGCTTAGCGCGATGTTGGCCCCTGATGAATCTCCAGCGAGTATGACTCTCTCGCCTGCTTCGTCTGCTGCCGCCATCAGCGCACGGTACAGCTTCATGCACCACGGGAACGAGCTGGGCGCGGGGTTGTTCGGCGCGAGGGGTGTTGATACCATGGAGACGGTGGCCTCGGGCATGTCTTTGGCCATTTTGGCGCAGATCTTCCAGTGCTGGCTTGAAGGTGGTTCTTGCCACGATCCGCCGGCGAAGTAGTATATGCGCTTCTCCGGACCTTTTGTGGGCTTGTTGGGTGGGACGACGTCGTATATGTGCACGTCGCAGACTGTTCTTTTGGAAAGCGTGCAGGAGCTCAAGTGTGATTTCGAGGGGCTGAATTCTATCGAGCCGTCGCTGTGCTTGGGGGTGCCGCTGTTGAGCTGGCTGCGGAAACAACGGACGAGGAAGAGGACTAGGGACATGGGTAGAGAGCGGTCATCGCGGTGGGTGACTCGGATGGATGAGACATCTTTGTGGGTTTGATGCGTTTCCGTCATGTTCGTGTATCTGGAGTTGAGAAATTTGGAGTATCTGGAAGATGTGGAAAGAGAAGTTGACTTGACGAGAGGAAAGAATGCCACGTTTTACACATTATGGTACTAAATCGCAGAAAGAAGCGTGAGATCGTGTAGCATGAAGGACATCGTCGCCTACGCGTCGGTCTAGCGCGTCATTGACTTTTGACGCGATCGGAGTGGCGTCGTTGGTTTTGCAGCATAGATAATCTAAGCAGCGCAGTTGGCCAAAGGCTAACTAGCATCACCACAAGACAACATCTTGACAGAGCTGGATATCTCTGGTACTCGAGCGAAGCGTGTGAATAGATACAAGGTAGGTACGACGTCGTGACGGGGTTGTGCATGAAGACGAGGTTGGTGACGTGATATGCAGCGCCAAGCGACTGGAAGGATTTATTCCTAGAAGCTCATCACCACAACCGCCATGCAAGCGCCATGTCCCTGATCCAAGCAGCGGGTGTTCTTGGCTGTCGCGGCGACACTTGTTTTGTCTTGCAGTGGGCGGAATCACGCCTATCATGGATGATCGCTCCGCTCCGCTCCACCGGCTACGAGTCTCAACACGCAGATAGCCCAGCTCTGCTAGGAGATGCTCGTATCCATGTCCTACGTAGTCACTCTTGCGACATTGGCTAGTGGAGAGAAAGAGAGGGTGCGTAGTTAGTACTTCTAGACAGAGGGCAAGCGTCTACACTGCCAAATCCCTCAAAACTCGTGATCCCCTCCGGAGAACTTCAAATGCAGAGGCGCGGATCTGTTCAACTCCACTCCATCCGTTGTGGGGACGGCAGGACCCTCCATCCACGTTGTAAGTTTGACAGTACCGATAGTAAGGAAGCCTCAGGGAAGAGCTAGAGTATTCGAGCAACGATCCTCAGAGGACGCAACAGGAAAGCCTATCGAGAACCGTGAAACTAGACGCTAAATGTGCATCTCTACGGAAGCCACTGGGTCCGGTCGGCATCTGCTCCGCCTTGTCACTCTTGTACCTCTTGGAGACAAGCGTCTAGCTTCATTTCTCAATGGCATTTAACCCTTCCGGTCACTAAGACTAAAGTTGTCGCCTGGGCGCACGTACGTGCACATGTCAACCACACGCTACAGAATTAAGGTGTGAGCGAAGATATCATAAAGGGAATAGATATGCCACATGTGGCAGCAGTAAGTCAATTCTTAGACCTTTTCATAAGTGTTACGAGACGATATGGCTCAACAACAGTATCTCACAGACGAAGAGATAAAACGATTCACCGAAGACCTCGATTTAAACAACAGCGGCTATGTCGATTACTGGGAAGTGGAACGCAAGCTAGATGAGGTTTACAAGGAGATAGCTCCGAAAGCGCAACCACATCATCTCCACCACCAGTCTCGCAGCGATGAAGCTCGACATGAATTTCTTCGAAGCGTTATGGGAACACGCGAGGATCGCATCCCACACGACCAATTCGCAGCATGTGTGAAGACATGGGATATTCCATCACTGGAGCAAGATCGAAAGGAGGCAAAAGAGGAAGAAGACTACCTAAAGAAGATGTCCAGGTACAGAAGATTGCGGGCTTACTGGGCAGTCAAGGGGCCGGAAATCGCCTTCCTGGCTTTGGTAGCGGCGTTCATGATTGCGTTTGGAGTCTGGCAACTCGTCAAATACATTACTTTCGCCCAGTTCACGCCAGCATTCGGTTGGGGGGTCGTCTTGTCAAAAACCAGTGCAGGTGTTTTATATCCGACGTTCTTCTTCCTCATCCTCTCGATGTCTCGCTGGCTGGCGACGTTCCTCCGACGCTTCTACTTCATCTCGCGGTTCGTCAACTGGGACGTCTCCCAGTCCTTCCATATCAAGATGTCCATTGCCGCATTGTTCTTTGCCACACTGCACGCAATCGGTCATTTAACTGGATCCTTTGTTTTCGGTAGCATGGCAGGTCGACAGCATGCCGTCGCCGTGGTTCTTGGAAAACATGCAGTGCCGCGCAGATACGTTGACTACATACGCACAGTACCTGGCTGGACTGGACTCACAGCTTTGGGTTGCTTTTACTTGTTGTCCATGATGAGTATGCCACGGATCAGAAAGTGGAGCTACGAGGTCTTCCAGCTCGGTCATCTCCTCATGTTCCCCATCATTGGTCTGATGATTGCTCACGGCACTGCTGGTCTCCTCCAATGGCCCATGTTTGGCTACTGGCTTGCTGTCCCCACTCTGTTCGTCATTTTCGAGCGCACTTGGCGTGTGATCTTGGGATTCCGTCCCATCGTGGCAGATCTCAAGCTCCTTGATGACGAGACAGTCGTGATCAGTGTTGACGTTCCTCACACTCGCCCTTGGGATTACAAGGCTGGCCAGTACGTTTTCGTGCAAGTACCACAGATCTCCAGATGGCAATGGCATCCATTTACAGTTTCCACCTGCATCAACAACACCATGCAAGTCCACATCAAGGCCGACGGAGACTGGACAAATGAGTTGCGAGACATTGCGAAGGCCGGAAACACAAAGGCAATCAAGGTCGGACTGGATGGCCCATTTGGCGCGCCTGCGCAACGCTTCTACGATTTCGAGTACAGCATGGTTTTTGGGTAAGTTTACTCCTCCACGTCGCAAAAAAAGGCGAACACTAACGTCGAAACCCAGAGCTGGCATCGGCGTCACACCTTTCTCCGGAATCCTAACCGACCTACAATACCACGAACTCGAACGTGTTCAGACTGGCAATTTCTCCGACAGAACTGTGGTCGAACCCGAAGCCACGTCCAAAGGCTCATCACCATATGCCGGCCATCGAAGAGTCGATTTCCACTGGATGGTGCGCGACAAAAACAACCTCCTCTGGTTCTCCGACCTCCTGAACGAAGTCTCCCGCGCCCAGGACCTCGACAGCACACACCTCGACATCCGCATCCAGACCTACGTGACGCAGAAACGCAAGCAAATCTCCGAGCACGTGCTGCGATGGGTATTAGAAAAGCACCGTACAGATGAGCACCCGAAGTCCCCCATGACAGGACTCGTAAACCCTACTCATTTCGGTCGTCCGGATATACCCGACATTATGGAGCGGCACTACGCTGATATGTGCAAGGTTCAGGCTAAGAGGCTGGGCGAAAAAGATGCGCGTGGGAAGGTCAAGGATGAGGAGATTAGGGTTGGTATATTCTTCTGTGGGCCGCCTGTTATTGGACAACAGCTTGCGGATCAGTGTTCGCAGATGACGGCTAAGGCGCGGAATGAGGGGCGGAAGATCGAGTATCGCTTTATGATTGAAGTTTTTGGTTGAGCGTGTGGGGATTGTGTTCGGTTTTATGATAGGACGATTTAGTGTTATGAGCTTAGATATTTATTCTTCACCTTTATCTTCAATGTTTGTTTGATCGATGTTCAATTATGACGAATCTGATCTAGAAAAGCTAGGTTGATCGAAAAGGCGAATGTTGACAGCGCGCGGGATGCTGGGCTATCCAAAGTGGCCGAGGGTGCAGACACCGTGCGTACCGATTTTCTATATTGTGGTGGGGTACGAGGGGATTGAAAACTAGGTTCAGAGATTGGTGGGGAGGGCTAGAGGGGCTTCGGTGAGGGGTAGGGGTGGAGATTGGGGGTTAGAATTGCAGGAGGAGAGGTAGATGATGGGGACAAGGAGGAGGCGATGGGGAAGGTGGAGGAATGGAATGCTACGAAGGGGCCTAGTTTGAGAATGGGTTGGTTATTTCCTAACATAAAACCTGGGTTTTGTTTACTTAGCTTACCACTGAAAAATGGGTTGGTGGTTAACTACGTACCAATATATTTTTCTCGACTCCTCAATTCAGATCCTTTCCAACCTATCATCAGACTTGTTGTACCAGCACTGCCCCTCTCAACCGTTAAATATGATTTCATTCATAATGGTTCCATCAAGCGCCGACGATCCGATTACATCCCGCTCGAATAACTAGGTGCCTAAGGCGAAGAATAGTGGTTCGATGAGAGCCTTCTGAGCCACCATACCAAACATATGTATGAGGTCAAACCTTAGTATTAGTATAAATTGCACCTCACGCCTCTTCGCACCCTACTAAATCCTTCAACGCAATACCCCCTACTCAAAACCGAAGTCATGGAAGCCAGCCTCAATGCTGTCCAAGCAAGCCTCAACGAGAGTGCTTGCACACACGAGCTCTACACCCTAACGGAAGCATCGAGAAACTGGTGCACCCTCATACTCGTCATACTCGTCATCCTACTCGAAATCCTAGTAAACCTAAACCTGGATCCTAAAGCTCTTGCACACATAGAGTTACAGCCGCAGCCGCAGCCGCAGCCGCAGCCACAACCCCAGATCCTACCACAAAATGCACCCTGCCCCCAAGATCCCGAGGCCCAGGAACCAGAACCCCTGTGCTTACCCGCCTCGCCCACTGTCCGCGCAAACCGACTCGTCGCTGCAATTATCGTCTTCGCTCCGATCACCGTGGTCTTTGCATTTCTCATGCGCGAAATCTACATGGTGTCTCACGCAAGCAGCTCCTGCCAGCAATACATACCCAGCGACGCGCAGCCACAATGGTGGTTAGTCGTCATCTTCATAATTCTCCCGTATGCAACCGCCAGTCTTGCGTTTCTCAAGGCACTGGTGGACTGTATCACTGAGGTACAAAATCAGGTAATTTACCCCACAGCTTTGTTAGGTAAAAAACACAGAAGAAAGACTACATTTTATACTATAATGCAGTATAAAACGTAAAGTAAATTTATATAAACTTAGTATAAAATAACTATAGTTTATTATTAAATAGGTAGGTAAATTTATACTCTATTTTATAATAAGTATATAAAGACGTTTATAACTATTATATATTAAATTATACTATAAATAGTATATTTCTTAACTATTATAGCCTAGTAAGTATATTAGTAGAGGTATCTTTATACTATATAGAGTTTTTATTATTAGGTAAGACTCTAAGTACTACTACTATTTTAAGCTTAATTAAGCAGTAACTCTTAATACTACTATTAATATCTTAGAATACTTTACTAGGTAGTTAAGAGATACTAAAAATCTAGTTAAAGCCTATATTTATTACTATTAGTATTTTAATAATAAGTTATTTAACTTACTATATAAATAAATATACTTCTATTTAATAAAAAAGAGATATACTCTTTATAAGAAACTTCTTTAATACTATTTAAACTCTTTTTTTAACCTATTACCTTTAAAGTTTATTACTAGTAGAGTAATTATAACTACTAAGTTAAGTACTATTTTTATTATAGTTAGAGCTAAAGTAGAATAAGTATAATTACTAAGTTAAGTACTATCTTTATTATAGCTAAAGCTAAAAGAAGAAATATACCCTTTATAAGAAGCTTTTCTATTACTATTTAAAACTCTATTATAGTATACTCCTTAGGAAGTATAAAGTAGTAATAAAAAGTATTCTCCTTATTAATAAAGTTAATACTAATATATTTAACCTCTTTATTAGATAGATATATAAAAAGAAGCTATTAAAGAATATACTAATACTTTTCTTTTTAGTATATTATATCTCTATTAAATATTAGTTCTACCTTATAGTAGATATACTCCTAGCTTCTAGATAAAAAGATACTTTAATAGAAAAAGCTTTTTAAGTACTATTTAAGCTTTTTCTAAGGTATACTATCTAGTAAGTTTAAAGAAATAGCTAATAGTATTATTTTTATCTACTAGGTTAATACTAATATATTTAATATCTTTATTAACTAGATAGAAAGATACTTTAATAGAAAAAGCTTCTTTAGTACTATTTAGGCTTCTTTTAAGGTATACTATCTAGTAAGTTTAAAGAAATAGCTAATAGTATTATCTTTATCTACTAAGTTAATACTAACGTATTTAATATCTTTATTAACTAGATATATAAGAAGAAGCTGTTAAAATATATATAAATACCTTCTCTATTTATAGATTATATTTTAGTTAAATACTATACCTATATTATAGTAAATATACTTTTAGCTATTAAATAGAAAGATACTTTAATAGAAAATATCTTCTAAGTTATATACTAAGCTTTACTCTATTTACTTATAATAATCTACTCCTTCTAAAGCTTACCTATAGAGAATCCTCTACCTTAGTTACTTATAAATAGTTAGTATATTAATAACAGATTTAGCAGTATTACTAAAAAGTATCTTATACTTTAGTTACTTATAGATAGTTAGTATATTAATAATAAATTTAGTAGTATTACTAAAAAGTATTCTATACCTTAGTTACTTATAAATAGTTAGTATATTAATAATAGATTTAGTAGTATTACTAAAAAGTAACTTAGTTTTATATCTTAACTTCTATATAAGTTTTATATATAATAGATTCCTAAAAGTATTAAGCTATAAGATAAAAAGCTAAGAAGAAAGTAAAATATAAAAAGTAGGTATTAACTAAGATTTAATAGACTAAATATAAAGAAGGAAATTTTAGAAAGGTAAAATATAATAGTTTCTAGCTTTAATACGCTAGTAGTTTCTAAGAATATAGTTAAGCTAGAGCTAGTAATTACTATTTCTAGAGTACTACTATAGCTAGGTTAATAAAAGTACGCTATAAGCTCCTCTATTAAAATACTACTATAGCTAGGTTATTATTCTAGTAATAGCTTTATATTATAGATATCTAGTTCTAGTATACTTAGTAGAAGTTAGTTTCTAGTATAACTAAATTATATACTAATATAGTAGTAGAACCTACTACTCCTAGGTATAGCTTTTATATTAATATTATAAAGATTACTACTAAGCCTACCTTAAAGACTACTATAGCTAGGTTATTATTCTAGTAATAGCTCTATATTATAGATATCTAGTCCTAGTTAAACCTACTACTTCTAGGAGTAATTAGCTTATATACTAATACAGCAGTAGAACCTACTACTTCTAGGTATAGCTTCTATATTAATACTATAAAGATTACTACTAAGTCTACCTTAAAGACTACTATAGCTAGGTTATTATTCTAGTAATAGTTCTATATTATAGATATCTAGTCCTAGTTAAACCTACTACTGCTAGAAGTAACTAGCTCTTTAGATTATTATTTTAGTAATAGTTCTATATTATAGATATCTAGTCCTAGTTAAACCTACTACCTCTAGAAGTAACTAGCTTTCTAAGTTATTATTCTAGTAATAGCTCTATATTACAGATATCTAGTCCTAGTTAAACCTACTACCCCTAGGTATAGCTCTTATATTAGTGCTATAAAGATTACTACTAAGTCTACTATAAAGACTACTATATCTTATAGTATAATATCTCCTAACTAGATCTTCTATCTTAGTATAATTAAGACTACTAGAATACCTATACTTAGTAGAAGTTAGCTTTCTAGTAATAAGGCTCTAGTAAAACTATCTCTATAGTAAAAATAACTTTAGGCCCTCTATCTATTTAGATTATTAAAAGTATAGGAAATTAGACCTTTAGAAAGCTACTTATAAAGAAAGTAATACTAAATAGTATATTTAAACTATCTTATTTATAGAACTCTTAGAATATAAATAGCTATAGATTAATAAGGTTAGGTAATTAAATATAATTAGTACTATAGCTGTAGATTAATAAGGTTAAGTAGTTAAATATAATTAGTACTAAAGGTATATATACTAAATATTATATAAACGTAAAGTACTAATTATATTTAACTACCTAACCTTATTAATCTAGTCTTATAAGATTTAACTTTTACTACTATTAAGGTAGTCCTATAACTTAGTAGGTATAAGGTCTAACTCTTACTACTATTAAGGTAGTTCTATAACTTAGTAGGTATAAGGTCCTATATACTATAATTATAATATATTAGCTTAAGTATAAAGTTAATATATATTCTTATATATTAATTATTAAATATAATAATGTTAGTAGCTGTTAGGTTTCTAGTCTTCTTGTATTTCTTAATAACTAAGTATTTATAGTAAAGATACTAATTAAAGGCTTACTTCTAATTAATAAGTATTATCTATATATTAAATTCTAATATTATTACTTTAAAGTATTATACTATCCTAGCTTTATATTTTATCTAGATTAACTTAACCTCCTCTTACTTATCTTAGAAGACTAGACTATTAAGGTTAAAAAGAAGGTTAGAGTATAATATATTATTTCTTTTTAATTAAACTAGCTAGTAGGCTGTATTAATTACAGCCTACTTTAAAGGTAGTTTAATAATAAAACTTAAGCCCTCTATAGTAAACTTTATAGCTGCTAATTTATTAAGTACTAAAAAAGAGCTAGAGTATAATATATTATTTCTTCTTAGTTAACCTAGCTAGTAGGCTGTATTAATTACAGCCTACTTTAAAAGTAAGTTAGTAATAGAATTCTACCCTAATAGTAAAGTAGATATCTATATTAACTTTATACTAGTCCTTAACTTTAAACTTATTAGAATACTATTTAAGAAAGTTAATAGTAACTTATAGGTTATAGTACTACTCAGCCTACTTATTATTCTTATAATTAAAGGGCTAGTTACTTTCTAAAATACTTATAGTTATATATAGTATTTCTATAAACTTCTAATCTTTACCTAAGGTATTAAAGATATACTTAGAAAGGAAAGTACTAAACCTTACATCTAAAGTTAAATATATAAAATATATACTTAGATAGTAATTCTAAAGAGGTTATAATAACCTATATATTATTAAAGCGCGTTTAGTAAATATAGAAAAGATATAGCCTATATTACTTATCTATATTATATAGGTTTAGAATATACGTAGTAGGTTTATAGAAGAGCTTATTTTCTACTATATTATACTATAATATAGTAGTAGTATATAAAGCGTAGCTTACCTTATTAATATCTTATTATAAGGTATTTACTAAGTAACTATATATTCTACAGCCTATCCTGCTTAGAAAGAGTATATTTATTAATAATAAAATAAAACGTACGTATTATATTCCTAACTTAATAATAAACGGAGGCTATACTAATAAGATCTATAATCTTATTAATAGTTATCTATTATATAGTATTATTCTCTTTATCTATTTTATAGAGATATAGTAGCTAGCTATTAACTAACTCTAGTAGCTGTACTGTAAGGGCACTATAAATAGGTAATTAAGATATAGAATAAATAGGTATTTATTAAGAAATTAGACAAATCCTTAGAGTATAAGCCCTAGGGATTTGTAAGTACTATATACTAGAGCTCTAAGGGCCTTACGCTCTTAGCCTAGAGGTTTACTAAAGGTAGGCTAACAGGAGCTTAGATAGAAATACCTATAACAGAGCTCCTCTTCTTCTTATAGTTTATCCTAAACTGCTAGAATTTTTAGAGTAGATAAATAGGTATTTAATTTATATAGTTACCTTAATTAAACTTTATAAAAACCTTCTATAAAGGGAAAATAGTTTAGGAGAAATTTAGTACTAAATTATTTAAGTTCTCTCTAGGCTAGTCCTTAGATTTAGCCTAGGGGCCTACTATACTAAGCCTACGTTCTTATTACTAAGTCTTTATAACTTTAGTAAGCGTAGCCTAGTTTATTATAGGTAACTACTAGGCCTCTGTAGAGAGTCCTATTTACTGTTATTCCTAGATTATAATCCTTAGAGGCATAGTTATACTTACTATATATTATTATTAGTAACTTTACGTTTATAAGTTTTACCTTATTAGGCGCCTATTAACTATACAGATAGTTTATTAGGCTCTATTACTTCTTTAGCCCTATTCTAAAGACTTTATAATATATAATTATATAAAGTAAAGGCTTAATATAGAGTTTACTTATAATAATTTATTATTTACTTACTCTATTATTATAGTTAGTATTTATACTAACTTATATAATTATTTATAGGCTAGCGTTATCCTTATAAGGTATATTACTAGTAGCCTCCTTAGAGGTTTATTCTATATAGGTAGTGCTTACTTTAATATTAGTGCCTATTACACTCTTTATAGAGTTTATAACTATAGTTCTTCTATAGGAGTCTATTAGCTCTCTATAAGTAGTCTACTAGGTATAGTTCTAGTATCTTAGGCAGCGTTTATTATTTATTTATATTATAATAACTTTTTATAGTTATTAGTATACGTAAAGTAAAGTAAAGTAGTATAGTATTATAGTAGTTTTAGAGGGCCTATGTATACGTACTAGATAGGTATAAAATACCTATATATTACCTTATAACTCTAATATTACTATAATAACCTTCTTCTTATTAACTTACTATACTTCTACCTTTCTATATTAGTAATATGCCTCTACCTAAGTAGATCTACTAGCTCTCTACTAGTATAGCCCCTTAGCCTACTCTTATTTACTTCTAGTATATAGGCTGTATTAACTTTCTTACTACTACCTCCTAAAAGTGCCTTTCTAATAGTACTATTATATTGTTTTTTAAGCTATAGTAGGGTAATAAGCTGTACTGTAAACGTAAGGCTAGTTAGGATATCTATAGTAGTTATTTTAATACTAAGACTAGAGGTTATACTAAGGTAAGTTTCTTATTTTATTTTATTTATACCTTATTTATTACTAACTCTAATAAATCCTACCTAAGTTCTATTATACTGTTAACGTCTTTAACTACTACCTTAAGTATACCTTACGTAAGACTTAGGAGTTTACTAGCTTTATATTTACTACTAACTTTAATATACTCTTTATAGATAACTAGGTATAGGCTAACTAGGTAAATACTTATACTTATACTAAGGCTTATTATAAGAGTTTCCTTAAGTATAATTATACTAAGCGCTATACTATTACTAATAGTAGTTTCTCTACTATAGCTTTTAGTTAGACTTATTAAGTTTCTACTTAGTATAACTTAGAGTAATATAAGGTTAGTCTACTATTATTCTAGTGTCTTTCTATTACTAATCTATTCTAGTTAGGTCTTAGTACTACTAGCCTATATTATCCTAATAATATTATTATTTATACTTTTATAGAGGCTTACTTTCTATATAATAGTACTTCTAAGAATATTAACTAGCACTTCTACTACTACAGCACTAATATTCCTAATACTAAGAAGGAGGAGATTTTATTCTTACTATTACCTTAGAAGTATCTTTATTTAGTAGCTCTCTATACTTCTAGTTAGAAGGTAGCTAATAGTACTTCTAAAAAGGCTTTTACTACTAGTTTCTCTAGTTTTCTAATAGTTAAGTATAACTCTAGTAGTATTAGTTCTAACTTTATAGTATTTTAATAGGTAACTATAAAGGTTTCCTTATTAAATATATATTCTAGTTCCTTTAAATAGTATAAAGAATAATAATTATAATTTTCTATCTTTACTAAGGCTTATATTATTCTATACTAGTTTATAATTTTAGTTTTAGAAGTAATTACTATACTATAGCTCTAGCTTTCTTTTTCTTCTTTCTTTTAGATATTCTTTCTAGGACGTTCTTATTTCTACCTTAGTAAATTATTAACTTCTAGATCTAGTAAGGCCTTTACCTTCTACCTATATCTTTTAGGCAGCCTATAGGTACCCTAAAATATATCTTATAGGTTTACTAGATAGTCTTAAAAGATCTTATTATAGTAATTAAGATTCTTAAGTAGTTTCTAGGTAGTATCCTTATTAGACTAACTTAGCTACTTTACTCTATACTTCTACCCTTAGGTAGTAGTATTATAGTATTCTATAATTCCTTTAACCTTATACCTATTTCTAGGTAGAGTATCCTTTAGAAGTTATATAGGCCTTAGCTAGAAGCCCTTCTTAGTAAGGAGTTCCTGCTATAGTTTAAGTAATAATATATTAAATACTAGATATATATACTCTATAAAGAGTAGCAGTACTAGTTTATAAGCTAATTTCCTAATACACTTTATAATTATAAAAGGCCTAAAGTACCTAGTATTAAATTTCTTTAAAGGCTACCTAGTAGTAATATTTTTTACTTAAAAAAGTACCTACTTACCTTTAGTATAGTATTTCTTAGAGCGCTTAGTATTATACTATTTTATTATACCCTTCTAAGTATACTTAAGGCTCTACTTTACTTCTTCCTATATTTCTTACTATTAAGTAAGTTTTCTAGTAACTTACTAGTAAAGCTCTAGTGCCTTTATATCCTTATCCTAGACTTTAGAAGGTTACCTTAACTAGTGCTTATCTAAAATTCTATTAAAGCCTTTTAAGTTTAACTTAAATACTACCTTAATAGGGTATTCTCTATATATAAAGTATACTTTAGAGTTATATATATATTTAGTATATAGTAATAATAAGACTTAGTTATCCTGCTTATAGTTTATATAGATGTGTAGGTATATTTTAAGCTTCTAGTTTAGCCTTTTAGTCTAACTATTAGTCTAGAGGTAGAATACTATACTTAAGTAATAGTTAATTTTAAGGTAGTAGTATATATTTAACTAGAATTAACTAGTAAATACTAAGCTATAATCTAATAGTAGAGTATCTAAAAGTCCTTATTTTAAGAATACTTATTTAAAAAGTAGTTTAGCTACCCTTTAAGATAAGATTATTTTAGTTATAAAGAGGTAGTAGATATACTTACTAAACCTATCTACTAATACTAGAATTAAATTATATATATTTCCTAGGTTATCTTTTAACTTAGGTAAGTTAGTAATAAATTCTAAAAAGTAATATTACTATACTATATTAGGTATAGAAAGAGGTACTAGTATCCTCTATAGCTTATACTATTAAATCTTATTTAACTAGTAAGTAGTATACCTTTTAATATATTTATAGATATCTAGTTTAAAGTATAGCTAGTAATACTTCTTTATAAGGAGATCTCTAGTCTTTTTAACTTTATAGTAACCTTTTATAGAATTATTATAGTTCCTTATAAGTATATTTTAGCGTAGAGTAATATTATTAGAAATTTACACTTTCCTACTTCTACGTAGAATACTACTAGGGTTAACTTTCTATAAGGTAGTACCCTTAATTACTCTACTATCTTTCTATATTACTAGTACTTTATTTATAGAATAGGCCTTATTCTATTTTTAAACCTGTTTAATAAAATTAGAAAGCTGTTTTAGAATTTCTAGTATATAAGTATTTTCTCCTTATATAGCTTTATTTATAAGGTATATAAGGGCTAGAACCTAATTATTAAGCTTCTAGTCTAAACTATAGCTATATTAAAGTTCTACTTCTAAGCTTTAAATAATTTAGATTAACTCTAACTGTTATAGCCTATAGAAGAGCTGTTAAGAGCTAAGAGTAGTGTACTACTAGTAGCTAAACTACTATTAGGAAATTCCTATTTAGAGACTATTTTAGAGAGTTAATAGAGCTATACTAGCCTACTTCTAGAGTAGTCTTCTACTAAAATTACCTAATTAATTAGTTAAGCCTTAGACTTTTAAAAGGTCTATATTTAAAGCTTCTATTAAAGTATAGGTAATATTATATTATAAAGTACCTATTATTCTCTAACTATAAGGCCCTATGTATAGTTAGGGCGTCTTAAGAAACTATTAGCTAAGTTCTCTAGTCCTAGCTTATATTTAACTTTAAAGTTAAATTAAGCTAGCTCTTTTACCTAATATACTTATTTAGAGAAGAGTTCCTTTATAGTTATAAAGTACTAAAGGTTATTATAATTAAAGAAGACTTAGATTGTTAATAGAGCGTATTTAAGGTAGTATCTCTACTGCCTAAATAATTCTATAATTATAAAAAGCTTCTTATTATATATATACTATTAAATTAATAGGCTAGTAAACTTATAGCTTTAGAACACTACTAGCTTCTAATAAAGGTTAGTTACTAGCTTAGATATTTAGGGCTAAAGTAAGATTACTACTATAGTAAAGTCTAATATATTAGTATAGACTATTACTAGCTTTGCTAGATTAAAGTACTAAAGTATAGAAGCTTCTGTAAACTTTAATTAAATAGAAAGAAAGGCCTTATAAACCTTATTAGGCTAACTCTATAGTTAATACTATTTTATTAAACCCTTTTAAGTCTTCTTTAGGTTTTTCTTCTCTTTCCTATCTACGCTAGCTCTTATAGGGGCTAGTACTAGAGACTAGGTAGCTATTATATAGTCTACTAAAGGGCGTATAATACTAGAGTAGTTATAAATAAATCTTCTATAGAAGTTTATAAAGCCTAAGAATACTTATATATTCTTATATCTTTTAGGCTCTAGCTACTCTCTAATAGTTTATACCCTTACTAGGTCTATAACTATACTACTAAGAGTAATAATAAAGCCTAGAAACTCTATAGATTTTATTAAAAAGACGCATTTACTTACCTTATAGTATAAGCCCTACTTAATAAGCCTATTAAGGATCTCTTTAATATAGGTATTATAATCTTCTTTATTCTTAAAGTAGATTAAGATATTATCTAGATATACTATATAGATATAATCTACTAGGCTACCTAAGGCTCTATAGATATAGAATTAGAACGTTACTAGCACATTTACTAATCTAAAAGGTATAACTAGATACTTAAAATAGCTATACCTTGTTTTAAAGGCTGTTTTCTACTTATTACTCTCTCTAATCTATAGCCTATAATAGGCTTTGCAGAGGTTAAGCTTAAAAAAGATAGCTACCTTTAATAATTAATCTAATATCTTACTTATAAGTAGGATAGAGTATTAATTCTTAATTATAACTTTATTTAGTCTATAATAGTCTATATAAAGTCTTATTATTCTATTAGCTTTTAGTATAAAGAGAATTAGAGTACCTATAGGTAATTTACTAGAATAGATCTATCTCTTCTTCTAAGCTATATTAAGGTAGTCTTATAGAATTTCTAGCTTACAGCTAGAGAAGTTATAGATAGGAAGATTTAGAACTTTAGTCCTTAGCTTTAAGTTAATAAGGTAATTATACTCTCTATTAGGTTAAAGTATACCTACTTAATACTTACTAAACGTAAGCTACTTATAGTATAGCTTCTTTAGTATAAATTTAAATTTATTTAGATTAAGTATATTATCTTTAACTACTAGATATAGAGTATCTATCTTAATATTATTAGTTAGGATATAGGCTATACCTAAAGGTAGTCTAGCCTAATTAGGGTTCTTATTATATATACTAGTAACTATTTAATAGGCTACTATTTCTAGTAGCTAGGCTAAGTCTAGATAGTTCTGTATGTAGTAGTAAAGATAATTAATAATCTCTAAGAACTTATTCTTTAACTAGAGGATCTCCTTTTAGTAATAGTACTTTACGTCTTAAACTATATCCCCTTCTAGTTATACTTTACTTATAGGTATAGGTATTCTAGAGTCTTTCTATAGAAGTTCCTTACGTAGAGCTTCCTAGCTACTAGGTAGAAGCTTATATACTAGATTACTAGGGTAGAGAATATATACTCTTTCTCCTAGACTTATATTATTTAGTAGTTATTCTATAGAGAGTAACTAAATTTTATTAGTATTATCTGCCTACTATTTAAACTTACTTATTAAGAAGTAGATCTTTAGATCTACCTTTTACAGCTAAGGATACCCTAGTATAAGGTTATAACCTATAAAGTTTACTATCTAGAATATCTAAGGGCCTACTTCTTTAGTAGTTCTCCTTATATTACTATATAAGAGTATAAGTTTATATAGTTTAAGAATATTTAAATAATTACTATTAATAAAGCTTACTACTAGCTTCTAATAAAATAGACTATAGAGAAGATTCCTCTTCTTAACTATATATTAGTTAATAATATTAATCTTTACGCCTAAGTTATATAGTATATAGAGAAGTATTATAGACCTATTAGACCCTTATAGGATTATAGTAACTTTAATATAAGTTTATTTCCCTTTTAACTCTAGCTCTAGCTGTAATTAGAAAAGATTTATAATTAGAGCTTTTCTTTTCCTAGGCCTTAGCTCTTTAAGTCTTAGAGTTAGTTAGTATTAGTTTTTTAATTTAGTTTCTACTAACTCTTCTCCTTATTATTTTAATTATTACTAGTATTTACTACTTACCTACTACCCTAGTTCTAGGCCTAGAGTAGAGTACTAGTAGATTAGTTCTAGTACTATCTTAAGGGTTTAGAGTTATATCTTTTCTTATAGCTACCTTAAGTTAGAAAGGTAGCTGTTTATTTAGGCTTTATAGAGTCTAATAGTTTTAACTCTATCTTTATACCTATAGTAGTCTCTATATTATAGAAAGCCTACTTAAACTTTAACTATTTAGTAATAGTTTCTAATACTCTGTTATACTAAATCTCTTATTAGTAAGCCTTAGAAGCCTTTACCTATACTAAGAAGATCTTTAACTTATTATCTATACTACTATCTATAAGCTTAAAGAAGCTTTAATAGAGTAGAGATTTTCTATAGTTTAGGTATAGTAAAAATACGTTAACTAAGTTATTAGTATACTACTTAAAGTTCTAAAACTTTAAGTAGTTTTTATACTACGTAAGAACTAGGTCTTATACTAGCTTCTACTTCTCTATATAGACGTTAGCCTAGGTATAGATTACCTCCTTATTAATCTTTTATTAGATTAATTCTTAGTATACTCTGTATTAGATAGTACCTATTACCTAGTAAGTTCTAGTTATAGAGTTCTTTAGTACCTAGGTATACTTAAATACTGTATCTATATCCTTAACCTACTAATCTACTTATTAGAGAGTAGAGATATAGAATTCTATACCTAATTTAGGCTTAGAGTTTACTATATTAAGTACTCTAATTAGCCTTTCTACTGTATTAGATACTAACTAGAAAGGCTCTACTAAAGTAGTAGAGTATTCTAGGCCTAAGTACTATAAAGTAACTTAGAGGTATCTTTCTAGAATTATAATACGTTCTAGGCTAGTACCTTAAAGTTATTCTTTTAGGAGCCTATTTAAGATTAATTAAATATACTACTTACTACTTAGTAGGGCTACTTATATATAGACCCTTAGGGGTAATTCCTAAGGAGGTAATAAAATACTAAACTAGTAGATTACCTCTAAAACCCTATTAATACTACTTTCTAGCTGTATTTTAAAAGAAAGTATATAGCTTATTTCCTTAATTAAAAGTTATCTTAAGGAGCTCTTACGTATTTCTTTAAGTAGCTAGTTCTTTGTTAGGAAGTAAGTTACTTCCTACTTAGAGATTTCTTCTTCTTTATCTAGGCTTTCTATATCTTTAACGTAGGTAGCTAGGCCTTACTTTAAAGCTAAGTTACTTTTAGTCCTAGATAAGAATACTATTAGGCCCTTCTTAAGCATAACGTTTTGTTTTCTTTAAAGAGGTATTATTTTTCTATTAAAGAAAATAGCTCCTATTTATCTTAAATTAACTGCTTTTTCTAAGAAGGAGTATAAAGGATTTAAATTATAAGAGCACTGTAAACAGGTAATTAAGATATAAAATAAATAGGTATTTATTAAGAGATTAGATAAATCCTTAAAGTATAAGCTCTAGGGATTTGTAAGTACTATATACTAGAGCTCTAAGGGCCTTACGCCCTTAGCCTAAAGGTTTACTAAAGGTAGGCCGACAGGAGCTTAGATAGAAATACCTATAATATAACTAACTCTAGTAGCTATACCTTCTAGTATCTAACTATACCTACCTACTTAGAACTATTATATAGGTCTTTAAATAATATAATAACTGTACTAAATAATAACTATATTAATTACTTATAAATATTTAGTAATAGGTCTATATAGTATATAATAAATACTATACTGCGTAAGTTATTACCTTAGCTATAAGAAAAGATTATACTAAATTTTAATCTATTTAGGAGGATATAATTCTAAAATATTACTATATTTTATAGTAAGGTTTTAGTATACTAAGTAGTATTAATATCTTTTATCTTATCTAGCTTCTATTACTATTAAGAATCTATAGGTATACTTATCCTATCTATAAAGTTATATATATTATCTTAAGAATTATTATTATCTTAATATACTATATTATTATCTCTAATAAGGTCTATACGCTTATCTCTACTTTACCTTATATAAACATATTATTCCTAAATAAGCGTATTAATTTCTATACTTTTATACTTATAACTAGTAGATATAGTAAACCTCTTTACTATATAGAGAAATTACTTAAGTAACTATTAGGTATAGTAAGATAGAGAACTAAAATCTTATATATTCTGTTTAAGGTAAAGTAGGTAATAATACTAGATAGTATATAATAGTAGTAGGTCTAGATCTTCTTAATAATATAGATCCTTATACTTATATATAAACGCCTATACCTATCTTTTAACTTTATTAATATTATATTTTATAAATTTATGTTAGCTAGT